TGGTAGGTATGGTCGTATGTATTTATTTGAGCTTTATTTTGGGACTATATTGCTTGCATCGGACGGTCAGATGGCCGAGAACTTATAGAACTATCGCCATATATTTATACTTTTAGTATTCTTGCTCCTGACATTAGTCAAGGCTATTAAATAGTAAGTTAAAGTTATAAGCTGTAAGTAAAAGCTACAGAAGAGTTTAGTCAGGTTTATAGGCAGAATTGTTTATATTCTACGATAGGTAGTTTATTTCAGAGGTAAAGAATATGCAGGAAGACAAGTCGCATTCCTCTCCTTCTTGAGTACCCTGCGAATCTAGTCTTCGAAACACATTCAGTGTAGAACCTAGGAAATGTAACTCTGGTTACCCTGGCAAATATACAGATGCAACCAAGGATAAGGATATTGTAATAGAGCCTATTCACTCCCTATCTTATCTCACGATCTTCCCTCCCAAAACCTCAATTAAACCCAACCAATCACAACCCCCCACCCTTCCCGTCTCGCCCTGCACGATCCCGACTTGGCCCCCCAATTCCAGCCAATAACACCCTGTGTCTCGTCTCTATACTGCAAAGCGAGAAGATCATGAGATTCGTCGCGGCAATAACATGGGAAAGATCAATGTAACACGACATCTGTTGTACTCCCGTTCCGGAGAGAGTGCAAGCGGTTTTGGCCGAACTCGTCCACGTGGCTCATCATTCGATCATGATTCCCGTATTCAAAGTGTTACCTTTTTAGAAACATTTGATGGCTCGAAAGTGGTGTTGTTTAAGATTTAAATACGTAACGATAAATGCATTACTTGTCAAAGTTAATATACTTTCGGAATGAGGTTGCTTTCGAATAGTAATCAGAAACAGGAGACATTTGCATCACATTCAATGAGACAGTAGAGTGTTGTGAAGATATTATCATTCTTAACAAAAAAGTGGTGTGATGTGGCTACGCCACATCTTCATGTAAATACATAGTAAAAAATATCGCTTCCAGGAATGCTTTGCCTGGTTTTCCCTTTTTGTGTAATCCCGTTTCCCCCAATGTTAATGCTTGTTGTGTATATGCAAATCCCTCAAACTCCAATAAAGTGTCAAGAAACCCTTTCCTTGACATGATCGAATCGTTTTTGAAAAATAATCTCGAAAACTCCTCGCTGAAATGATGCATCTAATCTAGTTGAAGAAAAATGTGTAAAAGCAAAGTCGTAAAGTTTCCAATATCCTCCTCTTTATCTGGGAAACGTGGTATCATAAGAACTTTTGTTGGTAGATCCTCCTCCATTAATATCCATTAAGTGTATGTTGTTTTCTGTAGCCATAAGAGTCTTTTCTCTTAGGCAACTGCGACGGGTCGCATTCGCATGTCATCGTATCCAGGGAGACTGCTGTTGCCCATGAAGCGGGCAGAGGGAATCTGCATAAGACGGGGCTGCAGGTGGTAGTCGATGTCGGCCTCGGCGATGGCAGCGTCGAAAGAAGGAAGCTCCTCGTCGTCAACCTCATCGTAGCTGTTCTCGACGGCAACCTGAACGGGAATGCTCAGGTTGATGTTGGTGTTCATGGGTCCGACGGAAAGGGTGAGATGGATGATGTAAGCGCGGGCGCTGATGCAAGAGTAGAAAGTAGGAAGGAAAAGCTTATTGCCGGCGGTGGGCAAGTTGAAGGGGATATCGAGGGTGGCATAGCGGCGGACGTTGTACTTGCTAGCCTTCTTGGTTCGCTGGGCATCGTCGGACTCGGAAGACTCTCCCTCGTTCCAGAAAGCGCTGTCGTAGCCGGAATCACGTCGAGAGGCGGGGGCCTCGTTCTCCCAAGCCAGCTGGGTATCGGGGCGCATGGGGACAGGAGTGGTGGTAGAGTAGGTGAGCGAAGGGCTGCTTCCATGCTTGATGCGAGAACCCAGGTTGGGGAGGTGGTTCATGGGAGTGCTGCTGAAGAATGTGGTGGAGTGAAGCTTTGCGCTGACGGAGTTGATCTTGGGAGGAGTAACGTCCTTGGAGGTGGAGCTGAACTCGAAGTTGACCTTCAAGTTGGTGCTGCTGGCGTTGAGGAAGTTTCCAGAAAGCATGATAGCACTGGGCTGAGAAGCAGTGGTCTTCAACTCGCCCTGCTTAGCTGTGAAGAGGTTCTTGCGGATAGGCTTGGTCTTGGTGAGGCAGTAGCGCTCATCGTTGGCGCTAATATCGAGAGGAGCATCCTCAGGAACCGCGGGGAGAACCTTGATCATGTGGAAAGCGTCCAAAGGAGAAGATCGTCCCTCCTCAGCGTTGTTCTTGGTGGCAACAGCTCGGATGCCGTACTCGATGTGAGCCATATCGGGGGACTGATCGTTGCGCTCCCAGAAACCCATAGTGGGGGGAAGCTGGAGGTGGTGATCCCGGATACCCTCGTGCTCAACAGCGTGGTTGCAAGCGCTGAGAGTGAGCTGGTGAGGGACCACAAAGTGGAAGGGGATGGTGTATGTGCGACCTGCCTCGAAAACATGGTTGCGAGGGAAGTCGGCAGAGTTGAGAGGCATGCGGAGCTTCATGAAAGGACGAGAAGCGTAGTTGGCACTGGAGTATTGGCTGAGGAAGTCAACACGAGTGTAACCAGTGCCTGTGAAGAAGATGTCAAAGCCATCATAGGCAACATCCTTTGGGGAGTTGATGATGACATTGCCAGTGACCTTGGAGCCAGAAGTGTAGGACTTTGAGCTCCAGTGCTGGTCAAGCTTGATGTCGATGCCAGACTTGGCAGGATCAACTCGAGGCCGGAGAGCCCGAGGTCCGTTGTCCGAGGCAGGAGTGGACATTGTAGTATCTCGAAAATACTGAAGAAAGAAGTCGTTCTTGAATAACTGATGTGATAGTTGACGATATGTGTAGAGGTGCTGGGCCGGAGTGATATATATACTATTCATATAGAAATGCGGCGACTCCAGGTCCGTTCACGGTACCGTACCGTTACTTTGGTTCGTGCTCGAGCTTGCCCTGTCTGGGTTGCTGAGTTGCGTTACAGGGGAGGGGCGTTGGAGAGACAGGGGTGTGTGTACTGTAAGTCGGTGTTGCGTTTGTGTTGGTGGGCCTCAAACTCACACTCCCAGGTCAGGTCCTCGCTCCTCGCTCCTCCTGGCCGCGTGCTCTTGTGCAATTATTGCTAGATGGTGGTCGAGACTATGAGTAGTTTGATGATGGTTTGATTTGGATAACCAGACGAAGAGGCCCTGTCTCATGCAGTTGCGGTGTGCTGTATCCGTATGATTACAATCATCGTGACGATGGGAATTGTCAATATCGCTTTCTAATGATGCTGATGATTCAGGAATACGTAAATTACTAAGTAGATGACGACCCTGCTTACATATTATACAGTACAGTGCACTTGCACTTTTGAAAGGGCTGCCTGATGGCAGGTGGCTTGAGGCTTGAGATCGGGATGGTACACCGAGCACATCATCAAGCACTATTTTAGCCATGTCCTGACGATCCAGAAGGATTGGAGAAGAGACTTTTTTTTTTCGTTCCAAATGAGTTTCTGTAGAAGGCTCAACAGGATAGGTCAGATCAGTTGGAGAAGGCATCAAACAAGCATGGGCATCAGATTTGGAGTAAGTCGGGATGGGAGCACGGATTGTGTTGATCACCAGACATAATGAAACTTCACATAACTGCTAACAGTATAACAATTTTAAGCATTTCCAACTGCACTCTTTGCTGCCGTGCTTCCCTTTCCAGCCCCGACATCTGCTCGGAAGTCAGACTCGTCTCAGACTCGACTTACACACCCAGAGCGTGTTTGAAGAGTCAGATCAAACATGAGACCCTCTTCTCTTACCTCAGGAATACCCACGATGACTACCAGAAGCTCCGTAGCGGTACCGGTACTCCTTGCCTTCACTTACAAGAAAAAAAAATCAATAAGTGGGGGTACTGTAAAGAAAAAAATAGACGCTTCTTTCTTTGACCGGGGTTCGACAAATCGTGCATGACTAGCGTCGATAGTGGGTTCGGTCTCCAGTGCCGAAAGATCCCAAATGCAAAATGCAAAATGCAAGTGCTGTGAAGGAAAGGAAGAGTCAAAGGGGTCCCCTTCCTGTTCCACAGCTGTGACTGGTAAGGCGTTCCTGCTCATTCCCGTAGGTTAGCGTAGCCCGGCCTTCGGGTGTCAGAAGAATTGACCCCAGCGAGCATAAGAGACGAAATAAGTTGATCATTTTATTCAAGCTTGAGCTGATAATTAGGCTACTTTATTTCTGTAGCCTAAGCCTTAGAGGACAATTCTTCTGACATCCATCTGCCTGGCCTGCCTGCCATGGCTGGCTGGACAAGAGCTATTGGCAAGAGTCTAGCACAAGCACCTAATAGCCCCTGCCCTTGTTTGCTCTTACCTTCTGACCTTTCTCCAACAGATCCCGTTCCTGCCTGTGCGTTGGAGATGGTCACACACACCTGCCTGCTAATAATAAAACATCCGATGGTCGGCAGGAGCCAGGAGAGGAGGCTCGTGGAAGCCTTCTCTTTCATTAATGGAGGATTAACTTTGGGTTAAGGTAGGACGCTACATCTCTTGGCGCGGAATTGAGAGCATTTCTCTGTGTAAGTGAAATTGAAATTACCACATCAAAACATCAATTTCAATTAAACTACAAACCCTTTATCTCTACTGTCTGCCTTTCTGGTTCACCATGGGTGATGGACATCGCGAAATCGGCATTCAACGGAAATGCAATATTTGTTTCGGTGACTGTTTCGGGTGCCGCCGCTTCATCAAGGTCACGGTCACGATCATGGTTCGAGAAGGTTTTGTTCGGAGTTCAAGTCCGGCATATCGGATTTACATGTACATCTGCAAGGAACAGAAGAACCAGTCCTTTGTGTGTTGTGGCTTCCAGCCATTCTTCTTTCTTGGTTTCCATGCATGCACATGTTGCATGGTTCTAGCATTTTCTGGTGGCAGCCGGCCCGGCTTCCAAGAGCCTCACCAGAAGATCCTCCCACCATCACAAACCATGGCCCGGAGATAATATTCCTTAATCATGTCACCAAAATGGAAACACAAAATGAATATCGAGATCGGGGCACGTCACTGACGATGTTCAATACTCGATTGCCTTGGCTTGACACTCTCATCATGACGGAAATGTCATCGAGAACTGGGGAAGCAGAACCAACTGGAGTTTGATGACTTCATGATTCCCCACGTTTTGCCATCCTCGCCTGTGCGTGCAATGCAGACTGTGCAATTGAGGCGTCGCTCATATTTCACATGCACTGAGGGTCAAGTCAAACTTGGGGAACCTCTACGGGTTGGGGTAAATATCCCCAGATTGACCGACAACAGAACAATATCATCTCTTACCAAGAAATCTGACACATCCTATCGCTCGTCTCCGAGGAAAACAGCCTATGCTATCATCTCATCGGTGACAATGCCGTAGACCGGCGGTCAGAACTGAAGCGCTTCAGCTCGAAGGGGACCTTTTTGCCGCTTCTCCGTCCCCATCTCTATTGCATTGCTTTGCTTTGCTTAACTAGGGTAAGGGGAAGCATCGTGAGAATCAACGTGGCCTGCCGCGTAGTGTAGTGTTCTAGACACACAAGTCACACAACAGGGGGAAGTCGCATATTTCGAATTCCCATTACATGATGGCTCCTACAGCAATTCCTCATTTGATCTGGCCTGCTGATTGAGCAAGCTGGGGGTACCCTCGCGTTTAACCGTTTCCAAGTCTGTGCCCGGTTCGAGAACCTGGAGTCGGCCCAAGCTAGCTCGGCTTTGTTCGTGATCCCTAGCCCTTTCGACCTGACTCTGTCTGTCTTTGTCGAAGTGCAGATGGGATAGCTTCGCTTCTCCTCAGAGCTAAAGCTAAAGCTATCCCTGTCAGGACGAGACGCGCAGGACAAGCTTTGGAGATGGAGACCAGCCGGTGTTGCGTTGCCTGGTCTGACCTGGGGATAGGACACGATAGTTTAGTTTGGACCCCAGGTCAGAACAGACCCGAGTCAACACGGGTGACAAGCCCCAGTGAACACGACCACGACCACGACGGGATATGGATGCGTGGCAGCGCCTCGTCTCGCATCGTGGGCTTCGTTTCCGTCTTCCTCATTCTTTCTAGGTGTTATTGTTATTCAACTCTGTTACACCCCCCAGTCTCGACCCTCCCTCCCTTTGTCGCTTCACACTTTTTTCCCCCTCGCCGGTCTGACTTTTTTTCTTCCCTTCTCCAACTGCCCCTCCCACCATTCTGTTGGCCATCGCGATTTAAACGATGCCGCAGCCAATGACCGATTTCCGACGGCCATGCCGTTGACAAGAGTGGTCGAAGCGCCTACAATGTGCTCTGTTTTAGGAACAGTGGCTGGATGGAGAAAGAAAATTCGGTTCGCCATGGCTGTCAGGGACCCCGATATCGTCAGTTAGACAATCCAAAAAGGAAAACTTACAGCTAGACGTGCATCTTCTTTCCGGGGGAACATTCCACTGTCCCACAATCTTCTTTTATGCAATCGCCGCAAATCAAGGAAACTGTCACAGTAATTATGGGTTCTCGGCAGCCGTTGTGGTGCAGCATGCAGTAGGTAGATCATGGACCAAGAGAATAAGAAAAACGAGATCTTGTCAACTGCGGAGAGTCGAGTCGAGTCAACAACACGGGGAAAGTAAGCTCAGGTCCGGTGGATTTTTGGTCAAGTTGTCCGAAGTGGAAACACTTATGAGTCTGATGCATCTGGGAACACCCGCTACGCTACTGTACCGTAATAAGCCCGCTATTAATTATGCAGCCTGAGTAAGGTAAGGTGCAGTAAGGTTTTGAGGCTACAGAAACTGGAGATGCTGCTAGCCTCCGAGGAAGATCTCCTCACCGTCTCACGATGCGGATGTGCATCGTGTCAGTTGGTTGGCTAACGGCCCTTGCATGCCTTCTTCTTTCGGACAGGCACATTCTCGCTGCTGATCGGGACTTGTTGGTCGACCAAAACACCAAGAGTCAAAACTCACGATAGTTGAAACACCACGACACGTTTACCCATGGCTATACAGCATTGGAGAAACCCAGCTTACTGCCTCTTGACTGCAGTTTTCTCCTCTCTTTTGATTCACTTTTTCTCAGCCGTCTATGTCGGTAAAGCAAAAGACGACTCGACTCACGCCTCTCCCCCCTTTCCCCCTTCTGTTCATTCCCCTCCAGCCTCTTCATCTCATTGTGTCCATTTCTCATTATCCACCTTGAGGTCTACCGGAGCCGTATCCAATATTGACATTTTGTCCTTTCACGATAGTTACAGTTCTAGGTCTGAACGGAGAAAGGCACTTTGGGCTTCGTTAGGCTCAGCAGACCTGAAAATCCTGCTGTGGCGACCCACAAGAATCCACCTATACTTGGTTGAATCAGGAAGCCAAGAGCCACCACCGGCAGCAGAGGTCTCCATCTCGGTATGAGTGGCTTCACCTTGGAGTATGAACCCCACGTTTCTCTGGATCACGACATTTCATTTTTGCCATTCTCAGCTCACCAAGAGCAACTGCTGTGGCCATTCAACGCAAGCCCAGACATGGACGGTTTCTTTGCCTGGGTCGTGGTACCGAAGAAGCACCTTGAACTCCACTGCCACTACTCCGTACGGTGTTATTACACGGCAGATTGTTTATTTGGCTTCTCCATTCATGACCCTATTCATTATCGTCTCAGCTCCTTCGCTTCTTGTGTTGTCAGGAGAATCAATAGTGTTGGTGTTGGTGTTGGTGTTGATATGAAGATATCCACAGTCGGATACCGGAATGAAGCTCACTAAAGGACATCCATGCCTTGCTGTGCGCACTAAGGAAAACCTTCATCTTAGCAGATGGTGATGCGTTGCGTCGCGTCGCTCACCCGCGATCCACACAGAATCTGTAAGGATTGTATGGTCTGGGTAGAGCCGCCGTGCATGAAAGCCTGGGCTTCGGCTTATGCCTGAGGTACAGCAACTGTTTTAGGGGTCCAAGGACCACCCTGGGGCTCGAGCTCTGGTCTGCCATTGGTTGCTGGGACATGGCTTGCTGCCGAGCAAAAAGGCTTATTTCGTTGATCTGATAAGAGTGATAAGGATAAGCGGTGATTGCTGAATAATAAAGTGAGGCTCAAATGATTTACAGTGTTCATGTACTGTTAGCGATGTTGATCAGTGGTTCTGTTTTTGTTCTGATCAGTGAGGAGATTGTTAGCTTGTGGGGTTGATCATCATTGAATTGGGTCCAGTGACATGATGCTATCGCCATCTGAGAGTTGGAGATTATATCTCCGTCGAAAGAATGAGAAGCCACTCGATAGATCAAACTGATCGAAAGACATGTGAAGAAACAATATTTCGTCATTCTTATGATATACAACCAGTTTCTATTAGATTTTGTTACCGTCTTGGAATAATACTGGGCTATACTGGGCTATCGTGGTTTGGGAACTACCCTGAACCTCCACGGTGAACCCAGCAACCTCTATCCAAAGCACTCATAACTTCGATTATAGCATTCACTTTACCATGGCAGTAACCGATTGTGAATCCTGCGGAAACTAACTTCCATCCCCTACCGAAAAAAAATGATGACGTGTATTTAATGTCGGGTTAAGTCGATCGCCATCATCTTGGTCATGAATAAGCACACACCACTCCACCTGCCACCAGGTTGACTCACCAGAGCAAAGAGCCTCTTGGTATCAGTGCACTTTGCACGAGACCAACTAATGCAAGGAACGCGAGACAGGCCCGGAGGTTTTGCTCTCGGGCCATGTGAAAGCCTTGGATATATCCTTGTGTTACTATGTTTATGACGAGTAGCCTGTTGAGACGATGTCATCTTGATATCAAAGCTTTGGTAAGTTTCTTGAAATCTGAAGATGATGTCGTTTGGTTAAGAAGATTTGAATTTTGCTTTCTGTAGGCAAGGCATTGATAATCAAGCTTGCGGCCCAAGGTACCAAGCAAAACATCGCGACCCGATCTTGGCGTCTAACATGATCTTCATATTTGGACCATCTTTGCACCAATTCAACTATATTTGATATCACTGGCTCCCCGTGCTATAAAGATATCTATCGAAAACGACGGCCGAACAAAATAATGATATCTTGAATGCTCGCATCTACTACATCCGCTTCATCTATTTCCACAAACACTTTCACAGATTTACAGTCAAGATCAAATATTTCTCTAATCGTGCCAAGAAATGTACAGCATGATGCCAGCGCCTACAGCAACGGCTGAGAACTGGATGATCATGTTCTTGAACTCCTTGGCCTTGTTGGGACCAGTCTCAAGAAGCTCAGGGATGACGGCGACGGTTCCGACGTAGAGGAATGTACCGGCTGTGAAGGGAAGAAGCATGTCTCCCCATGACTGTTATTGATTAGTATCTTGTCGTTGATGGGGGTATTTGTTGGACTTACGAGACTGGTTCCCCAGATACCGTCGTGGCGGCCCATGGGAACATCCTTGTCAGGGCTACCAAACTCCTGGATAGCAATACCGATCAACGTTCCGAGAAGAGCTCCCAGGGCAGTGATGAACTGAGAACCCATAGCAGCTCGCTTGGAGAAGCCAGACTGAATGAGGAGAGCAAAGTCGCCAACCTCGTGGGGGATCTCGTGGAAGAAGACAGCGACGGTGGTGGTAGCTCCGATGGTAGGAGAGGCGTAGAAACTGGCAGACATGGCCAATCCATCGGTAATATTGTGAGTAAAGTCGGCGCTGCTTTTGTTAGCAAGTTTCTGGTAAAGCAAATTTGACAACATACATGAGGTTAAGGTAGCCACCAAGCTTAACGCTGGGGTTGATCTCCTTCTCGGGCTTTTCAACAGCATTGGCGACAACAGCGCCCTTGTCTTCAGCACCCTTCTTGCGAGACTTGACAGTGCTGTCCGCAGCATCAACGCCAGAAGAAATAGCCTTATCTTCGCCATGAGAGTGGGCATGCGCATCACCATGTCCATGGGAGTGATCATGACCAGCCCCACCTGTAGCAATTCGAAGACCCTTATCCATTGCGACAAAGGTCATGAAGCCAACCAAGATGCCCAATCCAAGAATAAGGTTACGGTTAGGCTCGACAAGCACGAACTTGACAGCCTCATCATGGTCTTCACCAACGAAAATCTCGGGAAGCAGGTGGAACAGAGTATCACCGAGGAGACCTCCCACAGCAAAAGCAACCATAACAGACAGAGAAGCGGGATCGATGTTGGTCGGGCAAAGAGCGAGGAGGAAGTTGGGAGGACCGGAGATGTAGAGGGTCGCGAGGAGGGCGTTGACGGCGGGAGAACCGGGGAAGAGAATAGCGAAGGCACGCGCTGTTAAAGATTCAGGAGCGGCAGCATGATGGGCGTGCTTGGAAGCATTGAGTTGTTCGACAATAGAGCATTTCTGTAGGAATTGATGTCAGCACAAAGGGTCTTTTCGAGGGAGAGCTTTCAGGCATACCTGGAGTTGAGTATCAAGCTCTTCAAGACTCATGTTATCGGTGTTAACACCAGTAACTGCCTCGACATGCTCATGATCATGGCCCGCGTAGGCAAGACCAACGAGCAGAGCAAGACAAACTGCCGAGCAAACGACGCTCCTGCGAGTGAGCGCCATGATAGCTTATATGTGTCCTTTTTTCGAGAATCTCAGCTTTCCAAAAAGGGCGACAAGCACAACCCGAAGAAACAAGGCCGTGAAAGGGAAAGAAGAGCCTTGTACAGAAGTGAAGGAATAACGATAGTCAAGATTCGCAGCTCAACTCAACGTTTGATGTTGAAAGTTGAAGCTGGAAAACGGGGATGAATTTCCTAGAATAGTTCAATTTCCATTACCACGGACCGGAGGTAGATCGAGGCTAGGCCAGGGGGAGGGGCCGAGATGGAATTTGACCAATAGAGAGTCGCTGCCCCGGGCCTGAAGGCTGAAGTGTCCACTTGATGCAGGGGAGCTCGAGAGCTATTGACTCCCCTAGAGTCCCTGTCAAATTGGACCTGATTTTGACACTTTATATATAAATTGATTGTGAGCTACAATTAATTATGTGAGCGACAAACAAGATGTAGTATCATGAGAGTTTCATGATACAAGCAGCTCAATTGCGTTTATTGGAAATGCCACGTTGAACAGTTGATATGTCAGAGTCTAAGCACGGCGGCTGAGCTCCGAAATCCCTTTCTAGACAAGGTCACGCGACTAACATCGCCCTTCAACTTCTCCCTTCACCAATCCACATTCACAGATCAGCTATGTCGATCTATACAATTCAACTCAGCCGTCTTCTTAATCATAATCCTTTCACATCGTTGTGTCACTAGCTGAGTCGATAAAGTGATTGAAATGTTCGTGTTCATATATTCAAATGCATCTTATATACGTCCAAACCCATTATGCTCATTACTTTTCATAATCTAATCCAAAACCGTTAATCATATCCAATTATCTACTGACTTATAGCAGAGCAGCAGCAAGGATAACAGCAACAGCAGCAGCACCCATAGAGTTCAAGTGCTCAGCCCCGCTGCCAGGAACAGGAGTAGTAGCAGACCCAGCACCAGCACCAGTACCAGAGCTGGAAGATGGGGTAGCAGCAACCAAAGTGGTGGAGGTTCCACTGGCGACAGGGACAACAGGAACAGTTCCGTTCTTCTCGTTGACCGCGAAAGATGGGCTGACGAAGTAGTGCTCAACGTTACCAGACTTGTCGTCGCTGCGGCTGACCAGAGTACCCTTCTTGCTCTCGGAACTGCAGCTGAGATCATAGAGGGGCTTCTCGGTGAGCTCAGAGCCAATGACGCCGAAGCTGGGGTTGGGGGTCTGGGGAGCAGCGTCTTGGAGAGTGTACCACCAGACGTTGATGTCGCCGAACATGGGGCAGGCAACTTCCTCGTAGTAGGTTCGGGCGTTCTTGAGAGAGGGAACAGCCTGGCCGACAGTTTTTCCGCTCACAGGCCAGCCGGTCTCAGTAACCCAGATCTCCTTGCCCTTGGCAACGGCCTTGACCTCGTTCCAGGCATCCTTGAAGAGCTGTGCGCCGTTGGAGATGGGGTTGCTCTTGGTATCCTCGAAGTAAGGGTAGGCGTCCATACCGAGCCAGTCACAGGCCTCGATGACAGCGTTGTTGGATGAGTTGGCGTAGGCAGTCCATGTATCAACGTGACCGATGGGGACAGACTCGAGGCAAGTACCCTTGATGGCATCACGGGTCTGCTTGATGTAGTCAACGAGGACGTCAGGGTTGGTACCAGGGTTCTCGTTGTTCTCGAGACCAGTTGGAGAAATGCGGTAAAGATCCTCACTTCCGACGGAAATACCAGCGACAAGACCATCGAGCTGGTCACAGTACTGATCGGCAGTGTTCTTCAAAGCAGCAATCTCGTTGGCGAAGCCATCACCAGAAGCCCACAGACCGAAGAGCATGCTGGTCTTGGTCTTGATAGCGGCAGGAATGGCAGAAATGGGCTGGTTAGGTGTACCGCCCTGGATCATAGTGTACAGACGAGCACTGGTGAAGCCACCGTCGGTACCATCAAGACCAGCAGCAGTCTTGAACTCGTTCTCGAAATCGGACTGGCCCTTGACACTGCCGTCTGTAAAGGTAGCTCCGTAGTTGAAACCCTGGAAGGCAGCGCTGGCAGTACCAGCGGCCGCAGCCATGGTAAGAAGGCTGTTGATAGAAGGCATTATGAAGGATATAAGGTAATGTGATATTAAAGTGTAGGAAGATGCAATATGCCTTTTAACTTGGGACTCTCAACGAATGTATGTCCTGATGGGAAACAAGAGGAATAAATAGCACAAGAAGGAAAAGGGAAGGAAGAGGATGAGACTTAAACAACAGAAAGTAGAAGAAACAATGTCTTATTATTAAGAATCTGATCCAGCAGATGGGATGGAGGCGACGAGACAACGAATACTGCTTACACATGCAGGTACACGCACGCACTCAACCGAACCAATTCGAAGCCCCGATCGAGACAAGACTTTTACAACAGAAGTACTTACATGATACAAAGCCTCATAGCGGTTTTGTCGTATGAACTAGTGGCGATATAAGTCTATCCAAAGTCCCTATAGTCATCGTTGAGGCAGTTTCCATCCCCATCGAACTAATTTAGAAGAAGTCATAGATTTAAGTAAAAAGTCTAACACGCCACTTGCGGGATAAAAGAAAAGGAAAGATTCTTTCGGGCCCAATATGGAGGTGTCACTTCCACTGCACTGTGTTTGACTACTCAAATCATATGGTAGAAGCCAGTGTTGATAAAGACGTTGTGTAAGTGTTTTGCCTTCGTGGATTTCCGATCCACGCTACAAAAAGTCAATTCAGCCAAGTCTACGAATTTTGCCGATGGACCCGTTGAATCGTTCTCGCCGTTTTTACTGAAAAAAGAGAAAGGATAATAACATGGCTGACAATCTCTGTGTATGAGGGAATTGAGGATTGTAGAAATTGAGTCAAGTCAACATGTAATGAAAGCTTGTCTGCACAGCAACTCCGGATATGCTGTCTTTGCCTGCAAGTCAGTCTCAAAATAGCAACACTAATCATCCAATGCTTGTTACCCCGGGAAAGAAGAGCTCCGGGGATGATCTCCGCGCCTTGGCGATTGGGGCCAAGAAGAGTGAGAGCTTGACAGGCGGCTCTTGAAGTATGGCGGTAATGGATTGCAGGAATCACCCATTCATGCGTCTGGACATTGCGCATGTTTCTATGTTATTTCCTGGTAAGCATGACAGGTCGTTAAAAACAGACAAACAACAGCAAGCCTCATGCTTCCACGTTCATGGCAGGGTTGTCTGGACCGCAAGCTTAAGCTGATGGCCTGATGAGGCGTCAAGACGTTTCCCCGAGTGGAACATGATGCGAGTCAGTGACTTTCACCTCAAGCTGAATAAAGAAGCTGCCTGTCAGCTACTGTAGCTTATACTTTCAGCTCTTCTGAAGCTGTGCGACATTTTCTATCTCTGTATTCGTCACACGTGGGTCGCTGTCAACGTGGACCATCGATAGTTGACGACGCCTTTCTGAATACGACATTCCGAGTAACTCAATCGTAGCATCAGCTTTGGTGTCCCTGAATGTTGATTCAAGTTGTTCGAACGAAATTGAATCTATCATGAGGGTGTTCACTGTCTTTGTCCTCTCAGATCGGTCAATCCAGGGCAGTTCGAGAGACTGCAATCAATGTTGTCTTAGTCTCCCTGACTCTGTGCTCTGGTAGCACAGGGACTCGAGTTGAGTTTGATGGTACAAAGTTCGAGATTACTGTGTGAATAATGAGCTGTTCATTAATTCGCCAGATGAAAAAGAACTGTAGGTATCATGTCGTATCCAATGCAACCATACCAGCGTAGCTGTTCTCAAGTTCTTTTATGTATGCATCACCCACAGCCCGATCCCAACTCAACGAGGGGTACTGCAACGAGAAAAACACATACTGTTGCATATGGCAGTGCAATCGTTCTTTGATGATGTGTACCGGGAGAAGATACTCCCTCTGTTTGAGTCTGCCAGCTTCCCATTGCCTTGGGTAAGTTTGAGAGCTTGGCCACCCAGTTTGGGATAGAGAAACAAACAAGCAAAGGAACATCCTAAATATCAGCAAAAATTACAAAACATTAGGATATCATGCTGCTCCTTATAATATTTCCAGCTCATTCTGCCACGCCGTTATAGTGTCCCGCATCGTTACTCAACGTCAGCCATTACCATCACCACAAAAAAAAATCGTGTAAATCGACAAAAAGAAACATCCGGAAGGCGTTGGGATTGCTCCCGCCAGGGCTTGAACCTGAGACCTTCGCATCACTGAATATTCAGATTGAAGTATTAGTACGACGCTCTAACCAACTGAGCTACGGAAGCCAACCGGATGATTGAGCGGATGACCCGCTTCTGGTTGTTGAGGGTGGTCGTTAGTGAGGATCAACAAGGTTAGTCGGCAATCGAGAGGCGAGGCGAGAGACTGGGCAAGCTTGGACGAGTTGTAGCATAAACTGGGGGTTGGTGAAGATGTCAAGTTGAGGCTTACGAGAAGAGACGACACGATCTAGATTGACTACAGCGGTATTGGCTCCTTCCCCTTACACTTTATGCATGCGTTTGAGACGTGAGGTAGGAACCAACGGGTTAACGGCGCATAGGGAAAGAGCAAGCAAGCCTCAGCCGCGTGGATGAAGAAGCCACTAACTTTACAGAGGTACCTACCTACCTAATTAATGAAGATGTTCAGGGTCCATCTCTAAAAATTGAATCATCCCCATCAAAGATCCACTACTACCAAGTCAAATACGAGAGGCCTCTCTTTCCCGAATAATATTTGACAAAGATAGAAACTGATCCAGGATTAAGTCACGTTTCACACGCGTTCACTGTCGATTTGTCGAGTGGCTGACGTTGAATCATGGCTCCTTGACCCCTGTACAACCGGTTTAGAAACAAAAAGCAACAAGGCCAGTGACGCAAGCGCTTTGTCTCTGATTGGTTGTCGTCTTTGTTTAAGGATATGATTTGCACGGCGATGCGCTCATCCAAAGAGAACAAGAGACCAAGAGACCCTTAGAAGCTTGGTCTTGCTTGGCTTTTCTGATTCTTTGGCGGTCGTCTTAAAAAGCATTGATTCTATGCTGTCTTTGTCGTTGCATCATTGGTGTCCAGGGTTTGACTGCTAAAACTTGAGGCTAGTATATATTCCCAGCCATCCATTACCCGCCAACGTCAGCCTTTTACTAGACGTTTACTTATTTACTTTTACTTAACTTGGCTCTATCTCTACTTACTCAAATATTTGGAGAGTAATCTTTACCTCTACCACCAAAAATACCCTTCTTGTGCATACCACGGTTCGCCAAGTCAACAGTCACCATGTTATCGAGGTTCTTCGTTCTCTTCCCCATGGTGTTATCCATGGTGGCCTTCATTCTCTCCATGCTATGTCTCTTTGCCGGCCATAAAGAAGGGTTCATGGAGGAGTACTCTGTCGCTCGAGTAAGTCTTACAAAACTTGCAACATCCAATTCTTATACTGACAACCTCAGCTCAACACTTCCATGATCGGTCATAATGTCTTGGACGTCGACGACAGTGCTTCTACCAGCGAGAACGAAGATGATAGCATCTTTGACAAGATTACTGGCAAAGTGGACGACGTCAAGAACGACATCAAGGGAAAGATTAACGATATTACCGGTGATATCGCTGATGAGTTGGCCGACACCATTGGAATCTCTGAGTGGTACTCTATCCATATCATGGCTACATGCGATGGACAGTACAAGCCCAATGCTACGAGCCCTGGTGCTGGTTTCAACGTAACCAACTGTACCAACTCTGCACCCGAGAGTAAGTACAACAATGCCAAAGAAGTCATCACGATCACTAACACTCATCAGAACGCTTCAACCTCACCGACATGCTCGACAAGCAACTTGAAGTCGGTCCCATTGGACTGAACCTTGCAGACATCAACTGGCCCGATGACATCCAAGATTCCATCGACCTCCTCAACAAAGCCCTTCTCGCGACATTCGTCCTGTACGTCATCGCAGTTGGCTTTTCTGGTCTCGCCATGCTTACCGCCCTGGCCGCCTTCTTTCTCTTCTCCCGTCGTGGCGTCAACGCTGTCAACCTCATCATCGCCAGCTTGGCAGCTCTCGTCCTTCTCATCGCCAGCATCCTTGTTACCGTGGCTGGAAAGAAGGGTGTAAGCAAACTCAACGATGTCGGTGACGATGTTGGCATTTCTGCTTCCCGTGGAACCAAGTTCCTTGGTTTGACTTGGGCTGCTACTGCACTCATGCTTGCTGCGGCCATTTACTGGTTTGTCCATCTTTGCCTGATGCGACGTGAGAGGAAGCGCGAGTGGAAGCCCCGCAAGGGCAGCTACTAAATAAAACAAGATCTAAAAATCAAAGGAGAAGTGCATAGGAAACTTTACGATGGATTATTTTGATGATTGGTTTTTTATAACCAGAACGGGGGTGCGGATATGATACCAAAGTGCTTTTACTTTCCTTTTGCAAGCCTCTAAGAATGATATCCTTCCTTTTTGTTATTTCATTTCTTCTATACAAACTAAGAGAATGGCATGCGGATACATATACACCTAGATACTTATTATAGTAATAGAATAGCTGGTCTATCTAATGTTTTACCCCAGTACATTAATCCATGTTGTTTGCAGTGTGGTGATGACTGGTATCTGAATGCGGCAACGATAGATAATTGAGAGGACAGGCACGTTTTATATATATATTATAAGTAATAGAAGACAAGTGCTTGGTACCGCCAATACTAACAGGTCTTAAGGTCACTGACGATGAACGAGGTCCCTGCTTCCTCGTGACAAGTCTCCGCACTCTGCACCGTTACGGATGGTAAGAATCTACAGCTTGGCTTAGATAGAACCAGGTCATTTTCTATGAAAGGTATTGCCATTTGATTTCAATATTTGCGCCGAATATCTCAAGAGACTTAGTACAATTACCCATCTTGCCATCATGGCACCCTCATGGTCATCTCAACCAGACCTGAGAGAGTGTGTATGCTGTAGCATACTGAGCTTGTCCTGTGGAATATGTCATACATGGTGACACGACGTATCTCGTGTAATAGTTGGCTAGTTCTTCGGTCTCTGAGGTCCCAAACAAACCCCATTCATCTGCTTCGCCCAATGTCCCTTTCCCAGTCACTTAACCGCCGAGACAAAGAAATCAAGCTATTCTTCTTACTTATAAGTGACTTCCCTCTAACCAGTCCGAGCAGCAAGGAAAATAAACGATCCTTATCTTGAGCATGGTATCTGCCCCATGATCTGAGCCATACTGTCGTTACTAGAAAGATCGTCGTGTACATTGGTTTCTTCAGTACTCAGCCTCAAGCATCTGATGTATACATCATATGGGTTGGAGAGGAGTTATCACAGAAAAGTAAAGACACCGACATTCTCTCGACTTGATTATCTGTCAACTACACGGATACAGAATACAAAAGCTTGAGAACTTAATGACCAACCGATCGATGATCAGTCAACAGTAGCCTCTCGAGCCCGAGGACAACAGGTGCTATGTTTACAATACCTGATGAACTCAACTTTCACGTTATTACGGATACAAATGATAACCAACTAAAGCCAGTAACCGAATGTTTCTCAGCGTTTCATTCACTCTAACATCGCCTGATAATTCGTCACAAACAAGGAACCCCATGCGATGAATAATTTCCGCAAGCCCACCAGCTAGTCTAGCTCCCGACGATCAGATATTCTTCAACAACTGCCGGCCGGTTCTCATGCGCCTCATTAAACTTGCATGGCATAATCTTAATAAATCACTTGATAGACGATGAAACATGTTTTAATCTCAGGGAGTTTGTTCGATTTGGTCAATTAACCTATCAGCTTACAAGCATCTACATCTTCCGTCTGAAGTGGACAACTGCAAGTCGATGATCGACTTTGTCCCACTTCACTGTCCATCGATGTTTGTTGCGCCATCGCAAGATATCTATTATTTCATGCAATTCAACCACTCTCGCGCCAAAGCTCGATCCCAGGCTACCAGTCTGTGTGTCTGGACACCCGAATGCAAAAGCAAATCCCAGTTGCTCAAATCAAACCCTTTTCCCCGTCTCCCATAAACCCCGGCTAATAGAAAGCAAAATGGTCTCCTCATCACATAGACAAGGAAAGCAATGCCGGCTTCCCAAAGAACGACAGTGCCTCTTGGGCACGGAAAAGGGGTCCGGTCAAGAGAGACTAGCTCCCTCACTAATAAGTTGTAAATCAAACGCGTCGAATCTCCCAGTACTCCAACTGGCGGTCGACGCGGGGTATCAAAAGTTGCGGTATATGTAGTCGAGAAAAGAAATCCTAGTAAGAACTTGGAATGCGCCGTGGTCATCAAGGTCGTGTAATACATCAAGAGCGAGTCGCACGCCCAAACCAGTCGTGTAAGCTGTTCTAAACATTTTCGTTATCAAAAGAAGAGTCTCCGTCGCTTTTTGTGTTTTTCAGTGTTTTTCTTGGTTTCTCGAGTTTTTGTTGACAATTGGTAAGGAAATAGATAGTGAGTGACTCAGGTCAGTTGAGACAGTAAGGAAATAAAAGGAGTGTAAGGTGTCGCATTGACGGTGTTTGTGTTGCGGGAGACTCTTCTTCTGAAACGATCAAATTTTAGTTCAACTTTCACATGCTTGGTAGGTGGTGGCTTCGTCGCCTTTCTGAGCTCACTCTGGCATCAACAGATCCCCGAGGAGTGATATCGAGTAGTTTGGCGCTGCCAGCGCTAAAGTTGCGTACGTGACCTCTGCCCAGGTTGACGCTTCTAGCGTCCTGGACATTGGCAAGCTCTTGCGATGGAGAAACAGGCGATGTCGGGCTCTCTTCCTCCTCAGATTCGATCTCAAGAAGACCCTCATGGCTCTTCATTGTCCATCTGTGCACAACTTGGGGTTGGGAGCCAACTGCACCCCACTTCATCTCCCCATCGTCTTGTACGATCTCATCTTCATCGCTACTAGGGCGGCCCTCACCGGAACGTCGCCCGTTCATATCGGGATTCGAGGATCTTCCAGGGGTGAGTTTAGTCATGTACTCATCCTCGACGATCTCGAGATCTTCATCTGTACTGTTTGTTGGGGAATGATTCTCGTTGCGCTCGCGCTCATTAGCACGTCGAATGCTATCACGTATCGCAGCTCGTCGGCCGCTAACGTTTCCTGAAAGCCATGATCCCTCAGAATCGATAGAAGCAAGAGACATAGACATGCCGGCCTCAGGAGATGGCGAGACATGAACTCGTTCCATCGTTGACGGAGTAAGACGACTAGCCTCGATAGATCGGTGGCCGGAAGTGGGTGTGTCATAACGTACACCCATGGATCGTAGTTGTTCCATCTCTCGAATCTTTTGTTCGGTGAGAACGGGCATCGGGGGTTCAGCTTCAGGAGATTGCACACGAGAAGCTGGTGGCGATAGAGGCATCTCAGGTAAATCTTCTCGGAAACGAGATCGCGTCCTCTTGGGAGCGGTACTGCTAGGCTTGCGAGATAGGTAATTACCACCAGAAGAGTTGGGTGAATCGTCACCCTCGAGCTTAGCGAGGGCGTAGGCTTGCGCCTGTGCTCTTGATTGGGCTGCCGCTGCCTGCATTTCCTCTCGGGAAGTATTGGAGAAGGACGATGGTCCTGCGTGTCGTTGTCGCTTGCTGCCAATTCGTAAGAATGCCTTGATAGAGGCAAAGCCATTCTTGGTGCTATCGGAGTCGTAGGAACCTTGTCTTGGGACATGAACGTCCTCCTCGTCGATTGTCTCGGGAGGGGGAGAGACCATTCGGTCTCGGTCAGATCGAATGGTTGACCTAGATCGAGATTTGGCCGATCGTAGAAGATCAGAAAATCTCGTGCCAGGCGAAACACTTCCCGCCTCCTCCGATGGGGGCCGTATAGATGCGGTGTCCTTTGTGACAGTTTCCTCCATAGTTGGCTGTTCAGAAGCGGCTGTATTAGTACGATGGAAAGATTCCTCCGCCTTCTTGGGAGACTCGGGCTCTTTCTCATCTTCGGTAATATCCATGGGCTCTGGATCCTCGGGCTTGGTGTCTACCACGACAGCAGAGGCAGGCTCAATTCCAAGGCCGACTAGTTCACGGCCCAGGACACCTCGTTCCAGATTCTCTGGTGGGGGTGTACCTGCCTTTCTAGCTTGGATGTCATCTGCCTGCTGCTTCTCTGCTCGTCGTGTAATCCGTCGTTCCATCCTTTGTCTCTCCTTTTGCTTCTTGAGCTCCCGTCGTTTGTTGTCCAATTCCATGAGTTCCCTGAGATCACGAGCGTCGAGATCGTCAGCAAGAGAATCGATACGCCTGTGTGATCTGAAGGTCTCCTCCGGAATTGACTCTTGTTCCATAAGCTTTTTCCTTAATGATCCTTGTCTGTGAGGCGTCGGCAAATGAGGGGCAGTCCATCGCGCGTTCGGTGTATAGCGAAGCGTCGGTCGTGGTGCAAGAGCAGCGAGAGCAGACACTCTGTATGAGCCCAATTCAGAATCGGAGGAGAGACTGGAATGAATTGAACCAGGTACGGGGAGAGAGACGTCGGAGTTACGGCCAGCCCGTTGCTTGCCAAACCCTCCGGTTTTTGATCGCTTGGAATCTCTCTTCATGGGCCTGCCGGAGTTCCATTGCTCAGTAGCCGGCCGGACAGGCTCAAAGTTACTCATTGCCTTAATTTCAGCCTCCCTGTTACGATCATCCTTCCTCCTCTTACTTCTCTGTTTTCTTGTTGCTTGATGTGTAGGGCGCAGTGTGGGTGTGCGGTCCCAACCTCCAGTACTCTCTTCCAGGTTACCAGTGGTTATCGCTCGACCGGTTCGTTCACGGACTGGCGAGCTACCGCGGTCTCGATCGTTATGAATGTCATCCTGGCGTCCTGGAGAGAAGCTGTATGTTCGATTGGATCGTTGAAGCTTGGGAGCTTTGGGAGGTTCTGTGCGTCTCTTTTTTGAGCCAATCTTGGCTCCTTCGTTGTGAGGCAGCGGCGTGCTCTCTGCATCTGAGAAAGCAGCGCCGCTGCGGGAGCGCTTGCGGCTACTCCGGCGCCTGAATGGCCAAATGGCCATGGTTCCAATATTGTCACCAGAAACTGAAGCTAGTTGAGGGAAGCCACTATCGTCGCCGATGTACAGTCGAAATCGTCTAAATTATGTCGGATATGCGAGGGCATCGTGGAGTCGTCAAAACGGTCGAACCAAGCTGATCATCAGGAGAAGCGAGTGTTGAGCTGCAGGGTCGTGTCGAACGGCTCGCTGCGCTGGTGGTCTCGATGGGTGGGATCGAAGACCTCGTCTTTGTCGATGACAAAGAAAGACAAAAGTAAGTACAGCTGCTGCGGTGGCAGTCGAAATAAGTGGTGATTGTGTATGTAGAAGAATGCAAGTACGCGAGTTAAGTCGTGGTTGTCGAAGATGTTTGGTGCGTGTGGCAAAAAGGTGTGCGTGTGTGGTGATCAAGTGCTCGAGGAAGCAAGCAGACTCAGAGCAGAGCAAAGCAGAGAGCAGATGCTAGGTAATTAAGGTAAAGTGCAAGGAACAGGCAAAGCAGGTGCTGGGCTTGGACTGGGACTGGGACCTGACTCTGGGTGTGCGGATTCCGGGGGCGGGACAAGGACAATTTTTCAGGGCACCGGGGGCCGGCAGGGAAGGGAAGGAATGAACCAGGGCCAACGAAATGCTGCAGGTTGAGTGGAAAAGAAAAAAGTCGACGTCAGGTTTTGGGCGGAAGCAGAGACACGACGACAGAGACAGAGACAGCCCAGAGAGAAACTCAGACATACAGACACAGCGGGCACAGGCTAGACAGGGCCCCCAGGGAAGGGCGGGAGTGGCCCACAGTCACTGAACTGCACTCGCTAGGCTTTTCTTTTGGGCTTGGTCCTGGTCCCTTCGCAAGCTAAAGCAAGCGGCAGAGGGCCAAGGTACGTACTCCTTTTTTTAGACAGGGACTTTTCCCAGGTTTAGCGCATCAGAGGATCAAATGGAAAGCCTCCCCCCGGTTACCCCCTTGTCAATGTGGCAATGGAAGGGTCCCGTCACTCTGGAGCCCTTTCAACGGGGCCTTTTAAGAGAAGAGTGGGAACTTGGACTAGGAACTCTCGAAACCGTCTCACGAGGTAGAGGTACAAGGGTATCCGTCAAGTTACAGTCAGCCCCTACCTGTGTCCTGTACCTATACTCACTGGCGGGGACTTCCAGGTCTTCTTTCGAGGGGCATTGCGCATTGCATTGCACCTGAACGTTTAGACTGATGAGGTGGCGCCCAACCCACTGGAAGTTGAACCGGGCGTTGGAAAGACTAAGAGAGGGCTTATGAGGGGCCGCTGGGTTGACGCCGCTGGCGCTGGGTTGGTTACCTCTTAGGTTCTCTACGTCTAAGCTAGCTGGGTGCTTGGAGTTTTACGCGACGGGGCAGCCTCGTAATGGAACGAACAGGCAGGTCAGCACCGCAATATTGAGTGGAACTTGTATGGATTAAAGCACGGATAGAACAAGCGAGCGAGCGAGCGATGGATACTGTAGAGTATCTTCTGCAGACACAGATCAGACATGCATAAAAGCAATAAACCGCATCCTACCGAAGTCCAGCCCTCGTGATGCACCTGATCTGATGGAAGGCCCGGATGCAATGAATGAATCGTATCAAAAGTCAAATATTGAACAGCAGATGGTGGTCATCGACTTGACAAGAGGGGGAACACCAAGCTGACTCGTCTACATCTAAGCTCCCGATTCAGTGAGGGGCATAAGAAGGGAAGCTCTGGTATTGGTTAACGTTACTTATTGTTAGGAGATTTGTTTGTGTTTCTGATGTACATTACAGTAGAGGCAGACTAAAAAGCCATCACCAGAGTGAAATACCAATGGTATGAAGATGATGTAAAAGGCGGGGAGAGAAATAACACGATTCATGACAGCACAGGAGGGAGCCAACCATGTCTGATTCTTGACTACCTGCTGAAGACTCTTGAATATTATCTCTACATTGATCTACTCGAATAATTAAACTGCAAGTCAAACCAATACTTTGTCCATGCTTCAGTATACGACTATGCTTAAGAACAGACAACCTCTGATCAATATCCCCTGTCGGTATTTGTGTCCTGAGCAGAGGCTGGGCAGTCTTGGCAGCCCAGCTAACAGTTCAGCAGCCGCTAGATTAACTCTGTAGGGAGTAGCGGATGCTATTTTGGCCTTTCTTTGAACGAATTGCATGAAACAAACAGACGGTAAACTCGGCGTCTTTCTGTTGTCACGAGATGGAATTGGGTATGGATATTCGTATTGATACTGTCTTGTAAGAAGCTGAGATCGATACTCTTGAAGCTCGAGTAACAAAAAGGAAAAAGAAATGGGTCACCCCTCGGATCTTCCCTCCGCAAGGGAAACCCATCCCATCCCATCGATGATCGTCGCCCTCCTCGCATCGCATTGGCTTTTGCATTGGCATTAGAGAGCTCGGAGCTCTCAGCTCTCATACGTCTCATCTTATTTACCTGACCTCTCACCTCTCACCAATGCATCAGGTCGAGTTCGTGCCCTTCTTGTTAAGTGCCCACTCCCTTTAGATTGGCCAATTTTACATTTATATCAGAAGGGGGTGTGAAGGCCATGAGAGAACCCACGAGTTGATGCCTCCAACTTCCAGCCCACGGGGACACTTTCATCGGTGGTAAACTCCCAATTCGTGTGCGATCTTCTACAACCGTTCGCCACGATTGTAAGCCACAATTTCCATTCCACTTAGAGTTTATGGTAAGTCTTGATTTGACAGGATCGAGGTAGACGCCTTTTCCGTCTTATGACGGGTAAATCATTTCGAAATAAAAGTAAAAGATACAAGCACATGTCAGGAACTTTTTAGAAACTTCAATAATCTAATCAAATCAAACAATATTGATCTCATGAGCCTACAATTCATCCTAGTATTTGAGGTGCTATTGCAGGCATTGCATTGGCTTGGACGCTAAACTGTCACAGACTCAAGGGGAATTTGATCGTTTCGCCCTGTCCGAAGATCTCGTTCGTCGCCATGCGATCGAGCTTGTCACGCCAAAAAGGCCCCCCGCCCCTTGTTATTGCAGTTTGCAGTTGCTAGCAGTCAATAGTTAGCTGTTCAGCTTTGTCTCACCACTGCTGAGTCCAGTTCAGTTCTCAACTTCTCCCTCTTCTCACCATCACTCATTCGACAAAGCAATTCTGCGTACAACAGCTGCCAATTGAATACCCGTGCATGCAGCACGTTGCAGAGTTTCCATCAGACTGACGAATGTATGTACCTTGTACTGTGTCCAGGTACTGGTACCTTGTCCTGTACCTCGCATACCTATCCGTACCTTAGGTCACTGCAAAGAAAGACCCACGCAGCTTCGCCGTCCCTGCGTGTTTCTTCGTATTCCAGGTTCTCTTCTCTTCACAAGTACGAAGTCACTTCGCTTTCTCGAATCCCGACATTTGGGTTTTCAACGCCTGTCTGGGCATTCGTATCCGCTACCCGATGCTGCTTAGAAGATGATGACTGTTGAGACTAATCGTTGAGTCTTAGTTCCAGCCACTTTGTCTCTTGTCTTGGCTCTTCTTGGAACCTGACGATCATCACATCTCGCGTATATCACCGAGATTTACGTAGTAGACAGAGAGAGCACTCATACCTCTCTCCCCGAAACTCCAATCGTAGAGCAGAACAACAGATCCAGTCAGCCACCGTAAACAACCCCTGCAATAATGTGAGGACTTCCTCTTTAAGTTCAGTCCTCAAGACAACCCTGGGCTTTTCCATCAGGAACATGGCGGCATGGGTAGGGTTATTTCCGAATCAAGTTTTCGTCCACTCTCCAACGTCGATCCAACCTTAACATGGACATGGAGCGTCATCATCGTACAGAGTTCAGGTTCAGGTTCAAATCTTTAAGCTCTTGGATTGATCACCAGTAACAATCCAGGTTTCTTCAACGGTCAATTGAGGAAAACTGCTTAGACTTTGCCAGTGACGGTATGTTCAGAACGTCCCACAATCGACTTGTCATACATCATCGTGCCATGGCCCTGTATGTAAGGAGTTTGCTCTGTCCAGTGACTCGCTGCATGTATGTATCACGGAATGTACCTTGCTCTAACATTAGCACTTCTGCACTCTGCACTTTGAACGCGCGACCGTTGAAGCGGGAAGCTTGGACCCGGAGCTGGACCTGGAACGTTTGCGAATCAGGGACCAGACGGATCGATTTTGGCTTTGTCCGGCTTTCGGGTGGCCAACGACTCTGCAGTCATGCCCTGAATCGCGTGGCATGGAGCGACAGACAGACACACTCACACTTGCAAAGTTGAGATGAGATCACAGGGAGATCCCAGTTACCATCATCTCGTTCCTCTTTGTGACATCTCATCAACAATATCGACAATTGTGAGTCAATCAATCAATCAATCATGCTGCAAGGACATGAGATCCTTGTTCATCAGTAAAACGGCGAATCTTAGCGCTCCCGGCGGAAACAAAGTGGCGGCCCATCCCTCCATAACTCTCTCTAGCAGATGCTGTAACTCGGGGGTTCCTTGTCCACCAAGTCCATGGCCATGCATGTCAAGCCATGCAGGAGAAGGGACAGGCTTCAAGGCTTCGTCTCTGCTTATTCCTCAATAATCAGGTACAGTCCTGCATGAGAGATGTTTGTGTTCCACTACAAGCTGCACGAGATGTCGCTTCCCGTTGCCTACTTCAATACGTCTCTGGTCAATTCCCGAACTCAAGACAATGATATTGAGTCAATGGGTCAAAAAAGATGTCTTGATTCATCATCCTTCCGATAGAACCCAAAATTCGTTAGGGTTCACTCCTTTGTCACAGTCAATTGGGGCAATGACAGCGAACGTTTCGGTGCCCCTGAGGCTGCGTTTCATTGGGGAGCATCGGTTCTGGAGCCTGAGCCCTACAGCCAATCGATCTTGTATGTTTCAATAGTGCTCCGAGTTAGCTCAGTATTTTGCTTTTTCTCGGTCGAAACCTCAGATCTGTCCCCCTTGCCAGGTACAAGGCACAGGCACAGACACAGGCACAATCACGGCGTACAGTTGGTCGTTTCAGGGGTACGCAACCGCTTGCTCGCTCGCTTTGCATCAAAGAAAAGTAATGAAACGGTCCGTGCTGGTTCGGATGTGATGTGTTGGTGTTCCGCCACGTGGATGAGATACCGTGAAAGAAAGCCGTGAATCTGATAGGAACGTGGGACGAAGAAACTGCTGACAAACAGTTTTTCGTTGAAAGAGATTTCGACAAAGCAACCAAGTCTAAGGTAGGTAGCCTAACAGAAGTGATTGAACAGCTCAGGTTGCAGGAAATGAATGTCACGGCAACTTGCTTCTCTGTGCTTGCTCCCACTTGCATTATGTACTTCAGCCACAGTCAATGTCAATGAGTGAGTGATTATTTCACAGGCTAGAAAATGCACAATACGAGTATTGACGGCTGCAAGTGAGACGACAAGGTGCAGGACATTCGAGCATTGCCAACCGATTCTCGCCAATAATAGGATGGCGGTCATCTTGACTACCTAGTACCTATCTTTAGCAATGCATACACTAAAGGCTTATACTTGATATTCGCTGGATTAGTCCGTGACTCAAGGCGAAAAGGAAGATTTCAAGAATGCAAGGATGAATTGCCGTGACTCGGGCCATTGCTTCGAGTATAGTGATTGATGTAGAACCCTTGATATCCAGGTTCCGAAGCTTGGCTGTCTTGGGTATACGGCGCGAGAAGAGAAGTTGTTGGTGGTTCACGTAAAGTTGAAGAAAGATGAAGAAATGACCGATAAAAGACATTTCGCAAGCTTCAATGTTGTCAAATCAAGCCACTTGTTTAAGATGTGCATTTAAACTTATCTAATTGAAACACCACTGACACAGCTTCTAGAACCATTGGGCTTCAACGAGGTCCTCATGAGTCGTCACGTGACAGATCTCTCGATGTTTCCACGGCAACACGGACTTGGTGTTTATCACTTTCAATGATCGCAACAGACTAGCCCAAAGCGCAACCAAAAAAAGACGATAACCGAATTTGTTACAATCGACAGAAATCAGCAATCATGGCATACAATCCGCGCATGAGCATTATTCCAACCTCGCAGCAGAACTCGCGAACGAGAAAGAAGGAGGAAGAGGCAGATGCTTTTATGCGCCTCCCTGACCGCGAAATCGTAGGCTGTATTACCGACATCGGCATTACATTCACCGTTGCAGATCTTCAGAAACCAAATGCGGCTCATGTACAGCAAATCTTTGAATGGTTCGCCGAGCTTCTTCTCAATGCCACCCGAGAAACTGTCGAGCCGGCCATGCGTGCGGCTGCGGAGGACATCGCAGGAGAGTACGCAGATGTTATTCCTTCTGATACTCGCAACCTGATGGGCTTTTATGTGTCGCTGCGCAGGCTATTATTCGAGTGCGGCATCACCGATTTTAGCTTTAACGACTTGTACAAACCGACATACGACCGTCTTGTTAAGATTTTCAGTTATCTGATTAACTTTGTTCGATTCCGCGAATCCCAAACGGCTGTTATCGACCAATACTACAACAAGGCCGAGTCGACAAAGACTCGCATCGAGTCACTTTATTCCGAAAACCAGGAGAATGAGGGACGATTGGAGGATATGAAGCACAACCGCAAGGCAATGGAGGCTCAAGTCCGGGAAAAGACAATGAGGAACGAAGAGCTCAAGAAGAGACTTCTAGAACTTCGAAGGAACCAAGAAAGGGTCGCGCAGCGACTTGAAGAGGCCAAGCAAAAGAAGGGCGAGCTCACTGCAGCATTGGAACAAAAGACCCATGAAAAGGTTACTTTGAAACAAGAAAGCACAAAGCTGCGACCTTATGTGCTCCAGAGCGCCTCTGACCTGCAGGAGAACTTGGCCGAGCTGCGCGAGATCCTCAACAATGATAAGTCACACATCGACGCTTTGGACCGAAGAGCCCGAGCCCTCCAAACATCAACAGACTCTTTCTCGGTTGTCTCAACAGATGTTGCATCATGCATCAAGATTCTCGACGAGATTGCTTCGGAACTCGCTAAAGAGGAGGAGGAACTGGCACGGAATGCAAAGCAGCGTGATGCCCTTTCAGAGCGCGGTAACAATGCGCGTGAAGTCGAGCGTACCGAGACTATGTTGAAACGCCAACTGTCAAAATGGATGGAACGCACAGAAAAGCTGCGTGAGCAGAGCAATCATAAGGCGCATGAGGCAAAGGAGAAGATGCATGAACTCCGGGCGATTCACAAGCAACTTACCGAGGAGCACACGGAGAAGGGCAAGGAGATGGAGGTTCGACGTGTCAGAATTGAACAAACTGAGAAAAAGGTCAGCATTCTCCAAATATTCTTATGCAGATTGCAATTACTAACATATGGATAGATGCTTGACTTGAAAGAGAACATTGAGAATGAAGTCCATAGTGCGCACGAAGAGTACCGCAAGATGGAGGCACATATCAAGCTATACATCGCCGAGATGGAGCAGGCGATTGCTTAGTTCTGCTCGTTTGGTGTTTGCTTTGTTTTCTCATGCTTTACGTTATGATTGGCGGCGATTCTTGGAAATAGATACCACGGGATGGCGTTGGGGGTGTAATGATGTGTTTATGTTAACGCTGATGTTTACGTCTACTCTGAGCATGACAATGATGTAATGCTTTCGACGGTCGGCATAATGCCTAATGATATAGTACATATTGTAATATCAAGAACTACATGTACCTCCATGATAAGGTTTCTGGGGTATATCATTCTTCCCGAACTTCGAATTCGAACCACCGATTCAATACCTGTTTGATGCTAACAGTCCGTCCATTCCATGAACCATCATCCTTTCTCGCTGTGCCGTTTAATAAGGGTACCATCTCTCCTCCGAGCTGTTCCAAGTCTTCATGTCCCCCTATGCCTTTTGGTTCGATTACTGCAGCTCTGAACTCATTCCGTAGCGCAGCGTCGACCAAAAATGCTGCTGAGTTCCCGATACCTTGCGCAGACCATTCGCTCGCGTCTCGATGAAGAGCCAAAAGACCATAAACCAGAAGAAAGGGTGGACGAGAGCCAGGAGTGTGGTTTGGCGGAGCTTGTATTGAGGAGTCTTTGGGCGTGAAGACAGAAAGATAGGCACGTAGATGTGTAACTGTTGGCGCAAATAGGATGCGTATGTGGCGGGATATGGCTATTTGGAAGAGTGACGACTTTAGAAGAACATGTGAAGGCTCTGTTGGGTTGTCTTGGTCTTCTTGTTGCTCATCCTGAAGAGCGAGGTGGTGTGTGATGTCCTCGATAAGTGACTCTTGAAACTCTGTTTTCGAGGAACCAATTATTACTGTTGTAGGATATCTGTGGTAAGATATGATATATGATAGAAGCTCTGAAGGTGTTGCTGGCGCGAGGACAATAGGTCGAGATGTCATTGTTTGGATGTGAAGTTGTACAGGGTAGCTTCTTCGGTGAGGATATATTAAAGTTGTTGTAGAGTTGGTCAGCATAGTTATAGGTCATAAAATCTTCTTTGTTGAAGAAAACTATAAAACCCAATTCGCATTATCTGCAATGCTTAGATTTGCATTTGCTCGAGTCTAAATGCCAGTATGAAGATGCTAGGTAAGGATGTATCGTAAAGATCCCCCACCAATTATCACGCCCCTCCACCTCCATAGTCCGCGGCAACCATCGCCTATAGAACCTCATCTCAAACACCTACACCCAACCTCCAAAAGATCTCCCTCCTCTCCCAACGCGACGTAAGCTCAGAGCTCACTCGCACAATGGAGTCAATAGCACGCATCTCGGGTCTTATGGAGACTGGTATGCTTCTCCGCTGACCGCTCTGTTCAGTACTCAACTAACTGATTCCCTAGCGAGGGAGCTCACCCTCGATGCAGCCCAGGCGACGCGCGGTGCGCGCACGAGCTCCAGACCTCTGGATAGGAACCAGATGAAGAAGTTATTGGATAGTCGCAACGAGCGCGAGGTTCTTGATGGGTTACGGCGTGTTCTTGCGGTACGTTGTGCTGTCCTCTCTGGAGATGGAGCTTGGCACTAATAGTGATGCGGCAGATGATGTACCGAAACCACAAGACCTTACCCTTCTTCTCTTCCGTCGTCAAGAATGTTGCATCCCCGAATATCGAGATCAAGAAGCTTGTCTATATTTACCTCATACACCATGCCGAACAGGAACCCGACCTCGCCCTACTCTCCATCAATACTATCCAGAAATCCCTATCCGACCAAAACCCTCAAGTCCGAGCTCTCGCCCTCAAGACCATGTCCGGAATCCGGGTCCCCGTCATTAGCCAGATCGTAGCCCTTGCTATCAAGAAGGGTGTTGCCGACATGAGCCCCCACGTGCGGAAAGCGGCTGCCCTTGCGATCCCGAAGTGCCATCGATTAGACCCGAGTCAAGCGCCGCTTTTAATCGAAGTCCTGACTACTCTGTTGGGAGATAAGCAGTATTATGTCGCTGGAGCCGCCGTGTCCGCTTTCCTGGAGATTTGCCCTGACCAGATAGATCTTATACATAAGCATTATCGCGCTCTGATAAAGCAGGTGGTGGATATGGACGAATGGAGTCAACTAGCTACACTGCGACTCATGACGTATTATGCACGAAAGTGCTTCCCACGAAGGTCTCAGTCACCGGACGAAGCTACCGAAACCTCACAGGATCAGAAGGTGGACGACTTCTATGGCGAATCGCGACAAGCTAGTCGAGGCCAAGGATCTTCAGTATTGGACCCAGATCTCGCATTGCTACTGAACGGAATTAGACCTCTTCTACAAAGCCGAAACGCCGGTGTCGTTGTCGCCGTTACTAGATGCTATGTCGACATTGGTACACCGGAATATGTGAAGCAGGCCATTGGCCCCTTGATCGCCTTACTTCGTGGAGCCCAGGATATACAGCAGACTGCTCTCTTCAATATTGTTTCTGTGTGTCTTATTCGACCTGCAGACTTTGTTAAATATGCCAGTCACTTTCTTGTGCGGGCTACTGACCCAGCTCCCATATGGGAGTTGAAACTGGAGATCTTGACCATCATTTTCCCCCATAGTCCATCGCACGTCAAGAGTCTCATTCTGAAGGAGCTGGAACACTTCTCGCAGGGAACAAACAAAGCGTTGGTTCGTGAGGCGGTGCGTGCTATTGGCCGCTGCGCCCAGACCGACACTACTACAGCTCCTCGATGCTTGAAGTTACTCTTGGGTCAGATCACAAGTCTGGATGGTACCCTTGCTGCCGAATCGCTGACAGTAATTCGTCACCTGATACAACAGGATGTTCAGGGACATGTTGGAACGGTTGTTCGGCTGGCGAAGAACCTCGACTCGGCGACCGATCCCCAGGCGCGCGCCACGATTATTTGGCTGGTGGGTGAGTTTTCAGGCTTGAACGGCGAAGACAACATTGCGCCAGATGTTCTTCGAATTCTGCTTAAAGAATTCACAAACGAATCGCCAGTCGCCAAGCAACAGATTTTGCTCTTGGCGGCCAAGGTATACCTTCACCACCTCAACCGCAAGAGCGAAGCGGAAAAGGAGCAGGATGCAGAGGAGGATCCACCCATTGACACTGACACTCATCCTATTGAGAGACTATGGGAGTATGTTCTTCTCCTTGTCAGATATGACACATCGTTCGACCTTCGTGACCGTGCGAGAATGTATCGATCTCTGCTTGCGGTACCTCAGCTAGCGACATTGATGCTGCTCGCTGAGAAGCCTGCTCCACAGGCGCCAAGCCCATCTGAATCTCGAAAGGGATTCTTGTTAGGTTCTTCCACGTTGGTACTCGCGGGTGGTGGTGCTGTTCACGGGCTCAGGGGCTACGAGCCCTTGCCAGACTGGGTCGAAGAGGGACAACAGCCTGATCGTCGACTTCGAGAGCCCGAAGGTGGCCAGAGTTCTAAGTACGATGTCGAAAGAAGCACACTACCTGCTAGTGACAGACTGGATGAGGCTGCGAAATCAAGTATGCCTACCAAGGCCAATGGTACAGGTCTAGGCACAGGCGAAGCGGTTGGTGCCAAGACTTTGGATGACTGGCTTGGAGAAGAACAAGAAAGCGAGGAATCATCGGAGGAGACGGAAGAAGAATCCTCAGAAGAGGAGGACGATGAGGAAGGCGAAGAAGATGATGATGACGACGAGGAAGAGGAAACGGACAGTGATGACGACGGAGAGGCCGATAGATTGGTCAAGTCCTAATATCGATAGAAAGCATTATAAACAACGTTCAAACAGGTCTCGTCTGAGCCTCCAACATTTGATCTAATATCATTCCTAACAAACACCCTGCGCCCTGATCCAAACAAGCCTATACCAAAAACGCTGTATCAATTTCCCTTCCCAATCTGTTTCGACCAAAAGACTTTTAAGCATTCTGGGAATTTTCGACCTTTCTCTCCTCACCAGACGACGACTCCATGGGCGTTCCAGCCTCAGAAGTCTTCTTGTTTCGGACATTGGCCATCTGGAGGAAGAAGATACCAGGGTGGAAAGCAGTCAAACAGAAGCCCGTCACGAAGATCAGAGTACTGTCGAGTACGAGGAAGCTAGGCTCATCCTGCATAATGTGGTTGCCCCAACCGCCGGCCATTTCTGCGATTCTGTTTCTCGCGTCAGCTGATGTAAGAGATGTGCAAACCCCAGAACACGGGAGTTAAGATAGGGGAAGGAACGTACCGGTAGATGCAACGTGTGAGAATGGAAAAGTAAGCGACCATGACAGCACCGCCAAATAGCCTGAACTTCTTATTCTGCCAGACACGCAGCGACTCAGGGTTGACCTCGGAGCTGTGGATGTACTTCCTCACGCGGATCCAATAATCCGTTCCCATGATACCGAAGGCGGCCAGGACAACAACTTGGAGGACGACACCAGCGATAATGGTTCTGTTACCGGTTTGAGCCTTCTCGGGCTCATCGCGCTTGGCTGCTGCTGCGACACCACCTCCGATAGCCTGGACGACAAGACATGATAGATCGGCGGGGAGGAAGACGCGAGGGTACCAGCGAGGGTGGAATCGTGAGAGAGCTGGGTTGAGAGCGATGGCGACGTGCTTGAGGGTGAGGTATATGGCGGCGCAGATGAAGGTCGGGGCGATGATGATACAGCAGATTTGAGTCTGGAAAGCTGATGAATCCCAAGGGTTAGGGTTCATTTGAAGACGGCCAACATATCCTAAGTAGTATTAGCATCAGATATACTTTTCTCAAGTTGTTGATAACCATACCAATGGTCTCAAGTAGCAAACCTGCTCCCAACGTTGCAGCATACGTCCATGTTCTCTTCCAAATACCGATTCCCACAGCAGAAACGAACAAGATCGCAAAGCAGATGATGAAGAAGATACTGGAGCCTTTGTTAGGAACGTAGCCCAGAACCGTTGCTTCAGCAGGGCAGAGAGCAGAGAGATCAGTGCATTCGTCGAAACTCGCCCTACGACGGGCGAATAGTTCGTTCATGATGGACACACTCGATAGTAAAATATTGAAGAAGACAAAAAAAGCAAACAAGAAGAGAAAACTAATGTAAATAATAGCCGGGGGTTCGTTCGCCTCTTTGTTCTGTATGACGACTAATGACCTCGTTTCAGAACAACGACCCGCTTCATGAAATGACTACCTGACATGGACCGGCCGCTAAATTGGTCTCCGAGCATCAGGGGAATAAGAGAGAAGAGGGAGAAGAGTCTACAGGTACATATATGAGAGAGATGGAGGAGGGCCATCCATCATTGCTGACTCGAATGTAACCCCGAGAGCTCCGGCCTTTTTACGTACTAACCAAACATGAACGGGACTTTCGGGTATAGATTCCTAGATCGAATTACAATTACATTAAAAACCTTCACAGAAAGACGTAAAAGAACTGGAACTGGCTGATTTGTAGGGTTAAATAGAAGCTAGTGCCAAGAAAAGAATCCGCCAAGGTTCGGTTGGCATAATTCCCGGTAGATCGCTTATCTGGTCAAACGCTCGCAAAATGCTTATTTTTGCTCGCATTTCTCGCATTATCTCGCGTTCGCTCGTTTTCTCTTTCATTGGCGGCCGACCCCTGGTTTTGATACAAGAGTACTGTACTGTATCTCGGGTCGAAGATGCTCCGTTTGACATGACATGTTTGTTGTACAGGACAGGACTTCGGTGTTTTATAGATTGCCGATCCCATATTATTTGTTTGTGTTGCAGTGCAGGAGAGATTTCACATGCCAGGTTAAACTCAATCTCTTCTTTCCACAAGGTCTTGTGTGCTGTTACATCGTAAAGCTTATTATAACCCAAATCCTATCTATGCAGTATTCTTTCTAACTCTACTCCTCCTTACCGCCCAAATACCTATACACAACCGAAAAGTCCCTTCCTTGACACTTCTCCTCCTTCTCAGCAGCTTCATACACCGCAAACGCCGTCTTGGCCAACTCCATTCTTGCGTTCGCCTCTTCCGCCGCTACCATAGCCAATCTGAGATCCTTCTTCATGAGCGAGATGCCGAAACCGCCTCTGTAGTCTCTGTTGGCTGGCGCTGTTTCGACGACTCCTGCTACGGGGTTGTTTACTTCGCTGGGCCAGCAGCGTCCCGTGCTGACGTTGATGACGCCTGCTAGTTTCTTAGGATCCAGCCCCCATTGCATGCCCAAGTTCATAGCTTCTGCGGTAGCGATATTGTTGAGAGCTAGAAGGTAGTTGTTGGCCAGCTTTGCGGATAGACCGGCACCTTGGTCACCGCAGTGCAAGACTTTCTTTCCCATGAGCAGCAGAACCGGTTCGAGACGAGGAATGAGAGATGGTGAAGCGCCAAGCATAAAGGTGAGCGTTCCTGCAGTAGCACCCACGACACCTCCAGACATAGGCGCATCAACAAATGTACCCTGTCCAGCCGAAGACACCGTCTTCGCAACCTGGCGGGATGTAGATGGGTCAATGGTTGAGCAGTCGATGAAGACTCGGTCCTTTTTGGGAAGAGATGATGTGATGATGGATTCGTATACGCCCTTGACGTGCTGAGGTTCCGGAAGAACAGTGATAACCGTATCCTGGGAGTGTTAACAAGCCTGAACACAATTGATAAGTGAGGAACTTACAGCATCTTTAGAAGCATCGAATGCACTGGCTGATAGCTCAACCTGAGCACCATTGGAAGCTGCCTTCATCTCTGTTTCTAGACCCTTCATAGACTCGGGGTTGATATCAAAGATGGACACTTTATCTGAGGGTTTCAACTTTGACTGAAGGTTCTTTGCCATTTGGTAACCCTAGTACACACATTAGTTATCTGATATTCCTTCTTTTTGTAAGTGGAAATCATCACATACCATCTGTCCCAGACCGATGAATCCATAGTTATCCAACCGTCGTGCCGAGTTGGCAAAGCCTCGACGAAGCACCAAGCTTCCAAGTCGTGTTGAAGGTCTCATATCGATAAAGTATAACAGATTACAGTCCAATACTTGACTCAATGTAAAAAGGGAATAAAACCAATCAATTATATAAGAAACAAGATATGAGATCTTGGGGACGTGTGGGGGAATATGAACATGGACGGTTACCCGAATGACAGCCGGCCATTGCCGTACTTAGCCAGAGCTGCCGAGTAAAACACTCTCCAAGACAAGACGTCCATGATTTGTGAGTTGGAGATTGTCTTGTCCCGACGCGGAGAGAGAATGCGGGGGAGGCGCTGTGGGGAGTTTCTAGGGGCGAGCAGCACTAAAATCTGGGGGAGGAGGCGCTCCATTCAGTTTGCTTTTTTAGGGGTCACTACCTATATGACAGGCGTCAGGGTATTATAAGAATTGGTCACTAAGAGCATAAGAGATGAAATAATATAGTCACTTTATGCTAGCTTAGACTGGCTGTTAGGCTACTTTATTCTGGTGATAGCTTAAGCCTTTAAAAGGACGGACAATTCTTCTGTTACCCACCTGACCAGGCTATTCAACACTCTCATTACACAATGGGTAACTCATTAGAGTAATGAATGCTTTAAGTTTGTTTGTATTTTTGTTCGAGTCTTTATACATAGGTAATCTGATGGAAGTTGACGCAGTCCATACCTCTCAGAGGTCCTTTTGTATGAACTTCCTTGGTCATGTCCACCGACTCCCATTATCCCTTAACGCCTTCAACAAAACAGAACTAAGACCAACACCTGCGAAGACAGCTGTTAGGCCCAGGGGATATGTGCAATGGATGGAAGGTTTGGCAGTAGAGTTAATAAAGAGGTAAAAAGTGATGTGGTATAATAAGTAGTGATAAGTGACTAAGATGCAATGTCCTGCACATCTTACCCAGACAATAGGAGGGAGTATATTTGGGGTAGTGATCTGTTAAGACAGAGCGACAGTAAACGAAGGGCAACCTGGAAAACAACAATAGCCACGCCGATCCAACCAGTCCATCCCATATTGCAGCCATAGTCGTTTCGGGGATTATTCAATTCAAACCCCTACTGATGGCCTAATTTTCCAGACATGAAAATTCGTAACTTAGAGGAAGTTCATGAGCCAAGGAACAAAGTAACTATTGACATGTTAGCGGTCATCTCAATACTCTCGAAACAAATTCAACTTACCCAACTGCGACAGTGGCACCTAGTCCGAGCAGGGCTCGGTTCTTGACCTTTGCTTTCCTTAATTGAACTTCGGTCTTGGCCTTCTTTGATCTGGGCTGTTCCTCTGGGGTCGTCTCGCCCTCCTCGTCACCCACAGAGATATCCACGGCCTTACGCTTGCTCTTCTTAGCTGAAGCAGGGGCTTCATCAACGTTCGTTTCCTCTTCATCCTCAGCCTCGTTCACCTTGCTCTTTTGGACCATCTCCTTAGCGGCCTCCATCATCTGAGCAATCTCTTCCGCGCTTGGGGGTTCGCCAGCAGTGGGCAGAGGAAGTTCAACCTCAGTAATTGTGCGCTTGGTCTCAATACCAGCCTCGTCTGTGATAGTATCCTCTTCAATATGAACCTTGACCTTGGGATCCTCTTCTCTGGGCTCCAGGACAATAGCAGGCTCGAACTCGGTGGATTGCAGCACAATGTCTTCCCGCTTGGTCTCCTCGATCTTGTCCTCAACCTCCGCGGTGCCGTTGACGAGTTCAGCATTCTCAGTGATAGTTTCGACAGTTTCGGCCTTGGCGCGGGTGCTTCGCTTTCGGGGCGATGGAGGGGCGCGCCTCGTGCTCGTGCTGCTCTTAGTGGGGCTAGCAGAACGACGCGAGCGTCGAAGAGCAGCCGAGGGAGTAGGAGGTGCCAACACAGGCTGCGACACCTTGAGGGCGTCGAATTTGGGAGGAGCCGAAATGATCTTGCCGGGCGAGCCAGCAGGAGTTGCGGTGCTGATCGGGGCAGGATCTAGTAGCGCGCGGATCCAAGGAGCAATTCTGTACTCCTCGGCGAGGATAAGAGCCTGCTCCGGGGGAATCCAGACGTTGCCAGCAGTCTCCTCGTGACTCGTAGTCGGAAGAGACTTGATGTACTTTCGTTCGGCCTCCTCGTCCGAAGCTTCCGCATAGGGGAAGCTGGCCTTGAACATGCCGGTCGCTGAGATGTAACCATCGTAGCTGCGTCGCATGAGGAAGTAGCTGCTAGGGCTGGACTTGAAGATTCCTGAGACAATACCCTTGGGCAGGGGGGCGCGAAGATGCGCGTAGTCAAAGATACCAAGAGCAGCCTGTTCGGAGTCAATACCAGCGGCCATCTTAGGTGTCAGCTTAGTCTGTCCAAGACGACGACGCGAAACCATATCAGAATCTGGGAAAGTGTGAGCATCCAAACTCGCGACCGGAAAAAGTTGGATTATTTACAGTCGGGTACATCCTCTGTAAGAAGAGGGTTGTGCTTGACGGGCAGAGTGCGCTCGCGTTGAGAGGCCATTTTGAATGATGTCTATTATCGTGGGGGGGCGCGGCGCGACCAATGACCTCAGAAGAGCTAGATCGAAGCGTAATCGCGACAGACGAAGAAATGTGCCTTCGTCTTTAATGCGCAAACAGGGTAAAGTATAATTAATGGCCTGTGTAAAGATGAAAAGTCGTGTCAGTGAATTGATCGCGATGCAACGTGTAAGATTTCTGGCGCGGGCTCGAGATCGGGGGGTACGGGCTGTAACAGTTTCGACGTTCAACGTACCGTGTCAAGGCAGGGCTTATCTCATTCAATAGAACAAGTAAACCTCGAAGACGTCAATGGCGCTTCGGGTAATAAAATTGATAAGAGAAAAGGCAACTTTAACGGTGCCTTGTGCCGTAAATAGAGGGAGAGAAGAAGAACACGGATGAAGTAGATGAAGGTGAAAAAGATGGGATCGCGACAGATTCGACGAGGGCAGACAGAGCGAGAGCTGAGACGGGAAGAGCACTCCAGTCGAGTCGCGCAAATTACATCGATAGTGTCAAAGGACTTTAGGGTGGCCCTGTTAGCGGATTCACCCCGAAAAGGTTAGTGTTAAGAGCAATAGTGGAGAGCTGCGAGATAGATTGGTACTGTTGTTAGTGAGGTAGAAGCACTATTTCAGAGGTACTCCCCTAATGCAGTGATCAAATTGCCCCCATTTTGCCGGGCACCTGACATAGCGCCATTACCCGATGAGTTCCCCCTGCCAGCATCCATGGATCCATCAGCATAAACAGTACGTATCTCCTATTTTACGCGTTCCTCTTTTTCTCGCGACACATTTTTGTTGAGATTTTTTTAATTAGATTGTCAAGTTGATTAGATTAACGAGTCGACAGTTCCAACAGCTATGATCTTCAGGGCCTAGTCTGTCATCCCCTATCCTTTCTTCGCTTCCCTGATCCATGGCCATGGACTGCTGCTACAGTACTAGCCAGGCCAGGAGTATGTACACGTGGGGAACCTCCCGCTGTTCTAGAGTCAGCCAGCAACTCTTCTGCCGCCCCTAGCAACCAGCCCGACAGGTCCAGCGCCAACCAACGTCGATCTTTCACTTCAGGGTGAACCACACCCCCAACAATAGAAGCAAGCCCAGTCATCTAGGGTCCCTGGATCCCCCTGTACAACACAGTACCGAGACCTCGCTGTGCACGAACAGGCGACTGCGTGTTCACAGAACGCGGGGAAAATGCATGGGTTTGGGTTATCGCTGCCATCAGTATCAAGGTTATCTGCGGCTGCGGCGCCCTAGGACGATTAGAAGCGAACCGCAAAAAGCAGCAAAGACATGACATGGATTGTGCTTGACAGATGTGGTCTGAGCAGAGACAATAGTCGCAAAGCTTACAGTTTCACTCTTTGTTTATCTGCAATGGGTTGGTTAATCACGAACCTAACTGCGACATTGGCAAATGGCAGCGCGCCATGTCACTATCACGCGTTAAGTAGTGCTGCAACCACTATGTCTATGGATCTATTGTCAGCGTACCTATTTAGCTAGTCGCCTGTGGCCATGTACCAGGGTCAGGAACACTTAGTTCTGCCATTGAGCAAGAGACAAAATACAAAATATCTTGGTCTCCAGGTGGGCAACAGAAGAAATGTTCTCTAAAGCTTGGGCTACCAAAGTAAAGTAGTTTAAGATCTACTACATTTTCAGCATAAAGTAATCCACTTATTTCGTCTCTTATGATTTCAGCGATCAATTCTTCTGACACCCTGACGGTCCCTTTGATCGACTAAGGTTCTAGAAATGAGGAAACATTTCAACCCACGCAGGCGATACATAAACGTTTTGAGGGACATGCCTGAGACTGTAAAACGATTCGAAAACAACAAACCCCCGTGCTGCCATATATGTAATCAGCGCAAGCCAGTACGCAACCAACGTGAACAACCACGCAGCCTGTCCCGTATCACCCGGATCAGTATCAAGGAGCCGATTAAACACTGACATAAGGAAGTACACTACCAACGCAGCGGAGATATAGAGGCAGCTTACGATCCATATCAACCTCTCCAGCTCGCTTGGGAACTCCCAATTCCAGGCGGAAAGATGGACGCCACCGTAGATACCTGACAGGACCAAGAAGAGGCCAGCCAACCAGGGGAATTCTTTAAAGAAGCCAGAAAGACCGAAGACGTTCTCGTTTTCTGTGAAGAAACTGAAGTTGATGTCCAGATTTCTCTTCCCTTCGCCGAACGGCATAGTTCTATACGCACATTCTAGGACCGGTTCGAATTCCGGTAATCGGGCAAGAAAAAGATCTTGGCCATTTTGAGGGCCCGAGTCGTACTTTGGGTCTACCAGTTCGAACTGCCACGTCGTTTCGTTTACTTTGATGAACTTGGCTGTTGTGGCCAGTGAGTTACGATCGTGGAACGGAAAAGTTGAAAGTATGGCATCCCAGCGACAGAGGAACTCCTTTGTCAATATTAGGGGTAGGGTTGTGAATTCAGAGTGGTATAAGAGACCGGAGGGGAGAATGTCCCCTGGCCACATCTCCAAACCTGGCTCTGGCTTAACCCAAGGCCCTGGCCGTGAATTGGTCCATATATTGCTTCGCTCCTCGTGAGTAACAGCCGCTGCTGAATCTTTCACCTGAGTCAAGTCACTCCATGCCTGTGAAGATGTAGATGTACCCTGAAGTGGTTGAAGCTCTTCGATTTCTTGGTTGTAGCTAGATCTCGAAGATTTTGGTATGACCCAACCAGGCTGTATCAAGCCACCTCTTCTAGGTGGCGGTAGTCGATCAGAATCTTGCTGAGGAGGAAACAATGCTAATCTGGTCGACATGTTAGGATAATATTGGCGCTGTATCAAGAGGGCTATCTCTCCCTTGAAAGCCTCCGGTCTGATAATCTCTGGCTGTTGAACATCGAGAGGTTTCTAACAACAGTCAGCAAACAGTTCAAAGCCCAATTATCTGAACGCACTCTAAACCAGCACATGTAGAGAAATACAGCACACACAACATGAACCATGGTGTGTACCTCCAATAAACTGAGGGGCAAGTGGTGTATCTTTCGCATGATGCATTGCATGATCATCCATAGGACTTGTGTCATGACGAGTAATTTCTGAAAATAGTCGGCTTTACTCTTATCATCGATCTTCTTCTTCGAAATTGGTATCCAGTGTCCTCTCTCTGCCAGCCATATTACTGTCAGAGGACTCAGTCGCACGGAATATGGACGGTTCGCAGGGTTGAAGTGTCGAAAAGCCTTGTCATGGAGGTCAGGAAAGGATAAAAGATCGTCGATATTCACTCTAACACCACCCATGACGATGAAAAAGGTATAAGACATATCGATGACGATCTGGATAGTAGCGCAGAGTTGTTAGAACCATTGCTGGTAATGTGGTCTGGGACTGAACTTACATGGTCTTTGTCAGAAGGAGATCTCGTCTGTAGAGCAAGAAGTTTGGCCTTGAGACTCCAAGCCTGCTGCAATTGGTCTGCTGCCATATAAAGAGAAATTTCTGGTGCAAAAAGGGTGATTGCAGTCCACTTGAGCTTGTAGAGAAACACTTCGTGCCATGCCGTCTTGATAGGAACGTCAAGATGTAAAGCTGTATAAATACACGCAACGAGCGTCAAGATGCAGCTCTGAAGGATATCAAAGGTACCTCGAATGTCGGGCGAGTTAACCCAGGCGGGAGCAGTGAGGTTGGGTTCGTTATGTTCATGGTTTTTGACGATTGTCCATGGCTGGATAATTGCCGACAAATTGCTTGGGACTTGGTCAGCCATGGTCAGCCATTACCATCGCCACGACGTATATAATGTTGATGGAAATAAGAATACGAAAATTCATCTTTGCGGGGAAGAGCTGAATAGTATTTAGATACCAAGATCAGGCTCTGGTGCAGCATTTGTGAAGTACCGAATCAGGCTGAGGCTGAGGCTGAGCATGCAGCATCTATAAATAATGGAGAGCTGAAGAGTGAGTGTTGGTTGCACTAACCCCTAACCTTCCCTCCCCTCTTTCCCTATTGTGTAGCTATGTAGCGACTTCTATCAAGGCAAGATAGAGACGAAAGTGGCGGTGGCTTCCTTCCTTCCTCGGAGCCTATTGCGATGCAAGTAGATGCAGGACACAAGTGTTGAGACCAGCGGGATAAAGATTCTCTACGCTACTGCAACAGGCGCTTGCTTTCCAAGACTATTCGTTAAGTTGAAGAAGGGACTAGTTGACACTCCTTCCCAGTTGGACTCCCTTATACTTTTGAGCGAATTGTTGGGCAGATACCATGCAGCAGGATATCACTGTGAGCGAGTGAATAAACGTTCCTGAAACGATAGGACATTATCAATACAGCCTAGATAGACAAGATGTTGATATACGTTATAAGCGCAATGATGCCAATTCCGCATCAATGCGGTACGAAAAAGATACAAACAATACCCTCAAGAGTAAATATAACCACCAGCGAGCAACACCCTTCATCAACGTACACAAGCTAACCAATACTCCCCCCCTTAACCCACAACCCGCCATCATCAAAAACGCATAAAACAGGGAATGGCTAAAGAAGCCATACACAGCAGAACAAACAAGGCAAAACAGTCGTGAGAAAAGAATTGGATATCATTAAATGTCCTGGCACAAAACGCCCTGCGCTGCGGGTTGGATGACACATGCAAGCAAACCAGCACCGGCGCTCTCAAATCCAACGAGTGCCCGAATAATTTTCTTTCCCCCTTTTCCATCATAACCCTAGATCGCGTCTCTGTAAGAGTAACCCAAGAATCCACAACTTGAAGGCCTCGGTCTCGATCTCGATCTCGTAAATGAAGGGATACGGTGTTCGTAAGTCCTGTCCGAATAGATATTTCGGGCTCTCTAAGCATCCTCGAAAATCGTATTACTGTTCTCAATGACAAACTGTATCGCAAGGTTCTTGGCATGCATATCTGTCATTTCACGCTCAAGACTTGTATCGCGCATAATGGTAGGTGCAAACACGACAGCCAGGTTCTTGGGAGACATCTGGAAGAGTATGTTAGTAAGTGAGATAGACAACCAATAATGGGTACCACATACCAAGTTCTCAGGTTCACGCTGAGCAACGCGTGCAAGATGGAACATGAGAAACTCAAGACAATCACGATGCCGTTGGGGCATCGAGGCAAACGTCTTACGCAGGTGATCGCTTCGTTCCTCTTCATCCACAATGGCTGTCAATTGTTAGCATTTTACTAGTCTTGTGAAAGGAAAGGAGCTAAACTCACCATTCGACTCAAGAACGCGCTCGTACACATCAAACGTAAGTAGAGGTACTGGAAGCTTGCGGAAATATTGCTTCAGCACACTGGTAACAGCTGTGATGTCAAGGTCGGGATCCGAGATGTCAAAGTTCTCGTCCTTGCTGAAACCATCCTTGATCATGTTGACCTGTGAATTACCACCAGTCTTTCGGTAGATACCCTCTTGATCCATGCCCCTCAGTTCAACTTCTTCGATACATCTTGTTACCACGCTAGGGATTTGTCGTCGTTCGTGGTCAGCTCGCTCTGCGAGATCGGATCCAAAGAGAACTGTGGCAGGTTCGGCTGCATCGGCGGCATTCATAGTACCTCCGGAGCCAGACTTGGGCATGGCGTTCTTCTTTCCGAAGAATCCAAAGCCTTGACGCTCACGTTCGCGCTCCTCCTGCTTCTTGGCTAGCGCTGAAGCAGTACTATGCTTGTCGTGTGTGACATGGCCGTTAGAAGGAGCACCAGCTGGAGCCTCAACTTGGGCGACTGTCATATTGTAGGGCATGCCAATATTCTCTCCGGTAAGTCCACCCTGTTGCTGCATTCTCTCGCGGTCATTCTGGAATGCGACAACGGCTCTGTTGACGCCCTTGGCAACACCCTGGGCCAATCCCTTGGAACCCTTCTTCCAGTTGAACTTCTTAGCCTGACCCTTTCTGACCTGTACCACAGTAGGGCCGGCTTCGACGATAGGCTCCTCATCAGCGGGAACCAAGGTGGCTCCAGTTGACAGACTGGCAGCGTCGAGGTTGAGCGACGAGGCGTTGAGGCCCTTACCGACGCCATAGATGCCAAGAGCGCCAGGAGACTTAATGTCGCCTCCAATCTGTGATTTAAAGCGTTCTTGAATCTGATGTGTCAAATCGTTGTTCATATCAGCAAGCTGTGCGTTCTTGGATGACAACTGCTCAAACTCAAGGAGAGCGCGGTCTCGATCCGCAATGGCTTGGTCCTTCTCTTCACACAATAGGTCACGCTCCTCATGAAGCTGCTCAATAGCGGCTGACATAGCCGACTTGACCTTATCGAGTTTCTGAACAAACTCCTTGATCGCGGACTCTTCCAAATCTCGAGGGTCTACGGGTGTCTTGGTTTCTTTGGCTCGCTCAACATAGCCAGCCAACACTTCCAGCTGTCGAATCATAATCTCAGTCTGTGTGTCAAGAACAGAAACCGTCTTTCGCTTCTCCACAAGCTTCCTGTTAAGGCTCTTAAGATCTTTCTCGGTAGTGAACTGCCTTTCGAGCTCCGCGACTCGCTGCTCGGAGTTTCGTAGTTGTCGTTTGAGGAAGGCAGGGTCGTCACCCGATGTCAGTGACATGGGGCTGCTGATGTCCTGCGCATGATAATCATCAGCGACTGGTGTCCTGGGCCAGCGGGGTGATCCAGTGGCTCGTGTAGTTTCACTGATGCTCCTGGTGTGTCTGTTCCCTGGATGCATCTGGTTGGGTGACTCCACGCTGCCGGTGCGACCGTGTCTTACCGCGTTGGAAACTCTGCGGAGAATCGATGTAGAGCCTTCGTCAGTGCCTAGTATCCGTGCCATATCCTCGTCCATGCTAAAGTCGCCGCCACTGCTCCATCTAGGTAGCTTTGGCGAGACCTTGGGCTCGCCATTTTCATCTTTCTGGCCCCTTTGGGAGCCTGGAGGCGCGGGTGCCGAACGTGGTTGCGTGTAGGTCTTCTTTTGCTCCGAAATGCTTCGAGACGGGGTTTGGCGCGTAGGAGTGGGATCTTCGGGTGATTCTTGTCGGCTCTGTTGGCGGCTGCTGCCATTCGCTAACCTTTCTGTCAGTGTCTGTGAGTAGCCCGGGGACTTGGATGAATAAATACCATTTCTGCCGGAAGAAGAGGGAACATCCTTCCTAGCAAGCGGCTTTGCGTTCTCTGGTCTAGAAGATGTTCTGGTCGATGAATCCATTGATGCACGAAGCTCCTCCTCATCCAGATACCTCGACTCCAGCGACGAGCGAGAGGCAGGTGTGGTTGCGTTGCTATCAGTGTGAGGTAGACTGCCTTGGCCAGCCTTACTTGGTTGTCCATTGCTAGTTCTTACAGAGTTCGTCTCAGCAGGTATACTGGACGATTGCGAGCTGCTCCTTGAGAGAAGCTTCTTGCTCTTGGGGGCCTCTTGCAGCTTAAAGTCCTCTGTGGGTGGGCGACGACCGCTTGTCTTTTGTTCATCGATAGCGGGTGATGGTTTGGCGGACTCCCGTTGTGAGGATTTGGAATGCTTTCGATCAGGTAGCTTGGGCGGGATGTCATGTTCTGAAGTAGATGCTTGACGGCCCTTCGATTGGAAAGCAATATGTGGGGTTGAAGTACGAGAGTCGTTTCTCTTCTCAGAAGGAGGCTTTGCCGAACCGAAATAGTCTCCATCCTTCGATTTACCCTCTCCCAGATTATCAGAAGTTGATTTCGGCGTTGGGTGTGGGCTGGGATCCAGGGCGACCGAGATAAGGAAGCCATCATCGTTAGTATTGTTTTCGTTCCTCGAAACCATGGTTGAGTTGCGGTTGCTTCGGTAGGTCGTAGAGGGCAGATTTAAGCCGTCGGGCTTTCGCTCAGGAGAACGAGCTGGTCGTGAACTGCTGCGAGACGAAGACTCATGGCGGGTGTGATTCCGGGGTCGTGGAGAGAGCTCCGTGGCGGTATCCGAATCAGGATCTACCCGGTCGTTGGAAAATGCGTTTGGTGGTATAGCATTCGCAGGAAGAGCGGGCAAAGACTTCTCTGTGATCATAGGTGAATGCTCTTTTTCTCTTGCTTTTGCAGCGGCTGCAGCCTTTGATTTTTTCCTACGCCTAGCCATCAGAGTTTCGTGACAGCCCATGCAGAATATGCCTTGGGAAGTGCGTGCATATCGAAGGTTCTCGATTTTGCGTTTACAGTTGCGACAACGGAAACATGTGGCACAAAACGCCTGCTCCCCAGTAAGGATAGCTAGGTCTTCAATCTTATTGCCGCAGGCGCTGCAGCTATATGTGCAGTTGTTGCAGATGAGAGATCCATCGCCGAGTAGTAGAAGGTTCGCGTCGGAGTCGAGAAGTGTTCCGCAGGTGTTACAACGGAAGCAATCTAGATGCCATCGGTTGCCGGCTGTTGAAAATGTCAGCTTGCTGTGTCATGGTAAAATGCGCTTTGTAATTCTTGCGGTGAAGTGCTGGTGACTGTCTCGGGTCACCAAGGCACACCGTCAGAAGTGTTGTCCTTCAGTTTGTAACGTACCTAATTCGAACGCTTTGCCTTCCTCGAGGATCTTTGCAACTTGTTAGCAATTCATTCTCAAGTCTGCCGCGAGTACAGTAATATCGTACCTCTCCGCAACCTTTACAGGGGAAGACATCGTCTGTCTCCTGTTCCATTCCAGGACTCTCCAAATAATCTTCCACGATACTGGCCATTGTGGGCAATGTGCTGAAAAAAGAGTGAAACTAGTACTCGTAACTTGGGGCAGAGCGATCGAAATGTGGTGCCTAGAGCGGATAGGGCATTCAGACACAGAATTGTTGCAGCCCAAGGTAGCAAGCAACACGACGCAGCTAGAGAGCAGGCGTCATGGACGATGTCGTATCGGGAGGCAAAGGAGTCGGATCAGGGATCGCGGTGGGCGGAAGTCGTCGAGGAATCGGAGCGGGAAGAAAGTGGTTGAGGCGGTCGGTATGTGTTCGATCGAACGGGGTAGCAATATTTGTTGACAACGTCGACAGAAGTACCCCTACAGAGAGGGAGACTGACAGGAACTTGAATGGAGTTCAAAATTCAGGAAGCAGTGGACAGCCCAGTAAAGCCAGGCTAATAAGTCAAAAGCCAGAGCGAAAGCCAACAGCAAGCAGTCGGAACCAAACCAAACCAGGGGGCGTGTGGAGGGTTTGATGAGGACAAGGGCCCAGGTTGAGAAACGGACAAGGGGTGTCTAACGATGGATTCGCTAGAAGAAGGTCGGCCGGGTTTGGAAGAAGTTGCTGTAATTGTAGATTCGACGTAGGAGGCAATGGAAGCGAAGGAATCTCTACGAGAGAAAAGCTAAGCTAAGCGATGGGTGATGAGCGATGTGATGGAGCGAAATGTCCCAGTCAAGTCGATATCGTTACTGCAGGAGGGATCGGCGTACAACGGAACAGCCAGTGGATGTAAGCTGGATGAAGTACTGAATGGTAAATACGACCCAGAGCAAAGAAAGACAAGCAAAGCAATGACAATGACGACGTAACAAATTCAAGGGATGATGGATGACAAAGTGTTTTGATTATGTTCGGACCCTGCGAAGGCAAAAGGGTAAAGAAAAAGAGAGGATGGATTGGATTGGATCTGATCCGGATATGTCGTGGTCCTGGGGGAGAGAGCAGAGGATTGGAATGAATGGAGACGTCGAGTAGGATCCGAATGTGGATGGGATGAACATGAACAGCCACTGAAGAGGGGGGGGCTCCAGTCCAGCTCAAGACGGGCGGGACTCAGAGCTGGAGGTTCTTAAGGGGGGGTTCCTAGGTCCCAGGGGATCACCCACTAAGCCTGGGACACTGAACAGTGAGAGGGGTCAAGCCCCAGGGGACCAGCGCGCTAAACGGCCCCTAGCCGTTCCAGGCCTGGGCTGGCAGCTGCTTGGCTCGAGGTGATCTCCAGTCTCACCAAGGTCTCCATCTTGGCAGACTGTCATTCAATAAGAGATGTCGAGGGCTTTGAGCGGTCGGGCTTTTTTAGAGAAGCAGGGATTGTACAGTAGTACCTACATCAGGGGCATTTCTAGAGTACACGCAACTACACGCGCAATTGACATTGACTTGTTGTCTCGTATACGATGATACATGCTGTGGAATATTAAAGGTCAAGGTATGGAAAGGTGCACTGCACTGTCTGTCTGACTGTTTCGCCCTGTAAGGTACAACAAACCTTGATTCGAATAAGAACGAAACGTACATAGGCTGATTGGATGTTTAAACTCCCGTCCGCCCTTCAGCCTATTCGATATTGACATGTAGGTGCCGTGTTCAACGATTCAATGCCAGCTATAATAGGGAGCCTTTTATTGGAATGATATTGACCCACGTAGCAGAATAATTGAATCGCCCTTGGTCGAAAGATACACTGAATCAACTCTTTCACATGCTCATGAATTGACTTCGTGTCGTGTGTGTTGCTACGGCATGACTAGGGAAAACCTTGAGTGGCATAATGGGGCGCAGGATTATTCAGATGGTGAAGTTGTCGACATCAGCTCCAAGACTAAATCAAGGTTATGATACTGTTGTATCTGCCACGTTGCTACTAGGCATAACGGATTTATACAAAGTGTAGGGAGCTGAGGGCAGTTTTGATTAACAATCTCGTGGGTTCAAACCTATCATTACAGGTCATCCCACAATCAATCTCTTTCCCATCTCCATTCAAGAGACCGTCCTGAGACTAACGATGCGCCTGAAGAAACAGACAAACCTGACGCCTTACTAGCGCAAGCCGCTAGACGCAGAGTCCAAGGGGCAGGGTAACCTCCAGCAAAAGGCTGAAGCTGGGGGCGCACAAGATAATACAATAGTAAGCTTTGGTCAAAGAAAGTGCACACAACTCTTGAGATGCATTGCATGTTGGAGTAACAGGAACAGGAACGGGCAATGCAAAGTAACAAAAGAGGCGTATGTGGCGGACGCGGCTGGATCATGGTCTGTCTACCGTGCCGTACCGTACCTTATGGAGGGGAGGGGATCGAGCTCCAGCTTCTTTGCAGTGTCGATCCGATGGCCGGGCAGCTCAGGCGGGGTCTGGAGGGATGAGATCACTGACGAGACATTGCTTTTTTTGTAGAGATGTCTAAGCAATAAATCTGCAACATTGAAGGCCAATTGCAATTGCATACAGCACCGTTGATAGATACCGTGTTGTCAGGAGGACTGGAACTCGGAGGTTGGAATCATAAATGCGAGGAATGAAGTCAAGCCAGTGGCAAAACAACCTGACAGGAGAGGAGAGCTTCAGAGTACAGAACAGTTGTACAAAGTCTACTCCGCCAAACGGATACCCGCACAACACGATGGAACTCAGATGCAAGCAGCCATATAAATTAGGTTCTTTGCATATGTATGTCTCTAACTGCTGTGTATAACTGAAGATCATAGCGGGCAAAAGCAAAGCAACGCATGGAAAGTCGAAAAGTCGGTAAGCTAATAACCGGTATTAGTAAGGGAAAAAAGCAACTCAACTCCTCATCATATGTACTGCATGCGCTTCAAGTTCGGTTGTTTCAGACAGATTGGTTGAGTTTTTTCCATGTCATGTACATACAACACATTTTGTGGTCTTGAGAGGACCTGGACCCGAAGAAGGCATTAACGAAACGCACATCATGAAACGTGTGATGGGCCAACGAGAGGATCTTCTCCTTTGCTTCGGTAGAACATCGCTACCGTATCTCAAATGCTACTGTTATGCGAGTACAGTAATTAGAACAACGCCTCCATTCACAGCGCAACTTTATCAGCCCAATCATCTAGGGTTAGACACATTAGACACACTCACAAACAGTTGGCCGAAAGATTCCATCATGAAACCAACGACCCTGAAAAGATATTCAATGCAAGTGTGAGAAAGGGGTCTAGTTCAGTGGACTTGGCTGCATGGATCGGTTTCGAGTGCAGGGGTCTTGATGGGTTTGACTGGAGCTTGTCACGACCATGTCCCTGGAACTTCAATTTCCCTCGAATATGAACTGAGTTGAGTGAGCATCAGACAACCTCTCTTAAACTTGTCACTATCTAAAAACCGTTACCAAGCTTATCCAAGGGCTGACATTACCGGCACTACCTTGTTAATGTCAGTGTCAGTGTCAGCTTATAAACCCTATATCGAACTTGGGTTCGTATCCAGGTATAACCTCATGCAACCTTCACGATATTGGCTTCACACAGCCTTGTAGTAGTAGTTAGATAAATCTCGCTCACCAGTCAGACGACCGCGGCATATCTCGTTCCATGTTGCTGTCACTCAGCTGATCACTTCCCTTGACAGTCAGCGAGGCATATCTTGAAACCCCAGGTCCATCACCTTCGCTTGTTTCAAGTTGTCTATTCCTCAAAGTATGGATAATCTCTTCGCTACAATATCCCTTTGCAGCCGTTTGCACTCTACAACAGCAAAAGACTCTTCTTACAACACACGCAGATCACTATAACTTTTGTCTTTTAGCCGATTCCATCAAGTTTCATGTCTGTACCCTTTTAGCCAGCGGCAGTTTGACAAGTATCAGCCTTCCCTCATTGATCATAAGCGCGCCCGGCAACTTACACCGGATCTTCAAAATTGGATCTCACAAATGTAACACCTGCAGCCAAGCAGTCGTAGTCTATATCATCAAATCTTATAGGCACTAAGTCTGACAAGCTTTCATCCCAAAACCCCGTCTTCGTGATGGGTTTCCTAATTGAGCGTCTGGCAGTTTGAAGATTTGCTTGTTTTTCGAGAACGACCAGCAAGTAACTCACTTGAGGTTGTCTATGCTTCAAGAATGTAGATGCTCGCAAGCTAACCCTTGTTGGAGCAATGACATCGGTTGAAATTGAGGCACGGGTATCTGACAACCAGCAGCTGATGAGTGATGATGCTCAAAGTGCCTCGTATTGTTTCTGGTTGACACTTGATCCAAGCTAGAACCAACCAAAAAGTCAAAATGAGGCCAATGTCAAGTTCGCAAATATCATACCATGCTTTCTAGGGTAACATACGAGGCCCCTTCCCACACAGTAACCCTATTAAGATCGTTCAATGTTACTGACACCGCATTGCCAACCCTGGAGCTTTGTCGTTCTAGACAACGTTTAACATATTGCTTACTTCAGAAGATGTCAGCAGCACAGGGCTCGGACCCGACTCAGGCAGAATGATGAATATGCTGTCACAAGATAGCTTGACTCGATACAAACTACTCAAGCTAAAACAGACCTGGCGAATGTATCCGCGTGTTATGAATCATCTTGAAACGCGATCGCAGACTTGTGATAGCGCTTAAAAATTTGATGATATCACAAATCTTGTGACAATCGCTGTACCAACACGTCTCATACCATTATGATCAATAACATTGTAAGAACCCAAATAATTATTTGCCTTGAATTGATGTGATTATGGCGGCCATTTGGTATCAAACTCGTGTGTCAACTTTTGTCTAACCCAGTAACAGAACCTCTCAAACGCCCTCTCCTAGTCTTCAGTACGCTGTTTCGCTAAGCTCGTTATTTCTTCTTATCACCGACCATCTTCCTGACCTTGTCGAGCAATATGGAACTCTCCCTGCCAAGCTTCTTGTTGCCGTTGCGATCTCTCGTCTTGGCCATAGCCTTCTTAAAGCGCTCTCTCTCAGCAATCTTCTGCTCGCGCTCTTCCTGCCTGCGCTGATACTCGGCCTGTCGAGCTTCTTGCTCCTTGCGACGCTCCTCCGCCTTGGTGAGTTGCTTTTCATAGTAGCCAGGTCGTCGAGTGCGCCGTCTGTTGCCATCAGGATTGTGCTCGCCAACTGAGTTCTCCTGTGCCTTTGCCTCGTCTGCCAGCATGAGATGTCGCGTGGGGTGCATCACCTCGGCCTCTTCCTCTGGTTGCTTTGTCTCGCCATCGCCTGCCTCAGCACCCTCATCCTGAACAGGCTGGACTGGCTTTGCAGGTTGCGCATTTTCTTGTTCACGAGCCTTAATCTTGGCATACGCCTTCTTGACCTTTGCCTTGTGAATCAACTCCTTCTTGACTTTGGTGACTGTGTGATAAAAGTGTAAGTATGCGATGTGAATGAAAATTTTAACAGGAGAATGCGACAAACCTTTTCGTCGCCAGGGGCCGTCTGGCAAATTCTCAGGACCGACTCTGAAGCCATGCTTAGGCTTATTGACCTCTGGAGCGGCATCAGCGCCTTCTTTTTCGTGTTTGGGTGCCATGTCTGTGGCTTTGTAAGTCTCTTTATGAGAATTGTAAGTTGTCGTTGATGAGAATTAGGATGGGACTTATTGGGTCCACTTTTGTTCTCGGTGAAGAAGTGGAGCTCACCTCAGTTCACCTTGCTATAGTGGAGCCATCTGTACTGCACTCTGTAATCTGATCCCAAGACTTCGATACATCAAGGTACCTACCATGAAATAAAAAAGCATACTCAGATAATTCAAACTAAACCGTTGACTCCAATCTATTACCTACGTACGTCAAACCGTTGGGTCAGAGTCACGGTGGCTGTTTCAAAAGCTGCTGGTATATCTGCTTCGGGTTTACAATGCATTGCCAGGTCACACAGATAAACAAGAAAACCCATCTATGTACGATTGAACAGCTGTTGATGTCCATAAGAGGCACAGTATTCGCATCATACTGCAAGCTGCTGCCCGTTCCTGGTTCAGCTTGCTTTTCTACCTTCTTTACTGCCCGCTTACACGTCAAGACTGCATCACACGGCACAGCAAAGTGCATATCAGGGTTCATTCCCAACCGCGCTAAACGTGAGTCTCCGCAAGGGACTGGCTTCTGTGACTGGAGCTTAGTTTTTAGCGTAGTGAAAAGTTTCCTCTTTTGCCGTGTCTTGTGAGTAGCAAAATGGAGTTCACTTGAGATGCTTCATCGTAGACCAAACCAGAAACGTCGTTAGCAGGTCGTGGCATATCTGGGGCCATTGAAGATGACTCCACATTGTGCTCAGTTATACTGTGATCACGAAAGGGTTTGAAGAGAGATTATCGAATGATAAAGATATGAAAGTCATAAATACTACCTGGGCAAAGCATGTGGATGTAAATCAAATTTACAACGTATTCCTTGGTCAAGATTTAGATAACTGAGGTGCTGTATCCGTAGGCAAGGTAGGCTTGTAAAATGGGCTTTTTAGGGAATGATTCACGCTCTTTCACCGCCATCGGCCCCCCATTTGATGATGGAATTAACGTCCCCGTCGTATCATTTACCTCGATGGACCCTGCCGTTTTTGCCCGCCTCGCTTTTACTTGCTCCTGCTCTTGCTCTATCTTACAACTTCTACCTACCAACTTTTGACACGATCAACTTCAAATCGCGTGATCATTTCTGTCTCCTACTTTAATACAGCTGTTTCCCTCTCTTCGCCCTGTTGCTCTGTTTTCTATCGCAATCCTTTGACCTCCCCAGGGGAAGACGGGACCGATTAGACTCTCCATCGTCGCTCTTGAACTGTCGTCATATCGGTGGATGACGTCCCACGATCCCAGATTCCCCATATTCAGCTTCGCTTTTTCTTCGATTTTAGGTGACCCACGCCGTGCCTGACAGAGACAGTCTAGACAGTTCCTCACTCATGGCTTGCATGGCATGATATATCATACCCTTGTCTACCAATCCACTTGGCCAAACTTCTTGTAACCCCGGCCGGTTCTTTCGGTACATACAGTACGATAAATTGATCTGATCTGCAAGACACCCCAACCTCAATATCGGCAACCAACGCCCTGTTTATGACGATTATTTATAAACCCAAACCACCTTTCGGCTTCTTCTTTCTTACACATTCATGACGGATTTTGCTCAAACAACGTACGGCTGCTGTTACAGCTCTCAAATATCGCCGTCATGCCTATCTTCCAGGCCGATTTATATAGTCACGAACCTGAATCCGAACCGGAATTTATTGAACCGACACCAATTAATGCACCTTCCTCTGGGCTGAGACGTCTCTCAGAGGAAAGCATCCGTACTGAGCTGTGTGAAGGACCTATCCCGGACAGTCCACCACGATCCAAAACCCCCGAAAGAGTCGAAGGCGTCGAGGATGCGATATCGGATCGAGCTTCTTTGATCGAGAGACTCAAGAGAGCGCAATCTCCCCCGATATGGATTCCAAACCGCCACGTGCGTTGTGACTCTATTTTGTGTGCGCGAGTGTTTGCTAACACTGTCCATGCAGTTTGAGTCTGTAGTACAACATCATCCAAATTTGGATATCGAGACAAAGGTCCCCCAAACGCCTATCGAAGCTTCAACCTTGCTTGCGCCTGCTCAGATAACACCCGAGAAAACCGATTCGCATTCCGATTTCGATAACAGATTGCGCGATGGCCTCAGTATTGAACGACCGAGATCAGCACTCCACAGTGGTAACTTCACTGAAGAAGAAGCAGTAGCCAAGGACCGTACCACACCAGCCGGTAGGCCGCATAATGGTCGATATCCTGCTCCGGCAGAAACTCCATGGATTGCGACTTCACCCCCTAGACATTACACGCCATTCCAGCACGACAAAGGAGTGCCATTTTCAGCAAGTGCCGAGAGTTTTCAATCGACCAACTCACCTCTGTCTTCATCTTTGTCGTCGAGTTTTGTATATAAACCGCCTACTAGCCCTCTAGTACAAGCTCAGAGCTCTGAGGAGCACGATATGTTGCCAACGGACCCATTCAGTTTTACCGGATATATTGGAACGAGTCGCTATAGGGCACATTCAACAGCTTCATCACCCTGGATGTCTCCCTCTCCGAGATACTCATTACCACAACGTGTGTCTTCGTATCGAAGAGAGGCGTTTCCATACCAGGCGCACCAACCCCGAAGATCATTAACTTCAACTCCAAGTTTCATGCAACCTGGTGCTTCACCACCGACACCAGCATTTCTTCGGCCGCGCAGGTCTTCCGTAGCGGCAGAGGCTTCACCACTTCAGCATGCATCTATGGTTGGCTCCTACGAAGAAAGTATTCTTCGAGGTCGCATGTCGACAACCCCTTCCAAACCACTGGACTTTGTCGCACAGATCGGCGTCCTAGGAAAGGGCAAATGCAAGTCCAGTCTGAAGTGCCCACCTCATGTCAGTCTCTCATTCCCAGCTGTGTACTATAGCTACAGCAGCACGTCACATGGGCGGTCCAACACAGATGATGGGCCGAGCCCGTATGTCGGTCAAATCGACCTTGAAAATGGACTGCCCAATCCAGACGACGAACATCGAGCAAAGAAGAAGGCACAGAGTCGACATGCAGAAAGGAAACCAGCCGAGGATTTGATGGACGTTGGCCTTGAGAACCAGAGTTCTGAGCATATCACACGTCGAAATTCTCGGGCCATTCGCCGGTCCGGCTCTGTGGCAGCAAAAGCCCCTCCAGGCGGAAGTTATCGAATTCCGGAAAAGGGGCAAATTCAGATCATCGTCAAGAACCCAAATAAGACTGCTGTCAAACTCTTCCTTGTCCCATATGATCTTACAGGCATGGAACCAGGAACGAAGACATTTGTGCGTCAGCGCAGCTATTCAGCTGGGCCCATCATCGACAATGCCCCTGCCACAGCTGGGGCGAACACTGATGACCGCCCTATCCTGAGGTACCTCGCTCATCTGCACATCTGTTGCCCTGCTAAGGGTCGGTACTATCTATACAAGAGCATCCGGATCGTCTTTGCGAATCGTGTCCCTGATGGGAAGGAGAAGCTCAGGAACGAAACAACATGGCCAGAGCCTCGCTATACTCCTTATAAACCAATTCGGGTCATGCATCCACCTTTACCTGCGCAGTCTGGCCCTGCTGCTATGCTGGCTACGGAGAAGGCTCTTCGCAGGCGGAGTGTTGGCTTCTTTTCGGGCCCTTCCCGGACTTTCGATGGTATGGAAAACATGTTCCCTGCCAACGATTCTCCATCTGGAGGCTCTGCTGGCGGCAACACCTTACCAGTCGATCCTATTCCCTTCTATCTTCCGGCCCACGCTCGAACGGACAGCGATATCAGCGACAGCACAAGCACTACGGCTGTCCTTGGTAACGATGTCCGGTCTCCTCGGTCGACTCAAGTCAGTCGCCCTTCGACCAAAGATTCGAATACCGGTCAATCACCAGAACCCGCACTTTATGAGAAGCTCAACAAAGGAGAACCGGGATACGGCGGTAATGCCTTTGCTCTCAATAGATCGGGTTCACTCGGTGGTGCTGAGGGCTTGCTCTCACAGCGCCTGCGTTCACTTGGGGTTAAGCAACCCTCTCCCCCGGAAACACCTCGTGGGGATGATATGTCTCCCTAGACAAAAGCTACTGCACATTCTACAAATGACAGCATGAACATACATGCTTTACTGTACATAACTCCTGTCACAGCACAGACATTTACGTTGTTAGATATCTTCAAGTTGGGATAGAGATCGGAGCATTGATTGCTCTAAGTTGCGCTGTTACTGTTTATTCGGCTGGGCTGAACATGGGAATTGGGTAAAGGTAGGAGTTGAAGTGTTTTCAGGGCGTTTTTGGAGCATCTGGATACCAGGCAGATTATGTAACCAAGGTTTAGATAGGCAATTGAATCTACTGCAACACAAACCCCTATTTTGGTGGCAATCAGCCTCTCCATATGTTTAGATCCTCAAGGTGTCTCTCGCAATAATGCTGTAGGGTATTCAAACTCATGATTTGACATTTGTATCATACAAGTAGTCGAAGAAATCTCCGAAGAGCTATTCATACATAATCTATTTTACATCTTCATTCATCATCAGCACGCTTGTTTCGCAACCTTTGCATCTTTGCAGCCTCCACCGGATTCTTCGTGAGGTAATTTGGACGACCACGGGCGACCGGCTGTCTCCTTGCGCCATGACGACGCTGATCATATCGATCCCAGAACTTATTCCAGTAAGCAAACTGCTCGCGGGCTACTCGCATATCCACGGGCTCTTGGCCCATGGCCGAAGCCTTGATCTCGATCTCTCTTCTTTCATCGCGGGGCAGCCACCTTTGCCGCTTCTGCTCTTTCAGATTCTCATCATAGGCATTCTTGCGTGTAAGATACCAATCTCGGGCGAATTTGTTAACCTTGGCTTGCAGGTCCTGCTTCCACTTTACCCTGTCGACAGGCTCTGCTGGTGTTCCGAGGCTGCTCTCGCTCTTCTTTTGCTTTTCCAGTTGTCTCCTCAGGTTGTCCCTGACCTTGAGCAGCGACAGATAAGGCAGACTCTGCAGTATACTGTCGAGCTCACTAGGATCAACCTCCTTGCCGTTGACAGTGTATTTTGTAGGTATAACATCAACCTCCGATGTGGTGAAGGCGTGGTGCAGACGGGGGTATTTCTCCTTCACTGTAGAGAGAAGACGAGAGACAATGGGATCCCAGGCAGCCATCTTGCGCATCTCCAGCCACTTCGCCTGTAGTCGCAGGACAAGTCTTGGAGGCGCTGACAACATGCGAGAGTTTTCTCTCTTGTGTGGGATATCTCGCTTGAAGGCCCAGCCGTCCCAAGTTGGCATGAGCAATGTCTCGCACCAGTACATAGCGCGATCCCACTTGCCGAGTTCAGAGAGGTTGCTTATGACGATAACCCAGTTTTCTCGGGTAAGCTTAAAGCCTGCTGCCATGACTTTGTCGATAGTATCGCTCAAGCCTGCTCCATCATTCATCTCTCCATACACGCGTGCCACTACATTCACAGCGCGAGACAGTTCATACTCAGTACCAAGAGCAATACCTTCTCCTGAACGTTTTCGGCTCGAAGCATAAACGTCTGCCCAGGTCTTCTCCCAAAGTTCCAAGGCCTTGTCGTAGTTCTCATCCATGTAATGCGCATGCATCAAAGCAGACATGATTTCAGGCGGAAATTGGTTGGTCTGATATTGCGGGAAGATCTGAACGAACAAGCCCATCATTTCTTCGATCGAGATGAATTCTCGAAGTTCGACAAGTAAAGCAATTGCTCGACCGATCTTAGGAGTAGATCGCATTAGATCCGCAATGCTCCCGGCATCGGCGAAGTCTTCAGGTGCAGATTCGTCCTTAGCAGCCGCGACCGCCTGTCGGAAGTACTCAACGAGTTCATTCGCTAGATACCTTGTTCGGTCGGCGCCTGGCTTCTTTTTGTTGGCATGAGTGACGAGGGCAACTAAAGCATTAAAAGTTATAGGCAGCTCTGACTTCTGAAGTTGGGCAAAGAGAGTTTCTACGACTGGAGACTCTCCGAGTCGTGCAGCTGCAGCCATGACAATGGCATAATGATCGGGTGTGACATGGAACAAACGTTCATTGACAGCACGCTTCAAAAGCGCGTGTGCCGCAGGAATTCGGTTGACCCTGACAAGGGCTTGGAGAAGAAATTCGTACGTCTCGTCGTCCCATTCAACTCCAAGTTGTTTCATCTGCTTGAGTAGTTCATACACCTTTGTAATCTTTCCTTCGACGCCGTTGTAATTGAGCAGTTGGTTCCAGATGGCTTGCGAAGCAATCTTGCGGTGGGTCATTTCAATGCACAAACTCTCCGCCGCAGCGAGTTGACCGCTTCGACAGTAAGCTACTACCAAAGACAGTCCCATCTCTTTTGAGATTGGTACACCTTCACGCTGAGATCTGTCGAAGTATTCCAGAGTTGTGTCCAGGTCACCCTTCTTGGAACTCATCGCCATGACGTGGGCATAAGTATAAGAGCTTGGCTGGTGTTGGCTTGTGATTTGATCGAACAAATCCAAGACACCGTCGTAGTCATTGGTTCTCATGTAAGCCTTGAGCAGTGTGTTCCAGATATCGACATCAGGTTGAACGTTGTACTCCTTGACCATCCTTTCCATCTCTTTCTTGACGCCCTCGACATCTCCAACTTGAGCATAGACGTTGATCGTGCTTCTGAATCCTCGGGGTTCCTGAATTATCTCAGGGTACTCCTTCGCAAACTGAGCCCAAAGCTTCTTGACTGATGGCACATCTCCTTTTGCTGCATAGTATTTTAAAAACTTTTCGTATCCCCATTGATTCAAACCGCCTTTGATTCGAACCCAGTCTTGGTACAATTCTTCCAATCTAGCTCTGTTCCTTGGGAAATTCACTTTGAACAAGCCGCGGTACACCGCCATGGTAGGCGCTGCATCTGGCAATAGTCGTTGCTTTTGATAAATGGCGGGGAGCTGTTCCATTGTGTATCGGTCTTCTAGTTTATCGTACCAACGATTGAACATGGTGTTCATATATGTGTTATATTCGAAGTTATCGCCAAGAGCCTCGAGAATGATGCTTGCCTGAGCCGGGGGACACGGCTCCCGTAGAGCCAATGTAGCAAAGAATCTCCGCAGTGCAGACAAAGCTCTCTTGGCAGCCATGTCCTTCTGGATCTCCTTATGTTGATCTTTACCCTCGCCGACCAGGTAGTTTCTGAAATCAAGATAGAGGTCTCCCTTTTTCTTGAGAGTCCCAAGCTGCTGCAATCGCCCCACATTTGGCTTCATACCGGGAGTCCTTTTGTCCATCCTCTTGTGATATGAAGTCCAAACATCCAGGGCGACTGGCCAATTCCGCGAGTTAACGGTATCTGCCATCAGAAATTCTAGGCCGTGGCTGAGCCCCCCAATCTCTAATCCTGTTTTGAAAGTTTCCACGGCTCCTGGCAGGTCTCCGGATCGCAAAAGGAGGAGGATGGCTGCGGACAAGAGTTCATTGGTCCACTCGGGCGTGGGGATCTGACGAAAGACTGAGAGAGCTCGCCCTGTCTCAACAATACTGTGGGAGCGGGAAAGATAATTGACGAGAGGACCACGCACAAGACGCCGTTGCTCGCCATCCATCCCAGAGTAAATATCCCAAGCTTGCTGAAAATGACGTCCCTTGGTGCCCATGATGTTTTGGAGCAGTTCCAAATCCGTCTGACCTCTTTTCGGTATTATTGCCTCTGTGCCAACCCATATATTCGTGTCATCCTCTGGTTCTGGATCTTGGAGTTTCGAGTCCTTGTTGGGCCAACCACCTTCATCTGTCGTTGACTCGTCATTGCTGGGCGGTGTCGTTATTGAAGAGTAAGTTCGTCTATTCGAGACAATCGCCGTTCGTTGCGCATTTTGAGGATTCGGTAGTTCAGGGTATAGACGGCGTAAGAGAGGTATAGTCGAGGTAGGATATAGGAAGTCGAGCATCAGAACCGAGGCGAAGAGGTTCGCTTGGAGCTGCTGTGTTTCCGGTTCGGGAGTCGCAGCTCCAACTGGTCTCATTGAGCCAGGAAGAGAGCTGGAAATATCGATAGCGGCGGCGCCATGCTGCCAGAAGCCTGTATGTAGCTTTTGAGATCGATTCGAGGGCCTATGGATTATCCGTTGAAGGCTGCGCGACTCCAAAGCCGCAGCGGTTCGTTCGAGCATTTGCGCCAGGCGGAGAGTGAGGATTAAGTCGTAGAGTTGAGAATACACGCAGTCATGCTTGGTGGCAACCAGACAGAAAGGTGAACAGAGTTGAGACCAACAGCTACAGGTCGAGCTGCAGGGATCCAAAAGGTGGTGAAGGAAAGAACGAGAGCCGTTATTAGTTGTAATGTACACACGGCAAGGCCGGAGAAGAGAGAGAAATGGTATCCAGAGAACGCCCCAAGAAACCGAATGCTCCAGTCGCTATGTTGAGGCAACAAAAAAGTTGAGCTGGACCCTCTAGTAAATATCGATGTCGTTAACATCAGTCCATATCCACCACCAAAAAAGTGCTTAGGGTAGAATCTGACCAATCAGCGAGCTTACATAGAAGCGAAATAGCGGAGCCGACCGTTGCACTTCAGGTCCAGATCATCATTGACTCTTCCTGCACTTTAGACTACATGGTAGGAGAACATATGAAATAATGTATTCACTCTATGCCAGCTTGTATAGGCATTCGGGCTACTTTATTCTGGCAACCTAAGACTTAGAGGGCAATTCTTTGCTAGATAATTGCAGTATCAATTTGAGAACTTCATCAATTTATTTGATTGTATGAAATAGATCCAGGATATATGTATCATCCTTCAACCGACTCATAAACAATAAGTAGAACATTCCATCCAATCCTCCCAGCGCCGTCTTATTCATAGCTAAGTACCCAAAGTCAAATCAAGTCAAGAGATCTCAATTTCTTGAATAACAAATGAAACTCCATATGCAACCAGTTTAATAGCAGGACACAATCTTGTGAATGCGAGATAACCAGCTCTCAGCGCAACGCAACGAGAAACAGAAAATGAACAAGGACACATCCCGTCATCGTACAACATGGATTAAGTATATGGGTATCGGTCTGGTTTCCGGTAATTTTTTTTCGTCTTTATACATCTGATCGTGGGGCAGGGGTAATGGATACCAGAATCGAACGAAAGTTGAAAGTGGTTCCTTTTCCTTCAAGTAGGTAGTATTATCGAATATTAAGCGTCCGACTTTACTTCGTCGGCGGTGTCAGACGACGAGGCTCGGACCTCGTTCCGCAACCCGGACAGACCATCGGTGAGCTGTTGAGATCCAAGCTCCATCTCCAACCGAGGGCCCCGGCTCTGGCTCCGAGTTCGCTGCCTTCGACGAGCAGGTAGATGCTGCTGGAGCTGCTGTTCAATGGGGGATGAAACTCGGGAAGGGCAGTGCTCTCTTCGAAGGCGAGCATGAAGCAGACGACGTCGGGTGGGAGAAGGTACCCTTCTAGGCGAGGAAGGTCGAGATGTGTAGCTTAGAGCTGGAGAAGCGGCACGACGGCGGGAACGGCCTCGGAGGTTGCTAGACTCGTCTGCTGGTGCAGCTCGGAATGAGCGAACGCTGCCTCGTCGGGTCATGCTTCGTTCTCTCTTACGGCCTCGAACATCGTGGTCGGCAGTTGGGGAGATGATGGTAGGTGGCTCAGTGTAGGATGAGGAGCCAGGTGCGACTCGAGCAGTCATGTTGTGCTTTTGTTCTTTGGCGAGACTAAGATATGATAGATGGTAGGCAGTTGTTGAGTGGTTGTGAAACCGTAGCAAGTTGTATAGTTGAAAAGACAGAAGAACAAAAGATCAGGAGGTAAACAACGAGCAGATCGAAAGTAAATATCTGAAAGAACGGTTTCCGGGGTCTGTGATCACTTGAGCAACGACTGGGTAATGGTGGAGGACTGCAGAAGACGTGGCAGTGGTAGGTAGCAGTATCCGTATGTAAGTTCAAGATGGGCCCAGGGTATTATTTTTGTTTGGGTTGCAGTTAGTCAAAGAGAGTGTCTGAGCAAATGGAGGGCCTCGCTCGGCATTTATATAAATAGTTGTCACATAAATAAAAAGGGGAAGGAAACAACTGGGAATGGCTGCTCCGTACATGTACAGTACCGTAGTAGTTTAGTTAGGCCAAGGGATTGAAACGAAACCTTGAAGGGAGAAACCGAGTGACCTTGGACTCTACAGGGAGGATACGATACGGTAGTAATGGAGGTGTCCATGCTCTAGCCTAGTCGCCTAGAAAAGACCCGCAATGCACTGCAGGACGTTACCTTTAGTGGAGGGGTGCCTAGGGTGCGTGTGCGGCATTGACATCCCGGGGGGATGGGGTCCATGTTCAAGTCAAACATCCTTGATAGAAACAGTTGATGAGTATGTACTATTCTATTCCATTTGGAGCGTCTCATCTCATGTTTGTTTGAGGCAATCAGATGATGGATGGAATGGTCACGGCTCATAATTCGTCCACCCTCACTCGCTTATTTAGACAAGACAAGCCCTGGTTAATCTCCTGAATAACTGTCTATCAACAATATTATCTCTAAAGATATAGATACTGTATGTGTATGATAACAAGGCAAAGGGATCGCCTCTCTGCCGGCGTCGAACTCTGTTGCTTAGCCTCCCATCGCAGGATCGAACCTTGAATAGCAGCATCTCATTTCACAAGGCGTCAAGGTCTCTCCCATCCAACCCATTTCTTCCTTTCCCCGCGCTGTGCTCTGCTGTGCTGCACGGAGGGGGCCGTTGTACAGTACAGACCTACTACTGCACAGCATCTAAGCTGTCTCTGTACAACAGACTAGTCTGCCTTGTCTTTGGCTTGGCTCTGTCGGTGGCACAACCATCTCAAGACAAATTCATCAGCAAAAAAGAAAAGATGTTCTGGCTTGGGTTGGTATGGAGAGACTTTCCCTAGACAAGCCCTACCCCAGATAGACAAGAATGACTCTTGATCTCCAGATGATCATACCAGACTAGAGCTCACGAAACACAGCGATGCATACCATGACGTATCAGGCTCTACAAAACATGCTCAGTCGTGTCTCTTGTCCCTGTAAATCATGTCTGAAAGATAAAGGTACAGTTGAGAAATACAAGAACCCCTGTGTATCAGCAAGATTGATCGATTGTCAAGAAACCTGCAGATGAGGAAAAATAGTCCGCTGCAGCTGCAATTAAGTTCCCTTTTTGATGGTGTATAGCCGTCATCATCAGCAGTTTACCACACCAGACAATATGTAATGCACCAAGCTTTGGCGCCGGGTACTTGCTTGCATTTGCAGCTTCTGTTCCCCCTCATCATAGTTGCACGCGATCAGAGGATTTTGTTAGCGCCCAGGGCACTTGAGGTGCAACCCTCGTTGGCTCAGCCCTGGTTCGGTACATTAGCTTCTCCTCTCTCGAGTTGGTGGCGCTCTTTTGAAGATTCCCTCTTCATTCCCCGTTGATCTGGAAAGGGAAACAGTAGGTACAAGGGAGACTTTGCACTTTCAGCAGCATCTGGTTAGATCTTGGTTTGTTCCAAGTGAGCTGCCAGCATGCAGACAGAAATCTGTCATGCAATGTAACACAAAAGGCCGAGACTCTTCGTCCAACGCTCTCTCCCGTAGGATAGCGGAATGATGATTTCTAAAAAAGGTTGCCTCAAAGTCAAAAGCATCAGACTAAAGGGAAAGTAAAAATGCCCGCTTATTCTGCCATGCGGGAAATGGAATGGGAATTGTAAAGTATATATATCGGACGATTAATCCGGTCATGATAGAGTTTCTGACTTATAGAGATTGAGAGTTGGTTGGTTGCCTGTTCTTGTAAGCGGACTCAAATGTCCGGGACCCCGTCCGTTCCGTATCCTCTTCCGGAGCATTCGGCGCCGGGAGGATCACTGACCACTCAACCATGCCGTGCTACTGTAGCTGTAGCTAGCAGTTATTGATAGTGCAATGGAGAAAAGAGAAAAGGCATAGCCAAGCTCCAAGCCAATTTTAAAAGCATAAACTAGAATCCGCATTTGTTCATATCAAAAGTCTGTTAAGTTCCTGCGCGTTCCTGATGAGCAAAGATCAACCAATTGCTTACTGTACTTGGCCTCCAAGCCAATGGATCTCCCTTATTCCATTGTTGTTGTTGTTTTTAGATCAATCTTTTTATCCCTAGTTTGAAGTTCCAGTGCCTCTTCCGGGCTTCCTCTTGGCTGGGTTTAGGGGAGACTCAGACAGACTCAGGGGTACGTATCCACCAATCAAGCTCGGGCCCCAGTTCCAACGCGGAGGCTGCAGTCAAGTGGAGGAAAGCCCGTGGCTTTTTTGGCCTGTCCTGGTCTGGCCTGTCACAAGCTTGAAAGCATGACAACTTCAAACTGGCACCATCGTCATCCTGCAACCGGCTTCCTTTTGGTTGTCACTGTCAACGAGAGCGCGTTATCCTGTTGTTGATGTACTTCTCTTCTTCATCTTCCTAGATCTCCTTTTCTTCTTCTTCTCATTCCTCTTTATCCCTTCTTTATAACCTAGATACTTAACATTTACTCCTTTTTCCCGAAACGGGCCAACAACAACACCACAGACTCTGAACCCATTTATAATCAATCCTTCTTCGGCCCCTCTCAACGATAACGACGCGCGTCTCGAACGAGGAATCATCCAAAATCACGAACATACGTACCTAGCAGCGTGGAATGGCCTTGTCAATCTCGTGAAATCACACATAATCGCTTCTACATACAATCGCCAATATGCCTCGGTCACGACCCGCGACAACAGGCTATGAACGCCTCGCACAGGCCGACGACTTCAGCGACGACTCAGAAGAGGATCCTCTCACCCAATCATACGCATCTCTCCAGCCCGCAGCTGCACCCCGATATGGCCCTGCTTCGCAGCCGCGCCATCGCTCCGGCATGGCCAGTCCCAAATCGTTGACCTCATCTTCTCAACCCAAATTCCGTCACCGTTCAGGAAGTAGCGCTGGTGTTGATTTGAAAGCCATCAATGCTCGTCTAGAGCGCTGGGCCGACGAGATTGCGTCGCGTTTCAAGCGCAAGGGCAAGAATCAGCATGGCGAAGAGGAGCGCCTTGAAATTCACTATTCTGTCTTTCAGCCTCCCGAGGGTGTTCGCCCGGTGACTGCTGAGAGTACCGCAGTGCCGCATGAGGGTGTCATGTCAAAGGCAGAGTTTGAGGTCATTGTCGAAAGCGTAAGGAGCGCTATCCGACAAGAAATTCACCCTAGCATGATTTCGCAGGGCAGTTCTGGCAGTTACTTTGCCCGCAATCCAGATGGCAAGATTGTGGGTGTTTTCAAACCCAAGGATGAGGAGCCTTACGCAGCAGGAAATCCTAAATGGAACAAGTGGATTCACAGAAACTTGTTCCCATGCTGCTTTGGACGAGCTTGGTATGTCTTTCCTCGGTTCCTGGCCGAGTACTCTAACTAACAAATTCTGTAGTCTTATTCCTAACCTCTCGTATGTAAGCGAGGCAGCTGCATACGTCCTTGATTGTCAACTGAGAACACACCTTGTTCCATATACCGATGTCGTATGGCTTGCCTCCAAGTCTTTCCACTACCCTTTCTGGGATCGCCGCAAATTCCAACGCAAGAAGACCCCCCTTCCTGCGAAGCCGGGCAGTTTCCAGGTCTTCCTGAAAGGATTTAAGGATGCCAATGTTTTCCTTCGTGAGCATCCTTGGCCAGATCAGTACTGGTCAGGATTCCGAACAAACGACAACCAAAACAAAAAGAAGAAGAGATGGACCGAAAGCTGTCGCCCTTCAGGAAACGCCTCCCCGAATGACGGATACAATAGCGACGACGAAGAAGCTGCTCAAGCCGCGAATCTCTTGGGTCCTGATAATTTCATTTGGACCGAGAATCTCAAGGAGTCGTTGCGCGAGGAGCTCGAGAAACTAGTCATTCTCGACTACATAATGCGAAACACAGATCGAGGCTTGGACAATTGGATGATTAAAGTGGACTGGGAGACAGGCAAAGCCTCAATAGCGTCAGACCCAATTCAACTGAATATGGAACCAGTTGCGGAGGAGGAGGGCCCTCGACCTGTCGACTTGTCTCAGCAAGGACCTCGTGCTACAAGAGCATCGTACCCATACAAGCAACAGAGACCGATGAGTGCTTCTAGTCGGAAACATGTCGGAAACGAGCCGGTTATCACAGTTGGAGCCATTGATAACTCATTATCATGGCCCTGGAAGCACCCAGATGCTTGGAGAAGGTAAGGCTAGAGTCACTCATTACAGTATTAGGACCAAACTAACACATTCAGTTTCCCTTTTGGTTGGCTGTTCCTGCCCGTTGATCTCATCGGTCGTCCATTCTCTCAAAAGACGAGAGACCACTTTCTCCCTCTGCTGACATCGACCTCGTGGTGGACGCAAACAGTTCTCTCGCTGAAGAGAGTGTTCCAAATGGATGTCGATTTCCAAGAGCGCATGTTTGCGAAGCAGGTGGCAGTCATGAAGGGACAGGCCTGGAATGTCGTTGAGACGCTCAAGACTCCGGACCATGGCCCTCTTGAACTCACTCGCAGAGCACGAGTTTGTGTTTGGGACGATCTGGTCGATGTGCCTGTTGCGGTTCCTATGCGTAATACGTCTTCAGAAGCCCGCCGCAATCCCCACGTTCGTCAATCGATGGATGAAGCCGACATTGCAAGCTCGGCCCCTGCTAATAACCCTCCAATCGAAGACCTTCTTGGCCTCGCCAGTGCGCCCGCAGATATGCCCCATCCGGGTCGGTTCGAGCTCTCATCCCCCACCGGAGAAACGGCTCTATCGCCAGGCGAGCAAATGTCAAGTGAACCCAACTACTTGGCACCAACAGAGCAGCAGCACAGTGGAGATGTGACTGAACGTCCGGCCGTCCGGCCAACTGGAGTTAGGAACAGTTACCAAGGACCAGTTCGCGCACTGAACATGTACGAGCCCGCACGCCAACAAGCATCGCGGCGGCAGCGAAGATATTCATTCGCCAATGCCGCTGCTCGTCGCAACAGCAACTCCGTTGCACAGCAGTACTATGGTGACCATGAAAACTACACGGATGATCTGGAAGGTGATCTAGGATATGCTGCAGCAGAGGGACAAATGGGAAATCAACGAAAGGTCATTGTGGAGCGGCTCGAGGCCGTCAAAAGTAGGAACCCCGTCTTTGAATGCTGGTGAGGGCCTCAAATGTGGCTGCCAGCGCAGGCCTTGGCTTGCTTCACGGTATAAACTGTTGATTGCCCCGCGACATTTCATGGGCGTTATGTACCTGCAACGCTATCCGTTCTGTCATACTGTAGATGTTCTCTCCTTTAGCGCATGACGTTACTTTCATGCCAGGGTCGTCTCTATCTTACCCATTCAGGGGTAAATATGTTACATCTGTACGGCATCGACTTCGGCCGCCTATGCAGTTTGCTCTGACATTTGGTTGGTGTTACTGATTTAGGATTCATGTGCATGATGGTGATTGGTAAGGGCATTGGGAAGAAGAAAACAAGGGATAGTCTTTTTGATACGACGTGCTTTGTCTCAGTGAAAAGCCAATGCATTGTTATCGCTTGGAAAAGAGGGAAGAAAAACGAGTACGCCGACGGCGCATGCGGACAAGGCAAGGGATCTAGCTGACATGCATAAAGAATCAGTGACAACAAGCAAGACAGACATGGTGTGGGCAAACGGCGCGGGGCTAACAGTTAGCCGACCATTGTTTGCTACACAGTACACTTTGGACTTGTGGTTCTAGTCTTTGCTTTTTTGTTGCTCTGCATTGGCTTTCCTGAGCTCGAGGAGAAGTATGCATTATGATGGGTTGAGAATCAAGACGTCGTTATGACAAACCACCACAAGCTAGAAGAACCAGACGTTAAACGAGCTATTTTTCGTGGATGATCATGGTAGCATCCGTTGCAACCCTTGTTCTTTAGGATAGGTGATAACTATTGGATGAACGCATTTCATGAAAGTGCCGCTGTAACAAAATCTGCCCGGAGAAAAGGTCCTGAGTGATGTGTTGATTCTGCGGGATGTAGTGTCTGTACTGTACATACAACCATCAACCCACCATTTTACCAGCTCTCTGGTCAGATCCCGACGGTCTGGGTCGGCAAACCATGGTCCGAGCATGGCTCCCCTGTCATCGTGGTAGGTAGTCAGGTAGTGCTAGTGATAACGCATTAGCTCTTGTTCGTTGCGTGAGTGAGGCAACATTGCTGCCATACGTCCTAGCAGTCGGCCGTCTATTACTGCCCCCTCTTTGAGCTCGCTTACAAGTCTTGTTATCCTGATTTTCTTGGAACCCACTGTTACTGGCCCTATCTGTATGAGCGAGTGCCAGATGAGGCTTCACCACGTCACTAGAGTCTAGAGAAGTGGCATTCAAGCCAAGACCCCCTTCTAAAGCGAAAGCTTGGCTTGGTGGCTTATCTCTCCCCACAGACTCCCTGCTGGCGGCCCGCCACGGCTGGCATCAAAAATCTGGTTGCGGATACAGTACATAGTCTCAGCAGCCACTGGACCCTTCTTAAGCTAATTCATGTGAGCCGACTGACGTTCTCAGCTTTGGGATAATTTGTCCGGACATCGCTTGTAGCACAATCCAGTACAGTGCAGTTCTTTGCTGATCTGATCAAGTCTCAGAGTCTTCGTTGAATCTGAAAAATGGGGTAAGAATTGGGTCATGGCCGTCATGGCCGTCATTCCGTCACTTTTCTACCTTTATGACCAACTGTTCTGCAATTCTCAACCGTCGAGGTACGGTCAAAGCAACATGCGGGTCAAGACTTACAAGAGCTTTCCACCTTAAGATATTCCCGCTCTGCTCATAAGGATCCTCTCATTCTCTCGGTATCCACATCGGTCTCCAAGTCTTTTGTGATATTTGATGGCTCGCACCAACTCACAACACGACCGTTGTGAGTCTATGTCCGTATAAGGTAAGTCTGCAATATCCCCTGTCATGAGTTGTATGAAAGTGCGGTGATAGTGCAATCGGCAATAGCTTTTCAAGAACTCTTTTCTGCGTGTCATACCAAACAAATGACATTTCTTCCCCCATTCTGCCACTTGCAGAACGGCGAGCTGCAACGGCCCGTCCATAGGTACAGGTGCGGCCGCCGGGTCATTGGTTGACGCTGTTTTGTTCTTCTTTGGCTGCCATACCACGCAGAATTCGACATGTCGTATGATATGAGCAAGGCAGAACAAAGGATCAGCCGAAGAGGGACCCAGGTGCGCACCAGCGGCGAGAACCGTCCCAATGCAACTTAGCGGCCCATTACCAGCATCTATGCGGCCATGCGACCTCCTTCGTGCGCATCTCTACCACTAGGATCCTCCATCTCCACGCTTTGCATAACCTGCTCCTGGTTGAGCTTCTTAATTTTGTTTTAGTTGTGGACACATCAGGCGGTGAAGACTTGAAGTTTTGTGAGCCTGGATCAAGGATTATCTTTGTTTGGCCTTCAAAGTTCTAGTGCTCCAAGTGTGGATCACTTTTGTTATCGCTGAGGCCTGTCGAAGTATGTTTCTGGTGATACGGAAGTGCTCCGACTGTAGGTGGGCTCTATGGTGCATTTACGCCGCAGATCCTGGTATTCCAAGATCCCCCTGTGGAAGGACCAGGCAAATCAACATGCCAACTTGCTGTCCTGCTCAGTGTCCATGCCAATAATGAGCCCTTAAGAGAAGAGAGTTTTGCTGACCCTTTTTTGGTGCAGTAACCCGAGTAGGCTCCGAGGATAGTTGCACGGTAAGCTTAGATAGCCTTTTTCCGAAGACGGTCCCACGTCCACGTCCTCGGTATTGGCATGGTTTGCCATTGGATTGTACAGCAGGAGTTTTTGTTTGTACGACCATGATCTTGCTTTCCAACAAGACCAAGAACGGTGTTACATACATAATGGGCTATCGCCCCTCGTTATCCTCTACCTGGTGACCATAGGTTACAGCATTGGGGTAGGACAGCCTCACCATCGACGTGAAACTATTCACGGTTATTGGTTGCCACAATCCATAGCGGGTAATAGTCTGAAGCCATCTATGGAGGCTGCATAAGTCCCGACAGCCGGGTGCCTGACTTTCAAGATGGTGGGAGGATTCCATCCAACTGCGAAATGGATCTGGTGATTGGCTCCAATGAGCTAAACGACAGTGAGACCCTACAGAAGCTGTTTCTGCATGGAGGAGATGGCCAACTGCAATCATGTTTAAATATGCGTCAGTGCAGCCCCTCCACTTTGTGTGGAACGCGTGCTATCGAACAAAGCATGGAAAGAATAGGACGTCGATAGGACACTCGGTGCCTCCGCCAGTCGTTTTCAGATCCATCCATTGGCAGCCACTTCTATGCCCCAGATTAAGTCATGGTGGTCCAAGCAAACATGAGGCCGCGATGTCTTGAAATCGTTATCCGGTCTTGTCAGGAAAACGAGAACTCGACCCCCTCGACCATTTCGTCCAGATACCTATTTTGTATCTGTCAGACGTTGTGTCGAATTCATATTTGCTTGTTGTTATAATAATAGATGATCTTTGAGATAGTCGCTCATGATACACTCGTGGCAATGTACTACTCCATGGCTCAACGCTCTGGAGTGTAAAGATCGGCATTAGAAGCTTGGAGAAGCATTGCTTTGCCGGTACATGTCTCGGCTGTCCAGCATCATCTCCGCATTCTTCGAGAAGCCCCTTTGCGTCTGTAGACGGGAAGTAAAGCCGCTAGATGCAAATGCCGCCATAGTACTGATGCACTTCGGGGTCAACATCCTGGCACCAGGGTGGCTCTTATACGTCGGACTAGGGCCATGCTTTAGGTACCACATGTTTTCCCAACGATTGATGGTGGTCTGAAATTCTTTTTTTCGGTAGAGGACTCTAGCTCATTTTGCTATCATCTTTTGAACAAGTCTGCCGCATACTTGGTGTTCTCAGAAGCCAATCGAGCCCGAAAATCTGATTCTAAAAATGATGGATGCCGAGTAAGACAACGAGAGACTTTAGAGATGGAAGTTTTACTAAGCCCCCATGCAAAGAGATGGAACCGTGCCCTTGGACGAAACGTTCACCGAGATAGTCGAGCATTGCGGACGCACTTACCAACATTACTCCCTAACGAACGGTACTTATTTTGCGCCGATCGATGAGGTAGGAATGATGGTGCTTTTCAGTATCGAAATCGTCTGCAGGAGGTAACGAGTTTCGCCAGGATGAAGTTTCGCGCCTTGAGTTGATGCACGGAGTTCTGAGCGGCCTCTTCGACGAACGCCTCATATTCCCTCCGATCAGGTCTCCAAAGAGAGTGCTTGACTGTGGCTGTGGCACTGGAGATTGGGCGATGGAAGTCGCTACACAATATCCTGATTCCGAGGTACGTTCTCCGTGGGCTTTTGGTGAACATTATCTATAGCAGGCTATTGCTATAAGGTCAAAGGGAGTCCCTGCGTCGGTTTTGTCTGGTATAAGCTAGCTTAAAGCACGCTTAACATGACGTTATTCCCGAAAGCATAATTGCGTCTGTGCTTGGTCTCGTCGGATGAAACAAGACGGCTGCAACCCCAATCATCAAGCATGGAATATTGAAACGTAAAGGTCATTGACTGACTGGTTGTCTTGCACAGGTCCTGGGCATCGATGTGAGCCCGCATATGATACCAGAAAACCCTCCAGACAACATGGAGCTCCAGGTTGACGACTTGAACGGAAGGTAGGCTGTTTGACGCCGGGGTCGATAAACAACTGCTGACGACAACCGAACTTAGATTCACCTTTGAGTCTAACCACTTTGATCTCGTCCACAGCCAAATGGTAGCAGGAGGGATCCATGCCAATCGATGGAGAAGTTATGTTCGAGATATTTTCCGTGTCCTGAAGCCTGGCGGTTGGTGTCAGATGGTCGAAATATACTTCAATGCCCAATCCGATAATGGCACACTAACACCAGGTGAGTAGATGTCTCCTTCATCTCCAACCAAGGCCGTTTGTTTTAACCAAGACGGGAAGATCATGCTCTGTCGCAGTGGTCAAAGCAGTATTTGGATAGTCAATCGCCGTATAAAGATCCACGCGCACCATTGCAATTAGCAGGCTGGATGAGAAGCGCAGGCTTTACCGAAGTCGAATCGAGACTCATGACGTTACCCATGTGTGGTTGGTCAAATGGTATGCCGGAATGACGTTATGTTCTTGTGTTTCAGGACTGATCGATGCAGTGCCTCGAGATTATGAAATCGGCAGATCGAATAATGATAATGTGAGCCAGTTGTTGTCGTCGCTGGCTCTGTACCCCTTCACACAATTTCTTGGGTAGGTCGATCGGAATTTGATAACAGGGACGTTCCGCTAATCGCTGGAAAGTATGTCCTTCAACGATTTTCAGCTTCTAGTAGCTCAAGCGAGGAGCGAGGCAAGCAATCCGGCTTTCAAGGTAAGCTTTCCCATCTTCTGTTTCATAAAGCTTTACTTGGCGTGAGCGGTCTGACGTAAATGGTTTGATGGCGGTTATAGGCATACTTTCCCATGTAAGTTAGCTATGTTCCCATGCCATTCTCTCTTGATCTAATCCAGGCATGACAGTTACGTCTGCATTGGCAAGAAGCCGCGTCGATAAGAAGGTCTTGGGTCCAATAACAGTACCTGAAGGGCGGTAGGGCAATTCCTGGGGAATGAGTGCACAATATTCGAAATTCAAGCATGGTGTATTAAGAGGAGTCATAGTGTTGAGTTGGAGACTTCACAATAGAACAAGAAGAGGTCGGTACATCATTGAAGAGAAGGAGCAGTGGACACTGCCATGTCGTTGAAACAAAGTTTTGTTGGTTGACAAGGCAAGCAGTAGTGGCGCGCCATCAAGTGGATAATGCAGGAAGGTTGAACGGTTATCCATAGCATGACGACAAACAGGGCAAGAGCACCTACCTTAGTAGATAAACAACAAAGAAGTGGAAGTGCAGGTGCTCGGACTACCCAAAGAAGGAGCAGATCCAACTCCCTAACCAACTTGCACAATCCATGGAAAGTGGCTGCTCATCCCTTGTTGTGAATAAAGGCCTAAGGAGTGACTCGACTCGTAAACGACTGGCCGACGGACACTCGGTACCGACAGCTTGGGACCGATGTGTAAGAGACTTGTTGTTTGCGGCCGCAACCTTGGTTTTTGCTAAGAGACCCTGCAACATTAAGATATTGATAGAAGACCAAGGAAGAAACAGAACAGTTTCAGGGCACAGGTTTGAGAGAGACGTTTCACACAGCTTAGGGTTCCTTCTACAAGCTTGACACACAAATGGGTGTTGGGTATCACTACGAAATCACCACTCGTTCCGCTACAAGCCAGATCCTCATTTCCCCGTCGGACTGAACTACCGACGAGTTTATCCCCACCAACAACGCTAGGGTACACTACCTATCTCTGCAGCAAGAGATAGTCATCTATGATTCATGTACCTTCTACTGGTGTTGATATTTGATGATCGTCTCGGGCAATTCTGGAGAACGAGACGGATAGATCTGTGTCAACACTTTAGCATTCGACGTTCAAGCCACTGCTTGGTCTGTTCCTCGACCACCAAAGCTAGTGCGTAATCCTACGCACACCTAACTTAGCGGAATGCAATATCAGCGGGATCATCCCCGATCCTTGTCCAGCATAGGCGAGTATCATCAGGTGATTTAGCGGTATTCCGTGCCATGTCGAACGACGTCAGAAGAGAGGAGAGAAAACATTGACATGTAGGCTGTTCCTAAGGGGTAAGGGGTCAATATGATATTGACGACATTATAGTGCCGCTATCTGTTGGGATTTCAATGATAAATATACTAGGACACTTCATATTCAGCTAGCACAATCGAAAAATATCTGCCTTGACTGTTCAGCGCCTGGAACAATGGCAAAGGACCACTCTCCATATGTTGGATAAAACCTTCGGCAGTCTGGTCGTGCATTCAGTTACTCCCCGGATATGACACAAATTGGACCAGTTCCATGGGGTCGGGGTTAGCAGTCTGGGGTCCCTGGACAGTTTCTATCCACCACTGACACCTGCTGGAGCTTATCGATACCGCCAATCACAATCGCCAATTGGGCCTTAGGACCTTGGGAAATTTTGAGTTCCCGTCTCGCCCGATTTCAGCTCTGAGCTTCCCAGGTCATCATATCATAGCACCAAACAGCCTCTACACACTCTACAGCAAACGAATACCTCATCCTGGTCCCAACCGTCAAAATGGCCTCAAGACAATCTATGCAGCTTTTCCGGGCAGTTCGCATGTCCCAACCTGCCTTCCGCCAGCCCGTCAACCGACTTTCTGTCTGCCGATTCTACTCAACATCTACCGACGATGCTCCCCCTCCTCTGCTGTCCAAGCTCAAGGCCGATCTCAAGACTGCCATGCGCGCCAAGGATACCCCCCGTCTGACCGTCCTCCGAGCTATCATGTCCGCCAACCTCAATGCCTCCAAGACATCGACCCCCATCAAGACCGATGTTCAGCTCGTCGCATTGATCCGCAAGATCCAGAAGGGCGCTCAAGATGCTGCCGCCGAGGCCAAGGCCGCCAACCGTGAGGACCTCGTTCAGAAGGAGGAGGATCAGATCAAGGTTCTGGACGAGTACATTTCAAACAGCGGCGTTGAGAGCTTGTCTGAGGCTCAGCTCAAGGCCATGGTACAGGATGCCGTTGAGGCTTCCAAGGCTGCTGGTGGTCAGGCTAAGTCCATCATGGGAGATGTCATGAAGCGTCTGTCTGGTGCTCTCGAGGGCAAGGATGTGGACAAGAAGGAGCTGTCCAAGATGGTCAAGGAGCTTATCGGTTAAGATGGTTGATGCATTCCCATGCATGGTGTAAAATAAAATATGTATACTACGGTGTTAACCAGCGTTACGATTGTCACGAAATCAATCAGATACCAGCTGCTTGCATAAATCTATGGGGCTAGATATCTCAATTCATCCATATTAGAACGTCCTGTTCCCAACAAGAAGAAGGGAGCTAACATAACAAGTGAACTATGATTATGAGAGAATTGTCAGCCATTTTCGGTCTTGTAACATGCGAGCTATTCGGTTCTGCTTCATACCTAGTGAGGCTTGACCGAGGAACCCCACCTTGGAGAGGTAATTCGGAATAGTGTAAGTGACTCACAACAACCAAACAGTGGTACTGCCTTTCGTATTTATACTCGTCTTTGAGCTTCTTTTCTCCCTTGATCTGTACTTGATCCGTAGCTTCCATCTTCTTATCTATATGACCCTCAAACTTGAATCTCATCTATAATGACTTCCCGCCAGAACATCAGCTCCGGCTCTGCCTTTGAAGAGCAAATCGGATACTCACGAGCTGTCGTGACCGGAGATTGGGTCTTCGTCAGTGGTACTACCGGGTGACCATAAGCTTCTTTCGTTGTGACTATGAAGATATACTAACGCAAGTTAGCTATGACTATGGAACCGGGCAAATCTCATCCGACGTTGCTGAGCAGGCTGACCAAACCATGAAGAACATCGCATCTGCTCTTGAGTCGGCTGGTGCTTCGGTATCGGATGTCGTTCGAGTCAAATACATTTTGCCTGATCGAGATGACTTTCCCAAGACTTGGTCAGTCTTGAAGAAGTGGTTTGGAGAGGTTCGTCCTGCTGCTACTATGGTGCAGTCTGGCTTGATGAAGGATGAGATGAAGATTGAGATTGAAGTTACCGCTAGCATAGGATGTGGTAAGAAGGCCGAACGGGTTTTTAGTTTGTAAGCTAGTATACCCGTGTGTTGTCTATATATTGAATCCAGGTGTTTGTTCTAGTGTACTAAAGGTGCAATCAGACTTCCCGCCGCAAAAGCAGTACTCATAGTGACAAGACTTGACGTCGACATCATCGACAGACCACTAACACCATGACCAGAAGTGCATCCACCAGCCAACCTTGATCCTACAATCATCATGAATCCTCCAGTGCCAGCAAGCCATGGGTTAACCTCAATAGCATCTCTGGGCACGAAGGAAGGGAAGACCTTGGTGATCGCCCACGCACCAGATGCCATACCCACAGCGAACAAGGTATTCTGTCGACTGCTAGGCCAAGCAGAGCCTCGTGTAAGTGACCAAAAGTGGTTGCCGACTTCTTCGTAAGAGCCCGAGATGCCTAGCATAGAACGACGGATAAGGATGGAGAAGAGCTGCGAGAAGCCGATGAACAGTCCACCACCAGCTGAGAAGACCGTCCAGTCTGAGCCAGTAGTGTATGCCACGGATGCAGCAATGACAGATAAGCAGACAGATTCGAAGACAGCCACGGTTGCATCTTTCGACAAGCCAAGGTTCTTATCAAGAGTTACGGTCTCAGGCTTCACGTCCGCCTTCTCTCTTTGAGCCTTGGCTGCTTGCGCAACATATCCAGTGTATGCAATACCACCAACGATAGCTCCACCAAGAGCATATAATCCTGTCCGTAATCCAGCTCCAACCTGCGCGAATAATGTTCCAGGACAAGATCCTGAGAAAGCCATACCAGCTCCAAGCAGAAACCCGCCTAGAACGTTGCCATCATAATGTCCGAAAAGGCCGATTGGAGAAGAGCTTCTAGGCTTGAGATTAACATAGCCGTAGCGTTCAGCAATCTTGTATATAATTCTATCCAAATGGTTAGTAGTTGTCCAGACGATATATGGGATACAGGTACTCACGCGCTGCTTGCGACGGCACCAAGAGAGGTTTGTAGCATATGCCAATCCTGGAACTTGAACTGATCGATGATTTTCGAGGGCAGAAATACGCCTGATGCTATCGTAGAGGCGCCATAGACGGCACCTGATAGTAGTGCGGCCATCAGGAAATCCTCGTTGTGGTAAACACCTAGTTTGAGAGTGGATGTTTGTTTGATGGTCGTTGGGAATGACGATATATCAATCGCCGGTTTTCGGAGTGTTGGTAAGCACGCAATTGTTAGTATAGCAGCTTTACTTGAGAAACTAGATTGTAGGAATTGGACCAAAGAGCTACTAATTGAAGAATACTGTTACAGAAATGCAAATACTATCATGATTTTCTCAGAGCATTATAAATCCAATGAGCTGGTTGATAGTAGCTGAGTGATTCGCTTGCTATAGCACCACCGTAGTGTCAAAACCCGTAGTATCGTTCTCCGTCGAAGATACATCTACGTCCACAACAAGATAACTTCCAACATACAGTCTACCATCTTAATAAACTCTGCCATAGACCACCTTGGCTCACAATAATGCTCAAACAGTGGTAGAGTTGATTTAAAGTGCTGACTTGAAGCTTGAGTTGCCGAATCAGGGATCATGTAGGGTAAGCTCGTATTCAAACATGAGTCTCAGCAATAGGAATCGCGGAATACATTGTTGAGACGACCATAGTGAGGCTACTACGTAGTTTGGGTGCTTTGGATATATAGCTTCACGTTCTGTTCCGATTTGAGAGTTGTTACTTGCATACCGGGGCTGTAAGTTATTGTTGGTTCATCGGGTAGTTACTCATAACGTCACATGAAGACAACAAGAACTCAATGAGACAAAGAGCAATATAGTCATGTTTGACTGAGAGTGAAGTGAGAAGAATGATAGTGCAAATTGATTCAAATTCTATGTATTATTAATCAGGATCATGATCTCCAAGCTCTTGCATCATCGAGCCGACGTTCATACAACCTTAGATCGCACAACCGAGGTCTAAACTAACGTTGCGGGGCCATGGCTATTCGGTGTAGTCGAAGGCTATCTCATACATACTTCCCAACATCAACTGGCTCATACACAATAGCCGGCATCAAGACGATTTCAACTAATTACTTAAGAGACAATTCCATTTTGATAAGAAGTCTCATTACATCTCATTTAATAGCATCGCAGCCGCAACTATGCCCCGAGCTCTCACTCTACAGAAGATTGAAGGCGCAAAGCCTGGAAAGGTTTACTATCCGTTAGAACAACCATCTCATCAAAGAAACATCCAATTGCTAACAGTTATCTAGACTTCAGATAAATGAAGTACCTAAGCCAACACCCGGCCCAAAGGAGGTTCTAGTCAACCTCTCAGCGGCGGCGCTTAACCACCGTGATCTCTTCATGCGCCGCCATCTCTACCCAGCCATTTCCTTCACCAATCCAATTCTAGCAGATGGATATGGTACTGTCGTTGCCCTCGGATCCAACGTCACCCGTAAAGATCTTCTCAACAAGCCCGTCATTCTTACCCCAATGCGCGGCTGGGAGTCAGATCCTGCTGCCCCAGAGGATAGCCGCAAGTTTGCGGTCACTGGTGGTTCCAAGCTCACCGAAGTCGGTACCGCCCAAGACTACATCGTGGTATCAGAGGAAGAAGTCGAGCCCGCCCCTGAGCATCTCACACCTGCTGAAGGCGCAGCTCTACCTCTTGTCGGTCTCACAGGCTGGCGCGCATTAGTCACCAAGAGCAATGCCGCCTTCCCTGGCGCAAATGTACTTCTCACAGGCATTGGCGGCGGTGTTGCGCTGCAAGTGCTTCAGTTTGCCGTAGCAAAGGGTTGCAACGTATTCGTCACGTCCGGTGACGAAGCAAAGATCGCAAAGGCCAAAGAGATGGGCGCAAAGGGTGGAGTCGTATACAAGAACGAGGTGTGGGATAAGGAGCTTCGAGCACAGCTGCCAGCTGACCGGCCATATATCGATGCTGTCATTGATGGCGCAGGCGGCGGAATCGTGAGCAAGACTGTGCGATTGCTCAAGGCTGGTGGTGTAATCGTTCAATATGGTATGACTGTTTCTCCAAAGATGGACTGGCTCATGTCTGCGAATCTGCAGAACATCGAGCTGAAAGGATCAACAATGGGATCTCGGAAGGAGTTTCGGGATATGGTCGCATTTGTAAACGAGAAGAAGATCCGGCCCATTGTGAGCAGAACGATTAAGGGGCTGGACAACATCCAGGGAATTGATGAACTGTTCCAAGATATGGACAAGGGTAAGCAATTCGGAAAGCTGGTGATTGAGTGGGATTCGGCAAACGGCGCATCTTCAAAGCTGTAGACGGGTGATCGATAAATTATATAATGCAATATCACCAATGTCGAAACTAGCTAGTTTGAAAGCATTTCCCTCAACTATTAAACTTTTAAGCAGATACAAGAACGCCAAGTCATTTTTCAGGGTATCATACACCTTGAGAGCTTGTGCATGAGATTGGCGCAACTCACACCAGTGGCCCATCCACGCAATATGCAGTACTGAAAGCTCGCGCTTAGTCTTGCGCCTTCTTGCGCTTCTTCTTTGGGCGATCCTCCTCTGGTGGAACAAACTCGGCCTCGCGCTCTTTGGCCTTCTCCTCCTTTCGCTTGCTCTGCTTCTCCTTGCGCTCCTCCTGAGCAGCACGCTCCTTGCCGACCTTGCCCAAGAAATACTCGCCAGTTTCGATCTGCTTGTCGACCTTGCTCTTCTCGGGTGCTGGAGGGAATGGTGTGTAGGTTTTCTTGGTCTTGTCGGTGACATTCTTCGGGACTCGTCGGTGGCTGAGAGCTCTCGCCTTGAAGTTAGGGAGAAAGCGATCCCAGCTCTCTGTAGCAAGCTCAGGATCCTTCGCAAGCTCGCGTTTAATCATCAAGGTCTTGATTTGGTAGATTGGGTGCTGCTTCGTTTTAGCAAGCTGTGTGTCGTATGAGTCATATCGTACTTACTATGTTGGCCATACAGTCTTCCACGACTCGTCTCAACTCCTTGAGTCCCTTGTAAGGGCCCATAGCTGAGACTGTGTTTCCATGAACAAGAATGTATGTTTCTGTGAGCAGCTCAAGAGCTTTAAGTGTAGAACCTCCTGTCAAAGACAATATTAGCAAATCTGTCGTGAAGCTCGATTCCGGCAGCTTTACCAGGCCCAAGAAGCCTCTGGCGTCTTTTAACGAATTTCTCGGACGATCCGACAAGATTCCTTATCTTGATGATGTCGCAGGCGATACCGTCTTCGAGAATCTTGATAGCTTGAGGGGCGGGAACGCTTCTGGCGAGTAACTTAATGAGATCCCTTGCAGCCAAAATTGCAGCCGGATCGTAGGTCCTCCGCGTCGTCTTGACAGTCATAGAGCCTTCGACCAAGTCAAGTGTACAAGCGATACCCGATTTGGCAAGCTCTTTAGTAATGAGAGGCCAGACCTCACGCAGGTATTGCTCGCGATATCTAGGACACTGTTAGGATGAAGTAACCGGCACGAGGAAGAAGACCAACTTTGGGAAGAGAGTGGCGAAGGAGCTTTCGTCAGCGAAAACACCGCCGACGTTGTGTTCAGGCGTGAACTTCTCCTCTGCCCATTTGTCCACGGTGCCATCGTCCCACGGTTTGGCCTTGTCGTGTGTGGAAGGCATCTTCTCTTAGATAACGATAGGACTCTTCTGTTGAGCGATGATGAGACTCGGTCTTCCCTTAGGCGGTGATGTGACTCTTTTCCTAGGCGACGACGAGACTCCCTTTTCCTAGACGACGATGAGATTCTCTTCTCTTGGTTGACGGTATGACTCTCGCGGGGGAGAAAATGGTTGTATGTGAAGGTTGAAGAAAAACAGCTCCAAACTTTTTTTTGTTGCAAGGTTCAAGTGGAGCAAAGCCTATGGCAGCTGTGGGCTGGGTGGATGGGCATCATGACCCACATATACTGTCCAATCAGCGCACTAGAGCTACCGAAGTGGCTCTTGAATTTCTCCAGTTCGCAAAACACCATTCGAACTGTCGCATCACGAGACTCGTCCAATTCAAGAACAACCGCAGTCATGTCCAAGGCTCGAGGTGCTGGAGGCGTCGACCAGATCGTGAAGCTGATCGTGGGAGCTGGACAGGCTAGTCCCAGTCCTCCTGTTGGTCCTGCTCTGGGTTCCAAAGGTGTCAAGTCGATGGACTTTTGCAAGGTCAGAGCATGTGAAGGAACTCGGTTTGATAGTGTACTGACCTGAGAGTAGGAGTTCAATGCTCGAACCGCACATATCATCACCGGCACACCAACTCCCTGCCGAGTCACCGTGCGCCCCGATCGATCATTCATCTTCGACGTCCGAACACCGCAAACCTCATGGCTCCTCCTCAACGCCGTTGAAGCACCTTTGTCGAAGAAGGGCAAGCGAAAGGGTGCCAGCAAACCAGGTCACGAGACAGTTGGAACCATTTCACTCAAGCACGTTTACGAGATCGCAAAGATCAAGCAGTCTGAGCTCCGACTTTCGGGTCTGTCCCTGGAAGGTCTTTGCAGAGCGGTCATTTTCCAGGCGAAGTCGATAGGAATCAATGTGGTGGCTTGAAGCAAATGTTTATGAATCAAGAAAACGATAGACCACGTATGTGGCATGTATAAGAACCTCTAAGAAGATATTAGAAGTGTACAACAGTTAATGATAAGGACTGGGGTTTGAGCTCACCAAATGAATCAGTGCTGGATTGCGCCAACTTGGTGTTTGAAAAGCGAAATACCAAGCACATCTTTGACGTTTGTGTTTCTGGACAAACCGACCTTGCCAGCCCCGCCCTTGCTTGAGCGTTTGCTTCATCGGTATATTGGAGGATGTGAAGCTTCCAGATGACGAGAAATATGAGGTCGATTGCGATGTGATCTTGGGAGACATAGTGCAGCAGAATTTCGATGACCGGGCCAAATCAGAGCTCTGGATAATGAAAGGGCTGAGTGGCCGGGGCAAATTGCTTGGTAAAGGCGACATCGGATAATGCAAAGTTGCACTTCAATCAATGGCCAACTCCTCCCAAGTCAATGTCAGTGCCAAAGCCTATCAAACGGCTTATTTCGTGATTCAGGTTAAGGTGGTAGGAAATTTGGTCCTGTGGGCTAGCACTGGCAGGCACTGGCAGGCACTGGCAGGCACTGGCAGCCCAGCTGCCATATGTCCACGAAGCTCTGATGTCAGTCACATTGGATGGCTAGAAAACATTGCGATATCGGCGAGGGCATCTGATGAATGGTTTGATCATCGTCACAGCCTCTCATGCAGATGTTGAAGCTTGCTTCCCAACAAACGTAACTGACGAGACAAACACCAGACCTCGCAGGCAAATTCCGTACTGTCAGTTCATCAGCCCCCTTCCTTTGACTGACATATAAGAGTAGACAGGACCCCTAAGATGACTGTTACCATACCTCTCGCTGGCTCCTCAGGCTCGTCCTGGAAAGATTTCCGAGTTCGTGAGGTGGGTAGATGCCCCAAGAGAGGAAGGTACGAGAAACAGTGATGCTGATGGAAAGATGTAGTGACACCATGGCCAGAGCCGTAAAAAGCCATCAGCGAAGACCACCGACGAGATATATGTATTTGGCCGCGAACGAAGCCTTCTTGGAGCGAGACACAGGTCTGGGTCCTACTGAGGAAGAAAACAGATCCGATGAACAAAGAGACTGCTTCCGAGGAGGTCAATGCACCACAACCAGAGAAACTAAACATCACCTTCATCAATAGTCTCATTGATGAGATAGAGTGATGCATGCAAAAGAGAAAATATGTAGACAGTTACTTACAGCTATATATAATTGGCACGGGGCCGCAGGCATTTTCCAACAACAATGGGACAGCGCCATCAGGATACCTGAAAAGGATTGAAAACAATGACAAAAGGCTCATATCGCCATCCGAGGGTATATATATAAGGACGAACCGAGTCGACTATAGCTAGGTAGTCAGGACGGAAATTCGAGCAAATACCGGCCATCCGAGCAGGAACACGAATCTCTGGTCGAGCTTCTGCGAACTAAGACCACCCGGAACGAACTTGATGACGAAAGGCGTGAGACTCCGAGAAAGAAAGATCATTAAGAAGCCTTCATGATAATACTTTCGAATCCAAACTAGAGGCCCCAATCATCGAGCGCCGCCACTTTGGACCAATGAGTAGGACAAATACTTGGGATCTCTATATATATGAGAATGGCTGAGTCAAAGGGATTTACCAACAGCACAGTTTTACCCTTCACAGAAGCAGGGGAGAAACATATCAGAGAATCCATAGCTTCAGGTTTAAGACTCGAGAAGACATGTGATCTTTTGTGGTTTAGGACCAGCCATTCCAAAAGCTCAGTTGAGCACAATATTCATCTCCTACGGACTCCCACAGTGAACACAGCACAGAAACATCCTGTCTGGACACCCGAGGAGGATCGATTTCTTCACGATCGGCTGAGATGAAACTCAACAACAAAAGGTCTTACAAAGGCATTTCACAACAGATTCGGCCCAACTCGAAGCGAGGGAGCAATTATATATCAGAAAGACAACAATTAGAGCTTGGATGGAGAGCGAAGATATGCAAGATGATACACGAGACCTGGTGACAGATCGGAATGGCAAGAAGTCGAGAAGGTAATCACATGATAGAAGGGTGCTCATGCCGGAGAATGGGCCACATTGATGGATCAAGTGCGAGTGGTTGAAGATCGTACTATCATTGACTTTATGATGAGGGATGAAACCTAGTTTTAGCCTTGTCATGATTAACTATAGATAGATACACGGATATTCAGGAACCAGATCCACAGTACGCGTGTCTTGCAGGAGGCCTCGTATTGAGCAACAGGTCAAGGCATGCATGTGAAGACTATTCGATTAGCGATATGGCAGCATACATCTTATATCAGTAATTCTGTGTAGCTAGTCTAAAGATTAGTATAAAAGTGTCATAGGCCAAGAAACTAGGATATTCTAACAACGTAATATCCAAGAATAGTAATCCGAATGGGTCAGGTGTCTGTATAAGCTTGGGCTTCATATAACTGCAACAAACAACTGTTGAACTTCGCTTCAATGCACAAATGAAGGATCGACAGCTAAGGCCAGATATCCTAAGCTAACTAATACCTATCTAGATAGCCCCTGGAATCGCCCAGCATATTTCCAGCGTGAATCTGTTAGGATATGAAAAGACTTCGCCGCCAAGAACATAAACTTATGATAATTTAGACGAGTATTTAGACTATTTTATTTTAGCATTCTGCGAATCAATAGCATCGTGGATCCATTCACTGAGTGTATTCTTGGACCTTGGCCGGCACTCAATTACTTGAAAGAGTAGTTAGTATGCAAAGAGCCGCACCATACGGTGGTTGCGTATTACTCAGGCAAAAGACTCATCTGGTTGCGGACTCATTCCTTATACGGGGAAAGTGTAAAGCATTAGCAGTACTTTGGGCAATATGTGGAGTTGTTAATTTTTTATCAACAATTTCTCTACTGGTTGACGATGAAAGGATTTCTGATATTTATCTCCAGAGGGCTTGGAGGCGACCGAAGCTTGGCCGGAAGCTCCGCATGGGCTAGAACGTTAAGAATGAAGAGAGAAAATTTCTTGATTTATTTCCATAAACGGACAATGGCAGCTGTCATTGCTGCATACTTCTCCCCTGTCTCATGTTTCTCAGTGCATATCACGCTCTGACATGGACAGCTTCACAATGCTATAAACAGTATCGTGCTACTAAGCACGTGTATCTGCGCGCCTCGTACTGATACAAGTAAGACATTGTTAAACCAACCGAGATTATTACTGTGTTGCTTATATCGTCGACCAAGAAACAGAGCTGAGCGGTGACCCAGATCGGGGCTACCCGATGCGTTTGACAGGGGTGAGGTTATTCATGGATCTGGATATACTTACCGTCTCTCAACTCAATCTTTGCATCGTTAATTAGTACATATTCAGTTACCACATACTTGGTGGTGGCACACTCAATGGATTGGAAGTTGAGTCATAATTAGTCAGATGGATGTCGTCAACCTCGGAAGAAGATTATTTTACAATACAAACATGTAGTACACGGGTACGACTTCCATTCCTTAATTCCATATGTTGAATTTTTTCTTTTCAAGCAACCTTGTCTAGTGATGTGCCAGGGCCAAACAGAGCTTCGTAAGTCGAGGTACATGACTCTTGATGCCTGCCGAACCTCTTGGCTGAGCTATTTGCGCATCAAGATGAGTTAAAGTAACATTGATGAGGCCTCTCTTTGACATGATGCTTAGACTGATAGTTTGTATGAATCTCATCATCGTGAATATTCGCACACATATACAAGCAACAGTAACAACTTTCATTGTACCTGAAAGGTGATCGCATGTCCATGCCCGCCAAGAAACATTCTTAGTGCACCACTAGCGTGTTTCTAGCACCCGCATTGCCGTGAAAAGAACCTCTCGGGCACTAGCCATTGCCCAGGAAGCAAACGAGACCGGAGTAAAAGGAAACTGAGTGAATGGAAGTAGAATGGGAAGGTGGGACCCCCACCAGCGCGGGCCATCCTCTTTTATCATCGCTGTCGCAACACTTTGGGCTCCTTTAGTCTACGCTTCTTCTACACAACACTAACACTCCCCCCATATCGCTATTTTGGTTTGTTTTCTGATATCTTGGACTACAACCCATCAATAGCATCCATTTTGAATCAGATGGCTTCTCCAAATCCATCGCACGAGCTTCCTTCTCGTCCCAAGGACCTCGCTGGTAAGCTTATTCTCCGGTTCTACCGAGTTAACTCTGCCCCACCTTGATCCTCTTCTCTGCGCGCACTCAACCACATTGCGAAACAGTTGTGGTACAATCGCTAACATACAACTCTATAGAAGCTCCAGAATCGACTCAGAAATCTCAACAAGTCCCAGAGGTCAAGGAAGATGCGCCTGAGGATGTTTCCGGTGTCCGGTTCTCTTCCGCCGTCGAGGAGATCTCCCCCACACAACCCGTTACTGTAGAGCCGTCGTCATCGAACTTGGAACAAGAAGACAGAGATCAATCGAGCCCTTTCACAGAGGTCACTGCCGACCAACTCAAAGCATTCACCAAGTCACTTCATGGACGACCTCTGCAAGAATTGCGCCTGAACAACTGCCAGTTTGAAGCATTCTCGCTCCCAGCTTCCCGAGTATGTCTCCCCTGCTATGTATTCACGCACAATGAGTCCCTGCGATACTTTGTCGGTCAACTCGACATTTGAGGTCGTTATTCTGAGATTTTTGCAACCTGATTGTTGTTGCAATTTGTCCAGAGCCCGGATGAGCCGCCATAACTCAAGGTTCTGCGACTGACGCTAACTGATGTCATCACAGGTCCCATCAAACGAAGATGAATCTGGTCAGTCTACGAGACTGCCCACACCCACATCCGCCAGCTTTCAATCCCCACACAGCAGCCCTCAAATCTCATCATTGGCGTCCCCTCCCCTTACTCCCGCTGGATCCGGTCAGGCTAGGGAAGGATCGAAACCGAGCGACCCTCCGATTATCACCCCACAACCATCGTCATCCCACGAAAAGGCCTCGCCAGCTCCCGACAGGAGACCCTCGGCTCAACGAGCTGCCTCGGATCATGCGGTTCGTAGGGCATCGTCAGCTGAAGAGCAGCACCAGCCTCATCGGCGAGGCATGTTTGGAGGCGGAGCTGGTTCGGTGCCTGCTTCCCGAGAGTCTAGTCCTTCTCGCAGCTCAGCATCCCACTTCTATTCCAAACCGTTTACCCCTGGCGGCGATAAAAACGACCCCTACGCCAAAGGCCGACGACCAGCGCCAGCAGCACACACTACAAAGAACTCGATCGACCCTCGATTCATTTTCTCTCGCAAGAAGAAGCATAGCTCCCCTCATGGGTCAAAGGCAAATCTCAATGAGAAGCGTGGATCTTCAATCTTTGGAGGCAGTGCCAGAAATAGTAGTGAAGAACTGTCGCACAATGATAGTGCCACCACCGGCAGCCTTCATCCTGGACAAGGCTCTATGGCAGATTTGAAGAGGTTCTTCCGAAAAGGTGGACACCATAACAAGAAGAGGGAATCGTCCCCGGCGCCATCTATCAAGAGCTCCAAGGCACCCTCAACTACCACCAAGTCGACTCAGCAGCTGCCTTTTGGAGATGACCATGGCCTGTCTTCCAAGTATGGAAAGCTCGGCAAATTCTTGGGGTCCGGAGCTGGTGGCTCGGTTAGACTGATGAAGCGCAAGGACGATGGCACTGTATTTGCTGTGAAGGAGTTCCGTGCGAGACACACCTACGAAACCGAAAAGGAGTACAACAAGAAAGTGACTGCTGAGTTTTGTGTTGGGTCGACTCTTCACCATGGCAACATCATCGAAACATTGGACATCTTGCAAGAAAAGGGACGGTGGTATGAAGTGATGGAATACGCGCCGTTTGATCTCTTTGCGATTGTTATGACCGGCAAGATGTCACGAGAAGAGATAACATGCTGCTTCCTTCAGATTCTCAACGGTGTGACCTATCTGCACAGCGTGGGCCTTGCGCATCGAGATCTGAAGCTGGACAATGTGGTCGTGAGCAGTAAGGGTATCATGAAAATCATTGACTTTGGTAGCGCTCATGTCTTCAAATATCCTTTTGAAACTGGCACAGTACCAGCCAAGGGTAAGTACTAGCGTGAGCAAGGTGAAAACTTTGGCTAATTTGTCTCAGGTATTGTCGGTTCCGATCCTTACCTCGCCCCTGAGGTCTACGACGCCAAGGAGTATGATGCTGTTGCTGTAGACATCTGGTCTTTGGCCATTATCTTTTGTTGCATGACTTTACGCCGTTTTCCTTGGAAGGTGCCACGAATGACAGACAATTCGTTCAAGCTGTTCGCAGCGGATCCCACGCCCGGACACGATCCCAGAAAGTTAATTGCGCCCTCAAAGTCGACAAATGATTTGACCAGCACACCTGCCCGAGACTTCTTGTCTGAGGATGAGACAAAGAAGCAGTCCCATCAGGAGCGCAAGCTGGAAGGAACCTCGGAACAGGCGAGCTCCGCAAATGATTCCAAGGCACCTGCTTCAGGAGAAAAGAAAGAAGTTATTCGAGGACCTTGGCGCATTCTGCGCTTGCTACCCAGAGAGAGCAGACACATCATTAGCAGAATGCTTGACCTCGACCCCAAGAAACGAGCCAGTATGGAAGAGATCCTCCAAGAGCCATGGGTGGCTGATACTGTGATCTGTCAGCAATTTGATCATGGCGAGGTGGTCCCCGCCGAAGACCACACGCACATTTTAGAACCACCAGCCAATCAACAACCGGAGAAGAAGTGATGCTAGACAGTTGAGACACAGCTACTAGAAAGCATGGAGTAACCGATAGGGAATATGCCGGAATTTGGCGTTTTGAGAGCAATTGCGAGTATCAATTGCTGGTATGGTTGGAAACGTATTTGTTTGTACTGCGCATCATGAATGACGAACGGATAGATGGTGGATTGGCAACTGTAAAGAGTACTGGTGTAGCGTAAGATTAATCACAGCGGAAAACGGACAGGACTACAGAGGATAAGTAGTGAGTAGGGGAGAAGAAAAAGTTGAATACAATTTGATATTGCGAACTTGGCCTCATAGACCCCGGCTTATACGTCGTTCGGCATCATAGGCCGGTTTGGGATATGGATCGAAATAAGTGGTGTAGTGGGGTGACGGTCGTCGGAACCGGGGAAAATCCAGAGCCGAGGGGAAAGCTTGGGGAAAAAATTGCTGACTCTTCTGGAAGCTGTTGGAAGAGAGATCCACCGCCGATTTGAACTCCGTTGATCACCGAAGCCGAACTCTTTCCTCTTATTTACTTCTCCAATCACGAATCTACGACTCTTCTTCTCCATATCATAATCATCTTACAGCTTAATCACAATGGTGCGTTCATGATTACCTCATTCATGGTCCATGCTATCATGCCAATGCTTCAACCCAAACGCTTAAGCTATTTATCCTCGGCAATTGGAAAGCCGGGGGGAGGCAAAGGTGGAAGAGATTGAAGCATGAGGCGCATGGGACCTATGAATTACAAGATGGAATGACTGGAACTAACATTGTTGCGCTGTAGGCCACCTCCATCAAGTCCATCCGAGCTCTTGCTCCCCTTCTTGACCGTGTCCTCGTCCAGCGCATCAAGGCCGAGACCAAGACTGCCAGCGGCATCTTCCTGCCCGAGTCCAGCGTCGAGAAGCTCAACGAGGCCAAGGTCCTCGCTGTTGGCCCCGGTGCCATGGACAAGAAGGGTAACCGCCTACCCATGGGTGTTGCCGTCGGTGACCGTGTCCTAATCCCTCAATTCGGTGGCTCTCCCGTCAAGGCCGGCGAGGAGGAGTTCCAGCTCTTCCGCGACAGCGAGTAAGTCAATAAAAAGCGCAATCGAGCGCCACTTGGTGTAAGAAACGAGTATGCTGACCAACTTGCTTAGGATCCTTGCCAAGATCAACGAATAAGATACCCAAATCACAAAATCAAATCAAACAATAGCCAGCCTGTATCATATTGTACCATATCGAAAGCGGCGGACGTGAGAGATGAAACCTCTGCTTAAGTCGCTTGAGAGGGGGAAGAGAGCGGAGTTGATTATAATCTAGGCGCAAAAAGAAACGACAGACCAATTACGCAGAGGAGTTCGAGAAGATGCATGTGCGTTTTGTGTATAAGTGTGTATGAGAAGTAAAAACCATTGACGCTTGTTGGGTTGGTCGCGTAAGACAGAATCAAATCTCCACTCTTACCCTTCTAATATCATGATTTATGTCGTTTTTGCTGTGTGATAAGCCATGTTTGCTCATTTGTGTTGTGTTGGTCTTCCTAAGTAGATATAGGAGAGTCTGAGCAACTGTCGGTCGCATGTATAGGGCAATTGATGATCAATTGCTCTTAGATACCCGACTCTTCACGACGGCGGGTACTCGCTTGAGCTGCCGAAGCGCCTGAGAGTAGTGGAGAGATCGAAAAGAGCGACCTCTATGCGGCCAATGTTTTGTTTATCGAAACATACTTGGCCGCCTGAAAACGGTTGTTTCGAAACAAATCATAAAGTGCCGACCTCCCTCAGTCAGCTGACCTGGGCTTGTCAATCTGACACTTGAAAGTAAAGGGATCTCGCAGCTCGTTTGGAAACACTGTGGCTTAGGGAAAAAGCAATGTGATGATGCAGGAGAGAAACGTGCCAAGAACCAAAAGCAACGTTTGTTCGAGTGTGATCAACATGAGTTGGGATGACAGCGGAATAGCTCATGTGTGTGATGTTAGGCTATGCGACTCATTTCTCGAGGCTCGTTGGCTCGTTGGAGCGTGATGAAGGGGCAGTGGGTGAGTTTTAAAATGGCCCCTAGCATTAAACTTGTGGAGGAGGAGGATCGACGAGATCCTTGTCGATCAGGCTGTACTCTAATCGCACAACAGCAAGAAGGTCGAAACAAAGTCGAATACTTGACGTTCTGGACATCAAATGTTCATACAACTTCTAGTATACCGATATATTTGTAGAGTATTAAGCTGGATACCTCGAAATAGTCCTATCCACCAGACTATCACAGTAGAACAACATCAATCAGAGTCAAACATCGCTCAATGTCACCGTCAGGGGTTCCCCAATATCACTGGCCCGTGTGCGGCTGAAGCAAACCCCTGAGGGTTTCGATCCACGAAGGATGAATAGAATTGACAGAACGCACAGAAGCGAGACGGTGTTAAGCAAGGAATTAAGTGATGAGATTGAAAATCGAGAAACACTAGAGTGAGCAAACAGTATTTGTCAAGTTTCAATGCATATTAATCCTTGTAATGACTTGCTTTTGCAGATGGCCAACAGCTGCCGGATAAGTTTCCTGCATGTCCTTGAAAAGTGCATATTGCCTGAACCGTTGGTACTCTCACCTTAGTAGATAATAGTGCAGTAGAACGTACAAAATTTAAGCTTATTCACTCAGTGTATAAAATATAATAATAGAAGTAAACCATATCTTAAGTAAAATGAGGAAGTAGCTAAACAGAATGAGCCTTCTCTTCAACTGTCCTCATTGGTAGGTTACACCCACAACGGAAACGCCCGCCTGGCTAGGCGCCTTCCTTGACGCAGGTACCAGCAAAATAGTCCGACCAGTCCTGGGCTTAGCTTGAACTGTTCACCCAATCCAACTCATTCTACTTACACCCACAGACCTCTCTCTCCCGGCGACTGCGACTACGTTTCATCTTGATCATCTTGGCTCTCAGCGATTGCTCACCAAATGATGCGCCACAAGGATCGTGGCCTTGGCCTTTTCCTGGCCCCTGACCCTCCAAGCTTGACGGCCACGACGGTCAGCGGCATGGACCATGGCCCATGTCTGTTTGATTAAACCTACACACAGAAAGCTAGGTATCTAGGAAACGCTCATATATCCGTAGTACTCTCGGACTCACCTGGTACTCTATTATCCTTGTCCAAGTGGGAAAAGGATCAAGCTAGGGGTCAAGCCACCGTTTGAGATGCTGGCACTGTTTGTCGCCTGCGTACCAAATCACTGGTAAGTTGACCTGCTAGTGTAACTTTGGCATGACTTCGATCCATGTCTGGACCTTCGGGACCCTTCACAGACCTGGTTCGCCCAGGGAAATACGATCTGTAGTCTGACCCGACCTGAGCTTGAGTGAGATGAGCTCTGGACCTCGTGATTCGAGTATATATCCAAGCATTCCCACGAAGTTGGTGATGCTTCCCCCCTCTCCTATCTCTACCTTCATCCTTACTCATTCTGGTGCACTCGGGTTGCTTGTCGACTCTTTTATTTCTCTTCGACTCTTCGTTCCTTTTGATTGACAGTCATTCCTTACTGCCCTCTCGTGGCATATACACTCTCTCTTTACTACAGCAATCAACAACTTAAGCCCTAGCGGTTTTAGCAGAAACTGGTTTTCTGCATCTTTCTCTTTTGTGCTTTATCGAATCTACTCGACGTATTCACCATGAAGTTTCTCACTACCGTCCTTGGCCTCGCCTCTGCTGCGAATGCCCACACTCTCTTCACCACCCTCTTCATCGATGGTGAGAACCAGGGCGATGGCACTTGTGTTCGTCAGCCCAAGGATGCTTCCAAGGCCAACAGCCCTATCTACCCCATTGACGGAGCTGCTATGGCTTGTGGTATGTATATAGCGAAGCCAAATACGTCTTTGTATCAGTGACTGACAATCCCCTAGGCGAGAACGGTGGCAAGGCTGTCCAGTACACTTGTCCCGCCCAAGGCGGTGCTAAGCTCACCTTTCAGTTCCGCGAATCTCCCAGTGGTCACAAGAAGGGTGCCATTGCCGAAGGCCACCGAGGCCCATGCTCCGTCTACATGAAGAAGGTCGACGATATGAAGTCAGACTCTGCTGCTGGCGACGGCTGGTTTAAGGTTTTCGAGGATGGTTACAATGTGAAGGAGGACAAGTGGTGTGTCGACCGCCTCATCGAGAACAAGGGTCTTCTTTCTGTTGACCTTCCTACTGGTCTTCCTGCTGGATACTACCTCGTCCGACCCGAGATCCTCGCCCTGCACAGTGCTCCTGAGGGCGACCCTCAGTTCTACCAAAGCTGTGCTCAGATCTTCATTGAGAACGGCCCTGAGGGTTCTCTTGAGATTCCCGAGAAGTACGAAACCAGCATTCCTGGCTATGTTACCAAGAAGGACCCTGCTGTGACTTTCAACATCTACGACGAGCATGGCGAGTACCCTATCCACGGACCTCCTGTCTGGAACCCTACCTCTAAGGAGACTGGCACCAAGAAGACTCAGAAGGATGGTCTCATTCCCAAGAACTGCTTGGCTAAGAATGCCAACTGGTGCGGCAAGCCTGTTGCCAAGTACTCCGACCAGACTGGCTGTTGGGATGCAGCTAAGAAGTGCTGGGATCAGGTTGGTGACTGCTGGGACAATGCTCCCCCTACCGGCGGTTACGGTTGCGATACCTGGAACGACTACTGCCAGGAAATCAACGACGCTTGCAAGGCGACGAACTTCAACGGCCCCCCTGCCTTTAGCGGCAAGGAGCACTACGTCGAAACCCCAGGCCCCATTCCTGCTGCTTACGGAAACTTCAAGGCCAGCGATGTAACTAAGAACATCAAGAACACCTACTCGAACTATGCGCCTGCTGGAGACTACAACAATGTTCCCAGCAACGACGTCCCCAGCAAGACAACTAAGACTGTGAAGGCGCCTGCTGCCACTACCAAGGCGTCGAAGCCTGTCTACGTCGATCTGCCTTCTCAAGAAACTGCGACTCGCAGCAAGAGTAGCGATGAGGAGAACACCCTATTTACCGACACTCCTGTTGCTGTTGCTCCTCGTCCCATTGAGACCTTCCCTGTCAAGGTATCCGAAGACGGTCGTTGCGGCGGCGAGACTGGTCAGACCTGTGAGGCCAGCAAGTTTGGCGACTGCTGCTCTCGCGATGGCAAGTGTGGCCGCAAGACCAAGCAGTGTGGATGCGGTTGCCAGAGTCTTTTTGGTATCTGCAACCCCAAGTAAAAGCGTGCAAGAACGGAAAGTTTGGGTTCGATTCTTCTTCAATTCTTGATGTACATTTGAATGGATGATTGTTTGTTGTGTGGCTGTCGGCCACAGCTTGTCTTATTAGCTTTTATGAGAAATCAATTGATTTGTTTCTGGTAAACGTCCTTTGTGTTTAATTGAGATGGTAACTTTTATACTGGCAGGTCTTACAAGTTCAATCTAACGTTAGTGATGAAACACCACAAGCCTCAACTGCATAGATTGCCGCCATGCATAAACACCCATGATGTCTGCAGTACCGCAATGATGCCACCGCTTCCAACTAAGCTTCTAATGCCGTGGAAGGCGTGCCATGTGGCATGGCTTGGACGCACTAGGCGTGGCTGACCTGTTGATGAGTGTGTCTCGTGATGATGTCTCTTCAGATGACGTCGTAAGCCAGGGGCAAAAAAGTTGGAGGGACCTAACATAGAATTGTGTAGGGGAAACAAGCCGTTGTGGAACCCAAACTCTGCGAAGAAAACTCAAAGCGAGTATTAAAGACAAACGCCACAGCATTTGTTGTTCAGGGGCATGCCGAGATGGAGTTGAAGATGCTCAAGTAGACGACTTTCTGTAGAGTAAGGGATTTGGCTTGGTGACAGGACTCGGCTGTTTGTATGGGGACGGCCAATGAAGAATCTATATCGAATGATATGCAGTTTTATAAACAGTTACAAGATATATAATTGAAACTGTCTACAGGTGGATGCATAATTGAGTTTATGCAGTCGGCTATCTGTTAGTGCTGTTCTATCTGGTGGATTGACAGTCATTGTCTGCCGTTTCAAGTTTTGGAAGATATCAGGCAGATGAATAGATTCTATTTACTATAAACCAGTATTGAGCACCGCTGAATAAGAGAGTATTCAATGTGTTCCATCGATATGCAGACTGAGATCGAGTCCATCTGACACGTAACTCATCTAACCGCTGAAACAGTCCCAACCGAAATCAGCAGCATTCGGCGCTGTAACAGCCTAAAACCAAGGGACCCCAGAGGCGACATAGGCGCCCCTCAGCCCCTGTACACGTACCTAGGTATCTATCACTGCGCCATATCTATTGCCTGCCTGCCAAGTGTACCTTTTTAGTCGGGCCCGTGGTCAAAGTCCCCCTCCACTCAGAGCGTGGTCCGTCCAGTCTGTTTCCCCATTCCCATTCCCATTTCCAACTTCCGACTCCATACCTAACTCCATCTCCATCTTCAACCCTCGACGACCTAGTCTACACCTACACTACATCACCCATCGGACAAACGAGGCCTCAACTTCCCTCAACCTTTCACTCCTTCAGATCCGAAATTGCTCCCTCGCCATCGTCGCTTTCGTCCACAGTAGCGGCTTTTGCTACTTCAACCTTTCGCAACCATGTCGAGTAATCGCAACTATGATTTCCTGGTACGATACACTATTCATTCCCATCTATCCAATCTATTCCCCCCCACCGCCCGCCAAACCCGCCCCCTGCGGCCCTTGGATTCAGACTGTCTCGATATCACAACCACGACGACTATCTCATGACAGCTTGCATCGCGCTGTAGCGGTCGCTTTCATTCACTGCATGCGACGACCTCTTGATATCTCCCGCTGACCCTCTGCTGCTATGTAGATTAAGCTGCTCCTGATAGGCGACTCCGGCGTCGGCAAGTCGTGCTGTCTGCTACGGTTCAGCGAAGACTCCTTCACCCCTTCATTCATCACCACTATCGGTATCGACTTCAAGATCAGGACCATTGAGCTCGATGGAAAGCGCGTCAAGCTGCAGATCTGGGATACCGCCGGCCAGGAGCGTTTCCGCACTATCACCACCGCCTATTACCGCGGTGCCATGGGAATCCTTCTTGTCTACGACGTCACCGACGAGCGCTCATTCAACAGTACGTCTCTCTACTCTCTACGATTCGGCTCGCTATGCACATTTCACGATACTTGGTTGCTGTGCCTCTCACCTACCGGGTGGCCAGCTAGCCTTGCCTGTCACCCTTGACCAATCAACCAACGCATTCGCTTTCGAGCCACTCATACCCTCAACAAAACATAAGACTAATTCCCTCGCAGATATCCGAACTTGGTTCCAAAACGTCGAGCAGCACGCTACCGAGGGTGTTAACAAGATTCTAATCGGCAACAAGTGTGACTGGGAGGAGAAGCGCGTTGTTTCCACCGAGCAAGGCCAAGGCCTTGCCGACGAGTTGGGCATTCCTTTCCTCGAGGTCTCCGCCAAGAGCAACATCAACATCGACAAGGCTTTCTACAGTCTAGCCGCCGACATCAAGAAGCGACTTATCGACAACTCCAAGAACGACCAGCCTGCAGCGAGCGGCGTCAACGTCAATGATAAGAGCGAAGGCGGCGGCAGCAAGTGCTGTTAAACACCGAATACCCCAAAGGCGTCCGTTTTCTGTCATTTCTCCGTTTGCCGTCTATTTATTTTATCAAGCTTATAACTTTGTAAACTCGGGGGAAAGGACATGCCTTGTATGAGTCAGGCAGGGTACCTGAGTGAGAGGGGAAAGGGAGAGTTGAAGAGTTCACTATGAGAGTGGAATTTCAAACTGCGTTCCGTGCGTATGGAGAGATGCAAGGGAAGGGAAGGAACCGAAAGAGAGAAATGGATGGCTGCGAATTGAACTGGGCGGCAAACATCAGTCACATTCAAAGGAGAGGCGCGACATAGCGAGGGGTTTTGGCCATGTCTCATTGTTCCCCCGATCAACCTTTCCACCCCATCTTAGAGAGCAAATCCGGTCTGGAGTTTCGGTTTTTGATCTGGGTCTAATATACATTGCTTTCGTTACGTGTCCGGTTGCGGTTCGCGGTCAACGTTGTTGTTACCTTGTTTTGTTTGCAGAATGATTACAGGGCTTTTACGAAAGCAGAGACAAAAGAAAGGCTACATCGCGAGAGAGGCTGCTGGGCGCCTTGCCGCCAAGAGAGACACGATGGAGGTATTGGGAGGATCAGTGAGCTTTTGTTTCTAACTTTATTTTTGTCTTCTATCATATATTTACAGTCGCTAAATGTCAACGTATGATGCTTTTAACCGATTACGCAACACAACGCCTTCACCCTGGTCATATTCCAGGATGCGCTGATTCCAGCTGCGAATGAATCGCCATGCTGTCTCTGGTGTTTCGCACACCATGATAAAACGCGAAGAGTGCCTTTGACGGAACTCTGCGTCGTTCCTGCGTACCCGCGATGTGCTTCGGGAGATCTTCTTCTCCAAGTCTTTAACCTCTGAGAGATCATATAGATGAGTTTCAATTGCCCAATTATAACCGCTTTCAGCACCGTCCTGGTCGATGATAGCCTTGAGCTGCTCCGCTGGAAAGCTCTTTTCCGGAAGCTCGATCAGCACTGCGCTAGGGCGAACGGTCTTGATGTGTGAGTCCTTGATAATCTGATCGATGACATGCTGCCAAGCCATCTTGCCCTGTACGCGAGTCTGCCTCGTCTTGATACGGGCCTGGTATGAACCCGGAAGGATCGTGAAACGCTCGAGTTCTTTGTGGGGATCTTTATCCTTTTCGAGTAGCACTCGAGGAAACTTGCCAGTCCAAAGACCACTTTTGCTATTGAACTTAATCTGGGCAAGACGCAGGAGTCGCTCGAGTTTATCTCTATATAGACTGACGGCGGCAGCGGAGGGGAATGTGATATGGTATACGCCGAGTGGTTCCATGGTCCAGGGGTCTCGTTCCTGGTAAACTGGCTTTTGTAAGCTGTCGAGTTCTGTTTACGTGCGCGGAGTTGTGGTACCATGAGAGATGATTTCGTTCCAACCAGCGAGGCTGTCAGCAGCAAGACGATTAAAATCGGCCGGTAGTAACGTCGTAGGAAGTCCAGAAAGGACTAGCTTATGCTTGGTAGCTTCATTGGGCGAAGACGATTGTCCTTGAGGTTTCCTTCCATTGTTGAACCGATTATTCGTTGTCGCAGACGAATTCCTACGAGGAACTCTGGATCTCGTCTCGTTTAGCTTCGCAGAGGAGGTGGAGAATCTAGCATTGACGAGTCTGTTGCGGACGACGAGGATCGCCCTGGCACTGGGTAGCCATCTGGGGTGATTCATCCGGGCGACGGGGTGTGAGGAAACATGGAGAGAGTGTGAGGCTCGTGATAGTGGAAGTTTAGCAGGTAGGTTCAGTACCTTGCAGTAATTACCATGCAAGTCTGGAGAGAAGCCGCTTTGCGGAATTGGGGCCGAGATCCGAAGTGGTTTAGCGGGGTTGTACTGCACTGGACCCTTCCATTGTACATGTAATTCAAGGTTAAGGCATTGCAAGAACTGATGATAGGATCCTACCACGAGGATATCTGAACCTTATTGCTGGATCAGAGGAATGACTTCTCATTTGAGTCATCAAGTGGTTGGAACGACACATAATGAGTCTTTGAGGTTGTTCAAAGTCTAACGAACGAAATAATTTGGTCATTCTAGGCCAATTTAGGCAATGCATTTACACCATTTATTTCCGCCACCCTAAACTTAGGAAACTTTTCTGGAATTGAGAGGGTCGCACTTGCCTTACTGGCATGCGGTGGTGGGGTAGTGCGCACCTGCCGTTTGTTGCTTGACTTCAAGAACTCTTCAATAACAGCCTTTCCCGAGTAAATCAAGGAGTCAAAATAAGTTTGTTTACAGTAAATGCACTCTGATTGTCTTAAGCCGCATATTGTGACTCAATCCATCTTGCCGTTGAGAACTTAAATAAGAAGGGTGATGTGTTTTACTGCTGTTGGTACTGATAGATATCGATTGTGACTGTCGTGTTTAAAAAAAGAAAAAGAAAAAGTTAGGCTGTGTCATATTCTCTAAGCCGCCTTGAACTCAAAGACTTGGAAAGTCAACATTAGATGAATCAAAACAATATGTTCTTGACTATATATACAGCACTTTTCTCTTCTTCATTCATCACTCAATCAATTCAACATAGGTAATCACCCTTCACAGTAACCAACCAAGTCAAGCCAGTCCATCGGCCCCAGCTACCCCTGCCCACTTTTGGACCATACCTAGTTTTAGCTTATTCTAAAGTTATAAAACTTTAGGCAAACCTCTTCCAACAACCATAACATTTAGGTCCAACTTTTGTCCCTTATCATGCTTGCCGAAAGCGTTGACGTCAAGGTGAGACCCTTGGCCAGCGTCAGCCTCGAAAAAGCGAGTCTGCTTGGGGCGGCCCGGGTCTATGTGAGCAGAGATACTCTTCTATCTCTAACTGGCAGCCTAAAACCCGGAAGGCATTGTATCATAACCAGGCTGGATACTGCCGCCTCGAAGGAAGATGGACCTCAGCCGGAGCTGCAGCGAGAAGCCTCGCTGTATATCCTACCGGAGAAGAATCTCAGCCCCAACATCGTTATGATGACAAGGATGTTCCAAGACATAACCGGCTTCAAGGTCGGAGACCAAACCCGCATAACACTCGGGAGCACGGCGATGCCTGAGACTTCTGAGGTGGTTATGCAGGATGTCACTGAGGATTCTGATAAGAAAGTGGCGCTGGAGGAAATTGAGAAGAAGTGTGCTTATGCACCAGAATGGAGGTTCCCAATCGCACTTGCCTTCGGTGAGTAAATTTCACTTTGTGTATAATGTGGTCGAGAGAGCTGACTCTCCTGTAGAGAAAGCTCAGCAGGTTTTCCCTGGAATGGTGGTGGACGCACAGCAGAACCAATACAAACGAAACTTCAAGGTCATATCTGTGAATTCACAGACGAATAACCTGGCAAATTTTGCCCCTGGCACAACGGCAATTAATATTGTCGATGACAGCACAGCAAACGCCGAAGTCGAGGCACAAAGTCCTGGTGACTTGGTTCTAAGGGGAGTCCCTGGAATGTCGGCCCAGGTCAAGAAAATCAACCGTTTCTTCGAAGGCTTCACCAGAGAACTGATGTGGGCAAAGGAGAGGGATTCATGTGCTTTTGTTATTCACGGAGGTCACGGCACTGGAAAGTCCTTCATCCTCAACCGTATTGCTGAGACAAGATGGGGCAAAGTACACTGGATCAAACCCTCAGACAAACTTGCTACCATGCGGGAGACTTTCAAGCTAGCGCAGAGCCAGCAGCCGAGCATGATATTGATCGATAACCTTCAGGACTTGATCAGCAAGGACCGCTCTAATGTCGACTCTGTTATCGAGCTATTGCGCGATGAGCTCGCCAGCCTCTCTGCTAGTGCATCGTTAAACAATGCTCTGCCTCGAGTCCTGATAGTGGCCACATGCTCTGACTTCTTCACAGACATTCCCAACTCACTCCGAGGTCGAGGCGGTTTTGCAGATCATACGCCCCTGCCTATACCCAGAACCCAAGAAAGGCTTGAAATCCTCGAATTCGAGAATTTGCACATTGAGCCAGCGGAAAAGCACTCAATCCTATCAGACCTCGCACAGAAGACGCACGCATACAGCCCACGCGACCTCGGAATGATCTGTCATGAGGCAAACCTGATTGCATCATATCGAATCCTGGATGCAGGCATCGGAGCCTCTCCTGAAGAACGATTTATCAGGAGGTCAGATGTGGAGGAAGCCAAACGTATGGTCAAGCCAACGGTCATGCGAGACATCAACCTCAACCCTCCTACTATTCACTGGCAAGATGTTGGTGGCCAAGACGTTTTGAAGAAGGTACTCAACCGAATGGTCAAATACACCAAGAACCCAGAGCGATCCCTTCGCCCTCCACCTAAGGGTCTTCTTCTTTATGGCCCTCCTGGTTGTTCCAAGACCTTATCCGCCCAGGCTGCCGCCACCGAATCCGGCTTCAACTTCTTCGCTGTCAAAGGTGCAGAGCTTCTCAACATGTATGTCGGTGAGACTGAGCGTGCGATTCGTACCCTCTTCGAGCGTGCTAGCAATGCGGCTCCTTCTATCATTTTCTTCGACGAAATTGACTCCATCGGCGGTCAAAGATCGGGAAGTGGCTCTGCTTCTCGCAGCACAGGCTCAGTCAATATGCTCACAACTCTTCTCACCGAGATGGACGGTTTCGAAGCCCTTTCTGGCGTGCTTATCCTTGCTGCTACAAACCGTCCCGAATCTATGGACCCGGCACTGATGCGACCCGGCCGATTTGATCAGATTCTCTACGTTGGTCCCCCTGACGGGCCCACCCGTGAGGCTATCTTCAATGTACATCTGCGCGGCCTGCCTCTTGCGCCAGACGTTGATATCCCCGAGCTTTCTCGCCTGTCTGAAGGATACTCCGGTGCAGAAATCAAGGCAGTGTGTACCGAAACCTGTCTGATCGTGCAGGAGAGCTTCGAGGACGGCGAAATCGAAAAGCTAGAGTTGTCTATGAGTGATTTGACAACTGTGTTGCAGAGGACACCGCGTAATATTACGCAGCAGATGATTGATGGTTATGAAAAGTGGTCTAAACAATTCAAAAAGGTCTAAAGTCTAGGCTAAGCATTATTGTGAGCCCAGACAAGGGGGGACGAGACGAGATGAGTTGAGACAAGTCTAGATGAGTTTCAAAAAGTTTACATGGGCTCAGGCAAGCTCGGATGAGTTGAGATGACTATACGACAACGGGCAAAGGTTATGATTTGTTTAGACTAGATATGCAGGTAGGTAGACCAACTGCCGCAATGGGAGAGAAAAGTTTGTCTTCATTTAGACTCGATTTTTTCATTTCTTCGTTACGAGGGGCTCAGGGTCGGCGCAAACTATCGCCTCCAGACCGGACCCCAACTCCTCCTCGCTTGACTCGCGAGAGCTATAGAAGTCATAAAGTGTATGATATACAACTCCACACCAACGCTGCAAAGCCACCTTCATAGTAGACCAACGGTCTCTGCTCAACTAACATCTGCTTTTCGTAAAAAGACATGCTATCTTCAAGTCCTGCCAATCTCGACGTGCAAAGCCCAGTTCCACCACATGCCTTGCCAAATGCCGTTGCCGCCGCTTCTCGACGACTCTATCACCCAATAAGAAGGGTAGAATTCCGGTCCAGACAGAGCCCTATTAGACCAGACCAAGCAGTGCCAACATTCTCCCACGCATGCCTAGTTAAAGGATGATGCGGAGACCATAGCAAAGCATAGGAATACCAAAGAATATAGTGACGGGAGACCACTAAAATAATACAAAACAACGCCGATTCTCTCCGCCTGCCCATGCCTGGGCCAGCAAGATATACTTGCCAAAATGTAGTTATGTAGAGACAAGACCTCGTCCACGCCTCAATTTCATCAATACCGAATAAAAAAGACCAACAACCGGTACGCCGTCGCCGAAAGCAGTGAAGGGTAATGTTTACGACTCCTCGTTCGAACCTGGGCCACTGCCTGCTTTTAAGCTGGGAGAAAGACTGATGGCTATCTTCTTGCCACCGCCGCTGGTGGGATTACCATTGAAGCTTTTGCGTTTTGTCAAGCCACGTGTGTTGCTTGAGATTGCGGTAATAGAGCCACTGCTGTTGCGTCGCTTATTCTGCATCAGCTTTCCAATCTCATCCTCGTCATCTTCCTCTTCACGTCGACGCTTCTCTGAAAGTCGCTCTGGTGGCGGTACACCTCCTCCCAGGCTCGAGTCGATCGGCGAGCCCACAGCATCCGATGCCACATCACTATGCTCAGGAGTTGCTTCGGGGTCGGCGTTCTCGTCTGTCTCCTCATCAGACGCGTAATCGACCAGAAGCTTCGAGGTGATAGATCCATTCGTAGACGGCGTCTTCTCTCCATCCTTGCTGTGGTCCTCTTCGTCTTCAGGATCGGACACGGCCCAGTACTCCTCTTGTTCTTGGTCGACAGTGATTTGTTCCGCCAGTCTTGTGTTTGGTGGGGGCCTTCTACCCATCTCATCTTCGCCTTCCATGAAATAATCGACGTTCGAGGTGTATCCTTGCGTGCAGTCGTACTGAGAAACGATGTACCGGAATGTCGGCATATAGCTCAAGCTCATTAGTTGTTCTCTATGGTTGACAACAAGGTACTTGATGGCATCTTTAAGAGTTTCTTTCTTGATGAACTCAAAGAACTCGAGACAAGCCGAACTTAATAGGTTGTCGCGAGGCATGGTTTCGATGAGTACTTCGAGAATGGGTCCCAGCACTTGCTTCTCTACGAGATGCTTGATGTAGAACTCATCTTGCATGCCGATGACTGAGCGGAAGAAGCGAATTGCAACTATACAAGTCAGTAAGAGTCAGGCTAAGGTATTGGGTTATCTCAAACCTAGTCGCAAGAACTTCTCGGGGCACGCGAGGAGCTGAGACACGCGCTTGACAATATCATGACTCATGACATAAAACTTGACGCGCAAAGTATGCTGGCGGATGAAAAATGTCAAGATCTCAATAAGATACGTAAACATCGAGGCCTGTTGGACGGTAAAATTCATATCGGTTCGCTTCTCCAAGTCGACCAATGGCTTGAACAACTTCGGTGCTGATGATTCGTAAAATTCGTGTAAAAACACTTCTTGAGGGGTCTTAGCAGAGTCTCGGTGTCCTTTTTGGTTGTCAGACTTACCATTTGCTTTTTGAAAAGCCTCACTTTGCATTTGCTGTGGGCCAGGATCTAAGAGAACCTTGAGGGCTTCGGATATTTGAGATTTGACACCAAGGTCAACCTCGACTAGAAGAAGATCGATTAAAGAGTCGGTCAGAGGGGTCACTTTTTCGTGTACTTGTCGGTATAGTGTTTGTCGAATCATCTGAGGGTCATGATCGATGATAGATATCAGGATGTCAGTAGCTCCGACTCTAACGCCAACGTCATGATGCCGCAATCCGAAATTGATGACTTGAAGAAGTCCATGGGCCAGAAAGTTGTTGTATAGTGTCTGACGGTTTGGTGGCTGAATGTTTTTGGCGATGGCGCAACATTGTTGAATGAACAGCACAGCTTCCTTCTTCCTCTTCTGGTCATCGTTCGAGGGACTGAAGATGCCAAAAAGGTCGCTAAGGAAAGCTGCATTGGTTTGCAGATGTTGAACTATGTCGACCTGGTTGAAAAAGATGAGAGAGTTGAGAACCGAGAAGGTGGGGTCATCGAGGATACGGGCGAGTACGACGTCCTTCAAGTACTGCAATCGATATGTCTGGTGAATTTTCCTGCGGATCTGGTCGTCTTCAATCGGAACCACCTCTTTGTAGCGGCCTTGGTTACCCAACCAGTGTCGATGATTGGCTTTATGACTAGGAAAGTCAGGATCGTACTCTAGGGCACCAACAACACCCAGGACACATTCGTCTGATACTGCGTGTTCGATAATCGAAGTGTCGTTAAGAAGAATGACGGTCTTCATAATATTGCAAAGTCGATGCAAATCTTGGAGACTCTCGAGATCTTCCGCCATCTCAACCAGGGGAACGATCTTGCCAATAAAATCTTCAGCCATAATCGTCTTGGCGAGTCCATCTCGGCCATTAGCGGTGGCACTAAGTATCCGCATAGCCGATTCTATATCGGCAAGATTTCCGAGTTCGGGGGACGGCAAGTTGATAGATTGCGTTTGGTCAATAGCCAGTTCATCGGAAAGGCCATCATCTATTAATTTAGTATCAGCAACATAGTCCACGACCGAAGTATAGGCCTGCTTACCAGCGCCGGATAGCTGATTGTGAAACGTTTGTTGGACGTTGCTCACGAAACGCCTGACATGCATTAGCGACCAATGGATGTAAATAAATGAGACGACAAACCAGATTAATGCGCATCCTTCAGCTTCCTGGAAACTCAGAGCCATATCGACACCACTGCTGGGTTCCTGCCACACAATCAGGGTATCTGTGAGTCGGGTTAGACACATGACGTTTGTAGAGCGCATATTAGACATGTAGACGTGCCTTGCTGTTTCTGGAATCCATCTTCCTTTTGAATCTTGGTTTCTAATAAAAGACGGTCGGGATGGTCTTCTGATTCGACGACTACGCGCGGGTCTTTGCGACCATCTTCAAGCTATAGAGCACCTCAGTCAGCATAACATCCGGGCGCAAAAATGGCGATATAGGCATCAATGACGTACAGTCTCATAGCTCGCGCTGCAGAAGCCGGTACCTCTGTCAAACCAATCATTGTTTCGAAGCTCGTATACCTTAACGCGCTTTCGATCAGTTGGTTGATGAGGCACGGGCTGTGCCATCATCAAAGACTCGGACTCTCCCTCGGTAGAGAGCTTCGTATACGCAGCCAGATCGGGGGCAAGTTCGAGATGCTGTTGCAAAGACAGCTCCGACGGTTCGTTGGGAGTCAAGATGGTAAGAGCCGCCACGATTTCTCAATGTGCGCGCAGACAAGGCGCGACAGTGGAAATGTCAGGATATGCCCCGATAATGATGATGCGAGCGAGATACGGGGAATTCGGGAAATGCGCTGCGCTGCGACGCACAAGTCGGAATATCTATAAAAAATAGAAGAGAATCGAGCGAGTGAAATGCCCGTTAATGCGCCATGCAATGATTATGTTGAGTATGAGGCGCGGGCGAAAGTCGGCGGATCGGGGGTGGGTTGGAGTTGGACAAGTAGAATTGGCGACACGCCACGGAAGCAATCGGCGGGAGAGAGGGAGCGACGACCACGACCGCGGGCGGGAAAAGGAAAGCGCGACAATGACAAGCGGATGGCTACGTCGGGCGACAAAGGTACAGACCCAAGGCCTCGGTACAAGCGAAGTCGGCTATTTTCTCTTTTGGTGATCGAGAGCCAGAGTCAGGGTCCGGAATATATCGAAGGACCGTTTGAGGCTGTCGAGAATTGCGGATTGAGGTGGGCAATGCGCGTGACCAGGCTGCCAGATGGTGTTGGGTTTAGGCCTTGGGATCCTCTTCAGTTTCGGTTTCGGGGGGGAGGGGGCGACCCATCCCCTACAAAGTGCGCAAGCCCCGTCTACCGCCACAGTGAGGCTGGTGAATGGAGTGTGTATCATCCAATCAAGGACTCTAGTCGGGGTTGCCACTTGTGTAAAATGACGCGGGTCTCGAGCTAAGAAAAATGACTCTAAGCCAATCAATGCTTGTTTCTCCAGTTTCTCCAATTGCGCGACCCAGAGAAAGACCCCTGGTCAACCTGTCAATGCTGCAAAAGTCCGTCATGCTGAAGCTGCCTGGGGTTTATGATGCAATCTTCCTTCCGATGAAGACAACATCAACCAAAAGGACGGAAATCACGATGGATGTTGCTGGGCCACGGTATAACTTTCCAAAGAGACGGTAATGACCATCAAGGTTGGACCTTTTGCAGAATGTTACACTGCACCGAGGGACTTTCTGCAATAACGATTGTTGCTCGCCATGCATGAATACAATATTCGTTGTCCAAGTTCTGTTTCTTGTTCGATGCATGAGATTGTGCGAATTGACGACAAGACATTTGGGTATCGTGAATTGAGTATCGTGAGTACCGTGAATGTATCTTGCCAGCAGATGCTTGGAGTATCCAAATGAATGATATCTCGACAGGGCAAGCTTCTTATGTTTGCAACATGTCTTGCGACTTACATCAAGGATTCACTCATTAAACAAGGTTCATTCATCTACTAATAATTAGTCTTGGGCCAACCGATCGTCTTCCCTGTATCTAAAACACACTATCGTGAATAGAAACAAAAAGATCGACAGGGACAATTAAACTCAGCTTCTTAAGTTAAATCATGACGCTATCCTGCAGGAACGCGGAATCGGTCTTGAGACTCCAGAATGTCATCAATCGATCCTTGGGGAAAGGCTTACCACTACCCCGCGTATCTTGTTTATCTTGCCAAGCAGAATGTCTTATTGATTAAGCTTAACGCAAGGTTTAGTAAGGATGAGGGCAGGAATGGAACTGGGATATCTGTCGTTTGATATTGAATTTCTAGAACAAAGTTAATATGGGCTATGGATGTAGACGAGATATATCGACGATGATGGTATCAAGAGTGATGACAGAAGAGAAGCCAGCGAACTTAATCGAAAGTGCTACTATGCCTTCACACGCTGAACATTCTTCATAGAGGAACTATAAACAGACAAGCCCAAATATGCCACAAGTGCCATTAATTGCAGAGCTATCTATCAATCCCGCAGCCATAACACCACTAGTTGCCAGCATATCAGCTGCCGCGAAATATATCGGCGCGGGTGATCTCCCTAGAGATAACGCCCAGGAACTACTAGCACTTGTGCCTTCAGAAGTTAAATAGTCGCTACACGGCACGTATAGTTTCGTTCGCTAGGAACTATTGCTCCTGCTACCCAGTACGTGGAACAGCCCAGGGAATTTAGTGACAGTAGCTAGTGACAGTAGCTTCATCCTCTGCCTTGGGGGCATTAGGATTCAGGTACAAGGCAGGCCCTGCTCAACGGTCGCCTCATGACCTTTGCGAGCTACTTGGGATTATCCTTTCTGCTAACGGCGGAAGATGCCATCGTGGAGTGTAGAGTCAAGCATGTGAATATAGAGCGTGAACTATTGAGATATGAGTGGATATTCCAGGTTGAATGGCTAAGAGGAGATAGGCATGGAACCAACAGTTATGAAGAGTTGAGTTCATTACAGTAAAGTCGCCACAGAAATCCAGAGCCGATGCTCAGAAGGGGCAGGACAAGTGAAGGGGCTGGGCCCTGAAGAGTCAGTCCGACCTTGTTGAGTCTTTGTATCAAACCTGTTTCATGGCTTGAATCTTCTATCGACCCATTCTGTGAAGTCATACCGGAGCTTTTTGAGCGACTGCTCAAAGTCTTGATGTAAGCCAAGATGCAAAGTCAATGAACCGTCAAGCAATCCACCAACTGTTTCAGCATCATCGGCTTCACCGCCAGGGGTCTCTATTGTGACTAAGACGCAGGCCAAGTGTTTCTAACTCTTTACTCCTGGGTCTAACCGCAGTTAAAGAAAAGACAATAAGCGGGCGCACTCCAGATCTGATCTTGGTTTAGGTAAACAGCCCCCATGCTAACTTTACTAGGAATCCGATGCTTCTAAAGCTTCTAGCGTAAGACGGCAATCCTAATTGAGCTTGGTCGAAGATGCAGTTGACAAATAGTGGGGGGGTCGATTTTACTGTCGTACTTTTTGAGTGATGTCTCTGTGTTTTTATTTGGGGTTTGAAACAAGACCTTGTTAAACCGAACCAATCCGATATCGGTCAATGTTATTAGAGTGTTGAGTGTTTAGACAATAAAAAAAGTCTTGGGTAATTGAATGAAATGTTTGTTGTCTCTCCCTAGTTGTGTGGCGTGCTTGGCTAGGCTTGGTCTGGGGTACAATCCCTGATGCAGATCTGATCTCGCAAAAACAATGACATTTTACAGGGGAGGCCCCGGGCCGTCAAAGCTGCCAGGGCACGGCACGTTCCCTCGTGCATGAGGCGAGACATGGTGGCATCCATTCTATTCAACAATAGAGACAACGAAATGGAACATGCCGAGGCAATGAAGACAGTCAATAATAAAACGATGAGGCGTCTAGTTCTTCAGCCAAGGGGTAAAAAAGGTGACTCCACGTCACCCACTTGACCCAGGAGCCTGGTACAATAGAAATTTAGACACCGAAAGGATTCGGAAGAAGGATTGACGCCACAGATTCTCGTCTAAGTGGGAGGCTGCTTCGTTCGTTAACCAATATGGCTCGAGAATGGAGGCACAAGACCGTTGGAGAGGCTCATGTGTAAGAATCTAATTGACGTGATGAGGCGTCTGATATTCACAAGCGAACCTCGACATGACGTGTAAACGGCTTAATTGTAGAATACCATCTCGTCTCTCATATGATATACGGAAGTATGTATCCTGCAATATCCATGGCACTTCTAAGCCGATCATACGTATTAGTGAACGCGAAGCTCTTCGGCCTCCCCACAGACATCGTCAAGATCTCGTCTTGGCGTCAGGGACAAGATCAATAACGCCGAGATACAATCCAACCGTATCTTGGCAGACGGAGCTCTTTCTCTTGTTAGAAACAAACATCATGAGAAGCGGTGGCTCAAATTTCAGCTGTCTCTCAAGGCTGCTTATTGGTTCATCAAATCCAGCCTTGGTGGCGTTCAGGACAAAGGGCCTGGAATAATCTGTAACGATCTCAGACAGCCACTCAGTCAATTTACGCTGTGAGGCTGGCTGTATCTCTTTCGATGTTGGAGAGAAAAGGCGAGGGCGAGACTCGGTCTATGCCCCTCGTAACGCGGTGCCGCAAGCCACAACGACTTGGACTGTAAGGCACAGGGGTAATTTGTTGTTGGAGGCTTCTCCGGTTAATTGATCAAGATAACTATAGATCGGTCCATGAGATCTCGGCTTGTCTGTGCTCTTACACGTGCGTGTATCGAGATTGAACCTGACAACTTGTCCAAGACATTGTCAACTTGTCAAGACGGGAGATCATCTCCGACAGACAGGTTTGTCCAAATCGATAATCCTTTACAAAAGTTCAATGACGACAGCAACTCACAGTTCAGTCAAGAAAGGATCTGCAACAAGTGGCTTTCAAGTCCTTAACCCCTGGATCTGTTTCACACATGACTCTCCGTGCCGTAGAGACTGAGATTCACCGGCTTATCGGATCCGCAAGGCGCAATAAGAGATCGCGTCTGTGGCGCTTCACTTTAACGCCCTGGATTAGGTCGTTTGCCTTTTGAACTTGGGAGTCTCGAACAGAGTAAAGATCGGCCATTCCAACGCCGTTGCGGGCCGTATCTCTGGAGCCCACTCAACCTTGACGCCAGCTTCCAACGCATCTGGCCCTGTATACTACGTTGCTATACAAAGATGTGAATCATCGTGGGCTCTTGTTCACCTCGAGTTTCGTATATATCTAGACAACCTCGCCCGTTACAACGTCTTCTTCTTCAGACCAAACCAACAAACAAGACAACAACAGCCACTTCATCATCCCAACTCTTCAATACAACAACACTTCTTGCAAACACCATATCTTCAACTTACACAACAATCAACATGTCCATCCTCAGCTCCATCAAGCGTGCCCGCGATCACAAGGACACAACCAAGGCCAAGGAAGTCGAACAACCCAAGCCCCCCAAGACTTCCCAGCCTTATCGCCATGTTCCCACCCACGCTGCTTGCGACTCCGTCAACAGCGGCCCAGGCGGTGCCCTTCGCCATGATCGCTCCAAGATCCGCCACGAGAACCGCAAGCGCACTGCAAAGGCCGTCGCTGAGACTATGCACGACAACCAGGCCATCCAGATGAACTTCCCTGGCTCATCTACCTCATCGCCCTTCACCAGCGGCAGTACCAGCACAGCCTACCAAGCCAGCGAGATTGACTACGAGGGTGATATCAGCCCTAGAAGCCAATCTCCTGTGCAGAGCTACGACTGGGCTCCTGCTCCTACCATTCCTCGAGCCATCTCTCTCAAGGGCAAGGAAGTTGTTCGGGGTCCTCACCATGGCTTGGCATACTCCGTATCCCCAGATCCCCGCGATCGCCTTGCCCAGCGCTTCCAAACCGGTGTCATGATCTAAGTCTATTCATTGATAAGGTTGTCTTGGCCCCCGGAGGGTCACCAACAAGATCAGATCATAATTGAAACACAGCAAGCCAACAGAGTTTACCTCGTGCTTGGCAAAGCACAGCGCACCTTCGGCACAATGGAAACAAAACCGAACAGTCCACCAAGCTCTCCAATGGGATCGAGCAGGACTCGGTAAAGGGATTAAGTTTCCAAAAGGAAGAGACCACCAACAAACATGGCGTCCTTCAGAGGGATGGAAGCTTAAAAAGTGTTGGTTGACAGGCGCCACGCTGAAGAATTTGGGGGACCAGAGCTGGACTCTGGTAGGCTACTTTCATGTACAATTACACTTTAGGTTCAACTCTTTTTTCTTTCTAGAAGCGTTGGCGGATTATTATTTTATTATGGACTGCAGTAATACGCTCAGCTCTCTTTGGCTTGGCCAAAAAATAATTCAGAACCATTTATTCTCACATGCTTTTTCTCTTGGCTTTCATCGTGATACAATGAACAATCATCTAATTGTTGAGAGACCACATTATGTATACAATCAATTAAGCAAATGCAGACAAATTATTATACAATGTCATTTATGTTCTAAAACAAAATGAATGTCATTTGCCAATTCATTCACTGGTCGGTCGCATTCATGCTTCTCTATCAAGCTGGTCCCTGTCGATCGCTAGCTACGTAATCAACTGTAACCCCAGGTTATTGCTTGGAGATGCTTCGTGGCCTTGACCGGGCGCTCATCTCATCTCAATACAAGCAAATCACCGCGGCCACGTATCGCATTTCTTTTCGTTTTGTAACCTTCTTTTTTTCGCCAAACCGGGCGCATTTACCTTTTCCTTCTGTGTTACTCAACAAAATAAAAATCACTTCTGATGAACGCTCCTTGACTCTAACTTGTCATCTCCCCCCTCCCCGCAGTCGCTGGTCGCATCCATTTCAACACCAAAAATGACTGTCGCGGCACCTCACGACCTGCCCGAATTTCTGAAGCCTCTTTGGGCTTGGATTGAGGCAACGCCTGTTTACATCCTGATCGTGCTCTTCCTCGGCTTGATTTCACTGGCTGTTTTCGAGGTACACTCTATAGTCCACTCCGCGCATCGCATCAAGCTGACCTCTCTAGCTCTATGTCATTCTCCATCTCGTCGCCCCAAAGCCTCGTCCCGTCCACCCCTCCGAGAAGCAGTACATCACATCCCACCCTACCGGACGAACACAGCCTCAACCTCTACCATGCTGGTACGACCGCTGGCTTGCAGAGCGCCAGGCCAGCGAGCAGTCCATCAAACCTTCCGAAGCCTATCCCACTCCCGACGCTGGCAACATTGAACCTGCCCAAGTACGCCTGAGCGTCGTATTCCCAGCCTACAACGAAGAAGACCGCGTTATCCCTACTCTTGAGGAAGCTGTCGCTTACCTTGATGAGCACTTTGGCCGTACCACAGGTCCTGGAACAAGCGCGACGAACCCAGCGTCTAAGCGACACACCCGAAGCGCTGCTAAGGAGGACCTCGGAGGTTACGAGATTTTGGTAGTCGATGATGGAAGCAAGGACAAGACCGTTGATGTTGTTCTCCAATTCGCTCAGGATAACGGTCTGCATGACATTCTGAGGGTTATCTCGCTTGCGCGCAACAGAGGCAAGGGCGGAGCAACTACTCATGGTTTCCGACATGTGAGAGGCGAATATGTCCTGTTTGCTGATGCCGATGGAGCTTCACGCTTCTCTGATGCCGGCAAGCTCATCGAAGGATGCGAGGAAGTTGTTGATGGATCGCACCGTGGCGTTGCCATCGGCAGTCGTGCCCATCTTGTTGGCAGTGAGGCCGTCGTCAAGGTAAGTCACATCTCATAATCGAACATAGGCAGTCATCTAACAAACCACAGCGATCGGCTCTGCGAAACTTCCTCATGCGATCTTTCCATCTCGTCCTCATGATCCTCACACCCCCAGCAACATCCCGCATCCGCGACACCCAGTGCGGTTTCAAGCTCTTCTCCCGAGAATCACTCCCTCACATCATCCCCTACATGCACACCGAGGGCTGGATTTTCGACATTGAGATGCTCATGCTCGCCGAGTCAGCCCCCGCAACACCAGTTCTCGGCCACGACGGCAGTGTTATTGGCACTAGTCCTGGCATCAAGGTTGCCGAGGTGCCAATCGAGTGGCATGAGGTGGGTGGAAGTAAGCTCAATGTCATCCAGGACAGCATCAAGATGGCTCTTGGTCTTGCGGTGCTACGGGCCAGCTGGATGTTTGGTGTCTATCGACGAAGATTGACATAGGTGGATATACCAAGGGAAAGAAAGAAATGAGGATACAAGCGTAGACATTAATGATCATAGAGAGATCTTTCTAAACGAAGTTGAATACAAGTCTACTGTTCCTACAAACCAGGCATAAGCCCATCTAGCTTCCATCAGAGTATCAGAGTGCCAGGATACTTACGAACTGTGAGACAGACAGGATGAAATACTTTGGCCACACCATGCCAGTTTGAACCAGCATCTAGATGGGCCATTACTTCTGCCACCTCAAAGCTCAGGAATAACTTCTACTACACTAGTAAACATCTTGAAGTTTCTACTCATCATTCAGTTACATAGCACGAGTGAACAAAGGGTATCAGTTTGCAATTAGTATTAATCTTGGTATGAATGTTTACTGGATGCCCAGGGTCTAGCCTCAGGTCAAGCGTGTGTATATCTAATAAAAAGCCACTCCCACGCTCAACATTTCAAAATGTTCAAATGTCTCATAACCATCCATGAAATATATACGACAGCCCTTTCCTCTTTTCAAAGATAACTCCCGATCTATAAACATGGACTCTTTTCAAAGAAGCTGGACGTCAAAGATCCCAAAAGCCAAAGCTCCATAAACGCCCGCAGCTTTCGCTACATAAAAATCACCATGCTTCGTTTTCTCTTTTGATATGTCAAGCTCTACTGGAAAGTCTCGCGCCACATAATGGGCACGAAAACAACGCATGCCTTCCAGAGGATGAGGAGGGCGTCGATGATGGCCAGAGGGAACTTGAAGATACCAAAGATTCCGCAACCGATAACGGAGCAGGCGTTGAGCCAGATAGCCAGGAAGGCGACGGAGAAGAAGTGGTAGAAGAGGATGAAAGGACGGTGGAGGATACCAGCGAGGAGAGAAGCAGGACCGTCAGTGTCGCCGCGCTTGAAGTAGGTAAAGCATCCATGCTGAAGAGCACGTAGTTGGCGGTCGTTAGCAGCGAACAGAGAGTAAAGAGCCTGAGCAAGAACATTGATAATTCCTGTCAAAGGCTTGCGCTTCCAGTAAAGCTCGTCGAGCGCATTGTTGACCAACTTAGAATCGCCAAGATCACCGACCTTATCGGGGTGCAGGAGCTCAGACAGGATAACAACGTCGTTGAATGCAACAGTCATACCACCACCTGTAAGAGGGTGGCGCATGTTCATAGCGTCGCCGAGAAGGATTGCTCCGTTGGCGCGCTGTTTCGTGGGAGGAAGCCAGCTGTTGGGCATGCTTCGGGGAATTTTGCCGTCTTCGAGGGCCTTCTCAGCTGATGGTCGGATCGAAGCAGGAAGCGCAGGTAGGACGAAGTTGCGGATGTAGCCACGAACACCGCCGTTCTCGGGTGAAGCTTCAGGAATACCTTGAGGCACGTCGATAAGAGCGCGGGTCTCGTGTGTGCCGATCTGGTAGAGAAGGATAGGGAAAGCGTTGCCGATAATCACATGGCCGTGGCCAGGCTCAGGGAGGTCGCAATCGATGAGCTCAAGAGCGTAGAACTTTGAGCAGACCTTGGGCTTGGACTGGAGGACCTCCTGGCGCCACTTGGAGTCGTAACCATCGCAGATAACGGTCAATTGTCCAAAGTAGTAGTCCTGTTCTTTCTTGCCTGTCTCTTTATTCATGGTGCGACTCTCGACACCTAGGATCTGGTCCGACGCCTCTCCGCGCAGTGTCTTGACAACCTCAGTCTCAACAACAGTAATGTTCTTATGGGCTATACATGACTCTCGTAGCTTGTTGATGAAGCGGCCGTGGTGGAAACTGCATCCTGAAGGTCTCGTGCTCCTGTCTCCTGTACTATGACCTCCCCAAGCATGTGTAGGATTTCCGCCATCGTCGATACCAGGATAAGGTACAAGGACCTTTTCGCCGTGGTAGAAAACGGTGTATCCGTAACAAGGCACAGCATCGATGCCATCAACGCAGTGTCCGAGGCCGAGTTTCTGAAGGGCGGCGACACCGCCAGGCTGGAGAAGCTCGCCGACAATGCGATCGGGCTCCTTGAGCCATCGCTCGAGCAGAAGGACGGATCGGCCCTGGTTGGCGAGAGCGTAGGCCATGGCGCATCCGAATACACCGGCTCCTACAACGACGACATCGGCTTCATGGTATTGTTCGCGGCGACGAGACTGCGCCTCGGTTGTTGTGAGTATCGAAGCCATTGTTGAAAGTATTGGCTCGTATAGCTTGTGTGTTGAGGACAAGAAAAAAAAGGATAAAGGTTCAAGTCGCGGCAGTTGAAGATTGGACTTGTCTTGTCTTGGAACTTAGACCTGCGATTTCGATGGGGAGTGGGGGGTCTATTAATCGCGGATCGGGGGGCGGCGAGAAATTGGATGGATGGGTTTTCGGATCACCCTGAAAATGGAAATTAGGGGGAAGTGGTAGCCAAGGAAGAGTCGCACAACCGAGACAGAAAATATCTTTGAACAAACAAAGAGAGTAGAATGTTTGTATAAAGAAGAATGATGGATTGAGAGATTGAGGCAGCTCAGATGTTCCAAGTTGAATCTATCTTGAACAAAGCCAGATTCATGCGTCAGGGGTCACAGATCCGGACAATGACGCTCTAGACTTTTTGTATGAGGCGAATTCAATTGAGGTAACGGAGATGGGAATCTGTTGGTTCAAGAGTCGAAAAGACCACAGATATTTAAAAAGACGACGTTTCCTCACAGCCTTGTTGCAATTGACCGGATATGTGCCGTTTATAAGGACCCTTTGTTCTCTCGTTCTCATAGGATTCAGAGCATCACCAACAAATCAGCCTATAATTCATTGGATCGCTCGTCAGGGGCAGAAAAAAAAGATGATCCAATGGACGGGACCCTTGTCATCGGGTAATGCTTCCATTAGCTCTTCTTTTTTCTTGGTTCCATTCCTTCTCTAGGGCTGTCATTCTCGTTCCTTCAGGGGAGTAGCCCGCTGTAAGGTCCCTGTAACGCCTCACCCCGCAACGCTGTATCTCCCTCCCGTCCACTCGCAATCGCGCCACCACGCCCTGACCGCTCAAAAAGCGACCAACCAACGGGTCTGATATCTGCTGGACATGGTTCGATGGACGAAAAGGACACCGCCAGGTTCCGGATCTGGAACATGCATGTGAAAGAGCAGGACCCTCAAAAGATAATTCTAAATCGTACGTCTCTGTGCCGAGTGAGAGTCCGGTATTATTTCGTCTCGAAAGAGGAAGGGAAAAACGTATTCGGATCCATTGTTTTTCTTCAAAGCTGGGCTGATGCTTATTTGTTGTTCCTGCGTTGGGGTATCCAATCATTGTCTGATTGATGACCTCCATTTGACATCTCATGATAACGGGTCTAGTCTACACGAATACGCTCATGCATGTGACGCTACTAAAAACTTGTATCCACCAGCAATCAATTGCATTCTGCAGTCAGTTCAGAGCTTACTTTGAGATACAGAGATGAGTGAAATCACATGCAAAATGTAACCACATACAATAAGCTGGTTTGCATGTGCTTTCAAAGTGAGGGACACGTCAATTGCGTTCTGCAGCCCGTATCGAGAAACAAATAGCTTTAGGCAAATTAATATACCGTTTATTGCTTCAAATGTTGTTACATTGTATTGTTTTTATATACAGATGATGCATGATAAACACCATCATATCACCGGGCTACAGCTGCACACAAGTTCTGAGCAGCCAGACAGCCAATATATCCTAATAGAGCTTCGTAAATGTAACAATGATATCTATGCCATGCCAATGCATATGCGTTCTAACTATGTGTGCTTTCAAGACATTGCTCCGGCCGTTTGTTTCTCTAATAGTATTTCTCTCTCGCTCGTTTGAGGCGGTGATGTCGTTTCTCGCTTCGTTCTCTCTGGTCCTGTTCGAATGTCGTCTATCCTCTGGTTTTGAGCATGTAACTCATCTTCGACAATGCGATGCCTCGTCTCGCTTAGGCTTTGAGGTGCTGGATCTCGCCTTGTGGCCGACTCCCAGTCCATATTCCTCTTATCTCTGGGTATTTGTCGTTCAGCTTGTGTCTCTGGAAAGAACCCTCCTTCGAATGCTGTTGGCTCGTCTGCCTTTTTGAAGGCGCCAACAGCCTCTCTAGTCAAAATCTCTCGCTCTTCTTTTGTCGCTCGCATGCACTTGATATGCTCAAAGGCAGTCTCGAGACGCAGCAGCACTTGCGTGTACATTTCTTCGTATCTCTCGTCCTTTGCCGCTCGCGAAGCCACATGCTTCATTGCAAACTTGACTGATTCTTTACACTCTTTGCTGCCCTGCCACCACTCAGACTTCGAGTTGAAGCTGGTAATCAGTGATGACAAGTCTTGATAGCGTCTTTGACCAGTATACGAGTGGATGAGGGTGGCGAAATTGTATTTGCTGTATGCCAGCTCACCCTCGCCGTTCTCTCGTGCCGCTACCTCGCACACCAGAATCGCGGCCTCGGGGTTACCCTTCTGTGTAAGCACTCGAGCGGCCTTGTTGTAGACACTGTCGTGTATTCGCTGACCTTTGGTGAGACTCTCTTGAAGCAGCTCACCCGCGTTATCGCCGGCCTCGAGTTGTGCGACTAACACCGGCACCAAAGCCCCACTGATATCATGCTTCTTGCTGTAGGCTTCATTGATGAGCCTCGATCCTGTGGACGAATGGGGGCCCTCTAAATGAATATTGGCCACGACAGCAAGTCGAAGACATCGCGACGAATCGCCAAGGCTCTTCTTAATCGCCTCTTGGTACACGCTGTAGACACCGTTCCAATCGTTTCGGAGTGCTAGAGTGTTCATGTGCTTGAATACTGCTCGCTCGTACATGGCAATTGAGTCCCCTCGTTTCTCGGGAAGGGTCTGGGCAAGTCTAAAGATATCCGCTTTTTCTCCTGGGAGAGGTTTGTGAACATCATGCAAAGCACCGTCACTCACATACTTGGTCAGGAGAGGATCTTGTATCCACGGCCTAGAGCTTTGTGCGTCCTTGAGCATGCGAACCACATCAACCCTCGACAAGCTCCAATATTTGCAGCATTTGTCGGCAATCTCGTTGAAGAAGACCTGATCCATCTCCAGTCCACCGTCCTGACAGAACTGCACCCATGCGACCAGGGCTTGAAGATTGCGTGTTCGGCCGTGCTTGTCCATGACGAAGAAAGCAAGATGTTTATTCAACATCATGCCGTGGCTATCAACAAGATCTCGGATGAATAAATCCGCCTGTGAAGGGGTATGGGATTTGCAGTAAATCTTTGTAAGCCATGAGAGCACTTTCTGAAACTGGTCTGATTCCTTTGCTTTAGGTCCAAAGGTCTGAAGCTCAGGCATGGCCTTGTCCCAGTGTCCCAGTTCTGCGTCTCGGACAATGAACCTACCGCGAAGCTTCACATCAACACCAGAGTGCTCGCATCTCATTTCGGACAGGAGGGACATTTCAGCACTTGCGGTCGCATCATCGCCAGCGTCAAGAGCAATAAGGATAAAACGGCGCCTGACTGCATACTGTGCAGACGCTGAGAAGATATCGTTGTCATAAAGCCCACTTTCTTCAAGTAGTCTGTAAATGTTCTGTACTTCGGTGAAATCCTTCGACTTCCTCCAGCTGTGCATCAATAATCGAGTGAGCCATTCTCTGTCATTCTTGGTCTTGGTCGTATGTGGCTGGAACCTCGATAGACTCCTTATGAAATGGCGAACGCCCTCTACATCGGGGTTCCGTTTCAAAGTGTCGAAGAATGGTACAGCAAGTAGACAGGGGTCTTGACAAACAGGACGAACTGCCTCCAGGATGGAAGGAATACTTTCATACTCCTGTGAAGTCGCAACAGACTGAAGGAGACGTATACCTCTTGACAGAATTTCCTGAGGCTCCTCAACCTTCCCTGAGGACAATTCTCGAAGTAAACCAATGGCTTTCCTCTCTTTCTCGGCACGAAGATTACTTGATGAGTCCAAGGCCTCCAAATCTGTGACAATGGCGTCTAATTGCAATAAAGATATCGACTGTCCGTCCAAAGTCTCATCGGCTGGCTGGGATATTGTTGCGTTGGTACGATGAAGCGATTCTGGGGTATCTGATTCCGTGTTCGGTCTGGTGGTCGTTGTTGGGGTCCTTGGTTTCTGACTTCGTGACTGCAGCGTTGACAGCTTGACATCCGAGGAAAGTCTGATATGATGGCTACTTTGCGTAAACGGACTGGTCTCTGATATTCGTGATAATTCCCTTCGAGCCGTATCCCACTCGTCCCATCTTCTCTGGCTTGTTTGAGATGTGTTTGAGTCGCCATCCCCCGGTAATGTCGTCTCAAAGTTCTCTATCGATATAATCTCTTTCGGTCGCGATAATTCATTCTCTAATGAATCAATTCGCTGTCGACGGCGGCGTAGAGGATTGTTGGTGGGGGCGTGGGAGAAATCGTGGGCAATCTCAATCGGAAATTCTCGTCTACTGCTGTAGCTTTCCGCCAACGCAGTCGAGTTGCGGTTCACTCGCGCAGTGTGAAGTTTCTTGGCATTGTCGAGAGCAGCCCGGGCAATATTGAGGCGTCGTCGTCGTTCTTCAGCCAGAAGAATGACCGAAAAGGACGTGGTTAGGAGGACACCACGGAGAGCGTGAACGACAGCCCTGGGAGGGGCGGGACTTGGAGAGGCCATCTAGGCGGCCGTCATCTTGGTTCGGACCAATTTTGTCCAGATCTGGTCACTTGAGCTTGTCTTTTGAGGCTCAATTTGTCGTCTCGAAATGTCGCTCGCGGTATCGGTAGTGGTGTGATGCACAGATTCTAAGCCAATTGAAGTGAGATTGAAAATGGAGGGTGGTACGTACCGACTCGACCCAGGGATCGGAAGTTCGGTCCAATGAGAGCAAACTATAAAATTCCTGACGAACGGGCGCTTCTTTTCCATTTTCTGGGGTAGCCCCAGGGTAAGTGACATTCAACCTCATATATCATTATACGTCTAATGACTGATATCATGTCTTTGAGGTGATAGTTGTATATGTTGCTACAAGCTAATAAACTAGTATGTTCGAAGCTCATTTCTGTTATTTGCAGCTAATCGAGTCATTGAGGTCTTGTAAAATCCTTGAACATAGTGGCATGTATCTATGCATGTCCGTCATAATTACCACAAGACACCACCAAATATTCGATCGGCGTTAACAATGAACAAGATTTCGAGCCTATCAGGGACGTAAAAGTCCGTTAAACCCGATGCCATACCCATCGTGGTGCTCATACTAACACTAAAAGGTAGAGTGGTTTGTCCTTGTTGGAGAACTCCTCGATCATGCTCCATCAGCCAATAGACTACAGGAATCTTCCTGTTATTTGAATCGTCTTAACTCCGATGGTAGCAATAAACTCCAATTGACAAATTAGAATGAGCATACCTACCAGTAGTTCTATGCGGAATCCGAGACCTGCATCGGAATCCAGAAGGACCGTTCCACAATGGCATTAGATGCATATCTTGGGTAGAAGCTGTCTACCTTAGGTAGGTGTCATGATAGGTAGTCTGATACTGGACGAGAAGTATATAAACAGTGAATCATGGCCTATGCATATTCCTCTTTCGTGGTTATGATGTGGTGAATCATTGACTTTGTACCTACCTCTGTTGCTGCCACTGCCACTGCCATTGTCGCTGTCACTGTCGCTGGTAAAGTAGAGTCGTCCTTCGGCCAACCTAACCTCCTGCCTTTTGTTTCTCTTTCATCACGCTCTGCCACCGTTCATTTCTAACCAAACCATCATCCCTCCCTATCAACAACACCTTCAAGAAATACGACTACTGACCACGATGGCTCTCCCTGCCGCCCCGCCTCCCAAGAGCCCTCTGGGTCGATACCGCTTGCTATCACCTACAGCTTCTATGTGGGTTTCTCCTATCTGTCTTGGAACAATGAACTTTGGAAACGCTTGGTAAGACAGCAACCGTGGACTCTGCATACTCTCGCTCAAACACGATGTAGGAAAGAATTAATGGGCGAATGCAACCAATCTACCGCCGAGTCCATCATGGACTTTTACTACGAACAAGTATGACTTACATATTGTCCAATGATGGAAGCATGTGTCGCTAACCTTGAGTAAGGGTGGGAACTTCATTGATTCTGCAAACAATTACCAGTTTCAAGAGACGGAGAAATGGGTGGGAGAGTGGATGGCGAAACGTGGAAACCGTGATGAGATGGGTTTGTTACTGCCACACATTCCTTGGATGACATGATACTGAGTCTCTTCCAGTCATTGCGACCAAGTACACCACCAACTTTCGAGCTGGCCCTGGTAGTCCCAACATCTTGGTAAACTTCTGTGGAAACGGCACAAAAAGTCTAAGAACTTCGATTGAATCCAGTCTCAAGAACCTGCAGACCGACTACATCGACCTGGTATGCTTCCCACTCGTCTGGAAGATATTCGCTAACCCTGCCGAAGCTCTACGTTCACTGGTACGATGGAAGCACCACGATTCAGGAGCTGATGCAGTCTCTCAACCAACTTGTACAGTCCGGGAAAGTTCTTCATCTTGGAATCAGTGATACTCCCGCTTGGATTGTGAGGTGAGTCAAAACCCTTAACCAATCCCGAGAACGTGGCTGACAGTTCCATAGCAAGGCAAACGAGTACGCTCGCTGCAATGGACTTCGCCAGTTCTCTGTTTACCAGGGCCGTTGGTCCGCAGCTTCGCGCGATTTTGAACGAGACATCATTCCCATGTGTCGAGCTGAAGGCATGGGAATTGCCCCTTGGGGGTCTCTTGGTGGCGGCAAGTTCAAGAGTGAAGAGCAGCGAAATGCTCAAGAAGGACGAAGGGTAGAGGCCAGCGACCAGGAGGTCAGAACCAGTCGAGTGTTGGAGTCGATCGCTAACCGTAAGAACACACTCATCACCAGCGTCGCACTGGCATATGTCATGCACAAGACCTCTTATGTCTTTCCCATCATCGGTGGTCGAAAGGTGGACCATCTCAAGGCCAATATTATGGCGCTCACCTTGCAGCTTACCCAAGAAGATATCCAGGAAATTGATAATTCTGTGCGATTTGATCCTGGCTTCCCCCATGACTTTCTCTATCGTGGAGGGCAGTCGACTGGGGGTCCAGATGTTTGGCTGCTCCAGATGGGGGGCACAATTGACCATGTTCAGCCGTCAAAGGTGAGTTCGTTTGCAATTACATCTTCATATCTTCTAACTAATTCAAGCCTGTCTCTCCCATGAAACGGGGCGAATAGGGTGCCCGTCTCAATGCGAATTTTTGGCGATGGCTGCCAGCTCGGTCTAGGCCGCAGTATCACCCACAATGGCAGGAATTGGGTTGGAAGGAAAGAATAGGTGCTATTGTCATGCCTTCCTACCATTGTTAAAGCATGATATCCTTTTGTGGGTCTGGCAGTGAACTACATGGACTCAGAGACAGATGTTTGCTTGGAAGGTTGGTTGGGTTACGAAGACAGAGATTCCAGTGGCTTTTTGGCAGAACAATTGCTTCATCCTTTTGCTTCCAGATGATTAGCTTTATAGTACATTCAATTATTATCGGTTGCATTGACGTCGGAGCTGTGAAACATGAGAAATGCAGAAGGTGAACATCATCAGTACCTAACAATGACTCTTTCAAGTAAGTACTGGCCAATATCATGATTTCTATCAATGACAGTGAATCAGACTGAACAGTACCTTCTCAGATGGCAGGTGCCTTTAGGTTGCCGCAGTCGCACCTTCCAGTTTCTATCGGTTGCTTGATGTGCTCCTTCCCATGGAGTTGAAAATGACGGTCTCTCGTTTCCACTACAACAAACTTTCAAATGCTGTCACATAATTGCTCGAAGACTTCAGCAAGTCTCACAATGAATTGTCTTGTATTCCAATTGCTTATAGTGCTCTTGTGCTGGTAAAGATGGAATTGACCGAGAACATTACACGGCACCGGTTGCTGCTACAAAGCCTTGAGGCCGCAATACTCGACAATTTCGATAGGGATGATGTTTCCTCACCCAAAAACGACAACACTCGCATGAGCCCTGACAGATCTTGCCTTTCACAAGACATCAATGAGGAAATAGAGATTCCAGAGTCATGGATAGGCGAGTTTGCCCGTGTTAAGCTGTAAGTTCGCAATCGAAAAAACCTCACCAATCCTATTAATTGACTTTACCTAACAGCATACCTGAGACGCCGCAAAAGAAGATTAAACAAAAACGACCCAGAGACTCGAGCCAACCAGTTGAAATAGAAGACCAAGACGTCCAAGTGCGGATACCCCTGAGGTCAGAACGAAGACACAAAAAGCGACGAACAGAGTCAATTCGCTCCACCCAAGGAACAGACCACTCAGGAAACTTGCCAGGTACAGTATAACTTTGCATATTTGTTTCATCAGAAATACTCATATTCAAGCAGGGGACACATCTGTCGCACACGAGTGGATATCTGATGAGAGTCCTCCGCCAGAACCACCAAGTCCTGAAGAACGAGCTGTTACAAAACTGAGACCTGTACCTCGAGGAGCTCCGAGAAGCATTGAAACGAAGGGACCATATATGATCAGAAAGGGTGTTCGTATTCAAAGTTATAGGATGCCTGGCCCTGTGCCATGGCCGCGCACCCCTCTCTCGAACAGCCTCGAGTACCAATGTCGCGACGGATTTAACGAAAAGGAGGCATCGCTAGGACAGCCCAAGCCCATGGTCACCCGAAGGCACAGTGTTAATCATCAAGAAATGGCATTCCGAAATAATAGGCCACATCTACTAAGGAGCCCATCGTTGGGAATCGCGAATCTACTACAGGATTTTGGAGTCCTCTTGCCTACAGGACATGTTGATGGCGATCATTCCAAATAACCTTTCACAATGTTTCATGTCCGTTTATGACAAGGGTATATTAATGTAACCTTTTTGAAGCGTAAACAGTACATAGAAATATACAAATCGAGAAGCCCGCAACCACCAGAACGCCTTGGGGAGAACATGAATCTATTGCACGCTCCGTCTATTTGGCTCCCTTACCCTTGGCTTCATTCTCACCAAGCTCACGAATCAATACTGATGTCTGGCCAGCACCGTTGTAATCCTCTTGACCAGTCTCGAAGCCCGGGCACACACCCACAGCCAGATACTTGCCGTCACTTGAGAATGCAAGCGCAGCCACGCTGTTGGGGAACTTCTGGTATTGCTTAAGTCGTCGCTTAGCCTCGGCGTCCCATAGAGCAGCGGTTCCATCGCCACCTCCTGAAGCAAATGTTCCATGGACAGGGTGGAAGGCTAGGGCGTTCACAGGGTAGACAATATCTCCGTCGCCATCTGGCGCCGCTTGGCGATGGCACTTGAAAGCATACTTTCGAGCCTGTGACTCGGGCGTGTCCTCAAACCATTCAACGGCAACTCGGCCCTCGATACTGCTGGTGGCGTATCCAGCATCGTTAGGCATGCAGGAAACTGCGCGGGTGAGATATCGGAGGGATGATTCACGCTGTTGCCAAGGCTGAAGATCGGATGAGCCTGTAGCGAACAGGTCGACAATGGTCTTCAAGTCATAAATGTTGATAACACGACCCGCCATAGCGACCACAATCTTTGTGGGGCTCGCAGCCAATGCATGAGGTTTGCCGGGAAGGGAGACCCTTATGGGGGTACTCGAGGGGTCATTCAGGTTGTGAAGGTTCAAGCTGCAATCCCAAGATGCAGAAACCAGAACGGCTAGATTGGTGTCAGTATGAGTCAATCGTAGCGGTATCGGGGATCTGAGAACTTACAATATGTAGGGCTGTAAGCTATAGATCGCACTGGCGCAGCATGCTTGCTCAACAAAGTCTTTTCTCCAGTTGTCAAGTCAATTCTAGTCACTGGTGTCAGTACAATTCATCCAGGCGCATATATCGGCATTCACTGACTTGTTGACGGCCCAGTCCAGGCCAGCGGTAAAAGCTTCATTGTCGTTGGCGCCGAAACAAACGTCCAGAACAGGCGCTCGGTGCTCGTATGTGTTGACAAGAGTCGTCTCACCAGCTCCGCCTGCAATGTCGTAGCAGTACACCTTCTTGTCCCATGATGAGACAAGGAGCTTGGTTCCAGAGTTTGGCGCAAACGCGATCGACGACACCGCGTCGGTGGGAGGCGGCGAAAGTTCGTATTGAGTTGCTAAAATGTGGTCAGCAAACTATTGCGATTCAATTGCAGTAACTGCCGGGCCTAACTTACCAGGAGCCATTGTTATGGATGCTCTTGCCAACAGAAGTAGGTGAAGTTGTTTACCTTTGGTTCAGTCACGTGTGGAGCTCTCTGCCATCATGGCAAGAAAGCCAGTCATGGGCAACGGGCGACTCGAAGCAACTGGGCGGCGTTTTGCCGGATTTTTCAGGTACCGCCTAACAACGAGCCACACCCCGCCGTCGGGGGTGTCAGAAGAATTGGCCGCCCAGAACCAAGGTGACAAAATAAGATGGTCGCTTTGCTCGAGTCTAAACCCAACTTTAGGTTACTTTATTCTAACACTCTTATTCTTAGAGACCAGGATTTCTGTTACCCACCCGCCCGCCACAACCCCACCATCATCAACTGCACTGTAAAATGTCAAAATTATGACTCTTCCCCTCTACATCCACTGTTGACGTGACGATTTACGATTTGATCACGAGGGTTTTTTGTTCTCAAACTTTCGGTTTTGTTATTACGTGAACAGAAACTTACCAACAGTTTTTTCCGACCATTATTTAAGAACGATTTCCGGCGCGCGACAGCACTCAAAATCGAAACCCCCACCTCTTCTCGAGACCCCGACCGAATACCTTTACTTGAACAGCCTCGAAAATACCGCCAAAATGTCGCTAAGCTGCCGTTTTTACGAGGAGAAGTACCCGGAGATCGATAGCTTTGTCATGGTCAATGTCAAGCAGGTCAGTAGCAGTCTGATCTGTGCGGAAACCTTGGTCTGACCGATACCAGATCGCCGAGATGGGTGCCTACGTTAAGCTTCTAGAGTACGACGACATCGACGGCATGATCTTGCTCTCTGAGCTTTCCCGAAGACGTATCCGATCTATTCAGAAGCTCATCCGAGTCGGTCGCAATGAGGTCGTCGTGGTACTCCGTGTGGACAAAGAGAAGGGTTAGCAACTATTATTATCAAGACACCTTTGGGCACCATATTGATTTCAGGCAGGTTACATCGATCTTTCCAAGCGACGAGTGTCTCCCGAGGATATCGTGAAGTGTGAGGAGCGATACAACAAGAGCAAGATGGTTCACTCCGTCATGGTACATCTCGCCAAGGCCACCGAGAAGCCCCTCGAGGAACTATACCAAGCTATCGCTTGGCCCCTGAACAAGAAGTTCGGTCACGCTCTTGATGCTTTCAAGCTCTCCATCACGTCAGTTCATTAAACCGAGTGAGAACGCACGTGCTAACTTGAACAAGCAACCCCGAGGTTTGGAACGACATCACCTTCCCCGACGAGGTCACTGCCCAGGAGCTCAAGACCTACATCAGCAAGCGACTCACACCCCAGCCCACCAAGATCCGAGCCGATGTCGAGGTCACCTGCTTCGGTTACGAGGGAATCGATGCTGTCAAGACCGCTCTTCGCACAGCTGAGGCCAAGAACACTGAGGAAACCCAGGTCAAGGTCAAGCTTGTGTCTCCTCCTCTCTACGTTCTCACCAGCACATGCTTGGATAAGGCTGTCGGTATCGCCGGCTTGCAAGAGGCCATTGTCGAGATCCGCAACAGCATTGAATCTGCAGGCGGCCACTTGACAGTTAAGATGGAGCCCAAGGCTGTCACCGAGAGCGATGACGCCGAGCTACAGGCCCTGATGGAGAAGCGCGAACGCGAGAACGCCGAAGTCAGCGGCGATGAGAGTATGAGCGACAGCGACGAGAACATCGCTGAAACCGTCTAGTCTGCGGAATTTGTGGCCAGGCAAAAGCGTGCGGCGGCGAAAGCGGCAGGACAGTAAAAGGGTGTATGTAATAGAAGGGAAAGGATATCCCGGATAGCAAAAGCATCACAATCCAGACTTTATGTAGTTCTTCCAACATGTGGAAGGGGGCGTCTGAAAAAAGGCGTTGTTAACGAACATTGTATTTGATTATTTCACACTTGACTTGGGGCATGGTTCATGCGATGTCGTAACTTTGGCCACCGAGAGCCTGAGAGACGAAATTTGGACATTTTATGGCGCCGTAGAGTAGCATTTAGGCGACTTTGTTTTCGCCTGTGACACTTAGAGGACATTCGTTCTGCGACCCAGGGTAAAAGAAGTGGAAGAAGCATTGTGATATAGGTAGTTACGGTATGGAAGCATTGCTTTCTGCTGTTTAGCGGGCCGGCGGAACTAGCCGGGGTCAGCTTAGACTCAATGGAATTTGTATACTTAGACTATGCATCTCTTCAACCAGAACCAGCAATAGACGACGTTCTGACCCATGAACCATGGTATCAATTGACAGCACTCAGCAATAGAAAAGGACATATACAATGGCTCTTGGCTCGATATGGGCACGCCTCAGAGGCAATGGCCAACCCAGTCTGGCCCGATCAACAGCATTAAGAGTCTTTGGTTTCGCAACTTGGATCCCGGTCATCGCCATGTTTAACCTGCACGTTGCCGAACTGACCTTTGTGGACGGCGCATCTATGTATCCTCTGATAAACGACGACAAAGACTCAACTCTACGGCGAGATGTGATCCTCAACTGGAAATGGTCACCCCAGGAGAACTTGGAGAGGGGCATGGTGGTGACATTACGGTAGGAGAAGCCCTCTTTCCACAACTAGAAAAAGTAATTTATGAGAGTTAACATGGAAGCTATCGAAGGAGCCCACTGCATCCCGAGACAATCGCAGTCAAACGTGTGGTGGCGCTGGAGAACGATGTAATCAAGACCAAGGCACCTCACCCGTTGCCAACTGTGCGAGTGCCGCAGGGCCACGTATGGGTGGAAGGAGACGGACCTCCGGGATCAAGTCTTGACAGCAACACTTATGGTCCAGTTTCGAAGCAGTTGATCACGGGTCGGGTTACACATGTTGTATATCCATTTCGCAAGTTTGGGGCGCTTCCATGGCGTGAGCATAAACGGGCATTGGTAGAATGATGGCAGTTGATGATGTACTATATGTATGAAAAATTATGGAAACGCGAACAACAAAAGCAAAAGTTATCAAATATTGGACTGAAGCATATATAACCACACGTCAGAAGTTTTGCCAAGAAAGTCCAAGCAGTTCAGCTCATAAACGACCTCACTGACGTTAGTTGTGGTTGAGAGTCCATAATGACATCGAGATAAGATAAGACGACCTTTAGTGTTGCCCGCCTTTTTGCAAGAAATTCTTTCATCCATTAAAGCTGAGTGACGTTGATGGGCGCTGTAATTCAACACCGACCCCTGATCGGCCACTAAGAAACCGCTGAGCAAAGCCCGCTAGTTACTTACAGCCGCAATTCGCGATTAGCCTGGTAAAAGCCGGCCAAGGCCCTCAAAATTCTTGACATATCAAAAACGACATCGTTCATACTTTCTTATCTCTCCTTGCGACCCTGCGACGTCCGTCCGCTCCCCTCTACGGATCATCGCGACAGAGCGATCCCTTTTAATACACCCTTCACTCTTTCTTGGGATCCTCTTTTTCTTCCTCACACCTTCCGAGCAATTCCGCCTTAGGTTGTAACTGGTTGGGGTTCGACAGCGTTTTTTCCCTCCGATTCGATTCGACTCGAGACTTCGACCCCGGATATGCCCTTGGGTCTTCAGCAACAAGATTCTGATCTCGCCTTCGCCCAATCGACGACGACGAGCGGCGGATCGACGACAGCGGCTAGCGATTTTGCGCAGTCTCCCGAGCATCGTCATGCTGCTTGGACGGGACGTCGCTTGGACAGTAGTAGAAGCAGCGCCAGTCTCGCAAAGGAACAGAACATGGCCGCACAAGATGTAGATGTCGAAGCCGAGGGGCGACCGCCGTATCTCCATGTACGTTCTAACCACCAGGGTGCCATGAGTTGCACCACCAAGCGTTTCCGGCCTATTCGTCTTCGAAGTGCGCTAACATGGGACTTGAACGACAGGCCATGATTGCGGGTGGTATTGGAGGATCTACCGGCGACTTGCTCATGCACTCACTCGATACTGTCAAGACGAGACAACAGGGCGACCCTCACGTTCCCTCAAAATACACATCTTTGGGACAGTCTTACTACACCATATGGAGACAAGAGGGTATAAGACGGGGTCTTTATGGAGGATGGCTTCCTGCTCTTGGAGGTTCATTTCCTGGAACAGTCATGTTCTTCGGTACATATGAATGGAGCAAACGATTCTTAATCGACCATGGTGTGCAACAGCATGTGTCATATCTAGCAGCAGGTACGGCACCTATCGTGTCCAAAAGCGCCCACGGATACTAACAAGTTCAAATAGGTTTCCTTGGAGATCTCGCTGCATCCATTGTTTACGTTCCGTCAGAAGTCCTCAAAACACGTCTGCAACTTCAAGGACGTTACAACAACCCCCATTTCGTCTCAGGATACAACTACCGCGGTACTGTGGACGCTGCCCGCACCATTGTGCGCTTAGAAGGAGCCCCTGCTCTGTTTTACGGCTACAAGGCTACCCTCTACCGTGATCTGCCTTTCTCTGCTCTTCAATTCATGTTCTGGGAGCAATTCACCACTTGGGCTCGCAAGTACAAGCAAAGTCGCGAAATCGGCGCTTCCCTCGAGCTCCTCACAGGCGCGGCAGCTGGTGGTCTTGCTGGTGTTATTACTTGCCCTCTCGATGTCGTCAAGACGCGGCTTCAGACACAGATCAGCTCTCCCACAGAACCTCGGGCCTCTAAGGACCACCATGCTACATCACAAGTCCGACACATTTCAACCTCGTCTCCCAGCACACACCGACCACGACCTGGCGCTGTTCCCCTCGATACCTCTTCTGTCTTCACCGGCTTGCGCATGATTTACCGTACAGAAGGCATCGCAGGATGGTTCCGTGGTGTCGGCCCCCGTGGTGTCTGGACCTTCATCCAGAGCGGCTGCATGCTGTTCCTGTACCAACGACTTCTCCGCCAGCTCGAGCTTCTTGCACCCACCGAGCTAAAGGAAATGTAAAAATCTCCACACATACTTCACATACACGTTGTTCTCAACCTTGTAGTTACCTCATTTTATGATTTTCAAACCCATTTTTTCATGCGCTGTCACAAAAAGCATCCTCCCCGCTTCACCCACCCTCTGTATAACGCGTTAGAGAAGCGGACGATATGAGATGAATTGCAATGGCCATATATGTACAGATAGAGAGAGACGTTTAAGGCTAAGGACGGCCATCATTACTGGGCGTTGGGAATAGAAGGAAATGACTGATTAGATACATCAGAACATGGATAGAATAGAGAGCATGATGAATAGAGGCTCTCATTTGACTTTGCCAATACGCAATTGAATTTCATTGTTCGATAACTGCAGAGCCAGGGGTATTAACAGCCAACGCCAACGCTAAGAGAGTAATTATAAACAGAACGTGATCAAAGCAAGTACGTCGAGTATTCGAACAGCACCAAAACTTGTGATTGATTCCCCATAGAAGTCACAGAGATGAATACGTCCAAAAGATCAAGCATCTGGATCGCTATCCTCGATGCGAGGCAGCTCCTCAAAGTCCGTGATGCGAGTACGCAGCTCGTCACGAGCAAGACATGCCACAAGAGCAATTGTCAAGGCGTTCCAAATACTTTGGTGTTCGTCAGAAAAGTCGACCTGAACATGAAAGCTGACATATGAGTCTGGCCCTTGGAATGAGTCTGTTGTGAGGGCAAGAACTGAGGTGTTGATTATGAAAAGGCCATATACCACAGGGGGATGGCGAGTGTAACTGTGCTTGGAAGGCGTCTCTGGCTCAGCAGTTGAATATGGCGATTGGGAGCGTGGAGGTGGGGTGACCTTTGGGATACTTGTGATGTTGAAGATTTTCGTAGTAGCTGAGATACTGGGACTCTCAAGCCCAGGTTCGACTTTGATACCGTGACATTCAGTCCTCATGGAGATCTTCTCAGAAAGGGAATGAGAACTACCTCTGCTCTCAGCAGGTGTAAGCCATCTCGCGCGTGATGGGGACTCGTCATTATCTGACTCGATTTTGATTGTTGGCTCTGCTCTGATCTTAGGCGATTTGAAGATTCTGGGTTTAACAACATCCCAGAAGTGCGGGCTCCTGTCCTCGCGAAGAAATTCTCTCTGTAGCTTCGCTAGCAATCTCATGCGTTTTTGGATGTACTCTATGATTTCATCTTCTGGCTTGGTGGTGTCGATAACTTCAGTCACGATGTTCGGAACGATGCGGAGATGCATGTATCCGCCATCCTGTGCTGCCCAGTTCAGATATCTGTCGAGCTCTCGCTTGATGTTTTTCGGTGCTCTTTTCCGGTGGCCACTCTGACAGGTGGCTCTGGTCTTTGAGGTAAGATCGACGAGTCGAGTCAGGCATTGTGTTGCTAATAGTAGTAAGCCATAGGTCTTCGAGGTCAGCGATGAGCTTACCTGCGAAGTTCTTGCCGTGGGCATAAATAATAGGAGGAAAATCCTTCGAAGTGCGGAATATTGTTTCTGAGATAGGAATACCGCGAAGATCTACATCCCATGTTGTAGGCAACATCGGTAAATCCTGTCGCATGAACAGTATCTCAAAGAGTCGCTCTTCGGCAGGAGCCCAGCTGCTGGCGCCAGGATACCGCTTCTTTTCTTGCTTCATTTCCTCCTCCATATCGGTGATATAGACATCGCCTTCTTCGTCCGACTCATACGACAGAAAGCTGAGATGAGCATCTTGGTCGGACTTGGACACTTCGCCAGTATCTTCATCGTCGTCGGCTTTGTCATGGTGCGAGAGCCGAGTCCGCGACCTCAAAGGGCTGGTTGTGTTTTCTGAATCTGGCATTTATGCTATTATACCGGCATAGAAGCGGGAATAGAGTCTCTCGTTTGATTTTCGGCATTTATTGGGGAGAAAAAGAGTTCCGGTTGCTAAGGGAAAGCTGTCGCACTGAGAGTAAGTGTTGGACAAATGAGTTGAGCGAGTGTCACTTGCTAGCCACTTGACGGGTTCTAGCTCGGTATAAAGAATTTAGGCACTTGATATTTGCTTTCGACTCTTCTATTGTGCTTATGAAGCATCATCATCATTTAATTAATTTTGTTCATGAATATGGCTTGTAAACAATGACGATAATTCACTTCTTACACGGACATGCGGGGCGTGCATTTTCTGGATCGTCGCTATCGACACCCCTCTCGGAAGTTCACTTTCGCCGTCGAGGCCAATCAGATGCCGGTCATCGAAATTCTTCACATCCCAAACCAACCGTCGCGATATCTTTGAAAGGGCTCAACGACGACCATGGCCGAGGTAGCAAAGACGGTGGCTCGCCAATTGCCCGGCTTCAAGCTGGGACAGAAGCAGGTTTTCTTGTGTGTAGTCTCTTGACCCTTTCCGTCACCGCCAGTCCTCTAACATTTCCCCTCTTAGGCCCAACCATGTAATCACTTTCCTACGAAAAGAGCACATGCCACCGAACGAAGCCACTTTCCAGGTCCCTCTCCGATTCACAAAGTTCGATCTTCGAGATTACCTGTGGAATCTCTACGATGTCGAGGTCACAAAGGTCCGATCGTACGTCAAGCAGCAGCCCTTAACCCAGCGCAACTCCCACTCGCGCTCGTGGTACCGTCCAAAGCCTCTCAAGGTCATGACCGTCGAATTGGCGAAGCCCTTCCAATGGCCCGAGCTGCCTGAGGATCTCACACCCTGGAGCAACCAACTATGGAAGATGCGTGAGGATTTGATGGAGAAGCGTAACGACGAGCACCTTCAACAACAGCGATTCAAGATTCCCCTCAAGAGCAAGGCGCCCGTATCCAAGGAGAGACAAGAGCTTGCCGAGTTGGCCAAGAAGTTGATGTCGGGAGAGGAGAAGTGGACCAACGATGTTGTGCTGGATCCCAAATGGGAGAAGATTCTGGGTAACGAGCAGAAGGCCGTGGAGCCCACGAAAGAGGCTTAAACGAATTATGGACAAGGGCGGGCTATGACTTTAGGTTGCAGGACACTGCTAATGAAAGAGACGGCAATTCTATGAGGTGCCACGGATAAAGGACCTCTATAGGATACACAACTGTACATTATTGTAACTAGTCTTGGATGGGCAATGCATGTGGGCGGGTTAAGACTATGAGCGCAAAAATAGACGCTGAAAACTCGTATATCTTTTCATTCTATATCTTTCCAGTGTTCGGGCTGTTGGAAGCGTAAGACCTCATTTCCCCAACTCCACCAACCAGCAGTCAAGTTACGAGCAAAGATCTCAAGTCCAATGCATTCTTTTTCGAGGACATCTTGGAACAGATCTCGAAGATTCGGCTTTCGCGAATGCACATCTGGCACTGCCATGATAACTTTGGGCTTAAGGGCATCTGGCTTCTTGCTGCCGATGCGCTTTGCTATGATGAGCTTCTCCCATGGCTTTCTCCATGTAGACTCGATATCATATAGCGGTTCACCTGATGCAGCAACCTTGAGCCACGTCCACTCGGTCACGAGCTCGAGGCCCCAAGCAGCAAACAGGCCTGTGGAAGATGTCAGAAAGTCGTGGATACTGGGTTTGTTAGTGATCCAGACGGCGACGAGTCCGTCAGGTGCAAGATGAGATGCCAAAGGAATCTGTAGCAAGAGATTGCTCATCTCAGTCAAATTGAAGACAGTATCATATTTGTCCTTCTTCCTCCTTACAGACCGATTTGGCCATGGAGGATCTAAAACAACAAGGTCAAATTTGGGGGCCAAGGTATGAAAAGAATCACACAGAGCTTCAATAGAGCCGTGTAAAGGTTCGGCTTTGTCTGGAAGTAAAGGCGGCAGAGCGGATACAGGCGGAGGCGATTGTGGCTGAATAAGGCGATCCCGATGAAAGGGACCGGAATACGAATATGAGCTGCTAAGGTCCTCTAAGGCGCTGCTGACTGTTGCAGCGGTCATAAGCTGAGCCAACTGGGCAGCAGGCGAGGCAAGTGCCGAGTGATCGTCTCTTCCATACCGGGGCTCCGGGGTGGGATACGGAGTTGCGGGGGGTTCTGCGGAGACGATGCGGCGGCGGGGGATCTGGGACGGGAGAACCTGGCTTTCTTCTAATGACGTGGGGATATCGATAACAATAATGCTCTTGTCAGGACTCTCAAAGAGGACTGAAGACCGGTGGCTGTCTTTGGCCATGACACAGATCTGACTGCCGGATGACAGTTATTCCACCTGCTTGCTCTTTTTTTTTTTGTCCCGCGGTTGAAAGAATAGAAATTCACGGCGACAATCGGCAAGCCTCGGCGCTCGGTTATTGATCACCGGAACCGTTAGACAGCCCCCGAATCTGCTGAGTTGCAGTGGATTATCAGTGCATGCGTCCACTAAATCGCAATGTCTTAGACCCCTGATGGGCTAACTTTTCGATCACCTCTAGGGGTTCTGGGGAATGTATTTCCGCTGAGGTCGGCTTCGATGCGCTGCGTGACCACTTTCTCTAGGTCATAACTGACCCGAACTTGTGGGGAGGCCGCTGTTGTTGGCCACTGAGCAGAGGTCGGTTTAATGACGTCCAAGCCGCCCGCTGACAGCCGGGGATTAGAAATTCTGCCGCGAGTGCGCCGCATAGACTGGGCTATCTCCAAAATCCTCCCCATTCTCCGAACATTCATCATTCTCCCCACCAAACCTGTTTTCACCAACTCTAGACTTGACCATATAGACACTTTCTCTTGTCGCGTTGGCTTCGAATACTGATCCTCAATCGACTCTGCCACGGAATGTCGCATCCGTAGGCCTCGAATCCATTCACCAAAGTCAGCCACGTGCTGCAATGTCTTCCGACGCTGCTCACATGGAGCAGGCCTCCTCCATGGCCGAGGTTGCGCGGAACCGCAACATACAGAACCATGGCTCTTCGAATCCCCTCACCAAGTCGCAAAAGGAGCCTTCGGTGTGTCCCACAGACCAGGAAGCAGTAACACCAAAACCGCAAATGAAGAGTCTTGAATACATATGGAAATCTGGTGTTGCGGGTGGTTTAGCCGGTTGCGCTGTAAGTGATTGAGTTTATGCCGAAACCTTGCATAACGTTCTAACTCTTGAAAATAGGGCAAGACCGTTGTTGCGCCATTAGATCGAGTAAAGATTCTCTTTCAAGCCAGTAATCCTCGATTCGCGAAGTATACAGGATCATGGGTTGGCGTTGCCAGCGCCATGAAGGATATCCACCATTATGAAGGTATCACGGGTCTCTACCGTGGACACTCTGCGACGCTTTTACGAATTTTCCCATACGCCGGTATAAAATTTCTTGCATACGAACAAATCCGAGCCATTGTTATTCCCGATAGAGCACACGAGACACCGATGAGGAGACTGCTCAGTGGAAGTTTAGCAGGTGTCACATCCGTCTTCTTTACCTATCCCCTAGAAGTTATCCGAGTGCGACTGGCTTTCGAGACTAAGCGCGATGGTCATTCTTCTCTATCTTCAATATGCCGCCAGATATACAACGAGCAACCTGTGGAGAAAGCATCAGCAACCCGATTACCGAACGCATCTGCGCCTGTATCCGCCGCTGCAGAGGCAACCGCAGCGACTGTCGAAGCCATCGCTCCCCGAACTGGACTGGTCAACTTTTACCGAGGATTTGCTCCGACTGTCATGGGCATGCTGCCTTATGCCGGCATGTCATTCTTGACTCACGATACTGTTGGTGATATTCTACGGCTACCGCGCTTCGCAAAGCATACGACACTACCGAAGAAGGAGAACCATCCCGAAGGAAAGCCAGCCGCTCTACGATCATGGGCAGAACTTACTGCTGGCGGCATTGCTGGTTTGATCTCACAAACGGTGTCGTACCCTCTTGAGGTAATCCGTCGACGAATGCAAGTTGGTGGAGCTGTTGGTGACGGTCGTCGATTAAGGATAGGCGAGACTGCCGGTATGATCCTCAGAGAGAGAGGTCCATCTGGTTTCTTTGTTGGCCTAACTATCGGATACGTCAAGGTGTTCCCCATGGCGGCGGTCGCCTTCTTCACGTATGAGCGTATGAAACTTGTCTTTGGCATATAGATGTATTTTAGCACGACGGTACTCAATTCGGAGATTAAGCTTGATCGGCGTTGACGGAGTCCTTGCATGGAGCAGCGGAATTATATCTTTTTATGGCATGGCTTTGATGAAGGAGATACGGATATACAGCTAGGTGTACATACAGCAAAAGAGTACAATACATGTATGAAAAGTCGGACTTGGTAAGGCTTTCACATGTGAGGAGCGATCTATTCCCATTCAGGTCCTGTATCAAGGGACAGCCTCGTTTTCTCGTGGCAGTGTCGTGGTGGCTTTGCCACGCGATGAGAGACGGCATGGCGGATTCCGAAACATCCACGCACCATATCATTCGTCCATATCCGTACTAAAGCGAGGAACGACAGGCATCGCTATTCTCGTGTCTTTACTGCATGCGGAAATCCGACGCAAATGAAGACATTACCCATTGTGCTGGGAATGCGGCAGGTCGAGACATAGGGGTGATCCGCGCAAACTGGTCCGGAGCCGTTATTGAGACTAACATTTCCCGGGAAAAGGGCTCCTATGGCAGGGTTGGGTTACAGTACCAATCGACTGCACGTGCCGGTCTTCATAGAGTTTTCTACAACCATGGCAATGTTCGTGGGATGGATGGGGGTGGAAACATGGGCGTGGCGGCTGATTGCCTCGCCTTTAGCTGTATGCGGATTAGGGATCTCGAGTTTCGTAGATATAAGGTTAGTAGATGGCAAGTATACGGTACTTCGAGTGAACTCAGCATGGGGGTCTTAGGTAACTTGCCCGACGATATCAGCTAGCTAATTGTTGTGATCAACGGATGAGAATCTCCTAACTCAGACTTAATAGACGGGGGTTGATTACGCGGATAGACTAGTTGACGATAATTCAATAAGGTTTCATAACAATCTGCGAGCACAATTATTGACTTGTAGCTCAGGTAGAAATCGTGGAATCAGTGCAATGTAGTGCTTGATCAGCGTCGTATGCTGCATGACGTTATTCACATGCAAGACATCAAGGAGAATTGGAGATGCAGGGCCTGCGCGCATGGCAGTGTGATGGTGTTGTGGTAGGCCGGCAGTTGAAACAGAGTTGAACCTAAGATGGCCAAGAGAGGCGAAGCAAAACACCAATACCACCTGATCTAGAATTCACAAGTTATACTAAAACATGCTCAGGCCTCTATAACTGGATCTAATATGCCCAATAGCGATTTGAAGATGATTTGGAAAGTGTCTTGGCCTGCATGTAATAGTCGTGGACTTACCCTAAAGTTCTGGACAAATTCTAGAAGGCAACAGCAAAGTGTCAACTTTGAAACCATCAAACCACTTAAATGAAATTCATGCAGATAATCTAAGTAGTATATATCGAAATAAATTGATGTTTAATAGCATGCATACCTTGACAGTTGCCATCAATCTAAGTCGGAGTTGAAGACAAGCATGCAGACCCCTGATTGGACACTTCAGTCTTGAGCCAATGGGAATGCAGAAAACAGAGAGCTAAGATAGACGGCAGGAGAGCTTGCCAAAAATCGCAGCCTCAGCCTCAGCCTTTCATCCTCACTTCATCCAACCTCCATCGCAAACGAACACGCTCGAAGCGCGAACAACCACCTTCATTGGATATACAGGATCAGTCGGCATCCTATTACAACAGTCCGTATACAACATTGAGTTCCAATCGATTGCGCCTCCTATTTCAGCGCGACCATCCTCATAATGGCGTCCGCCGCCGATCTCGACGGCCTTGTTCTCCTTCGCCAATCCATCTCCTCAAGCGCGCCTTGCATTCCAAGCGCATCAGCTGATGCCTCCGCGGCCGAAGTCCCTCTCTCACAGGCCACACATCTGCGCTTCCCCAACAAGGATGTCGCCGTTCCTATCGATAACCCGACGCGCTTCGTGTCCAACGACAAGCCAGTCGACTTGCGCAGTATCTACTTTGCCTGGCTGAACCGCGAGCTTGCAATTCCTGAATACAATGCCTCGGCTACAACCCTCAATGACGAGCTAGCTGCTGCTGGCAGTACGGGCAAGGTCCAGAACTTGGGTTTCATCGAACGTTTGGATTTGATCACCTGGCTTGAAGGAGCCAGCGAGGAGAGTGAGTACATCAAGCCGCTCGCCAACGATGCGGGTGCTGCACCTAGTGGCGCGACGACAACGGCGAAGACGGGTGCTGTGACTTCGGGCCAGGCGCGATCTGGTCGAGGTACGATCAACCCCAGGCTTGTGGGTATCTACAATGGCGAACGAAAGATGGGTGATCGCAACACGGTTCTAAGAGGCATTAAGCCTACGGTATGTCTTGTAGTCAAATTATCTGAGCTCCATCTGACCTTGCTAGGACTTCTCCCATGTCCGCAAACTTGCTGCGCCATTCATCCAGAAGAAATCCCAGTCTAGCTCCACCAGCATTCCTACCAACCCATCACTCGCACTGAATCAGAAGGCTCCGTCTAGGCGACCGGATCCTATCATTCTCCTGTCACCTTCGGCATCTTCTTTGATTCGCCTGTCGAACGCGAGATCCTTCCTTGAAGACGGAAAGTTCGTGCCCACTGATGCAGGGGGTAACACAGCCACTATGCTTCATGTTCAACGCACTGTCCCCTCCATTGACCCCAGCCGACCTATGCGATTTATCCTGGTCGAGGGTTCTGAGGCTTTCAAGCCTGAATACTGGAACAGAATTGTTGCAGTCCTGACCACTGGACAGACCTGGCAGTTCAAGAACTACAAGTGGAGCGACCCCAACGAGCTCTTCAAGCACACGCTGGGCGTCTACGTCGGTTGGCGAGGTGAGACTGCTCCGGATAATATCCGCAGTTGGGGTCACCGTGTTCTATCAACTGGTATTGACCGCTGGCGCGGAGAGGGTCATGATACCTCGCGCTTCCGAGACAAGGAGATTGTGGAACAAATCTGGCGAGCCATCGAGGAGAACATGCGTTACAGGGGCTGGAAGAAGGACAGAGCTCCCTCTTCGATATAAATAGAGAGCCCATGAAATGCATATGAGAAGTGTTAGTGGGACACGACGCTCGCATGGCTTGGGTTACATTATCAACAAGAGTTATTATAAAAGGGGAGAGGGAGGGACTTGATTCCCCCTGACATTAATGTGCCTGCAAGGTGCCCAAGATAGGGGGATTAAAAGCGATGGCGTTCGAACGGTTTCTTGCTATGTAGACATATTTATCCAGTCTGTTTGTACAATGGGGCGAGAGTCATAGAGCATATCAGACAGAACATAGGTCAAATTGATCCTTTGCATTTGGACAAAGTACCGGTACAGTAGCACTTGGCACTTGGATATCCTCACTCTGGGGTCAGTTGTCTTACTGATGATAGGCTGGATAGAACGGCACATCGACTCTCTGGCACCGTCGTCCGTCCGGCCCGTCTCCGCGACGTTGAATACCCGGGCAAGCATCATCGGACAGTACAAATACCAAGAACGACACCGCCTACTGCGCATGGATCAGAATTATCCAAAAGCTTGAAGGCCTGGTAACGGGTATACCATCCGACTGGATAGTCATATATTGGATGGACCACTGCCCTGGGACCTGTCACCATATACTACAGTTCCGTGCCGCTCATAGCTAGTTCACCGACTGGCCAAAGCTCTGCATCAAACAAAGCAATGTGTCTCAAGATCGACGGCAATAGTTCAGTTGATGTTGCTGACATACAGTAGTCGCACGGGTAGCATCAACAGACCCACGAGGTAAAAAAGAAAGGGTTGAAGATGCCTTCTTTACGCCCGCAAGGCAACAACCAACACCATGCTTATGACAGAGATAACTATGTGTCAGTGTGCAGCAGGAAGTCGTTTTCCATGGGATTGATCGGCATTACACCCCCACGACGTCCTCTTAGCTCTATCCAATGTCAAGAAGCCCTTTCACTTTGGTCAACCTTGGGTTGTTCCCCACACAATTGGATGCTGACGAGTCTGGGGAGCTTGACACGAGGACATGACTCGGACTCCTTTTTCAAGCTCAAGCTATTCCTGGGGTGACAGAATATGATAGGAGAACAAGGACTCGTCATGGATCATTCTGAGGTGTTAAAATTGGTTGTACCGAAAGTTGGCTGAGTAGATACAGTTGTTGTGGTGTTGAACAAAGTTGGATTCGGGCCATGGCATCTCTTACTCTCCCACGCTGGTGGTCAGACACGAAGATCTCGTCATAGTTGGCTAGAGTATGTTTTAGTTCAACAATACAAACAAATAGCTTCGAACTCGATGAGGGTCAAATATTTTTTCTTTTCTTTGAAAGAGGTTCCAGACCAGCGGAACGACTCCGCTTCTCGTGTTTGACTTACTATGTGAAACGAAGCGTCTAACATGCCTCATCAGGAAATGTTCCGTGATAAGAAAGCCGGCGCCTGAGCTATGTCCACTTGGTGCCTACGGCAGCAGGTAGGCTTAGCCAAGTGAAATGACACGACACGATGGATTCCCGCAGTGGGTGCATTTGGTGGAGAGGGTTCAGCACGGATTTCAGCCCGGACATTGAGAAATAGGGGTGGAAAAGAAGTTGCAGTTGTTGCATCCATTGTCAGAGACTATTATCCATTGGAGTTTGGGTCGTGGCGGCTTAGTAAAAGTGCAGTCACAGTCAGTCTCTTAGTTAGCGTCTTGGTATAGGAACATGCATGGAGTTTTACACATGCGAATCTCAAAGACAAGGACAACAGATTGCAAGCAAGACCTGGAAACAGAGATGGAACCATGATTATTGCTCCCGCCGACTAGATCGCCCGCTAGCAGCGTTTTCAAAGAGTCTCTAGGGCTAATTTTCGAGTCTCAGCCTGTGAACCACCCCATGTCCCAGTCTAGCCGTGCCATAACAGCCATATAGCTCACCGACTAGTCAGTTACAGTATGAAGAAAGTGTTCTCGGTGGCCTGTCCTTGTACGCTGGAGGTGTAAATGAAATCACAATTGGATCATAATCCATAGTTGGAGCTCGGGGTTCGCCGTGTGAAACTTGAGAGGCTCCAATGCCGACATGAAGGGGGTTCGGTATAATGCCGAAGTTTTGCTGTCGGCTTTTGACCAAATGCCGTCGTATAATTACAGTATTCGCTTAAGAAGCTGTGATGTAGGCACTGCCCAGGTACTGGGATGGTTTGGTATTGTAGGGCTGGAAGATGAGCATGAGTCGCGTAGAAAAGGTGTAATTAATGAAATGATGTGACACACGCGACCATGACCATGGATCTGCAAAAGCCGTCTCTACACTACGGCCCTACATTACGGATACCAAATGATGTACTGTACTGTAGTCAATTGATTGAAGGTCGTTGTATACACTGATTGGACTTTTGTTCTCTTGATGGGATGCTTCGCAGAAATATGTGGATATCATGATCCAGGATTGGTTTAGACGGATCTGTCTGTTGGGTGATCGCTTTTGCCTCGTGGTTTTAATTTCTAGCACATGGCATGTCAAGAACACATGGCAAAGTACATTGTACCCTCTCGCGTGGCAAAGGTAAGGTAGGATCCAATGGATGGATGGTTGGATGGATGATGGTTGGCAGACAGCATGACAGTTTACAGGGGATCGAATCAGATTGATGAAACCCTGCAGATTTTTTTTTTTTGTCTTTTTGAGTTGGGTAGCTGTAACAGTAACAGATACGAGCCCCACGAATAACATGTTTCGTGATCATTACTGAAAAAGCTTTGTTGACGATGATTCCGTATACTCCGAGATCTTGACTCAAGAGGTTGCACTTGACCAAACATTGACCGGACTTCGGTGTAACAACATCGGATCACGCAAGACCCAAGACCCAAGTTCACGGAGCACAAACTATTGCCTTTTTAGCGCCCGAGTCTGTTGGTTTGTTGATATCCAACATTGACCGGTAACGCCAAACGTCACGCCAAATCGTCCTGACCTAAAACCACGTTTATGCAGGTATACGTCTGCCACATGGCGGCAAGGGCATCCTATAACCAATCAGTCATGGCAAGTATTTGCCGTGCCATTGTAGGGCTAGAACCATGATCATGACTATGACCAAGCGTCGTTGTACTGTACATTCGTCTTAACCGAGGTAGTTCCACGGTAGTCAACGAGCCAAGAGCCGATAAAAATCATAGACAGAAAAAAAAGAGAATAAGCGTGCTGCTACCGGCGGTGACGGCCTGATTGAGAGGCGGGAACGCCGTAGCTTCGGTACAACCTGACGATAGGTAAGGTGAGCTAGGTTGAGAAGCTCGTCTACTAACTGCCGAAACAAATTTCCGCGCGCCTAGAACATGAACCCATCGCAGTAGAACGTGAAAAAGAGTCAAGAAGATGATCAAAGCTGTATCAATAATGTTAGCGACTCCACAGCACTGCTCTTTGGCTCTTTTTTCTTTGTCGCAAACGCGTGGCTTCGTGCTTGCAAACCAATCCCACGTGGCGGAACCCCGCCAGCAGCATCAGCATGTAAGACACACTATCGTCACACCCTCTCTTCTTCTTTCTTTCGTTGCTTTGTTATGCTTTTGCTTTTGCCGTGTTTTCCTTTTCCCTCTTTTGACACATCCACAATTTGTAACCCCAAGAAATGAAGACCAGGGGATCTGCGATTATCGATACCGCCACTTACCTGCGATTTCTTTACCCAAACTTGAGTACACGATGCAGATCGCTGACAAAGCTGTTATGCTTGCGGTGTGAATGCGGGTAGGTGCTACGTATCTGTACGTCAGGAATTGTCATGGGTATTGATATGGTACTATAGCCCTGTCAGCTGCGGGTTGCCCAAAATACATAGACGGAGACAGAACAACCGACCTGAATCAGATCATACTGGAACAAAGTGGAGTGGGAACAGACACTCTCAGTAAGCGAGAGCGAGGGTACGGGGGGCTTTCTCTCGCTCGCTGTATGGCAGCTTTACATGCAGCAAAGCTCAGTGATGGAGCCACGTGGGAATGCCGACATGGTAGAAAAACATGACCAGTCACAACTTATTGTGTGCCGCTCCCTTCTTCTCAACATGCTCCATTATCCCACCCAACAACCTTCGTCTCCAGTCTCCAGTCTCCGCACAGCCCAACTCACGGGTGAGCCTGAGCCCAGGGCCACTGTGGCCTAGACTGCAGTACGGATATGTGTGGACGGATTGGTTATCTTTTTTGCGTTGCGGTGTGAGGAAGAAGCCTGTCTCATAGACACTGCGTAGATATCGACTTAGACGGCGAATGAAGCTAATCGACAAAAACCGATTATTCCCATCCTGACAGCTTAAACAACTGTCCTGACTCGTTCCTCGGAAACCTTTAGTAATTGTCCAGTACAACAGGCGTCTAGGGAACTCCGAGATAGAACAGTGCCGTTTCTGTATCGTCAGAAAGCAGTCACTGCTAACAAGAAGGACGTTCCCAAGCAAGGCTACATTTGTCAGTTGGTGATCTGCAAGATGAGATAAGATGGAATGAAACCCTCACCACCTCATTCTCATCTACTTAGGGCTGCGATTCAAGACTTGGCAGATGGCTGGCCCAGAGCTAATGCAGGTATCCGCAGACTACAGTATCATTAGATACAAAGGTAGCTTGACTCGATATCAGAGTGCATATCTTTTTGCCTCTTTCTTGATGACTCAGTTGGACCCTGAGTTTGAAATTTGAATAATACCTGGAACAGGGTCGGTTAATGATAACCGTGACGCTAACCAGTTGATAGACATGCTTGTCAAGAAGTGACGTCCTGAATCTGGGTCGACATGGATTGCTGACGAAGAGGCAAAAGTGAAGCCGGAGTAAATTCCCAGACTTTGGTATGTGGGTGGGATAATCAGCAATTAGGTTCCTCCTTCCCCTTCATAGCAATCAATGCCTTCCTTCCTCGATGGTGTTGTCGTGTTCCTTCCATCTCTTTAACTCCGGAGTTGTGTGCTACTCCCCTGCTAGGCTCTTTCCCCCCTTGTTGATCGCCCACCCCTACGGTTACTGACCTGTAGTACTGAAACTCAGGCAGGCTTCAGTTCCTTCACCTCCTCCACACACGGGTACAGATAGCTTGGGCTCTAGACTGAGGCTATTCCATTCTCGACACTACGTTGCCAGAAGATCAGCTGATTTAACGGCAAACCCACTGAAACGCTCCGCATCTGCGACGACAGTTTACGAACTGCATTGCTCAACAACGCTGGACGGAATTTTGCGTCGACTTGGGTTACAGTACTTGGCCACTCATGATCTTCAAGCCCCTGTCCCTGCCACGGAAAGGATTCCAGAAACCTTCTAGAAGGACACGCAAGAACAGCACAAGCTGCAACGGTGTGAAGCGCAATCTCGCTTCGCTACAAGAGACAAAGAAGGCATTGGCGCTTTTTTAAGCTGGGAGTGAGCCGGGCGTGACGTGTGCACAGAGCCGAGATGGTTAATTTGATATCACTGACCAGTGACTGACAGGTATGGCGGTAAGTTGCCCGTTAAACAAGCATACATGCTTGGGGTAATCTGGAGCAACAATTCAAGGCTGAACGTTACGGACACTGTTCACCGTACACCGTTTCTCTGGCTGACACAATTTTGGCTTACACCAATCGACAACTTGGAAACGAACCAGCCTTGAGGAAGCGTGATTGCAGAACTAGTGAAGTTCGTCAACGCTCTAACAACACCAATTTCCGACATACCAACCATTGAGGCGAGAGCGAGGTCAGAGCGATCTGTGGCGTTCGTGCTAACCAAGATTTGCAAACCGTCTCTGGGCTTTAATCCCCAATTTGTCAAAATATACGGCCACCCTAATTATGATAATCCCGAGACGCAGAATGGGCTTAATCCCGACAGTCAGGAAAGCGCACCAATGCGTAAACTGCAACCTTGACATGGCGGCGGTTTTATCAAAGACTAAATAAGAATGTACCAAACCAAAATGGTATCAGTCATGGGCGGCCGACTGGACATATTCATGCGCCAAAGACGGACATATCCAGCCGTTTCAAATTTTGTGTTTCAGCATCACCTCTTATCGCTATGCTTAAAGTACCTGTTCCTGCGACTTCCTGGTAGCATGGACAAGCATCATCATCCTACGCCCAAGACCTACCAAATACCCTGCCACTCCCCCCGGACATTCCACGGGAACTGATTTACAATATGGAGCCTTGTGTGCGCAGTGATCACGTACTCGTCATTCAAAAGTTCACAAGTCCAGGGTTTGGAACATCTGCAACATGCAGACCAAGCTGGAATTACTCTGGTATTTCTTCGGAAGCAGCAGCTCGGAAGCAGAAAAGGGCAGCGCGTGGGGCAGAGTAAGGGGCAAGCACGCCCAGCCGCGGCATGGTTGCATGCACAGGAACTTGGGTGCTTTGATCGCATGGCAGCAACGTGATGTGGTGGATGGAGGCACTGAGCATGGCTACAGGGAACTTTACCGGCCGAATGCAGCCTAGCATGGTGGGCAGAATCCCTGAAGCCACGCGCAGTCGGGGGGCTGTTGAGACCTGATTGACTGTGAGAAGTGAGACAGACATGCACACGCCCGCGGCTCAGCAGCCACTCGCTGGTTCAACATGTGAGGAAAGATTATCCAGTCTGCCAGCGGCCCAGATGGAATGAACAATGAAGCACTACGGTAGGGACAACACAGCAGGTTCCCCTTGTTACTAATTATTCGCCGACCACATCTGACTAGGATCGGCCTACAGTTGGACGTCTGCCCTGTAACTTTATTGTTGGTGCTGTTGACGTCCTGGTTCATGCCAACATGCAATAGCCCGGACGCTGTTTCTCATCACCCACAACTTGTGAATGTGGTACAGTACAGGTTTGCATCGTTCAAGAAACTGCGAGAGACCTTTCACCCAAATGTGCATTCCTCCCGGGCGGCTGCCAGTATGCTGTGCCGCCCATAATAGTGCTTCCGGATCAACTAAGCTTTAGGGCGCTGGCCCGCGTTAATGCGATGCGATGCCATCACTCGATGCGATTTGCAACGAGGCGTTGACCCAGGCGACACTCGCCTCTCGTGGTTGCACAGGGTGCGCTCGTGGCGGGCAAGCCACCAGGGGATTCCGTACAGATTGCTACAGCATGGAAAACATGTTCCAGAAAAGATTCTTCAACTATTTTTGAGGCAGGATGAAATATTTGGCACCAGGTTTAATCGTCATACAACGCCCTAAAACCGCCGTTTTACTGTCAATCGGTCGTGCCTCGCTGCCGATGCCGTCCGGGCTGTTGTTGTGTGCCAGCCGATCAGATCAGAACAATTATGTACTGTTACGTACCCTGGTATTGCAAAGTGCGGAGGTGCTGCAGACCGCAGACCGCTTGCAGATCAGCAACGATTGATACAGGCATTCCGAGAGAAATGCTCCAAGGACGTCGAATGGTTTCAGCCTGTGAACCCTCAACAAGTCTGATGCCCTAACGCGTTATGTACAGCAGCGCTCTAGTGCATGTACGCAACCCCAAATGCGACAATAGCGCAGCTGGGAGCGATGAGGGACCTAACATCGACACAAGATATGCAAGTTACTGGAAACGGCTATGTTTTATCAAACTGTACCTATTCCCATGTCTTGCTGGTGGATTTAACAGCATATCATCCAAATTTCGCTATACCATGTATAAACCCAAGAGCTTCCTTTGGAGGCATGTTATCAGGATCTGGATGCCAGATCACTGATTAGCACCAGGGCACCCAATCCTTCGCGATCCGCTATCTCATCTCGGATGCATGCCACTGGTCATTAGGCACTCACGATTACTTGAATGTAGACCTGTTTCCTTTTGTCTCCATGTTTCACTCGGAGCCGACGGACAACCTCCTTACCAAAGGTACGGTACCCGGAACATCGATGGCGCTGCGCTACTCAACTTGTTCTTTCTTCATTGAACCAAACATGTGTTCTGAAAGCCAGTTGGTTATTAGTCTGATGGCCCAGGAACTGTTGTTTGGTAAGACACTACGCCACGATTGATATGCCGAGCCATCCAATGCTATGGCGAAGACACATTGGTCGTTCTGAATGGTAAAGCAGTCCAGTTTCAATGCTTGTGCTGGGGGCTTCAGCGCATATTCGCGCTGGACTGAATGCACCGCACCGACCTGTCGCCAGCCTGACCGGTCATCTCACAAAGGGACCCTTATTACTTGCTCTTGTAGGTGAGGTATCACCTGTGGTGATGAAAAGAAGGATCCCTGATCTTTGTAAAGAAAACGGGCTGTTACAGCCTCCTTAGTATCAATAGCATGAATGATGATGGTGATAGTGAAGAAGAATGATAGCTCGTCCAGCCTTAGACTATTCTTGGAACCCACTTGGCAGTTTTAGCGTTTGTTTTTTGCTTTTTCCTTTTCTTTCAGACTTTCTTACATCTTCTCTTCTCTTGGGTTCCTGGGATATTCTCTTTTAGCTGGACAATTGAGTGTTTTGACCCTGGTCCTGGCCCTTGTCCTGGCTACTTTATTAGCTTAGCTTGGAGACCATCTCGCCCGCTGTCCTCAGCGCCCAGGTCCGACCGGAGAACGAAGGTCGGGTAAGATCCACCCAAGAAGCAGAAGCCCCCCCTCTTCTATCTGCACACCTCTTTGGTGAAAAAAGGATGAACAAGGGGACCCCTTTGACACCCCACCCTCCCTGGCCCTCTTCTCTGAGAGAGGGACCTGAAGAGTCTCTAGTCACTGTACCGGTACCTGTACCTGTACCAGGACCACCTCTGTACCTACGACCGACCCTCTCTGCCTCTCGCTCCATCTCTCTCCACGGGCTCACTTTACGCTACCTTACCTTACCTATTCTTGCCTATCCTATCCTATTCTAATCCCACCAGACCTGACCTATCTTTTCTGTGTCCCACTTGACTTGGTCTGGTTTGCTTCCACTCGTTCGCCGCGTCCATCCCAATCCACATCCACATCCATCCTTCTTATTTGAACCTTCCCGCTGCCGTCACCGTAAAACTCCCCTCCTTCTGACCTTTCTCGTTCCCGTTAGATGGCCACTCTGTCGCATCACCAAAGACCCACGGTAAACCAGTCTGCCTCTCCTTCTGATACACTCGACCAGGATACAAACACTCGCGCTATCTCACCTTCTTCAACTATTACTCCACGCTCTTCGCCTCCTCTTCAACCACCACCCGCACCACCTGCAGACGCTACTACCACTGGATCAGTATCAGGATCTGGATCAGGAACGAACGCACCCGTCTACGTCCCATACCGCCCAGAGCCAGGTCACAGTCACCACCGAACTACTTCCTCGGTCTCGAGATTGAACAACCGTTCTTCAAGCAGCCTCTTCGCCTTGGCCGCCTCTGCCTTTGACCGCACGCAAAACGCAATTGCTGCTATTTCAGAGCCATCCATCCGACCTCGACAGTCTAGCGGTGCTCTTTCAAGGCTTTCGTTACTCACCAGCTCTTCACCCTCGTCCGAACCCTCCAGTCCGGACAAGTACCACCGTCTTCGAAGCTCTTCGAACCAGTCTCTTACGTCGGGCGCAACCGTGGACGGAAAACTAGCTTCCCAGGCTCTGCAGGCGAACAACCCGCCCTCGCAGCCTTACACATCCACAGACCCGAACCATCCGCTTCCCTATAAGTCCTCCACAGCCGCCAAGATGCATCAAACATCATCGCGCTTGTTGCGCATGACGGACGATGACCGGCCATTCACAAAGGTACACCCTTGTCCTACCCAAATATGCTTCGTGTGCCTTATTCGTGTCGTTTAACTGCGTGCGCAAAGCTGCAAGGCCTTGGTCTCTGCACCAATTGCATCATGGAAAAACAGTACCTCTTTCTCTCCCAATCCTTGCTAATACAGTTGCACAAATAGGACTTCAAAGATCTCTTCTCAACTCTTGTTGTCAGTTTACTGCCTCTTTCAGCACACCGTGTCCGATTGACCAAGGTTGAGTACACCTTCCTGTCTGAGGATGCCATCAACAACCTTGGCTCTCTCAAGTTCTCTCAGTCCAACCGTATGCCTGACCCCAAGGACCCCTCCCGCATTGTTACCACTACGACAACCACCACGTTCTCCATGGCTAAGGACATGGCTCGTTCTATCTGTCAACGATTTTTGGAAGCCCGTTTTATTGAATCAGCCGATGGCAAATACCAGCAGGTTTACACGATGAAGGGCTCCGTCTGGCAATTAACCCCCAAGGGTATCACTGTGTTGGATAGATTCTGCTCCAGAAACGGTATCCAGCAAAAGCAAGTGTCCGAATTGGCCAACCTTGCTACCACCCAGCTAGTGCTGCTCGAGCGTGACCCCCAGACGGATAAGCTCCTCCATGATCACGGTACAATTGAAGTTATTTTCCGCCGTTTCGCTGGAGCAGAGGGCCGCAACATTAAGTCTACTGTCAACGCTGCCGACTCAGATTCTTTACACGACTACCGGGATGGACTTACAGGTGTCAAGATGGCTGCCGAGCGTAAGGTTAATGGAAAGACCTACCGCGATACCTTCACTGGCAAGGCTACCACTGACTGGTTGATGGACTGTTCGACTATTGTGGATAAGAGGGAGACCCTTGAGGTTGCTACCCTCTTCGTTGAATTCGAATTGATGGAGGCTGTTGCCCAGGACCGGGCTTACATGTCGCAAAATCCCGGATGCAATTTCTTCCAGCCTACCAAGTATGCCATCTACCAGCTGTCACAACGAGGAAAGGACATCGTCAGCGGCGCTGCTGCTCGAGGACGAGCTTCAGAGAGCGAAGGTGGTACCGCATCCCAGCGAAACGGTATCACAAGGGATTCCAACACCCAACGCCTGGACAAGATCCTGAACGACCCCGCGCTTCGCCTCCTCTTCCGTGAACAACTCCGGGATACTCACTGTGAGGAAAACTTGTCATTCTACCAGGATGTCGACGAGTTTGTGCGTAGCTGCAAGGCTGCCACGCGCGCTGCGCAAAAGGCCCCCAACACCAATGCTATGGACGGAATCAAGGAGATTATGGCCTCTGCATATGGTATTTACAACGCCTTCCTGGCTCCTGGATCTCCTTGCGAGCTCAACATCGATCACCAATTGCGCAACAATTTGGCCACACGAATGACCAAGGCTGTTGGTCAGGATGTGGCTATGATTGACACTCTTCAAGAGGTGACGTCGCTGTTTGAAGATGCTCAAAACGCTGTCTTCAAGCTGATGGCTAGTGTAAGTTCAGCTAAAACCAGCCCCATCCCAGCCCCCCCTTGCCCATTCTCGGACACGCCGATCATTTTCGGTCGAAGGTGAAGAAAAGCAGTAACTAACAACAAATAATAGGATTCTGTTCCCAAGTTCCTTCGCAGCCCCAAGTACGAACAGCAATTGCGGAACTACGAGTTTGACGTCGTCGGCCGAGGCCCTGAGCGAAGCCAAAGCAGGTCCAACCGAAAGTGATCTCCCCTGAAGGAATCCGATCCCACGCTATCTACACTAGAGCAGGTTGACTAGGCTCGAAAGGAAAGCCTAAGTCTAAACAGAAGCAGAGCAGAGCAGAACCATGGCCAGACCCAGAACCAGAAAAACTGGACCAGGACCAGGACCAGGACCAAGACCCTGAACCTTGCTGGCCTTTCCTTTCTCAAGCATTTACATCATCTGCCTCATTTAATAACGAGTCATTTGCATAGAGACGTGTGAAAGATTTGGCTACCCAAGCGTTTGTTGTCATGTCATGAAAACGATACCACCTAGAGCCATATTCCCCTGCATTATCGGTGTTAATTGGTTTTCCGAGCTATTTTTTGTCGTGTTCTTTTTTTCATTCTTGCCTCGGCGTCTCTCTTCCTCGGCGGCTAAGTTAGTACTGAGTTAAGGAAGGGGGCTACAGCTACAGCCACAGCCACAGCCACGGCCACGGCTACGGCTACGGCTTTGCCTACCCGACAACGGTCTCCACGCTTCGGCACCCTCCGGACACACACTCGGTCGATCCTTTAGTCTCTTCGCTCATCGATTGTGGACCTCGATGGAAAGTCTCTATTACTACAATAGATCGCTCGGATGCACCGACTGGATGAGACCATATGATGCGCAACGGCTTTTGGCTGAGTCGGATACTCATCACTGAGTATCGACTCGTTTTTGTGCCGACGGAAGAGCCGTACGAATAATTGATGCTTGAGATCTTCGAACATGACTATGACCGGATGGATATAGGATAACACGGCCTGCGAGACGGTTAATCGATTTGTACAGTGCAACGGATTTCAACAAAAATCGGCGGTACTTATCTTCTTGTTGTTAGCTTTATGTTGTTTTTACTACTTTTTTTGTGGTACTATTCTCTTCTCTATCTATCTTTCTTTCTCTTTTATTTTACACGTTACGGACGGGACCTCATCATATCGAGACCGAAAGTAAATGCATTGCATTGGAAGGAGTCGGGTACATTATGGCGGGCCAGCGCTGAGATACAATTGTACATAGAAAAAAGGGCAGGCAGTCTCGATGATTTTGGTCGAGAGGAATAAAGAAAGACAAAGAAACAAACTCTACATGTAAACTTGTGTGCACTTGAATCGTGAGCTTATCTTGTGGCATGGGCAAAGGAATCACACATGTGGAATGTGTAGAGATAGTGGTATTGCCAAGAATGTCACCATGTTTGATGGTAATTGCTATAGTATCTTGCTATATCCGTGAGTACGCGATGTGACACGAATCAGAGACTGGATGCATGCCATGTCTTGACTTTCTGATGTCCTTTATTTACCTCCTGATAGAAAGCTGCAGAGAACAGGGGCAAAGATGTCAACTGCAGGAGGGTAATTTAACTAAACGTCGATTACAAGACAAATGACCGCTTCTCTTCCTCCTTCGTCTCCTATACTCACCTGCGTAGGTTATGTGTTTTGGGCAAGACAGATGCAACTATTTTTAATGATATAAAACTTGTCTTGCAAACAAGAAACCACTGTAACAAAAACCACTTCTCGGCACTTCTTGTCCCGAAGACAAGACATGGCATCAAAGAGAGGCTGAATGATGTTATTGTCAAGATAATGAGTTTGAACAACAATGCTGTCTCTTCTGCGTGGGTAATTAATTAGTCAAGGGAGAAGAGAGACATTCACGGGTAAGACAAGGACGGCTTCCAGATCGATCGATTCTTGGAGCATCGATCGGGAAGTTTTATTATGGGAATTTCTGTTCATTTGTTTACGGTACTTTTGAAAGGCTTGTTATGTTATGCTTGTTTATATGTTTATTTGACTTACATGACTAGTAAGTAGGGATGCTGCAGGAGAGTATGGACCTGCATGGACGACACTATATCACTTCTGCCAAGCATCCAACTACTATCTGCCGACTCAGAATCCACTTACACACAACAAGCCAAGATTAAATTACTGAGAAACAAAACTGGCAGCACTGAAAATAGAATCTCTAGTAATTGGTTCAACGGCATTAAGCCCAATTACACAAAAGTATCTCCCTGCATCTGGTAATCCGGCCACAGCTCCCTACTTACGGAGCCGCAATTTCTTTCTCTTCCTCCCTTGCGTATTGGAATGGAGGAACATGACGATACACCGGTTTCCATTCTTTACTGTGGCGGCTAGACTGTCGCAAGCCTCAGGGGCAGACTCAGAGAGGAAAAGCAAAACAAAGACGGGAGTGAGACAAGGGAGGATAAACAGAGGCTCCGGCCAGTGTCTGAGGCTTCACTTTTCAGATATAAGAAGACAACTCCGACGGCTATCAGGACTTTTTCTCTCAGCATCACTCAGCATCTTTCTCAGTTCTTTGCAACCCACACTCGTTAACAATCTCGCCCAAGTCACTCGCTTGACCACACTCGCTCACTCCAGCAAACTCGCAATTCGCTCTTCCGAACTCACTCACCTTTTCAAGTAAACCCTCAAACCCAAACCAATCTTTCAAGATGTACGCCTTCAACGCCGCCGCTCTCCTCGCCCTCGTTGGTGCTGCCGCTGCCAAGCCCACCATGACCATGTCTCCTTACCCCATGCCCACTGGACACAAGAACGGCACCGTCACTGTCACCACCGTCGTCGACAGCTACACCACCTACTGCCCTGGCCCTACCAGCTTCCACATGGGCGGCAAGGACTACGTCGTCACCAAGCCCACCACTCTGATCATCACTGACTGCCCTTGCACCGTCACTGAGACTCACCCCGCTGGTCCTACTTGGATTCCTGGCCACCCCGGCTACAAGCCCGAGCACCCCGGCAAGCCTGGCCACCCTGAGCCTGAGCACCCTGAGCACCCCGAGGTCCAGAAGCCTGGCAAGCCTGGACACCCCGAGATGCCTGAGCACCCTGAGCACCCCGAGGTCCAGGAGCCCGGCAAGCCTGGACACCCCGAGATGCCTGAGCACCCCGAGGGTGAGAAGCCTTCCGGCGAGCACCCCGCTACTCCTGAGCACCCCGCTACCCCCGAGACTCCCGAGGGTGAGAAGCCTGCTGGCGAGAAGCCCTCCGGTGAGCAGCCCAGCAAGGAGACTGAGGTCCCCGAGCACCCCGTTGTCACTGCCGGTGCTGGTGCCGTCCAGATCGGACTCGGTCTTGCCGCTTTCCTCGGTCTCGTTGCCCTGTAAGCTCGCTTTGATAGAAGCAATCGGCAAGCGTCACTCTCAAGGAACGAACATGAGCAACCTGTCAGTTCGTCAACTTTCAAACCTACCCTCGAAGTTGTATCTTGCCGGATTCACACAGCTATGATCACCACGAGCGTTCAACGACATTTTTCACTTCGTTTCTCCGCATCAACGTTTTAATGACAACCTTTTTGACTTCTTTGGGCATTAATGCACTCGCATATAGACCGTTGAAGAGTGGGGGGCTCTTAATTCCATCTCCATGATTGAGATCTCAGTCATAGGGATGCAACAAGAGACCACATGTTCAGGGGCTTTCGGAGCCGTTGATCTTCTTTGCGAAGCCAGTTCCCACTAAGGGCTTCCCGGGGACCGGTTAATCGCATGGAAGGGGATTTCTTTTGTTTTTGGGGACTTTTGGTAGAAATGAGGATTTCGGAAGACATTTGCATTGCTAGGAGATGATTTGTACCGTTGGTGTAATATAGATACATATAGAACCTAACGAATTTATCATTCTGCTCATTAAATTTGCGTTCGATGTTATGTCCTGCATATAGTCAACGTGCTCCGCTCGTACCTGATCTGACATACAAATGGTTCAGGACATAAAAGTCCATGCTAGAAATAACGCCCCAGCTCCAGAGCCTCGAAACAAGCACAATCGACAACAACCTCTTTTAGGCTAGCTCTGCTGGAACTGTCTTTCCGGGACGAGGATGGTTCTGAGTCCCATCGTCCAGCTCCGCAAAGGTCTGACGGTCGTCAAATGGTGTGTTGGAGTTATTGTACGGATTCTGGCTTGACGAATCGGCATAATGACCAGGTCTACTGCTGTCATGGTAGGCTGTTCCAGACTGACCAAGCCCTGACTGATTCGACCCTACCCGTTGCAGCTGCCCAGGGGTCACAAAGCCGCCGTTCCTTTGCTGATGCATGTCACCCATGCTGGAGGAGGGTGTGCCATTGCTGTAAGCTGGAGGGGAAGACACACCCGCAGCAAACCCGTGCCGGCCATTAGCTCCCCTGGCTGGTACTCCTGAAGACTCAGATGCTGGAGGGGCTGGCGTTTGAGAGCTGGTCCTAAAGTTTTGCATAGAGTGTCTTGCAGCCTTCATGGAAGTCCTCTCCGATAACTTCTCAACTAGAGTTCCATGGGACTTCTTAATAGTCTTCTTAACAAACGATACCATGAGTATGTTACATCGCATGTCAACATCCTCACGGAGATAAAGACCTGTGGCCGGTGCTCCCAGCCCAAGCTCAACAGGCTGCGGACGCTCTCCGGGCATAGTTCCTCCTACAGACCAGCGGCCACGGAGATCAAGCCCCATAGGAGCGTAACTGTGCGTCTGCAGCCCATCCGAAGAGTCAAAGAACGCAGCCGTGTATGTGACTTGACCTGAGGCAAGACCACCGGGGAGGTAATCAATGCGATCCGTCATGGAGTACCATACGCATTTCTTCTCATCCTCCGGGGCGTGTGGCGGAGGGTCAATTTGGTGGCGTTCTATAATGAGAGGATTCAAGTCGATCATGGCGAGATGATCGTGGAGAAAGTCGACCACTTGCTGGCGAGATAAGTTAGAAGGCAAGGGTGTGATTGTTGTGAAAGTAGACCGAGTCATGTTTTTTGCTTGGTGATGGTTGTGATCGACGTGATACAAGTTTTCGTGCAGCTACCGGACCGGATAGTAAAGATCGAGAGTGTGTATATGCAGATGGGGAAGGAAGAAAGGAGGAGGGAAAAAACAGGGTCCGTGGAGAGATTTAATTAACGTCAGAGCTTTGACGATCTTCTTCTTTGATGCTGTATTTTTTCGGTTTGTTTTGTATGAGTTAAAGACTTGAAGTCGATAAAGATGACGGAGGTTTACTAAACAGGAAGCAATGAGAATGAATGGATGAATGCCAGGTACGACCCTCGACAGGAACTCGGCAACTTTTCAGCCCCAGCTGTGTAAGCCACAAAATTAGAATCAGCAGGCTAAGAGATGAGACCAAGGGAAGGGCAGGTGCCATCCATCAAATCGAAGCTTCCTTTTCCTTGGCTGAAGGAGTTCGGGAGTTGTATCAGATTGCCACTAGCTCATCTCGTCTCCGGCAAATCAAGGCCTCACAATTTCAAGTGACGTAGTATTATCTACGACAAGTGAGTAAGCACAGCAAAAGATGATACAATGTATTGATTTGACTCTGATTCTGAATAAATCGATAATATTTATTAGGGAAATCACACTCATTTGACACGTCTCACTAAAAGTTCACGCTTAATCCGTGTGAGATTTTAGTATGCTTCGAGTCGATGGATCTAGCGAAACCTAAACATCTTCACCAATACGCCATTATATCATCTAGTATACCCATATTATTACCGTACAGTCGGATACCAGAATATCTCACCGTGATCTTCAAGGGGGGCGCTTCTTTCTTTTCAAAACCGTCTTGTTCCCATCGCAAAAGTCTTCGGCAACTCAGGGATACGATCAAAGTAGCGCCGAAGTATTCGTTACTTGCCCTCTACTTTGCTCAGGGGCATCATTAATAGTAAAATTATGCAACACGGATGTGTATCTAACAAGCCAATGGGGCATCGTATCGTTAAACCGCAACCTCCCGCGTCAGGGTGTTAGAAGAATTGGTCCCCGAGAGCATACGAGACGAAATACTTTGGTCACCTTATGCTGGCTTAGGCTAGCAATTGAGATCCTTTATTTCTGTACCCTAAGCCTTAGGCGACAATTCTTCTAACACCCACCTGCTCCACCACTATATCTCCCTACACCATCTTGCCAATACAGCACTCAACTTCACTGCTGCTGGGATCTCCTCCAATGCGACATCGACTTTCCACATCTTGCCTTCTAATCCGCCATGTCCAGGGTTACGGGCACCACCTATGCCAGCTGGCACCAATAACCCTAGTGAAATGAGTCGTTCCCATGCAATACCAGCGACGCCACGGCTCCATACTCGGACACCACCGCCTACAGCAAGCATCCCTGATGTTGCAGAGTTGACTCGCTGCCTGCCCATCAAAGAGCTATATTCGTCGTATGCCATGGCCAAGTTGACCGTATCAGTGTGTGCTACAATATCCAATCGTGCTGCAGCAATAAGGAGTCCCAAGTCCAGCTCAGACAATGTTGATAGCAAGTGAAGCCTGGAGTCAGGGGGTGTCAAGGATTCGATATCTGCTTGCACAGCAGGTATTTTGAGTGTTACGTCGTTTGCTGAGAGAGCCGACAGAGGCAAGATCCATTCGGTCAGGAATGCCGAAGCCGACTTGGTTGTGTAATAGTGATACTGGAGCAAGTCCTGGAATGATCGCTCTCTGTATAGTCCCTGCACCACTTGTTAGAACGCTGTCCAAGTCCCATCTTGAACTGGCTTACCTCAATCTTTTCGTTCCAATATTTCTGGAACTCAGCATGCCCTTCGAGGTAGGTGTTAATGCCCTCCTTTTCGGCCTCGTCGCTGTCTACAACCAATCCCTGCCTGCAAACTTGCCAGTAGGCCGGAAGCGATTTTGGCATAGAGAGATAGACGTATCGATGACTGAATCGACTCTTGACTCGCTTTTCCAACATCTCAACAACATCCAGTCTAGTGGTACAGCCAATCACTGCGATGGGTGCCTTTCGCGACTGTGCAATATCAAACAAGTTGTACAATAATGTTTGTCGAGAGTGCGAGGCAAACATGTCGAATTCGTCAATCACAAACACAATCGACTGTGACGTGACACCTTCGTCTGTACCGATAATCTCAGACGGATGTGACAGGAGAGCAAGCAACGACGCCATGGTGTCGGCATAGTTTGTCTACATGGTTAGTAAGGGCAGTTGATGGAAGCAGCGGTTCACTCACTCTGTTCACCAAGTCATCTTCTACTTGCATCTCCTTGCCCAACTGGCGCCAAATCTCTTTCAAGGCCAGCTTGTCATCAGTGTGAATGAAGCCGTTGAGCCGCACCAAATGGAAATCATTCTTGTGCTCTTGAGACACATCAGAGATGACCTTTTCTAATAACTGTAAGACATAGTTAGCTTCCCGTGCATACGGAGTGATAGTGCGTCGCCTTACTGTAGTCTTGCCGCTTCCCCTGGTTCCAATAACCATCATTGAGTTTCCTTCGCCAGCCACAACCGTTTGTTCTACAAGCTGGTAAACCTTTTCTTCGGCTTCTAGCTGCCCAGACAACTGCAGACGTCTTCTTCCAGTACATCGATCGAGCAGAACCCGTTGTAATGATCGTACATGTTGGTCCAGGTTGGCGATTTCGGGCACATCTACTGCAATCTTAACAGCCGGAGGCTGAACACCCGCGGTCTTCTTGGGCGTCTTAAGTATGTCCTCTTGAGTACATGACTTGCAAAGCCAATCGCCTTCTGGGATATCCGGAACGCCATAACATTCCTGATGAACTGCGAAATCACACATGTCGCATAGAATGATTTGGTTGGGTGCCTGAGAGTGAGGTTTTAAGCAGAGTGCGCAGACAATCTCATTTGCTGCAGCATTCTCAGGCCTGCGCGGTGTTTTAGATGTCTTGGGTAGATCCGCGAAGAAGACTTCCCCGTTTTGATCTTGACCTGCTCCAAATGTAACATTCTTAGGTCGGCCTCGTGGTCTTCCCACTTTCTTGGGTGTTAGAATGCTCTTGGGTGTAGGTTTTGGCACTGACAATGAACCTTCCGGCGCGGAAAGCTCATCAACAGACCCCGATAGTTCATCGGCCAGCGTTTCAATCTTCTTCTTTCGTGGTCTACCCCTAGGGGCTGCGGGTTTCTTTGGCGAAGTGTTTCTGGTCCTAGAGATTCCGACTTCCTTCGGCAGTTCAACAGGTGCTGGTGCGGTATCCCATTTCGTGCCTTTCAGTGCCGACATTTTAATAGCAGGTCGGAACGCTGGCGCATCGGTACCGGGTTTTCCAGTGTCCCATTTTGTACCTTTTATTGCGAACCCTTTAAGTGCAGGTAGGAACTTGGCTGGCGCTGCGGCAGGTTGTGGTGCTGGTTTTGATGGCGATGCAACGGGTCGCTGGCCATTCGGTACTGGTATATCAGTGGCTAACGGTGGTTGAGCGATCTGGCCATTGAGTACTGAAGGGTACGCTGAGTTGATGGCTTTGAGTGCCTTGGGTGTTGAAGGAGATGCGGTTAGGTCGTCGAGTCGGCGTTTCTTGAGGGTCGCAGGAGTAGGGACGGGATCATCTTGGAATTGGGTTCGCTTCCGAGCGTTCGGAGTAGGAGAGTTATCCATTATGATTAACTGTAAATGAGTGACTGTGATTGAATGAATGGCGGACAAAATCGTTAAATCGTTTCCAAATCAAGGCTCAGCATGGCATCGTAACTATCCAAGCTTTAGTTGGTTGCGGTTGCCAATACAAATAAATCATAAATGCACTAGCCAAACTAAAACCAGGGGGAGACGCGTTTGACGCGTCGAGATTAAGACTAAGCGCTTCTCTTGGTGCCATCTCACGTGATCTATAAGACATGCATAACGACCCGCTTTTACGGAGTACAGCCCTACGAGATGAGGTGCATGTTGTTGGTTGAGATGAGTTTCCTAAACTGGTTATATCTTTCATAGGCGGAGAATATCATCCGCCGGTAAGGGTCTGATCATTGTTGTATGCAGTGACCCGAACCTGTTCGTTATCCTTGATACTAATGACTCGATCTCAGGTTATTGTATATAAACACGGATTCATCCTCATGTCTCATTTCGCACCTTGAAATGGGATGTCCTTGCCTCCTGAATATAAGAAATATCATGATGAGCCATATAATTGATCAATAAGGCAGTATTGGGATCATGGGGAGTTGTGCAAGAACCAAGTCAAAGTGAAGATCAGTCCCTAGAGGATCGATTCATGAATGGTCAAGTATGACTGAAGATCATAAAGGCCAGGCCTCTGCATATATATCCAGGCATGCAATATGTAATCAAAACACGAAGGATAAAAAAAATCAACTGATTGCAAAATATACCCAAATACAGAAAAGATAACGGCAATCCGAAACGAAACAGAACAGACTAAAAACCCTTCATTCAGCCACCCATTTAGATGCTCTACAGCCCCCCACTTTTGGGGGCCAGGGTGTATAAGCCAGCTTCAACACTCTCCAATGGCTTTGGTAACTGTGAGGTTTTAATCTGGTTCAGGGAGTACAAACGCTATCATTGTTAGAGTTGTCACTTTCTCTAAGTTTTCAATTAACTCTAGGCTAAAAACCTGAATAATTTAAAGAGAGCGAAGAGAGAGTTTACTCAAGGTTTCCAGCCTTGTGGGCCTACTCTCTCGACCATAAACTCGGCGACCTGCCAAGTATTTTCGGTGACTCTAGGACTAAAAACAGAGCAGAGGCTGAGTATCGGTTAACCTAATTGACCAATACCAGCCCGTTGTGAGTTATATCTAACGTGCTATATCTTCAGCTGCTGGAGCTAGTAACAAGGTTGGGGGCCACGGCCACTCTCACGTAAGATCCCAATACCACTTCAACTACCGCTAACAAGTGGACACTAGGCTCTGCTAGATCATATTAATCGTGCAAAAAGGATCAGTTCATGGCTCTTAGCCGTCTTCAAGTCCCGTTATCCATGCGTTGGCGGTAATGATAATTGTTTGAGGGTATCATTAGATGCATCACCCCTGTTCGTCTCACCGATCTTGAGACTCTGTGAGATCTCTATAAATATGGCAGTTCCCATGTGGAATGAAAATAATGAACTTTCGTAGACTAGGTTGTCAGACTTACGTGGGAAGCCTATTCAAGGTATGTGCACAAGTTTGTGTTGGATGTGAAGAAGCATTGTTCTCGTGGGAAGCTGCAATGGCTGTGATACTAATCTTCAATAATTAATCAGTCTATTTTGTTTCCGGTAAACAATGTCGAACGAAGAATCGCACGAGGCTACAACAACAGGCCAAAAGCTGGTTCTGTTCAAGAGTCCTCTCATAGGAAGATCCGACTCGGGTAGTAGTGACAATGGTCTTCCCGTCAAGCAGCCTACGGCTCCTGACATGAGCCTGTTTGGCAATCGATACGACGATGATTGTCCACAATTTCAAAAGGTCTATAGCATACAATAAGAAAATGGGAGTTGAAGACGCTGACAGCTTTGTAGCACGAGGATGCTAGTTTACTCGAGCTTTTCTACGATCTCTTCTTCGCCGCCAACTACACTGTCTTCAGCGAAACTCAGGGTGTCAACAGTGCCGACCGCTTCAAGGCCTATGTCGGCTACTTTACGTACGAAAGCCAACTTGTTTAGAGGGTGACAACGAAACTGACATATAGACAGTGTCCTTTGGATCACCTGGCTAACGACGGGTCTATACGATGTTCGATTTGTTACGGACAGCATCTTTGGTAGGCCATCGTTGATATTCTCTTGTGGAATTCACTAACTATTATAGAACGGGTTGCTCGAGGTATTCATCTTGGAGTCATGGTTGGCTTTGCAGTGGTCGCTCCCAAGTTCAAACCCGAAGCCCAAGACATGAGAACAATGAGGACATTCTGTGAGTACTCTTCCTAAGTGAAATTGCATCTCAGACTGACACTTTTAGCCATCATCCTCACAGTATCCCGCCTTGCTCTAGCTATTGAATACGCAAGCATCCTCTGGCACATCCGAAAATTCAAGAAACAAGCCCTCCCAATGCTTCTCCAGATCGGACTCAACTTCGTCCTCGCTATGATCTATCTCGGTACCACATTCCGCTTTACGAACCACAACAGTAACGTCTACATCACTTGGTATGTCCTAGCTGGTGTCGAGGTTGTTCTTACCTTTGTCTTGGCATACATTTTTCCTGTTCTCAGCTTCCAGGGAACACACTTGATGAAGCGTATGGGTCTTTTGACTGTAATTATCGTCGGCGATGGGATTATCACTATCTGTAAGAGTGTTGTCACTATTGTTGAGAACCCTGATTCGTGGAGTAAGTCATTTTCTAGTATGAAGTGTTCAAGCATGGACTGATCCTTGATAGATGCTGAGACTGTTGGTGTTGTCTTCGCTTCTGCAACTACAATCTACGTCGTCTTCCTCGTCTACTTCGACTGGATGAAGAACCCCTACCTCCCCAAATTCCGCCAACAACTCTGGACGATCATTCACTATCCCCTCCATCTCGCCCTCTGCCTCTTCATCCAAGGTTTCACCCAACTTGTCATCTGGACCAAAGTCTTCAACGTGATGAAGACAATTAACCCCCTTGCAGGCATTAACGAGGACGATTATGACATCGAAGACGAAAGCGAAGTCACGACAAAGATCGTGCGAGACATCTTCGCCAAAATCGTGCAAAACTTTTTCAATCTCTTCACACCGCAGTACCTAGCGACGCAGGAAGCAGTCACAGAGTCTCTTGACCAGTTATCTACTGTCAATGATACTTTCTGGGTACCGTTCTTCGATTACGCTGCGACAGGACAGGGCGAGGACAAACTCAATGCCACAGAATTTGAGATTGCGACGGAAGCTCTCAAGGGGCTTGGAAATGCTATGAAGCACGCTCTTCTCGAGAAATTTAAAATCAGTCTTGTCAAAGAGGTGGAAGATTATAACACAGCTCACAATATCACCGATATGACCGGCGTGGAACTCGAGGCCGATCTATCGAAAAGACTAGTAGATCGCTTCCATCTTATTGTAAGTGCTTTTCCCGACAACTGCTTTTTTCTGGAGGACTAACATATCTCCAAGTTCAACTATACTTATATCGCCGCGGGTGTTTCACTCATCATCATGGTTGGTCTGGCTGCCATGTCTCGTACAACCCGTTGGAGCAAATGGGCCATCGTTCGCCATACCATCTTTGTTCTTCTCGGCATTGGAACAAGTCTCGTCGCCGTAGTCAAATACAACGACGAACGAGCCGGGAAATATCAGACTAGTGGATGGATGATACCCGCCATCACTCTCGTCTGGGTCACTGTCCTCGTCTTGACTCATCTTCGCAACCCGCCGCCTCTGTTCTTCAAGGGTAGCAAGTCTTTCTGGAGCAAGAACAATGACTCGCAGACTTATAGCCACGTTATGCCTTCTGAGCAGCAGACCGCATACAAGGGAGTTCCCAGCACCCAAGTCACTTCCTCGGTGTAGGATTCGGTAACACACAAAGGAGATGGTTTAGGATATAGGATATACTGTCTTCTAACAACTAGTCTAATCTTAGCCTAGGTTATCAAAATTTAGAGAATACTGTTTATCATTGCCTTACACCCTATGTTCTTAGAGAATGCTCCTAGAGGAGGAAGGAGCTATAGCAGACTTCACGCAAACGGGCACCCACCAACGCCAACACCACCAACAAACCATCGCCACCAAGAAGAACTGAAGCAGGGCAAAAGATAAATAAAACACCAAAAGGAGGATGCGCTCGAAGGCGCTTTGTAATGCGTAATCTGGGAATCGAACCCAGGGCTCCCCGATGGCAACGGAGAATTTTACCACTAAACCAATTACGCGGTTACTGGTTGTTGAAATCAGTTTGCACAATCACGGTATAAGTTCTCAAACAAGGAACACGAAAGGAAACACGATTATACACGACGTTTGTTATACCTAGGATGCCTGATGCCGTTCGTTTCTTCAAGTGTTGACTCACCAGGCGTAACTTGATACCCATCATGACCTCAGTTTTGATGCCCCTTTTCTGCGGCCGTGATAAACACAAACGCCCTTTCCACCACTGACATGCCTCTCGTTCGCCGGACACATTGGACTGCTTGGTAAATGTTCCAGGATTTGGAACTTGAAAGGAAGTGGCTCCTCGAAAGGATTCCTGCGAACTGGTTTCTTAGGGATCCTCTCCCACCACTCGCATGTATCAGGAGCATAGCTGGTACGTCGGACTGTCTGTAGGGAGTGTCTTCTTGAAGAACAGGCTTGGAAATCCATTTCATCTTCGACAGGAGCGACTGTTTCGGTGAAGAACGAACGTGGTCGTCCGCTTGCAGTGTCTTCAGCTAGTGGAGGAGTCTTGATGCGTTTCGCTTCCTAAATAAAGAGAAAGACGAATCAGTACCCTCCACTTCCTTGGAACTGGCTTGAACATACCCCTCCTGGATATGGGCTATCAACACAGTTGACTTGCACTGTTAAAGCGTCAGCATGTACTATTTTATACTCACATGTATCTGCCAGAAGGACATACAAGAAGTACAACTTGAACCCAGAGATGGGGGAGGAGTCTCACCTTTCAGTATCTCCCTCACTGAGCTAGTCACGCTGCTATAAGAGTCTGCCGACTGTTTACGGGTCCACGGCGGGCGGCCAAAGAATCTTCGACGGAGCTTGGTTTTTGAGACATCATCCTTGTACCAAGCCCCCGTTTTTGTGACTTGATGCATACTGGAGTAGTTTTCAGTACCGTTCATACCTGAACATTGGTGTTCATGCTCAAATATTGCTGGAGGTGGTGTGATCTGTGAAAGTCAGTTCAGCCCTTGAACACCGATGCCCTCAACTGACCTCTCTGCGAATTTTGAACTTCAACTTGGATCCGATACTTTTCTTTGCTTTTCCATAGAGACTCCCGGTGGTAGGTGGTGTAGAAGGTGGAGTACTTATTGTTCGCGAGGGTAGAGAGTAATTATTCATCGGCGAGATAGAATCTGTACTATCCCTTCGCGAGACCGAGCTGGAATCTAGAATCTGATCCGAGAATTGAGTGACGCTAGGGTGTTGCAAAGAGAAGACGTGCGCCGATTCAGAGACAAAGGGACTGGAAGGTGGTCTTGGCGGTGGTGGCTCAAAGCCTTGGAAGTTGGGTGGCGCCGAAAGCGATGTCAAAGGAGAGGCAAGCGCCAGGTCTTGGACGTCAGATTCACTTGCGGACTTTGTTGAGCGGTTTCGCCATTTGAAGAAGCCTTTGCTTGTGTAGCTTTTCCGAGGCACGATAAGTTGGCGCTCTGCCCAATAACCCTGTGGGAACCAGACCTACTCGAACCCATCGCGAGGAGGTCGTGGAGGGTCGACGCTGAACCCCGAAGACGACTCAACAGACTGTCGGTTTATAGGACGAGGTGTGGTGCTGTTGGAAGGCAAAGGGGCTGAGAAAACATGCTCTGGCATCGAAGGTAGGCTAGGCTGATGCCTCATTGAGTTTTCATATTTAGGTCCGGTTGGAAAAAGTGAGGTAGAGGTGTAGGTAGATGACGCCTGTGTTCCCAACGGGACATTGAAGTAGCTGTAAGGGTGTCAGTAAGTCGTCCAGGAGCTAATATGGATCATGCATACTTAGGCTCATTCATGTTAGGACCGCTCACTGATATCATTGGATCTGAACGAGATGAAACAGGCATGGCAAGGTTGAAGCGAGCATCCCTTGAGGGAAGTTATCCCTCTGTCGAGCAAGCTCGACTCCGGCAATAGATTGGTATGCTCGCGAAGGAGATGTAGGCTGAACAGATATGTATCGAAAGTTCTGTAGCGAACGATCAGGAGATAGATATGAAGAAGGTTAATGCTTTGTTGTAGGACTGGATTCAATTTTGATTTTTAGGTACGCGTATTCGATGAAAGGTGAAGTTGACAGAAGCGAGCTCGACAAGTGGCTGTTGTTTTGGGGGGACACTAGAACCACTCGCGTTGCTCCTTCCTCCACAGCATTATCGGCACTCGAGAGCAAGACTCTTGCCACTACAATTCGGGATCAACATTTCAGGCAGTCACTCTAATAGACACAATACATGCGATCGAGCTGCAAAGGAACCTTAAAATTGGTATCGAGATGGACTTCTAGTCTCCAACAGACTCAAATCTAACTCAACTCAACATCTAACCAGCTTGTAACCATTTTTATACGCCATACGCCAAATATATCTTCATTCATTAGAAATGCCATTGATCAATCCCATCAGTCGATGAGCATGGTATCATCACCATCAAACGCCGGGCCTGTGGGCTCAATTGGCACTCCGCGACCTCGTCCAGCCAACAACTCTCTCCTCACCTCAGGTCCAATTGCCGAGTGACCGTGTGTCAGGAGAAGATCAAGCAGAGCCTCACGCTGGTCCTCTGTCACATCTCCCTTGTAACGCTGGGCGAATGCAAGCAGACTCTGGTGCCAGATGACGGGCAACTTGGTCTTGGCATCTCCCTCAACACCCGACATAGTTTCACCAGCCTGGACTGAGGCAGGGTCGACGCTGCGGAAGCGCAGGAAGTGGAAGACAAGGGCGTCAATGACCTGGAAAGGAAGAGCATACTTCTTCTCGAGAAGAGCCTTGATGAAGATGTTGGTGGCACCTCCACCCTCAGTGCCGTGTGACGCCTCCTGGGCAGCGATATCACACAGACCCTTCAAAGCGGCGGCAGAGTGAAGGACAGGGATAGAGATTCGGACCAGGACGGCGGAGATGATATGTGCTTCTCGGAGTGTGCAAGTTCCACTGCCAACAAGGGGGAACAGGAAACCCTTGAAGAAAGCAGCAGGCTTGTAAAGACCCTTCTTGAGCGAGTTGAACAAGTGAACGTTGAGCTTCTTGGTCTCGTAAATATCCTCACGGACACGGTCGAGGATAACCATTTCCAGGAATCGCTGAACGATGTGAGGCTTGCTTGAAACAAAGATTCTTGTCGCTTGGTAGCAGGCGTTAGGCGACCAGCTCTCAGGTTGGGTGATGGCAAGGATGTCTTCCCAATGAGGAATTGTTGGGAGCACCTTGAAGGGCTTTGGCAGAGGTCCGGACTTGTATCGGGAAAGAATTTGGCCGACCCTGCAATCATTAGTTTCTGTCGGTTTGCAAAAGTTAATAGACAACCTACTTGGTGTAGACCTCGATAACCTTGGGAGGAAGCTCGTATTCGTCCTCGTCGGGAGGTCCCAAGTTGTTTTCCCGTCTCTCCTGTGCGGCCTCGTGCGCAGCGATCTTCTCCAAAATCAGGTCCGCAAGGTTGACACTCTCGCCCTGCTCCTCTCCAGTGGGCTTGAGATCCCAACCGTGCTTCAACAGGTCGTCCTCCTCGTCGGGCATGAACTTTCGGTACATGTCAAGATCATTGGGGTCAACCTCGACCTCCTCGACCTCCTCATCATCCTCGCCCCAAGCCTCGTCGTCATCGTAGACCTTGTTCTCTTCCTCCTCGTCGCCAAATCGCGAATCGTAACCAAAGTTGTCGATAGTAGGCTTAGCAGCGGCAGGCTTGCCAGCGTTATCCTCCTCGGCCAGCTCACGACCTATGCGCAGAATGGTTCGAGAGGCGCGATCGTCGACAAAGTTCTCCTCCTCATTATCGCTACCCTTTGATCGCTTCTTAGAGGGCTTGTTCTTCAGGATTCCACTAGCTGTGATATCATCCTCGAGAGGGTTGTGTCGTCGCGGGTGCCGCGCGGCAGTGGGAGTAGTGGCCTTGGGCATTTTGGGCGTATTCAACTTGGAGATGGCACACAATGTGGGCTTGGAGTCGCAGTTAGGTAGAATTTCAAAAAATTTGCCTTATCGATAAGGACCCCTCTTGCTCTAATTCGCCTAGTGCGTCGCCTCGGCTCACAAAGGTTACTCACCGCTTTCGGGACCAGCCAGGAAATATTATACGATACAGTAATAATAGAGAGACTCAAGATACAGCAAGTGAATATGTTATTCAATTGATATTTGCCAGAGATGATATACACAAAAGGTTGTCTTCTGGCTTGCATATCTACTACTTGACTGTTCAGTATGGATACAGGGTAGGTTAGGGCAGCACAGCAACTGCATGTAAGACAAGCTATGAAATCATTTATGACCCTATGAGAGTCTTTGTATCCAATTTGGAATCTCTATGAATTTTAGATCCAAGATAGTCATACATGAGTGTTCAGTGGACTTGCTGCATGGTCTTTCTTCGTTCAGTATATGGTCTCTTGGTCTCTAGTTCCAGATTTATCATGTTAAACAAGAAGTATTTGCCTGATAGTTGAATGTGAATAAACATCATATAAAGGATATGACTCTACTGTATAAGATATGAGCATGAGAACTTGTTCTATTTTGCTTTTCAGCAACTCTACAAAATCTATTAGTTAGACTGCATATAGTAAACCCAGACTGTCGCAAAAAAATTATGACTCGCATTTTGCCCCGCCACCATGATGACACAAAAGAGACCCTTGGAAACTTCTTCAGCCTGTGGGTCCCGCTGAAAATTCACAAGTCGGCCACTAGAAATTACGCCCAGTCTACTGAAGCAGCGATGACTTCAGGCCTCGACCCCCACTACTGTCATGCCCCTCCAAAATCATCACCAACTCTAAAAAATCACTCCAACAACATTTATTGAAGACACAGACAAAATGCCGACTGAACTAGAAGAGGTATGCGATCGTATATGGTTAATATTGGGAGTTGAGCTGACAAAATGACTCATAGCTTGTGGGCTTCATCGCCAACCCTAATGCCCAGATTCGTCTGCTTGCTGCTGAGAACCTGGTTCCCTACTCATTGTCAGACCCAAGTATTTTCAAGACTGAGAAGCTTCAACCGATCAAGCACTTGAGTTTCTTAGTTCGGGATCATCCTGTGAGTAGGACTTGAAGGGACCAAAAAAGACCTCAAATTAATGAAATATCTAGAAAATTGCCGAACATGCTATCACAATGCTTGTCAACCTATCAGGCGATGAAGAGGTCCTCAAAAGTCTAGCAACCGATGAGAAGTTCCTAGGAATTGTCTTTGATCTCATAGTGGTATGTACGACATTCAGGATTTCAGAGTATCAGGCACTAACCCAGTATCTAGAACCCAGAGGAGCCAAATGCCAACTTGCTAGCTATGCTTGCTGCTAACCTTTCCAAGTGGGATGGTCTGAAGGATTTCCTTAAGAGAAAGCAAGAACCCCCTAAGGAGTTGGGCTCAGATGAGATTGTTCTCAACCAACTGCTGGATCTGTTTGTCAAAGGCCAAGATGGCACATACAACAAGAACGCAGACTTTGACTACCTAGCTTACGTTTTTGCCGATCTTTCCAAGCATGCCGATATCCGAAAGCACTTCCTTGAAGAGCAGCCCTACGACAAGGTTATTCCTCTCACCAAGCTCAAGGTCTTCACAGAGCACAAGTCCGATATCCGACGTAAGGGTGTTGCCAGCACTATCAAGAACGTTGCTTTCGAGGTTTCATCGCATCCATCTCTCCTGGCCGAGGATGAGATCGACATTCTTCCCTACATCCTTCTCCCCATCATGGGCAACGAAGAGTATGACGTTGACGAGACTATGGACATGTTGCCCGACCTTCAGCTCCTACCCCCTGACAAGAAGCGAGACTCAGACAACCAGAACGTGCAGACACATGTGGAGACACTTACTCTTCTGACAACGTCACGAGAGGGACGTGATTTGATGCGCCGGGTCAAGGTCTACCCTGTCATTCGAGAGACACATCAGCGTGTCAACGATGAGGGTGTCCAAGAGGCTTGTGAGCGACTGGTCCAGGTTCTGGCACGAGATGAGGAAGGTGAGGGAGAAGGCGAGGTCAAGGAGGAGAACGGAGTCAAGGCTATCGAGGACAAGCCTGCTGCTACTAATGGCCGCGTGGAAGAAGTTGAGGATGAAGATGATCAGCTCGTTGAGGTTTAAACCGATCTTGAAAAATGCTGAAGACAAGATGATGTCTGGGCGAAGGGTTCTGGAAAAAGGAACTCAAAGAGAATTGGAAAGAAGGCTATGTGGTTGAATTATGAAAGCCGAGACCAAACATGGGTCCGGTTATGTTGGATATTATGAATATAGGCACTCAAAAGTAACGTATATAGACATGAATGTTTTAAAAACGAGTGTTTTCCCGTAGTGGTCCTAGCCCAAGGTATCTTTACCACAAAATGCTGTGCTTGTAAATGAATGTCCTGCCGCCCAGTCTTGATATGTACCCAAATGTTCCTATATGTTCACCAAAACCAGAAACGCCGCTTTGCAAGTACACCACCCAAGTTCATCTATTTACTTTGTCCCATATCCTCTTCGCTCTCCTTAAACATACTCTTACGAATCGGGCTTGCTGAGGCCTTGGCCGTAATATAGTCCCTGCCGGGGGCCTCGTTGGCACTGGGAGGAGAAACTGGGACAGGAGACACTGCTGTGTCAAGAGGAGGTGACGTGGGTGTGGGGTCTGCGGGAGGAGAAGGAAGAATATCCGCTGTCATGCCAGGAAACGGCGGCGAAGGCATGCTGCCATCGTCGGTCCTGGGACTCACAGGGCTGGTGAAGTTTCGAAGTGCAGAAGCGTCACCTTCAGAAATACCAGATACGTCGGATGCCACGCGAGGTGGCTTACCGCTGTTTTCTGTCACCCCAGACACATCAGATGTCATGCGAGTATGGCCAGGATGACCAGCGGTAGGAGAGTCAGGCTGAGACATCTGTGGTCCAGTCGACCTAGAAATGGTGCTCGCGTGCTCGGGACCAAAGGAGTATGAGTTGCTGGAGGGGTTAGACATAGACTGGGTTTTGCTATCGGAAGCGAAATGAGAGTACTTCTGTATGATATCGATGGGCGAGAGGCCTGTATCGTGAAGCTCAGTTGGCCGTGATGTATCTGGACTGGTTTAGTTTCGTTCCATTGTTCTGAGAGGGTACCTGTAACTTACCAGGCATTTCATGGATCTGAGTGTCAGCTACCTCAGCAGGGGACAATGTATGAGCTTGAGCGACCGCCGGGGAGGGTGACAACCCAACAGCTTGTACGGTAGAGGCCATCTCGGTGCCCGGGCTTGCAGGGGTCTCGTCAGTAGTGACCGTGGGAGCCTTCTCGTTATTTTGACCTCGAATCCATGATCGGATTCGTGACTCTGGATTTTCAGTTCCATAGTCGCTGGTACGGTTCTTGAAGATCTTGCGACGACGCCAAAGGCAAAAGACGACCAAGATACCAGTGACAAGCATAAGACCGAGAACGACACCCAAGACTGGCGCAACCCACTTAGGGAGGCCAGAGCCGCCACTATCGCTTCCACTGTTGTCACTACCATCGGGGCTGTCGATCTTAGGTCTTCCTGTAGAAACGGCTTTGTTGTAGGGCCAGTATTCTTCGATCTTCTTCGTGTCGTATTCTGTGCCAAAGAGATCTTCAAGGGCAGAAGTCGACCAGCCACCCGCAGGGGCAGTAGCCGTTGCACCGCCTGCAGCGTCACCTCCAATCTCGGATCGAATCTTCTCATGAACGCCATAGTCGCTGTATTCGTTAGGGTCATATCCTTCCAACCATTCTCCACTGGTGACATTGAAGTTAACCACTGGACCTTTGTCAAGGCAAGTGATTGAGGTTCCTGCAAGGGGAGTGTAGCCACCAAAGACCATCATTTGGTCAGGGTATGGCATGAAGCATTTATGTCCGGCGCGACCATGGATCGATTTCCCCTCATTGATCTTGATCCATGTGAAAGAGGGTAGAGAGAGCACCCAAACATCATCACTAAAGGAGTCTTTCACATTGATACCGTCGAAGCCGCCGTAGTAGAAGATGTTGAAACTTGAACGGTCTGAAGCCGTAGCCACTACGGCGCATCCTCGTGTTCGTGCTCCTGGACCGTCCTCGGTTTCTTGTTGATACCACTTGTTCTTATCGATGTCGTAGATATCAATAGTCTGCATGAATTCGGGGCTCTGCTTCTTCTGTTGTCAAAGTCTATGTCAGCTATACAGCGCGGTATGTCAGCTGCGATATTGCTTACACTTTCTGCCTCGTTCGCAGATTTGCCACTTCGTCCCGCCCATTGGGGATAAACAACGCCGCCCAAGACGACGAGAATACCCTTCTTTCCCACAGGAACCCAGACGACTTCTGCATTAGCACGACCTTTGACCTTATCCAGTGTTGTGTTGGACCATGTTTCGTATAATTGCTCTTCGAGGTTCAAGGTAATCAGGGTATCGGAGACGTTGGTGGCCTTCTTTTCGGGGTCATTCGTGAAGAACTCTCCCTTCGACGGCGACCGCAAACCAGAGAAGTAAAATGCGAGATTCTCCGATGGCACGTTCGTAGCTCCTCCATAGGCAACGTATCGAGTGATGCCCTTGTCCAGCTTTTTGTCAACAAAACCTGGCTTCCATGTTGGTTTATCTGGCCCATATTGATAGGCCTGATATCCCAAAATCTCGTCCTTGGGGGGAGATTCGTATAGGTCACTGTTTTCTAGAAGGTCACCGCCGTAGAGGAAGAACTCTGCGTCGTTGCCGAGAAGGGCGCCATCGACAAAGTTGGGTGCAGCGCCATTGCTGTTACCCGAACCTCCACGAGCTTTAGACATGGCTGGTTTGTCTAGAAGAATGCCAGTCACATTGGTAGTTGAGTTAAAAGGAGTGCTCATGTTGAAATTGAGGATGATCCCGGCATTGTTACCTTGTATGGTCAGTCATTGTAAGATGGATATGAGATACTCCGGCCTACCTGAATCGAGGCCTGTGACTGTTTTCCCATCATTCAATTTGGCATGCCATGTAATATCGCCGCCATCAAGATAAACCATATCGCGGATCATGATTGCTAATTGAACATTAGAAACGACCTTCATCCATCCAAAAGATCGCATGCTTACCTCTTGGTTGCTGCCATGTGCATATTCCCGTGCTGATCTGGCCATCCTGCCAGTTATCAAACTGAGCAGCAGCTGGACCTATGGCCACCGTCAAGAACGCCCACGGCGCAGAGTTTCTCAACATCATAATTGCGATGGTTGATCTCCAAGTAGGCGTCACGGAGTAGACGTTCGAGGGAAACTGGGGTAGCGGACTGCTATACTAGACCATCGCTTATTCTGTATCCTAAAGGCTTTCCCAAAAAGCGGCAGGCAGGCCGAATACCCGCTGAGAGGCAAATTCAAACGAATGACAAGGCTGGTATAAGAAGGTAAGAAATCTCTATTGAACAAAGAAACAGCCTCGGTCTAGAATCAAGGATCGCTGAAGCGTCCAAGCGGCCTGGTAACCGGCGAGTTTGTGCAAATGTACAAATAGCGGCAAGGATAAGTGAACCAGGTGCCAAGGCAAAATGATTGTAAGATGGGAAAGAAACGGCGCGGGCGAGAATCCAAAACGTTCAGTAAGACCCGTCAGACTCACTGCAAAAGCGTCAAACAACCGTACAGTATTCGCCAGTATTCGCCGTTTAAGCAAACGTTCGCCACCGGGAGCAGTCGAGATCGAAGATGGGGATAGGGCTGAGGGATCAGCTGTTCTTCTTGTCAAGCCAGCACATTTGTTGACAAGGGAATTTTAAGTACCATCAACCACCATCCATGTAGCTCGGTGGATTCTCATTCGTCAAGAGATACCACCTTGCTGCGATGTAGCATGCTCTGCAGCATTGTTGTGGTTACGGTCACGCTTTTGGCTGATGCTCCTCTGAAGAGACATGGTATTTAACAGGGATAGCTTCCATGTGTCTGCTCAGCCTCAACCTTAGAGAACATGTTCTTACCAGCTATTCCGAAACAAGCCCGATTAAGCTGTTGAAGTTGGAGGACGGTCCATCCACCAGGCCTGAAAGTTTTCAGACAGCGGTGATGAGTGGGTATCACTTCCTTAACGGCGGCTGACTTGGAGGAGTTTTCTTTCTAGACCTATAGGCTCGGGGATCAGCCTTGAACTAAGCCAGGGTGGCGGGCTCCATTTGGTTCTCATTGCAGAGAAAAACAGCCAAGAAGGTACGTGTTGCAAAGTTTCTTGCAAACAAAGAATCAGTGGCCATGGCTGAGAATCGGACGAACCGACAATAGACTGTTGGCGGTAGAGTCATCCCACAGACCAACAGCCACAACCGCCATGTGGCCCAGGCAGTTGGGATTATCACGATCTCGCATAAAGTTCCTTACTGATCGAGCTAATTAGTCGGAGTACGCTCGGAAAAGAACTCTTCTGATTGTCTTTTCTCTTCATCGCGACAGGATACGGATGCGGACATGACCGAACGGGATAACTGGCTCCTTGTAGTAAGAAATGTCAGATTCGCAAGAGCCAAGTCCAAAAGTCCCATCCGTTGAAGGACGGGTGAAAAGGGCTTTGGAAGGCTGGGGTTGTTCAGATTGGAGAGGCATGGTCGATCTTACCACCCACATCCCTGCCAAAAATAAGCACTGGCACATGTCGGGAGGAGAAAATGTAACGATACCACACCTTCGGACTTTCTCTCCGTGGGACCAAGGAGAAAAGGCCCATGAAAAGTCCTCCATTCACACATAAAATGCATATTATTCGCGCTACAAGGATGTCCTCTTTTTAGACCTCTCCATCAAGGGCGCGTTGTCATCCTCCGAGGTGTCTTGGTCCGCCGCAATTCGGACGCATCTCATCGTAGCCCCCACAAGCCATGATGGATCAAAAGTCGCGCAGGTGAGACTTGATGTCTGTAGGCAGGCACTTTGTTCGTGTTTGAGGCAGTATAAAGCGAGGACGAACTGTTTGGTTATTGAAGTGGACATGAGTAAATGAGTGTGGATTTGAGAACAAAGAAAATGTTGGATGGTGAATCAGTTCAAGTCAATTATGTCATTGAAGTCGACGAAGGACCATATCTGATCCGAGCACCATGTTGACCGGTCCGGTCTGCGCTTTCCGTTTACGTTGGAAAAAGCAGAAGGCCGGTAGGCTGGGCAACTCAACTCAACTCTGTCTGCCTTCCTTCTCATAGAAGTGAGACCTCAAATAAGGCTCGGCATGCGGGCTATAGCGGGGCTCAGGGTCGACCCAGTGGGGAGAGTAAGTCTTGGTGGGCCAGCTAAGCAGTATGCACCCAAGCTTCCACGCCTCGTGCTTACATCGACCGACCGACTTCTAGAGTCAGGTACGCGAGTGTCTAGTACGAAAATTTGCATTGGTAATTTAGTTGTTGGTTTCTTTCTTGTCTAAAACAAGAATTGGCTTGCAAGATATGAGAGTTGGCAGGTAAAACTGTAACAAAGGAAGATCTTGTCGATCTCGGATCTGATAGAGTGTCAATGTTTCGAGTCTCCACTCACTCCCGCTTCACAGGGCTGGATCCAAGCAAAAAAATATCGTCATGGGTTGGTTCGCTTTGTTTATGCTACGACCAATCATAATTCGAATGGCCCTGAGAACATCAGGCTGTGGCGCCCTCCTTCCCGCCCGTTTCACTGTAAGCCACCAACTTTAGTGTCGGAAGGTAGGAGCCTCTTCCTCTTTCCTCGACTTCACTTGACTTGGCTGCTCGAGTTTGAGGCCACTTCCACTTCCACTTTTCTTTGACATCCACATCAGAAAAGCATGTCTTTGTGTGTCGCATTTGTCTTGCCTTGTTGTTTATGCAACAGCCAATAACTCGTTCAAAAGCAATGCGAGTGGCTAACAACTTGCACTTTTATACGGGAAATCACGAACTCTCTACACCCAAATATGTTCGATGTCCTGTGGAATCCGGCTTTGCATTAGCCACAGCATCAATGGCGCACATCATACAGCAAGTCGGAGACCGTGGTACCGCATTGTCTATTATTATCCCAGTAGCATATTCTCTTTACTTTTGCGCTGTCAATGCTACAATGTTACGCGTCAACTCTTTCTTGGCTTTTGGGCTGAGATCTGGAGCAGCCTCACCGTTCGATTACTGCACTCTTCAAGCAATTTACTTCCTAGACCATGCCACATCTTCGGTCCCGTAGTCCATCATGTGGTGGGCCGAGTCAGCAAGAACCCTGTGGGTTACTGTGATGTGCTGTGATATTTTCACTTCTCCGCCCCTTCGCGGCCCGCAGCCTTGGGCCGAAGAGGATGGGATGCGCGATAATGGACTCAATCGCCCCCAACATTAAGGCGTCAGGACAGGGACCATCTCCAAGTGGATCTTCAAAGGTCGTGCTGCTTGCTGAATTGGGGCATATTCCAACGGACGTACCCCCTGTCAGACCCTTGCCTTCAACCATGTTCAATATGCATTGTTGCTCATGCTACATCTCGCTCGAAGTAAGCCGGCTCAGTTGAGGTACCCACAACTCGTCCAGAGCTTTTAGTTCAAGCGTTGTACATCCGGCTGAGGGTGTCTTTTGTGAAGTCCCTTTGTCTAAGTTGTCTGCTCGATCCGGAATTCCTTTAACCTGAGCTTATGCTTGAGTTTGATTACCTTCTTACTCTCGCCTTCATCACCGACTGAGGATCCTGGTGATTGGGTTCTACTGGGTAATGACCCGCAACTTAGTTCTTACAACTACTCACCTGCCGTGTAAACACGCTGAAGTGGCTTGTCCGAGAGGAGATTAACTCTAATTGCGGATGTTATTGTAAGTGGTGTCGAGTGTCAAGGCACTCTCCGCGGATATCCTCCGTTGCTCAGCCCCCAATATTCGTCTTGGCTTCTTATCATATATCTATCTGAACAATGCTTTTGCATCCTCTGTCTCACGTCTTCTAATGTTTGGATCAAGAGTAGGACCTTGACGTTCGTTTTACCACACTCGCTACCTAGCTCTTGCGAGCTTCACGCTGGTATCACTCGCTCCTAACACTATCGCTTGCCATGCGCTTCTCACTATTGCTCAGCGTCCTAGGCGCTGCAGCTGTCGAGATTCCTGCCCAGAAAGGCGATGATAGATTATATCGCAGGAGCGAATCCGCACCCATACAGCCTGCTGCTGCTGCTGCTGCTGCGAACACCGCAGCACCGGTCCAAGATGGTTATGTCGTCAATTCTCCTGTAGTTCAGACATACGGAGCTGATACCGAGCCGGAAACATCACTGGCACAGGCACCTCAAGTCACCCAGTCTGTTTCGAACGAAGAGGACGAGAAGAAAGATGAGAAGAAGCAGGAAAACACCAGTGTTGCTGTGCCCGACTCAAATGATGCGGCAACCGAAACGAGTCCAAAGATGGTTTACAACATTGAATGTTCATGCCATCAACCCGCACCTCAACCGACTATCACCGGAGGATATTCTGTTGATCCTCCAGTTCAAATCACGACGAGTCAGCCTCCAGCGGTCTCTATTACGGGAGGATATTCTGTTGATCCACCAAGTTCAACAACCCCAATCCCCGAGCCTGTGCCCACGACTACCGAGAGTGTAGTGCCCTACCCTCCGCCGAGCTATACATATGGGCCTCCTCTTCAACCTCCAACTACAACCAGCGCGGTCCCTACGTTGCCTGATACAACTACCGAGACACCATTACCTCCTACTACTGAAACACCACTGCCTCCTACTACCGAAACACCGCTACCTCCTACTACCACAAGCCCGCCCCCTACCGATACTGACTGGTAAGTTGCCGTTCATCGATCGAAGTTCTGTCACTAATTTAACTCAAGCTCTCCCGGCTATCCTGTTACCGTCACCAAGACAGAGACAGTCACTTCCAAGATTGTTGAAACTGTCGTCTCCACCAAAACTGTCGTTCGGAAGTATACTTCAACTGTTACTTCCAAGATCGTGGAGACTGTCACCGAGACACAAAGTGTAGAAACGGTGACCGAAACTCAGACTGCAGTAACAATTACCGAGACCCAAACCGCAGAAACGGTAACAGAAACCCAAACCGCAGTTACGGTGACCGAAACGCAGTCTGCAGAAACTGTAACGGAAACTCAGACTGCATCAGTAGTGACCGAGACGGTCACTCAGACGGTAATTGAGGGCACCACCTTGGTGCAGACTCAGCCTGGAACGACATATGTGGAGACACTACCAGGAACTACCGTGATTCGAACTGAACCAGGAGAGACGATTATACAGACTCTACCTCCAGTCACCATCACGGAGCCAGGAGTCACAATCACCGAAGATGGAGATACAGTTACGGTACCTGGTCCTACAGTTACCGAGGCAGGAACAACTATCACTGAACCTGGAACTACTGTAACGCTGCCCCAGGAGACTGTCACTGAGGCTGGAACAACTATTACTCTACCTGAAAAGACTGTGACAGAGCCTGGAAGCACCGTGACTGAAGCTGGAACCACTGTTACCCTTCCCGAAGTCACGGTCACTAGACCTGGAAGCACGGTAACGGAAGCTGGAGCAACTGTAACTCTACCTGAACAGACTGTTACAGAACCTGGTAGCACTGTCACCGAAGCTGGAACAACCGTTACTGAGGCTGGCACAACTATCACCAGGCCTGGACTCACGGTCACTGGTACTGTCACCGTTCCTGGAAGCAGGATCACAGTTACTGAGACCGGAGAGGATGAGACTGTTACCGTTCCCAAGACTATCATCCAGGCTGGCGAAGACAGAACTGTGGTGAGAACTGTTACTCTTCCAGGCCAGGAAACCATCGTGACAGTGTCTGGCGAGGAGCAAACCATCACAGTTCCCGGAGAGCGCACTGTCGTGACTGTGCCCGGAGAACAGGCTACCGTAACGGTCGAGTCAGTTGTTACTGAGCGACTTCCTGCAGAGACGGTGACCCTCACCAAAGATGGAGAAACTGTTGTAACAGTGGTCCCCGGCCCAACAACTGTCTACACTACTACCTTGACCATCGGCCAGACTGTGCAACTTCCTCCAACCACAGTTACTGCCACTCCCGGGCGCATCACTCTGTGCCCCAAGCCTACTGGTAGATCTGCACCGCTCGACCCTGATTCGGACCTCACATTTGGCTGCAAGCCCGGATACGTCTGCAACCCTCCTAAGCCATCCTGGTGCAACTTCTGGTCCGAGCCACCTTCCAAAGACTATCTGTGTGAGCCCCAGTACTGTATCAAGGCCCCGAAGCTCAAGAAGCCCAAGTGGCGTAAGAACGAGACCGATTACTATCCACGAGCTCCTGGATACTTCGATCTTAACCCTGAGGCTTTCGGTCTTTCTTACGATATCTTCGAGAAGCAAGTCTACGAGAAGGTTGTCAGTGGCGAGCTCACAACCTTCACGACTGGTAACTGGGCCTCTCAGACAACCTTGAGTGACTGGCCTGATGCCACTACCTCCATGGCAGAGAACTATGACAACGTTCCTAGCAACAACCAGCCACGTGGACTGCACCTGCTGGAAACTAGAGACGTCACTCCGGCCATTTGCTTCGATGACTGTAACGGTGCTTTCAAAATTGCTCAATCTGTTGGAAAGTCAGACAGACTTTGCAACGACGGTTCCTCATTCCGTAAAAGCTACGGCGTGTGTCGAGAGTGTATTGGTGATAACACCGAGGAGACCAAGCAAACCGAGCGAGACTACGTCGTGCCTCAGTTCCAGCAGTTCACCGAATACTGTGATGGCAGGGATACTACAAGTGCCACTACAGCCGCATCTGGCCCCGAATCCCAGGTCACTGGAACTCCCGACGTGGAGACCAAAACTCAGGTCGAGGCTACCTCAGGTGGATTTGCTCCCATCACCACGGAAGACGACTCTGAGTCCGAGACACGCAGTGCCGACTCTGATTCTCAGTCGACCGATGAAGCTGCCAAGCCTACTTCTGCAGAAGAAGAGAACACCACAGATCGACCTGAGCCTACTTCCAATGTCCGTGCCACTACAAAGGAATCCGAACCTGTTACCACAGAAGAGTCTGAGCCTATCACCACAGAAGAGTCTGAGCCTGTCTCCACAGACGAAGCTGAGCCTAGTTTGACCGCCGATGGATCGTCTTCAGATAGATCGCAACCAACCACATCTGGAGCTGCTGCCGAAGAGACAGCCGAGACAACTGGAAGCCCCGAAGCAACGGAGACTGAAACAGCAGCTGATGAGGTATCAACCGACGGGTCTGAAAACTCTGCAGCTGGTGAGTCCACCACTTTGCCTTTTACTACCAAGAATGTCGTGACTGTCACATCCACGCGTGAGGACTCTTCTGAGACTGATGTCGTTTCTACCATCACAGAAACAGGTTCAAGAACTGCTCAGACCAAGGGCGTCGAGACAGACTCTGCAAAGACTGATTCAGACGAAGCTACTGCAACAGAGGCCGCCACTGGAACAGATACTGTCACTGATGCAGAGTCTGCTACTGAGACCGACGGTTCCAGTGCAACTGAGACAGATGATTCCGAGACTGCCTCAGAGACGGACAGTTCTGGAGACGTCACTGAGACCACGATCACAGCCACCCGCTCTGGTAAGGCTGATGCCACCGAAACCGAGACAGAATCGGGAGCTGCCGCAACAGAATCCTCAGAAACAGAGACTCCTGATGATTCTACTGCTTCAAGCGAGACCCGCTCACGACTCGAGACACGTACTTCAACTGGCACCGCCGACGAGACAGCAGCACCTTCAACTGTCGAAGCTGCTGCCTCTCGCTTGACAGCCAGCTTTGCTACTTTCATCGCTCTTCTGTCGATGCTAGTGATCCTCATTTAACCTTCAACAACAACAACCACATTTTACTTCACTTTTCACGACACTCATTACGATAATGTCTATTCGACAACGACTACATGTTTACGTTTACGCTTCATGGAAACTCAGTGCACATACTTTTAGGTCAGGATGACTTTATACCTTTTGGATATTTGGCTTTTTGCCGCGACGCTCTTTTGGCGCAGGGTGGGAAGCATATAGAATTAGCATTGAGATACCAGACACTCCTTGACGCATATACCACGGGAACGAGCGAGAAAATTGGATTTTTGGATCGGAGAATTTGGCCACGAGGGGCCAGCTTTGATACCATGAGGAAAGAAGGATCAAGTAGCATGTGGAAGAAAATTGATTATTGTTCTGTCGCCGCCGTTTTGGCGAGTCGAGCTCTGCAATTTGGCCTGTCCTGTCCCAAACATTGTGGTGAAGGTATAGTATGATACATGTAGAGTACAATCGTCCGCAGTATTAGGGTACGATATAACAAAGGAAACGTTTTGAAGTCATCGTGATTTCGTCTCGAATGGTGCAACATCCGGCTCCGCTACCAGGCGCACCGGAAAGACATGTCTTAGATCTTGTCAGTTGAAAGCAATATATGTTAGCGTTAGAAGCACTCACTGTTGGTTTTCTGTTTTACTCTTTTGTGTCGGTGTTCGTTCACCAGTCGCTCAATCCAAGTTCTTTTCGTCTTATATAAAGAGGCTCGTCCAAGTTGCCTGCTTCGAGGGTCTCGAGGTACGCAACCTCTGCATCAACAGTCGATCGTCGACGAGGAAAGATGACCCAGACATTGGGAGTGAAGAAAGATAGGCCAAGCATAGTGAAGCTGTGATTTAATTTAGATCAGTGTACGTGGTGGCGTTGAGTAGGAGCAAAGACGGCTCTGTATGTGAAGATACTCAGAATTCTCTCCGAATCCGCGTTCCAGAAAACATTCCCATCATGGCTATTTATCTGTAAAGTTTTCCCCAGTCCAGAATCTCACAGCTGGTTTCTCACAAACGCCTCCATCTTCAAAGATCCCAAAGCCCCATCGCCATGCTCACGATCTCAGACGGATTCGGTAAAGCATGAACCCTTAAGGGTTCTGGGCTTTGAGGTTGGAATGCAGGGGATCGTGGCGTTGATCTCCACAGGTTACTCTAGAATAGGAGCTAGTCTTCTCGGGATAGCTTCATTTTGGAGATTTGGAATGCTGAGTGGTGCAAGTCCATTGGTTAGAGCTCGTAGTGCAGAGTTAATCTTGCAGAGATCGTCGATAGCTTTGACGTAGCTGGTTCCTGAAGAACGGCGTCGATCTCTAGAAATGTGACGACACTGGCGGCTGAATTCAGACTTCGATAATGGGAAAATGACATAGGAAGCTTTGTTTGCTCAAACAGCAAAAGCCTTGTTCTCTCTCTTTCATTCATTAATAACAAATCCAGTATATAGAGAAATTCATCATTACCAACGCCGTCATTCCTGAGCTTTGTTCATGCACATCACATCTCGTTTCATCAAAAGCAGAGTTCTGTATCTATCCAGCTTTTTTCGAACCATTTGCCTCCCATCCGTCATTCAGGTCTTCAGTCATGTTCTCATTCCACAACCAGTCCCTCTAGCACGTGCATGGCTCTTGTGCCTTCACTTTCGAACCGGTTGACTATTGACTCGCACTCGTGCTTAAGCTGCTTCTCAGCCTGTGCAGCGTTGTGGTAGATCCACTCTTGCACTGTCATTTGCTTCTCAGGTGATGACAAAGTCTGACCCTGCTTAAGGAATCGATCCAGCCCGTTCTCCTTATAATCCTTGGGTGGTGTTCCGAACACGGCGTCAAGATCTAACTCCGTCCATGGAGTAGTACTGCGAAGTCCTGCAATTACATTGCGCTTGGATGGTGAAAGCTTTGAGGGAGAGACGCGGGTAGGTGTAGTCACCGCAGGTGGCAATGCCACTCTCTTGGGGTTGATAGTGGCTGATGGTCTTGATGAGGGTGGCTCGTTCTCAGCATCCGAGGCCTGTGGTGATTGGGAAGGTGAAATGGCTGCTTGTCGAGCTGAAGGGGCAGGGGAGGTGCCTCTTCCAGGTGTGGAGGGTGGATGAGCAGCGCTAGCAGGTGGTGATGAGGGCACAGGTTCTGGGGCGGGCGATTCTTGAGCGGGCTGCTCGTCTTTGGGTTCCTCCGACGCATAAATCTCGACATCTTCATCCATGCGATCTTCCACAGGCTGCGAGAACGGTTGAGTCGACTCTTGACTATGTGCCATTTCCATCGACTTTCGGGCTTCCAACGACTTCTTAGATGGGCGACCACGACCGCGTTTAGGAGCTGCATCACTCAATTGACTCTCATTAGCCCCAACAGAAGGCCGAGACGCCAAAGATGCCTTGGAAGGACGCCCACGGCCGCGCTTTACGGGTGGTTGTTCGGGAGCTTCCTCGGCCTCTGCTGGAGCTTCCACTAGTTCGAGGTCATCCATTGAGGCTCGTGAGGCCATGGATGCTTTAGATGGACGTCCTCGACCTCGCTTGCCAGTGCTCAAGCGAGCAGCTCCTGACTTCTTGACAACAGTGTCAGTGCTGGCAATGCTGTCGTTGTGGGCTGGCTCATCCACTTGAGCATGCTCCTCTGGCTCAGCAATCTCTTGCTCAGTCTCTTCGGCTTGTGTTTGCTCGAGCTCAGCCTCATCTTCCTCGGGTTCTGGAGCTGCTTTGGTCTTCTTCGACTTGGACTGTTTTGACACTTTGCGTGTACCGGCCTTTCGGCCTTTCTTTGGAACTTCTAGCTCCTGAGGCTCAGCTTCGGGTTCAGGCTCAGGTTCCGCCTCTTGCTCTGGTTCAGGCTCGTGTTCAAGCTCGGGCTCAGGCTCATTGACCTCCATCTCAGCTTGCAAGGCCTTGAGATCATCATCGATCTCGTCCTCATCTGGCACGACAGGCTCAGGGTTCAGCATAGCATAGTCTCGTGAATACTCCTGCTGCTCAGCCCTAGCCATAGACGACTTCGATCTCTTCTCCTTCTTCTGGCGTCTTTCTGAATCGGAGTCGAAGGTCAACTCCTCATCTTCAGTAAGTTGGTTCTCAAGATCCGCCTCTAGTTGTCGCTCGATCTCATCATCGTCTGGGAATGTTCCGGGAGTTGCTTCGTAGCCTGTTGAGACCACCTCTTCTGTAATAGATGTCGTAGAAACGTCGTGCGATGACTTGGCTGTAGGCTTTCGGGTCGCCTTCTTCTTGCCGCCCTTCTTCGGGGCAGGAGCTTCGGCCATGTCTGAGTCTTCGTCTTGTTCTACCGTAGACTCATTGACAACGCGAGTTGCGCGCTTCTTGCCTGGTGGCGCATCCGAGGTAGCCATGCTCACATCTTCTATCGCTGAGCTGTCTCGCTTCTTTCCCCGAGAAAGCTTGGATGGCTCTTCATCTTGTAGAGATGTCTCGACGTCCTCAGCTGGAGCTTCCTTCTTTGCCTTTGTTTTTCGTCCCTTGGAAGTCGCTTTACGCGCTTTTGTCTTCTTGCCGCCTGTTGCTGTCGAGCTCGTTGTCATAACACTGTCATCGATAGCGGCTGTTGACTCGTTCATTGAAGGCGCTTCTGAAGCAGCGACGGACTGGACAGACAAGCGCGATGTTTTGGAAGCGCGTGCGGCTTTGGGTTTACTCGATTTCTTCGCTTGTAGTAGAATAAAGAATGGGCAGCCAGGGGATCGGTTGTAGTGCTCGTCACTATGCTTTGTTAGTTAATGCCGTAGTTATGACCCTTGTAATACTCACAGAGGCTTGTCGCCAGGTTCCCAACCATCTAGCGCAAGTTGGCAGTAGGTACAGGTGGCCATATCATCCGACTCTTCAGTCGGTGTGTATTTCCAGCCTGCATCGACTAGCTGCTTGGTTTTGCACTTCCATCCCTTTTTGCCCTCGTGGGGCCATCTGCCAGCAAAAGTTGCCTTTCGAGCTTCCTTCATGTATGGCTGGTCGGGTTCTTGTTGCGCATAATCTCCAATATCGGATTCTATCGCGGCGACAACTGCCCAACCGCATTCGGGAGCATGCTTCAAGTGTTCGACAAGAGGGTCGTCGTTGGCTTCCCAGCCGTCGAGGCCTTTGTGACATAGGAAACATTGGGCATTATCGGGGTTTTCTGGTGTTGGGTTGAAGAAAAGACCAGCGCGAGCAAGCTACGAGATTGTTAGCTGTTGTTGCAACTGGCGTGAAGACGGCAGCATACGCTATCGGGGGTAATGGACTTGTGAGGCCAGTTGAGAGCTTTGGTGCCTCGTCCGCTTGCTGCAGATCCTCTCTTCTTGGAGTTCTTCTGGAAGGACGCCAATCGGCTCTCGTAGGTGATATATTGGTCGGTAATGTCGTCGAAAGACATGGTTGTAGATTCGATGCGCGTGAAAGCGCGGTCAAGGGTAGAGGTCTTTAATCGAGACGCGATGCGTCGGCAAAAGATCGAAGTTGGAGAACAAAGTCGCAACTAAGCAAGAATAAATAAAATGGAAATCAAGAAATGACTGCGCTCATGACAGAATTGGTATCCGCTGAAGCAAATTCTAGTTGCGCAAGTCGTACCAAAAGGTATACTACCTATTACCTCGAGGTTGAGTAAACAGTTTGTTGTTGTGGAAGGAATTCGTGATACTCGCTTGCTGCGACGGGACGGAATTGATCGAGCAAAAGAAGCGGTCGAAGGGTGGGCCCCAGCGCGTTTGTTTACTTTGGTGGGTCGGCCAACCCCAGAGATCCAAACATGGATTGAGGGACTCACTCTCTACCCCCAGAGAATATTACGTATAAACACGATAACCAAGTGTCTAACGAGACGATATTTCGATTGTTTTGACAAGGATTCCTTCGAGTTGCCCGAATTATTCTCGGTTAGCTATTATTAGCAATGGGCCTCAAAATCTACACTAGGTGATATCTCACAGCTACAGCTCACAGGACTATAATCATAACATTGTGTGATGTATTCCTCTCTTATATCACAGAGACTCATCTACAGCTTTCCTGCAGCTTTCAATCCTTTCTCACCGTCAACCAAAACACACCATCCCTCATAACCTCGGCCACCATCTCCAGCAACTACAGCTTCGAAAGTTCCTGGGGCATTGGCAAAGTCGAGAACAGCATCATCAAAACTGCCAGGCTGCAGCCAAACAGATGGAATACCCTTCTCCTTAGCTTCCTGAAGCACCTTGAGAGTTGCTGCTGGGGGCGTGATGACCGAAAGAGAAGTCTGAGTAGGGTTTGAAAGTGCTGACACGTTAGGAACAGTAGGATGGTCCTTGTTCAGCGCATTGATCGACTCTGACCCCGGGTTGATGGGAGTGACAGGCAGGTCATGATGAAGGTACCAGGCAAAGACTACGAGAGGTCATGATGAGTGAAACGTGGTTCCATATATGAATGAACAGGTAGGTCTTACCGCGGTGACCGAATTTAGCAGGGTTAGAGCTGGCGCCTGCAACTGCGTAAGCAGATGAAGCAAAGAATTTGCGGACAGTAGCTTCAGTTGCCATTTTGAACAAGTTGTATGTGCTTCTGTGTATTCTGATGTTGCAAGATATGTTCTGCCGAGGATAAAGGTGTCGGCTGCGGGGCTTTACCTAAGACGCCATATGCTGCAGCCATTGCTTGTGTTGCATCACAACTCCGCGGCATTTCAAGCACTTATAAATCACGATCTATTCTGAGCATCAACAAATTGGAGATTTGCTCCCATGTGAGGAGTCATTCTTGGTATAAACGACAATTATCGTCCGGCAGCGGCTCGTTTAGCAGCGTGCATGACCAGACCTAGTACCTGAATTCTTGAGTGTCAATGATACAGCCGTTGAGAAACGCTGCCGCCGTTTAAGCTTCTGGACGTTTTGGAAAGTCATCCAACCAGACTCTCTGCTCGGTTCTAATTGATTAGTTTTCTTTACCGTTGTCGACTTCAACAGTATGTGGCTTTGCGGCCAGCTATCTTAAATACATGCTGGCTTGGGCAAATCTCCAGGGTAAGCCATGCGCCAGTTGATAACGTTCGGTACACCGGAATAGCCACAAGACATGATAAGCGATTGAGTTTTACGAGAAACTCCAATACGTTCGGTCTTGGTATTGTTTCAATCGATATTAGATGGCTCACGTTACTGAAACAAAAGCGACCAGATTTAAAGGACATGTCTATGAGATTTCGGCTCATGGAAAGAGATAAGCGAGTTCCAAAACATGACGTCGATTAAAATGTGATAGGATGGTCTAAGCATCAATTCTATGTGTTCAAGGCAAAGAGATTGCAGAAAGAGAACGGACACTGTTTCTAATATTGCAGAGATAACACAATTTATGCTGCTGGTTACGTATGGTACAGAGCACCCAAAGAGGCTGTTCATTCAATCAGAATACAGCAACAAAGAAAAAGGAATGATAGGTGCAGAAAGAAGCGGTAAGGATACTCTGCTTTAATAGCATCATGTCATGACTCTTTCAATCTTTTATGTCGTCCGTAGGCTTGCCATGAGACTTCGCTAGTATCACAGAAAGTCATCATGATACTTTAACCAACACCACGGTGACATTGGAGACGTCATTGTAAGAGCTGTGATTTGTGCAAGAATATCTGCCCAATGTTTTATGGTAATATCGTACATAATTCTCAATGTGATGGTTAAAGGGGCCTTGCATTACTTACTCCAGTTTCAATAGTTTCACCGCCAAAGGCGTTAGTGTAAGCCTGACAAAATAGAGTGAGTAGTGTAGAGGAATAATAGAGTGGTGCTATTCTGTCTCTGATGACATGGCTCAAGTTGACCCATGAAATGACCCCGTTGCCCCGTCAGTCTCTGGCCAAAAGACACCAGGGAGGCCAGAGCGTGGAGAGCAAATGCACATGGAATGCAATCTTGGCTCCTCTTTTCTGTCTTTTCCATCTTACAACCTCTCAACACCATTTTTCTGATCTTGGAAACATCTTGAAAGTCAATTATTTTTGTTTGTTGACCAGCCACACTACAGCCAACCACTACAACCCCTCCAAATAACCCCAAATAACCTAAAAATGGTGAGTGAGCTCCAGTTGCCCCGGACACCCCTTAATTCGCATGCGTAAACAATGCACCCCGCCTTCTGATTCGACGGATTCAGTCGAAGTCGCCCAAATAGTTGGCAGTTGGCTGGTTTTGCTTCCCATCAGATCGCGCGGCACAAACTCTTGGTTTTCCTCATCTTGCATCCTTCTGCATCTCTTGATAACCACCACAACATTCGCATTCGCATCGCATCGCAATCTTCACATATACAACTCAACCACCTCACAAAGCAATCATGTCTAACAACAAGTTCGAATCGCAGGCTTCTACCAACTACAAGGAGGCTTTCGCCCTGTTCGACAAGCGCGGAAATGGTCGTGTCACTGTTGACAGCCTCGGTGATCTTCTGCGCGCCTGTGGCCAGAACCCTACCCTCGCTGAGATTCAGGACCTCGAGAAGAATGTTGGTAGCGAGTGTGAGTAGAACCTCTGCGACGAACGAAAACCTGCCATGTTTACTGACTTTTTCCGGTGCAGTCGACTTCGAGACATTCCAGCGCGTGCTGAACCGCCCCGGTGGTTTCCGCGACCCCGGCGAGCCTGAGGAATACTGCCGTGGTTTCCAAGTGTTTGATAAGGATATGACGGGTTTCATCGGCGTCGGCCAACTCAAGTACATCTTGACAAACCTGGGTGAGAAGATGACCGATGAGGAGGTCGATGAGCTCCTCAAGGCTGTTGACACCAGCTCAGGCCAGGTCAACTACACTGGTACGTACAATTCTACAGCAAAAACAATTCGAGCAGCGACTAACAAGACTTCAACAGACCTCGTGCGAACCATTCTCGCCAACTAAATACAATACTGTAAAGATAGGGGCGGAATAGGTTTTGCATCTGCGTTGACGGACCGGCGTTTGCTTGTTTGATTATGGATATGGATGGAATCGGTTATGGATACGCCGAAATGATGAATTATTGCTGCCATTGTGCGGAGCACTAGCATGTCTGGATTTCTGGTAGATAATTGGGAGGCGAGTAGGGAGTTACTAAATGAAGCTCTATGTGTCTCTTGATTGCGTATGGTTCGATTTGGTTTTGGTGGAGTTGTCATGGCAGCCAACGCTCAGTGAGGTCATTAACAGCTTGTCTGAATAACTCGGCATTGAAAATGCTTGTTTCTGGTAAAACAATCAATCAATCTTCTACAGCGACTCACATTGCCTATAATGCCATTGTTTTGATCGCCCATATTATGCATGATTCACCTCGAATCCTCATTAGCCGCCGTGATCATGACACCGCATCCGACTGCCCCGCGATTTCGCTGGCCTGAGAGCGGGTCCAGGTCCAAGTGGGAAGCTCTAAGCTGCACCTCTCAATAATTGCCCCATCTCGCCGCATCTTCAATAAACGCCTTTTCAACGCCTTTGACGCCTAGACACGGAATAATCGCATTAGTCTCGTTGAAAAAGACCCCTCTTTTGACTGCGAGTTGCCTCAATTCCGAGACTCGACCATCTTCAAACCAATCGGCTTACCTTCCAGGTAGCATTCACCTCATTCATCCATCCCATCCCGTCCCATCCCAATCATCCAAGCTGGACAAGCGTGCTCCCCGCCGGCCCCTCCTCCTCCTCCTACTCTCCCTCTTCTTCCTTTTTGTCGCCGTCACTCTGGCTTCCTCAAGAGCTTTCTCCCGCCTCGGCTCTCTTGCGAATCATTTAAGATTCCAAGCTCCACGAACTATACTTTCAACAAGACAGCTTGTAACAACCACCATGGTTACTCCCGACAAGTATCGTAACCCTCCTCAGGCGCCGCCTCTGTTCACCGCCACCCCCGACTCGATCGCTGCCGACACCAAGAAGCTCTGCGATGCTACCAAGAATGTCCTCGACTCTGTCGCGGCCAATGTCACCGCAGACAAGGCTTCTTTCGCCAATGTCCTCGAGCCTATCCTCGTAGATGAGAATCTGGCTGCCACTCAGCGTCGCATCTTGACCTTCTACCACCATGTTTCAACAGACAAGGAGCTTCGTGATGCTTCTACCGAGTCTGAGAGAGTCTTCAACGACTTCGGTATCGAGTGTAACATGCGAGAGGATATCTTCAACGCTGTCGACGCAGCTTTCGCCAACAGAGAATCTCAGGACCTCACCAAGGAGCAGGCACACGTTCTCGAGAAGGAGAGAAATAAGTACATCCGAAACGGGCTTCGTCTACCTGCTGGACCTAAGCGAGACCGATTCAAGGAGATCCAGAAGCGTCTGAGCGAGCTTGAGATCAAGGGCCAGACAAACCTCAACGAGGAGAAGGGAGCTATCTGGTTTACTCCTGAGGAGCTTAAGGGAGTTCCTTCTGACGACATTGACGTCGACTCACTCGAGAAGGGCACCGGTGAGAACGAGGGCAAGGTTAAGCTCTCATTCAAGTACAACCATTACTTCCCGCTTATCAAGTATGCGATCGACGCCGATACCCGTCGCAAGTACACTATCGCGGAATCCAACAAGGTAAGATCCAATTGGTGCTTGATTAATCGAAAAAGCTAACCGAACCTGCAGGCCAATGTCAACGTTCCTATCTTCCAGGAGATCATTACCCTCCGAGATGAGGCTGCACGACTTCTCGGTTACGAGAACCACGCAGCTCTGCGCATTGAGGAGAAGATGGCCAAGAGCCCCGCCGCTGTTCGATCATTCCTGGACGACCTTCGAACACGACTTGCCGAGGGTGGCGCCAAGGAGATTAACGCCCTCAAGGAGTACAAGAAGAAGGATTATGAGGAGCGTGGCCTCTCATTCGACGACAGCTTCTACATGTGGGACACATCATTCTACTCCCGAATCCAGAAGGAGAAGGAGTACAGTGTTGATGAGGCTAAGATCTCTCAATACTTCCCCGTTGAGTCGACCTTCGCTGGCATGCTGAAGATTTTCGAGGAAATCTTCGGTTTCGTTTTTGTTGAGCTCAAGCCCGAGGAGCGAGCTAGACTCAGTCCTACTGGAAAGGCCGAGGATATTGTTTGGCACGAGGATGTTCTGATTTACAGTGTCTGGGATGACGAGGCTTCAGGCTCCAACTTCAACGGATACCTGTACCTCGATCTTCACCCTCGTGACAATAAGTATGGTCACAACGCCAACTTCAACCTGGAGCCTGGTTACGTCACTGAGGACGGCAAGAAGCACTACCCTGTTACTGCCCTTGTCTGTAACTTCAGCAAGCCAACCCCCAAGAAGCCTTCTCTGCTGAAGCACCACGAGGTTGTGACTCTGTTCCACGAGCTGGGTCATGGCATTCACGACTTGGCTGGACGCACCCGCTACAGTTACTTCCACGGAACCTCCACGGTGCTTGACTTTGTCGAGGCTCCCTCTCAAATGCTGGAGAACTGGTGCTGGACTCCTAGCGTGCTTAAGTCACTGTCTAAGCACTGGGAGACACAGGAGCAGATTCCTGATGAGCTCATTGAGAAGTTGGTTTCCACGAAGCGTCTCAACTCAGCTATTGGCGCACTTGGACAGCTTACTATTGGTCTGTTTGATATGACTGTGCACACCCCTGAGTCTCACGAGGCCGTCAAGAAGCTTAACGCCGGCCGAACCTGGAACACGCTTCGACATGAGATCTCCGGCACCAAGGGTCCTGAAGACCTTGGAGAGGGATAGTAAGTATTTGCGCAAAGATTTGTTTGAATGTTGAAGCTAACTCATTATTAGTGAATGGGGTAACCGACACGCTGGGATCGGCCACTTTATTGGTGGATACGATGCTGGCTACTATGGATACCTCTACTCTGAGGTATTCTCTCTCGACATGTTCCACTCATTCTTCGCCAAGAACCCCATGGACGGAAAGGAAGGTCGACGATACCGCCACACCGTGCTTGAGAGAGGTGGAAGTATCCCTGAGATGGAATTCCTGAAGGAGTTCCTCGGCCGAGAGCCCAGCTCAGAAGCCTTCTACAAGGAGCTTGGACTTTCCTCAGCTGCTTAGATGGATAGAAGTTAACGTAGTAAAAGAAGACAGAAATGATTGGAATGATCAATTAGAACATGGGAAAGTGCGAGCCATCGGAATGTTATTGACGAACCACGTGTTGGCGTTGCACAATGATGACTACTAACTCCCATCCCCCTGGACTATGCAGTGATATACGAGAAAGGAATCTCGTATCTTGCAGCCACCCGCACGTAGATCCTGTTACCTGGGTCCTCCGAGCCCATGCCATGACCACACTCTAATGCTGTTGTAGATGCAGGGTTGGCTGCATAGCGTTGTGTAACTGGGCACTATCGCCAAGTCACGGGGCTGTATTATTGGGGATGATATGCTGGGTTTGTGAGTTTATCGAATGCAATCAGCCGTTCATCTCCGGAAATAGATCGTGATGCTGGTTTCCTTGCGGTGAGGTATTGTAGTTAAGCTTAAGTCGATGGCCTTCGTTTCATGGGTTATGTCACTGAATAACAGGGTCTGGGTGAGTGAGTTGGGATGAACGTTTGGCGGCCTGGGAGTCTTTGTTCGAAGGCGGCGTATGTAATTACGGATTTGAGCATGAAACTACCGCAAACTCTGTTCAAGGTTTGACATCGCTGATGGTAAAGAGACTATGCGATGAGGACTCGGTTGGATAGTCTAGCTTGATGAACTATGGTTACGTTGACTTGGTAATCTGTCTGATATGAGCTGTTATCTGGGACACTCGGTCAACTTCCTTACCTTTGCAGCAACATAGCGTACCATCCCAATCTTTACTTGTTGATATGTTTTACCTGAAACCAATTACACACTTACATCTAGACCAGTGAATACTTACTTGGGTCATAAAAAGTGGCATCATCCCAGAGATCTCGAACGCAGCCTTTAAACTCCGGGGAAGTGAGATTCAAAGGCGGAACCGCATCTTCGCCCCCCAGACTTTGATGCTGATTCTCTTAGATCCGGGGAAACCTTACAAGCAACCTCATGAACAGTTCATAATCGGAAGATAGAGACTCTTTCGGGGACGAACAACGGCGGTGGATCTCCGTGTGGCTGATCCTTGGGTATGGCCGTCTTCGTGAATAGTGTGCCTTGGTGATATTCTTCATAGCCAGTTGGAGATGGCCTTCTTGGAGAAAGATAGCCAATATCGTGCTCTAGATTTACCGGAGACTTTACCGGCCGCTACGGCGATGAGCGGGCTTCTGCCACCGCGTCACTACCGTGCGGTTCATCAGACCACTCCAACATCTCCCCATCCCTGAGAGCCAGTAGCAGTAGATGGTTTCGTAAAGGGTGGGGATAAACAGCTGAGAATGACGCGGAGGTTGCCATTGCATCTTCCTCTTGACATGGAATGAGATGGATGAGGAAAAGAACGTTGACTTCGTTGATGGATGCGGAGAAGAGCTAGGGATAGTTTGGAGCTATCATGGATCCATGGCTTGCGCGGGGGAACGGGTAGTCTAAAATGGTGATTGCGGGGAAAGATGGGGTAACATTAACAATGGAGAGAAGAGGATGAGATGATACTATCATATTCAAATACATTTAATTGACAAATACATAGATAATGCATCGCATTCTATTGCTGCCTGGAGATAAGTGAAAGGCGATTAGAGATCTCTGAGAAAGCCTATTGATATCTGCATGTCTCATCACCAAAACAATGTATTATACCTAACCAATGTATAGTATCGTAAAGCATCATAAGGTCTTATTTCACTCTGTAACTACCCGAGCTGAGAAAATCCCAACTGCATCTCCGACTGACCGTATGCCGTGCTAACGACATTGACGGAGTGGCTTAACAAAACGACTGGCCAGAAACCCTTCCAGGCCACGTTCCAGAAATGAAAAGCCCCAAGCCTCAATATGCAGGTTCCCTAACGTGCCGTCACCGTCTCTCCAACACGTTTTTAGCGGGCTGAGGTTCCAGTTCCAGGCGACATGACACCCTTCTTTGCCAGGCAGTAATAGGTTCCCGGTGTTTGCACCGCACGCTACGGATTTGCCGCCGGGACTGGACCGTGTAAGAAGGGTGTGGTTGGATAGCCTTTCTTTTTGAGAATTTGATTGTATCACCGAATGATTGGTTGGTATTTTATGGTTGGGTTTGTCACTCTGATGATGTCTACCGTCCTCGGTTAAGTGGGAGCAGGGGTATGAATGCTGTAAATGAACTATCCAAGCTTGATATTCTATTCTATTTCTTGTTAGATATCATCTAGTCAATGCTTTGACATATCGCTTAATAGTTGTAAGAAGATGGTCATATGGACACGCAAACTGCCATTCAAGGCCATTAAGAGCAATGATATCTTACTGAACCCTTGCTGTAAATGGTGCGGGAATACAGGGGTGACTTGAAAGCGTTTGATTCAACTAATGCAAAGCAGACAAACAGCGGATCCGATGCCAACGGCAAACTAAAGAAAAAGGATAAAGCTTGTATTTGGTAGCGTAAGTAGCTAAAATAAGAGGCGGCAGGGAGGCGAAACAGTGCCAAGGGTTTTGAGATGGAGACAAACAAAAACAAGTACCCGAGTATCTCTTTAAGGACATGTTTGCGTCTGTGTGAGTGCGGAGCGTGGCCTGGCCTGAGAGAGATGAGATGAGTTGGGATGGGATGACATGACCCGTCACTCAAAGACACAAGGGCAGCAGATTCTGTGATGACGTGACGTCCTCATGTATACAATTCAACTGTATTCGACGAAGTATGGTACACAGTTCGATCAGAATAATACTCGATAGACTAATAAAGAAGTTGGAGAAATAGACTTGAACTAACGTTAGTTCTTGGAGTACCATTGAGAGGCAAGGTAGACTAATAAACAAGAATTAGTCTGTATCCTTGATGACCAACAGGTATCAAACAATGGATGCTATTCTCTCCCATTTACCCCTCCAACTCTTCTCTACTCTTCCTATCGCGGCTCACACCTCGCACTTGAGCAACATGCCCTAACACGCTCAGAACGCCATCTCGCGTGGCCGCCCCTCGGACGCACAAAGGAAGCCGTACAGTCCTGTGCTGTGCTCTTGCATGTCATGTCTGGCGTTACATAGCCCATCTGCCGGGCTCCATAATGATGTCCCATTTTCTTCTTTATCAAGTCACCGCTGCGCTGCATAGACTACAAGGGTTGTATTTCCCTGCAAAGGTACCCCGCAGAGAAAGAAATAAGATCCCATCGTTAGATCCCGGGATATGATTATGGCTGTACACCCCTCCCTGAGACATGACAGCTGGGGATATGCTCAAAGGATTTCTGGGATGTGGTTCGTCGGTAAATGGAAGCTCCTGTCGGTTGCAGTGGCGGACGGACAAATGGATCAAAATATCTGGTGCAGACATGGGTGAGGGTTGTAAGTGAGAGAGAAAGCGTAGGTGAGAGTGTTGTGGCTGCATACGTTCTTAACACTCCTATTTCTTTCTATCCACTATCATCGTTAGCTCTCGACGAGGATGTATTTCTTTCTTTCTTGGCAAAGAAATGTAGGCGCTTCAATCTCCACACGCTGGGGGTGTAAGAGTGCAAGTGAGGCCTTCGTTTTCTTCTACTTCAACTATTAAAAGGCTTCATCCCCGTCAGTTGCAAGCATAACTTGAGTAGATATTCACCGTCAAAGTATATACAAGAAAACGGCCTCGATAACTCTTCTTGCTATCGGATCTCCCGTCCTTTCGCCTCGTTCGAAACGCAAAGGAAGGGTTTCGTTTCTCCTGTTGCACCGTCACTCCCGCGTCTGGGGTTCGTTCTTGTTGTCTTGTCTCGCATTTTCGGTTGACGAAGATAGACAGTACGCTACCCTACGCTGCACCTTCCTTGAGTCTCAAAACTTCTTTTTTTGAGCCTCTCCTTCCTCCTCCCCGGTGTTCTTTTCATCTGGTCCTCCCCCTCCTTCCTCTTCTGTCTCGGCTGGTTGCTGCGCTCTTGTCCCCCACCAGTTCCTTCCTCCCACGTTTTTCTGATCCGCCGCTATCCTCAAAGAGGCCGGGCCTACTTCTACCCTTTACCATCTCCCTGGTGAATCCCGAGAGATACGAAAACCCTTGTTTGGAGTATATCAACATGAGCGACTACGATCGAAAGGAACCCTTCGACGAGAAGGCCTCGACCTCTGAGGTTGACCTCGTAGTTGCTGACCCTGATGCTGGGTTGAGCGAGGCTGAGAAGCAGGAAGCTGTGAGTAGCACATGTTATGTCAAATATTGATAAATATGTACTGACAAGGTTTCAGGAGAAGAAGCTACTCCGAAAGATTGATATGCAGCTTGTGCCTTGGGTATGACAACTCCGCGCTCCATGAGATATAACAACAGACTAACAACATCAGCTCTGCCTTCTTTACCTCATCTGCTTCCTCGACCGAACCAACATCGGCAATGCCAAAATCGCTGGTCTCCTCGATGATGTGCACATGAACACTTCGCAGTTCAATGCGACTTTGACCATTTTCTACATCTCGTACGCCATCTTCGAACCGCTGGCCAATGTTCTTTTGAAGTGGTCCAAGCCTTCAATCTTTATCCCTGCCATCATGTAAGTTTTCGCACCAATGCAGAAATGCCTACACAGCAACTGACCGACAATGCAGGGTTCTCTGGGGAGCAGCCATGTTGGGTATGGGTTTCGTCAAGAACTGGGATGGTCTTATGGCTGCTCGCTGGTTTCTTGGTGTCACAGAAGCCGGACTCTTTCCCGGAATCAACTACTACCTATCCTGCTGGTATAAGCGATCCGAATTCGGTGCCCGCGCGGCTTGGTTCTTCTCAGCTGCTGCTCTTGCTGGATCTTTCGGCGGTCTGCTGGCTGCTGCTATCCAGAAAATGGATGGTGTTTCTGGAATTGCTGGTTGGGCTTGGATCTTTATCATCGAAGGACTTCTTACGATCATTATTGGTATCGTCTCGTTCTGGATGGTTCACGACTTTCCCACAGAAGCCAAGTTTCTCGACGAAAAGGAGCGAGCTCGTGTTATTTACCGACTCGCTGCTGATAAGCAGTCTTCGGCTAAAGACGAAAAGTTCAAGATGAAGTATTTCTGGCAATCCATTACCGACTGGAAGACCTATGTGGGTATGCTTATCTATATGGGACCCCTGATGCCCCTGTACTCCTTCAGTGTCTTCCTACCGACCATTATCCAAAACATGGCCTTTACCGACAAGAAGGCAGTCGTCAAGAATCAGCTTCTCAGTGTACCACCCTATGCCTTGGCAGCTGTCGCCACTATTTGTGTCGGTATCTACTCGGACAGGATTAACAAGCGAGGCATCTTCAACTTGATTGCGGCTCCCATAGGAATGGCAGGCTTCATCATGCTCATCGCCTCTACAAACCCTGCTGTGCAATACACTGGATGCTTCTTGGGTGCTCTCGGTATCTACCCTGTCATCCCCATTACCATCAGCTGGGTCGCCAACAACGTTGAGGGTGTGTACAAGCGAGGTATCACTCTCGGCTTTGTCATAGGTTGGGGCAACCTCAACGGTGTTGTGAGCAGCAACGTCTTTTTCAACAGTCCTCGTTTCTACGAGGGTCATGGCACAGTTCTGGGATACATGTTTGGGGCCATTTTCTGTGGCAGTCTCCTGATGTATGCCATGCTTGCCCTTGAGAACAAGAAACGGTTGGCGGGTGAACGGGATCACCTCCTGGAGGGCAAGTCTGCCGAGGAGATCCACGAGATGGGCGATAAGCGACCCGATTTCATTTACACACTGTAAGAGTATTTATGACTTATCATTAAGAGGAGGGGAAAACCGATCGGTGGTACATGGGTCCAAACAGGGTTGTAAATTGAGTCACGAGTATGTAAATCAGCGATCAGTGTCAATTGATCATAAGTACATAGCAAACATCCTGTCTCTCCTACCTTGACGTCTGCTGTCAAGCACGGTATAAAGTGCCATACGCCTTTCATGTGATATTTTCTTGTATACTGTCATGTTGGTTAGACGTGTACTAGTGGTCAGTTATGTGACCGTTGATGTTCTGGAAGCAAGAGAGTTCTCTCATCTCACAGCCTGATGGTAGAATCAGCCAGCCACAGCAGCCAACAAGACGAATATGCTGCGCGTGATTAGCTGACAGACGCCTCCCCTGATAGCCACTTTAACGGCCCTGCCCGAAATAGCAGCGGCTAATGCAAGAATTACCATACACTGTATATACCCAGGCAAATGTGTATGCACTTTGTAGTGGGCAGAAGGCGAGTCCTGGGATTGCAGATGGTAATTGGATCAAAGGTATTGTTTGTCGCAGCCGCCACCCGCCACGTTTCATCCTCTCCCACGCGACCGAGAGGCTAGAGAATGAGAGATGAGAGAAAATCCGGCAATCAAACTCGAGTCTGCGCTGAGATGTTGGATGGGGGTGATGTCACACTCTGATTCAGCCCACGGGAGCGTACAGCTTTTAATCAAAGTTGGGAGAACGAGGCTTCTTGACCGCAATTAGATGATAGTGAAAGATGTAGAAAGCTGAATTAAAAGATTAGTTAGTTAGTGCTTCGGAGAGAAGGAAGGCTGAATGTTGGTGGTAAAGACCGTTGATAGTCGAGAGATGGTGCTTGTTTGCTCTTATTGTTACTGTTTACCCCTGTAATTCTTCTCGATTGCCATGCGATGCCAAGACTCTGGAGAGATCTCGAGGCTGTCATGTTTGTCTGCACGGATGGGGCGAGGTTGGAGATATAGCCTACTTGCTTCACCGCTTACGGTATAGACTGCACGTTGTTGGTTCCTGTTTAGCTTGACGGGAGATGGGCAGGCTTGGGGATTACCGTTGAGTCTGGGGAAGTGCCAAGATTAAGGCTAAGGCTATCGATGGTGAGAAGTGATAAGTGACAGTGTTAGATGGTGAACCAATTTTGTAGTTCGAGTATTGGTACTGCACTGCACCGCAGCTGCGCAGCCAAGACAGTAATTAAATCGTTGGTGGGAAACTTGCAGAGAGAAAAGCGTTTCGATTCTGGAAGCATTTGTAGTCAAGAGGAGGGTGAGAAGAGGAAGAGATTGGGTAGATAATCAGAGATAGTTGTAAGGCCAAGAGGATTGTGCTTCTTGTTTGTTGGACTGAATAATTGACACTGACCTCTACTGAATTATGTGTTAATGTTGATACAAATAAATCCCCTCTCATCTCCTTCATAGATCAGAGAAACACAGTCAAAAGATCCCTCGTCTAACGGGTACGTGCAGCTCTTGGAGGTGACACCACATCTCGACTTGGCCCATCTTGAATCACTCTCTCTTCCCTTTTTCTCTACTATTCTGTTCTACTCTCCACAATCCTTTTCTTCTCCCATCGCTTAAACAAAAACAAACTCGCGCCTTCTCGTCTTTTGTTTCCCTTTCTAGTTACGCAAAGAGAAAATCGGCTACCTACCTTACCTCTATCCATCCACTCATTCTGCCCTTTTTATTTACCATCACTCGAATCCCTCACACTTTTTGTTCAAGGACAGGATATTCTTGCTACTCGCTACCCATCCCCTTGTCTGGGACTCGGGAAACGAGAAAAGAATCATCTTGAGAAACAAAAAAGAAAAGATGACGCTCAAGTTCATCGCGGGGCGAGGCTCTGACCTTTTGGATGAGAGTCAGAGACATACACTCGTACTGTTTGAGCGCATTGGAGGATCTGTCAGCTTGATCTCTGTGCTTTTGATATTCATCACCTACGCCCTCGTCCCGCGTGTTCGCAATGTGCAGAATACTTTTATAGTGTTTGCCAGTGTTGCCAATGTCGGGGCTAGCTGTGCGAGTATCATCGCTATGGATGGTTTGGAACTTGGTGTTTCTTCGCCTCTCTGTCAGGCGCAGAGCTTCATGTTCCATATGTGAGTAGCTTGCCGTCGTCTCTTTATCACAAACTGACAAGAGTTATAGGTTCATGCAGTCTGATCCTTGGTGGTCACTCGCCATGGCCTTCAACGTCTTTCTCGTCTTCTTCTTCCGCGCCAGTCCGGATTCGTTCCGACGATGGTGGTGGGTGTATTGTCTCATTTGTTACGGTGGCCCTTTTGCTATTGCCATTGCGTTGCTTCTGGTTAGAAACCCGAACCGCGGCCTTGTGTTTGGTCAAGCCACTGTAAGTTTCCTCCTTACAAGAATGATACTGGTAGCTGATTCATGGATAGATCTGGTGCTGGGTTAACCGGGACTGGGAAAACATTCGCATCTACACTTACTACATGCTCATCTGGGTGTGTATCGCTGGATCACTGATCTTCTACTTTATGGTTGGATATCATGTGTTTCGGTCTCGAAACAGACTCAAGAGTTTGTCTGCTTCCAAGAGTAGAGAGCCAGCCCCTATTGAGCCTTCTCAAGGTGTAAGTAATATTCTTTCACATATAAGATACTAGACTAATGTATATAGCAGAGACAAGTCGACTTCCTCACAGTCCCCCAAGACTGCTTCTACGGAACCATCGTCACCGAAGTCCAAGTCGTCCACTCAACGGCCGCAACGGCCTCAACGAACCATCTCCCCGATCCTCCGAGACCCGCTTACACAGCACGCTCATCAACACCTCAAGTCTCCTTCGACGAACCCCCCGGAGGAGTGCAAGGATCCAACAGTCACTATTTCTCAACCTCTATATCCCCCGGGGTCATCCAAGACCGAGTTAATAGCTCGCCCCTGCGTCGCATGCACGTAGCGACCAACCGAACCCTCAGCAAATTCGTCATCGACGACCCTATAAAGAAGGCTTATCTGCGCACGAGCTTCCTCTTCGCCCTTAGTGTGTTGGTGACCTGGATTCCGAGCAGCTTAAACCGCATTCACAGCTGGCTGACCGGCAACTCACCCTTCGAGTACCACGTCGCCACGGCCGCTGTACTTCCGCTCCAGGGCCTCTGGAACGCAGTCATTTTCTTCGTCACGAGTTTCAAGGTCCTCAAGGAGTGGTGCAAGAACCTCGGACAGGATACGAATCTTCAAGAGAGAGAAATGACACAGACGAGGGAAGAGTTTGATGAACAGGTTGGGAGGAGCGGCGAAAGCTTCCTGGATGACACAGACTCCGGTAGTGACGTTGAGCTGCGACGAATGGGAGAAGCGCCAGGGAAGAGATCCCCGAGTCTTTAAGTCTCTTTTCTTCTTTTTCTTTTTTGAAATGATCTGGGGATTTATTGTATGATCTATATGTATGCTGATGATGGAGTATTTGGTTTGCGAACAAGGCGATATTGATCGCTATCTAGTAGGTAGACTAGATTGAGGCTCGATGATGTACCTCGCTGGTCTGAAGGCCATTGAGCCAGCAATATGTAAAGTCTAATACAGAAAAATGATTTTTGAATTGTTGCGAGCCCGTATATGCGTAGCAAAATGTTGAGAGTCTCATGGTCATCTTACATCGAAGCCCCGTGGATCACAAGAGTCTTGCCCGAGTTTCCCATTTCCTCCACAGCAGACAACTCCAGTGCTTCCGACATGTTGTGTACGCGAACAAGAAGTTCTTTCATAAGTTAGCACATATTCATTTCATCATGATACAAGACCTCGAAGCAAACCTTCATATACCAGCTTATAATGAACTGGCGGATCATCATCAGGCCCCGAAATCAAAGGCATCGTCTCAGACGGCGCAAGGGCAACACTGAACCGAATTCCAACATCCTTGTTCTTGTCGATCCAGAGAACATTCTCGGGAGATGAATCTTGTTTGCTCGCCGCCTCGGCAAGCCATTTTCGGAATACACGTACGACTCCATCGACAAGGTTGACATGGCTTATGAACAGTCCACTCCTCGGCCCTTCCTTGACGAGGTTAATCGAAGCAATCAACTGAGAAAATAACTCTCCGTCATCAAGATTTATATCTTGCGTCGCTGTATCGTCATTCACATCCTCCGAAGGTTGAGCTTCCGTTGGACGTCTGCGTACTCTTCTGGCACTTCTATTCTCCGGTGCAAACACCGGTTTGAAGGAAGAATACAAGCGTCGCAGATCAGCTAGTTCAGTCGCATCTTCACTAACAGGAGGGCCTTCCGGTGTCACTAAGCCTTGGTAGCGACATGCTAGATAGGGCGTGTAGAGCTGGTCACTTGGATGGTAGCATTCTAGAATGAGTTTGTTATCGGGGAGGGGAGCAGCTTGGAGGAGGCGTTGGTGGATGAGACGTGTGATCAGAGAGTAAATACGGCGGTTGATGGTGGCGAAGGAGAGTAGCTCTTTGGTTGAGAGGGGAGAGAGGATGGATGTGAGAATCTGGAAATGTCAATTGAAAAGTCTGAAGGTTAAAAGGTTGAGAAACGCACTTCATTTGGTAGACCGTTCATTGAAGCATCGTGAGACGTCATGATCGGTGAAGGGATGTAGCTGGAGTGGTGATAACACCGAGTGGCGATAGGATAAAGACGGAACAAGATTGCAATTGGGTTTATAAAATCGATGATGGACTCTTCAATCCATGAATGAGATTCAATAGGTGAGAGTTTTACAGTGATGAGAGTGATGATTTCTTGGCGTAGGATTATGGAATAACGGATGAAATGGATGAAGCTTCAAGTTGACAGCTTCAAGTCCAATAACGAGGTTGATCTAAAACGCGGGGGAGGGGCAATTGATTTAGTCAGCACCCGCAAGTCCGAATGACGAAACATTTTGATAAAGAGATAAAGCTAAAGAATAGTAACAGGTTTTAAGCATCAATTGACTTGTCAAGCGTTTACTCTATTTGATTCAACGTTCTTATGCCGGTGAATAATACCCATGACAGGCATCTCAATAAGTGAACCCATGTCCAACAGTGTAACTGCCACCTCGGTTTATGAATAATTAAAATATTCAGGCTATAGCACTGGAGCTTGATTGCAATAGACCTGGTAGGATACAATTTGAGGAGAGAAATGAGGTGCGAATTATCTCCTCGATACCGCCGGGCCCCACTCCGTGACAAGCACCCGGACCGGAAGCCACACGGAAGTTACTCCACTTTTGACCGGTCCAAATAACGACATCAGTTCATATAAGCTCGGGAGGACTAGGTGCAATTTCCATTCAACATTCGATTGAGACTTCTATGATATCTTTGACATGAGTATAAGAATCATATCCGCACCTGTCTCGCTAATAGCCCATCCACTGAGTCTCAGCATAAAACACACGGGCTTTTACATAGCCTTTAAATGGCTGAACGTAATCCCTTTTTCACTCAACGATTTGCCAAGGAGGCAAGCCCAAGCTTCCATGATACCATGCGGTATTTTCTCGACCATTTGGGCTGACTTCCCCTCTCCCCAACGCAACTTAGAACTCAATTGACAGAGTTATAGCCCCGAGAGTGGCCACGATGTAGACATGGAATTGGTTGAAACGGAGCATATGCACCGGATATCAAATCAACACCACCCATAACATGTAATGGCTGAGAAGAGGGGGTATTTGGGTTGAATCAACGACGACATTGATGGCGGGGAAGTCCCCGTCCTCTGGAATACTGATGTATAAATGTACCGACACCTAGCGTTCTCTTCTCTTCTCTTCTTCCTTCTTGCAAAAACCCCTGGACTATTCCCTCGCTAGTCTCAGCTCTACCAAAGCAATGCGTATTGACGTCCTGCTGGGCCTCGGCCTCCTGGCCGAGACTGCTTTGGCACTTCCTCAACCTCCTCCCACTATTACTAGAATCCCTAAGCCTTATGTCCCTCCTGTTCCTTTTCCTCTTCCTCAATTCTGGACTCGAAAAAACAAAGGTAAGTCCGGTATAATGAGTCAAAAAGACTTACAGCTCACCAATTCTTCTTCTAGCGAGAAAGTCAACCCAGGTAGTCACTGCTACCGTCACGGCCGATCCGGCCACGATAGCCAATGCTACCATCATTCGCGATCCCAAGACGGAGACGGAGGCTACAGCTACTGATACCTCGACTGTCGAAGTAAAGACTACTTTCGCTCCTGAAACTGATGGGGATCAAGAGCCAGAGGCAGAAGCGACCGATGATGGAACTGGACTTGGCCGTAAAACCACTGTCATTGTCGATACACAGACAATCTTCAAGACAAACACGCTCTCCGATACTACCACCCTTTCGGTAACAGCCACCCAGAATTTGGCCAATTGGGCCACTGCTACGACCACCGTCAACGCTACCTCAACTATCCTGGAGACGGCGGCCGTTTCTACCACACAGACTTCTATTGTCAATGCTACTGAGACGGTCCTTGCTACCAGCTCTGCTACAACTACGCAGACATCTCTTGTTACTGCTACTGTCTCTGCTACCGTCTCTGGTACTACAACTGATACTACGACCGAGGTCGTCACTTCGATCAGCTCTGCTACCACAACAGATACCACAACTGAGGTTCTTACCTCGACTGTCTCTACTACAGAGACTGACACGACAACTGAAGTCCTTACCTCGACCATTTCTGCTACAGAGACTGACACGACAACCGCAGTCGTCACTTCGACTGCCCTTGCTACTGAAATAGACACAACAACTCAGGTTGTCGCATCCACTTCGACCATTCTTTCCACTGATGTCGTCTCTGCGACTTCGACCGAATTGGTTACTTCCAACGTAACAGAGACGGTCTTTTTCATGGATAGAATTACGAGCACTGATACTCAAACTGTTACTGCTACTGTCCAGTCTACACAGACGATCTCTTCGACTGATATCGATTCTTCTACGTCTACTCTGACTGCTACTTCTACTGTCTTTGTGACTAGCTCTGCTGCTACCACCGAGACAGACGTCGTCACTTCTACAAATGTCGTGACTTCTACGGCCACTGTTACGACAACAGTTTCGATGACGAATCCTGTGACCGTCACATCTACTGCTGTTGAGACTTCAACTTCAGTTGTCAACTCTACTTCAACGGTCTTCATCACTGATTCCGTTGCTACTACTCAGACAGCAACTGTCACATCGACTGATGTTGTTGAGACTACATCTACATTCTTTACCACGGCTGTTGCTTCTTCTACCGTTACAGAAACTGCAACTGCCACTTCTACTTCAACAGTCAACTCAACTTCCACCCTCACGGCCACTGTCCCTGCTACGGTGACCTCCACTTCGACGGATGTTGCTACAGTCACCTCTACAGTTGAGACAACCGATACTTCTTTCACCACCGGTGTGACATCAGTTACAAGAACTGGTACCATCTTCCTTGTCGAAACAAGTGTCAACTCTGCAACTACCACTTCCACGCTCCTTACTACTCTCACTACCACCGACACAGTCGTTGTCTCCAGTACCTCTATATCTTCTGCCGTAGAGACACAGACGCAGACTGCCTCTGAGACTGCTACTACTCTCACCACTGTCACTACTACTAACACTGCCAACCCGCAGTCATCCACTATCGCTGTTGCGTTCCTTACAACTACAGTCACTAGGTCTGCCGCACCATCAGCCAGTGATACTGACGCTCTCTACAGGAGAGTCGTGCCTAAGTCTGTGATCTCTGAACAGGCCGCTGCCGCAACTAACTCCAGCACGGAGTCTACAGTCGCTGCTGCTTCAGCCTCCAACTCTAGTGCGCAGTCAATTGCCGCGGCTTCAGCTTCCAGCTCCAGCACGGAGTCTACAATTGCTGCGGCTTCGGTCTCCAGCTCCAGCTCCAGCTCCAGCGCAAATTCTACGATTGTCGCTACTTCAGCCTCTAACTCGTCTACTACGGCTGCTGCCTCTACTTCCGAGCCTCCTACTGTGGCAAAGTTCCTTTCTACTACTACTATGATCGCTCCTGCCACTGTAGCCAAGGCTCCTACATCGAACAACACAGTTGTAGCCACTGAGTCTAAGTGCACAAAGGCCAAGACCAGCACGAGTATGGCCACGGTCATCGTTGTTGCCACAGATGCACCTTCTTCAAAGCCTTCTCAGTCCACGGTTATTGTCACCCAGGTGGTTCAGGTTGCATCAGCCTCTGAGCCTGCGTTTGACTCCTTGGAAGTCACTTGGGCACCTACCGAAACGTTTTCTACATCTAAACAGCCTGGCTGGACAGCTGTACCTGCTTCAGAGTCTACTCTGTTTAATCAGAATACTACGGAGACTAGGACGGAGTCAACATCTGGCGCTGATGCTCAGTCCACTGCTGGTTCTTCTTCCGAATCTGCTTCAGAAGCTTCGATCGCTGCTGAGTCGACATCTAACTCTACCTTCAAAACTGTTGCCAAGTTAACTTCCGGTTCTAGCTCTAATTCAGCATCTGAGTCTACTGCTCAACCCTCTGTAAGCGTTACAAGAGTTACAGCCGTCCAAGAACCAGTTACAATTACAAGCATAACGACTGAGACTCGTACCACGACTGAGATAGCATTTACTGCTTCACCTGCCAGCTCCGCGGTAAAGAGCTCTAGCTCCAGCACAGAGAGTGTCACTGAAGCGGCCGCTTCTGCAACTCAGACTCCTACCAGGGAAAGTTCTACCACTACCCCTACTCCTACCCCAGAGGCTACTCCTCTTGAGGATGGCGCCCCCGTCCCCGACAACTGGTTTTTTCGAGCCATGAAGTCCCTCCGCTTTTGGTAGACAAAGAGATGTACAAAGGTTCTGGGGAACTAGACACATGTTCGCTGGCATATTCTGAGGATCTACCTGATGGACATTAGAAATAGGTAGTCTAGAACGTAATTGACGAATATTCAGCTATTAGCTTTCTCTTGGTGATTCATAGACCCCTAACAACGCGAAGAATCAAGCTCAAGATCGGCGATCCGATAGAAAAGCTTGTTCATCGCAGCCAAGACAAGTATTTCTCCATCAAGCTTCCTCCCCCGCCGATTCAGCTGTGTAACTCCCCTCTCCGGAGAAAATCCAAAATCCGTATGTTAAACGCCGATAAAAGAACGAGATCAAATCTCCATAGATCGTCACGCCGGTAAGTCAAGACGAAGGGGACCCTAAAGGTAGATCTCCGACGTGTTTTTTCCCGTCACGATTTACCGAGAACTCGGACTTGAACTTGAACTTGCATGATACATGAGATCTTGCAGTTCAATAGTTATGTATGTCTCGGGGTAAGTTGAAGCGGCAGCCTCAATGTTACTTGTGCGGCCGGGGCTTTGACAGCTTAAGGAAATAGGATGAGCACTGCACGACGGAGTATCCAGAGATGCATGTTGAAAGAACTGGTGGGGAAAATGTTTCAAAACAAGATCATCGTGATACAATCTGTTGTGTGAAGTTGACTTTGAATATTGCGGATTCTATTCCGCTCAAAGTCGGGGGTTGTCACAAAGCATCCCCACAAAGAGGACTAATCGTCGAGATTATTTGGGACTTCTAATAAGACTATGTTGTCTTTGCTTCGCTTGGACTGTCTTTCCTGTTTTCTCATGTCCCAACAGCACATACTTGAGTATGTTTGAGTGTTTGATATACCCTATACTACTCACAATACCAATATCGTTGATGCTATCAGAACTACCGACATGTGAATCAGTACCACCACAGGATGATTCCAAGACATGCATATTGGCTGCCCAGAAAAGCCTGCATCATGCTGCCGTCTTCCCGTCAATTCTGTGTCATAACATATTAACGTAACATTCCGTCAATGACATGCATGTCGGTCTGTTTAACAACACCCTGCAAGGGATTTCGTGGGGGTTTAGGTCAGCGCGGAAATTATCTCATGCCCGGTATGTATGACTACCAGGCTTATATGAGGCATAATCTTCTCCATCATAGGAAATCTCCTTGCTAGAGTTGCACAGAACGTAAAGATCGGCGATCATATCTAGAGCATGCCGCGCGCAATCTCGTGCGACGCTCACTAGAGATAGGCAGAGGTTCTGCGTAGAATGTCAGTAGTAGAGACGCTGCATCACACATACAGAGACTCAAAGTAACTCTAAGCAAGAGCTGATCGTTTGGGAGCAGCAGAGATGCAATTGGAATCATCCAGCATGTCCAGGGTCACATTCGCAGCACACTTATGGAAATCCAATATCCAGCCTCCCCAACACCTCATGCAATGCACTGAAAGGGAACAGAAATTGTGATCCGATGATGCATCTCCCAATCCAATGTTCACCTGTTTCAACCTTCACAAAGTTGGTACATGCTCATCCATGATCCTGTTATAGACGCGATATTGGCTTGAGCTGGGGTGCTACTGAGGTCTCTGAAGAAGTTATGCAACATAACCCCGAAGGATAAGCACATATATGCTTTGAAGCCCCGTAACCGCTTCCTCAAACGTGCAAGAAAGCTGTTACCGCTGATATGATGAAATAGTAGGTGGTGTGATCTCACATGGTAGAAAACAAAACTTTGTTTTCTCAATCATACCCACTCCTCGGTTTCAACGCGAGCTTGAGCCTATCAACATTCTCAAGTCGCTGAGAAATGATATTCTTCACAATCGGGCAACACGCCACATCAGCTGATATGCGTTGAGGCCGCACGGCATCCCTGAGAAAACGCGAAAGCGCGATATCTAAACTTCTTTGTTTGGTCAGCCAAACACTATCAAAGACTTTGTAGAGCAAGGTATTCATTTAGCATGCAGTTACCTGAACATTGAGTGGGACGAAATAGGAGTCCATCGAGTAGGCTTCCTACTTCACAAGCCAAACTGTTGTATGAAGATATCCAAATTAGTCGCCTGCTATTTTGAGAAGATTGGAAAGGAAATTGTCGCTTTCGACACCACCGATGGCGTAACCAAGGAGTCCTTACCCTGAAATGAATGACGCGTAGGGCTGAGTCACTTTTATCTGGTCTCGTAGCCAGGGCCAGGTTTTTGTTAATGTCTTTGTCTCTGCTTACCGCACGACAAGTCATAACCCCGACCTGCTGCAGGCTGCATAGCTATGTCAGATTGGTTCGTATGTTACCATCAAACGAAGATCCATGCTTGTCTGTCAGCTTGGCTATACCACTCGGAACTAATACCCAGAGCGGCAGAGGAAACAATCTCTTCCTGTCAGACCGGGCCGTTCCCGTGTAAGCCTCATCCGTTGTAGTGCGGAGAGTTTTCCCGACATTGAAACAATGGAGGATAGAAAGTGCCAAGCTGTCAAGTCCATATAAGCGGCGACATCAATGCAGTGAATCAATTGGTCTTTCGATATAGTTGTCAGAGAGGCGGCTGTGCTTTGTGGGAGCAAGATAGGAAGCAATTTTGGTTTCTTTTCTCTGTACTTTTGTTGCGCTGTCGTTTTCTGTACTCACTTAATGCTGGCTATGGTGCTGAGTCGTGTCAGCCACCATCCATCTCGAAAAAGTGATCTAACGCAGGATCATTCTTTGGCATCAAGTGGCGGTCTTCGGACCTGAGCCAAGGCCGTTGTTCAACTCGCCCGATAGAACTCGGCGTCATCTGCACAGATGGTGACCATTCACGCAATGTCAACTGTTCAAGGTGTGCTTGGATATCTTTGTTTCGAGGATCTGGAGCATATGCAATATCGGGATCTCAATTTCGTCTTCTCAAATGCTGAGGTCATTGAAGAGTCCCTAATAAACGTCAAAGCTATGTTTTTTTGTGTATCGCTTGAACCTACAGAGAATAGTTGTGGTCTCTCCGTCTCATTGGTGTAGTCGCTTGCTAGTTGAGGCATGGTAAGCTTGAGAAGGATTTGAAGAGTTGAGCAGATACTGAGCCGCGCTGTCCAAGACATTACCTGTCCACTGTCACAGCTTGGTTTGTCATAGCTGCTGATAAGTATCCAAGGATCCGGCGAGCAGATCCATGTGGCACACACATTAGCCAGGTGTGGATGAGAAGGAGGGAAGGGGGAGATGCTTCCAGATTATCTGCTAAGGTCTCTGACCTAGCAGTAGATAAACCTTCCGTTGTCGGAGTTATCTGAATACATCTCCGGTTGTACCATCTGCCTCAACCATTGGCGGGCTTCGTTTGACATGGCTATCCATAAAGCAGTCTCGAGGGCTTTGTATCATCGTTAGCCTTTTATTTTGACAGCGCGGTCATGTTGGATCCACATACTAGCGCTCTTACTCATTTTGGGACGGAGAATGGGAACTATTCAGATGCTGGTTTCACCATCTGAACTCCTCGGTGAGCGCGTGTCGGTTGCTTTGGCCTCATGCTTATCGTTGCTTGGACTTGTTTCGTGTTACATCACCGCGACGTGCGCCCCGGTGCGCGGCTCTGTCAAACTAGGCTGCCTGCAATTCCGACTGGCTGGACTTATAGAATGTTTCGGAATGACGGACAGTAGCTCAGCCTTGTTGTGTTCCCAAGATTCGTTCCAATGGTTGGTAAAAGTTCGCTTTCCTTGGAAAGGGCTCGGTAGTCGCGACAGCCAAAGTCTCAAATTCCCAGAAAGCAGAGGAGCTTATTCGGACAGAAGGAAGTACCTACAGATCACCGTTGGTAATCCCCATTAGAATAAGCCTTCTGGTACATGTTGGTCGTTGTGAACCGAAGATTAGGTAGTTAAGCTTTTGAGGGCTTTGAGACAGTTCCCAATGAGGTGACACCAACATAAGGTACTTCTGTCCTACGCGGACGCTGGCACAACTGAAGGTATTGTATTGGCTTTGAGGTATTCGGGTTGAGTGACTTGTTTTCGGTCCATCTCTGACGGTTGAGGTTGTTGATGGCGTAAATATTCCTTGATTTGAAGGCGATATCTAGGACAATTTATCAAATCAGAGTCTTTCCAAATATGTGGTGACTGGACCTAGTGTTCGAAATGCATGCCAAGAGCCATCAACGGATGCGAAAAGCCAAGTTTGATTTAATGGCGAGTGTGTGCAACATCTGCCGGCATTCAGCTCTCTGGGTCTTGAGGGGTACGGATATGCATATGACAGGCTGGCATCTGCTCGTGTATGCAGATAAAAAGACACAGTGGTTGATTTAGTGGTGTGCGTTTCCAATCAAATAAGTCCAGGTTTTTCGATATGGATGGCTAGATTAAGAACAACAAAAGTGCCAGCCGGGTTTGAAGGAAAAGGAATGCCCGATTGTTTACGTGACGCAAAAGCTTAAGTAAGTCTTGGAGTTCGTATAATTGGAGTAACTGAAATTGGGGTCGCTACTTCCATGTAAATGTCACACTGTTCTGGGGTTGGAAAGAACGGCGAGCAGGCAGGCGGTCGACAGGAAGGCGGTCGATAGCACCTTCTCTGCTCTAGTACCTCCAAGTACCTGCCTGCCTACCTCTTAGGTCTTTACTCGGTCATGAACCAACAACCTTCAGTCTTCGCGTTGCCCACAGGACCTTGGACTTTTTCCCATGTGATGAATCCGTCTTTCACCTAAAGATCTCATTGGAGACTTCTTGTACAATATTTTGGCATTTCCCTCCACGGTATTCCCGAGTCTTGGAGGGGTGTTTAAGATGAACCAGATTTCGGTCAAGGCAGAGACATACGGGTCACGATATGACGAGCTGTACGACCCACGGTCCATCGACTAAGCTCACACGGATGTACACGGACCAGGCTATGTCTATCAAAGGAGCTGACGGTATCGCGGCCTCGAAGATCGTTATGCCGGTGTCCAAGCCACTGTCTTGCCGTATGGGAGACGATACCTCCATGAGCTACTTGGAGGGTAGGTTATTCCTGTTCATGTTCGCTGACTTATTTCTAAGATAAATTCTCACGTAATGCTATCGACTGTTGCACGCGGGATTCTGTGTTCCTGGCAGCTCGGCCTTTACCCATTTCTGACGAATAACTGGACAAAATCAGCGTACCGTCGTCCTCTTATATATTCTGCAACTTAACGTCTATACAGGAGCTCCAAAGATATATCTATCCATCTCTCGATGAAGACCAAGTGATAAATGTGGGATAGTCAGGGGAAAGAGGTTTGTTAAGACTGCTCTCGGCTGACCTGAGAAATGTTGACTGACAAGAACTACAAAGCAACCACAGATGTGGTCGACACACGACCTTGCTTGTGCGCACTGCCGCGCACGAAAGATCAGATGTGGAAGGGAACGTCCACAATGTGAAAGTTGCAAGCGAGACGGTGTTGAGTGTCGATATTCATCCCCCGGGAAACGTGTCAACCACGTCAAACTTCTGTGAGGGTGACGCCTTGTCTCTTGTTGACTGGAGTACAAAGGCTTACAAACTTCTTTGTGTCTCAGGTGTCAGAACTTCGAAACGCTCGAAGACCAGCTACATAACATTCAGAATGACCTTTCGGATTTGACGTCGCTTGTTAGAGGCGGGAATAGCGTGAGATCTTCATCGCTCGCTGCTGAGGATTGGAGCTCGGAGAGTCTTTCCGGAACCGATTCCGGGTCATTGGCCCATACAAACCATCACATTGTACGGAACGCATCACAGTCACTCGACCGTTATCATGGACCTTGCTCCCTCTATGCTCTCTGCAAAGAATTTCACGACGATCCTATGTTTGGAGCTGTCGAAACCAACATGCCAACTCATAACGTTGCCCCGGAGCATTCTATACTGGAGGAGATGCTGAAGGAGGCAGGCAATGAACCTCACCTAGACATTCCCTCCCAACCTGTAGGTATATGCCTTCCTCCCCGGCAATTTCTTAACCTCGTCATCGGTCCCTTCTTTAAGAACACCGATTACGCCACCGATCTTTTCGTACGATCAGCCTTCCAGCCACAAATTGATCGAATTTATTCCCAGCCCATAGCTCCTTCTGATGAAGGCTGGGCCGTATGCTTCAACGTTATCGTTCTCCTTGGCATCCGAAGAGAGCCATCCGTACAGAGCAATAGCCACTTTATCCAATCTCTTTTTCAAACCATGAGAATGGCCATCAATAATCCCCGAGTCTTCTTGACGCCAAGACTTGTCAACGTACAGGCACTTGCTCTTCTAGTAGGGCTTCCACTCCTCTATCACGAATGATTGTTAACTCTCAATTTAGAGTTACCTTGCCGAGCAGTACAGCACAGCATCGCTTGCAGAACTAGTCTTCGCTCAGGCCTGTTTGTTGGCCCGTACAATGGGTCTCCATCAGAGTCGCGCATCTTCCAATAATCTTCCGCCGGAGACCATACTTGAGAGACATAAGGTTTTTCAGTCATTGTACATCCGGGATAAGAATATTGCGATACTTCGCGGTTCCACTGCTTGGCTGCCAGGCTACGACTCCGGAATCTCCTCCTCGTTGGAAACTCAGTCCGAATCTTCTGACCTCGTGGCCCGCTTAGAGCTAGCCAAGCTCCAAGACGAAGTTTACCAGGCTTTCAACTCTGTCGGTTCCCCCATATTGCAGCTTTCAAGACACAGTCAAGGACTAGCACAGTTACAACAGAAACTTGAACAGTGGGCTTCAACTTATAACATCATACAAACCCCACTCAAGTGCGCAGAGTCCGCTGGCCTCATGTTATCGTTCTTTGCCACAAGGATCTGTTTACTCAAAGGTCATGGTGGCGCAAAGTCCTCTCAGATATTTAAGGATGCCCAAGCCTGCTGTCTTATTTTTCTGCTGGCCACAGCAGCGAAGAAAGATCGGCGTTTATCTGAGGCTCTGAACGAAACATTAGGTCGCGATAAGAGAGAAGGCAAACCCAGTACAAAGAAGGCCAAAAGAAATTCCCAGAGCGAAGGCGGACCGTCCGAGAATGCCGAGAACAGAATTTCAGCCCTTCCTCGTCTAGGTGCGACGTTCCCGCTAGCGGCAGCCTTTATAGTAGCGAAGACCATCATACAGGAGCCAATGGCAGAAGCGGAAGACACCCCTAGCTGGCCAGAAGAGGAAATCTCACTTTTGGAATCTCTTCGTGACCAATTCGCATTGCTTGCTGATCAAGCACACATTGATAATCTTGCTTTGAACTTCAGCAAGATTTTGGATTTGTTAGTTCGCATAATCCTCCAGAAACTATCTCCAGGACCAAATAACGCACCCTCTACGGCCTATAACGAATTGTCGAACATTCACTCAGCCACATCTTCCAGCTCTTTACATGGCAGTATTGTAAGCTCTTTCAAAGATACACCCCCAGGCCCCGAGACCCTTTCAACAGTTAGCTCTATCAGCGAAGCGATGTCACATTCTTCCCTGCTTTTGCCTTATACTCAACCGCTCGAGACCCCAGCTAGTGGCTCCCCATGGTTCACAAACGCCGGCCCGGGTATAGGCATGGACAGCACTTCAATGCTTGTGACATGGCCTAATCAAAATAAGCGACAGTCTGAAGAGGTGGAAGCTCCGATTAAGAAACCACGAATCGCTTGCCACGACGAGTTCTTGGATATTGGTGCAGGGTATGCTGACCATGGTTCACGGACTGATGATGACGTATTATTCACGTTCGACTTTTTGAACACAGGAAATGATATCTCCGTTTTTGATATGGATGAATAACATGTTGTGGGCTTTGCGGTTGCCAAGCGGCACCTTTGGGGTCAGAATTCATCCCTTATTTTTTGCATTCGATCTCTAGCCGTCCATGGTTTGTATGCGGAAGTTGAATGGGGTACACACGCATACCGCACTTTCTCTTTGTGTTTTGGCAACACAAATATATACATACATATATATACAAGAATATCTTTTCTACAATGCGTCATCCCATATATTGAGAAGGGACTCTGACAGCACGTCTGGGACTTCATCTTCACTCTAGTGGAAGAACACTAAACAGTCCAGTCTTCAATGGAGACTGAGCCTCTGATAAACACAATTGGGTACATGTCGCTCATCGAACAACAGATGCCATTTTGAGCACAAAGCACAGGCACAATGATGTGTCCCCCTTCTCCAGTTCTATGCTGATAGATCTGCATTGATGACACCGTTGCATGTCGAGCCATATGCTGAAGTTACTGGCCCTGGGGGTGTTCCTATATCCACACAGCCTGGTATTGCTTTCGTTACTGAGCTAAAGCAAACGGCCATCCTGTTTATCTTCGATGGGTATCAGAACTTACACAAGTCGTTTGATCCTCGCCTTAGTCTCGGCCAACGCTCTCATGATATGACCAGAAGAGGCCATCTCGGTAAAGGAAATCAAGGTCTAAACCCAACAAGAAGACCGCTTATTTGATCGTGGCTACTCTGCAATGCACACTATGCTCGCCCAGACGCGCCGCTGAGATCATGAATAGGATTCCAAACGTCTTGATATGTTTTGTCCCAAAGAAATGTGGCTCCAAAGCTTTTGAATTCGTATCAGCAGTGCAACTCGGACTGGGGGGTTGAGAATTCTGTTCAATCACGAGCCCGGTAATGATTGATGGTGAAGTCGATCTCAATTACCTCGATTGGTCATCATGCAATATACGATGCACTTGACCTCTTGAAGGAAATGTTAGAGACCAGCAGGGCCCAATATTGATCCTACACTGGGATGTTTCTTGCCTTGGAGTCTTGTCAGCGCTGGCGTGCAGAAAATTGCGTCCAAAGTGTGGATGGTCAATACGACAAAGCTATTGTGTTGCATACAATAGTACGTTGAATCATATGACAAAAGCTTGTCAGCAAGGCTTGTAGAAGTCTAGTCAGCCTTGACCTCGTATGATCGGAGAAAGACCGTGCTCAAGCATAGTAAGCGTCACTACTTCAACAAAAGAAGCTTCATTTGCGGCTCTTCGGAGAAAACTAGATATTCGTGATACCAAATAAAGTCATTCAACATGGCAAAATAAGGCTGCACCGTTGTGTGTGAAACTCAAGAGTCTCTGATAGTGAGTCATGGACCAGGACCGGAGTGATGGAGGCCTTCTTTTACCTTATTTGTGTGGAGTCCGCAGGGTGTAAGAAGAATTGACCGTCATAAACGTAAGGGACGAAATAGTTTATTCATCTTATGACACTTTGTAGAGGTATTTAGGCTACTTTATTTTGACAGCCTAAGCCTCAGAGGATATTTCTTCTGTTAACCACCTAGTGTCACAGCAGGCGGTGGGAGTAAGATGCAGCTCTTTTACGGCATTGCATTGCATACACTGCAACGTTGATACTTTGGTACTATCCAGTATCATTAGATTCTATCTTTCTAATAAACAAGTACATTCTATCCTTTGAATCTGCAGCCATCTGCTAGTTTTTCAACCCTTTGACCTTTTTCAACTAGACGCAGATGATGCGATGGCAGGCTTCTTTCGCTGCAATAAGCAGTGGCGCCCCCATTTTCTCTTGAACTTATCTGGGATGAAGGCCAGATCAGGTACCCACAAAGTCCTTGCGAGCAGGTGTGTGTTTGCGGCATCAAGGAACAGCTCACACTTGACGACCTCCCAGTTGGCATGGTCCTCAATGTAATCGGGCTCGTTTGGTGGCAAAGGATCAGTCCTCAAGGGGTACTGAGTGTCAACAATGAAGTTGCATGCAGGAAGCTCGGTGTACTTGCTCAAGTCCTCTTCGTTGCGATCATTCATGCCAAATGTAGGGAGCCAAGTACCGCTCCAAAAGCCGAACCCAGTTTCAGCTTGGGCGAATTCTCCAGGCAGAAGGCCTCTGAACTCGGAGCGGATGAACTTGGCATGCATATCTCGGGGTAGGAAGTAAGATGAGGGGAAGCGATACCACTCCTTGCCAAAGCACACGGTATCTTCCTCTCTGCCAATGGGCTCGCTGCCATCCTTACCCTCCCACAGGGGAGTGTAGATCTTCATAGGTGCAGAATAAGCAGACCAAATACCGTAGACTCGGAGCAGCGCGACATCAATTGATAGAATCACGGTGATAGCAACAAGTACGAGCTTCAGCTTGGCAGGAATTTTACCGGCCAGTGTCTTGGGATCCGAATTTCCCACAGCAGTCAGGATCATATGGGTAGAGATAGCAGCATTCAGTGCCAGAAAAGGGTAAGCTGGGTACATGAACCTCTCTTCCTTGTGAGGCTGCGCACTGAAGATTGCAAGCCACATATAGAATGGTGAAAGAAAGACAACGGTCCTCAATCCAGTTTGGAATCCTTGACCAGATGGTGAAATGATCTTCTGGAGGATAAAAAGGGGCAGCGCAGCGAGAGCCAGAACAAACCAAAGGTTAAAGTTCAAGGCCAAGTTCTTGAAGTAAAAGGTCCAAGGCTCTGTTCCGTATAGTTCTGGGCCATGGTCCGATGAGAAGATGTTGTACTTGACGATGTTCCATGTCACAGAAACTGCCTTCTTGTAAAAGAAGAGGTTTACAAAGTAGTCGCCAGCCTAGGAATGTTAGACGATTTCTTCAAAAAGGTGTTGCCCAGACTTACAAGAAGCAGCATAGCAGATACCACACCTCGTCCAATGCGAATAAAGCCTTCCCAGATCGCCGTCTTGTCTCCGAAGATCAGCAGGAGGAGTTCCTCAAACATGAAAGGTGCGCAAAGAGCAGCAGCAAAAGGCCATCCAAGAACACCGGCAGCGGCAAACCAGAAAATGCCCTGAGATGTCTTGAGGCCGCCACGCCAGTTCATAAAAGCTGCAGCTCCCACAGTTACCAGGTACATGGCGAAGCTAGATGGAAGGAAAGCCGTGCTCGCATGGAAGTTTCCGGGGCTCGCGACGGTGGCCATCAAGAAAAAGAGGCCAATTCGGCTGTTTAGTGTGGTGCTCGTCACCATGAACAAAATTGTCTGGGTGATAGCGCAGACGAAAGCTAGCCCGAAGCGGACGAAATAGAATTCGGCGACCTTGTTCGAGTGAGGGAAAAGTCGTCGCACATTGCCAACAATGGCATGGAAGGCGATGTAGAGCCAGCTGCGGATGGCATAGTCGGGCGAGTATTCCCACGTCTGCAGACCGTAGCCATGAGACAAGTAATGCGTCGGTTCCCAGTAATTGAACGTCTCGTCGCAATCTTGAATGGGCGCGAACCAAGCGGACACGAGTGCGGCGGCGAAGAACCAGTAGAAGGCAGAAATCGGTTGCATCGAGTATGCGCTTGGAGCTCTATAACGAGAAGAGGCAGGGTTAGCAGAGCTCTTTTTAAGTAAATAGAATATTAATACTTTTTCTTAGCATGACTGGCAGTAGGATGCACAAATTGGCGCTGTTGTTGCGCTTGAGGCGCCGTGCCTGGAGCCATTTTCTTTGTCGCTGTCAACTGAAGCTAAAGTTGAAGATGGGTTTACAAAGTTAGGAATGCTGTCGTCATGTCATGGTGGGAGGATTTGAAGTGGATATGGGATTTGGAGCTTTCCAACAGTTGGGGAGAGACCCTTGCGAAACACTAACAGACACTAACATTCCATTGAGCTACCAGTGGAGACCTACAAGATGCTCACCGAGGTGAAGGTGAAGAATGGTGGGGTGATAAGCTAGCGGACTCAGATAAGGACCCACTCTTGAGTGCTCACCTTGATTTTTTCTTTCCTGCAGCGCTAGTCAGGGTCTTTTACAATGAGAATGAGGCGCCCGGGCCTAAAACTTTCTTGTTCCATCATAACTTTTTTGCGCCAGACAATCGCATTCAAGCTTTTCACTTTTACACTTTTTCTTGTCTGAGTACTCGTTACTTTCTTTATAAGACAACATTCAAAATCTATCGGAAACATCTTCTTAACAAGTAATACATACGAATAACACCATAATGTCGGGTTTCCAGATCCCAGGCCTCGGCCAGGCCAAACCCAACGAGACTCTACCACCTCTCCCTACCCCCGATATGCTTGCAGCTGCCGCGAGTATACAAGATACTGAAATTCCCGACGCTGCTCCTACCGAAACAAAGAATGAATCAGTGCCAGCTACTACAGAGCCCCAGCCTGCAGAGACTCAGCCAGCACCAGCTGCGGATTCCGATGCCATGGCCATTGACCGACCCGAAAGCCCTCCTTCCCTTACTGGCGCTTTGGAGGCTGCGCTTGGAGGGTTAGTTCCTGCCCAGTCTGCGCAAACAGCGCAAACAGCTCCTGCTGCGAACACGGAGGCCGTCCCTCTCCAAAACGACCAAGGCGACAACCCCGAATGGGAGGTTGACTCCTCTCCATACGAGTCTTCTTCCGAATCAAGCAGCTCAGACTCCTCTGATGAAGATTCCGACAACGAAGGATATGAACTTTTGGGTGTCGAAGAGACTGCGCGCCTGCTTATGCAGGCTGAGGGAGGATCCGACGATGAAGGCGATCGAGGTGCGAAGGGTGCTAGCGCTGCCCAACTCCGAACCAAGAACGAAATGCCTGAAGAGGTCATTCCCAAGCCCGAGGTCACAATTACACCCGAAATGAAGATTGAGGAGCTGGGAGCTATCGAGCACATCGTCGACAATATCATGTTGATAAAGGCTTTCACGCCCGGAGAGTACCAAGTCCTCGACTCAGGCTCTGTGATCTGCACAGCTGAGCGAGTTGTCATAGGCGCTATTGCCGACTTAATAGGAAAGGTGCTTCAACCCATGTACACTGTCCGCTTCACATCAGACCAGGATATCAAAGATCTCGGTCTCGAGGTTGGCCAGACAGTATACTACACTGCCGACCATGCCACATTTGTCTTTACCGAGCCATTGAAGAACATGAAGGGCTCAGACGCCAGTAACCTTCACGACGAGGAGGTTGGCGATGATGAGATGGAGTTCTCCGATGATGAGAAGGAAGCAGAGTACAAGAAGGCTCTCAAGCAGAAAAAGAAGGATAAGTGGAAGAAGGGCACCACCAAGGGAGAGCCTCATCCTTTGCGACAGGAATCGCGACCGGACGGCGGTCTGAACTATGATGATGACGAAGATGGTCCCTACAAGCCCCTCGCACGTCCTCCTGGGTATGGTAGCGGCCCTTCCACAACCGAGACATATGAACCCCCATCAGGTAGATCTTTCCAGCGAGGAGGTCGCCGAGGGGACTCAAGAGGCCGCGGTGGACGGGGGGGACGTGGCGCCGGACGAGGTGGACGAGGAGGTTTCAATCAGCCCAGAGACGGATACTCGTTGCCTCAAGGAGGCCAACAGCCTGCTCAACAAGCAGCTCCTGCTCCAGCATGGCCAGGTGCTCAACCTCCCACCCAAGGCGCGGCCCCAGCTATGCCCAACTTTGGCTTCCAACTCCCAGGCTGGCCTCAGGCTCCCGCTCCGGGTAACCCTGGAGCTGTTCCCCCACCACCTCCCGGATGGCCGACCGCTCAGGGTCAGCAAGGCGCGAACAATGGGGGCTATGTGAACCCTGCTTTCTTTGCTGCATTGATGTCTACTATGCAACAGCAGCAGCAGAATGGCCAGTCACCTTGGGCACAACAACCCCCCAACAATGGAAACGGTCAGGGCCAGTAGACGCGATCAAATCATTATTATGCATAAAGGGCATTGTTGGCGCTGAGGTAATGGCTTTACTAGGTATAGACAAAAGGGCATGTTTACCAATATCAATCATACAGCGTAATCGTTTCTGTTATCACAAGTGAAACATTTTACTTAGTTCAAACAATAGTCTTATTCAACAGTGATATGCGTGTATGCTCATATATAATCCGTCGCTCATGACAAAGAAGTTCAGGCAACCCGTTTCCAAGAAATCGGCTGTCGACTGAATGCAATTACAACAACTGTCTACAGGTCACTCCACTTCTCCTCAGACTTGCCATCAAAGTCATAGAAGCCCAGCTCGTAAACGAGACCAAGGGTCATCTTGGCATGCTGGAGCATGTGGTCAAAAGACAGGTACTTGATGCTGTCGTCGGTGCCGTGAATGTGAGGGTCGGAGTACTCGAATGCGGACTCGATAACGAAAGCCGAGGGGTAGCCAGCCTTGGAAGCGGAAGCGTGATCAGAGCAGGCGTAACCGCACTTGGTCTCCACCCAAGGAATATCGCAGTACTAGGAAATGATCAGTATAAAGTTTAGATGATTGTTTCGGTTAAAACTCACCTCCTCAACGACAGTCTTGATGAACTTAGTCAAGCCAGAGTCGACAAAATCAGTAATGACACCAACGCTCTCGGGCTGACCGGCGTCGATGGTCTTCTGGATATAACCAGTCATGTCTTGCTGAAGCATAGCCTTGACATCGCGACCAGTCGCTTCATATTGCTGGAAGATGGCTTGGCTTCCGAGCAAACCACCCTCCTCGGCTGAGTACCAGTGGAACTCAATTGTGTTGGGAGCCTTACCCTTAACAACGTCCTTAGAGTTGAGAAGAGCGCGGAACACCTCCATGATAGTGACTGAGCCACTGCCATCGTCGTCGGCGCCAGGAGCGGCGAGGATGGAAGGAAGGAAAAGGTTGATGGAATCCTGGTGAGCGCCAATGACAACAGTGCTGTTGGATTGACCAGGGATTGTCGCAATGACGGAATGTTGCTTCCATGTGTGAGGGAAGCTCTGAGCGACAACGGTATCCTCGGCGCCAGCGTCCTTGATGATCTGGTTGACCTTCTCAAGAACCCAGTCAGATGACTGTAAGCCGTAGTCGGACTTGAAGTATCGGGTGTGGAAGCTGGTCAACTTCTCAAGGTTGGCCTGCATGTTCTTCTTCTCGAGCTTCTTGGAGAGCTTTTTGACCTCGTCGTGCTTGACGCACTTGTCGGGGAACGTGACGGTGCTCTCAGCGTTGAGATTTCTGGAGCCGAGCGTAGTCGTCTCGGTAATGTCCATGAAGTTCTTGCCATTCTCGAAGGCTGTTAGTAGACCGTTCGATGCGTAATCTGAGCAGTATTGATAAGACTTACACGGCGCATCTCCCACTTGTCCTCCTCGGTGACCCATTGTGTCCTGCCAGGAGCAGTCTCAATAAGGTACAGCTCTTCGGGCTCGACAACGACGTTGTTGGCTTCGTTGATTTCGATGAAGCGAGCTGACACGGCAGGCAGACAAGCCGCCAGGAGAGAAGCCTGAGAGAACTTCATTGTGACTGTATAAGCGATGAATTCTCAAGTATGGTGAATGATGAAAGAAAGAAGATGTTGGGGACAAATGACGCGCGGAAGGAAGTGTGTGGACGTGGACATGGACGGGAGATAAGATCCGCGGCAGGTACAGCCATGACGATCACGTAAGGTAGATGCTTGCCGTTTTGGGACGATGGCGGTCATGGATTGGTCGTGTGACTGCCCCCGGAAGTCTTTAAGTGGATACCCGGTTGCCATGAGCTGTACTCTGTATCCGTACCTTGCTTTGTTATCAGTCAATGCGCATGAAGATGATCAATGGCTGCATATGATTCATATCGACTGTAATGTTTGTACAATTGTTTAGAGTATGCACTTATCATCGAGCAGAGAGAACTTCACCAAGTATTCAACTTGACTATATCATTCCTTCTCATTGAATGAAGTCGCTGCCTAACTCTTATTACCTTGGCAGATCGCCGTTAGCGTTAGTCCCGTCCGTTACACTATCCATCATGAGACCCTAGGGGCTGGGGTGGCTTCAAACTTCCCCAGACTTTGAACCCAAACACCACTACAGCAAAGCGCTTTCAATAGATGATTGTTTATATCACTCACCAACTACACAAATACTTTCGCTTATAACTGATATGTATTAAGTCTCAGCAGATAGCATATGCTTAGCATACAACTCATGCAACACCTAGCCCTGTCGGCTCATGGCGTCCCATAGTCGGTGTACCTTAAAGTGAGGCATGTCACCACTGCGATAACGATCAAAGCGCTCCATATTAATTCCTCAGGCCGAAGGGAAAATAGATACCTGACGTTTCTTGTTTAGATCCTGCTCTACATATATTTAAATGAACTAGACTATGAGATGTTATGTAAACGGATGAAAGAACAGAGTGCTACCAGCCTTAGTCAACATTACTTGGGCAGAGTAAAGCTGCCGGGGATTCAAACTTTTGGGCCATGTTACTCTAAGTCCCGAGACTTACACTCCATGGGTGAATTATTTCTTGAAAATCCATAAAATAATGAAGCTGTGTGAAAGACCTGGAAATCAACCAAAGGAAACTGCTTTGTGTGATCAAAGACTTTGCCAGTATGTTAGTTAAGAGTCCTCTGGTGAACGAACAGTCTTTGTTATAGAATAGTTGTTCTTATGAACATATCACAATTCTTTCAAGATTATCGCATTATTGCTTTCAGGGAGTGCTTTGTCTGCTATATACATAGTGACAGTACAACAACAAGTAATCTTTGTTAACCAGAACAACACTCTGCCGTTGTTCAGAATCAGACTCAGATCATGTCTCAACTACTTGATAGAATCTATATAATGAGAATCACAACCTTTCAGACTCATGGATTCAGACAATTCATAAGCATAGCAAGTAAACATTTACAGCATTTACAGCATATTCGATCTATTCTCTCGATCTATTCTCACAACTATTCACAACAACCAACAATATGGCACCTCGCAAATCTAAACCTACCCCCAATGCCTCTAAGCCTGCGCGTACAACCCGTGCCAGCTCAAAAGCCAACAACACTCCTCTATTGCAGGGTCTTAACAGTCAAGGACAGGCCCAAGGTGCCCCCAGCGCAGCTCCTGCTCCTGTACCTGCTCCTACTCCTCAACCCAGTCCTGCCGCCCGCAGAGCCAGAGCTGTCCCTGAAGCGCCTCTGCGACAAACCCGAGCCCGTTCAAAACTCAACAACGCCCCTCCTCTGATGAACGGTCTTGACGATCGTGGAGAGGCTCGAGATCCCCTCAGCGCAGATCCCGCTCCTCTTCCATTTGACGATGTCCTCGAGAGTCTAGGCCGTGGTCGGAATTCCGCATCGAAGGCAAACAACAAGAGAAGGAGGGCGCACAAGGTCGCTGTCCGAACACCTTCGCGAACACCCTCGCCACTGCCTGCGCCTGCGCCTGCGTATGTGCCTGGTTCTATTCCTATTCAGAAGCCTGAGTTAATCGCAGAGGCTCCGGCATCGCCAGATCACGATTGGCCAACAGTTGATAGGCCTATACCGCCAGGAGCCCAGATCCTATGGTTTACCAAAGATGGGCAGCCTTCAGCCGGACCGGCCGTAGCCAACAACGAAGGCGATGCTCAAGGTACGGCAGCTGGTGATGATCAAAACCAAGATGCAAATGCCATAGACAACGATTCATCATCAGACATGGACGACATGGAAGATATTCCTGCAAGGCCCAGAATCAAAGTTCATGCAAATTACGGCCGTAACCGTGTTGTGGAGGAGGAGGAGGAGGAGGAAGAGGACTCCGATCTATCAGATCTCCCTGACACTCCTGAAACTCCTAGTCATTTTGGTTCTTCTGGTTCAGACTCTTCCGGTCAATCCCCTAATGACGACAGCATGGCCATTGCCTCTGACTTCGAGGAGTGGGAAGGGTTCCCTGATTTTCCTGATTCTCCCGAACCTCCCAGTCCTGCTGGTCCTCCTGGTTCAGACGCTTCCGGTCAATCCCCTAATAACAACGACATGGTCATTTCCTTTGACTTCGAGGAGCGGGAAGGGCTCGCTGATTCTCCTGGTCGTCTTGATTCTCCTGGTCCTGTTGGCTCTCCTGGTCATTTTGGTTCTTCTGGTCCAGACGCTTCCGGTCAACCCCCTAATGACGACGACATGGTCATTTCCTTTGTATTCGAGGCGCCGGAAGGGTCCCCTGATTCTCTCACTACTATTGAAATAGAAATTGAAGATGACGAAGAAGATAGACCTGGTCCATCTGACTCTGAGGGTTCTGACCATGACGGTTCAGCCAGCGAGGGTGTCGCCGGCGGTGATGATGCCCTCGACGAGGAACCCCGAGATTTCCCTCCCTCAAATGGCAGCTCTCCGAATTCCATTCCTGATCGGTATAGGAGAGGTTCAGCCTTCACACCCATCAACGCTCACTGGACTTCCCATCCTCAGACAAGACACAGTCTGGCTCCAGATGGTACTTCGCTCTTTATCCGAGGTCCAATTGCACCGGTTGCTCCCATGGGTTTAACATCTCAATCTCCGTCGGTGAACGCTTCTGTCGTTTTGATGGAGAGTGATCCGGACGACGACGGCCCCGACGATGATGACGACCCTGGCGATGATGACGGTCCTGACGACGATTCATCCCCCTCGAGAAGTTCCGCTTCCACTAAGAGTGAAGATGGTGATGACAAGATGGACCAGACTGCCGATACCTCGTTTAACACCCCCCATAACTGCTCAAATGGTTCTGTCAAGAGACGCAGAGATACCGATGATGATGATGATGATGGCAATGCTTCCCCTGCAAAGCGTCAGAAGTCGGAATCGGTAACCCCAAGTCCTTATAAGAAAGCAACTCAAAGTACTGCACCCCTTGACTCTTCATATTCGTCTTCCAAGTCTCACAATCCTAGTGACAAGGAGGATGACAACGAGGATTGGGCAAGGAAGCTGGGTTTGTTGCAATCCAGGAGGTCGTCCTCGGACCTTCTCAGTCCATTGATCAAGCCCACGATCGACCCGTATGTCAAGTATCCCAACCGCTTTTCATAACTCCCGCTAACTCTTCTAGGGAAATGCCCGGTCTTTACGGCTCTACCCTCAGGCCCCGTCTACACATTTCTTGGTATGAGCAGTACCACGTTTGTGGTTATGACTGCCCAAAGGTACACCCTTGTAAACACAACCCCGGAAGGCCATGCCACCAATGCCACTCCCAGTGGCATGAGGATTGGTCGATGTACTTCAAGTGTCAGGAGATTCTGGATGAAGCAGCGCAGACCCATTGACGTCGATGAGAGAGGCGGGACTTGAGACGCATCCCGACTTCAAGAAGTACTTCGAGCCGGACGCAGAACCGTGCTACTTTCAGGCACCGCAGTTAGACCATCCTGTTGGTAACAGTATTCGAGTCCATCCTACGCGTATGGCTAAGTATAAGCTGGATCTTATGAAGGCAAAGATGGCTAGTGAGGCAGAAGAAGCTGCTTAATGATTTGGCGATTTATAGAGTTTGGCGATAGATTTTCTTTTTGGCAATTGTTAGACAGTGTTTTATAGAAATGGTATAGAGAAAAATGTCCGACTTACACGTCGTTTCTTCGAATTGCGCCATATATGCTTCACTCCTTTTCGTAATCTCGTAATCTGAAATTTGCTCATGACCTCCATTGGAGAGGCGCTCATAGTCCCATATCCTCATCACTTTGATCATCCGACTCTTGACCGCCACCTTCTTCCTCCTCTTCTCTTCTTGTTGTTTCCGTGCTTGCGCCAAGTTTCCTGACACCTTCGACCACACCAATAACGAATCCTCTGCTCTCTGCAAGTTCCATAGCTCCCACTCCTCGTAAACTCATAACACCGTCGACTCCGCTCTCGAGCTGCGCTGTACTGGATCGCATTTTGGCAGCTCTCACTTCTTGTAAATCTCGTAGTAGGGACCGCACTTCTGATGAGTTTGCAATGTCGTCTGCGGCATGTGCGAGAAGCATTTCGGAGACCTCGAACCAGTGGTAAGGCAGTGCTCCTGACGGCGCATCTGATGTACAGGATGGGAGGAACGGCGGCGAAAGAACAACCTCTTCATCCACAAAGGGATTCAATCTCCGCGCATTGCCTCTGCTGTCTGCTCGTGCCGGTGGTGGAGGCGGCGGTGCCCAGCCTGTACGATCGATATTTGTTTCGTGGTGGACGATTTCGCGTAACGAGTCGGGATGAAGCCATGGAGGAGGAACGATATTGGCGCGCCGTTGTTTCTTTAAAAGAATCGCAAGCCATAGCGGCAAGTTACTTCGGTAGGGTGGTCGGAGTGTTGGAGTTGTGCCCTGTGTAACAGTGACAGGTCAGCGTCGAGCTTGTTGGACGCGACGAGGAGGACGCGCTCACCGTTAGAAGCTCGATACTTTCAAGCCGTTGACGAGGAACTACAGTAACAAGCTCCATTTCACATAAAAAGGAGACCTCGGAGGGGGTCATCCCCGAGGGTAGTGATAAAGCCATAACTGTGGGTTGGATCTTGGTTCCCTGGTTGTAAGATATAAATTGGAGGTTTTCATAGGGATTCAGTGCCCCTCATTGCTAGAGCTACAGCATGGATCGGATGTTAGTGCCAACTCCACCACCACGCAAGAGCTCTCTGTGAGTTCAATTGACAACATTCTGTAGTTCCAATTATTTGTAGTTTTTCCATTGCTAGTATATGTCATCCAACCATTGCCTTCTTATACAAGACACAGATGAAACTCAATTGCTCAAAGTTAGTGCGAATATGTACACTAACTTCTACAACTGCCGTGTGCTAAATCCGATAGAGCTCAGACCTAGTCTAGTACAAAGCAAGGCAACATAAAGCAATATCCTATTTAGTAATAGTGATGCTTGATTGAACATCTATAACATATATGGATCGATTGGTACAGCTTGGCAATCGGTAAGACTCATTCGGCGAACCAGTTCAGGCTGTTCAGGGTAGCTCCCGGCCCACCAACGTGGGGGACCATCATCGAAGGGCGTGATCATCATATAAATCATGAAGTATAAGTTATTAGCTCAGCCATTGGACATTCTTTCTTTCTCCAACAATACAACCCTGAAGACCACAGTACACAAATCACTGCAGCAGAGTTACATTTCATCATGGCATCCCAGGACAACCTTCCCTCTGTTACCTCCCCATCTCTCATCCTCACTAACCCCACTGCCTCGGAACGAGAGCGCATATGGAAGGGCACTCATCCTCAATGGGGAGCAGCCCTTAAACTGGAGGATTACATCGCCCGAGAATATGATAATATGAAAACATCCCTTGCTCAAGATGGCGGATTGACAAGCTGGATGTTAACAGATGGAAGTCTGAAGCCCGACGAAAGACCCATCCTCTCATCATGCGAGACTTACAAGAAGAGAGCTCTTGTCGCCGATCGTGAGAATAAGTCCGGAGCAAGAGATGGTACTGCACATGGTGTAGCCAGTGTCTTCACTTTCCCCGAGTATCGAAAGAGGGGATATGCCAGGAAGATGATGTCCCTCCTCGCAGAAGAGCTTCGAAGCAGACAACAGAAGAACGAAGGAGATGCCGATTTCTCAGTCCTATGGTCAGATGTCGGCCCCGACTTCTACGGAAATATTGGATGGAAGGCTTTCAGAAGCACCTATCTCGAATTTCCTGTCAAGGACGCCGTACCCCCAGCCGACCCAGCTGTCAAGCCCCTCACCATGGACGACATCCCCGAACTCGCAGCCAGAGATGAGGAAATTGTCAGAAACAAGGTTGCTTCATCAACCGCCCCCGCCAGTGCCGCTGTTATCCCTGACATCAACACTATTAAGTGGCACTTAAACCGCGTGGACTTCATGTGCAACCGCATCTTCTCTCGCACTCCTTCTATCCGAGGTGCCTTGTACACCCCGCCTGGAGCTCCCAACTCGAGAATCTGGGCTATCTGGACTTGCAGTTTCTACGGTGGGCTTGACGAGCCTGAGAAGAACGTTGTCCGCATCCTTCGACTGGCAATTGAAGATGAGAGCATCTCAGATGAGACACTGGCCAAGGGCATTGAAGCTATTGCCGGGTTTGTCCAGAAAGAGACCAAGGAGTGGCTGTGCTCTAAAGTAGAACTCTGGAACCCCGAGGAGCGTATCAGAAGAGTTACCGAAGGCATTGAGTCGTTGGGAGCCAAATTCGTCGTCCGAGAAAACAACAACCTCGCCAGTATGAACTGGTTCGGAAAGAACCCCAGCCAAGAGGTTGAATGGATTGTGAACGAGCGATTTGCTTGGTGTTAGATGGTTCCAATTTCATAAAAAGAAGACAAGGTCAGCACCGAAAACTCTCAAAGAAACCGGAATTAGACCAAGGAGATCCTTTTAAATATAGTCTCTACGATCTATCTTCTGTTTCTACTTTTTACAATTTCCGTGACCGGCCCCTTCCCATTTCCATTTCCATTTCCATGATATAATCACATTCATATGAAGCCGTAAACAATCGCACTGGTGTATCATAAGCATGCCAGGCCAACGCCTTCCCGCTCCCCGACTTAGAAAATACATTCAACTCCTTTAGTAGCTTCGTCCGAACATGGTCCACTTGTCGGCCTTGCCCTCACATTCGGGGTTAAGACACTTGGTCTCACCAGCGACAATACCCTCGGGCTGCTCGAAGGGAACACACAGACTCTTCATTCCCATGGTAGGAAGCTTCTCGTTGTCGGGGACATCAGGCTGGTCCTCGCGAGTGGTGAGCTCCTTGATGCGGTCCTCACACTTGGGAGCACCACAGAAGGGAATGAGAACGACGTTCTTGTCGTCCAGAGCGGGGAGAACATCCTCCCACTTGGTGATCTGGAGACGGTGCTCGCGGAAAGACTTCTCGGCCTTGTTGTACATATCACTCTGGATAGTCTCAAGGAGCTCGGGGACCTTGGTGGCGACATCGGTGATGGCAATTTCTCCCTTCTCACCAGTGTCTCGTCGGGCGGTGCTGATGACGCCCTTGGCGGCGTCCTTGGGGCCGAACTCGATACGCAGAGGAACACCCTTCAGCTCCCAGTCGTTGAACTTCCAGGCAGGAGTGTAACCCTCTCGCCAATCAGCTGTGACACGGATGCCAGCCTTCTTAAGAGTAGCTCGGATCTCGTCGACCTGATCCTCGTGCTTCTTCTTGTCCTCAGGGGTGGTCTTCTTGTTGATACCAACGGGGACAATGACGACCTGAGTCTTGGCAACGCGGGGAGGGAGGACCAAACCCTTATCGTCACCGTGGATCATGACCATGACACCAATGACACGGGTAGAAAGACCCCATGAGTTTTGCCAGACATGGATGTGAGAGCCCTGGTTCTGAGGATCCTCGACAGTGATGTCAAACATCTTACTGAAGTTCTGGCCAAGGGCGTGAGAGGTAGCACCCTGAATACCACGGCCGTTGGAAGGAATGTAACCCTCAACAGTGGTGGTGTAGTAACCACCGGCAAACTTCTCGTTCTCAGTCTTGCGACCTCGGACAACGGGGACAGCAAGAAGCTTCTCGTAGACGCCAGCGTAAAGCTCAAGAATCTCCAACACCTCAGCACCAGCAAGCTCCTCGGTCAAGTGAGCGGTGTGACCCTCCTGCCAGAGGAACTCTCGGGTTCGGAGGAAAGGGGTTGTCTGCTTGGCCTCCCATCGGACGACTGAGTTCCACTGGTTAAGGCGAAGGGGAAGGTCTCGGTGGCTGCGAATCCACTTGGAGTAGTAGGGGTACATGACGGCCTCGGAGGTAGGACGGACAGCAACAGGGACTTCGAGGTCCTTGTCACCACTAGAAAGTTATCAATTAGCCACAGCTCCAATGGTAGGACATAGATTGTATAGAATGCTTACGCCTTGGTAACCCAAGCAAGCTCGGGGGCAAAACCTTCAACGTGGTCCTTCTCCTTCTCCAGGGACTTGGAAGACAGGAACATGGGGAAGTTGGCCTCGTCAACGCCCATCTCCTCAATGTGGCCCTGGAACCACTTTCGAATCTCATTCCAGATGTGCATGGAAAGGGGACGGAGAACAAAGAAACCAGAGATCTCGGTGTAGTACTCGACCATCTCGGCCTTGAGGACAACCTCCTGGTACCATTGTGGGAAATTCTCGGTCTTAGACACAGTGATACCAATGATATCGTCTGTCTTCTTTCCACCGACGACGGGAAGGTTGGTCTGCTTAGCAGCCTTGGCAGCCTTATCAGCAGCAAGACGAGCCTGCTTCTCGGCCTTCTTCAAGGCGCTCTTGGACTGTTCGGCGGCGCCCTCCATTTTGGTGTAAGTGTCGAGCGTTGATTGGAAGTTGTGAATAGAAAAAGATAAAAGAAGACTGGAGCTTCAAGGCAACCGAACAGTGGCTTGCGCGCCTATAAAGAATTCGAGAAGCAACAGAGCGACGTGATCCTTGAGGGGGGAAGAAGGAGAAGATTCGGGGTGTGAGTCGAAGTAAACGTCGGTCGTGACTTGTGCCCCGCAGTCGAGGGAGAGTCAAGCGGGAAGGAGGGGCACGGCACCGCTAGAAATCTAGCCCAAAATTCAGGCCCAATGCCCTACCAGCCAATGGTAACTGTGACCGCTCAGCTGCAGGGAGGCCGATAACGCGACAGGGGATAGTTTTGGGGTTCTTGGGGTCCGTGCTCCTTCTGTCAAATGCCCTGACCTCCAGCTACGGGTGGGCATCCGGCCTGTAACGCACAGCGCAATTGCGACGGCACCGACCAGACGAGGAGCGGTAGCGCACCTCCCAGTCGGCGCCGGAACAACGAAAGCCTCCGACAAAAAAGTCCAGTCGAGGGGCACAATGGAGCTTTACAGCTTCTACGGTAGCCTGCTGGTAGAATTTCCTGACTCCATCTCTACGACCACGTTGACGACTCTACTTTTCCACGTCGACGTTAATAACAGCTGCAGTCATGGCTTCCATGTTTGAGCAGCCTCGAAACGGCACCCTTTTCTTGGGTGGTCAGAAGATCTCCGGATCCGATATTAGAGACCAGAACGGTATGTCTATCTTGTCCCGCCTTTTGCTACATGTTAGGGGGAAGTGGGGGAGGCATGAGCATGGTTGATGATGGCAATTCATATGAGGATTATACATGCTAACAAGTTAAAAGTTCTTGCTACACAGGCTATCGCCAATGTTGTTAAGAGTTCTTTCGGCCCTAGCGGTCTTGACAAGATGATGGTGGACGACATCGGTGTATGCAACCTAGCCTTCGTCCCGCGCTCGACCGTATCTCACATTTCACTTTAGGATGTTACTGTTACCAACGACGGTGCTACAATTCTCAGCCTCCTCGATGTCGAGCACCCCGCCGGCAAGATTCTCGTTGACCTTGCGCAACAACAAGACAAGGAGGTCGGTGACGGTACCACCTCTGTCGTTCTGATCGCTGCCGAACTTCTACGACGTGGAAACGAGCTTATGAAGAACCGGATACACCCTACTACTATCATTACCGGATACAGACTTGCCCTGCGAGAGGCTATCAAGTACTTGAACGAGAATGTTAGCATTAAGGTTGAGGACCTTGGCCGCGAATCCCTCATCAACATTGCCAAGACTTCCATGTCCAGCAAGATCATTGGAGCCGACTCAGATTTCTTTGCCGATATGGTTGTCGATGCTATGCAGGCTGTCAAGTCTACCAACAACCGAAACGAGACCAAGTACCCCGTCAAGGCTGTCAACATCCTCAAGGCTCACGGCAAGAGCACTCTCGAGTCCGTTCTCGTTAAGGGTTACGCCTTGAACTGCACCGTTGCCTCGCAGGCTATGCCCACACGAATCCAGGACGCCAAGATTGCTGTTCTGGACATGAACCTGCAGAAGGAGCGCATGAAGCTTGGTGTTCAGATTACCGTTGACGACCCTCAACAACTCGAGCAGATCCGAGCTCGTGAGGCCGGCATGATCCTTGACCGAGTTGAGATGATTCTCAAGGCTGGTGCCAACGTTATTCTTACAACAAAGGGTATCGACGACCTGGTGCTTAAGACCTTTGTTGAAAAGGGTGCTATGGGTGTTCGAAGATGTAAGAAGGAGGATCTCCGACGAATTGCACGAGCCACCGGCGCTACCATGCTGAGCACACTCTCTGATCTTAACGGTGATGAGAAGTTCGACCCCTCATACCTTGGATACGCCGAGGAGGTTGTCCAAGAGCGCATTTCTGATGATGAGTGCATCTTGGTCAAGGGTACTAAGGCCCACTCTTCCGCATCTTGCATTCTCCGTGGCCCCAACGACTACACCCTTGATGAGATGGAGCGATCCGTCCACGACTCTTTGTGCGCTGTGAAGCGAACCCTTGAGAGTGGCAGCATTGTCCCTGGTGGTGGTGCTGTTGAGACAGCTCTGCACATCTACCTCGAGGAGTTTGCCGGTACCGTTGGCTCTCGAGAGCAGCTTGCTATCGGAGAGTTCGCCCAGTCTCTGCTCGTTATTCCCAAGACTCTGGCTGTCAACGCCGCCAAGGACGCTGCAGAGCTTACCGCTCAGCTCCGATCAAGGCACGCTCTGTCACAGCGCATTCAGGAGGGTGATGGCAGTGAGGACGAGAAGACCATTGCACGAAAGAAGGGTTACAAGAACTACGGTCTGGATCTCGCCAAGGGCAAGGTTGTTGACGAGATCAAGATCGGTGTGTTGGAGCCCAGCATCAGCAAGGTCCGACAGCTGAAGAGTGCCGTTGAGGCCTGTATCAGCATCATGCGTATTGATACCCTGATCAAGTTGGATCCTGAGCAAAGGGAGGACGATGGACACGGTCACTAAGACAAAGACTAATGAGCCCGGACTGGATCAGGTATAGAATCAAAAGCTTGTTATGTCCGTTCATGATTGAATGTATTTTTGAGGATTGTGTGGTGAAGATATGAGTACAAGATATTGGGGTGCATAGAAAAGTATCACTATAGGATATCCCAGTAGATGGGTTAGGGTATACCAGTAAATACTGTAGATTATGAACATTTACATTACTCATCAATTTTGTCACTACTGTCTGTCTGTGGTCATAAAATCATGACGTGCCATTATCTCGTAGTTTGGCGATGTTGGCCGTTCATGATGGTAAATTCTGTAGCAATGGACGAGATTTCAACGGCATCGAAGGAAGACCTGCACATGATGTAAGGTTAGATATCGAGGTATTCTAGATATCCGATGTCGGATTTGGTGTTCTCATGGTTCACATAATACTGAGCTGCCTGGTTTGAACGCAATGAAATTCAATTAGTACACCGTCTCGCAAGCGAGCACGCATCTTGCACTCTCCTGCTCTACCCCTCAACCCTCTCTTTGAGCCTGTCGACTGAAACTTTTCCTAGGACGTTTTATTTTTATACAAATGGACAAAGAAGGCCACGTCTAAGAAAACAGCAAACTTGAGCCCACCCAGGGGCCTCGGTATGGGCATGCGTATGTGTTGTGGTCCTTGGTCCGCCCGCCAGTCTAATGCGCTCCCATTCTCCCTCCTCGTTTCTCCGTTATAATAGATATACTCTTACATCGTCCGCTTAACCGATGACAAGCTTGCCCTCCTCGGGGAAATCGTACTCGGGGATCTCGAGGTTGAGAGGGGCGGGTCCCTTTCTTATTCGGCCGGAGATATCGTAGTGAGAACCGTGGCAAGGGCAGAACCAACCGCCGTAGTCACCGGCCTCACCAATGGGGACACAACCCAAGTGGGTGCAGACACCTGAGGGGTTGTTAGTATATAAATTTCGAAATGCCGTTTCAATGTCGTCGATTTCACATACCCAACATGACGAGCCACTCAGGCTGTCTGGCACGGGCGCTGTCCTCCTCGGGGTCTCGGAGAGAAGAAATGTTGACCTTGTTGGCCTGGTCGATCTCGTCCTGGGTTCGGTGTCGGATGAAGACGGGCTTGCCTCGCCACTTGATGATAACCTGAAGAACCGTTCAGCAATGTCGTCCTGGTGTGCTAGATTATATCCCAACTCACGTTCTTGCCCTCGGGAATAGAGGCAAGGTCAACCTCAACCTTGGCCATGGCCAGAACGTCGGCGGAAGCAGACATGTTGACCAAGAACTCTGTCAATCTATCGTCAGTAACCATCAATTGACCAACCCCGATATCATGCCGGCAAGATGCAACACCAATTGCAACCCAATGGCAGGACATCGAGTCTTGAATCGGACTTCAACCCACCCTGAACAGTGCTCTTGGCACCAGCAGCACTGACGGCACCGAGAGCGCCAACCATGAAGTACGAGTAGAGCTTGTTCTTGCCCTCACCGCCGGTAGAGACGTACTTTCCGAAGTCGGGAATCTGGGCACCCTTGGACTGTCCTTGGAACTTGAAGGGGCTGGAGTATCCAGAGGCGGACGCGCTGTCGGGGCGAACGGCGGTGGTGCTGAGGGCGCGGACGGCGGGAGCGACGGGCTTAGCAGCCGCGCGCAGGCAGAGGCGAGAAGCGGTCGCGAGGGTCGCCATCGTGAGGAATCGTGGGGTGTGGCGTTGCGAGGTGAGGTCGTCGAAGGGAAGGTTTGAGGTCTTTTCCTTGATAGTGATCGGCTGATGATGCTTTGCCGAAAGTTTTGGCTCCAAAATGTGGCCTCAGGCTGACAATTCGACTCGAGCTCGGAAATTGAAGACTCGTCATTGGTCCGGTCACTTTCGGGTGGGGTTTCCGATCTATCCCGGGCATATGGGATCCTTTTTCGCCTTGACAGCTTCCAGGTTTATAAGTGCTGTAAATATAGTTATCAGTCATTCTGATGGAATACTATTTCAATTGTACATAACGGTACTTACAGGGTTCTTTACATATTTCTGAATCGGTATTTTACCCCATACGCAATCAATTGATGTCTCTTCAATATCCTTTACTCAAGACTTCTGACCAATCATCTTTGACCCGTTCGTCCTTTACGTCTAATGTATATATGCCCAGCATGGAGGCCAGGGTGCCATCGAATCATAGAAAAAAAGCATCATAAGAGATAAAACAGTTTAGTAACCTTGTGCGAGTTGAGGCTACCACTTAGGTTACTTTGTTTAGTTGTCTAAGCCTTGGAAGATATCTCTTCTGTTACCCGCCTAGTCTTGCTAATGCATTCTTCTCAACTCCTCAATCAAGTTGCGCATATCTTCGACACTGGGCCCGAGCCCTTCACAAACCAGCTCCTGCTTCCCTTCGTCCATATCTAGGAACCTCTCAATCATCTCTCCGTCTATAAATCGGAAAGGGCCTTCACTCTCCCTATTGTCATTGCGGAAGGAACGCCATAGCTTAAATTCGACGTTTCCTGGTACATGAATGTACTCTTCCATCCTGGACTGGAACGTCATTAGAAGGTCCTGGTATTGAGGCGCGATATCACCATAAAGATACAATGAGCCTTCAACCTGGTGGGTGTTAGTTACAATTCCCTGCATACAGAAGGAATTACTTACTGTGGCGAGGAATGCTCGCGGATGTACTATACTGTTATCCGCTGCTGGCACATTGAGCTTTCGGATACGGTTGATTTGTTCCCCGATGCCTATTTCACTGGTAATCTGCAAGCGGCTGCGGTCTTGCTCTGTCGGGGCATCCACATTTTGCTGAAGGACAATAAGATTGCCCTGGGAATCGGCCTCTAGCCACTTCTCGCCCTCGATATGACAAACCGCAGTGGTCCAGATGGATTCGTAGTGTCGTGCCCGTTCCTCCAGTTTCGCTTTGTTACCATCTTGTGCGGGAACAAATTCAACCAAAGAAAGTGACTGCATTAGATCGCCTACACCAATCATGTTGCCTGATACGTCGAGATCAATGGGGATCGCAGATGGGCGATAAGCAGCAAGCTTCTGTAGTGAACCGGAACTGCTTGTTTCCTGTATGAAATTATACACCACAACCGTCTTGGAGAGTCCGGCCACAATGTTGTCTTCGATCATTCCTAAGCAGCGGCAAGGACCTTTGAGGTTGTGAGAGACGATCTGGTAGACTTGACGGTTCGCGTCGACACCAAGAACCAGAATACGACCAAGAGTGTCGTTTGAATCTTCTACTCCACCACCATCATTGATGAAACTCGTGCCGACGATAAACCTCTCAGTTGGGTTTCCACCAACGTCAGGAAGCTCAGCTCGAATGACACACTCCACAAGTTCAAGGCTGCTTGAATTCTTCAACGGGAAGGGTGATCCAAGCTCCTTGAAGACTATTTCGTCAACGAGTCTAAATGAACTTGTAACAACTTCCTCGTTATTGACCAATTCCCTTTTGATGGCGCCCACACCAAAAGCTTTAAGTCCTGGAGAGTATGCCACCCGTCTGACAGTCTCGTTGACAGGAAGTGCCTTGACGTGAGTGAGGCGTTCCCGATCGACGTGGCAGATTCGGATGTGCTGATCTGTCGACAGAATAACGGAGTCAGGGAAAGCATGAGAGTTGAAGGGTGCAACAAATGTGGCATCATCGGCGGTTGTGGCTGAGAATATGATGCGACCCTCCGAACTATAGATAAGACTTGCATGCTCGGTAGTGACAAAAACATTTGATGTGCCATCTTCTTGAGGAAGTATGTGTAGGCGAGCCGGATTGCTACCCAAAGTCACGCTTTTACGACCAGAAACAGAGAATCCTCTGGTAGAGACGTTGAAAGTCACAACGTTGCCATCCTCCATCGCAACTAGGAGTGTTGGCCCAGACACGTCAGGGGGGTGTAGCTGAACAAGTGCGACATCTCGTGGGACGGTGGCACTGTCTTCGGTTTGCCTCATAGACTCGCCATGCAGCGGCTTTAGTGAAGCCATATCGATCAGTGATATTTGACCTGATGACCACCAACCAACTACACCAAGGTCTGGTGGATCTCGGGCGGCATGAATGCATGATATCTGATCAGGCGGCGAACCAGAGTTGCTTTGAACTTGCTGGGCATTAACAGCCAGGTTCTGTAGCAAATTCAATGAAACGAGGGAAGTTCCGTCAACTGAAAGTAGGGCCCATTTGCCATTTGCTGACGCTCTTGTGATCGTTTTGCCGCTTGGGACGTCCCACTTGCTGACTGTTGTGCCGCCTTCAGGGTCGAGCAAAACGACTGAGTTGGGTGTGATTTGAAGTAGTTGTCCATTGGGAAGATTAGACGCTAGCAACGTCTCACAATCCAAGGACATGCCTTCGAAAGAGTAAATTTCTTCGATGCCCCCTTCCGAGTCGAAGCTAAGAACTCTTGTCTCGGTGATAGACGATACAACCAATGTATCGACCGAGTCGGCGCCATAAGATCGAAGAGTGAATAGGCCTCTGGTTCCTTCTAATTCATCAAGAACACCTCTGTCTTCAAGACCAACACCACTTCGAATGCTCCGTAGAGTTCCGTCGCGGTATGCACCACAGCCTGCCACGATTCTTGACTGCCCAGAAGAGAAGACATTGCCGGCCTGGGTATCACCTTCGCGATTACCCATGTCCATGATAGAAAAGTCTAGGATTGGTGCGTTGTTTGAGAAAGACTGCATCAGCGTGGCCTCTCTTGTCTCGATATCGATTTGGTAGTGCTGAGAATCGCCGTGGTGAGAAGCAACAAAAAGGGTACCATCACCGAGGTAGACCAAGCTAGACGCCCTTGAAGTTATGAGAGGCGAACTTCCGGATGTAAACGGTTCGAGGATCATGCCTGTCACCACAACGCCAGTGGCCTCCAAGTTCGTCTGAATAGTCAACAAGTCTAGTCGTCCATAATCGTCGGCCAGCAGATAGTGAGTACCATCATATTCTGCCCAGGTTACAAATATTCTTGGATCCCTCAATGCTGAAGAGACGCTCCTGTGCGTCAGGCCATCATAATAGATCAGGAGGGTCTCTCCAACGACGAGAATACCACCTAGATGTGCCTTTACATTCTCTGTATTTCGCACATGGTAACGCTTCTCTTCATCCAAGGGGATAGGAATGAGCATTGAGGCGTATGGGTCAGTGATAACGACGTCGAACTCTCTGTCTTTATGGGGATCAAACTTGGATACTGTGTTTCCTTTGTCGTCATGCGTCAGCCTATATATGGCCAACCGAGATTCTTCTTGGTCCATTTGTGTCTTGTATAAGAAGGCAATGGTTGGGTGACCGGTTCGGCTGTGAGTGAAAGTGCTTGCTTTCATGAAAAGCTCTGTGAGTCGGACCTGTTCGAGCAATTCCAATTTATTGGTAGAGCCTTTGCGTGTAGGAAGCCTAAAGACATTCAACACTCCTTCCCAAAGATGCATTGCTAGGAATCGACCCGTCGGATCCACTACGCATTTATTCTGACTTTGCGACTGTCGCATGTACGGCTCCGATTGATCAATTATTGCTTGCTCGATGGTCTCCAACTTCTTCGTTGCGTCGTTCCATATCAAGGTGAAGTACTGAAGCCTCTCGGTACCGATGAATAATAAGTCGACCTCGGATCCTTTGGGTCGCAATCGCTGCAGCATCGATATTGTGCCGTGGATGAGCTTCGTCTGCTGGCATACCAGCCCTTCCTCCGTGAGACGCCATATCTCGAGTCGGTTCGCTTTGCTGTACGTCAATCAGCATTTGCTCAAGGCGTCCGTCAGTGCCAGAAGGACTGGCGAGCATAAGAGACGAAATAATTTGGTCGTCTTATGCGAGTTTAGGCTAGCAATCAGGCTACATTATTTCTGTAGCCTAAGTCTTCGAGGACATTTCTTCTGACACCCTGACGAGGGCGTCATCGAAGGTGTTGGGTCGGAGCACTTACGCTACAACCAAATCGTCGATATCGGCGTCAATAACATTAGCTCGAAGCGCATGGCGCACGCTTGTTGCGCGGTGGATAGGCGCAACGTACGCCATGGCTGTCAGGTGTGTGATGAAGGAGAGAGAGACAAAGGGAGGGAGAAAGGTTGACGTTTAAAGCAGGCACCTGGTGTTTGACGAGAGCATCTGTAGCCTAAGCCGTAGGGGACAATTCTTCTGACACTGCACTGGAGCTCCATGTCATGATGGCTGGGTTGGGACCCATTCCTTCCCGCTCGGCTATTGGGACCCCACTACACCCGCTACAATCCGTGCTAACTCCGGGGGCTAATGACGCATGCATAGTTACCTATCTAGAGCTTTTGTGATAGCTCCTCTTCGAGGCATGTGCGTGTCAGTGAAAGTGATTGATCTCATTGAGCCTACTATCTATGATGGAGAAAGAGAGCTTCCTCAAAATATGCGAACATGCGAAACCCCATAAGTATCACAGGCACAAAATAAAAGTGCTGGCTACCTGGTAAGGATGTACTTAAAAGCAATCGACCTGCTGTGCTTCCTTCACACTTGCCCATCCGTCAAGGTGCCAGAAGAATTGACCGCTGGAATCATAAGAAATCATAAGAGACGGAATAGTGGACCATATTATGACAGCTTAGAGTAGAGTTTAGACTACTTGATTTCAGTAGCCTAAGCCTTAGGGGACATTTCTCCTGTTGCCCACCTGCCATCCCATATCCAAGACATGGAAATGGGAAGGAACATGTAGGTGAACGAGCTCGAGAAGGTGGCAGGAGCGGGAAGAATGGGTAGAGTACCAACATTTGGAATTTCTCTTTCAGTTGGAGTTCAACACCTGGGCGTAAAGAGGTCCCAAATCATTTTCGCCATTTCTTCATTTGCTTCGATGGCAAGACATTGGACTCTTCAACATGAGTACAGCTACAACATCAACTACTAGAAGCCGGACAACCATTGATTATGATCCGGAAGAAGACTGTTTCCGCGACCATCGAGGCCCTCCATATCGATTTCAAGATCATATTCGTCGACTACGACGCACTGCGGTGCCAACCCAACCAGATTGCTTGGTTGAGCAGCCAGGTCTTATTGCAACACAGCTGCCTCGTCCTAAAATTATCTTTGAACCGAACACCAAGCACGAAGACTATCAAGTCCCAATCGATCCTCCTGTTTCAGCTTACTCTGTATTCCCGTTTCTGGGGCAAACGAAACACTTACGATTTCCCTCCGAATCACTCGATCTAGGGTATGATACTAAGGGAGAGCTTGAACAATATCTGCACGATGTACAATGCGCAAAATCATGCAACATTCTTACAACATGGCTTCCGTTGGCCAGAGTCAACATTGAGAACGATGAAGGTCTCGAATTTCCTTCTACTGTGCTACGATGGCAGGCGCTAGCCCTTCGTAAACTAGAAGCCGATGAGATGCCAGTTCTTTCAGAAAACACTACGCATGGTCAGGACTTCACCACAAAGCCTTGTACACCATCACAGCTTAGGGAGATATTCTCTTTGGGCACTGTAAGTGTCTCTAGGCGTACACAGGCTCTTGATTAACGCTCTTTCAGTATTCTCGTACATACCCGGAACCAGTATCCCCTCCAATTTCTCCTATATCTGAACCATACGAACCGTTCGTCCCTGATCCCGATGTATCGATCATAGATTTGACTTCAGAGCCAAGCAGTCCTATCAATGAGAATATAGAGAAAATGGAATTGGGTGTCGAGGATGATCGTCTCGACTCTGACCCAGCTAGCCCGTCGTGCATCTTTGGTCCTCCCCCAACGGCCAGGGCTGCTTTTCTCGGCACGAAGTCGAGCAAACTATCGGAACTCAAGTTAGACCTACCATTGCTATCATCTAGTCCTGGATCTAGCTCTAAGTCGGATCATATGATTGCAACCCTGACACCAAGTGCAATAGATCCCGAGGCTTCATTCCAAGCTACAGTTGAACAAGGGGGGTTCTTTGAAGAGGCATTTCAAACTTTCTTAGACAGCAGACATCACGAAGCGAACCAACTATTGGAACAAGAGCGACCAAACCCGGCGAATACTCTGTTACGTTTACCAATACCGGTATTGGATTTTGATATACCAGTTCCCGAATGGAGTGCCCATCTATCAAGCTCGAAAGATCACTTCAGCTGGCTCGCTCAGACACTTTCGTCTGCCTTTCATCTTCCATGCTTTGAAGGATTGAGTTCTTTGAATTCGTCACTCAAATGGACTCCGATCCCTCCTGGAAGCGGACGAGTTTCATTGACTGAAGCAGCGGTGCAGCTGAGCCCGCTCAGTAAGGAGCTACTAAGCCTACAGCCGTCCCAGTTATGCAGCCGAGATTATGTCGTTTTGCGGTCGAGACCTATGGTGCTAAAGTTTTTGCACGATGAAGATATTGAACTGGAATTGGAAAATGATTCGGCAATATCCCATTCAGTTCAGGAAGAGAGCCATACTATTTCAGCACCCGTCAACAAAGCACACGAACCGGTGAGAACACAATCTCTGGACGACTTACTTGGAGCAAAGCGCCAGTCCTTGAGAGTTCGGGCTGATTCGAAAGGAAAGAAGCGGTTGTTGATTGATGGCAGCTCAACTGGCGCAAGCAGTTTGTTATCCAACTTCATACAGCTCCGGCAACCGAAGAAGTTGAAGACCAGAGGTGACACTCCTCCACCTACTTCACAACTTACATCAAAGTCTCAGGCCACTACTACAAGCGCAAGAAGCGTCACGCGAGAAGTACAAAGAGAACCAAAGGAGGCTCCATCTCCAGTCCTTAGTATACCTACGGGGGATTATCGTTACATTGTTTCTATGGAGTTGAGCCGGAAAGTTTTATCTTTCATAGAGAAGTCCTGGCCACATGTCGAACTCGTCGATCGAGACTTCACGCAGTACAATGAGGTTTCTTGGTCTCCGGGGTCGACTCAAAGAAATAAAGTAGTTTCTCCATTGGCCTTTGAGGCCGACATATCTTTATGTCCTGCAGCCGGCCTCATCATGACCACCATACTCAGAGTTAAGCAGAAATCCCTTCCCGGATCAACCGCTCTCTCAGCTCTTCGTGAGCGAGTGAAGCTCGTGAGCCAGAAATATGAATATCTCTTCATATTGGTGTCTGAGACAAATCCTCAGGGCGAGTACGTTGGATCACCAACTGCTTCTGATCTGGCTGGTTATGCCGATTTTGTCCGCTTCACCACAGGTCTTCAAGCAGGTATCTCGACATTTCTGGTCTCTGGGGCAGAGGAGACACTTGCCAAATGGGCATTGTCTATCATGTCACAATACTCCTCAGCAGCGAACCAGTTCGGGCAATTTCTTGATTTTCGAGATGGTGAATGGAGCATGTTCTTCCGTCGTGCTGGCCTCAATATCTGCGCAGCGCAAGTCATGGCGGAACTGCTTTGGTCTGAGTATGGGCAGTTTGGACTAACAAACTTTCTGAAGATGAGGGCGAATGATAGAGTATCAAAATATGGCCAAATCTTGGGAGGCAGTAGAATCATGGGCAATGTATCTGGAATCTTGGACCAAGAGTGGTTCTAAGTAGTCAACAACTGTACTACTTATCCGTAATACATAGCATGATGTCAGATAGAAAAGACAGGGCTGTTATACAGCCACATGCTACGATGGTATATGTTACGACCTGCAGTCCCAGGGCTAACAGAAGAATTGTCGTCTAAGGCTTATGTTACCAAAATAAAGTAGCCTAAGTGCTACCCTAAACTTCCAAAAGGCGAATAAACCCTTTCGTCTCTTATGATTTTAGCGGCCAGGTCTTCTAATAGCCTGACGGGTTTAACGTTGAGAAACGCCCATTTGATACTTACGCTTGGCCAAGTACAGGGTAGCAACAAACCAAGAGCTTTACATCACTTCTCACCAAGGGATCTCAAGCAATATCACATCGCAGCACAATAGACTTATGCCCACCGAGCTTAGTGAGATGGCTTCTATTGCCCCATACCCATGCTTACCGTCTACGTTTCTACGTCTAAAATGCCATCCAAGATTCCTATACCCCTATCAGACCAGCCACTTAGCACACCTCCCACATGGGACGTGGTAGCGTTCGCAAAGGCGAAGTACCCTGTGAAGTCTTCAGACCAACATAGACGACTCGGCGTGTTGGATTTGTGAGATTGACGGAGCGGGACTGGATGCCGTAGTAATCGGAGATGGTGTGTGTAAGCCAGCGTCTAAGGAATGTTAGCAACAAAGCACATCTGAGGATATGTATACTGACTTGAACGCGGCACTCTCATCATTGCCGAAAGAGTCGAATAGCATGCCCGAGTCGACTGTTTCCTGCGACACCTCTCGATGCGCATGTTTCCATGTCGCCTTCTTCTCCTTCAACTCCCGCATCGCGCCATTCCTACCGACGAACACAATCTCCTCATCATCCGAGTCCATCTGATCAGCTGCGCTATCACTGTCATCGGAAGCCTCCTCATGGGTTGCAGTAGCAGCCCGTTGGCTGGTCAGATATTGTCGCACAGGCTCCTCCAAAGATCGCACCCAGCTGCGCACTACGGGACTACGCTTTGTGGCTTCACGCAAGTCGCGAGGTACCTCACCAGCGCCGAGGCCAGTGGCGCTACCCGACTCCAGCTGCTGCTTCTTGCGCTCAGCCTGAAGACGGGCAGTCTTATCCTCAACGCGCTGACGCACGCCTCGGTCCCAGAACTGGGCAAGCTGGTAAGGTACTCGATGGATCGTATGCGTGGGATGGACTTCATAATCAGAGGGCAGCGGAGGCTGAACGTTGGGAACATGCATCAAGCGGTCTAATTCAGTGGGACCATCGGTCAGTATAAGAATACGCGAGATGCAGCTCAACATGCAGCTTGCATCTTTATCAGTGATAACGGCATACCATTCTCCCAGCGACGACGCTGGCGACTGCCCTCTTTGCCCTTTAGGACCAGCTCGCGCTTTCGCTGACTGTCCCTCCTGGAAGGAGGACGTCTCGGGGTCGATGTGGGAACTTCGCGTTCGTCAAAGTTGACATTTCGCTCGGGAGACTTGGGTTGAGCCTTGACAGTTTCATCGATGGGAATAGCGAGAGGGGTGGCTGTGCCACGGGCGACAGGAGAGACAGCGAGCGACTGAAGAGCCGAGATAGTCCACGCATCGATGTCGATACCGTTATTCTTGACTGGCGTAGGAGGCGACTGAACCGGGATGGTAGTCAATTGAGGATTTGTTGCTGTAGGAGGAGTAGTTGTGGTTGGTTGCTGCTCGGGTGGCGGGACGGAACTGTAGATAGCCATGATGATAAGTGTCGCGGGGAGCGAACGTCGGCGATAGGAGCGATAAGGAAACGGTTCGAAGTATGAAGGCTTTGAGAGTATCAGAACTCTCAATCGATCTCAATGGCAATCCAGGCAGGATAGGAATATGATCTTTAGGAATATAGGGCCTTGGGATAAAGAAAGAAGGAGAAATGGCTCCGACGAGAAGGATGGGATGGGACGGTTTATCGATCGCCGCCACTAGATTGGATGCCCTCGAGCCCAGGGGCCCCTCCCCCCTCTATCTCATGGCAATCGAGACGTTCATGACACCCGGTGATTCATCCAACATGATTAAACGAGAGTAGCCAATCAGAAGCCGACCGCATCCCACAGGGGGCAAGCTCAGGACTAGGACTCCCGCATTTGCAGGCGATGCGAGTCACCCGTCTTCCGCGGAGGATGTGGGGGTCTACCAAGTTAGGGTCAGAATAGGGCCTAGGTAGGCCTGTGATGAGCTGCGACGAGATGATGATGCTGATGATGATGAGACTTGGGTCAGATTGGTATCGCATTGTGGTAAATTGAGAATTTTTGAAATAAGGGGTCGTTGGAAATATCCATGGCCTGGTGAGCTGGTCAGGAAAGCTCAAACCCCTGATCGCATTATCTCGACAAGGAATGCAATATCGGCAACAAACATGCTGTAGAACCTTGTGCTGACCTCGAGTCATCAAGGCCCCCACACATGCCTAGGAACAGAATGAGTCAATCCCCGGACAGCTCGGGAGAAGAGAGTAGACGAGAATGTACATATAAAATTCTAAAAAGGTACGATATGCAATCCTAGGTAATACTAAAACACCAATAAAACACTCCAAATGATCATGTTATATATCACATGCTCGCTGTTGACCCTGAACTCGTCTTGTTGTCTAAGAAAGGTAAGGCAAGACAAAGAATTTCATGACTGTTCGGTGGCGTCGTATGTTCTATGAGGGTTGCCAATGCCACCAGGCTTCAGTAGCGGCTGGTTTTCCCTCTGAATGGCACGCTCCTCGCGCTCCTGGATATCGTCTAGGTCCTCCTCCGTCTCCGCGTATCGCTCAGGATGACCGGTAAAGGGTCCTGGAAGACCACGCTCCCAGCCTTCTGAGTAGGTTCGGCTGCCTGGCGGTGGCCTTCGGGGGGCGTTCGAATATTCCACAGGCGAGTGGGGTGCGCTGTCGGGGTGAGCGTTGTCATGTCCACCACGCTGTCGCGCCGTGTATTCGTAGTAGACACCCATGAAGAGGACCGATCCCTGCATAGATGCAGTGATCAAGTAGATGAACCAGGTGCTCCAGCCCTCCCATCCAAGTCGGGCGAACAAGCTGCCTGCAAACAAGAAACCGCCTGGAGTCTGAATGCACATCATGGGGATACTCAAACTTCCAACATGTTTCAAGTGGTAAGTCATCCAGATCTGCGGTACGTATTGTATAGCAGCCAAAACTGTAGCCATGATGCCCAGGAAGTTCGCCCAGAAGACAAGATGGTCAGGTAGTGCAATAAAGAACACTCCTGTCAGAATAATCACAATGAGGCCATGCAGGACACAGAGAAGTCCCACCATGACGGCAGTCTGCCATCTGGGAGCTTCACCGCGAAGTTCGTCTGTGGGAACATTGGCTTCTCTATATCGAAAGAAGATGAGGAAAAGAACGAGACTGTTGACTGGTCAGTTGATGATGAAAACGAAGTTTGAAGATGAGGCTTACATGAGGCTGAAGCAAAGCCATTGGGCGCCGAGCTGAGCGACACCAAGCAGACCGGCTGCGCATTCGAATTTGCCGAGCTCTTTGCAACATCCTATGGCGGCACGAGACGGTGGGACAGTAAGGATGTTTGCGAAACCAGCGGTAGCAGAAGTAACACCCAAAAGTACAAAATAAGGCGAAATGCCTTCGGAGGTGCCCCGAGAAATAATGCGATAGTGTTGAGGAAGATAGGATACAAGAATGCCGAGCAAGAGGACGCTACGATATCAAGATTAGTATCAATAATCACCGGCTAAATTCCAAGAGGGTCGCGCAATCATACATTGATACGACGAGTTCAAGATACGAGGGCGTCTTGAGGCGATCGCATTGATCGTTATTTGCGGCAAAGACGTCCATGGTTGATATTGGACGAAGTGCACAAAGGCAGCTTCAGAAGGTGGATGGATGGGCGGTGGTCGTCGCGAAGGAGCTCACGAGAAATGATCACGGGGAATCACGAGATCAGATGAAGGAACGCCAGGGTCCGGTCCGTCCAGTCCAGTCCAGTCCCTTAAGGAGCTTTGCCCAAGGCTTGCTTCGATTTGAGCACGGGCTGGTGCTGGTGCTGGTGTGGAGAGAGAACGTTGCGCGCCCTGCGTTGCTGGGGAGTGACGTATGGTGTTATTTTAGTCGGTGTCTTATGGCTCTGTCACTTCTGGATGGTGACAAAAAGAAGGAGGTTAGTCCTTAGTTGACAGCCTAAGCCTTTCTTCTGTCAGCTTTGACTTGATGCGTGGGTTATTTTGTGACCCACTCGACGAGGCTGTTTCGCGGGGAGGGGCAGCGTTTCCCACCACGTTAGGTAGCTGTATCGGTATCGGTATCGACTGCGAAGCGGAGTTAGACGACGGATACGAGGTCGTTGATATGGATGCCCTTTCTGGCGAACTGGGCTACGAGATCATGATTGGTGAGACAGGACAAGTGCAAAAGTTTCAAGACACGGGATATCTTGGTATGTGTTAGGAATGTGGATGCGGATGCGGATGCGGATGTTGCTGGATTGAGATGGAAGAAGAAGTTGGAAAAGAAGGAAGAGACAATGGAAGGGAAGTCGGAGAATTATTTCTAATAAGGGAAGGATAATCAAATGATGGGGCCATGATAGACGACATGTCAAGTCAGTAACTTACCTGTCTTAGTACTAACCGACTGTACCTTCCTTCCTCTGTACCTACGAAAAGCGGGTGGCTCGAAACAGTAACCTTCAAGCGCTGTCCTGAATCGTTCCTGTAGGGGCGCAGATGCGATGTAGGATGGATACCTGGATGGACAATACCCTTCCATCAATCGCCAAAGGATGAGTGACAAACACCTCTTTTGATTCACGTGTTTCTGCGGCAGTACCTGAAAGCTTAAATAGATGAACTCCGGGGTAAAAAGCAAACTCTCAGAATATGGCTTCTCTGTCAACAAGGAGCCCGCCAAGACGGAAAACGGCGATCGTGAGCTGCCCCCCTTTGGTATCATCAACCCACTGGACCCTGCAGAAAGAATACTTGGTCGGACCTGGGAGGCCGCTGAGGAGTCGTCCTTTTGTCTGCCGGGTCTTGGCGCCAACGCATATGACGTTTCTATGAGGATAGACGGTGACATCCAGTTGGCGAGCAAAGTTCCAGCTTGCCCATCACAAGTTTGACGATGGCCTCACTCTGTAAGATCAGCATAGAAAGAGTTACATGGGATTGTAGGATTTGTCGTTTCAAGATTCAGCTGAAAGATTGGCTTGGGATCGTGATAAGCGTGTAAGTGATATGATATGCAGAGATTAAGGTGGAGGATCCACTCAAATTCAATCCATTTTCTGAATGTACCTACCTACCTTTACGCTCATCACCATCTCGCAACTTTCAATCTCAACTTATAATACAACATGGATGAACCCAGTCTTGCAATTCGACCAGCTGTTTCACAACAAGAGTCACAGAAGGACGATCTACAAGAGTCGCAGAAGGAAGATCTACAGGAGCAGGAGCAACAGCAACCGAAAGCACCATCATTAAACCTCCTCGCTGAAAATGCAATTCTTCGACCTCAAAATGACATAGACAGCGAGCAATCTCAGTCTGCTGCAAGTAGCAAACAGGATTATTACACATCCGTCCAATGGACTGCTGACGGGACATCACTTCTTGTTTCTTCCGCCCTCAACTCAATATCCACCTTTGTCCTCCCTGAAGATCTTCTCGATCCATCAGCCTCACGTCCGCGACAGTTGTCGTCTCAATCCTCAATAACCCTGCCCGAACCATCCCAAACAGTCACCGCAGCACCATTTTACTCTCTAGCTGAGCCAAGCACTCAAACTGTGCTTGTCGGATGTCGCGATCACCCTATTCAATTGTATCATCTTTTCCCACCCGAATATGATGGCTTCGCGTCGCGCTCTGCCCCGCTTGCTTCATATAAGTTGATACGTCGTGAGACGGAGGAGTATATCACGCCATCATCCCTTCTGTGGGAAGGCGACGGGTCGCATTTTCTTGTTGGATCGACAAATCGTCTTGATCACTTTGATATGACACGTCCAGGTTCAGATGGACCAGTGACCACCATACCCACCATCCCTTCCAAACGACATATCTCAAAGGGCAGTGGTGTGGGTATGAAGGGCACTGTCGCTGCACTATCATCTTCGCCTGTGGATGGTAACGGAAACTCTGTTGTTGCAGCAGGGACATGGACGCGGTGGATGGGATTGTATGATGTGCATCGATCAGACAAGGCTGTTGCTAACTGGCCTCTGCCGCGCCCAGAAGATATAGCAGGAGACATTGGAGGCCAGGGTATCATTCAAGTCCGTTGGAGCCCATGTGGCCGTTACCTCATCATCAGCGAACGTCATGCCTCTGGTATGATCGTGTATGACATCCGTGGCACAAGCGAACTTCTCTGCACTCTTCGAGGACGAAGCGCACCTACGCAACAAAAGATGACACTAGACGTGTTCGGCGGTGATCCCTATGCCGAGTTCCCATCCTTTGAAGTCTGGGCCGGCAATCACGACGGTGGTGTTGCAGTATGGGAAGGCGTTGGCAGCCAATTCGGCGTTGTAGACCCTTCGTGGAGTTGGAAGCCTCATAATCCACCAGTCGGAAGTACAGCCTTGCACTCTAGTGGTTCTGTCGTAGCGACATGCTCGGGAGGATGGGGCTTTGGAGACGCGGATGAAGGTCAGACGGTGTTTGACGAATCCAGTGTCAAGATTTGGTCAATAGGAGGTTAATTGGACCTCGTTAAGGTAGGCTGAATGATGAAAAACAAGTAGCGAAAATGAGGTAATTACATGGATGTACAACCCAGAAAGATGTGTGAAGTGTTGTTGAGCCTCAAAGATGTATCCGCTTACACGGACACATTCTACCTGCCATCTAAAGCCTTTAATCACATAGATATGCAAAGCAATACAAGTTCCAGTCGATGCCGCTTGGTGTCTTTTGTATCGTAATTATCTACTTGTAAACCCAATATCTCATGACCGTGTGGTCATCATATCTCATGATTAACCCAAGCACAAGCCCATCTAATCACCAGACTTGAACCGTTCATTACAGTCCACCTTTATGATGAAAGCAGCCCCCGGATATCAACTCCCTATGCTAATCCATAAACGCCATAATAATTTCCAAGCAGAACTTTGCTTGTAACCACCACCACCCCGCCTATGTATGTACTGTCTCCTTTTTTCTTTCGTGATATTATATGCAATTAAAACCATCCGGGACCACGGTTCTGCTGCCACAATGGTCCTCCTCCGTCGCGGCGAGGGTTGTATGGCGGTTGAAGAGGACTGCTCATATGGCCTGACGTAGTGATAGCTTGTCCCGGCCGTGGTTCTTCTTCACTAATACGTCCCAAGCCGGTATTGTAACTGTGTAGTGTGTTGAAATCGTCGTCTCTCGTCAACGGCACCTCGTCGTGTTCCATCTGTGCACCTCCACCAACAGCCGATGCCGAGTACCCGTACTGAGATTGGGGATCCCAAGGCTCCGCGTAAGGTCCATCGTGCTCAACAATTGGATTCATGCTCCGCTGGTCAGTAACGGGGACCGGTGGGGGCGGGGCCATCTTATCGGCTTCCCGCATAGGGGGCACAGGAGCGAAACTATGATTGTTCTCTAACGGGGGACTAGGAATATTTTATGTTAGCTGGTTGCTGGAGAGAAAAAAAACTTTGAAAGAGGTCACTGATGGGGACACTTACCCAATACGCTGCACTTGCGGTTTCACGCCTGGCCCCTGGCGTGTATTTCCCTTCTTGCGCTTCCAGAGCCAAACTCCAAGAACCACGAGGGCTGCGAGCGCTGCTACACCACTAATAATTCCGCCGACGATAGCGCCTGTGTTCTGGGAGCCATTGTCATCACCGTCAGTGTCGGGAGCTGAAGCGTCAGAATCGGTAGCCGAAGGGTCTGCAGTCTCAGAAGTTCCACTGGCTGTGTCGGTTTCGGTTTCGCTCTCCGATGCCGTTGAGCTTTCTGTCTCTGTTGATGAAGTTTCTGACTGTGTTGTTGATTCTGTTGAGGATGATTCTGTTGTTTCTGTCGATGATGTGCCTGTGGATTCCGTGGTCGCGCTTCCTGTTGTTGTCGCTTCCGTGGCAGAGGAATCGGTCTCGGATGTTCTTCTCCTTGTTCCTAGTGTCGTTGGGTCGGATAGTGAGGTTACTGGTGCAGTAAGGGGAACGCTCAAGCTAGTAAGTTGAATAGCGCTCTTCCCCGATGCAGAAGCCACCACATTGGTCGCCAAATTTGTCGCTGAACCACATCCATATTGGAAGAAACCCCCTTCAAAGCTATTCTTGTAGCACAAATCGTTCCCTCGACACGAGAAAACATATGGATTCACTTCGGTTTGTGGTCCACTGCCTGCATCCACACAATCTGTAAACACTCCCTGGGTGCAAGATCCGCCATCAGGACAGCACCCCACAGCTCCATGATCGACATCAACCACACAATGTGAACCAGCAGAACAAGTCGCTGGTAGTCCTGGGTCACCTCCTATGTAACCACAGACTGTGTTGAATTGTCGTCTTTGCAGAAATGAGTCATCTGGCGCAGCTGTCGCAGCGAGAGGATATGATGCCGCGTTGATTTCATGGAATGCGACCGTCTTTGTCGGTTGCGGTAGTGTAAGGCCTGAAGCGAAATTGAGAAAGCTGGAGACGAGCAGAAGTGGCGGTAATCGCGCCATCGAATGGGCCGGGGTCATGATTTGCAGTATTCGTGATCCCGATCTCAATTAAACATTGTTTGGTCGATCGATAATTTGGAGTGTACTTGGTACTCTGGTCTGTTGTGTATGAGATGAGATCGCTGGGTGAGTTTCGTTGAAGTCGTCGTTGGATCTTGAAACTGAAGTAATTAAGAAGAAAGAAACAAGAAGAGGACACCACCCTTTGACAGAAGAATAGTATGCGCACGGGCAATAAGAAAGAACGCAACAACAAAAGCTGCGATGAGTAACCAATGATACAACAAAGGGGGAGAAAGAAGTCAAAGGAGTAGGAGGAAGCCAAAAGCCCTTAAACCAGGGAAGGGGGGTGGTCCAGTCGTCCTTCCTTCCTGTCCGGCCCTGAATGTAACACGAGCAAAGACGATTTTTACGAACGAGCCAAGTCTGTGCTGTGCCTCTTGGCCCAAGACTCTCTCGTCTCTCTTTCCAAGTGGAGATGAATTAGTTGGTCGTGCAGTAGCAGCTTCGTTCACTTTTGTTAAGGTAGGTCGGGAGTGAGAAGAGACTAGGAAGGGACCCTAAACGCTCGACCTTTAGTTTCGAGACGGTTTTGCTGCTTATAGGCGAACCTAGGGGAATTAGTCCCTGTACCCTGCCACTCTATTTCTCTCCAACGCGGCCAGACTTTCGCCTTCTGGATGAGATAAGAGTCCAGGATCTTGGTATATAGCCCGTAAAGCAAGCCGTAGATGATCGATCCAGCGAACCAGGGATAAGCAAGACCTTTAAAGTGCTGGCAGCCGGAGGCGTTTAAGCGGCATCCGGACTGCGACGGTATCTCCTGGGGCGACGTCTGAGCCAATCAGAGATCAGAAAATGTCCGATGGAGTGGCTGGGGGTGGCTGGGGCGTTACTCGTTAAATCAAGGAAAGTTTCCTGGGAAGAAACAAGTTGACGAAGCCGTTTGGAATTACGTGTAAAGGTAAAATTGATGATGAAGGAGAAAAAAAAAGAGAAGAAGAGATTCTTTCTTGAGAGTGACTTAGCCAAAGTAAACATGAATGAAGCGGCGACAGGGCAACCGGAAACGGTTTCTTTGATGTTTGGAATGTTTAGAAGGGCTCTAGTCTCGTTTTAGTGGCCAATCTCGCGTTTGGGATCTGGACGGGGACCTGGGAGCCTCCTACGACACTTTGTTAGGTGACGTCTAAACTGCCACGTTGGCATGCACAAGACAGGCCTAAAGGTAAGCCTGCCAGGCTGAATTGTCTCATCTCTTACACCCTCTTTTTCAATGGTCGATCTTTGTGCATCATTAGTGGCTTGTTTGCGTCTCTTTTACACATCGCCAAGCTCTTATGGAACCGCATTCACCGATTTTGAAGGCGTTAATCATGAATCAATTGATGTTCAACTTACTCTTTTATCTATGTGAAACCTAATTTATTCTGTTACAGTTTATCGAGCCGCCTGACATTCAACGCCTCAGCTGACGCCAGGACCGTTTTGCAGTTGTGGCGGTGTTTCACCATCGATGCTTCTAAATCGGGATCCGTAGTGACAGTCAGGCCCAGCCGAGGATCCTTCACCGCAGATCCATACGACTTTCTGCATCACTTCGATCCCGTATATGCGCAGACGTTACCATGATCCGCATTGGCGCAATTACGGAGATTGGAAAAGTATAGAATATCAATTATTCCTCCACTCTATCATATTGCATGCCAATATCCTATAATACGAATTCTAGACGATATGCCAAGCCGTGTTTCTGTCAATATCCGTCATCCCAGCCTGTACTATCAAACTCCACTCCGATTACATCTCAACAAGCGATCCAATGAATGCGCCTCCGCTTACTTACACCATCTGTCTGCTGCTGTTTGACCGCTCATCAATAGACAAGTCCTCAAGTTCACGAATACCAGCCTTGCGGGCCTTCTTAGCTTGCTTCTTCTGCTCTTTCAGCGCCTTCTTTTCCTTGCGGGACAGCTTAGGAAATTCGCTCTCTGGCCCGCGGAGAATAAAACCAGGATGCATGATGTTCAGCAGTATAAGAGCGAGCAAGATTGGCGCAGCATCTAGACCGAGTGGATACTCTTCGTGAATGAGAAGAGTGTTATGCGCGTTAACACCAGGGCCAAATTCAACAAGGCGATAAACGATTCGTGTCTATAACGTGTCAGCTTGTTAATTCGCGACTGAATATGAGATACTTACCACAATCAAAGTGAGAACGACAACCATGGTCCAGATAAGCCATTTCATGCGCCCCATGCTTCGACCCTCAAGTTGTCGGAGCTTAAAGTAGAAGAAGACCGTGATACCGCTGAAGACGAGCACAACGACAAGCTGAAGGGCAACACCAGCCATATAGATCTTCATGCCAATGTCGACGATATTGCTGTCGGCGTCTGTGTTGGATAGCAAAACACCTCCTGAGCCCTGTACAAGGAAGAGAATGACATCTAGCCAAACAAAAAGGAGTGTCATGCGAATGGCTTTGATACCCAAGAGCTTTTGACCAGGCATACGGAAGTATATCATGCGCGCAACTGCCATGTATACAAAAGCATTGATCCCTGAGCCTGTTAGCGATGACCTATTTGTGTTTCTGGAGTACTTACAAAGAGGAGAAAGTAGAAAGAGGATTTGACCCAAAGTGAGATATGTAATGTTCTGCTGATCTCGGCTTCCAAGGGTCTTGAATGCGAATGCTATCGTTTCCCACGCTGCACCCATGATAGCCACCCAGCAGAATCTCTGCGACTTGTTAGACTCAAGGCCCTGTCAAGAGACATTTTTCGACTCACCTTTCTAAAGAGAATCGCTTGGATCAGATGGGTCATTGTAGTAAGACCAAAGAGCACACAAAAAGCAAGATTGGCGCCGAAGCTGGGATCGAAGAAGTAGTTGGCATTGCATGCATCAACTGGAACACGGCCATATTTCCCAGGAACTGCAGTTGTGCAAGTTGCGAATGCCGAAGTAGTTGTTGTGGTAGCTTCCATAAGAGTCGTGGTAGACATGGTGTAAGTCGTGTAACTCGAATCTAGTTGGTATAATATTATGGTGGTTCTGATAGTAACAGTGGTAGTTGAGCTGATGAGCTTGTCTGATAAACTCCATTTAGAGCATTCCCACCCCTTCCTCTTATACTCGACGATATGTTCCTCCGTCTTCAATTCTGCATACTTTCGGCCTCATAGTCCTTTGAGGCTCCCTTCAGATTCAGCTCTAAATCTAATTTCGGGTCATCCTACAGGGGCTCTCTGGACGGGAACTCGCTGGCTCGCCAATGCTTACGACTCTTTTGAGTCTTCATGTGGCTGTGAACCTCGACATAAAAATCAACTGCCCCGACATTTTGGAACACCAGATCTTGAAATTGACGACAGAACCAGTCAGAGTCTCCAAAAATGAAAAAGAGTTCCACTCTGCCTTGCATTGCCGGCATCACAGCTGTGGCTTTGGCCAGCCTCAAATCCTTCCATATTCCAGCTTATTCTTGAAGGATGTCGCTCATTGGCTGGATCGTCTATTTTCAAGATTGAAGTGGGGGATCTTGAGTGATGGTTTGCTTCGAGAAGGTTACTGCTGACTCTTGAATCTATCCGTGGACACGCAACTTCATTTTTTATTGTCGTTATTGGCTGGCTCGTCTGTTTTCATCAGTTGGCATCGACAACATCCGCGTCTTTACGGAGAGCTGTCTATGTAGTGTCGGATGAGGAAGACTCGCCAGAAGATTGATTGTGTTGATCGGAAAAGGTGGAAGTCAGACCCTTCTTGTTAAATATATGCTGGGAAAAGAGGTTTCGTGCTTTTCAAAGCACTGTCGCGAGAAGTGGTTGATTCACCCTCTGCAGTTTAACCAGGAGCACTAGTGACTGTTACTTCTATCCGCCTGAGTTAAGCAGAGTTTTAGCTAGTAAAGAACTCTCTGCTTCAGCTCCGGCTGACTCTGTAGGCTTAAAGTCTTGTTTAAAGTCTTGTTCTGTTACTTGTTTGAGGCTAAGTCTGGTGAACTTCTTTGGAATTTCGCGTTTAAGTTCTTTGTACTTTCTCTTGTAGCCCTTATATCTAAGGTCTGGATTAAGTTGGTTAACTCTTTTCCCCTGATTGCACTTGCTAGATTGGTGAAAATGTTAATCAGAGGGTTATCTGCTTCATGACCGTGTCTGATTGCTACATTCAGGAGGAAATATCCTCTAAGGCTTAGGCTACTATAATAAAGTAGCCTAAACACTCATATAAACTGGCATAAGAAGGCTAAACTATTTCGTTGACCAGAGGTGCCTTCTTCACCATTAATACAGCCCCCACCCAAGCCATTCGTGACCCTATACACGATGCTTTCAGATTTTCCTCCTCAATCTTTGTAAAATGACTATTTCGGCTCTTTCAACCTCTTACATTGATTCTTAATTGATGATATGAAAAAGCTTGGGACATGGCTAAGGCTTGTGATTAAATTTAATGACACCATGAACGGATTTTGTTCAACATAGTGGTATCCTGACTTGTTCTAATTAACAGCTGGCTTGGGCGTAACCTATTATTTTTCTTCTTTATATGGCATTTGACAGCGTTGACAGATATTCAGTTTCTCCAGAGACTTTCTCCATCATTCTCTGCTCCTTCTCGTAGCTGTCTATCTTTTCCGCTGACAAACAGAAGACAACGAAATCAGCATACCTCTTGCCCATGTGGAATTCCAACCTCCTATTTGCATGCTTGAGCAGGCGTTGACGAACAAATTCGGGCTTATTCGCCACCTCGGGTTCTATCAGAGCATTTCTGTCTATATCTTGCACTCGTTCCCATGTTCCAATCTCAAAGAGGATGACACCCAGAGCTAGGTAATCGGAGACGTCAGTGATGGGACAGATGAGGGACTTCAGTCTTGGACGTGGCGGACGTGATTGCGATAGGGTTGTCATGGAGAAAATACGAATCAACTTACCGTAGAGATCATGTATCCTGCTGAATCTCTCGGTCGGCAGGCCCCACCGGGCTGGGTGCCGATAAAGATTCTGGATATGGTCGTCCTGACGTTGAACGCTGGAGAAGTCGGACTCTCGGCGTGAGTACTCAAAACCTCGAACCCGTGGGTCTTCCAGGACAGCAGAGCTATCCGCTGAGCCGCCGCTGGAGTCGTGACCCAGGGGAAAGATGATGTTGTCGCTCCGCAGCGACTTGTGAAGCCACCCATACAGATGTAGGCGGTGCACTGTCTGAACGAGCGCGAGAGCCAGACGAACACGACTCTGAAGTCGAGGACGGAGAGACTTGATGGAAAGTAAGGATGCAAGGGACGGAATACTGCCAGGTGTTGCGGCGGTAGAGAGAGGAAGCCGGCTCACTAGCCCTAGGCGAGCATTGGTAGAATCGTGAAAGTAGCCGACGCACTGGCAAAGTTTGAGCTGAGGATCTGAATCGGGCCCACGATGCAGTAGAGCTGCGAGCTGGATGATCTTGTCCTGCGTGTCCGCGGCAGACCCGTCTCCATACGTTCTGTATTCAACCATGTGCCACGAGTCCGGTGTCCCTTTGAGCTGGCCAAATTGCATGACACCGCTGTCTCCACACTCCCGGAAGCTGGTTCGGGGCATCTCCAGCAGCGCCTGGCACTTGCCCGGCTGGGATAGCGATGGCTCAAGGACGAGTTTCCTGATGCTGATGCCACGAGATAAGCCCGTGTTGGCTGCGTCTGAGTCGCTCTCCAAAGGCGTGATGGCAGACAGAGACCGGGCCAGCGGCAAGGGCCAGAATGCAAGTTCGACCAGGGAACCCAGACGCTCCGTGTAGTGTTCAAACTCGACCACAAGTTTCTCCATGGCCCTCTTGTCTCGGAGCGCCCAGGTTATCTTGCTCATCCAGTCTGCTGCCTTTTGCTTATCTGCAGCGCCCTTCCTGCTCAAGGCCAGGAGCACCGCGACATCCTGCTGCGAGGTCGTCGTGCCACTGATGTCTTTCAGAACGGTAGCGAGGTCGTCGGGAGGCCTCTGATTCTGTGCGTATCGACTGTCGCGCGACACGTATTCCTGCATCAGGCTGTAGAGCTCGCAAAGTAGGCCAGCGAGGCCCTGACAAACATGGTTTGGCAAGCTGTCGATGACCCGGCCCGGCACGATTGGGTTCAACTTGGCAGGCTCAAACAAGATCTTCTCGAAAGAGTCGATGCGCGATGCTTGCACGGAGAAGCGTAGATTGAGCTTCTCGGACTCGGGGCCATAAAGTCGAAAGCCCTGCCAAGTGTCATGTATGGTCTTGCACATGGGCTTGATGAGGACTATGGCCCCTAAAGCCAGGCCAACAGGTTCCATGTCGTACGGCGATGCAACGTGCGCTCAAGCGGACAAGAAAAGGACGAGACGAAACCGAAGCTGGCCAAGCCTGGAACCATACGATATCCGTTGTTTGTGTATGCAAAGTTAGGCGAGAACTAAATACTCGTTACCCACCAAGGACAGTCAAGTGAAGAAAGCGGATAAGGATGCGCTTTACTGCATAGGCCATGAGTTCACGCAGTGGTTTGGAGGTACGATGGTGGGGGAAACTGCATGTTCTTTGTGTGCGGCTGAAGTCGACCAAAACCAACAGTGACCGTCGGAGAAAGTTAAGGTACTCCGTACATGTTTGTTGAGCTGAAATGCGCCAAGCCTGATATACCGGGGAGCTTCAATCACTTGATAGAAGGTATGGCGTTGAATCTATGCGATGGATGTCTTAGGTGGTGTTGAAGTGGTGTGATGATGCCGGTTGGAGGGTTTTGGTAGGTATCACAGCCCCTGTGCCTGGCTGCCTAAATCCAGGTACGTACCGCAACCACAAACAGCTCGTTCTCAACCCGAACCACGACGCAGACCGTCTTCCTTTGCAGGAGCAGCAGACAGTCGGCATGTGCAGCATTGGCCCGCCTTTACGATCTTCAAGTCCTTGATGACGATTGTTATGCTGATTTCAATCTCGGCCCGCGGTAAGTTGCGGCTCGTCATGTCTAGAGCTGTCGCCGTCAACAGCCAGCCCTTTTGCCGTATGCGAAAATGAGTCTTCAAAGTATTATTTTCTCCAGTCGAACCGTGCTCTCGGATCTGTCGACTCTCTTGGGCTCGTCAGAGGGAGCCACGCTCGCGGATGGGAATTCTGCATGTGCCGATCAGAGCACCGGAGCTGATCATCAGGCTGGCTCAAGCTCAACGCTACAAGACATCCCACGCATCTGGAGTCTACTTTTCGAAAAGACGGAGCCTACACCCACGCTGCCATTGGAACCGTTGCGTCTCGTGCCCGGGAAATTGATATACTTCAAAGCCTCGCATTTCGAGCTCATCCGTAGTAAGGACTCAACCGACTCTCCTAGGGTTGGCGAGGGCGCCTGCTATATTGTCGAGAAGCGCAGGCTATCTGCTCTCCATGGAGGCTCTGTGATAGCCGTCAAGACACCAAAGCTCCGCCGGTCAGCCTCATCGAATGCCGTCGCCTCTCTCGTCCTACGGGAGCTTCAAATCCTTACTCATCCACCGCTTCAAGCGAACGACAACATTGCATCCATCATAGGGTACTACTCGTCCCAAGTCATCGACGACAGCTCGCTTGGACTGAGTCTCGTGACGGAACTCGCGAGCCATGGAACTCTGAGTGACTATCTTCGTCGACCTTTGATCGAGGGCCGTGGGCCGCATGCGCTGACAACAAAGCTCGGTTTGCTCCATGATGTGGCCAGTGGTCTGGAGGCACTCCATGCCTGCGGCATCGTCCAGGGCGATGTTAAGACCGAAAATGTGCTGGTCTTCGATGCCAAGGATGACAAGTACGGCCAAGTGACAGCGAAATTGTCTGATTTTGGACACGCCATCACATTTCACAAAGACAAACTTGACGAGAAGAAGCTCTATCTTGGGACTCTGGTTCTCAATGCACCCGAGGCAAGACACCGGGATGCTGTCGCAGCCCGAGACCTTTGGAGATGTGACGTCTTTTCATATGGACTTGTAATCTGGGAAACCATTATCGACGGTGCCAGATACTTTTCTGCTGTTGACGACCCAGCTCTCCAGAACGGCGTAATCGACTGGCTAGATTCTTTGCCGCAAGACGAGATGATTCGACTAGCCACGATCTCTCTCAATCAGACCTACGGTTCCCTGGAACGACCATTACTAGACACGACTGAGCGGATATTGAAAGCCTCACTACGAGATGACAGTAGTAACAGAAAAGAAGTGAAGGACATCACTAGAATTCTCCGTCAGCAGACTTTCCTGGCGGCCATTGCTCGGTGTGTTCTGAGACTCTCGCGTGCCTGTCGAACCAGCCGTACTAACTTCAATTGCAAGTGCTCGATCTGCAGACAAAGCTATTCCGGCCCAACCCTTTGCACCCGACGGGGGAGCCTCCCGTGATATGGTCCGTCAGGTAGGCGACTGTGGTCATCTCTCGTCCGCTATTCTGAGCTGTATAGAAATGCTGATGATTCCTTAAGGATGGGCTCGACATGGTTCCCATGCCAGTCCGCGAGTCGATTGTGCAGCAACTAGAGAGGACATCACTGAGTCACGATGCATCCACGCCGATCCGGCAATCTGCGCACCTTGACCTTGCGTTTGCGTCTTTCTGCAACTTCAGAGGCAAGGCTGATCCGTCGCGGGGCATGAAACATCTTCGAGATGCCGCAGCGATGGGCTCGAGCGTAGCCCTCGCCATCTACTGCCGCTTACAGGGCGTTTTTGACACCGAAATGAGTCTCGCTGACACGGAGTTGTCACCGCCCCTATCTGATCTGAGAACGAGGCTCCTGGCGCTGCCGGGTGGCTCTCCGCTCTCGACTTGGCTGCGTGCCATCGAAGCTTATCACCAGCGTCAGGCACTACAGACTAGGGTACGTGTAACCCTCGGTGATCAAATGCTCATAGATGGGGTATTCCTGGACGCCATTGAGATGAATTCAGGACATCCTGACGGATTGGATGTCGAAGCCTTGACGGCCACTGTTGTCAGTTCTGTTGATACGCAGGCAAACCCTTGCTTCGAGTCCCCTTTGCTAGTCGGCATTGCTTGTCGACTCGGCAATCTCGATCTTGTTAAACAAATCCTTGCTTTACATTCGCCCCAGCATTTTCCAGAGAAGAGCCGTTACCTGGTTGGCAACTGTCTTGTTCAGGCCTGTCGAGGTGGTCACATCCATGTAGTGGAATACCTATTACGGCACGTTGCTGAGCCCTACTTTTTGTGGCCAGAAAGCGACACAGGCATTCACTGGCTATTCATGATTCAGTCTGAAGAGCAGCAGAGAGCTCTGGATCTGATGACTAACACCTCTCATATGTGGCATACCAGTTTGTTCCACAGGGTGCCGGAGCCGGGCGTCCATGTTGGCCTTGCCACACTGACTGGCTCTCCCATCGAGTTTGCAACCGCTGTCGGTGCAACTTCAACCGTGGAGCTACTCGTTACCAGGATCACCGAGCTGCAGCAAAAGGGTTTCCTTAGCCAAGTGACTGAGGTCCAGTTTCGCCAAGCCATTATGAGACATGTAGCCTCATCGGTCGAAGCTCTGCTACCACTGGAAATACGCCGGCGTAGAGGCCACAATATCGAATCAGCGTTGGCCCGCCTAAGATTGTCGCAAGGAAAGACAGAGTTTCGACCATTTGGCATCTTCGATGTAGGCCGCTCTGTCAGCTCTCTGTCTTTAGCTCTTCTGCACGGGTCCGCGAAAGCCATGTCTCGAGCCATAGAACATACCATCGACGTGATATTGACATCGAAAATTGCGCATATCAACGATGTCGATGATACTGATATGGCCCAGACGCCTCTGATCGACGCTGTGCGATGGGCGCCGTGCTCCTTCGACACCGAGATCTTGGCGTCATTCATCTCAAGGGGCGCCCATCTGGGGGATATGCCCGCACCTGTGATCCTCTCAAGACTCATAGCACCAAGACCAACCGGAACAAAGTGTCCTGTCATGCGAAGACTGGTAGAGGCTGGGTTGCTGAAGATCAACGACAGCCTCATTTTGCAAGCCGTCGAGACTGCCGACGTCGAGATTGTTAGCGCCCTCCTCGACTATCAACTCGTCCCTTCCTTGAACCGACCACTCAAAGTGCGGGGCGATGCTACCGGAATCACCCTGTTACAAGCGGCTGTGCTCATCCCAGGTGGTGCAGGCCTTGTGCGTTTCCTCATCGAGAAAGGGGCAGACATTGACGAGGCTGGAGATAGTCTGTCGCCGCTCGAGCTATCCCTGATAAAACCATCCGATCCAGACGTCATTGATCTCTTAGTGAACAAAGGAGCTGATCTCAAGGCGTCCGGATATCCAACTGTGATCCATCTGGCAGCTAGTCTTGATGTCTTCGTCAACGGCAGCCATGTCCTTTCACACCTCTTGCGCCACGAGAGGGTTCGAGCAAGGCTGGCAGAAAGCCAGGTCACTCAGCAAGGTGACATCATATTCTCTCCGGTGCATGTAGCGTGCTTGGTAGCCAATGTAGAAGCCGTGGCGGCGCTCTTCGAGGTAGGTGTCCAGCTGCCACATAATGATGGAACGATGGACGTTCTCGCGCAAAGTATACTCGCAGCGAAACGACCGCACCTGAACAAGCTGCTCCGTGTCCCAGAAGATGACCAAGATGCAGTGTTTCAGTGGAAGGCAAGATCGGAACGGTTGATACTGTACCTATTGGATCGGCTTGAGAGCAATCATGGTCAAACACCGCTTCACGTCGCCTGTCAAGTCGGCAATCTCCGTCGTGTTCAGGATTTGATCGAAGAGGACTTTAGAGCTCTTTTCGCTACGGACTCTCATGGCCGTCTTCCTATTGATTTCCTCGAGGACCCAATTCTTCTTGAGGAACAACGGTCTGACCGCGAAGACATTTCAGAACATACTGTCTCAAATGCACAGCAACTGCTCAATTATATCGAAATGGCCGTGGATAGGAAACTTTTCTCCGCTGCAGAAGAGTTCATGTCGCAGAATATGGATGAAGAGAACCTCAACCACCTCAAATCTCGTTTGTCCCTGGGACAGACACCGGCAAATGATGTGTCTAATGGTGATTCTACAAGAGCCGCTAGGCCAAGCACCGACTTACGAATTGTCTCCGAGCCAGAGCCCCTGGGTCACGGAGAGAGTTTCAGCGCGCTCGCAGAGAAATTAGCAGAGAGTGGCAGGGAAGGAAGAGCCAGTTCGGTCCAAGAGGGCGCCGATGCTTGCTTCCTTGACGGAAACATGGACCCGGAAGAGGCGCTGCCTATTGTAAGGGAACTTTTTGGGCGAAGAATTCAGCAGCTCGGCGAGCTTCATGAAGAGACTCTGGAGGTTAATGAAACACTCTTGGAACTCGTCGGCATCCTCAACCGACAAGATGAAGCCGCGGATATGGTGGCTCAGCTGCTTAGACGGCGGCGAAAGATACACCAGCAGGACGATACACGAATATTTGAGAGCTGGCGAGACAGCGTCATCGTAATGCTGAATGAGGGAAAAAACGAGGAGTCTGAGAAAGAACTGTGCAAGGCCATGAGCGCTGCAAAAAGCTCTCTCGGTGCGTCCCACCTGTCATATTTATTGTTCGTGCCAATCCAAGCCACATTTGAATGCTTGCGTGGCAACTACAGTGAGTGTTTATTGACCAACAAGCGGCTCCTGGAGACTCTCAAAGCAAGGGAGCATCAGACTCAACGTGGAATAAGCCTCCGATCAGAGGTATTGGTGCATTTATGCTACCACGGCCTGGGTGAGGGTGACATGGACACCGTGAGAAAACACATGACTGCTGCGTTAGAGTGCCTGAATCACACCGAACCACGTCGTTTCCTAGCCAATTTCGACGTGATGCGGAGTCTGGCGACGGCAATCGAGGAGGCCGATGTCGTCCTTTCTCAAACGTTGTGGGAAGAGCTTGTGAGCATCTGTGTGAGCCGCTGTGAGCCTCAAGGCTATTGCATAGTCGAGTCACGACGGCATCTGGCCCGGATTCTTATGAGCCGCGACATGTTCCAAGACGCCTATGATCAGTACCACCAACTCACTCAAGCTATACTTGTTCGCAAGGGCCAAGACGATGAGGCAACACTCCTGGCGTCAACGGATGAGGCACGGGTGCTGCACAAACTGAACCTCAACCCGGCTGCCTTGAATCTGCTTCGCCCGGCGATCAGAGGGCTTGAGAAAAGAAAAAGCGGACGTGATGAGGATATAAAAACGCTCGAGGCGAAAGTGTTGCTAGCGCAGATACTGCTTGCGCTAGATGATCTAGACGAATGGGAGGTCGTGGCCCGCGAAGTAGCCGGCGAATACGCGCAACGGCAGCCTACAAGCGACGTCGCTGTGGATTCCAAGCGAACTCTGGCTGTGACCCTAAGCAGGACGGGCAGGTCTTCAGAGGCGAGCCACATAGCTGAGGAGTGCCTTGAGATCACGACCGAAGTACACCAAGAGAACCATCCGCGGACCATGGCTATTGTTGCCGAGGCACAGCTGTACCTAGTGCGATGTGAGCAATGGGCCCCGAGTGTACGCATGGCCGAGAGAGGATTGGCCATTGCAAAAGCCTTGCACGGAGAGTCGAGCCATGAGGTTGCTGGCTGGCTCCATCTTCTCGGAACCAGCATGGGCCTGGCCGATATGGAAGGGGGGCTCGAATTATTGCTGCAATCGATCGATATGACGGTACAACTGGCTGGAGGAGCGCACAGCCGCTCGTCATTGACTAGCATGTGGTCTGCCGGAGGTCACTTGCGTAAAAGATCGCCCCAGAAGGCCTTGAAGATGTTCTGCGAGGTGCTCGAATCCTGCGACTCACTCGACGATGAGCCGCGGAGTCTCAAAATTCGAGTCCGCACAGACATCGGCCGCTGCTATGCTGACTTGGAGCAGTACACCGAAGCGCTTCCCCATCTCGAGCAGTCTCTCCGGGAATCACGACAACTCTGGGGAGATTCGGCCAGAGAGACGGTTTCAGTCCTTGACTCCCTTGTAAACGTGCTATTGCCTATGGGAAGAGCGAAGGAAGCGCTTGCACTTGCGCACGAGGTACTCGATTTCTTCGAGTCGACAACGGCGCGCTCAGAGGACGAGCTGATCGACGCCAAGAGCCGTCTTGCCGATGTATACTACAGTCTGGGTAAGTGCTCGGCCGCTGAGCGCCTTTGGGAGCAGGCCCTCAAGGACCTCACCGAGCTTGGTGATGAAGCAGATCAAGACAAGGTAGCCAGCTACCGCCATAGCCGCGCGCGTGCTTTGGTTGAAATCCTTGACTTTGAAGAAGCTGCGAACATCTCATCGCTAGCCTTTGACTATTACCAGCGTACGAAGGGGCCTGAAGCAGAAGAGACGCTCTCAGTCTCCATAACTAGGGCGTACATCAATAGCCTCTTGGGCAACAAGGCTGCTTCTGAGACGACTCTACTTGGTATTATCGAGTTATCGAAGCGGACTCAAGGTCTTGACTATGTTGTCGGCCACGCCGAGGCAAAGCTAGGAGGGCTTTGGATCGAAATGGGCAAACACCAAGAAGCAGAGAAAGTCTTATTGAGAGCTGTGCAGCGCATCGAGACAGACTTTACAGCACGCCATCTACTATGTAGAACGTACAAAGAGCAGATGAAGTACGAAGCGGCTGAGGAACAGGCGGCTATGCTGCTTTCCATGGTATCAGAAGATGTGGATGAAGAGGCCATTGACGCGGAGCTTCGGCTTTTTGAATTATATGCGGCCATGGATGACTTTGATAAAGCCCAAGCATGGGCCGACTCGCTCTTTGACCGCCTCAAACACTTGACGGACTACCAGGGTAATCCACTTGATGTCGCTAGTGCTCTACAGCACTTGATCAAGTTCTTTGAAAGGACCAAAGATGAGCAAAGACTGTTTGAAGCACAGGTTGTGGTAAGTTCCGAGTATCCCCACTACCCCTTACGTCTCAGCCTACCTCTCTCACCTCGCCTCCACTGAGACGAAGGCTAATAAGCGTCTCATACACAGTTGGAGCATGTACGCGAGACTTTGCCTCTGCGTCTGAAGTCGAATCTGCTCTTGCGTTCTATCAGGAGTCGAGAGGGAAAAAGCCACAGTGAATAGTGCATGAAACGAGAGCCAATATTCCATCACTTCCTTGAAGATCAAAGCGGCCTCCTGAATATATGAGGATGGTGGAACCTTCTTTTTGATGCCAAACGACTTACCAGTCGGGTTCTGCTAAAGGCAGGCCAGACACAGCATATTGGTGTTTCTTTGTATCATCGTGTTTACTTCACCTGTTTTTAGTTTGAAAGCGAGCAGATCTTGACTTCTATCGCGACTTGACGCTGGTAATGGACGAACAGGTGGGTGGGTGACTTAGAAGAATTAATCCAAGGTTTAGGCTACAATAATAAAGTAGCCTAAATGCTAGTCTAAGCCAGCATAAAGTGACTAACTTATTTTGTCTCTTAGGCTTTCGGGTCAATTCTTCTGATACACCGAGGACGAGGCAGATCGAATGGACAAACTAATAACCTCAGCTGTATGGACCCTATCCGCACCAACCTCACTGCTGCTGTGGCGCTATTAGTAGTAGGTACGCAACATTGGTTCCGACTCAACAGCAAGAGTCAACCATCTCATCTTCGCACACAAAGTACTTCAGTTCACAGGGCAAGCAATCGACCAGTATGACCCAACAGAGCGAGCCAATCCGATCTTTATTGGCGTTAAGCCAGGGAGGGACTCTTCTTTCAAAGATAAGCTTATGGAAGTTACGAAGACTGTTACAACAGCCGGTTGGATTCATGCAAATAACAATTGGCTTGAGCCGTTTTTGCAATCGCAATCCCCCACTAATAAGGCTATCTTCTATGATAAATTAAGCAAGTCATTCAATGAAAAGACCGTAGCTCTGGTTCCCAAAGAGCATCGGCAGCGAATGATCCACTCTTTACTAAAGCGAAAAGCGCAAACAGGCACTGTTACTAGAATCTACAGAACCACAACCTTTTATTACTAAAACCTCATTAGTAAAGGAACCAATATTCACTGAGACTACATTAAGTTCTATTGCCCGATACTTAGAGAAGATTGCATAGAGCCAATGCAATCTCTCTCTTGGTCATGAACTCAAGGCCGCCGTTTCAGACCGAATTTTCCACCTCAATGAGTATAATCAAACTGCCGAAAAACAGTATATCCTTAAACAAGAGAAGATAAACAGAGAGATGCAAGTTGCAACAAAGCATATTCAATGGGCATGGCTCGCCTTCAAGGTCAGGACTCCGATAATGACCACACTGCCGTTAGAGTGTCGGAAGAATTGGTCGCCCAGAGCATAAGAGATAAAATAATTTAGTCACTTTATGGCTGTTCAGACCAGCACTTAGGCTACTTTATTTTAGTAGTCTAAGCCTTAGAGGATATTTCTTCTGTAACCCACCTAGCCGCTATCCTGTGCCTGTGCCTGTGCCGCGTTGATTAACGGGATTTGATCTATCAAAATCGAGGCTCACTTTGAAAGTGAGCGCTCCTCTAAGCTCAAATAAACTTGATTCACAAAGTCTAGATCGTCCAATCCGCAATGCTGGAGATTGACAAGCATCTCTTAGTGGTGCCAAGCTTCGTACAAGGACCCTTCTTTCTCCACTCTGACATAGAACCCTGGAATCCTGAGAAGCGTCGTGACATTCACCAGCCTCTCTGGTTGGAGAGTTTCTTCGATAGGGACTGTATAGCCAGGAATATGCCTAGTTGGAGTTGAGGGATCTTCGGTGCGCGCTAAACTCGGCGCAGTCAACATGACACAAAAGAGTAGCCAGTTTGCAGGTGATAGACTGGTTGATTAATTTTGGGCAGTAACAGAACTATCTTTCTCCTGAAACCCCCAACTGGTTGCCTTTTCCCACTTCCCATTCACTCTCGTGATACCATCAGTGTCTATCATTTGCTTGGCTGTCGGAAGCCGATCGACAGACTTGTCTTGTCTTGACTTGACTCAAACTCGAATTGACAGTGCACAGGCCCGCTCTTTCCTTCCCCTCCTTCACAATTCCACCTCCTCATCTCTCCTTCCTTATATCGTGATAAACGCAAACAAAGGAGGGAAGGAGACTGGGACTCTCGTTGACCGACACTACAAACTCATCTCCTCAATCCCTCCAGGCAACCCATCAGTCCTTAACAACCAACCTCCAACCTAGAGTCTCAGCAGGGATATGCTTTTTTGATTCATTCTTGAGTATCGCTTATGATGCCTATCAAGGTCAAATCCAAGAAGCTTCCTGCTCCCCGCGAGGGGAGCCCCATCTCCATCCGCCACGACTACGAAAACGATTTGCCTTATATCAGCCCTAACGATAGCTTCCGCGAGGTCGTCAAGAAGCTCTCCCTGTGAGTTCGATAACCATGAACCAATTGATCTTGACTGATGCGTTTCCAGATACTTTGTTGCAGCTATTGAGCTGCCCAGCACCTTTGAGCAGCTGAGGACTACAGCTGCGGGGACATCGTTACGCATCCTAGTGGATCATCTTGCTGCAACATGCACCAACCCTGCTATCGTCAATGCTCTCCTGTACGTATCACTTGGACAGCATCATGCTGGTCAATTGTTTCTTTTTCAATGTCCTCCTCGAATCTTGTATCGCTATTCTCCTGAATGGTACTTGTGGCTGCATAACAAGAACCGTCAGGGGAGCCAATCACAGAATCGCCCATCCCATCTTCAGCCTGGCTGCATATGCCGTGCAACTCTGATGCGAACACGCGCTCTCAAATCTTTGTACTTCTCAGCTGACAGAGCTGCTACAGCGCCCTGAAATGGCATTATACGTCTTCTTCAGAACATCGCACATTGGGAGAATCCCGCGCTGATGCATGTGAAATCGTTGCATGGCGCTTTCTCACTCGACTTTCTGAACGTGAAGCAGTCAATTACTGTCTCTACGAGATCCCCGACTCTAATGAGGATCACCAAGAAGAAGAGGCCGGTAATGGTCATGTCGGAGCAGAGGAAGCTGGAGAGCACGCTCCTCTTCTCTCCCATGTTCGCAACATTGACAACCGTCGACGTGGTCCTGGCCCTGCTGGGAGTAGCATGAAGCGGAATCAACTTCTAAGTTCTCTCTCCCGCTTGACTATGACATCCGATGACGAGGACAATGAGGATGACGATCCAACATCGTCTTTTAAGAACCTGAATGCTCTCGAGATTGCCGCCATTGCCGACGCAAAACGCTTCCTCAGTCAGCACATAGTGCAGAAGATCATCACCGCTATATGGAGCGGCGATATCGTCTTTTGGGACAGCTTATCGGTGCACTCAACCAAGAAGGTCCGGTTCTATAACCCTAGGACAGCGGACCCCTTTTCTCGGTTGCGTGTGCCCAAATATCTCAAGTGCTGGGAGGTGGTGTTCTTCTGCTGTTTCCTCGCCCTGTACTACTGTGTTCTCATTGTGCGAGACGAGTCCCGAATCACCATCCCTGAGGTGATCCTTTTCTTCTGGATAGCGGCCTTCTTCTACGATGAACTTAGCGAGTGGCTCGATGCAGGCTCCATCTTTTATGCCACAGATATCTGGAATTTGTTTGACATGATCATGATCACTATCGGTTTTACTTTTGCGATCCTGCGTAAGGAGCACAGTTTCTGTAAAGTAGAACACGCTAACTGATGACAGGCACTATTGGTATCCTCCAAAACAAACCTGAGTTGAGTGACCTGGCATTTGACATTCTGGCGCTTGAGGCCCTTTTTATGATTCCTCGCATCTTTTCCATCCTGAGTCTAAGCCCAGCTTGGGGTACATTGATACCTTGCTTGAAGGAGATGGGTAAGGACTTCTTCAAATACATGGTACTGGTTGTTGTCGTATACTGCGGCTTTCTGACGACCTTTTCGCTCGTTGGTCGCGATGTCTTTGCATTCAAGTCGATGGCTTGGATCTTGACGAAGATATTCTACGGCTCAGCACCCATCGGCTTCGAGGTGATGAACCAGATCGATCCGTTCTTTGGACCGCCTCTGATGATTATGTTCATCACACTTTCTAGCTTCCTGCTGATGGGTTCCCTGACTGGTATGCTTTCCAACAGTTTCTCGCGGGTTATCACCCACGCTAAGGAGGAGTACCTGTACGTGTACAGCGTCTATGTCTTGGAGGCGTCGACTAGCAACCGACTCACCCATTTCTATCCTCCCTTCAACCTACTCGCTCTGGTCATTTTCCGACCTTGGCGTCTGATCTTTTCGGCGGACGAGAGGTTCCGTGTCGGGCGTATCATGCTCCTCAAGGCTACTCATTGGCCTATTGTTAGCATCATCAAGCTGTATGAATTGTACCGCAAGCCTGGAGCTCTGGAGGACGAATTCGCAGGGTTCAAGGGCCCGTCGCACTCTTCTAGGCGCAACGGCAGACAGGCGATTGCCCCGAAGCGATCTACATCCACCGTCGGTCGCCAGGCTCTTAGATCTCCTAGAGGGCGAACAAATGGTCAAACCGCCGAGCAGCGTGAGGATGATATGGATGCCCCAACTGCCATGGAGGTGCACCTCAGTGAGCTGAATCACAAGATTGACCAACTCACTGCGGTTGTTCTGGCGATGCAAGAGAAGCAGGCTGGTGGAAGTGGCGGTGGAAGCTCAGATGCGAGTGCCACCGCCGCCTAACTGCGGTTCTTCCACGATCGGGCCGGTCCGTTGAAGCTCTTGAACATTGGGGTTCCTAAACACAGGGCCTCTTTCTGCACGGGTCTCATCGGTCGAGGTCAAGAGTGGGTATGTCAACAGAGGGGCCGGCCACGAAGCGTTCCAGAAGTTCTGGTGTGATGTGGAGAGTGGCAGTGGAGAGGCGGAGAGCAACGGCTCTGAAGATCAGCTATCGCTGTGGAGATAAACTTTCTGCTAAACCACAAGATAAAAGACCCCAGATCTGGGCCTTTTCCTTGAGGGTGCTTGGATTTGACTTGTTTGTATTGTTTGATACCTTTATCGGAGTTACCTAGCATTAGAATGACAACCTAAATCGCATGATTACGAAGATCCTTCTTGCATTTTGTTATATCCTACGAATACTTGAGATCAAAGGATCAAGCTGTAATGAGAAAGCCAACGGGACTTCCTTCTGGCATGGATTGCCTTTGATATCCGCATGCTCTGTGGGTTGTCGGTCGATAAGACAAGTCTAGTAATGTTCTACGGGCTTTCCTTTTACTTAAAGCCGTCATATGCCGTTGCAGATCCAATTGACATCTTCTACGAGGAGCAGACTCGTGCCTGCATACCGACTAGCTCAGACTGCTAGTTTGAGCCGCAGAGCCTTGGACCAAGATAACCGACAAGATTGGTTCAGGAATAGAGTGCCCGGTGAGCGGCAAGCGTCGGCGTGGGGAAGATCGCGTGTAAGTCAAGTCAAAGTCAAAGTCACAAGTGAAGGGTATTGCGGGGAGGACGAGTCCAGTTTTCGAGAATATCTTTGGTTCAATGGGCGGTCAGACTATTGGATTCGGAGTGTTTTTGTTATGGAGTTGATGTGTGTTCGGTTTGTGATGGAAGTTTTGGTGTTTGGTTAGCTTAAGCGGGTTCTTGTGGGTTACACGATACCTCTGCTTTTGACACACACATACCTACCTACACAGACACTCTGGGATTGAATCAAGTCACCCGGATATATGTAGTTATAATGAACTTTTGAACAAATATATAGATGAATGTAAATCCTCTACTATCCGCGACAAACCGGCGACGTATAAACTCGGCACCGGGTCCGAACGGTCCGCCGATCTCGGCGCCCCGGGAGTCAGTCCTGGCCCTGACAGAACGAACTTTCGTATCAGCTCTCGTCCATATCAAATCGGGGGGTCCAAGTAGTGGGGGATCGTTTAGCTTTAGTTACACCAGCCCACTAAGGGATTTGCTTCGGGGTTTACAACCGTTCGTTCGTTCGTCTATCCTATCCCATGCTCATGCCCCTAGCTGTTATTTTTTTCCTTTCCTCTGCTCCGACCTAGCTCTGTGTTCCTGTTTTATTCTTCCCCAGCTTGCTTCCTCTCTCTTTTTCCCCTACTCTCGTCATATTTACATCCTCGAGTAAAGGAAGTTTCACGAACAAGAGAAGGATTACTGTCAGGAATAAGGAATCATGAAGGACTCTGATGCGCCAGCCCTGGCTCTGGCCGGGACAACTACCCCCGAGCAAATCACCGCCAACAAAAACACATGGAACACCAAGAACTTGACATCACGACTCGGCGCCGATTTCCTATCCGCTGCGAGCGCAGCCTCCATGGTAGCGCCTCTCATTGCAATCATCGACCGGTAAGGTCCTCTCCGTATCATGTTTTGTTTTGCGCATACTCCAAAAACAGAGACATGACCGACATCGCAAGAACCTTCAAAACTGACTGACATCATGACAGCTCCATCATGGAAAACGCTTCAGGCGCAAACACCCTCGCCAACTCGGTCAAATCCTCGCTTCGAACCCTCTTCACCCGCCCTCACACCATCCTCTTCTCAAAACCTACCGCGCTCATCTTCTGCCTCTACGGCGGAACGTATCTCACCGCCAACGCCGTCGATACATCGTTTTCCACCGCAAATAACAAGCCCGCCTCGAGCGTCACCGCCGGAACGACCAAATTCGCAGCTTCCAGCGCCGCCAACATTGGTGTTTGCATTTACAAAGATCAAGTCTTTGTGCGCATGTTCGGTCCTCCTGGTGTTGTTCCCAGACCTGTACCTCTTGCCTCATACGGTCTTTTCGCGCTGCGCGATTGTATGACCATCTTTGCTTCATTCAACGTTCCTCCTCTACTAGGTCCTTACCTGGACTCAAAGTTCTCAGAGGAGATCAAGAAGAAGGTATCAGGACTCTACGCAGCGCAATTCATGGCACCTGCTATGGTGCAGTTCATTTCCACACCGATGCACTTATTCGGTCTCGATCTCTACAACCGTCAAGCGACTGGACCCGGCGGCGCAGTAGTATCTCTACGCGACAGACTAGATCTAGTGCGCCGCAACTGGTTCATCAGCTCCGTTGCGCGAATCTGCAGAATTGTTCCTGCGTTTGGAGTGGGCGGTGTCGTCAACATGAAAGTGCGCAAGAACCTCATGACCAAGCTGGAATAGAAAGAGATCGCTCCCAGCCGCTGACATCACATTCTCACGTCAACACCCTAACGACGGGTATGACTTCATTTTACTGGTTTTTGGTTTTCTGGTTCCTGGCGTTTTCAGTTACGCGGCTGCGTAATAAAATGGTTGCATTTTGTTTGTTTGATCCTGTAACGGTTCACGGCATTTGGGGTTGATGTTGCATTTCATGGTTTCAAGGATGGCGAAATGCACAAAGAGCATACGACGATGATTCACTGTCAATGATAGACTTTTAGAATATAGACGGGCTGACTGCGTATAAGAGTCAAGACTGACACGGCCGACTTAAACATGAAAAGAAAATACAATTACCACAATATGCACGAGTCTACAATGTGAAGAAATCGGATTACATCAAGGTTCACATAAGGCCAGGAAAGTCAATTGAATTGTCGCTTTCATTCATCATGCATATGCGCTCATCATGCTTTCCACTTCCACCTCCATCCGCACTCGAAGTGCTCCTGACTTGCTCACTATTTGGCTTCTCGCAATTCTGCGGTATCTGCCTTTTGCCATCCTATCTTCACCACAAACTCGGCTTGCTGAGCTTATTTCTACTGCGCCTCGATGGCCTTGAAACCATGCCTACTCTGACCATCCCTTCCGCGATATGCTGCGTAGAGCCTGGCCACATCTGCCTATCCTCGGTTCCTACTTTGAACACCCTCCACAGGCCTAGTCAACCTTCGGTGAGGAACTAACGAAAAATAAAAGTAAAAGGAAAAAAGCACTGAGCTCAGTCATGTGATATCAAACGGCACTCCAACGGCCGGACATCTGCCAAAAGGTAAAGATGTCAAAGAAGAAAGTACACAAAAAGGGGTAAAAGAGCAAAAGAGGGGGGCATTGCATGCCCAACGAAAGACAACGAACGTCTGGTACACTGAACGTAAAGGCTTTTGCACGTCCAGCTAATAAAATGGTATCAAAGAAGCATCAAGTTCCTCGCCGACGTGTCGTCATGAATCCGCACAAACTAAAACAAATAAATAAAAAAGGGAAGTAGGCGTGTCGTCCGTTGGGGACTCATAAAATATTGTAGATCCGTCAGTCGAAGGGAAAAACGCACGTCATCAAGGTGCCAGGCTCTGTACTGTAGTGCAAGGGTTCGGAGGACCAGAATATACAATGTCGGTCCAGATGCTACCCTCGTTGGTGGAGTTTTAACTCTCAACTTAGATCCGGGCACTCGAGTAATGCAACCAAGCTGAAACACCGTCGTCGTCAGCTAAGTCCAGGAACTCATACGGCCTCCACATAGAGAAGAAGCTTCTCGTTCCGTTGAAGAGCAAAATCCAGATCGTTGTCGCTGATCATGTTGAGCTTATCTCCTGAAGGTTCATCCTTGTAGAAGAGCTGGACTTCCTCATTGGCCGGAACCTTCAGGCGATCACAGATCTTGTCGTAGAGAGCCTGGAATGAGATATCGGTTGGTACACGAATGGCGATGAGATCACCATTGAAGTACATCTTAATCTTCATAGCGGATGCTGGTTGTGCGGGAGGCTGCATGCCTGCACCGCCTAGTGAGGCTTGTGAAGGCTGTGACAAAGAAGATGGTTGTCTGTGCATGTCAGGGTGCTCTAGTGCCCCATATCCACCACCATTCAGATGGTTCTGCGACCCGCCAGCCGGAGATTCTGCAGATGACATTTGAGAGCCTTGTGACAGACGGTATTCATCTTCATTGTCGTTGGGGTCGATTTCGTAATCTCCTTCGCGAGGCGCAAAGAACTGTCGCACCAGGTTACACCTCGAGATGTAATGGGGTTGGTTGAGCATGTTCTTCACGTAGGCATCCAGGTTATGCAGTCGTCCTTCGGTGATCGCATCTGTGACATAGTTGACAGGACCGGGCATGTATGGCAAAGTACGCTTCTGTGTACCTGTGTTGCCAGCCTCGGCCGGGAACTCGGTGAGGAGAGCAATCTGGAAATCGTAAAAGTCCTCGTAGTAGCGAGAAAGCTCCCATTGTCGTCCATCTTCGAGCACGGCTTCGATAACGAACCAGTACTTGTCCTCGGCAAAACAGTATCGTGGTATACGTGCTTCGAGGGGTGCGTGGAGAGGAGCCGCGGGTTTTTGCATTTGGCTTTGCTGAGGTGATTGCTGTTGAGACGTTCGGGGCTGACTGGCGTATCCTTGCGGCTACATAGATATTAGTTTCCTCCTTGACTAGAAATGGCATATGGTATACACTTACTGTGCCGTTTTGCGAAGGTTGTCGGGAATGCTGCTGTTGCTGGATGCTCATACGTTCCATCCCTTGCTCAATACCTTGTCCCGGTTGACCAGGAGCACCTGAGTCGAACTTGCCCAAAGTGATGCTGCTGTTCTTGTATTCGGCGGCCATCTTCTTCCATTCTTCCACCTTGGGAACACCAGCACGCTTAATCGCATCTCCCGGGTTCTGAATCGCTTTATCGCTTGCCATATCACGAATTTCAACGAATGAAACGGGAATCAATCCAGGACCGCCCAGTCGACCTATGGGCTTGGCGACAAACCACTCGGGATTCGATTGGGCAATGACAATAATGGCCTCACCAGCCTTGGCCTCCAACTCGTCTGCCCTTTCGGCGGCGAAGTCGTACATGACAATTCCGTAGACCATCGCACCCGACTTTCCGATTGATTTAGAGTTGCGCTGATGACCTGGTTGAAACGCAGCATTGGTAGTGGGTGACATTACGGCTGGCGCAGGATGCATTGCTGGCGATTCGCTGTATCCGGAATCATGATCGGGGTTCTTGGTTGGGATGGGAGGTTGGCCACCATCGGATTGCGCACTATCTCGCTCGGTTCGGCCCAGGGCTTGGAAAAAGGTGACAGGCACGAGACCTCGAGCGTCAGGAAGAGCTGGGTTGCATGCTTCGTACCAGTCGTCATCGTCTTCTCGGCCGATAACGTGGAAAAAGTCGCCTCTCGAAAAGCTGAGTTCTTGGCTGGATCGAGCCTCGTAATCGTAAAGCGCTCGAATGACCTGAAAGTTGGGTTGGGCATCAGCATTTGAGCTTCAAGATTAATGTCCAGTTGACCGTGAAACCATGGCAGTGCCCAAAGTGGCAAAGCGGTTGGAGTACTATTGAGGCTTATGGTTTGCGTGGGAGTGGGAGGCCACCAACCTTCTTTGGAGGAACAATGGCGACTGCCGATTTGGGAGTGACTGGTCCTTTGTCCTTGTCACCTTTGATCGAACGTCGAAGAGCCTGTACGAAGCGCATTACTGTTAGCTTTTTGACTCGAGTATTGCAGAGCGCCAGCAAAGGCGACGCAAATAATTAAGTAACGACGAGAGCGCCTTGCACGAGTGCAGTCGAATGCGGCGGGGGAGGGGGGCAACCCAGGCAGTGAGAAGGAGATGAGGATAACGCCTTGAGAGGCACAAGAAGTTGGACGCAAAGCACAACATGATGATGACCTGTAATGAGAGGCATGAACGACCGAAAAGGGCAATGACGAACCTTCATTTTTGTGTAACCGAATGCCTCCTGGGCAGTTGCAAGTTGGGAAGTTGTGAATCGCTCGAAGGTGGAGGTTGTAAAAAAAGGACCAAGAATTGAATATGGATCGCAAGAACGACCTGAGTAAGGTAGAGACGAACTGAACTGGACTGGACCGGACCTGATGGGAACACGACGGCGGGCTGGGCTACCTTATTTCGATCCAAGCCGATATTGGTGTAAGGCAAGGTACAGGTACAGGCTGCCTTACCTTAGTAACTGCACTGTACCTAACCGCTGAGCCGGGCACGGGCAGCGGTTGCAGCGAAGTGGGGGTGGGAAGGACCCTCGAGGGAAGGTACCTTACAGTGAATGCCTGCCCCAGGTCACACTGCGCAGAAGAAAAAAAATGGGTTGGAGCAGGAGGGATGGACGTTTAGTTGAGTCCCGTCGAGTAGTTGGGCTGCGAAGTACACGCCAGGGGGGCGCTTCCACTTGAGGTCAGTGACTGAGGTGTACGGATACTTGTACAGTACTGTATTCCGTTACTTGCGTTGCGCTCTGTTCAGGTGGAGCGAAACGTCGTGGAAGCGATTGTGTAATGGTCGACAGATTCGAAAGGGATTTTTGAAAATAAATTTGTAAAGAAGAAAGAGATTCGATTCGGTGGCGAGTTAAAGGGAGGAAATAGGGTTTTGCCTTCTCGTGGTTTTGATCTTAATTTTGCCTTTAACCTTTGCTTCTTTCTACTCTTCGCAACAACCTGATGACTTGGGTTTGGTCCTCCGGTATAAACCTGTGACTGATCGGATTTCGGATGTTGAAAGAGTCAGTGCATCAGTGACGCGTTGTTTCGTGAGAGATGTAGAAGAAAAAAGAAGGGCTCGTTTTGAATTTCTTTTGATCAACAATGCAAAAGAATTATATGCAACCCTCTTTCTTTCAAGTTGAATCGCGCACTGAACAAAAAGGCAGAAAGAGATGGATGAATGAATGGCCCCCAGATTAATTAGGTACCTCTACACTTGGAGGTGGGGTGATTGAATTGATGGATGGAGGGGTCAGAAATGACAAACTTGGCATCTGCCAGAGACGCGGGTCTTGTATAAGTGGGAATGGATGAGATTGGAGGTTGGGTAGAGACAGAAGAGGCAGCGAAAAGAAGAAGAGTTCAAGAATCAGAGAATCAGAAGAGAAAGAGACCAGAAGATGCGGGAGTCGTTCTTTGATCACAAATTAATAGACAGCATGATTAACTTGGTGGATGGAGCTTGTTGGTGGTCAGTGACCAGTAGATAGAGCCATCAGTTCCTAATCCATCCATGCCCGGCTTTTGAGCTTTGACAAGCTTTCAAGAGCTACCTACAGCAACGGTCTATGTTTGAGAATGTGTCATAGCGACAAAATATCAGGTGAAGCTATTGCACTTGTCTACTGTAGTCTATCTAGTCTGAAGTTTTTATAATTGCCAAGAGCTATGTTAGGCCTTACTGCAAAGGCGCTTCAGCTCTTCACCACTAAAATGTCAGTATCCAACCCTTGTCCATCCTCAACCTCATAACTGCCAATTACACTACACCATTCGGCGCTTCGAGACAATTATACTTAGCAAGAGGGCACGAGATCTACCACACATATGCAGCATTCTACACAGCAATGCCCAAAATATCGCATCTACAGGCAGCCAGCATCCGCTTACAGAACCAATCCCTATCGTATCCTACCATCCAACCCCTCATGACAGTCACAGTCAAACAAAAAAAGGGATGCCATCACAAAAGTGCCCTCGACTCAACTCAACTCGGGCCAACCGCTCGACCCTGTTCTCGTCTCATTCCTTTTCGCTCATCCCCGGGTCATGGGTGTTGTCAAATTAGCCAGGGATACTGAGTGGATTCGTTGATTACAGCCCAGCCCAGCCTAGAGACAAGAGCCCCTCATCTCTTCTCGTCCAGTCTCTTCCTCTTTATACGTGCCAGCTAATTAAATCAAACTCGAGAAATTTCCGGGCAGCTAGAGACTAGCTGGAAGAAACGGGGAACTCGTCGCGTGTGGCAGGGATGCTTCATCATGCAGGGGGGCCACGCATCGATCGCACCGCATTGATTGCTACTCTACAAGTACGGATACCTGTAACTGACTGGCCTTCTAGAAATCACGATGCCAGAGACCCAAGGATTAATGCACAGTTTTTCACACCATGTTGCAGAACCTCGTTCTTTTTTTCCGCTGTTGATGTCATCGTATATCCTCGACAGCATGGGGTATATGTGTTCGGCATAATGAAAAGGCTTGGGTCTTGACTCAATTCAAGACAGCCTCGATACGGAATGCATAAAGACACAACCATCTGACGCCGGATGTTGGTGGTCCAGTCTCTTGTGTTTATGCAAGCGACAACCGCGCGCTCGATTCTTCAGCATTTGACGAGAAGTCAGTGCTGATAAATCCTTATGAAAGGGTCTCAGCATTACTAATGGAAGGATAGAGTTCAACAGAAGCAATGATATGTTCCAGATCCCGAGGATTCATCCATTGTACTCAGGATAGCGTTCCATCACTCAACTGTACGGCTACGGACGGAACTATCGTGTGTTCCAAGGTTTCCCACGCGACATGTTAATCTTTGGAAGCCATGGCCATGCCATGCCATGATCCAAATGACCCATACCCTGTCGAGTTTCAATTAATCCACCGGAAGCCATCCCCGCCATCGTTCATCATGGCGCCGTTTGGTCTGCGGATACCATAATCTCGAGTGTCAATCTCCCGTTCGCTTCAACTAACAAACGACCTTGCTGGTTCATCACCCGCGGAACGTCTCGCATGATGGCATGTGTCGGCTCTCAAGACAATGGCTTCTACATAGACATCAAGCGTAGGCGAGCGAGTATAGTGTCTGGCTAAGCAGATAGCCCTTGCTTGATGAGCCAAGACGAGCTCCGCTGATCATCCCGATGATTCGGCACTCCCTGTTTCAATACTTTTAAAGGTTTTTCTCTCAAGTGGTCCTGTGTTTCTTCTTGCTGCAGGGGGTTGTCATTTTCAATTGCAGCCCAGGTTATCGTGGCCTGAACTCACTTACAGCTAGAAGGTCAGGACACTTACAGGTACAGATCACTAACTTACACCCATCAATCAATCAATCATTTCTCAGCACAGATACATACTGTAAGGAGAGAGTAATCAGAAAATCCAGGATTTTGCCATAGTAAAGGAGGAAAAGACATCAATCTTCTAAAGTTACAGTATACAGTATTCACTACCATCACATCATCAATATCTAACATCAAAAAATACAAAAAATGAGAACGCACACCTTCACTCCTCCCACGCAGGGAGTTGGCTTGGGTCGCTGTACACCGGGCTTATCTCCACAGGCCACTACCAAAGGCCATAACACAGTTATAGGTATTTAAAGTCTACCCAAGACAAGTTGCAGTCTGGCCAGTAAAGGCCAGAAGCAGACCGAAGTCAGAGCGGAAACCACGCAGTGGTTTCGACGCAGATTTTCGCGGGCGTTGGTCAGGTACAACGCACCAGAATATTCGGTGGATGGCGTCGGAAAGTACGACGCCGTGGAAAGCTAGAGGCAACTAAGGCATAGCAGTCCGGCCAATGGTCGACGGTGTCAACCAGTTGGAAAGTTTCAGTGATTTCAACAGTTATTTCAACACAGTAGTTCCCACACGGATGGTGGGAGAATTGGTAGTAATTGTACGGGATTCGAACGGTGGCGCGTGCCTCGAAAGGCACAACACTGAAAAGTGTTTCACAACCGACTAGCAGTTAACCGCTGTGCCAACGAGCGAAGAGGGGCGTTCTCGAAGGAAATCGACAGAAAAGCAGATTATATAGGCAAGTGGATACAGAGCGGGAATCACTCCACAATCAATCATTCTGTAGAGAAGCGGAACTTTAATTTCAAGACTCTGAAAGGCATGTATGCAGTTTAGCAAGATATATTGGCAAACAAGCTGAGGAAATTGTATCAATTGAATTACTTAAAAACTATCGACCCATAACTCCATAGAACTCCCATCACAACTACTTCCATATCTGTTGAGGCGAGTGTGTAAAGACAAGGCCCAGCGACAACAATTGTCCAAGCTCAGCAACAAGCCATCTATCCACTGACCTCAACAGGACAAGAAAAGCATGTTGACGAAAGGAATTTGTACGTTTGCATCCCACGCAAATCCCTCATATCTAGACCCCTTTCCATCCATCCAATTTTGTGAACCCAAACAGAACTGTCGCCTCAGTCGTTAGACTGGTATGCTGGTATCGAGGCTACGGTTAATTTTTAAACCCCAAGTTAAAGCAGCATAGCATGAACTAAGAACATGCTTTACCCAGGTTGTCGCAGAGTAGAATGGCAAGAAATTCGATGCCACCTAAGCAGAAATAGGGTATCAAACGCCGGAGTCGTATCTACATGAATGATAAATCACCAGAGTGAAAGCATCATCATGTGTCGTCGAAGAACATAACGACGGAAAAGTCTCAATCAATGAGACATGGGTGAAAGCCACATTGAGAAAGAAAAGAGAAAAAAGAGAAAACCGAAAATGCAAGACACGGTCTAGATCTGACCCTTGATATCAACTTTTTGGAATGCTGAGCTACGCGCACCCTCGAATAGGGAACCGGCTTTGCCAGTCAGGAATGCAATGTAGTCTGTTCGGTCTTCCAACAAGTGTTGACCTTGCTGATCGATGATAAACTGGGCTGCATCAGCATCGGACTCGAAACCGAGTTCCTCAGTGATGAAACGAAGCTTGACATCCGGCTTGTATCTGGAAAGTAGTTAGCAAATGACTCGTCGACAACCAAGGATTGAGAAAACTTACGCTTTGCAAATATTGCACAATGCAGCAAGCCGTTCTCGAACGACAAACATGTCCATTAGATATGCGCCCATGTTAGGGGTATCCAAGTAAAGCTGGAAGAACTTATGATAGTTTCCCAGTGCCAAAGATGATCGCACATTCAGTGCATGCTTAATCGGCTTCTCCTCCTTCTCTGCTGTGGTTAGATCTGCCAAAGTGTCGTTCAGGCCAGTTCGGTTGGCGGTGTGAATAAAATACAAAATGCGATACGCCTTGAACTCAATGGGGTTGCCCTTCAGGCCCATCCCGTACAGTGATCGTAACTGGGTCTGGCACTGATTATACTCACCAATATCCCCCTTTTCTAAGGCAATGCGCGCATGAATTTCATAAACAGAAACAGTAAAGTCGTTCTTGATATGTTGCACAGTCAAATCTTGTCTCATGGATTTGAACTGGTCACAGATGTACGAGTAGTTGCTCTCACGCTTCCACTTCTTCTTGAGAAGATCAAGTGTCTGGCGTAGAATACGTTCAGGTCGGACCTTGGCCGGAACTGGAGGAGCAGTAAGACGAAGATACTTCTTCTCCAGTACCTCACAAGTGCCGACGATGGGTCCAGATGATGGCGGAGGCGGGCTGGGCGATCGGAGCGACTTGTATTCGTTTTCGAAGCGACGTTTGCGTTTGTTGGCTTCCTTCTGGAACTTACTTGATTTAGGGAGGGGCTCGTCCATAGAAGCACGCTTTTCGGGAGAGGAAAATGAAATACGATCTTCGAGCGAAGATCGAGAGTTAGTACGCCACGGTGGCTGGGAGTTGTCATTACTGGCAAAATCGGTAGATTTCCTCTTCTTAGAGTTGATAGGCACTTGGAAACTTTGCTTGGTATTCGCGTCACGTTCGGCCTTCACCAAGGCCTGGGGAAGAGGCATGTTGTCCCAGTCGAGTGTATACAATGTGCCGTTGGCCTTTGCGGTGCCGATGGTGTCCTTAAGCTTAGCTTCGACTTCCGCGCGAGCCACAGTCGGTTCATCGTTTTGAGGGAGGAAAGATCGTTGAACATAGCTCCGAACAGATTCGGGCCAGTCTACTTTAGATTTGGCCTGCTCTGGCGTGGCGGTTGCACCATTCACGGGCGAAGAAGACATTTGGGGTTGCACAGGGGGCGGTGGAGGTGCGTAACCAGCGTAAGGAGCAGGCGGGGCTCCGAATTGATTGAATCCTTGACGAACGGCGACGGGGATGAAGGCAGGATCTGCGTTTGATGTCAGGCTTGTCGAGCCAGGATAAGAGTTTGCGGATGAGTGATGAGATGACTTACTCGTCGGATAGGCGTAAGATGGTGTTTGCTGGGTCACGCTCGGCGCTTGCTGCGCTGACCAAGATGGCATCATTGCGACGAAATGCTAGCGGTGCGAGGGGTTAGTTTCACGGAATAAGTTGGGGAGAAATGATGATGCCAGGCGTCAAATAATAATGGCAGAGCAAGGGGGGACTCGGTGGTTGAATTACGTGTGGAGGTTTCTTTGTGAGGTTATTTTCTCGGTTCAGGCAGGGCGGTGGCGGTGTGGTCCCTGCTCACTACCGGAAGAACTGTGATCCGGTTTTGCGCTTAAGGTTGGTTAAAGGCAACTCCCACTGGAAGCTTATCGCCAAGTGGGGCCGCCAACCCTGGAGGGGCCGATCAACTCTCGCGTGCCTTGGAAGACATCACTCGACATCTATCAAAGGACTTCATCTTTTGGGCCAGTGATTCTATTCAGAATTTGAAGCAATCAAAAGAGACTGGTTCTTTGTTTTGTGGTTTTTGATTGTATCGGAATCATAACTGTTTGTGTTCTAGCGCCTGTTTGCTGCAAGCCATCTTCCACTTGCATCATCGCTGTTCCATTCATCAACAACCATTCCAGTCTTACTCGAATTCTTCTGATTTACTTCAACCTCCATGACGGATGTTTCTGAAACACATCGACCTCACTACCGCACTACGGCCCTCTTATCTCCCTGATGAGGTGCTTCTCTTTGTCCAGGACAACGTTGGTTTGTATGAGGGGTAAGTTGTTTGTTAGCGGGGCGTATTGGAACGTGAGTTAACAAAGACATAGCAAATTCAAGCTTCCCAATCAGCAGAATGGACAGGTTTACTTGACTTCACATCGAGTTTGTTATGTTGATAAGAAAGAACCTCGAACACATTCGGTGGCGTTGGACCTGAAAGATGTGGAGCGCTATGAGTTCTATGCCGGCTTTCTCAAGTCATCGGCCAAGGTGACTCTGATACCAAAGCCACCCAAACGATCATATCACAATCGTGGCATATCAAATGCATCAATCTCACAAAGGAACGGATCCCCTGCGCATTCTGAATCTGGGTACCGAGCACCTCCTGAGCCTCCAACTGTGACGAGTGCGACCTGGGTCTGCACAATATGCAGTTTCTCAAATCCAGTTCCATCCAACTTCGACCCAACCTCTGCCAATGCGCATACGCCTCTGCCTCCTTGTTTAGCTTGCGGTATCAAACCCACTTTGGCTCATGTTTTGAAAGCTGCAATCTCTGGTGCGAGTAACCGTTCAGCTGCCACGCCGTCTTTAGATTCACCGCTTCCGCTACGACCAGGTCAGTCTGGTACACGACCTCTTTCGGAGAATCTGGATCAATCACCGAACTCCAGCCAACCTGATGTTTCCAATGGCTCGAAATCATCTGCATCCTTCCAGTGTCCTCGTTGCACTTTCAGCAATCACCCCTCTCTGATGACATGCGAAATGTGCGGGGCGTCTCTGATATCCGAGAATGTCCCATCACCCATTCAGCAAAGCTCAGCAGCCGACACAGTTAGGATCGACTCTCCAGGCCCTGTCCTTGACCAGAGCAAGAGCAACAAAAACGGAAGTGATACCCCTGAATGCGTCAAGCTCTCCTTCAGGAAGGGAGGCGAGAAGATCTTCTTTGAGCGGCTAAAAGGTTCGATGACACAGCGCAAATGGCTACTCCGAGATGCTCCCCCAGCTCCGAATAGTCGAGCTGCGGACGAAGGACCAAATGATGGAGCCAGTGGTAGTTCAGGTGGGCGAACGAAGGGCGTCGGTATTGCTGGACTAGAACAGCTGGGTCTTAGCATGCGCAAGAACAACGAGCTGCTCATTGGCAGCGCTTTTGAGGATTTGGAGGCCCTTATGTCATCTGCTAAGGAGGTGATTGCTCTTGCAGAACGGTTCGCGCGACAAACAAACAATGGTCAAGGTAATGCTTCAGCCGAAGAGAATGCCATCTTGGCAGAGTCGGCAAGCCAACTTGGACTGGTCACAACAAAGGACATCGTGGGTGGTGGTGGTTCCGAGTCCCTATATCTGTCAGAACTGGCAAGGAACTTAGCTGAATTTCTGACTGATGACTCGAGAGGTGTGCTCAAAAAGGCGGGCGGCATTATCACTCTTGTTGATTTATGGGCCATGTTCAACAGAGCTCGAGGCGGCGTCGAGCTTGTCAGCCCTGCAGATTTCGAAAAGGCGGCCAGGCTTTGGAGCAAGCTTAAGCTGCCTGTCCGCCTGCGCACTTTCCGCAGTGGTGTCATGGTTGTCCAGAGTCGTGAACGTACCGACGGAACTACTGTAAGAGCTATACTCGCATGGTTGCGAGATCTTCACGAGTTCCCACCGGATCGTGAGGTGGCTTGGGACTGGCAGCAGTTTGGTCGTGGAGTGACTGCCCAAGAAGCCGCTGAGCGCTTCGGCTGGAGTCTCGGTGTTGCAGAAGAAGAACTGCTGATGGCTGAGGAGCGCGGGGAGTTGTGCCGTGAAGAGGGATTAGAGGGACTCAAGTTCTGGGTGAACTATATCAACGAGGGTGAGCATAAGAAACACAGGACCCAAGCCCAGAAGGACAATGATGAAGTCATGAAGGCGTTGAAAGCAAGCGGGCTTTTATAGAAACGCGTATACCGTACTGGATCTTACAGCGTAGACTTTTCTCGAGCGTTTCACCAAAAATCTAAAGAAAGAATTCGATTCGTGCGACGCACGCGGGTATCAGTTTTATTAGAGTTGCATATATATATACACCCATGCGAGTCCCCTAACTCCGTTTATATTTTCATGTTTTCAACCTGAACTCCATACCCCGATTTTGACCATATCATCAAACAACAATTGTCCTTCCAGAAACCCAAATAGCCATTGATCACACGACAACGTGGGTAGACATATGTTCCACAGCCTCTTTGATTGTGCGCAGCATGCGCTGATTGACGCAGAAAGGACACCTCAATGGCCTCTCATCTCTAGTGACAGGCGTTTCCGAGGCTATCGGAGTGAGGGTGAGATCAGCACCCAAGTCATGAGCTGGTGTAGTCGTGAAGCGCTGAATTGGAGAGGCACGCGGCGCGGTAGGAGTGGTCATGATGTTATTCATTTGAAGTCCATTTCGTTCAGCACGCTCGCGCTCCTCGCGCACAAGCGCAGCCTGCTCCTCGGCGGCTTGCTCTTCCTGTTGAAGCTGGCGCAAAGCATTCTGCAAGACAACTTCAGGGTCGTCATCAGCGTATATAGGTTGATCGGGCTGAGGCGGAGGGATTGTTGGAGGGTCGTGGGCCATCATGGGAGGCGGAGGAGGCTGTGGTGATTGTTGAGAGCCCGTCAATCTACGAAGGACTTCATCACGCACCAATGCACATGTGCCGAGACTGGGTTCGATACCAACAACGCGTAAGACTTCTTCCTTGATTGCTCCTGGGCTTGTGTCTGGGGAAAGATTCATGAATCGGGGAATGCAATCGGCCAAGTATCCTATATCTTCGGCAGGATTTATTCCGCCGTCACCATGGCGGCGTTGTCTTCGTATCAAAAGACCATAACGCTTCTTGAAGCGATGAATCCAGCCGGGGGAGAATTCAGGAGGGTTTTCATCTTTGTATCGAGGTAGCTGGCTGAAAATGGTCTTTGCCTTTTCTCCCAACTCCTCATTAGTCGGCTGACGTCCTGAAGCCTGTACTTGTTGGTACCAAATGAGAACCAGCTTTTCTACGTCAGGCCAGTTTCCATAGCGCAGGCGCGAACCAGATAATTGCGGGTTGTCACTATCTAGACGCGAGTATTTTGGTGACAACGAGTGTGAAACGGTAGATTGACTTATTTGCTGGCCGTACTGCGAGAAGAACCACTCGATACAGGCTTTATGCGAGGGACGTATAGGCTGACTATTAGCCCAACGACGCAGAGCTCGACGTTGATCAAGAGTCAGGGAATGCCTCTCCTTGGGGGAAGCGCCGACATGATCGCCAACGTGTTCGACAGACGAAACATCGTGGCCTACCTGAGCGACAGCAGCATCAACAGGAGAAAGGTCCGGGGCGGGAGCGGCAACAAGGGCCGGGTCGGTGGTAGCAGCCGACATGCCCAGGACGGCTATCTCCTTGAGGTGTGGGTTCTCGATTTTGGGGGTATTGGGGATGGAGAGGCTATCGTTGTATCCGAAGGACGTGCGCTTTGCGGGAGGTGGGATGTTTCGATTAAGGAGATGTTGATGGCTGTTTGGCGAAAGAATGTCGATGGCGGGGGCGGAGTAAAGCTTGGAACTGTGTCACGTGATATGCTCCAATGGAAAACAAGGCGGTACACGCAGCGGTTGGAGGGACGATTCAACAGTTGAAAGCAAAATAACGACAGTAAAAAGAAATCTTTCGAATTATTATAGCTTACAGTTATGTTACAGGATGATTTGACTATTCTGATAACAATATGTCGCCAAGCTTTGCTTGTTATGCAACATTTGAATTTCCCCAAGAATGATATGAACAAAACCTCGATATCTGCCTCCTCGATAACTTACTAGACTGAATCGCTAGTCTTTTAATGTTTCCAGCAACTTTGATAGAAGCATGGGCATCAACCAGGATTAACGACATAAGCCTGCTGGGATATAGACATGGGGTTTCCTTTTTTCGGCGAAAATTTGCATGTTACATAATTGTTATAAAAAGAAGAGACAAAATGGCTGCATATAATCATCATGCACAATTACTGCTCCCTTACGCTGTACTGTCACCAACAGATTAAGCTCAAATTGCCAAGTCTTTTGTTAGTCCTATTGTAACCGAGCTTAGTATATGTATTATGAGCTGTTTTTCTTTTTTAGCTCAGGAGCTTAGATGTTTGTCAATAAAGAGCTCAGCCAACGGTTGAAGTCTTCCAGGTGCAGGTGGATATAGATGGGATGGGAGGAAAGAATCCGGGCCGGTTTCGCACTGACATGACTCTGTGCACATTAAAATTGCAGCAAATGACCCATGACGAACGAAGGAGGAGGCTTTAGTAGTTCCTCATTCCTGGTCCGTTGACTCCTTACCAGCATTAATAACCTCAAACTATCGTGAGATGTCGTTAAAGCTATCCCAAGAAGACTCGTCAGGTTCTCATCACGCAAACTAAATATACTGATTACATGACTAGCGGCTTTAGAGATGCCCGTCAACTTCCTCTTCAGGTATACCCGGGTTTAGCTTGAACCATGTCGCCACTTGGCAGAGTTCCAGAACGTATGTGTAGGGATTCGACCTGCATGGCGATCTGCCGACAGACTAGACTAACACGTTCCTTACCAGCAAACAGAGTTTATGATATCTCTGTTCCCATTACGACCGTTGTCATCCATCCTTTTTTACTTTTCAACATGCCAAAACGTTGACGTTGAATGAAACGGCGACATTATACCTATTTGTGATATTAATTTTCTTGTCGTTGCCACTGATACATCCATCAATCAAACCTGATTACCTCTTTGTCCTCTCATCAACACGAATACCATAATCGCCCAATATGGCAATGGCCAGCGCTTTAGGGGAAAACGACGGTTCCCATTATAGAACACCCGGAACCGCCAGATCTTCAACAGCTGCTTCCACAACTTCCAGCTCTACCAGAATCGCCCTCTTCAATTCTCTCACACCATCCAGTACAGCTCTTGTCAGCGAGTGCGCAGATACACCTTACCGTCAATTACCGAAATCTCTCAAGATATCATGGCAATGGAACAAACTACGAACATTCTTCCTCGGCACTGAAGCCAGCTCCAAGATGTTTGCTGTAACAGAACACTCTGGATTATTTGGACGCACTTCTGGTGCGCCCTGCTTGCTCCTGCATAATGGCCCTACCGGAAAAGACGAGATATTAGCAGCAGCTGGTGAGACACTGCGAGATGGTCTGTCTGACCCAGGTGTCCTCGAAAGCATCGTCAATGTCTCTGGGGCACCCGGAACAGACAACAGAGTCGCTACCGAGATTGTTCAGGCACTATATGACGACGAAGAACAATGCATCGTATTCCGATTTGCAATCGAGTCAAAACCAGGAGAGCTAGGACAAGACGGTATCTTTACAAGAGAAGAGTTTGAATGGACCATGACACCGATACAAGCGGCAGCAGACGCCAAATACTGTCACGAATTCAAGCTTTACCGTGTTGGAGATATCAAGGCGCCGCTCGAGTATCTCGCTATGGCTTCATGGAAGGAGGCAGCATGGAAGACCTGCAAGATTGACTTCTCGGACAAGGGACTTCAACAAAATTATGGCAATCGGTGGTCTCTTATGGTTGTCATGTCTGCATTGAGGATGTGGCAGCTTGGTCGGTCAGGACAAGCATCACTAGAGTATGTATCAAATTAATTGATACTGCTCGATTTCTTTTTCATTTGTCAAGTAGCGTTTGCTTTTTTGATAGACAACACCAGCATGTAATAAAAGTAATAGACAGCGTGCATTCAACTTCATTCCAACATGTCCTCCAGATACTCAGCCTGTTTCGTTTCGACCCAGAAGTTTTGATATGACAATATCGTATTATTGAAGGCACGCAGGGAAAATAGATGGCCTACATCCATGCAGAAATGATTTGGCGGCTGAAGAAGAAAAAAATGTCGCTGATGCCTCCAATAGTGCATGCCACGTTATGTTCCTATGCTCATTTCACCTTGCAATTCAGCGCCTTTGGATCTCCAAATGTGCAAAAGACACTACGTCTATACTTCCTGATTCTGATTACAAAATCAATGACTGCCAAAGTAAGAACTGGCCACACTTGAGACGATTTACTCAATCATCCGAAATCTTGCTTCATCCAGAAAGTGTAATATACGGAAATACGGGCATTGATGATAGACGGCAGAGTACAAAATTCTCGCTGGGTCGCAAAATGTGCTCAGAAGACGGCCCAGTCTCAGTGCACCGTAGCCTTCAATAGCATGCCCTTGGCTTCAGATCGCAGCATATAAAACAATAATGATAGAGCGTCGCAAAGGTCAAGATCGGAGCCGAGATTCTGGTGATTTTGGTCTCACAAAAATCCCATCCATAGCCATTCTGGTCTCCAAAAGGCATTGTCAACTTGGCATGACGTGGAGTAAGCACGTAGATATAGACGCTCAACATCAAACTTCAGTCGGTCCCATCAATTGCATTGAATCGGGCTGTCGGGCGCATATTCGAGTATTTCACAGTGGAGAGAATCGTTTTTCAGTATCGTTATGCCACGATTGGCCAAACCGTCTTTTGTTGGTATCTGAATTCGACTGTCCGGCTCGATGGACAGCTTATGCTTCCATGACTTATAAACGTACACCGCATCCAAATAACCGCATAACCATCGTCCTCGATTAAACCGCTTAGTTCTTCTTGTCCTGCTGGTTGAGGAAGTCCCTGCCATGATGTTAGTCCACAATATTCCAGCACGGTCGGGTGAATTCGCGCACTGGATGAAGTCGGCCTCGTCGTTGCTGGAGGCATTGATAGGGGGAGTAGCGGTAGCGGTGGGCTTAGCAGAGCTGCCAGAGGTGGCATACTTGACACCGGCGAAGAGGGTTCCCAACCAGGCCATGGCGAGCTATTGTTCATGTCAGTTTTAAACAGGTTCAAGGATTGCGGCGGATGCAATTGCGGAAGTACGAACGTAGTGGCCGCCGACCTGCTTGCCGGCAATGGTGTAGTAAGCGATACCAGCCATTTTAAATTATAAGACGAGACCGGGAGGGACGAATTGGGTGATGGACAGAGGGCAATGGGTGGATGTTCAAAGTGTCGCGGTTGAGATACTTTGCCGGGCTCTCAAAATCAACTGGAGCTTGTGCCTGGAATTGCAGGCCTAAAGGTACCGACCTCTATTGGGCGTGGCGGCTATTCCCCGGCAGACGGTCCGAAAAATAACCAGAACACAGAAGTCTATTGACAAAATAACTTAGACCTGCTTAGGCACTAAGCCCCGAGCCGACTATCCTAACTTTTATGATTACCTTAGCTAAGTCTTGCTTTTTCTGTGACCCACCTGCCCGGGTCATTTACAAGATCGGGATCAATCGGATCTACGGAAGCAACGTCACTGTCACAGGGTTATCTTATCGAACTTACCTGCCTTCCATACCTGCTGCAGCCTACTGTGGATTAGGTAGGGTAGCGGCGGGCCATCAAAATGGAAGCTTCTACTGCTTTGAGAGAAGACTTTTGTCTTTTTGCTACCTTTCCAACTATCTTCAGTTGTATTTGACCAGGTGAGTAACAGACGAAATGTCCTCTAAGGCCTAGGCTACTAAAAATAAAATAGCCTAAGTGCTGGTCTAAGCTAACATAAAGTGACCAGATTATTTCGTCCCTTATTGTCTTGGATACCCTGAGGACTCCTTGTACAACTTTCAGAATGTGGTGGGGGAAATCGAAAGACCCCAAGCCGGAGGAGAAGAGCGAGGTTGCTCAGATCAAAGACAAGGTCGCCGAGAAGCTCCCTACGAAAGAGAAGCTTCCGACGAAAGAGCAACTTCATCACGGAATCCAGGACGCTGTTAATCAAACCGGCAAGAACGGAAATGTCTTCGATGACATAACAGAGGGCTAGTATGTAGCTGCATATGCGACTTTGTCAACACCAGTTAACCAAGCATAGCGGTCCCGATTCAACAGACACCAACCTTCGATATGCGGCCTATGCCACGCGAATCCGCACGATTCTCCTCTCTGCGCACCGATACGTCGCTTACACAAGTGAAATCGGTGAATCCTTCCGACCCGTAGCTCACCCTGGCCTCGTTCGGGGTGCATACGCTGTCTCTTGGCTGTATCTTATCGGCGATGTCTCATACGAAGGTTACAAGTCATACTGGCATAACCAGCGAATCTTGAACCCCAAGTTGCAGCTCACCCCTCATCAAGAGAAGGTTACTGGCCTTCCCGCCGTTGAGACGAGAGCGATCGCACCTGGAATGGTGGCACCTTTGGAGGATTGGCGCACCGTCATGATCCAGCGCGGAATTTTCCAGAGCATTGCGAGTATGGGACTGCCTGCTTACACGATTCACACCGTTGTGAGATATTCAGGCCGAGCCATGAAGAATATGAAGAACAAGACTATTCGCACATGGGGGCCTGTCGGCTTGGGTCTCGCGGTAGTCCCCTTCCTCCCAGCTATGTTCGATGAGCCTGTCGAGAATGCGGTTGAGTGGGCGTTCCACAAGGGATTCGAGACCTTCGGAGGAAAAGCTGCTGTTGGAAATGCGCCCATGACGGGTCGCGAAGACCTGTTGGCGAAGAGGCCCAAGGAGAAGGAGCTCTAGTGGGTAACAGAGGAAATGTCCTCTAAGACTTAGGCTACAGAAATACAGTAGCCTAGATGATGGTCTAAGTCAGCATAAGGTGACCAAGTTGTTTCGTCTCTTATGCTTTCAAAGGTCAATTCTTCACCCTGCGGGGGCTGTAATACGAGTATTTGTACGACCTGGCGTTCAGGGAATGTTGAAGGCGCTCAACTCATTTTCCGGTATCTTACGGAGCACACTGTACTAGATAGATATGATCAACACTGAGTGCAGAGATGCTTACAAAAAAAGACCACAAACCCTCAACGTTACGATACTTACACCACGAAAGCGAACCTGCTCCTGGGTAAGAGGTTCTATATCCTCAATCAAAGGGCTACCAGATAACAGTCTAACAGAATAATGGTCTAAAGGTTAGTGTATCGAAACAAAATGATCTAAGCTCTACTCTAAACTATCATAAAGAAATAGTGAACTGCTATCACAACTGATATACAGGGATATAACCCTGTGCATGCATCGTCAGTGAGGTGGGGAGAACGGAAGACCCCGCGATTTACTCCTGGTCCCTTACAGGTGGCTATGCCGATGCGAATGATGATCAAGCCTCCCAATTCCGCTCTTGAAAGTTCACCAATAATTCATAAAAACCACAGTCGCATCCTCGTGTGCTTTTTGTGCCAGCGCATGCTTATTTTCTTGCATTGAATGTCGAAGCTTGTACCACCCAACACTCGGTCGTATTTGCCAAGCTTGGTCATACGCGGACGGACACTTCTAGACATTTCCTCGCCGCCGCCTCCTGTATCTGTCATCTGCCTACAAGCATCACACACTTGCGACAACACATCTGCCTACTTTCCACCATTTCGCTCAGCGCTATAAAGCATTAAAAAACATTCATCATGGCGTCATCAAATACTCCAGAAGCTCAAGATACCAGCTACGTCGAGATGGACGACAAGAACGAGGCCACTCTGATTGGCAAGCACTGCGAATACGACTACTGCAACCAACTCGACTTCCTACCCTTTTTCTGCCAGTCCTGCCGAAGGACATTCTGTCTCGATCATCGAACCGAAACTTCACATGCATGCGCAAACCCTGGCGCTTGGGCGGAGCGAAAGCGACTTAGAGAGCTCTCGCAGCCATCTATCGGTCAAGGAAGGGTCCTACGGGACAAGGTGTCCCAGAAGCCTTGTTCATCGCCTGAATGCAAGACCACAATCGGAACATCTTTGACGCCTGGTGTACACTGCCAAACATGCAATCGAGATTACTGCTTAAAGCATCGTCTTAAGGAAGACCATGACTGCAGCAACTTGGTACCCATTGGAGCCCGACCTATGCAATTTGACGTCGGTCAGAAGACAAGGTCAGCATTCGATAAACTACGCGCATGGGGTACAGCGAAGAAGGAACAAGCAGGTAGAGCGCTGCCAAAACCGAAACCAACGTCAGCCTCCGCGCGAATTGCTGCAGTGAACAATCTCAAGAAGACAGCTAAAGGCGATGCCAAGACCCCTGTCGAAAAGAGGGTGTACGTGTACGTGGAAGCCGAGGCGGAGACAGCCAAGGCCAAGTTCCCCAAGGGGGAGTTCTTCTACAACAAGGATTGGGTTGTAGGCCGAGTGCTGGATGCTGCAGCAAGAAGTCTGCAAGTACAGAACATAAACAACCAAAGTTCTGACGAGAAAGATAAGCTACGCGTGTTTCACGTAGAGGGAGGCAGAATTTTGGAGTATAATGAGAAAGTTGGGACTGCGTTGCAGAGTGGAAATACTGTGGTTTTATTGCGTGGCGTTGGGCCAGCTACCCCAGACCTGATTGAAGCATGAGTTGGTTTGTGTTTTGTGAACAAGCGATAGAGATGCATAGATGGCGTTGGGCAATCTTTGATACCAGAGAATTATCATATCAATTGTCTTTTAATCAATTACAAATCTTTAACTGCATTGTTGTGTTCTCATCATGTTTTACTAATCTATTTCGTTTACTCGAACATCAACAACTACTAATAACCACCGCTACCCTACACTATGTACGACAGGTGCATCGCATATCCTCGTCTCAAGAGCCAAGCTTAGTTCATGATCAATAAATACTTGCTGAATTAGCGATATGCCTTTTTGAGACCAAATTGTACTTTTAGCATCTGCTTCACAGGAAGGTACTGAATTACATGGTCGCTTGAGTCGACTTACACGCCACAGCCAGTTTAATTGAATCACGTGAACACGTGTTGCCTGGCGTTCATCTATGACGACGTACCCACTGCCTGCTTTCTTATTCAAGGAAACAATAATTAAACACATCGCATAATGCGACAATTGCATTTACGGTATCAGCATGCCTCCTCTTGTGCCGCGCAAACGTTTGCGTGAGTCGCCGCCACCTGGACAAGGTAGAGCATCAAAAGTGGCTAAAGACAAGTCCGATGCATCACGGCGCAAAGCAACTCTCTACGACGACTTAGACGCATCGGCAACGCCTAATTCGAATTCAATTCTTCATGGGTTCGACAACGATGACGATGACGGAAGCTCTTTGACATCTTTGTCAGATGATGAATTTGAGGATGTTGTACCGCCAAAGAAATCTGAAGGCGCTGAGGATGATTCTGGGGACGACGACGATATCGAGTTTGAGGATGTTGAAGCGCCAGTTGCAGCTTTGCCGGACGCTCCAGTAACTTCTGGGGACTTGGAGTTGACACTTACTCGAGATACACGAATCTCACTCACGAATACCTCCGACAGAAAAGGACCAACGAAGCGCGAAAAAAAGGTTCGACATGCCTCGCATTGCGTTCATGTTATGTTACTCCTTTGGCACAATGCTACTCGAAATTCATGGCTTTGCGATCCTGAAGTACAGGCGACTATGATTTCTCACTTACCCCCGAGGCTTTGGGACGAGGTGGACCGATGGAGGTGGAACAGCGGACTCGAAAAGAGGCCGACACCTAAAAACCCGACAAATGCCAAAGTGAAAGGCAAAGGCAAAAAAGCACCCGACAGGCGAGCGCGCGACTGGGGCGCCGAGGCCGAGAGACTGGAAGAAGGGGCTGTTGACATGAGCCATGGAGACCCCCTATTTCGACTCATGAAAACACTGGCTGCCTGGTGGAAACAGCGATTTCGAATCACAGCGCCGGGGCTAAGGAAATGGGGATACATGTCTCTTGAACGTCTGGATCGACTAACAAAGGCGCAAAAAGCAGAGCCCCATGATCCGGAGCAATTCGGCGAGAAGATCGAAGGTCTAGAAGGGTTGAGATATTGCGCTCGCAACTGCCAGGGAAGCCGAGATGTAGGAGCCCAATTATTCACCGCTTTACTTCGTGGACTGGGTTTGGAAGCACGAATGGTCGCGAATTTGCCCTGCTTAGGTTTCGGGTGGACCAAACTCGAGGAGGCCGAACCGGAGAAGACCGATATTACCCAGACGAAATCGACACCAGACAAACAGACGAAGTCAGCTACAAAGAAGGAACCTAACAAAAAAGCAACACAGAACAAAAAGCCGACACGAAAAGCGAAGGCGAAGCCCGAGGTCGTGAGTGATTCGGATGGCTTGGAGCTTGAGTATAAGAATAGCGATGACGAATCGGTTGAGATGGAAATCACGCCGCGAAAAATATCAACCAAGAAATATGACGCCGACATGGATTTCCCACATTACTGGACAGAGGTTTTGTCACCAGTCACTAATAAGTTTCTGCCCGTTGACGCAATCGTCAAGAATGTGGTTGGAACAAATCGAGATTTGATCGAGTTCCTTGAACCACGTGGAGCGAAAGCCGACAAGGCACGTCAAATAATGGCTTACATCATTGGCTATTCGCAAGATGGCACCGCCAAGGACGTCACAGTCAGGTATCTGAAGCGCAATACACTTCCTGGTCGTACGAAGGGAGTTAGGATGACGCCAGTAAAGGTTCCGGTCTACAATCGGCATGGGAAGATCAAGCGGTACGATCAGTTTGATTGGTTCAAGACTGCGATTTCTGGATATAGGAGAGGTAGCAAGAAACATCCTATAACCGAGATCGACGAGGCCGAAGAAGCGACGGACCTGAAGCCTGCTAAACCAGAGAAGAAGGAGGTCAAGGAAGGCCAGGAGACTCTGCAATACTACAAACAGTCCAAGGAGTTTGTACTCGAGCGTCACTTGAAGCGCGAGGAGGCTCTTAACCCCAATGCGAAGCCTGCAAAGGTGTTCAAGAACAAGATCAAGGGTGGCAAGGTGGAAGAAGAGGATGTATTCTTACGCAGGGATGTTCTGAATGTCAAGAGTGCTGAAACTTGGCATAAGCAGGGTCGGGCGCCAAAAGCTGGGGAGCAGCCGTTGAAAAGAGTCCCGTATCGTGCGGCTACTTTGAATCGTCGACGAGAAATCATGGAAGCGGAGGCTGCAACAGGAGAAAAGGTTCTGCAGGGTCTTTACAGTTGGGAACAGACAGACTGGATCATTCCGCCACCGATCAAGGATGGAGTTATTCCCAAGAACGACTACGGGTATGAAGAATTATGTGTGTCTGGCTCGAAAGTCACTAACTGTGTTATAGCAATATCGATTTGTTTGCCGAGCATATGTGTCCAAAGGGCGCTGTGCATGTACCTTTCCGCGGGGCAATGCGAGTATGCAAGAAGCTCCAAATCGATTACGCCGAAGCTGTCGTGGACTTTGAATTCGGCCACCGCATGGCTGTACCTGTCATCCAGGGTGTTGTCATCGCCGAGGAGAACCATGATATGGTCATGGTAGAACTTGAAAAGGACGAAGCAGAGCGCGCACGGAAAGAAGACGAGAAGAGACGAAAGAAGGCATTGGCCCAATGGCGCCGCTTCCTTATGGGAATGCGTATAGCGGAACGGATCAGGCAGGAGTATGGAGAAATCACCGACGACATATCTGTGTTTGGGCATGCTAGGGACTCGGCCCTTTCGAAGAAGCCTGCGCCGGTAGAGGATGGGGATTTGGCTGGTGGATTTCTTCCAGATGGCTACGAAGAAGAGGAAGAGGAGAAAGAAGCACCGGCGCACCATACTTCGAGTTTCTTCCCCGCCATTGATGAGGACGATGATGGTGATGATGGGCTTTTAATGGAGCACGATGGGGCCGAACAAAGAGCCATGATACCAATGGATGTCGATGAAGAAGAAGCGCCCTCGAAGTCAGAAGCTGAAACAGGGCTGGACTCTGAACCACAAGCCAAGTCAGAGTTTGAGATGGATGCAACCCCTGAGAGAGAAGCAGTACCAGAAGACGAAGAACCTAAGCCAGAGCCAGAAAAGTCCGAGGCAGAATCCGAACCACCACGAACAAGCGCAAGATCAAGAAAACGAGCTCCAGCAAAACAAATCAAAAAGGAAAAGGAGCCACCTGTACGCGCCACTCGACGATCAACAAGGAGCGGACGCAACATCGTCTCATATGACGAGGATGTTGGAGGTAATGATGATGAGATATGGGATTCGTATGCTGAATCTGAAGATGATGAGTAGAATTGGCTTGGTGTACTCTAGAATTAATGTGATAGAATCAATGATACCTTTGGAGCAACGGAACTTGTTTGTAAACTTGGCATCACTCATATCGTCAGGGTGTCCAAAGAATAAGCCCCCAAAAGCCTAAGAGACGAAATACTTTAATTACTTTATGCCAGCTTAGACCATCACTTAGGCTCCTTTATCATGGTAGCCTAAATCTTAGAAGATTATTCTCCTATCACCCACCTGCTCCGCTATTGGTCCTATATAGAAATATATCTCTGAACCGCAATTCAAGGTATGAAAAGGCCACCATCAATGCATAGTGTTCGTATTCCCCTCGTATATTGATTGATCTGATCTATTGCTACTAAATATGCACTATATAACTCGACTAGCGTCGAGCGCTGTTCTTCAGTTGAGGGTATTGTTTCTATTATGCTCTTGGTCATTAAGCATCAAGGTAGGTTTCTTTGCCAGGCAAAGCGGTCCTAGGGATTTGGGTTAGGCATTGAGGGAGGGGGGCCTTGTTGCAAGTGTGGCTCAACTGGACCTGGCTGCAGAGCAACTGGTTGCGCCTGTCCTGGTGCCAGTGGAAGAGGCATAGGCCCGTTTGTAAAATTCCTAAACTTCTGCCACGCATTAAATATCGGCTGTCGAAAGTGGTCCTTCATGGCATCGAGTGCTTGCATCTGTTGTGCCTCTAGACTTTGTCCCAGTTGCTGTGCTCCCTGTGCCTGCTGCAGAGCTTGTTGGGCCCGCTCATGAGCCTGGAGAGCCTGTAGTCGGGCTTGCTGAGCCTGCTGTTGGGCTTGCAGACGAGCTTGAAGGGCTTGCTGAGCCTCTTGAGCCTCTTGAGCCTGCTGATGCTGTTGTAGTCGCTGTAGTCGTTGTTGCAGCCGCTCAACCTGTCGTGGTTGTTGGTACCACCTTCCCGCAGCATTTTCGCCCAGCCACACCGGTTCTTCGACACCGTCTCTTAAGCCATTTGCCGGGACTTGTGGTTGCTGGTCATTATCGCGACGAGGCGGTCGCCCGTATGGAATATGTCTCGCCGCAGCCCTCTCCAATCGACGATCCTCGTCTTTCTTGACATTTGAAGAGAAACTTAAGTCAAGAAGCTCGGGCTCAAGATCTGGGTTCTCCTCTAGAACCTTCTGCTTGGTCTCCTCTTCAGCTTTTTCGACCTCCCTTACATGTCGCTCGACGACATTGTCAAACAATGGACAATTGCCCGCTTTGCCCCCTCGTTCTGGTCGATCGAAATGATTGTAACCACAAGACTTGGAGCAAACGTAACATTGCACATTGCGACAGCCTGGCTTGGAACAAGTCATTTTGTTACACCCATCTTCTTTGATGAAAGGGGTGTTGCCTATAAAACTCATTAGCCACAGACGTACATTGCGATAGACGTTACGATACGAAAACTCACACTTGTTGCAATTGCGGATAAGGGCTTGTGACATAGCCTCTTCCACCTGTCTCCTGACAACCAGGCCCTTGTCCCGTGCGTCCTCTTCAGCGGCCTCTTCGCATGTCTTCGGGAGATGTGTTGCCAGGTTGCAAACACGACAACTTGTAACCATGCAGTCGGGCTTTCGGCACTGGAACTCCTTATTAATAGCCACTGGTGGATACTCTTCAGCATAAGAGCAGAATGGACAATGGGCAAGATCAGGTAACCCGGCCAGTCTAAGACACTCGTCCTGCTCAATCTTATCGAGTGCAGAAGCCAGTGACGGAGGCAAAAACTTTCCCCGCTCCTTACGAGAAAAGCCAGCCTTGCACCCCTCTGTCGACATGCACTCTAGTTCATGTTTGGAAAGACCAACCTGGATCTCGGCGTTTCGAAGGGCGCATTGAAAGCAAAAGAACTGGAAGCGTGTCAGTAAGAATGAAGTGATTCTATAATTTGATCCATGACAATCAGAAAGTGGGAAAAGCGTTCCCCATCTGGTCCCTCGTCCATCAAGTGAAAGACTGAACTGATAGGCTTGTGGTGTACTTACGTGTATGTCACCGCCGTTGCAATGAACTAACCGATTCTCTGCAAAGTCACCAAAACAACACTCACACTCTTTGATTTCGCCTCGGGATCTCGCCTCGTCAAAGTTTTGCTGCTCTATCCTCGCGTGCCGGCGGGTAGCTCTGGCGGCCTTGAGCTCCTCCATCAACTCTGCCTCTCCTCGTTCCCTTTCCAAAGATCTATCAGCAGACCTTATGGATTCGTCAATGTTCGCTTCCTTATATTTTGGTGGCATAACTGAGGGTCGCTTCTTATATGCCCAATTGAAAGGGATAGGTTCGCCTGCTTCCTCAATGATATCGTTGAGGGCAAGATACGTAGGGAAGAGAAGGGAGTTGTTTTTCGAAAGGACATGTTGGATGACCTTCATAGGGACAAACGGGAAATCTCCCGCAATCATGTGCTTCCTGTGTTGAGATTAACTTTTAGATGCGCCCTATAAAATGCAGGCAAAGCTTCTGTTGGCAACGCCAGTCTGTTGCTCCCCAAACAAAAATACCTTGCATGGCGAGGGTAGCTTAGGTACTCCTAGCCACGAACCACACCACAAACAGGGCGATGGCACAAGCCACAGAGACCCTTTGTAAGATGCGCCAAAGTATTGGGGGGTATGACTTACACGAAATGAGGATCTTTGAAACCCAGCCGCGGCTGTTCTCGATCTTTAGGGACGTATAGGCGTTTGGCCTGAAGTACAGTCTCTGCAAGATCGTCATCTTGTTCGCTGTCATCGCGCTTTCTCTTGCCGAGGGCTTGGCTCGCTTGTTCTCGCTTTGGATAAGTCTTCCCCGACTCTAGGAGGTCGATGATATGATTTATCACGGCCTGGGGAATGAATTCAAGTGGTTCGGCAATCGACGTGAGTGATTGTAGGCATATGTCTGGGAATAACGCTGTCACCTCCTGAGCACAAAGCTCTTGGGTATACTGATGTATCTCTTCGACGTCGCTATCGTCAGAGGTCTCCATATCGGCCGCCACTTTGTGTCCTGGTAGTTGTTAGAAAAGAAAAGGAAGAAATTTTGTAAGAAGTGTAGATATACTATTGTGTTTTATTGAGTAAGGCAAGAACGAAAGGGAAAGTGCTGGGGGCGGCCGCGGACCAGCTGCAACCCCATAGAAGTGTATTCATTGAAAGTCAAAGTGAATATGCAGTGCACTTGCATTGTCAATGCGACGATAGTTAAAGCAAGAGTTTGCGATCGGCTGTGACTTGCAACCTTTTTACTCACGCCAAGTGGCTTTCGCTAATAGGACTTGATTTCTTTTATGCTCAGTCTCTTGATAGAAGACTAATCTTCGATGCCAGACACTGCATAGGCTCGGGATGCAAAGAGTAACTTCTTTGTAGCAGAAATGTTTCCCTGTTAACCAGCCGCCCTGCCGTCATGGATCAAACAGATGTCCCTTTCACCACGACTTCGTAAGGTCCAGTGGTAGAGTATAAGAGATGAAATAGTTTAGCATCTCATGCCAGTTTAGACCACAACTTAGGCACCTTTGCTTTGGCGCTCTAAGCCTTAGAGGATGATTCATCTGTTACCCACCTGAAAGGGCCTTAGAAATGGATGCGATGACCGAATGGAGAGGTGAAGTTGTTATAGAGACTCAATCACTTGCCTGCTGTGACCGAATACGAAAGCGACGCTTCCTTTTGAAGCCCAGACAGAGCGCAACGGTCTGTAGATCTTGGTCTCGATTCGCTAAATGTATGATTGACTTGAATTCAAAATACGGATGCGAACCACTGGTGAGCAAGGTTGAGTTCTGTTGGAGGGTTCGAAAGAAAGTATTGAATGACCGAGGGTGTTCGATAGGTAGTAAGTAGCCAGATGTGATGCTGGATAAAAAACTGGCGTCGTTGAATCGCACTTTGGTATTAGTCGATTAGCGTTGCCTCTTTTCAACCTCCGATTTCACAAGCTTAGAGTATCGATCGATATGATCGTAAGGCTGATAGGAGGTGATTTGCGATGAAAGTGCAGAATGAATACGGATGAAAGATAGATACGACACAACCAAGTGCTGCAATACTATGTCGTCAACCAGAAATAGTCGAAATAAATACTAGACTGTCGTATGATGCAGATATATCAAGATGTGGAGTCGTGAAATTGGGGGAATTAATTAACTATATACCTCCTTTGGCGGTTTTGAGTTTCGAACCAGACCAGGCATTTATACAAAAGATACCAACTCTCCGGGGATAACCTTGACTTGTTTCGGGCATCTACAGAACAAGTGTTTGGAAGGCAAATTGGGCTAAGGCGGGAGTTCCGCTGCTAATTTGTGGCTTAATAATTTGATGAATGCTATTGGGTTTGATAGCATCATATCAGATGAGGGGGCGTCAGTTGATCATCCATCACTATATTTCAACTGCATGGGAGTAGCGATGTTGAGGGAACCAACAGAGACGTTTGTATACCTGGCTTGGCCTGTCATGTCTAACCGGAATCAGCATGCCGGCATATGTATTAGCATATGTATTGGCATATGTATATGTAGACACTGCAGTTGTGTTGCAGGAACTATATAGACCATACATGAACAAGTAAGTATGAAAGTTAATATCGATTTGTTCTAGATGTGTCTTCTACAAACAGCTTCATGTTAATGCCCAATAGTATCACAGGTCAGGCTGTGTGTAACTAACAAACGGTCTATCATCCTGCTGCTTGCTCGCCTAACAGCCAATCAGCCACCAGTCTTTGTCTTCAAGAGCGGCATGATATTAACTCTGAAAGGCTATCGCAACTTCTCAAGCAACGGATATCCGAATGTCCGTTCAATCCATGTCCTCCTAAGCCACTGACTGACGATTCTACATCGTGGAACCGGCTATCTATTCCGTCCGAACCGCTCATGCCACTTCCCTTTCCCTGGTGCACTCTTCGCCTTCTCGGGAACAGTATCCAGTTCCACAGTCTCCTTGATAGTAGAAATGATAGAGATGCCCTCAGCGAACGGCTCGTCTTCAGTAGGCGACGTCATAGGCGAGAGAAGCATAAGTGCATTTGAAGTATTCTTTTGGCGGAGCGCATATGTCTTGTTGGGTGTTTTGATAATAGCAGAGGTATCATTGGGCTCCATAGTAAGGCTGAACAAAGAAATTAGCGTGGTGCTCATATATCATATCAAGATTGAATGTGACTTACACGGGGGCGTCTTCAGCCTCAAGAATGTTTTGTAGATCTGGGGGTAGTTCGATGAGGCGGTAATTGGTTGATGAGGGATTGTGTTGCACGGGCATACCGCGTGATTGGCTCGCCATGATGATGAGTGTTTCCTGTGTAAAGGATTATGAGATGAAGGATTATGAACCAGATTAGAGGAAGATTGAAGTTGGATGTTTATGAAACAATTCAGGTCCAGAATTCTGGGATGCGGCGCTAAATCCAACCGAGCGTGGGTCCACGTGAAGACGGACGGGAGTCTCAGTGAAACGAAACATTCGCAAAACCAACAATCTCTATTCAAGCTATCATATTTCACGTATCACATAATATAACTATCCAAAACAGTACAGAGTACAGGGAAGTCTAAGTTTAAGCGGAATGCGGCTAAACAAGGGTATATTTCGTTTCCCAAAGCCAAGGATCTGATACCTCACTCAGCATGTAAGCATAACCTCAGTGATCATCAACACAGTCATGGACATCAGGAATGAGACTAGTGTAATACGAAACCGCGTACAACATGTGAGATTATAGCCTGAAGGAGGATTGTAGCCCCCATATCTAAGCCATCTTCTGGCTATAAACATCCGTTACTCCCCTTCTCACTCTTCACATACATCGTCTCACTCATTCCAAGATGACACTTACTGAATCCAACAAACCTGAGACTGTCGACGTCGTCGTCGTCGGTGCCGGCCTCTCCGGGCTTCGCGCCGCAGTCAAAATTCATGAAGCCGGTCACTCTGTCGTCGTTCTCGAAGCTGGTGAGAGGGTCGGAGGCAAGACGCTGAGCGTTGAGGCTTCACACTTGGGAGGTAAAGTTGATCTCGGTGCTGCTTGGTTGAATGACACCAACCAGAGCGAGATGTATAAACTTGCCAATGAATTTGGTTTTGATTTGATCAAGCAGCGAGCCACCGGGTTTAATCTTCACGAGGAAACAGACGGCAAAGTTGTCAAGTTACCGCACGGTATTTTGCCTCTACCTTCGGGTGCAGCTGAGGTTGTCGAAGAGTTTCTCGAGACACTGAACAAATGGGTTGACGAGATCGACCCGGAGAACCCTTCTAGCCACCCTGAAGCGAAAATGCTGGACTCGTTGACTTTTGGCCAGCTGGGCTCCAAGTATCTTGGGCCTGAACTTGGTCCAGCAGTCGCTGATTCTGCTACAAGTGGTCTCCTAGGTGTAGGGCCTGATGAAGTCAGCGCGCTGTACATGGTGGACTATTTCCGCGCCGGTACAGGCTTGGATAACATGGCCTCTGACAAGAAGGATGGAGGACAGTATCTGCGCAACAGACAAGGTATGAAAGTCCACCTTATAACCGATCGTTAGCTAACAGGGAATAGGAAACCAGACGTTTTCGATCCGTTTGGCTGCCAAGCTGCCAAAGAAAGCTGTAAGACTTCGCTGCCCTGTCAAAAAGATTAGACAAGGCTCGACTGGCGCCATCGTCGAAACAGCCGACCCGAGACATAACTTCTGGGCAAAGAGGGTCGTTATTTCAGTGCCGACATGTCTCTACTCAACCATCGCATTTGATCCACCCCTGCCACCAAGTAAGCAGACGCTGAGCGACAGCACTGCCTTGGGCTACTATTCCAAGTCTATCTTCGTCTTTGAGAAGCCATGGTGGCGTGAAGCCGGTCTAAGCGGCATCATTGAGAGCGAGACTGGGCCTATTGTCTTCTCAAGAGACACATGCTCAGAAGAGGATGGGCAGTATAGCATCACTTGCTTTGTCGTCGGCGATAGAGGCAGGGAGTGGTCCAAGTGGTCATCCGCAGAGCGGAAGAGGATCGTCTCGAACCAGTTCAAGCGTATCTTTAGCGCGGTGGGCATCAAAGCGCCAGAACCCGTTAATATTATCGTTCAAGAATGGACCAAACAGCCTTTTATCTGGGGTGCGCCATCACCAGTCATGATGCCGGGAATCTTGACAGACGATAGTGGGAAAGCCTTGCGTGAAGCTTATGGGAGAGTTCACTTTGTAGGTACTGAGACATCGTTGGTCTGGAAAGGTTATATGGAAGGCGCTGTTCGATCTGGTGTTCGAGGTGCCGAGGAGGTGATCCAAGCCTTTGAGGAAGAGTAGTCTGTTATCTTTAGTGGGGTTTGTCAATGACGATGACTTCATTCTGTTGTATTCATGATCCGATAAGAATAGCATCGCGTGAAATGGGAAATGAGTTGAGGGCATTTAAACATGCAATTTCTTGGCAATTGTATGGATCTCATCCTTCAAAACCTGAAAGTCTGAGGTGCTTCGGGAATAGCTGATCGCGTCAGTCGCGTCCACCAGTAAAAGTGCCGCAAATTGGGTGGGAACTGTAAGTTCAGCGGTCAATGCCTTGGAACCTAGGGAGCATCCGCTAGTCCCCGCCTAGGCAGTCCAGGATAAGGCATTGACTTTTTTTTTTGCCCATGTTTGGCTTTTTGGCTTTGACCGCCGCTGTTGTTGGGCTGAAGTTTCTTGTTGCCAGGGCAAGGGTTACTGTAACCAAGCTTATTTTAGATCAAGCCCGCATCATGGAAAGTCCCTGCTTCAGCTGAGGATGTAGCTTCTTCCGGCGGTTGATCAGTGTTGATCTCGGGGTGTTTTGTTATTCTCTGTCACGTGCTTTTGTTGATCAACTGAACCACAACATGAACACCTCTATCAATGGATCTGTGTGTGACGCACGTACGATATGGAATATGCAATGCAGTACACGATTACTACTGTAAATAATTAGTGGTTGGTTTCGAGAGGAGAAGTGAAAGTGTGTTTACTTTCCATTCGAAACAGGTTAGACCCACCTTCTTTTTTCGCTTGAGTTCCCGCTCCCCGACATTGTCTCTCTCTGAGGTGTCTGGGTCTGGGTCTTTTTGCTGGGTCCCTAGGCTGAGCTGGGCTTTGTTGACTCCCGACCGACTACGGATACGGGCCAAAGCTCAAACCTCCATCTCGCTCGTCTCGTCCTAATCCCAGCCCGAGATCGATCTCCAAAACAACGTCACTTTGTCAACCCCTCGATTCGATTGTCCGCCCGCATGCGCAAATCTGAGTATCCGTGACGAGGGAGGAGGCGACTCGTTAATATTTGGATTTACGGATTAAACTCTCGTCTCGTCTCATCGTCTACCCTCTAGGTTGGGCGCCGCTAAGCTACTGTACCGCTACTGTAGTCATTAATCGCTTCTCGTCGAATCGCTCTCCATCTGCGGCCCAACTTGGAGACCGCCCGACAAAATCGTCAACGTCAACACACCTTTTGTTTCGTACTGCACTGCATAGTACAGTACTGAACTGACCAGAAGCCACACCCTTCCTCCGACGCCATGGTTCGCGTTACCGAAGAGCTGGCGCTGTCGTCAGATAGTGTTACTCTCTACCACGCCGCCGATCCTCTACTCGGCCATCTGCCTCTGCTGCTATTCCACGGGCCCTCGACCACCGCAAACTATACCCTCAACAGCTCTCGAGTACAAGTCCATGTTTTTACGCCCGCCGGCTTCCAGAGCTTTCCCCGAATAACAATATCGCCCAATTCCCCATTTTACAGCGTAGTCCACCACCTACCCCGCGAGTTTCAGGGAGATGAGGTCTACCGCGCCCTCGCCTTTGGCCTCTTCAAATATTTTACAGAACTACCCGATGGCGTCAAAACATACCTTAAGAATCTATACCCTACACGAGGTCGACGTCCCGGTAGCGCACCTGCGCTGTTCAGTGAGCAACATGCCGCCGATATTGTTAAGGACATGGTCCAGAGCGACCACACGGCCGACATCATCGAGACACTGCAAGACGCTCTACAGACACAACATATCAGCCATGTAGATATGGACCTCGTCCTTCCACCGGGCGCTATCGTGCCTCTTCAGTCCGCCGATCTCGAAGAAGTGCCCGACGACGAAGATGATATCCTAGACCCGACATTGCGACAATATGGAGGATATACCCCTCTGATAAAGCTCTTTGGAGAGCCAGTATTCCTACCGACCAGCCGCCTACGAAGAGCACCATCGAAACCGACTGCGTTAAATCGGAGCAAATCTTTCCTCAAGGACCAGAAAATGGAACTGCGAATGAAACTCACAGAACTCGTGGAGACTGAGGAACGATATGTGTCTAAAGTGAGGGAGTTGGTGACAAATGTTGCGGCTGACTTCCGCGAGGGTGCTCAAGCGCGAGCACCTGGTAGCTTGAGTCCTTCTGAAGAAGAGTTGGAGAAACTCTTTCCCAGTTCAGCAGATGGTATTCTGCAGGTCAATTCTGCCTTTATGGAGGAATTGCGGAGAATTCTCGACGACACGGAAGAGGAGGCGATACGAGACATGGAGACGCCGACAATGCACTTTATGGGTTCAAAGATCGGCCGAACGAAAGATCCAAGCGGTGCCCTGGCTATCGCCAGATTATTCCTGGAGTGGTTCCCCAAATTCACGGCATGCTATCAGGATTACATTAAAGCTAGCCAGCACTTCCCTACGCTACTCAACTCCTTCCTCGATCAACAGTCGAGCTTCAGGCAGAGAGTGGCTCAAGCTGGAGAGCAGACGATCCGCTCTATTCTCATTGAGCCCGTGCAAAGGCTTCCCCGCTACAGCTTGCTCATTGACCAGATCGTTGGATGTATTCCAATGACACACCCCGCTCTGCAGCCCATGCTGAAGGCGCGAGATATCATCACAAATATCTGCTCAATGGATGAGCCCTTGCCTGACAAGCCTCACGTTACCAATAGACTTCGAAATATGGTTGAAGCCTGGCCGTTGAATCTTGAACCGCAAGGACGCCTCATTGCAACGGCCGACTTTACCGAATTGGCACCACCCTTTCAGCCGTTGCTTAATCAGTCAGACAGATCCGGTATCTTTCTCCTCTTTTCTGACTGCGTGGTCATTCTCAAGAAGATGAGTGGAACCATGACAGGACGAGACCTCTTGCGTGAGATTGAGAAGCCCTCTGCAGCTGGACTACTTATCTCAATGACAAATGCCGCAGGTGGCCCAGCCGCGTATGAGTTTGTTTTCACTGGATGGCATGACTTGGCCGAAGTCCGGTTTACCGAAGCAGATGATGGCACGCTCTTTTGGATGACTTCGACGGAAGAGATGAGAGGTGCTCACCCGGGCGAGCACAGAATCAGTAAAGCGGTTACCTCGCGATGTTTCCTTCTACAAGAGATATACGAAGCAAGAGCCTCGAAATGGGGAGAGGATGTGGTCAAGGCGAGAGTTGAGGCTCGATTCTCAGAAAAGGAGCGAGAGGACCCCACCTGGACTTTACGGTCAGCGCGTATGCCGGATAGCAACCTGGGCCTTCACGCAGCCATTTTCCAGGAGGGCGCCGACCAACTTATCGAGGGTCGCAAGGAGCCTGCCCCGATTCGAGTGGTTGTCGATCATGATAGGGGCACTAAAGGAGCGCCCGTGGGCCACTACGGCGTTGAGATTGTTGTCAACGTGACGACCAATGACATGAAGCGGGTATCTATGCTCACAGTTGGACTGAATGGGAGGCAGTTCCAGGACGATGTTGCACTGGAAGACTTCCTCCCTACGATGTCGCGCCGAGGTGAGTTCCATTATCACAAGTTTACCAACTCAGATACTAATGAGCTATAGTGATACAACTTTTGAGTACACAGCACAATGTTTCCAACATGCAACTCACAGCACCGCTCGTCTCGTACTACTCCAAGACACTGCATGGTCTCCTACTCAACACTAGAGCGGAGAAGACCAAGTCATTCCTCGCTTCGTCCCCTGTGAAGCTCCTATCCAGCTTCTGGGGCGGCAGCTCCGTTCATCTTTCAGACACGGCAAGCGTGAGCTCAAAGCACAAGCAGGTACCTTCGATTCACCGAAACAACAGTCAGGCATCCGTTGTTAGCTCAATAAAGGGTGGCAAGGATGGCATATCTCAAGAGGAAACCCGTACCGAAAACCCATTGATGCGCTTGGAGCAGACATTCACTAGTTACGTTGCCGCTCTGCAGAACCGCAAAGGTCTTATTATTGGTCGGACCTTGCTGCAACGCTCAGTGGTTGACGAACTGACTGTTAACGAACTCTACAACAGGCTCATAGAGAGCCCTTATGACTTTGATGCGACCGCTGACCTAGGTACAGAGGTCATCTTTGTTGCTTTTGAAAAGTTTCTTCGAATCGCATGGGCCGATCAAATAAGCCCCGTTATGTCGATGAAATCTATGGATACACTTCAGGCACGTGTTAACAAACGAGTGCCTGGCGACTTTGCAGATTTTGTCAACTTCTTGTTCGGCGATATGGCACCTCAAAATCGCCGTGCTTTTACTGCCCTCATCAAGCTTTTGGCCGATCTGCTGGACGGGTGCGGCAATGATGGCGACAGAGGAGCACTGACACTTGCCTTTGCGGAATTGCTCGTATATGATGGAACAGCCGCGAATTACATCAATCTACTAGACCGTCTCGTGGAAGACTGCGATCGGATCTTTGAAGAGCCTAGCTTGAATCACAGCTTTGGACTGGATAGCTCAACTTATGAGTCAATTAACTCGGCCATCCGTGGCAAAGGATATACCCCCTCGTTGGCATCAAACACTTCCTCACTGCGCCGCAAGTTTGGATTCGATACCCTGTTACGACAGAACAGCAAAGACGATCGTTCATCAGTATGGCGACAACTCAGTAAGCACAGAAACCCCGCAGCAGGCGAAGCAAACAGCTTATCCAAAGCGTCACTAGGCCGCTCCAGGTCTATCGATGACAACACAATTCCCAAAAAGTTGGCCCGGAGACCAGGTTCTAGGGATCGTCCACCCATAGCAGGGGCTTTTGACGAGATACAGAGACCAGGAAGCTCCCATAGGTTATTGGAAACAATAGGAGAGCCAGAAACGGAGCGACCACCGCCAACACCACGGTCGCCCAAGAAGAAGCGTCGCAGCTCCTTATCCGATTTGAAGAACCTGATGGCAACGACTACACTCGACGATGGCGAAGAATCACCGCAGCCACTTCAAGAAGCGAATCAAACATCGGAGAAACTCAACGCAACAAGCCCCAAGACAACGCCGTCTAGAATACCAGTTAGTCCCGGAGTAGCCCAGACGATGCGAGTGTCAAGACAAAAGGAGAATGTCTTGGATATGCTTCAACCTAGCCTATTTGAACCAAGTCCTTTAGAGCCGTCCGATGAGACAGTTCGGCGGCCCTCACCACTGAAGATCCACAGGCATTCCAAGACACTATCATCAAGCAACATTCCGACATTGCGCCCTTACCGTTCTGCGCCCCCGGGAGCTGAATCGCCCCCTCGCCCGAACTCGAGCCCATCCAGGCGTGGAACCCAGAGACTCCGCTTACAATCACCGCAAAAGCTTCGAGAACGACTCAACACAGAGAAGCAGGCTGTTGACGACGTGGATGCTGCTCTCAAATCTGAGCTATCCAAAATTGGCGAAGAGATGGCACGCCTCAATGAGGCACAGTCTCCAGGATCAAACTCGGTTGATTTACGACAAGTGACTGCTGCCGTCCGAGAGTTGGAAGACCGAGTTCCTGCTGCTATTCACGATCTTCAAGAGAAGCACACTGCGATCCAGCGCGATATGGAGACTACGGTCAAGGCAGCTGAAGCCAAGGTCCGGGCCATTGATCAATTATACAAAGAGGCAGTAGCAGAGAACGAATTACTATACGAAAAGTTCAACGGTGAACTTGGCAAGATCGTCAAAGCTCTCAAAGGCAAGGGCAAAGAAGAAAAGGAAGAACTTATGGTTCGGCTGCGCGATCAAAGCGATGAGACAGCGAGGATGAAGAAGGAGAACGCGCGACTCAAGCGCGAGATGGTTAGTCTGCGCGCGGCGTTGAAGGGGACGACAGAGTAGGCGCTGCTGTCCTCTGGGAGGCTGTTTAGGCGTCTGAAAAGGAACCTGTTGGTAATGAGTCAAGGAATTGGTTATGCCGTGAAGGCCGGGCTGTACATAACGCGGCGGACTCTGGGCTTTGTCGGAGTAGGGAGCAGGGTCGTATGGCAAGGACTAATTCGGGTCTGGCAATTGGGACCAGGACAGTGGCTTCATGTCATGTATACAAGATGAATTAGAGGTTATGAAGTGTCATGATGACGATAATCTATGTTCTAAATTGGGTATCATATGGGTATGGTGATGGTGATTGCGGATCGCTTTGCTCGATCCAGCACTCGAAAAAGAGAGGGCCAGCTTTAACGGCTCGAAGTGGTGTTGTGCTTTGTCCTCCAAGAGACGATCCCTGACTTAGAGAAGTGTCTGTTGGTGGTTGAAGATGTGGTTGGGAAGGAATCCAATCTTGTGATTGCTAGGCCTGTTAGCTGATATATTTGAACGAACCAGACTACACTTACACCTATCGGGGCGTTGGCTTCATCACGTAGCTCAACGGCAACTGTAAAAGTGCTACCGTCAGGTAAAGGAGTCATCTTTTCAGCTTCATGCGAGACCCTTCTAAGAGCTCCCCTGAGAGCCTGGCTCACGTCCGTCCAATTCACACCACTCTGCTCATCAACACCCTCCACCAAAGCAGGGTTATAAGTCATCTGGTCCCTATCACCCCATCCGCCAGGGAAAGCCGCTACATCAAACACCCATCGCTCAAGCACATCAAAAGTATGCGCAGCGTGCATGACAACCGCTACCCGCTTCACCGTCCCCTTGCGTAACTGTGCTGATAAAGCAGCGATAGCATCGTTTATCCACGTGCAGAGACCGGGATGGCGGGACTGGTGGACAGGGAGGTTGAGAGCACGTGTGGTGAGGAAAGTTGTTGCAGGGTAAAGGCCGCGGTGGTAGAGGAGGGTATGGATAGTTAGGGTTAAAAAGGTTGTGAAGGAGGAAATGAGGTGAGAAGCTGCGGCGGGGGGGACTGCAAGGCCGTTATCCATGGTGAGTGAGGGTTGATTGGTGGTGGTGATGGTGAAGAATTGGTGGTTTGGAGGACGTGGGGGACGCGTTGAGTGGAACGCGACATCACGTGATGGTGTCGTCATGAGACATGATGTAGTCCATCATCATGAAGATGCCTAGCATCAGATGCCTGAGCAGAGTTATAGCTACAGTATCGAGGTATACTAACACTATGACGCACTGTTGATACCTACTTATCATGGTGACAAAATATGGGAGATAGTAGTTCTCTTGCGCAGTATCATGACTTATATAAACTTACGAGCACAGCACGAAGTTTAGCTGTAAAGGCGGCCTACTAAAGCTTGTTGCATCATCCAAACTTACACCAGTTCTTAATTTTATCTTCAGAATGCGTAGGTGCTCTAGGCATCAGAGCTAGGTATTGGTTGGATCTAGCTTTGCGTAACGGTCCTGCCCAATGCATATAAGTATAAGCAATCACTGCCCCGCGAAGCAGAAAGCCTAAGATCCACATATAGGGCTGAGAGGCAACTATTTCATGACGCACCTTTCCCTTCGTCTTGACCTCGACCTCCATCTTTCTCCACTACCACTATCCTAATAACTCCACTCATCAACAACAACATCTCATCATGTCAGAACCTCTCAGTGTTGCCGCCATCCTAGGCGGCATGGCAGATGCCCTTCCTACACATCCCCAAAACGACGATTCATCAGATCTTGCGTCCTGTTACGAAGTCATCGCTCTACTCAACCACTCTTACCTTTCCGCTCTTGGATTTAAGCTCCAGGGCTTCCACGAGGATAAGAAGCTTTGTAAGTTTACCTGTCCCCCACAGCAGCATGATTTAGCTAACGCCCGACCAACAGCTGAATGCGAGTCACTTGCTCCTCGCCTGCCGCCACAATGGAACTCGGGCTTTGGCTCTTACAGCTTTGTGTATTCACACAAACAGTCCGCCATGACTTTCAGTTTCCGCGTTGATCGTATGGGCAAGAAAGTTGAGGTTAGAGGATTAGCTGTGGGAGACGACAACATTCGTCGTTTTGAACGATCTATCAGCGAAGTTGTGGATTCTAAGAAACTCCCTATTCGCATCACAATGAATGATAACGGAGAAGACCGAGGCGATCTCGTTGATAAGCTTCGTGGCGTATTTACATCAGAGCAAGCTATTGCTGGTACGTTTCCCTCTGAAACAACCTCTCTCGAAGCATTTACTGACTCAATCTAATAGATTTCCTCCATGACCTGAAGGTCAACATCGTTCAAAAGCTCATTCCCAGACTACAAAGTGAAGGATATGTAGAGACTGCCGAGGCAGAGGCCAACGCAGATTCAGAACGCCGAGCTCAAGAAGCACAGAACCCTTACCGCCCATTCCGTGGCGATCCTGTGCCAAACCCAAATATGCCTCCACCTCCAGCAAACCCACTTCCAGAGATGGCTCGACCTCGACCTCATCCCGTTGGCGATTTCCCTCCTCCAGGCTTTGAGGATGAGTATGAGATGAACAGACCACCAAGAGGTGCACTTCGAATGCCGGGCGGGTCCCCTTTCAACATCGGGCACGACGACCTGAATCCTCCTGGTCTTGGTCCGAATGATCCTCTGCGTGGCTCGTTCATTGGCGGAGGATTGCCTCGACCTGGTGGTAGCTCAGGTATGCATCCCACCTTCGACGATCCGTTATTTGGAGGTCAGGGGCCCGATGCACAGGGAGGGTATGATCCTCAGGCTCCTCCCGGCGCACGATGGGACCCTACTGGCCCCGCTGGCAACCCCAGATTCCCTGGACCTGGCGGGCGAGGCAATCACCCTTTCGGGGGAGGAGGCTTTGGCGGCGGTTTTGGCGGGCACATAATCTGAGTTAATTGTGCACCACGATTCTAGATAGTAATGGCTACCCTCACTAGGCGGTTAGAAGAATTGTCCTCTAAGGCTTAGGTTGCTAAAATAAAGTATCTTAAGAGCGGGTCTAAGCTGGAGTAAAGTAACTAAAGTATTTTGTTTCTTATGCTCCTAGCGGTCATTCCTTCTAGCAGGCCTCACCGGTAGCAAATGGAAGAAGAATCACAATATTTAATTATCTACTACTTTTCCATTCCCGTGTGACTCTTCCACTGTGGTGTTTCTAATTCTATCTACGTTTCGTTTCCATTCATAATATCATACCTACTGATACCCATTATATCAGCTTTGACAATCAAATCAAAGGTCTATCTTTAGCTCTCTAGCCTCCACGTCGCATAGAATCACCCCAGGCCAGCAGATCGTCTCGGTGAGAACGTACCCGGGTTGAACGTCGGGATGGACGTTGCAGGGATGAACTAGGCATCTCGTGGGGTGCAGGTGCAGGTGCAGGATTATTCTATTGTCCTGCTGAGTTGGCAACCTCGTTGAGCTTCGCCTTTTCTTCGTCTGTCAACATGTTATACCACTCCTGGAAGTTGGCAGTGTTCTCCTGGGCGCAGCGGATAAAGAACTCGGTGAGGTACTTTTGTGTCTCGTCATCGCGCTGTCGCTGTCCACCTTCCATGAAGGACATGAGATCATGCTTGGTGGTTCCCAGGCTCAGGTCGAGAGTATCGTCGTCGTCTTCCCAGCCCTCATCGTCGTTCTCGTCCTCGAAGCTGGCGGTTGCCACAGCGGCAGCGGCCGCGTTTGCAGCAGCCTGTTGACCGGATGCAGAGAGAAGTTCCTCAATGAGGACCTTGACGATCTTAAGAGAGGCAGGAATGATGGTGTATCGGTCGGGGTCTGGTGCCATGGCTGGTTGATTAGCGTCCTGAGCTTCAGTGAAATGGGCGTGGGTGTCAGAAGAATTGTACAGAAATAAAGTAGCCTAAACGCTGGCCTAAGCCGGCATAAGAGGACCAAAATATTTCGTCTCTTATGCTCTCGATGGCCAATTCTTCTGACACCCTGACGAGGGTGTCTAGGTAGGGGATAACATACTCTGCTTCGCACGTGAACGTGTCTTGATAAGACCGTCGTCGTTGTTTACGATCAGGTCACCCTTGACCTGGGTTTGTGCCAGGCGAGAATCGTTAAGGGAGTAGAGCTTAGATAGGGCAATCACGCTACACTTGTCAGTAAAGTTCGACATTGCTTCGTTTGACATACTTTTGACGGATTTCATCGTATCCAGCAAAGTTGACAGAGTTTTCTAGCCACTTGGCCATGACGACCTGTAGGCCACTTTCGCCTTTGATCTGGATTTGACTCAAAAACTCGACCACCTCGCTGGCCCCAGAAAGAGTGAGACGGGCAAACACAAGGATGAGTGACTGGATGAAAGCTGCAGCTTGTGCGGTAGCAAGTCGGTTGGCGACAGCTTGAAGAAGCTGGGGCAGGAAAGGACCAAGGCGCTCAGAACCAGCCTTCTCAACAAGCTCGGCGGCCAGACCACCAACCTCAGAAGCCGAATTGTCCTCGATAGAGGGACCCAGAAGTCGGTCGATGATGTGCAGGCACACCTCCAGACCAGAACGTCCGTTGGCATCTTCCCAAGCAAGAACCTGCTGGTAGTCGTGCTGAAGCATCCACTTCACAACCTCGGATCCGGGCCGGAGAACCTCGCCCTCGGTGGACTCCATGAGGAGACGGTTCACCTTGGGGAAAGTAGCTGCAACGAAGCCTGCAGGCAGAGGCTCGGGTCCGTTTTCGGCAAGAATAGCCAACAATTCGATGGCGACCTAAGAATTGTCAGTAAATTATTACAGGTCCCTCGAGTGTCAGAAGAGTTGGCCGCGGAGAGCATAAGAGACGAAATACTTTGGTCACCTTATACAAGCTTAGGCTAGCAATTAGGCTACTTTATTTCTGTAGCCTAAGCCTCAGACAATTCTTCTGACACTCACCTGACGGAGTATCTTTAAACTTACAGTAACCAGAGGGTTGTCCTCAGTGAGGTTAGCAACATCGAAGGCACCGGTCAAGGTGGGCAGAAGCTTTCCGCAGAGGGCAGTGTAAGATTGGGTATCCGACAGAGCAGTAACGATATCCTCGAGACCCTCAGAAATCAGCATCGTTACTTGAAAGTTGCTGGCGCCAAGCTTGGCAAGCATGAAGAGGAGGTCGACGGACTGAACCTCGTCAGAGAGAGCGATACGTGTGTTCAGGGTAATAGCAGCACGGAGAGACTCGGAAAGGGTAACAAGAAGTTCGTCGGCATCTTCCATGTCACTGGGGTCCTTGCCGTTCATGTAGCTCTGGATGGCATTGATGATAGGAACCTGCTTGTCATCAGACACCTGGCCATGGTTAATGAGCCCCTCGAGGGCCTTGATGCAAGCGACTTGGACGACCTCTGATTCCTCCTGCGTAATTGAGGCAATCATACGATCCAACAGCTCAACGGGAGTTCGGTAGGCTCGGCAAAGCATACCAGCCACGAGGTAGCCTCGGGCTCGGAGCAGAGGCTCTTCAACTCTGTTGATTGCATAGTCGACCAGCACAAGATAGGCATGGGCAACTTCCTCGGGAATTGGCTTGTTCATGTCTTGGAAATCGCTAGCCAGCATGACAAAGAGGTAGAGTGCCGCCTCTTGGTGACGCCAGTCAGAGCCCTCGTTGCCGAAAAGTGGCTGTGTCTGTCCAAAGAGACCCTCTATGGTCTTCTGGTCGAACCACTCTCCCATCTTGATCAACAGGTCGCCGGCAGCAGTTCGTGCAGTGTAGTTAGCAGTCACGGAAGTCTCCTCGGCAAGGTACAGGGAGCAGTCTATATCCCACAGTTCCTCCTCTTCCCGGGTAACGCGAGAATAGCCAATAAGCATGGTCATGATCTCTTTCATCCAAGGAACCTGCGCTGCGGATTGATGGGCTTTAAGGTGGCCATCCAGCTCGGCCTGTACCGGTGGAGCCCTAAAGCACTGGTTCAGGAAATCTAGCTCCTCCAGAATGAGGAAGTCCAGTGTATAAGGAAGGTTGTCTGAGTCCTCTAGACGGCCCTGGGCATCCTGCAGGATGTACAACTGCTCGTGGGCGCCTTGCAGCTTGGAGAGCTCCTCCCACACTGCGCTGAAAAACACAGTGCTCTGGGAAACCAGCAGGTTAGGGAAAACGCGTCGGATTCTAATGAGAGTCTTGACAACTTGTAGCTTAAGTGCGATGATGTGGCTCCAGGATTCAGGCTGGATGCCATCTGCGAGGTTAGCCTCAGGGAGAGGGCTCTTCATAACAGTGACGAAGAAGGGGTTCCATTGTTGCAGGAGACCGTCAGCAAATGTGCGGACCTCCTTACCGTGGTCCTCCTTGATCATGTTGAGAAGATCGAAGCATCCTCGGAGAATGGAAATGGCGAGGGCTCGGTGCATGGGCTTTCGGTTCTCGTTAAAAGTGACTTCGGCAAGGGCCTTGGCGATATCCGGGGCCATGGAGAAGAACTGGTCCTCGCTCAAACTCTCCTCAATTATGTCGTTGAGTGTTCTCAAAGCGCCATGAAGCTGGGCGTCGGTGCCAGTTGGGACAACGGACAATAGCGAAGGAAGAAGGGTAGGCCACTCTCCGGGAAAGTCGTGGATGGCAATTTTTCCGACTGCGTAACTGGCAGAGATCTTTACTTTGCGATCCTCCTCAGGGCTCAGAACCAAGTCGAGCAGGACTTGCTTCAGCTGGCCCCTGGCCTCGCCGGAAATAGGGATTTGAGGCTCATCGTCAAGCTCATCAGTGCTCCAGTTGTCCTCGATAAAGAGTCTCAGGTTGGTGAGAGCAGACTGTCGGATGTTTGTTTCAATCGAAGTATGGGCAGCGATGTTTGCGAGGGACAGAGGAAAGGCGGGATTCGTTCGGGCGCGCTTAAGCTCGATTTCGGCCTGTTGTCTGGGACCCTGGTCGGGCAGTTGGGTATTGGAGAGAAGCTGCACCAACTGGTCCTCCATGATTGCGGATCAAGGACTTTTGGTGTGTTTTGGGATTAGATGTGATGAAAAAGTTGAGGATGGCGGGGAGAAAGAAGCGGAATTGGTGACGATGGTGGGGGAGACAAACAAAAGAGTGGGCCTTCCTTGTTGATGTTGAGAGTGATCTCTACCTAAGGTAGAAATCAAGGAAGGTACATTCCAAGTATGGAAAGTTGATGCTTCAGCTCGACACTTGGCTCTTATTTACACAGAGATTAACTAGAATTTACTTCTTGTGCTACAAGTTTACTCTTGTGTTTCCAGTAATTCAAGTTTACAGTTACTGGACAAATTCACTAGCGGCTAGGCTCCTGCTGTATGCAGTGTTTTCTCGAATCGCGGGGCAGGAAGGAAGGAGTTGTCGGTCCATTCACGTGCTTTCCTTTTGTTTTTGTCTGGACCCCTTTTTTTCCTTCTTAGAACATTCGTCGCCGAGCAATGACGCCAGCAGAGCCTCAGAATATTAAACGACCACTTGCTAAAGATGGACACTTGTTCCTTCTCTTTTCTCCGTTGTTATGGATAGGCCAAATATTACTATGACTTATCAAGACAAGGAACCATACTGGCCATGTCCACTACGGGGTGACTAGCTGCTTGGCCGTCTTGAAGCATCTGTGCTCAAGTTCAAACAGCTTCTTCCTGTACTGTCTCTATCAATTGATTCGGATTGAGCTGCTGTTTTTCACTCCCTTCTTCAATTGACGCCCTTTATTAACTCTAGTGATAGTTGGATACTTCATCCGTGAGAGAAACCGTATACTCTGAAGACCAAAGGTCATGAAAGAAGCAACCAACTTCAGGATGGCTTACCCTAAACTTGAGACAGGAAAACCGGAGATGATGACTTGTCTGAACGTGATGTGTCGAAACAAATGGGATGCTATGCTTGAGAATTACCCGCTGTGTCGGATTATCGATTGTCGGTGTAGTTCTTTTCGAGTGTCGTGCTGTTCGCTTCTAGGGTACGGAATAGGCGAGGAGTCCAAGTTCCTCTGTTCTATAGAAAATTTGACATACACAGCGAACGTCCCATTCTTAAGCAATGGAATACAACGGTTTAAGCTTATGGGTTCTAGATCAATTCACGGATATAATTCGGCGTCTCACCTCTCTTTTGCCGCGAAAACCCATCATCGTATGAGTCTTTGTTTATTATGACCCATCCGCAAAGTTGGCTTTGCGGGCCGATACGACAAGACATGACCAATCCGAAAATTTGTGAGTCTTTGAAATACACTGCCACCGCCGTGAAGGCTTCAGTGCAGCTCCTCCGTGACAAATATGGGTGGGTTTTTCAAGTAATAGTTGCGCATCACGACCCATTGAAGTACATGTAAGACCCCAATGTAAAAAACTGCAAATGTTGCATCGACAGGCGGGGAGTTCCCATCTCCCCGGTCGAGAGAAACAGAAAGAGAAAGATTCTAGGCCAGCTCAAGACCCGAAAGTTTTGGTAGATCTGTTTCAGTGCCGTGATGTTCTCGGTGTTATTCGAGAATCGACGGATATACCGACATGAGACCTGCAGCCAGCTTGCGTTGTGTCAGTCGAGTAGTTGAGAGAAGTGGTTTTTATGACAGATTGGTGGACAATGCTTGAGATAGCATGTAGCATTCGGCATTTTTAGATGCGGAGGCATGATCGTTTCAGGAAAGTTGGCTGTGAGAAGCAACGGCCAAAACGGCGAACGAGCGTCTGAGGCCGAAAGCCATGGCGAGCCGCTGCTATGGGTCTAAGGGTTCTCTCCCACTCCCACTTTCTCGCGCCGATACGATACGATGGATACATATGATTGATCCTGGGTGGGATGCAACTCTAGATTGCGCAAGAGGGGAGAAAAAGAGATCAGGCGACGTATGCGTTGCTGTGCGTAGATAGTTAGTTTCGGATAAAAACCGAATACATAGCAATGAATTGCCTAAGCTGTTGACAACGAGATAATATTTCAGTGACTACTTGATCTAAGATGAGGTTGTTGATAGACATGATAGGGCAGATAGCTCCTAGTCGGAGTGAATTTGGGTCTAAGCGAAAGGGTTGACTCGATGAGATCGAGTAACAGATTTATTCTGCAGAAGGCGACTAAGCTCAATTAAGTCGGAGGCGTAAGTACCGGTATCTTCAATCGCATCGCTGCGGTGATAAGGAAAGAGATTCTGGCCAATTGGGAGGTCTCGTTTATATCCGCCCGGGGTAATCGCCCCTCTTGTGGCATGGCTTAGGCCTTTGATAAGTGAAATGGGAAGTAACCATCTGCAGGGCATTTCCAAGCCCAGCCGTACCTATGCGCATGCGTTCACTGCGACTGCCCCCAGGAACAACAGTAACCCAATTGTATCTCCATTCATTTTTCTTACAGGTGAGCAAAAAGGATTCTTTTTTTCTCTGGGTCATAATTACCTAAAAAGGATAGCAATGTCGGGGAAACGTCTTACCGTCTACGTCAACGTGAGCCGAAAGAAGCTGTCGCAGCCACTCATACGGTGATACCAAGCATTTGCTCCATGGATTTAGAGTCTCGCATGTGGGGGCACCCACTAAAAGAGGACCTGGGTCCCTTGTAACTCGACTCACCTCTCCGCAACGTGCTATTCTGTGCCGACAGAAGCGCATGTACCTATCCTTGGTGCCTTGGTAAACTGGAGGAGAATGTAGATGAATGAATCATGTCTAACTGAAGATACTTGGAATCTTTGAGGATGACGATGCTGTAAGTATGGGAGGGAAAAGTGAAGGGTAGACCAGATACAAACAACATCTCAACTACCGGAGATGCAAAAGTGCTTATCCCTTCAACTAAACCTACCACGGATAATGTAGCCACGGCAAACCCATCCCGGTACAGGTACGTCTTCCCAATGTACATACATAACAGTCGGCTAGTTATCTACAGTAGCAACGGTCGGGTCTGGGGATGACGATCATGCTGAGATAGTGGCTGACTGATAACCATATCCTGCATTCTGCCCAGACACAGACACTCCAAGGAGTGCATCCTAGACAAGACACCAACTGTTGGTGGACCTTAGGCCCTTCCTTCATACAGGAACCTGCACCTCGGACTTATATGGGGAAATGTCAATCATCAAACCATAAATACCAGCTCGCCCGTCACCCTCGACGACCGCCTTTTCCAAGACAAGAACGCGGTGGAGAAGATCCAGTCGGTTCCCTCCTACTATTCTATCCTAATTAGTCCATCTACCTATTTCTATTACGATACTACTATCACATCATCATCCTCTTCTTTCACCTTGGATTTGATCCTAGTCCACGTTGTTGTCACCTGCACGTCATAGCCCCTCGTCCAAGGCTTTCGAGTAACAATACAGAAAGTCAATTGCTTTTTAAGTTACCGCTAGATCTTATAGCTTTTTGTTTATTCTTCATCGTTTCTATACACACATCGACATCATGGAGACCAGATCAAGATTCAAGGTCTTGTCCGATAAGATTGGCGTCCCAGCTGAGCCTGGCTTGACAAGCACACAGCTTATGGTACGAATGCCTTACACCAAGTTTTATAAGACTCTACCCTGAACTTATACTGCGACGCGATCAACGATGACGGAATTATACTAATACTCTCACACAGCTTACGAACCATGATCTCGCACCCGTTGACAAGGAGCGTCGACAATGGGGTCCCTGGAACTTTGTCGGTTTCTGGATCGCCGATTCTTTCAACATCAACACTTGGATGATTTCTTCAGCCATGATTGTTAACGGACTTTCATGGTGGCAGGCATGGCTCTGTGTCTGGATCGGTTACAGTATCACTGGTCTCTTTGTCGCAATTAATGCGCGACCTGGTGCTATCTACCACATCAGTTTCCCCGTTATCAACAGAAGCGCTTTTGGTATCTGGGGTGGATTGTGGCCTGTTCTGAACCGAGCTGCTATGGGTATGTCTTGATCCTCTCCAAATATGCGATGTATTGCTAATACAGAATAGCTTGTGTCTGGTACGGAGTTCAAGCTTACATTGGTGGAAACTGTGTCTATCTCATGATCCGATCTATCTGGAAGTCGTGGGAAAACGTCCCTAACACTTTCAGTGCGGATTCTGGCACAAGCACTCCTCACTTTGTTTCCTTCATCATCTTCTGGCTCTGCTCTCTTCCTGCTCTCTGGTTCCCTGTCCACAAGGTCCGACATCTCTTCACCGTCAAGGCCTACGTCGTTCCCGTTGCTGGAATCACTTTCCTCGCCTGGACGATTTCGCGTGCTGGTGGTATCGGTCCCATCATCAAGCAGGGTAACACTGTTCATGGTAGTGATTTGGCTTGGGAGATTGTTAAGGGCATCATGTCGTCGATCTCCAACTTTGCCACCCTCATTGTCAACGCCAGCGATTTCTCCCGATTTGCGCAAAAGCCAAAGGACGCTATTCTTCCTCAGATCATCACCATCCCCATGGGTTTCGCTGTCACTTCCTTCATCGGTATCATCGTTTCTTCCGCTTCGACTACGTTGTATGACCGAGCTATCTGGAACCCTCTTGACTTGCTCGATGAGTTCATCAACGATGGAAGCTCTGCTGAGCGCTTCGGTGTCTTCTTCATTGCCTCAGCTTTCGCCCTCGCTCAGCTCGGAACCAACATCGCCGCGAACAGTGTTTCGGCCGGTAACGATTTGACTGCTCTTCTTCCTCGCTGGATCAACATTCGACGTGGAAGTTACATTTGCGCGTGTCTCGGTCTCATGATCTGCCCCTGGCAACTTCTCAAGGATAGCAACGAGTTCACTACCTACCTCTCCGCCTACAGTGTGTTCCTCAGCTCCATCGCTGGTGTCATGGTTTGCGACTACTACATTGTCCGTAAGGGATACATCGAGGTCAAGGAACTCTATGACGCTCGCAAGGAAGGTCCTTACTACTACACCGCTGGTTTCAACTGGCGAGGTTACGCTGCTTACATTTGCGGTATTCTCATCAACGTTGTTGGTTTCGCCGATGCCGTCGGTGCAAAGAACGTCCCCATCGGCGCCGTCCGCGTTTACCAGCTCAACTACTTCTGCGGTTTCGGTGTCTCCATGATAGTCTACTATCTTCTGTGCAAGCTCTCACCGATCCCTGCGACCAGCGACCGATGGATGGAAGTTGGCGAAGATGCTGATGAACTCCAAGCTGCATACGGCTCTAGAACTCCTTCTTACGACGAAGAGAATGCGACAGGCGGAGATGCGCCAAAGGGTACTGATGAGACGAAACATTTCTGAGTTTAAACATGGCATGGAGTTATTTATGATGGATATTCGATGATGTAAATTTCTTTTCTTTTCGCTGGATATATACTGGATGCCGAGCTATTTGCCGGATGATGAATACATGAACACACTGTTCTTTGGATCTCTATACTTCTGTCTCCCTTTGCCTCTTACTGTGATGAATATTGAGACGCATAGTCCTCTAGGCCAACTAACAGATAGTGCCTTACTGAACATCACTTCTTGCGATCGGCTCTATTCTGTTTGCGCAACTTCCTCCACGGGCGGACTAGCTTCTTAGACTTCGACTGATAGGTCTTTCTTCAAGCCCCGTTGGCTCAGTGGTAAAGCGTATCACTAGTAATGATAAGATCACTGGTTCGATTCCAGTACGGGGCAACTATCTCTTCGAACATCAGTTATGTGGCGTTCCTCCCTTTTTGCGCATTCATCTAAACGAGTATCGCTGACGCGCATTATCTTTTGCGAGCTGTGTAACTCTGGGGCGGAACGGCACGAGCGCTTAAACGATTTAAGGTTAATGCAGCATGACGTCAACCCGGGCCCTTTGTGCATCCAAACTTCATGATCTCTTCGGCGAACGGTGAAAGTGAAACAGATCAGCAGCTGCTGACGAGTCTTTTTTGTTTCGTGCATGCGTAAGGCTGCATGTCATTTACGCGGTGAAGAGATCTGATACATAAGTTCTTGGTATTTTGCGGGGTAATTGTATACGACGTGAGAGGTTGCACCAGTGATTATCACATGAGATACTAGCATAATGCTTGTCTAGCCTTGTCTTAATATTGCCTACTTTGAAAAGAAGCGAACGCTATCTTTTGAGTCGTTCCTCCGAACGAACGAGAGGGTGCAGCACGGGAGTTCCCGTACTGCCACGTGCAGGTATTAAATTGGGCAACAACCACCTAAAAAGAAACCATCACAACACCAAGAGAAGCATTGATTAATACATGTTGGTGAAGATATAGAGCACAAACAGGCAAAAATAAGACTTGATTGAATCACGTGCCCCGTACTGGAATCGAACCAGTGATCTTATCATTACTAGTGATACGCTTTACCACTGAGCCAACGGGGCTTATGAGGTGATTCCTCGCTTGTTGAAGGGTCGTCTGTACTTTGAGTCTATATAGTCTCTAAGAATTAAAAGGCCATCATGTTTTGCTCGTCTGTTAAGGGGAATCAGAGAGGAGCGTGTCGTGGATTTCTATAGTGTTTTTGGCGAACATGTATTGCGTCATACACAACTCTATGCACTGGCCACCAGTATTACGATGATCGGAACATTCAAGGCACATGGTAGTAGACCTGGCAACCAATCTATTATGGATGTAAAGGTTCATTAGCAGCCTAGCTTTTATATCTATTTTCGGTATCAGGCAACACAGGCATATGCATACAATTATCTTGCTACTGTTTGTGCATCTTACTGAAATACGGATTTTAGAAACTGACGACTACATGTTTACCCTACATAATCAGACATCTGCAGGAGGACAGCATAGAAGAACCAATGTCTGAAATGGGATGGAACTCTAGAATGAATAAAATCAAGAGTACGTACTCCAGCGGTGGAATCGGCATTTGAAGTTTTCTCTGAATCCTAGTCATGTGGGCTCTTCACCGTCCCCTCTTCGCACTGACATCGCGCTTTGAACCGGTGACTTTGCAAATTTGTTCAGCTGCTTCTTTCGTACTTTGCTCTCATATCTATTAACTCCAATGAGCTTACTATATCTCTGGATTGAATAGTGGAAGGTAGGCAACTTCAGAAGATCTTTATCAAGCAAAACAGTGTATAAGTGATATTGAAGGGAGACCCACCCTTTTCACGATTTCATTTCAATGACTATCAGTAAAGTTTGATTCGTAGATATTAGTTAGTGTATGCAACACAAGAAGAGTCAGTTGACATGAAAAAGTGTGTAGATGCGGTATTAATGACGCCGTTGGACATTTTGGGCATAATTTGTTATCTGTTGCTGGGCAGATATGCCGTTTGGACTTGTACTTTGAATTTTCACTTACACACGTTGACCTCTATATGTTGTCATTTGTAGTTCAAACCTGTAGCAATCAACCAATCGTTTGAACCCTTGCTTTTGGCTCAGTTCGAAGAAACTAAGCAAGAACAGCAAGAGATCTTCAACAAATCGCAATGTTGATACCAGAATAAAGAAAAGCTAAATAGATACTTGAAACGGTGTTTAATGTCCGGGTTTGACGGACCACTGATTTATAACGGGAGAGTCCACTAAAGCAAGGCACATTTGGGGGACACCCCACCACTGCGGATCATTCTCCGGCCCGCCTTGACCAATACCCCGCCTGAGAAGGAATTTGTGGTCGCCAAAAAAATGACCGATATCGTCGCGACCATTTTAGAAAATTTTTCTAGAGGTTACACATTCTGATACAAGTCAAGAGCTTAGACTGAGTGTAGATACACTCGATTGTTCGATTTTTCAACCTCTCCACGACCTCGACGTGACACTTTATTCAACATGTGTGGTGTTTCGGCTATTTTGGTCAGTCTCGAGTTCCTTCTCTTTACAAAATATTGCCCCTCCCCCGCGCTCAGAAAAGAGACCCTTGCCCGTGCTCGGACTTGAGACGGAAGTGCCCTACCAAAAGAGCAACGAACAATGAAACATTACATGTAAACACATGCTGACTGCTTATACAGCTGGGCGACCAGGAAGCCACTTCCGCCGCTATCGATTTGCACGAGTCTTTGTATTACCTCCAACATGTTAGTCACCGATCGCAAACAAATTACAGATCGAATCGCGAATATCGATCATAGGAGGAACCGATGCTGATAATTGGAATAGCGTGGACAAGATGCTGCAGGTATTGCTGTTTGCCAGGGAGGCGGAAGAGTCTCCCAATGTAAGGGCTTGGGAATGGCCAGCAAGGTCTTTGCTGATGGCAAACGCCTCGAGCACCTTCCCGGCTACATGGGTATGGCATTGCGACACAGAGATGAGACAAAAACTAACTTTACAAAGGCCTGGGTCACGTCCGCTACCCTACCATGGGAACCGCTTCTGCGTATGTGTTACAGCAAACATGATGTGTGCACAACTAACAGTGACACAGCTCTGAGGCTCAGCCTTTCTACGTTAACGCGCCTTTCGGTATCTCCATGAGCGTCAACGGCAACCTTGTAAACACCGAATACCTCCGCAAGTTCCTCGATGAGGAAGCCCACCGACACGTCAACTCCGACTCCGACTCCGAACTCCTGTGCGTAATCGCAGCTCGCACTTACTCGAACGACAATAGCTGATATGTACCAATAGCCTCAACATCTTCGCCCACGGACTCCAGCAGCTCGGCAAGACTCGCGCCAACTCTGAAGACATCTTCACTGCCCTCAGCGATGTCTATGCTAAGTGCCAGGGTGCTTTCGCCTGCACTGCCATGATCGCTGGTTTCGGTATCCTCGCTTTCCGGTGAGTTATGCTGATAGTTCACAACGACGTTCAGAGTCTAATTCTAAACAGTGACGCCAACGGTATTCGTCCTCTTGTCATTGGTTCTCGACCCTCCGACACTCTCCCCGGCGCCAAGGACTACATGTTCGCATCTGAGTCTGTCGTCTTGAAGCAGCTCGGTTTCGACGACATTATGGACATCCTTCCTGGCCAGGCCTGCTTTTTGCAAAAGGGCTGCCCTCCCAAGTTCCGCCAGATCATCAACGACAAGCCCTACACCCCCGATTGCTTCGAATTCGTCTACGTTGCTCGTCCTGATTCCACCATGGACGGTATCTCTGTCTACCGCAGCCGACAGAACATGGGAGAGAAGCTCGCCAAGAAGATTCGTGATGTGCTCGGAGAGAAGGGTGTTCAAGAGATTGATGCTGGTATGTTACATCTACGCGTTTTCTTACACTGAATTGAGCTGACATGCCCTCTAGTTATCCCCGTGCCTGAGGTATGCTGAGTGATAGCATTTTTCAGTCCTATATCATGAAACTAACTGCCTTGTAGACAAGCAATATTGCCGCTGCTACACTTGCTGAGAAGCTTGGCAAGCCTTATGTCACTGCTCTCATCAAGAACCGATATGTCCAGCGAACATTCATTCTCCCCAACCAAGCTCTCCGAATGAAGAGTGTCCGCAGAAAGCTCTCACCCATCGACTCTGAGTTCCGCGGAAAGAACTTGATCCTTGTGGATGACAGTGTCGTCCGTGGAAGTAAGCAAAACAAACTTCATGTCACAGCCTAATACTGACTAAATACTAGCTACATCACGACAAATTGTCCAGATGGCAAGGGAAGCTGGTGCTGTTAAGGTTATCTTCGTCTCAGCCTCTCCCGAGTGCATACATCCTCATATCGTACGTTTGCCCCAATTGTTGTATTTGTGAATGATGCTAATAGTTTTTGAAGTATGGTATCGATCTTGCGGATCCAGTTGGTAGGCTTCCCTGATCCATTTCGAGTTGCTGTGTTGCTAACAATTCATAGACCTTGTTGCTCACGGTCGAACGAACCAACAGATCGCCGACTATATTGGCGCCGACGAAGTCATCTTCCAGGACCTTGATGGCAAGGACGGACTGAAGGCTGCTTGTATGGAAGCAGCCGAGACCACAAGCAAGGTTGAGGACTTTGAAGTCGGTGTCTTCTGCGGAAAATATGTCACAGAAGTTCCCGAAGGGTACTTCGAGCACCTGAGCGATCTCCGAAACGGAAAGAAGAAGGCGAAGGCTGCTTTGAGAGAAATCAAGGCGGGTGGTGATGAGGGTGGAAACATCGTCGTCAGCTCTGGACCTACAAACGGTGCGCCTGAGTCTGATGATCGTGAAGATATCAGGTGAGTTCCTATCAGTGATCTTCACTGTTTGCATATACTGACGTAGTGAACAGCATTCACAATGTGGCGAGCGAGCAGAACGCAACGTCATAAACGTGAACGGTGAGGCTGATAAGAACACCGGTGAAAAAAGATCGAATAGAAAGGCCGACAAAGAGAAGAACAACTTCGAGTCATCGACGAGATGAAGAACTAAACAATTGGGGCTGAGAACATCAGCGACAGTCCGAAAAGCTATGATGAAAAAATAATGTAGCCTCCAGAGTTGTCAGCCAGCCAGAAAATGGATATCAGGATAGAACACCGACGCTGGCTGGCAGCTCGGTGAGGCACCAACGATACTAGAGATGCCGCAAGGCAGAGATTAGAACGAGATATGAAAAGCCAGAATTTATGAGCGTTGTTTGAATTATTGCTGCTATCAGCCTCCTCGCGTCAGTCGATCTTGTGCTCCGCTTCGTCAGGTTCGGAGTTGCCCTATGGCCCCAGATTGTGGACTCGTGTGCCAGGTATTAAGGGACCGCCACGATGTTATGTTGAGTGGGTTAGGATGAATCAATGGAATCCGCCGTGATAGTGATCAGAACGATGCGTTGTGTTGCACTATCGAATATCTAGTTCAAGCCTATGGCTTGCTTAAATCCCACTATAGGAAGCATACCCCCGCCAATTCATGCAATTTGACCCATTGGATGGATTATTGAGGGGAAACAAGTACGGTGAGCAAGGTGAAGAAATCTAAACTATCGTGAAGGTCCATCATGATAATTTCTTGGTGGAGTTGTTGAGAAGGTGGGAGGAGCCTCATGAGGAGACGCCAAGGTTTCTCCGATCAAACAGACCCAGACTAGCTCAAGAGGATCCTCCTAGAGGGGAACCGACATGCCAGACGAGTTAGTTGGAGATGGTTGGAGAGCATAAATATATGGATCTCTGTTAGGGCCAGACCGGTCATGCCAAGATGAATCCCTAGCAGCATGACTAAATGACAATAACAGTGGGCAGTCCCTGGTCGTCTACTTAAGTTAGTCAGATGCTAAGCTACAAACAAAAGAAGGAGCCAGATCAAGACCAACACATGCTACAGATATTTCAGTAGCAGTAGCGACCAGGTACGTCAAGGGTGCATGCGGATCGTTAGTATAGTGTGTGCCGTGGCGGTTCATAAGCTCCGTGGACGGTGGACTCCATCACGATCTCCAACGCATAGAAGAAAAGAAGAAAAAATGTATCAGGGTTCCCCTCACAATGGAAGGAAAAAACAAGGTCGTGGAAGAAAAGAAAAAGAAGAGCTGATTTCCGAATTGGGCGGTTGTGCCACCTCTGGCTGGACGGTCCCATCCGGACCCAGGAATGACAAGCTTTCTACCGACTCTGATGGAACTTCCATGATGCAGGTCCCGGAGGTTCGGCTGCACGATATGTCGTTTCCTTGCCCTTTCGGGGAGCGTTGGCATCGGCTTTAGTCGGGGGATTGGGCTGGTAAACGTGGGGCTTTTGGCCAGAAGTGAGTTGAACAAGAGGAGAAAAGAAAGACAGGGCAAGGTAAGGCGAGCATTGGATTCATTGGGGTATATGCTGTAATCTGATATGGGGTGACTTATACAATTACATCAGTACTATTCAAGATGCTGGACACTATTGTCGTCTTTGATTGGGACCGAGTCATGAGATCTGCTCTAGCACTATAGACTATACCCTGCTGGGCTGTATCGTACCTCTGTAGAGATCCTGGTCACTCAGTGCAGTGCATTGCAGCATTCACCCAGGCTGGGCTTCTAGACAAAATCTGACCTGGCCTGGTTCATTCATAGAAACTTCTATACCGAGGCGAGGCTCGATCTGGATTATGATCTATTTCGGCGATTGCGTGCTTCGCCTACTATACTCCCCAGCTGGATATTCTTCTCCAATTGCTTAGCAGAGTCAGTTAGTAGTGAGACCGGCCCATTATGAGAACGGTACCTGTCGTCGCTCAATCTTCTAGTTAGACTGAATTCAACTAATAGAGAGTGTCGCGCCTTCTCTTTCTCTTTACCCCTCCATTCTCTTCCCTCCCACCTTCCATTGTCTACATACTTACCTCACTGGGTTGCGCTTGCCTTACCTCACCAATTAGTAGTCTACCTACCATCCATCACACCTGTACCTTAAAGCTAAGGTACCTACCATACATTCCTACCAACTGCTCCATCCCTCCATTACATTACTTCTCTCTTCCGTCACAACCTTTTTTATTCATCATCATCATCATTACCTACCTACTCGTCTTACTTTTTATACCCCCGCCTTGCGCCCCGTACGTCGAGTACATTGACTCAAACCTCTTTGTCTCAGTGTCCATCATGAACCTTCTGTAACGACCCGCTCGTTACACCCAAACCGCTGCCTCGCCCGCCCCAAGAGCTCGAGCACGACCTGGACCTAGTGAAATCCTAGGACAAAACACCAGCACAAGACCTGTCAAGCTGCTGTGTCAGCACCCGGCGCATGCCGCCAAGCAACACAAAACCGTGTCATAACTGCCGTCGCCGACGCCTGCGCTGCGACCGCTCATGGCCGACATGCCACAAATGTGCGGTTTCAGGGCAGGAATGCCTCGGGTATGGCAAGGTTTTTGTCTGGACCCAAGGCATTGACTCTCACGGCAATGTCAATCCGCCTCCAGGCCGCAGGCTTCCCGACGATACTGATTCCTCCGCCTCGGCTTCACCTCCGGGACATCACCAACCGAATCAAAATCATCATCATCATGACCGTCCGAGACCCCAGCCTCAACCCGACTATAGCGATCAGCACCCGTTGGCGCGCTTGGTTCAGCAAGCCCAGCAGGCCGCTCAAGAGGCAGAGGAGTTGAAGCGACATCAGCAACAGCCGACCCCACAGAGTGACGAATCTGCGGCCTCAAGCGATGCCAATATGCCGTGGCCTTCTCCAGGCGCACTTACAGATCCATTGTTCCAGGATCTTGACCGCACATCGCGATTCTACCTAGCGCATTGTAGGTCTTGGCTCTAGCCCTTACCTTAATCGATACTAATGCAAGTCCCAGTCTCCGAGAGCGTCTGCAAGGATCTCGTGGTCCGAGACACGCCTGAGAGCAATCCATTCCGAGAGCTGATACCCTTGACGCGGAAGCACCCGCTTCTTTTTCAGGTTCTTATTGCGACTTCAGCTATCCACTGGTCCAATGTCTTTCGCCGCGTTACCAAAATCCCCAATAACATTCCCAATCCCGGCGATTACCTCTCTGTGTTACGCTCAAAGGATCTCGTCACACACCAAGCGCTGATCGATGCCTTGACAGCTAAGCAAAAGGCCATGAGCCACCTCAGGGAGGTGCTTGATACCCTTGACCCGGCGGGTAGTGAGGTGGCACTGGCTGCTATGCACTTTTTTATCAAGTTTGATTTGATTGATTTGGACAAGTCGGATAATCAGAGCTGGAGGGCCCACCTTGAAGGCGCTACGAGCATAATGGCACTTCTTAACCCGGATAGTAACCCCGACGCATCTAGTAGAATGCTGCGGGACCGGGTCATTACTGACAGCTTCATGTAAGTTGAACTTCTCTGCTATACGAAGTGGATACTGATTTTTTCAGCTATAACATTCTGGGCTCAACGTTGACCTCTGGCGGGCTTGCGGCCCGAGTGGCAAGGCAAGCTTTCCAGTTTCTACCTGTCATGAAACGGGTAGAACTGACGAGTTACTTATCTTGCCCCCCGGAGATCCTCAATATTATTCTCTCTGCATCTGAGCTGTCGCATGAAGTGCCTTGGACAGACCAGTCATTGGGGGTGGCAGACAAGGCACTTGCATTGATCGACGAAGCCCTTGCTGTTGATATTGCAGCTTGGGCGGACTATCTACGGCAACATAATCTCACGCAAGACCTCAATAGTCGAGTGCGCTTAGCTGCAGCACACCGGTCGGCGGCATGCCTCTACATCCTCCAAGCGCTACCGCTAGTTCGGTCATTGCGTCCTATTGATACCGATTTTCTGCTCCAAGACGTTTTGAGCAATTTAGCTCTCATTGATGAGAACGACCCATACTTCAAGGCCTCCTCGTGGCCAACGTTCGTTGCAGGGGCTGAGACACGAGACCCTGAAAGACGCACTTGGACCCTGTCGAGATTGTTGTCAATTTGGCAGATTTGTCCGTGGGGGTACCTGTTCACGGCAATTGAAATGCTCAAGGCAACGTGGGCGATGCAAGATACACGCGGCACAGACAATGTCAACTGGCTACATGATTTACGTGGGATGGGATTTGAGAACTTGATCGTTTAAGAAAGATGATATGATGCTTTGGTTACAGGGTGTTTTCGGTTCCAGTCCATATACGGATATACAATGTGGTGTATTTTTAGCGTCGGAGCAAAAGTTGACTCTTGTGTTTTGTCCTAGGGTTCATGAACGTTCGGTTGCAAGCTCGGAGTACGAAAGAAAGAATTAGCTAATGATTTAGAGGAACGCCGCGTGTTTTGGCCAGCTGTTCACAATGTACTGCAATGCTAGTCTAGAGGATAGAGGTGTTGGGCGCCGGGATGGTTGACTTTGCAAATGCCGGTTCTAGACCCGTCGAATCTCACGATGGCTTCACCGAATTCAACAAGCTGCTTTTCTAGGTAGCCGTGGGATTTATCAGTAGACCCCACTATGTATACTACCTGAATATGGATGATGATAGTTTTTTCCTGTCACTTGACCTAATTTGTTCGTTCAACTTGTCCTCATCATTACCCGCGAGTCTCTGTCGACCCTGTCTTACGGCTTTGACCGAGGTCTGCAGTCAACCTCTGCTCTCTGCCCTCCGACCAGGATCTAGCATCTCAAGGGTCCTAGTCAACTCGTAGAGCGGCGCTCCACTGGCTAGAAGAACTAGAGAACATGCGGCTTCGACAAAAGTGGTTTGAGCTTGAAATCTCGGCCGAGACACCTGACACATTTTGGCGTGTCCCTGCCGTCTTGCGCCTATCACATCACCTATCATTCCGTGCCGTACAAACGTTCTCTCACGGAACTGAGTGCGTCACACACGTATAGGACAAATCTCACTTTTTCTGTTAGATCAACGTTGCACTGCAGCAAAGCCAAGATTTCTCTTTTCTCCTCTATGCATGGTGATGATACCCCTCATTGTATTTGCGATGCGAGGACTTGAGGCATCGAGTAAGGTGACAGAAATAGCGATTCATTTTCCACCAATAGCTTACCAGCCGGTTGACTCGCCATATCTGACATCCCTCAGGCATTTCTAATCCCGGACAGGATACACCGGTATGGATGCAGTACCTTTGTATATGCACATAGTACGTTATCGCACGTAGATCTGAGGCCGGTTTACTTTGCATGGACACATTTGATTGGATGCCAAGAGAGAGCAGAGGCTCAAAGGAGAAGGTCAATGGTCAAAGAGAGTGGGGTCAGATCTCCTACCCGTGTTGTTCCTTCCCTACCGTTGTGAATTATGTCTCAGAAATTCTCAACACCAAAAAGATGATCACCAAAAGCCGTAGAAGCAAATTCAAAAATACAGGTCTCGGAGGGAGTCGAACCCTCGCTGGCGGAATCAGAATCCGCAGTCATAACCGTTAGACCACGAAACCATCGGAAATTGAGCTGTGAAACGCTTTGAAAATAGATGTTACCTAGGACTTGCAGTTCTCGGGCGTTGGCGACCTTACCTCAGGTATCCGGGCATGATACAGTATATAGGAATTCTGCTACTCTTTCTGATTCGAATGAGTATATGATATACACCACTTGACTTGGTTTTGCGTTGTAAAGAAGGCAGAGAGATATCTGGTCGGCATTTGTGAACTAAAGCACAACACAACACAATGGCGGTGCCCAATATCCTCATGTAAGAACACTGTAGTAAAATGACACATATGTGAGTCTGTACTTATATTGAGAAGCGCGGGAGGAGTAATGCCAATATGTTGGTGGTTGGTAGTTAGTGACTTTGACCGCCGAGAGCATCTCTTTGAGACACCGACTGCGGAAATCCCACAGCCGACTCGATGTACTGGAGATGCTCGGGTTTAATGGAATCTCATAGCCTCGTAAGTCTTGTTATCTGACATATCATTCGCTGAACGCAATGGAGGTGTGGGATGTGCACAGCTGTGTCATTGGGGAGGTAAGAGACGGAGGTTCAGACATCTTTTACATACTAGCTTAGCCCAGCCCAGCCCAGTCTTTAGCCTATGTCTTATGCCACTCTAAAGCCTAGAAAACACAGTAGCTGTCGTCAAGGGTAGACAAGTTGCCAAACAGCAGTTCAAGTGCAGATCTTATTTAGTGGCCCCTAGCCCAGTGTTGTCTCATCTTGACATTAGTGACGGAATATAATGCTAATTATGACTGCTTCCGTATTCTTTCTCTCCAACTGACTCGTGTCAACAATATGCCAAACAATGAGGGCCCAGCCTGTTCTCTTGTCAAAGAAAGGTTTCATCAGGGGCTAATTGCTCATTCATTAACTTGCTCGAGACTATATACTGCGATGTGGTGTGTTGCAGACTGGCTTACGCGGGTACATCGGCCGAATTAGATGCACTACAGCAAGACTGCAAGGCCAGGAAGCAACTATGGATATATAACAAAGTCCTACAGATATTGCCATATGCAGTCTTGTCTATCGCGCCACATTTTTCAAAATATTGACCTACGGATATAGAAATTAAAAGTCAAGACATTCACTTGCGAGAGACTAAATGCAGAGGATAAGTGCAGGGGACGGCCAGGCACGCAATGTTGGTCGATGGCCCACCAACAAGCCATGATGTTAATCATGAGCAACACCTCGAGAGCCAATCTGGCAGAGGTTCAGATGGATGGTATAGCGACAAAAAGGGATCTCAAGTACGGACAGATTGAAAATAGTCAGATTAAGAATGATCCACGCATACCTCGTGAATGATATACGCCAGCCATGCACCTTGGTCATGATGATCGTTAAGATAATACCCGAACCTAAGCGCCATTCCAAGAAGATGATTGAACCATGGCCCAAGTTGAAGGGGTCCGAAAAATGAAAGTGAAAGGGAAGTGCCTGGCCTAGGTACAGGAACCTACAACTTTAGAGTTGAGGTTCTGGTTTGGGGAGAGAGACAAAGAAAACATCAAGTACCGTATAGGTCCCAAGAGAGTGTGACAAAGGGCCTACCAGCGACGGCTATTCTGATGTTAGCTGGGAATGTTGGCAAATAGCATGCGGCTTACCTGTAGGCTGAGTCGAGCTTCGTCTGGCGACGCTTAGGCTTTAGCCCAGACATTGAAGGCTTTCGCCTTGGGGACTCTTCAGGTGTCTTAGCCTTGGAATCCCGTCCTAGCAATTCAGCTTCCAAGGAATCCAATCCTGACGATGCAACCGACACCGAAGAGTCTCGTGAGGCTGGCGTTCGGCTGCGACTTCGACTACGGTTACGCCCACGGCTGCGACTGCGGCTGCGACTTCGGTCTCTATCTCGATCTCGATGGTGTCGGTCTAATCGCCGATGGTCATCGATGTTACGATGATTTGTTGACCGATGCTCGGAACTATCTTGACGTGATTTACGCCTCTTGGGTTCATAGGTATCACGTAGACCCGAATGACCGTCGTGTGATCCTCTGCGATTTGTGTTGGAGGAGCTACGAGATCTTTGCCTTTTCAATGGTCGTTCAACAATATTATCGTCATCTGGGTGATCTCGTTTGGGGTGTTGTTCAAGGACCTCCCCACTTTCGGACCTTTCACTCCGAACCTTTTCATCGATCCTTGGCGGGATCTCAGTGACTGAATCCCCGCTAGGAAGCTTGCCGTCCCGTACAAACGCGGGGTCGAATTCGACGTCTGACCAATACGGTGTTTCGTGTATGGGTTTGACATATTCCTCGATATTGTCAGCTTTGACATAGTCCGATTCGATGCATATAGCATCCCATTTTCTAGGAAGAAGCACCTCGTCATTATACTCTGCAGGCAATGGCTTGCCGACTTCATCCGGAGGATGATGGGATTCTGGCTCTTTGAGGATGGCCTTCTTCTCCCATTCCAAATCGTCTTCGGTTGCCTTTTCAGGTACTGTTTCTGTTTCTATTTCTATTTCTGGTTTCTGTGAGGAATCAGGTATAGGACTTTCAACTTGAGCCTTCTTAGCTTCAGGTGTCCCTGAAGGTGTACTTGACTTTTGCTTGACAGGAGTACTGGATGGGACCTTTTCCTTTTCATCTTGCTTTGGGGTCGGTGGGGGTTTTGGAAGGTTGGGAGTCTTGGAGTCACGTCTATTATTGCCGTCTTGTGATTTCTGTTCTTGCCGTGGCTGATGCTGGTTCTTCTTTTGTCGATTGTCGTGATTGCGATTGTGTCGGTCATTTTTGCGTTTGTTCCGATGATCGCGAGTGTGGTCCGTGAAGTCTCGACGACCTCTATTTGGCTGTCCATGCTGGTGAGGCTGTGGTGGTTTTGGAGGTAAAGGGGGCTTTGGTGGTAATGAAGCAGGCAAAGACAATGTTGAGGCAGGACTTTGACGTGGCACAGGTGGTGATCCAGATGACCGATTTTGCCATGATTTCGGCGGTGCCGGGGATGGAACAGGAGGTCGCGATGGCGGAGGGTGTCCATATGTAGGTGGTGCACTATGAGGAGGGAACGGGGGTGGGTATGATGGCGGCGGAGCGTGCTGCCCGTATGGTGCTGAAGCAGGCGGAGGGTAATGGGGATAAGGAGGCTGATGAGGTTGATGAGGTTGGTGACCGTAGGGTGGATGGTCTTGACGAGGCGGCGGAGGCCCATACGGACGTGAATAAGACGATGGTCCGGGAGGTTGAGGAGGTGGCGGGGGAGAATTATAAGTGCCCGGTGGTCTTGGGGGAGGCGCTGGTAGACCTGGGGGAGGAGCACCGTAGGAAGGCGGAGGATAAGGATTAGAATATCCTGGAGGTGAGTATCCAGATGCATAGCCAGGCGTTGGGCCGCCGTAAGGGGGATAATGAGGAGGATATGAAGGAGGTCCTCCTGGATAATGTGTAGGCGGAGGAGGACCATAGCCTGGGGGAGGACCGTATTGAGCCACTCCTGGTGCTGGCGCTTGTCCGGGCGCAGGTGCATACTTAGTGATAATAGGACCTTTCGACTTCTTTGGGCCATTATGATGGTCCCTATTACCTCCCTGACCAGGAGTGTTCGAGTTCCTCCATGCAGCAAGACCGCTGTCGACTAGTTAAAACCTGCAAGGCACCAAAGTCCCTGACGAAACTGGGAGATGATGGGTACTTACGCTGGTGTTTCTCTTGTAGGTTCTGGGCATGCGATAGTCCAATGGCCAGCAGCACCACAGTTGTAACATCGAGCCTCTTCTGGCCGAGGTTGGCCAGGAGCTGTATGAGGCATGACTGAATGAAGCGAAGCAAAGTGCTCAAAGAGAAGCTTCAACGCAAACAGGACACTATCCTGAAGAGTAAAAGTGAGGAAACGGTACAGATTATACAAGTCTGTCCGTATATAGAACTGATGGGATGTCAAAGAAGAACGGTAATGACAACGGTCAGCTGGGGTGCGATGCTCAAGCGCGGTCACAGCCAAACCGAAACAAGTTTGAGCAAGCGGAATGAGGCTGGGATAAGTAACACTGTGATACGTTGCACAGCAGGGGCCTCAGCGCGACTGAGAGTCGATGAGAAGCGATGATATTGTGGAATAAGACAGCGATAGCGATACTTTTGGTGATGCTTCAGCCCAAGCTTGTCAGTGGCCAGCGCGCGGTCGCGACATGCGAAAAAGCCCCCTCCCTGAACCGACTCTGAGCTTATCAGAGAGGCTTCATTCAGGGACCATTGAGGGAGTGGGACAATGGGAGAGAGAAAAATATGTGATGAGAGAGATTCTCGTGAATAGAATTGGCGATGAGGCTCAAATTGATTCGATTACCAGAGGAAGGTACAGTACCTAAGGCAATCTGGATGCGATGCTGGTCATTGGTTGATGGCAATGCTGAGGTTGTCGCGTGCGCACGGACCACTTCTCCAGGAAGAAAGAGGAAGGCAACTTGAAAATGAATTAAACTTTGGCTATTCCCGACTATAATTTGCATAATAAATACGCAATAAGGGTTCCCTTGGCATTCAGTAATGAAGTTTTATTGATAAACGAATCAACAATGTAGAATGATTCCCATTCTGTTAATTACATTGAAAGGGCATATGATCGAGCTATTGCAGTAGTCTATAATATAGGATAGCTCAGGTAACTATTATTATAAACACTCCAAATTATTATTTCATTTGTGTAAGATTGATTATACTGTTTAACTTTACTCAGTATAAGGTAAGTTCTGATATCTTGCACTGATTTGTTGTTATGCCAGTATACACAGTAATCTGAATTATACATCGTCCAGTCACAATGTTGCAATATACCTCTAAGTTTAAAATGGGCTTGTTTAAGTACATATCTCTAATACATAACCAAACTTTACGTATCAGATATCATAAAGACATAGACGAAACAACTAGATCTAATCTCATCGCAACATGGATGAGAGCTCACGAGCTCTAGATCTAACTCAAGATGTAGCAAAGTGTGGGGAGTCGACCCGGGCCATTTTCCCGCCGAGGCACCGTCATTCAGCAACTACTAAGCAAACCGCCACTACGTAAAACATCCCACCGCCCAAAAAGCAGCTACCACCACCAACAGCACCATCTCCAAGATGCTGCATATGTAATCACGACCACGAGTTCACGTACACAACATCCCTACTGCTGTAGCTTCGAAGCTTCTCGCTCGCTCCACCTCCGACCGACTTCGCCCCGCATCCATGTGAATACAAGCTGTCTTGATCCCCGATCATGTTGGTACAACCCAAGAGCTCTTCTCTAGACATCATCCTTGCCAGGAGCCGCACTCGACGCCGACACCCTTAATGATACCGATCCTCTACTATACGCTTCTCAACCTTTACGAATACACTTGAATAGCGACATTCACATACCGCTCCTCTCACACACTCGGCATCTATAGTATCGACTTCTACATTCCACAATGCCTGGGCTACCTTGTAAGCGCCCTCCCGAACCGAAGAGGTCCCCAGGCTGACGTTTCTTACCCAGCGTCCGTCGATCTCGACGAGTGCATTTCGCGCTTATACAACAAGGAGTTACTTGCCGAATCAGTCATCGAGGCCATCTGCGCCAAGACGAAAGAGCTTCTTATGCGCGAGTCCAACGTCGTCCACGTCCGCGCGCCCATTACTGTCGTTGGAGATATCCATGGACAGTTCTTCGACCTTATTGAGATTTTCCGCATCGGTGGCTACTGTCCCGATACCAACTATCTGTTCCTTGGTAACCGCCCACGAGCTCGAGATGAATAAAGGAGGGCCTTTGCTGACCACGATGGGGTACAATAGGAGACTACGTTGATCGTGGCATGTTCAGTGTCGAGACAATATCGCTACTAGTGTGCTTGAAATTACGATATCCTAATCGCGTGCATCTGATCCGCGGAAATCATGAGTCGCGCGGCGTTACGCAGTCGTATGGCTTCTATACAGAGTGTTCGCGCAAATATGGCAATGCCAATGTGTGGCACTACTTTACCGATATGTTTGACTTTTTGACGCTGAGCGTTGTTATCAACGATCAAATCTTCTGCGTCCACGGAGGTAAATACAGCTCAACTTTATTCTGGAGGACTACGCTGACATATGACTAGGCCTATCACCCTCTATCCATTCAATCGATCAAATTAAAATTATAGACCGCTTCCGGGAGATCCCCCACGAGGGTCCAATGGCCGATCTCGTTTGGTCTGACCCGGACCCTGAGCGCGACGAATTTTCCCTATCACCCCGCGGCGCGGGGTATACTTTTGGAGCACAGGTTGTTAAGAAATTCCTGGCTGTCAACAATATGTCGCATATCCTACGCGCTCACCAGCTCTGCCAAGAAGGCTTCCAGGTTCTATACGATGACCGTCTCAGCACTGTTTGGAGTGCGCCAAACTATTGTTACCGTTGTGGTAATATGGCCAGTGTGCTTGAAGTTAGCGACACCGGTGAACGTTTCTTCAACGTTTTCGCAGCCGCGCCAGAGAACGATGTACACAAGGACCTCCAACCAGGAAACGAAAAGTCTGCCGATGGCAATGCCCTGCCAGACTACTTCTTATAGACGAAATTATTCATGCGTACACACACCGCTGCAGAGTTAATAGCTCGGGCTTAACGAAATTCACATCAAATATGATACCATGTCTTCAAAGCAGGCATTTACGGCTCGGGCCTGAGGAATAGAGTTGCATAGCATAGAACTTGATGTATATAGGCATTTTTCTTCTGCAGTATCGAAGCTCTAGATTTAGCCACAGGTACCGTCTCGCCGTTGACGAGCAGATGATAGGAAAACAGAGCAAGACCTTTCTCCAACAGAGTTAGGTTTTCTTTTGACTGTATGTGGGGTTAATTTTTTTTCTGTGTATGTTCTTCTCCAAATGTTCAGGTATCTCATTATCTCATGACTTGTGATATGTATTTTTGAGTTATGTCGTCGGTACGTGCTGTTAAGGCGCCGGTATCTACCAGTCCTTGGCAATGTCGAAACTCCACTCAAACTCGAGATGCTTCTTCTTATCGTCGTCCACGAAGCTAGAGATGGCGTTGTAGTGACCACGGGCGAGCATGCCGCTGGGGGCCTCCTCCTCCTGGACTGGAAATGTGTCAATATGAGGTTCTGGCTTGCAATTATGATGTAAAACTTACACTTCTTGATATAAGTGGGCTGCTTGTCGGTGTTGGGAGCGTAGCTGCCAATCATCTCAGAGTCCTTAGAGACTCGGATACCCTTTCGCTTGACAACCTGAACGTAGTGAAGACCGCTGAGAATCTCATGCTGGACCTTGAACTTGGCGCTCATGGTGAACTTGGCACCCTCCTTGATGTTGAAGGGCTTGTCCTTGAGGGTGGTCTCGCTTCCAGGGGTAGAGAGATCGATGGTGACGGGAGGACGACCGGGGGAGTCCATGGTCAAGGAGAGAATGATACAGACTCGGGGGTCGTTGGGGTCAGAGATATCGGTGCCGCCGCCGAGACCGAGGGACTCCTTGTATCGCTGGAGAGACTCATCGCCGGCATCTAGTGGATAGAATTGTTAGCATTTGTTGGGGACGCGGCAATCGGGTTGGTGAGGCGGTAAGCATGGGATGACAGCAGACTGAAACACGGTCTATGTTCGCATGAGAGACATTGTTGTCGCAAAGCTAAAGCTGCAGAATCTCTGCGGCCCAAAACTCTTCCATGCAAAAGCAACGAGCTTGTCGGGCATCATCCCGTGTTTTGTTGACAGCTGGTATTATAGCCCCGATGGTAGGTATTGCGCATATCGCAGAGCCTCAAACAACCCAAAGAAAGTTCACATACCCATCTGCTGGTACTCAGCCAGACTCTGCTTAGGCTGGGATAGCTTGTAGCCCTGAGTCTCCTCAGGCATGGTATCGTCGTCGTGAGAAGCCATGGTGGGCGAGCGGGGCGATGCTGGTGGTGAAGAGGCGGGGTGATGAAGAAGCGGCCGTAAGGTGATGCTATCGAGAAGCTACCTAAGCAAGTAAATTGTCAGGTATACTGGAGTTGGGTAGTAGTAAGAAAGAAGGGGAGAGAAAAGGAGGAGAGAGAAAGAAGGAAGCTTACTCGTTGGAACGCGGAACAAGGTAAAGTAGAGGTGAGCTTTTGGTTCTGGTTCTGGTTCGGGGTCTGGGCTTAGAAGTGGAGGGGCTCGGGCTTCATTCGTAGGGGATTGGATTGTTGCGGTGACGATTTGAGGGGCTTCCCGTTTCCCGCAGGGCGGTGTTGCAAGTCTGTTACTGCTAAGCTACGGGCCTGCTACAGTGGAGACGCAGGATCCTTACGCAGAGCCTTCGATTGGATGATGACTGGAGATCGAGACGAATGGCTTGCTTGTTACTGAAGATTGTCAAGATATGGAGAATTCGTGCAGTAGTTAGTTGCTTTTTAGACCGTTAGTAGTTCAGTCTTCAGGGGTCCAAAAGTGAGACTGGACGGGGAACTTGAGACTTGATTTTGGCTGGTTATGGCGGTTCTGTCTTGGAGTGTTTGAGATTGGATGCGAGGAGACGAGAAATTTATATCTTTTCGTCTGCATTTGTTAACTGTAGTAAGCTGTCGGTGATGGTCTTGGCCTGATTTACTTTGTTGCCGTCTCACTGTCAGACCAAGGTCATGGGAGAACGTACGGTATGATGAATATCGTCGTCAAGTGGATTCAGAGCTGTCCGCTAAGTGACATTGCATGGCTGAAGGTTCCTCGATCTTGAAAGTTAATATCTGACACTACTGTGCAGTGATCATTCTCATCTGGTCCGTGTGAGCCGAATACGATGTTTGAACTGAATAGTATGAGTGTCAAGGTGCGTCTGAATGAATGCAGATGGTCCAGGGTAGCCATCGCTGAATCCCTATCCAACCTTACAACACATATCAACATGGGATCAGAATACTTGACCATCAATTACAAGAGATAAAACACTTTAGGCAACACATACAGATGTGAGCTAAGTCTTAGGCTGTTCGTTCTTACTGTGATAAAAGCGTAGCGTACAGCTTCAGTGTGCTAAAAATAAATGACCTGAAGGATGAACTCATATTAAGTGACAAGACTGTTTGATCTCTTAAAACCTTTGTAGCTACCCAAGAGCTACAATACACTGAACGCTCAACGGATTTAAGACCTAACTAACAACAGACAATATCCCAAGCATTGGCATTGTAATTTCGGCGGGCTGCAAGTATGGAGGATCATCATGTGCGAGAATCGGTAACACTGTAGAACTTCGCACGGTACACACCTCCAAGGATGCCCCCACTTTTCACTCCAGCTTCATCTAAACACCACAACACAGTATCTGTAACTCAGCTTGCAACAGATCAGCTTCATTCTCATGTTTACCTCTTTACTATCATGATCTAACCAGAAAGATCTGTTTATGGTAATGCAAAAATTCAATCGACATTTTTCTTATGCCAAATACTGATATACTTATATCATAGGCAGTCCATTTTCTCAGATGGAATCTCGGTTCTCAGGAGATGAGTGGTATTTGATTCTTTTAGGCCAGTCTAGGCCAGAATTCAGGTAAGTTGTATCCGTTCGACTAAGGCTTAGAGAATGACTTTTCTAATACCCACCAGGTGGCCGTTCCAAACATGACTGCGAGGTTGCCCGGGACAAGTTCTATGACCGTCAAATGACTTTCATGAACAAGAGCGAGATTCCTTAAGACCGGTTACTACTGCCCGAGAATTCTCATCGATGATACAGAAGCCACTGAATTCAAGGCTGGCACTGGCTATACAAACACAGCCACAGCACAGCACAGCTGTCTCCTTGGCCTTTCAACTGTGCCGCGAAGCTACAATCCTGAACGCCAAGGGTAGAGGCGCAAGAGCAAGGCGTTAAAAACAACGTCAGACAGGGCAGTGTCTTGATCGTCACTCCTGCCTCTTGTAAAAGAGTGACATCAGCTTCCTAGTGTCGCAAGCTTCTGCAGCTGAGCTGACAGGTCTCTGTCCCATTCGGCCTCCGTTGTCATCGTGGATCTTGTTCGTGCTGCGCATGTCGTGTAGCAGTAATGCTACGACTATCCCAGGCCGTTTGAAGTCGTTTACCACGAGGTTTTGTATCGGCAGCTCCCTCGAATTACTCAAGGACCGCAACGCAGTCTGCGAATCGAGCAACGCCAAGTCCAGGCCCAAGTCGACTGAATGGCGTACCAGGTGCCTCGGACTGGGGTTTAAATACCAAGTTAACCTTGATTCCCTTGAGATAAGGAGTGGTCGAGTGGGATCCTCCCTATGAACCTATAACTCTAAACTCCATACCTACAAACTCTCTCTCCCCGCTCGATCACTCCTTATCTTTTTGTCATTTTTCAACTTCGAACCCCTCGCGGGCCGTCACCAGTTGATCCCGCCGTGTTCATCATGGTAGAAATTAACTCTCATGAGAGCGCCATTTTACAGCATTGTCTGGTGGAATTATTCAGAGGCACCTCTCTCCTTCTGGCATTGCTAGCGTTGGAATGTGCTATCAGCAAAACAACCACGGCTTGCACGGACGACCGACGAAGCTGTGGTTTATATACCAAAATCAACCTTACTTCCTCCAAGATGAGGCGTGGCCGAATGGGATCCGATACCTAATATCCTAAGAACTCTAAAACTCCGTACCTACAAATTCTTTCTCCCCGCTCGAACACGCCTTATCTTTTTGTCATTTCTTCAACTTCGAGCCAGAATGCCCTCTGGGTAAGAGAAGCTGCTCAAAGACTAAGGGCAGCAGGACAAAGAAGTCTAAATGCTAATCTAAGATGGCATAGAATGGTTAAATCATTTCGTTTCTTAGGCTCTCAGCCCTTTACACTGGACCTGTCTACTGTCGCCTCTACTACCCTCATTGCAAGCGAACTAATGGTTGTGGGATATGTAGTTGTATTAACACGCTCTCGAGGAGTTGGACGAGTTGAACGGGTCTACCCAGAAATCTAAGCGCCACGATAGAGGCACTGTATCACGCTGTGCAAATATTGGCTGTAAAAGTCTTGCAAGCATTATGAAAGATAGCACTGGTATCATTGAAGTATCTATTTAGCCCTCGTAGAACCTTTCCTAGACAGGCATATCTAAACTTGCATAAGGCAACTAAACTATTCCATCTCCGATACTCTCAGCGGCCAGCCAAACTTTCTAATAATCTGATCGGTAGTCTGACTTTAGGCGATACTGAATGGCACCAGAATGCTGCTCTATGCGCTCGAACAGGCTGACTGTGCGCGCTGTGGGCCAAAGAATGACCTCCAGTCCTTGCGGTTGAGAGTCGTAACGACAGGACTTGCGATAAACTCGTTGGCAGGACCCTTGACTGAGACAGTTGGTAGCTTCAGCTTGACATGTGACTTCTTCAACCGATGGGCCAGTTGGATTCTCTAGCTGTAATCACCCCGCACAGAGTAACATCAGCAGAGTGCTAGTCATTAGCTGACGACGAACAATGCGAAAGACCTCCCCGTATCCCGCCATACGGACCCGGTTGAGAGCGTGAGAGCATTGTTGCGAACTCACGCAAGGATGCCCAGTTAACGTCTGGTCCATCTTCTCTTTGACGTAGTTCGATTGCGAGATTGAGAGCCTTGGTAGTAAGATGGACGTTCATGGGTTGATTTGGAAGATCTTCGACGACTTATGGCTTGGTGTAGATATCATGCCGAAGAGTTGGTCTCCGCCAGACGAAGGCTTCGTGTGATCCTGACACTGATCTGTTCCAGTTGCTCTGGAGAGTACTTGTTAGTGGGCATAGGTCGGCCGTCGTATCCATGCCCTGAGGTATGCGTGAAAGGGGATGTCAGGCTTCGGGAACATGCCCACAACGTCGTTGGCAAGTCGGCGATGAAGTACTAGCGCAGTGACTGATAGTCGATGAAGGTCATTTTCCTCAGGCTCCCAAGGAGACTACGGACCCTTAATGACAACACCCTTGAGAGCCCTGCCCCATAACCTTTCTGCAAGGCTATCGGCCAACCCGGTCCCCTCAATAGCGCCGCCCATGATGGAAACCGCCGTTTGTTCACTGTCGATAAACATGACAGTTGGTGAAAGGTTTGTCAGGGCACTCCACGTTGTCCATCACGAAGCTCTTATATATGAGATAGACGTAGCCGTTCTTGCTTGTATTGACAAGCATATCCGCATAAGGATTAACGCATTGGTGTTCTCCAAGGCCTCTCAAAAAGCCTCGTGGAAGCTGGTCTTGGGAGAGGATCGGATCGATTTGATACCTCGGAAGGAAGCTCTAGGTGTTCCGTGACAGCATCTGCAATGTCGCGCAAGGCTTCCGGAGGCCTTCGTGTTGTTGGAACAGTTGAGTCTTGCAGACGATGAACTCTCTGGCAACTTCAACTCAAAGCTTGCGGATTTTCGGGATCTGTTGACCGATGACCAAAGCAGAGTGGCTTCGTTGTCAGATGGGAAAGGCTGAAATGGATCAACTGTGGTGGAAGAGTCAAGCTCTGACATTTCCGTCTGCTTCTGACGTAGAAGGGATGGTGGAGGGTTTCCCGTTGTTTCTCTCGCATTTGACGGCGAGTGACGGCGGTTTCTTTGGACGGTCTACTGAGTCGTTCCCACAGTTTCCCAAGGGGCCGACTGATGTCGGCCGGCAGACTTGTCGTTGGAGTAAAGACGTTTAATCAGCGCTGTCAACATTGACAATGCGAGGCCAGGAATGATAGGATCGTTTGTATCAACCAGAGAATGTACCTGACCAGTCTCTGAGGACTCTTGACGATCCATGTTGAAGCTGTTGCATTCAACGTCTGGGGCGATAGCTGGTACAGTGTCATGAGCAGTAGGCTCAATTGACTGGATGGTAGTAGCTCTAGCAATAGGGGGTGCTTTCGGAAAGTGAGCCTAGCAATGAAGTTTCAGTATACAAGATTGAAGTTTGACGAGATGTAGATATGGGTGTTAGAAGAATTGGTATATGAAAACTTACATTAGCTAGGGAGTCGTGCATATCTTTGTACCATACATGCCCACTGCCACTGGAAAAATGCAGCGCAAAGTCCGGCATCATTCCTGGTGGCATGCAAGATCGTGAACAAGCGACCACTCTTCAGCAACTCTCCAGTCTTCAGTCGAGCGCCGATATACCCGTAAGCCTGGGGATAGGTTGGCTGATGGGCAGGTAGCCCGTCCCGTTGGGCTTCGCTGAACCGGCGGTCAAGCCTGTCGATGGCCCTGGATCTATGCAAGTCGACCTTTCGTGGAGGGAGTCACAGAATGACCTTAAAGCCTTTTGCTGTCCCCGTAGCTTCATCATTTTCTTGGCCCTTTCCCTTCTCTGGCGGGCAGGATCGCAAGAGGCTGAGGAGCCTTGCGCTTGTTACCAAGAGCAACTCGCTTCATGATCTGACGGCCCTTCCCAGCCGCATTGTAAGAAAGTGCCGTAACACGATCCTACGCAGTACGCTTGGAATCGGGGCCTATAAACGGTTATAGTCGAAGTATCATTGCGGGTGTTGTACTTGACAAGGTGCTTGGCGGTCTTGTCCTTGTCGGTTTTATCCTTGTCCTCGTCGAATGGTGGTATAATGAATGTTACCCGGTTGATACTGGGCTTAACCTCTTTGAAGTAGTCGGAAATGCTCTCGATGATAGCAATATTTGCTTCGGTTGATTCTTCCTCGAAATACGACTGAATCAGAGACCTTGGCATGATTCCTTCGTACTTGATGAAAACTTCATCTGCATTCTCTTGGTCCGCAATGCTGATATAGTATAGGAGATGATGCTTCGGGACAGTGTGAGATGGTATTGAAAGGATGGGATGGAGGGAAGAAATGTAACTCACGAGTTGATAGACAAAAGGTGCAGCAGTTGGCGTGCAGCTGGTGACGAGAGACAAAAGAAACCCCAGAGACCAACCTAGGCAACAACGCAGTCGGAGGGACGGGACATATTTCAACTGCTGCGCTCAAGGATCCAGTCTCCCGAAAGAAAGCCATACGCGACTAACTGGAAGAGTACTGAAACGCTTCGAGTGCGCACGAATCAGCCAATGTTGTTGGGTTTCATCGCAAAAGATGAAAGCAGGGAATGCAGAGAGACTGAAACTACCAGCGAATTTCCATGCAAGGGTGATAGTATAATAGTATAGTAAAGGAGTGATAGTATATATAGTATAAAACGAGAGATAGAAGAATGAAGAAGGAGGGAAATACAACTTGCGGAGAGCGAGAGGGTTTTACTCGTAAGGTGAGAAGCTTAGTAAGTAGGAAACAAAAGATCATTTGTGACAGGCAAGAGGCAGCAGTGCTGGTTTGGAGATTCCATGATACAGATTGCGTGCAGCTGCCCGACAAGCAATTTCGTGAATTGGTCAATGTTGTGTTTATCTGCATATTGCCTACTACGAACAGCAAATCAAGACCAGAATACCCCTGGGCGAGGACTGGAATACGAAGGGAGGTTTCATCGAAAGTGCTCTACCTGGATAGAGGTAACATGAAGTTAATCAATCTGATAGCTTCGTGGAACACAAACCTAGGAAAATACATTTGTTGCCTATATCAAAATGTCTTGTATAACGTGTAAGTAATTACAACATAAACATACAGTCAAGAGACTTTTGCAACTATTCAATAGTCACAGCAAGAATGCAAACAATAGACGTAATTTCTGCCACCAGTGCATTATCGAAGTGAAAAATTGATACCCTTTTTATACCTCGTCACTGTTTTTGACAAGAGTGATCCCAAAATACCAATCCGATCCTAACCAAATAGCCAAACTCCATCATCCAACGCCAAACCGTGACTGTCCCTTAAACTCCGCTTGACAATCATTTTCCATTGCATCTAGGCAGCAATCGTAGGAGCTTGCTCACGCTGTCTCTTGACGATGTAGTATGTGATCAAGCTCTTGGGGTCATCTTGAACGTCCTTGAGAGCATTCCAGAATGCTTGCTCACCTACCCTTGAGTGAAGAGCGACGCAAAGTTGAACAGAGTCCATACGAACGCCCGAGTCTGCGGAGGCAAGGCATCGACCGGCAAGAGCAGCAAGTTGACCAAGCTCGGTGTCAGTAGGCATAAAGTTAGGCCTCTTGTCCAACATGGTTCGCAGCACATGCATGCCAGTGCTGAGGATACGGCTACCTCCGGTGGTAGAACTGTCAACATTTTGAAGACGCTTTGTAAGGACAACCACAATTTCAGAGCCATCACCAATAGTAACTAGCTCATCGGCCAACACCTCAACACCACTGACGATATGAGCACGAATATCATAGGCACTGCGCGTCTCAAGAAGTGACTCAAGACCCCGTGAAACATGGGGCTGGAAATTGTCGCGCTCCTTCTTTAAGAGCACCCTTATCGTGGCAAGGATTTGGGCCTTGATATCCTGAGCCTTCTCGGGGCTGGTGCCACTCAGGGGGTCCTCGAGGTATTGGAAAAGCCCAATCAAAAGAGCCTCAAACTTATCATCAGTGAAGATTCCCTTGCTATCACGCAACAGAGACTGCAACTTTCGGAAGCCGTGCACGTCAAGAGTTTTCGCTTTGATTCTGGTGATGCCACTCTCTAGCAGCCGCAAACTTTGCTTGCTTCTGTCAGGAGCCTCTACGTTTTGGGTCACGGGAGATTGAGCATGAGCAATGGGCACACTGGCTGCATCAGCATTGACAGGTTTGTCCTCCAGCACAGGGAGGTTGAAGCTTGGCTTCGGTGATGGCTGTTCATCAGTGAAGGGGTCCTCGTAGACCTGAAGAGCAGGAGCCTGGGCTGTTGGAGCAGGCTCAACCGGCATGGGTGCTGGTGGCTCAGGTGCGGCCTCAACAACGGGCTCCGGGGCAGCAGCAGGCTCCTCAGGCTTGACAGGCTCTTCGGGCTGAGCAAATTCCTCAGGCTGGGCCGGCGCTTCAGGCTCAACGACCTCTTCCATGTGTTGATCTCGAGGCTCAGCCACAGCCTCGGCTACAGGCTCGACCACAGGTTCAGCCACGGGCACAGGGACTGTCTCTGGCTCAGGCTTAGGTTCTGGCTCAGACACAGGCTCGGCCGGGGGCTCTGGTGCTGGCTCTGAGACAATCTGGGGTACAGATTCCGTCGTTGGTGTGATTAGCGGTTCTGGTTCTTGGGGGACGGGGGGTGCCCTTGCAGGCGCGGGCCCATGTCTTTGCATAGTTCTCAAGTTGGCCATATTCGGAACCACCATGGTGAAGTCCTCATCAGCTCTTGAAGGACTGCTCATAGGTAGCATAGCAGATTGGGATTGCTTCAACTTGGTAGGGCTCGTTCGAGGTGATGCCGCTGGCTTTTGACCTGTTCTTGTAGACGTAGGTGACGCTAGGCTTGATTCGCTACCATGAGGAGCATGCCCAGGCCGTGTTCGGGGACCGGTCCTCTTAGGTGTAGTTTCTCGGGGCGCCGGTGTCTTTGACCTGACGCTCTCGGGACTTGCTGTATCCATGTCGCGGACGGAATATGGTCCAGCTGTGGCAGGACGGGCCGCCATCTCGGGTCGCTTTCTTGATGGTCGCATAGGGGCCCCTGACATTCCACCAGTCTCGGGCCTTGATCGGGTCCCTGAAGGCTTGCTTGGTGCAGCACTCGAGGAGCTAGTAGTGGTCTTAACAGGTGATAGCTGAGCCATGGCCGAACCAGGTCGGGCTGGAAGGTTTTTGGTCGCGTTTGCCTTGCGCTGAGCCATCATAGCCTCTCGAATGCTGGGCTTGCCAGTACTCATAGTACTCTTGGACAGCCCCAGGCCAGGTCGGGCTGCTGGTTCGGCGGTCTTTGACCCATTGGGGTTGCTGGGGTCCTTGTTCAGGAGCTTTTGCGCAGTGCCATCCAAATCGGCCATCAAGCTATTTCATGTCAGTTTCAAAATCATGCAAAGTATGTGAGCTAACTTACGACTCTGCTTTGGCAGGCCATAATCCCCAGAAAGTCCAGAAGGTTGACCTCATCTTTTCTCTCACAGCAGGATTGGCATCGGCCAAACCCTTCTTGATACACTTCACGGCTATATCAACACCACCAGTATGCTCAATATGGTGCTTGTGATGAGCCTCCTTTTTCAAAATGGTTTTTAGCCACCCTGTAGCAAAAGTCCTTGGCGCAACGTTCTTGTCTTCAGAAGCAAACGAGATATGTTGCATCAACCGAGGGGTATAAGTAACTCTGCTCAAGATTGTCTCGACTGTTTCATTCGCGAGCTGTGAGCTGATCTTCTTCGTTCCCGCAGATAGCTTAACAAAACATTGCATAAGCTGCTCAACCAAAGGATCCATTGCAGGACCAAAAGTGTTGGCGATATCCTGAATCAGACCGCAGCCCTCTTTACACATACTGGTTCTCAGAGAGGTGATTACCTTGATAATGCCGTCCAGCATGCTCTTAACTCCGGCAAGGAAGGTATCAGCAAAATCAGTAACATTGCCTGCAATGAGCCTTCTCAGTTTATGGACGGAATTTTCTCGCTTCAACCAGTTGTGCTCTGTCTCTTTTCCTTCGAAAAACCACGCCATTTCCTTAATCATGTCGTCGAGTTCTCGATTGGTGTTGACGTACAGGGGTTCGAGGTTTTCGGGTTTTGTGTCAATTCCTGGGGTAATGGGACGCTCTGCGGCTGAAGATGTGCTGGCAGAAAATGCTGGACGAGATACTGGTACCGGAGCGGGCTCGGCGGCGGGTGCAGCAGGCGTTTGGGGGCGACTGGAAGGTGGTGCAAGCTCCTTGACAATGACCTGCTCAATTGCTGGTCGTACTTTGAAGTTCTTGAGTTGTCGCTTGAGATCGGACTTGGCGGCGTTTGGCGCAGATCGGAAAAGCTCAATAACTGTGTTCTTTGCGGTATCTCGCACCATTCCATCGGCGTCTTCAAGTAGCTCCATGAGCACGGGAACGTAAGCTCGGAAAGGAAGTCCATTTTCTTGGTGCATCTGTATACTGTTAGCACACATACACAATTATAAACCCTCCACGACTTACCTGTAAAAGCCATTGCATGGAAGTCTCCTTCGCTCTTGGGTTCTTTCCTTGCATAGCTGTGTTTCGAACAAACCGTTCCACATCGGCTGGTGCGACAGAGAATAGAGTAACGAGGGAGTGCGAGGCTAGCGAGCGGAACTTGTCTTTGTGATCACCAAGCTTGTCAACAACCAGTGGTAGAGTTCGAGCTGCTTCTCTGGACAATAGCTTCGGATCTTGGCGCGAGAGTCGTGTGAGGAGATGGTTGAGCGCTGTGAAGCCAGCGTTTACCAGAGCAGCATGCTGTGATGTGGTAGCGGCGCGCAAGCCTTCAAAGAGCTGTGGAACGCTCGACTCGGGAACATTGTGTTGCTTGATGCCGGACTTGATGATTGTGACATATTGGACCTTGGAGTCGAGGGAAGCATCACCGCGCAGGATGGTGTTGAGGTCAGCGACCTGCTGGTCGGTAAGTTTGTTGTCGGCCATGGATTATTAATGACGAATCTAGAAGGCGACGTCGCATTAGTCGCAAGCTCGGTAGAAAGAATTGATGATCTCGGACGGGCCGAGATGATACGTGCGCGCGGCGCGAAGTGGGATAGAGCGAGATGCTAGCTCTCCGCTCCGTGGTCACAGCGGGAGTAAAGCAATATCATGACGATGCGCAAGCATGGTGTTTGTCGGGAGATTGAATACTGAGCAAGGGGGGAAAGCGCAAGCTTCTGACATACCTGTGAACTTTAGTTGCGAGACAGTTCGTGGGCGACGGATCGGAGCGGCAAAAACGTTTTAGTAAACGTGCGCATTGAGAGCGTGTGAAAGCTCTTTTTTTTTGTGCTGTTGTGTGTTGTTGCTAGGTATGTTGTTGTCTTTGGCTTGGGTTGTAATGCAATGTTATGGTTGTGGTACAAGCGACTAGACTGGGTTTAGTGGGCTATTGTCTGTTTGGGTGCCAACCTATGTTAGGCGCAGTTGCCCCGGCGAGGAAACGGAAAGAACCATGAACCCCATGTATGCAAGCAATAGCAATCTAGCATTGCCCCGCTAAGAGTCATCGAGGCTGCACCTGCCCGCTATGGCCCAAGCTCTCTTACAAGGCTTTATTTGGGCCCTGGTCTTTGGGTTTACTGAGGGGTCAACGTTTCTCATGATGAGTACTGTGTCTTTATGTTCATGTTATGATATCTTTGTAACATATGAATGAGCTACCTTTTCTACACATTCAGCTATTTCTCAAAACCCGAACTAAAAATACTCTATGATTACTGCATCGCCGTTTTCATCATCTTATCAAGCCTCCCTTCTTTAGCTTCATCCTACGCCTTCGTTCCATTCCATTCACTTCTGACTTCAACATTCAGTCTCACTACAAGTCTCACTGAACCTCTGCCAGTAACTTTATTGACCGCCAATTGAGATCCTCTATTTATACACCGCTCTCCCTCTTCAGCCTCAAGCCTTTACATGCCTCACCTCCCTCCAGTCACTCCCGCTCCAACCGCTGCTTCACTCTTCTCCCGAGCTCCGGTCATGACCCCCGCTATCCAAGTACCCACTCACTCCGGGCCACGGGACGGCCCCGATATTCCTGGCGCCGGCAAGTTCAAGTCGCCTAAGCTAAGACTCGAGCTTCGTGATCTCGCTCACCCTGGAGCCGGGGTCTTTCTGAGCTCTGTGAATGCGGCAGAATGCCTCGCCAAAGCAGTACAGCATGTTCTGGCGCTTCTTTATGAATCGCCTACATGTCCTACTACCACAATCCCAACAACACGATCTGTCACGGTCATTGTCCGTAGCATGTCGGGAGTAGCTTACACCACCGGGTCTGAACTGGATAGCGACCACAAGGAGATTCACTTCTCTGCGGACTACATTGCGAACATTCATCCCATCTCGCGCCGTGCTGACGAAATCAACGGCGTGCTCACTCACGAGCTCGTTCACTGTCTTCAGTATAATGGACACGGACATTGCCCCGGCGGTTTGATCGAGGGTATCGCCGACTGGGTTCGACTTCATTGTAATCTTAGTCCCCCACACTGGAAGAAGGAGAGCAGCGGGAAGTGGGATGCAGGCTATCAGCAGACGGCCTACTTCCTGGACTATTTGGAGGATCGCTTCGGGAAGGGAACCATTCGCCGTCTCAACGAGAAGTTGAGGATTCAGAAGTATGAAGAGAAAGCATTCTGGACCGAGCTAGTTGGGCGACCAGTTGAACAGCTTTGGGGTGATTACAAAGAGAAGCTTGAATCGTAGTTATTGACATATACACATGCATGTATGGCGTTTGGACATTAGGGCAGCGATACAAAGATGTGGTAGATTTGATTGAAGAAACGAGATTAGCCATAGGCTGAGGATATAAGTGTGCTACTGTGCCTGAACTCCGACTCCAAAACAAAAGAACAAATCAAAGGAACTATCCAACATATAACAAACTCTGCAGTTTCCAAGCAAAACTCTGCCACCTAATTGGGCAGTATTGTCTTCCAAATGTCTTACAAAACATGCCGTACAAAACATTTTCAAAGCACTTCCATTTGGTATAGTTTATTGGCGAACAGGAACGGGAGCATCACTTTCGCTGATAACGCTGCCAACCTCAGACCAGCTGGCAGGTGTAGCCATGCCAGAGCTCTCACTCATGACATCGTAGGGTCGGCCAGTCTCGCCGGCGTGAGATGATTGCGCATCGTTGGCGACATCCTCGCCGGAGCCAACAAGAGAAACAGAATCGGTAGGAGTCAACATGCCATCGTCGCTGATCATCTCAGGCTCGGACATGGGAGCGGAAGGAGTAACGGGAAGAGGTGAGTAAAAGTCGGTGCTGGCATTTTGCGCCCAGGCCTGAATGGAAGCGTAGGCCTCATCGCGGTTCTCCTGGCCGGCGGTCATGTATTCGTCAACGCCGATCTCTCGCTCAAGGGTGGCGGTGGAGGCAGACTCGGAGCGGGCGGGGGTGGGGTCGGCATCAATGAGAGCGGCAATGGGCTTCTGCTCGTCCTTGTCCTGGGTAGTAGCGCTGTAAATATCGGAAACTTCATCGGCGGCAGGAGAGATTTGACGGGGCTGCTCAGGCTCATCGTTAATCTCGTCCTGGCCGATGTGGTGTTCGTCGGCAAAAGGGTTGGTGTAGAGAGAAGTGAAACCGCGGGGACCATCGCCACGACGTCGCAGACCCTCATCAGTAGCTCGGGTATCAGCTCCAGTGTTAAAGACATATGTTCCCTTTTCAGCACCATCATCCTGACGAAGGAAATCGTCGAAAGAAGAGCCTCGTCGTGATAATTCGCTAGCTGATTTTGTGTCGTCTTTTTCGTTTCGATCCTTCTCTTGCTTCTCTAACATGACCGAGTTCCAGTAGAGCAATTCCTCACGTTGTCTTCGGCGAGTTTCCTCGTCGGCGTCGACACCGTTCTCAGCACCACCACGAGACTCGAGAAACCCATCGGCATCCTCAGGTCTGTTAAATCTTGGCTCGCGATGGGGAGGTTCGATGCCTTCACCCATATGGTGCAGGGCCATAGCTATCCTGCGGCGAACATCGTCGGCGTATCTTCGCACTTCAGGCGACTCGAAGATGGCAACAGCGGTGGCGACAGCGACCGAAACGGCGACTACGGCACCTGATGCCAGGACAACATGGTTAGGCATTGTTTTGTACAATAAAGTCTACTCTATTGAGAGAGTGACTGAGGATGTAAGAGAGAAAGAGTAGGTGAGGCGTATGCCGGTCGAGTGGGTACAGTATAGTGGTAAGCGAGCAAACGAAAGAAGACAACGAATCTTGCTTCTTCGCAAGGCAGAAAAAAAGGTGTAAAAAAGAGAAAGAAGTCTCGCCAAAAACTCGAATAAGATAAAACCAAATGCAATAAATCGCTAGAATTTGGGGGCAAATTCAAAGGGAAGTTTGAGCTTGCGTAGTCCTGACAGCCCAGCTCTAAGGTATTTTGCCACAACTGGAAAGAGGCAGCCTCGGGACTGTGGCTCAGGCGACTTCTCTCAGGCAGACGTGCGCTGTGATTCGCAAATGAGAAGCCACGGACGCGGGGTAAATCCATAAAGAGCAGCACATGGCATGGGCAGGAGCTCGACTGGGCTGGACTTGCCCGTGACGTGACGACGACTTTATTTCTGAAAGGGGGAACAAACAATGAAGACAGGGAAAGAGACATAGACACAATTGTTACATACCTGCAGCCGCCAGAGGGTGAGGCATCGCTATCTCCAAGCGCCCACTGCCTTGGACACCCTCAAACACGTACAGAAATGATCGAGCACGTCGTACCGATGAACCAAGTACGTACTGTTGGTATGTTGTTGCAGATCCAACTGCAGAACACAAGCAATGAGAGTGATTGAGAGCGAAAGAGGGAAACCAGAATAAGAAAAGGAAATAAATAAAAAGTAAGAAGGAGGGATCAAGAAGATTTAAACAAGCTCAGCTCAGCCCAAGTCAAATATCAACTACGATTACGACTCAGACTCAGACTCGGGCTAACTCATTCGTACATACAGTGATACACTTCTTACCTACACCTTACATGATGTACCTTGATCAGGCTGTGCTGATGTTTATTTCATTGACAGCAAAGGATGTATAAAATATGAGAATGCAACTATTCTGACTAAAGATTTGCATCAATTAAATAATATGGTGTTGTTTTTTATCTGATCTACTCTACGCAATTCACCTTCAATCAATTGTTAACCAGCAGATCCTCAGCCGCCGCTTGCGGATGGACAAGACGAGCGCGTGACGTGGACGATGTGATGTGTGATATGCACAAACTAAAGTCTGCTATGTACTACCTAGTAACTCACAGCCAAGCATTTGACCGAAACAACATTCGAGGAATCTTACCCTTTCTGTCACCATCATCAAAAACTCAAATTGCAATAAGCGCTGTCCAGTACAGTAAGCCCCTGAAACTCTACTCAAGAGACGTCATTGTATTCGTAGTTGGTGTTATCGTGCGACGAAGAGTACGTATAATGGGATCAATTGATGGCGCGGCACCGATATCGTCTTTGCTCGAGTCAGCCTACTGTACATGGTTCACCCGTCGGGCTTGTTAGCCAGGCACGATATGACGACGCCTGGCGGGATATTGTCGTACATGGCGTACGACTTTTGACCTCAGTCATGCCAAAATGCAAGTCCTTGATGTTTCTCAATCGGGTACTTTGGAAGCAATAGTCGGTCTGCAACTGACTGTAAATATCCATGGATCTCCCAGCATAATGTGAGACAAATGTAATGGATATAAATCCGAAGCTACCAACCACAATCTCATTGTCAGCATACCCAATAATAATCGACCGGCCCGACCGGGTCTTTCGATACAATGCAACGCACTCGAATCTGACAGAGGTCGCTCAATTGCTCCGGTCTCAATTGCCACAACCGCCGGAACTCCAAACCACCGACCACCGATCTCGAATTCCGTTGTGGATAAAAGGGAAATCCGGACATTTGCTCCAGAGGCAAAGGGGTGGAGAAGGTGAAAAGGGATCCATCCAGGTGAAAAGGCGAGACACCGAGAGAGATACGAGCCATGGATACGTCCCCAGTGTTTTTTCTCCATGGTGAGCATTGAGCAACAAAAAACTTGGCATTCGGGGTCTTGCAGCCGATAGAACAGGAACAGGTAAGTCCACTTGAACGTCAGTTTGTCATCTGGTTGTTCTAACTGGGTACGACAAATCCGCGCCCAGACATGGAGAAATGTTCCTAAGGTTGAGCAATAAACCACTGTTCATACAGTAACTTGAATGAATGTTAGCATGCAATGCACATTGAGAATAAGTAGATTCAGAAATGGTAACAGTAAAAATATTGTTTTGATTCATCGAAACGCCAAATGTCTCTGTAAAACCGTCGCTAATGCCAGATAATTGTGGTATAATAAACTCCCCCCATTTTGTGTCTTGGTCACAATTGTTCCCTTCGAAGCTTGCTATACTGAAACTTGATTGAGGGTTTGATCAATGTGCCATATCCCTTATTCCCCAATGCACATTTAGTGAGAAGACTTCTCAGTCTGGGTAGAGTCGGTGGAAGAGACAGAGTCAGAAGAGTTCTGGCGGGTAGCCTTGGTGCGCTCACTGAATAGTTGGTTAGTACTCTGGTCTGAACGGACTGGGGATTAAGAAGCCACATACTAGGCAGAGCGGTCCTGGAGGACACACTGGTAGCGGGCGTTTCCAGTCTTGAAGGTGAACTTGATGCCCTTGTTGTCGCCGAAGGAGGCGGGGACTTGGGGAGTGGTGGTCTCAGGCATTTTGAAGAGAGTTTGTGTGTAAGTGCGAAACTTGGTAGAGACGAAGAGATGGATAGACAAGATGGATAGAACAGGATGAAGAAAGAAGAGAGCTTAGAGACAGAGGACGGGGAGTCCTAATATACCTTTCGCGACTGAGGATACGTATCTCGTCATTTCGGCGAGGATGCACCTGTTCGAGGTCCACGAAACTAAACAAAGTGAGCCATTTTCTTTGCAGGACGGACCTGGACCTAGACTAGGGGACCAGGAGCAACAAGTCACTGTGCAACACCCTCAGCTTGCCCCACGATGTGAAGGTGTACCAAACACGGCAACACGATGTCTAGCGTATCCCTGTCTCCGTCGTCTCCGTAATGTACGTACCAGCGTTGGATGGGGCCCCAGAAAACTGGACTCCGGGAACCTAAGAGACGAAATAATTCGATCCCATTAACGTGACGTAGCCCGGCGTAGCCGTTTCTTTATTTCTTGCACCCTGCGTCTGGGGTCTCAGGTTTTCTGCTTCCCCCAGTGGGGGTACAGTCAGAACAGTTAACAACAGGACAGTTCCCGGCGAAGCCCTGATCGTGGAACTGTAACAGTTCGAATCGGTCATGAGCTATTGTCATCTGCATCTACTTCTTTCGAAGCTGAGGTATATCTGGTCACCACCTTGAACAAGCTTAAACTGTGTGTTCAATGGCCGTAGATTTCTCGTCAACCCACAAGAAAAAGTGAAGGCAAAACTCCCGGCTAAGACGGAAGAGGGTGTGTTCTTCTAGAAGACTAACTGGAGCTTCCTCGCATTTCCAGTTTTGGATCCGGCTGTCCAATCATTCGCCCGCCCCAAGATTTCGTGCCAGGAGACAAAAAAGCCGCGACTGACCTTGTCGATCGGTCCTCGATCCAATGGGAACATGCGCAACTTTTTTGAGATGTCCTACCATTGGTCGTGTGGCGGATATCATCGCTCTCCGACTTGCCCGGCCTTGCCTTGAACCCAAATAGGTAGTTGGATATCGAGAGAATTTTCGAGCATCCAAGCTTGAAGAACTAGCAAGCTTCTCCGGAGGGTAAAGATAAGCTTTTCAGCGCTATGTCGAATCCAGTTGGTCCTTCTTGATATCGGTGTTACCGCCGGGACGCCACAAACTGTTGGACTAAGAGGCTCTTCCGTAATTGTCCTCAAGATATCATAAGAATTGGCCGCCGAGAGCATAAGAGAGGAAATAATTTAGTCACCTTATGCTAGCCTTAGGCTAGCATTTGGGCTACTTTATTTCTGTAGCCTAAGCCTCAGAGGACAATTCTGCTGACACCCACCTGAGTGTCAGTCTCCGAGATGAAGCGATCATCGGTTGAGGTGATCTCCAGGCCAGTCGGTATCCCTATTCTGTATACTGTACAGCACATCTGTCACTTGAGCAACGCTGATTCAGATATCCAGGGCTGATATAGGTCTTTTACCCCAGCTCTTCGCGCTTTGCTCCCGGACCGGACAGCAATTAATTACATCATAGTCGACTCTCATGATACTTTGTTGTAACGTTGAGGACAAATCTCAACAGACGCCAGCGTGGGTTAGCGCCTTAGCACTTTATCCCCGCATTCAACTCCACGATGCCCTCAAGGCTGATTGGGGGTCGGAGTCTGACCCCCAGCCTAGCCTTCTCTTCACCGCATGTCACTAATACTTTTGGCTGGGTCGGAAAAAGCTTGGTCCTAACAGCCCTGGCTTGGCTAGGTATGCAAGTTTGATTGAAATTTTGGCCTTTGACTTCGACTATGAGGCCGTCTCTTAAATAACCGCTTCTGGCGCTTCAATATTGTGCATCGTAGGGTGAAACGTAAAAGTGAAAGTGTCACATGGGTGTTCACAGAAAACGGGTCGCAGATGCAGAGACAAGGCCATCGTTCCACCCTAATCTCATCTCAACTTGATTGACCTGCATGTCGTCTGCTTAATCACAAGGGTTGGTAATTGCACACACTGATAACCGGAGAGCCGGCAACGAGCGTCGTGCATGCACATCGATGCATGATGGATGTCAGGGATTTCTCAAAACTTCATCTCTCCACAAGCGTGCCATGTGCTGCTTTGTCTTTGCATTTCTTTCCTCCTTTCGTCGTTTCATCTTACAGTCTTCATCAGCTTATGGCGGGTTCCAGAATCTGCAAGTTTCCCATAAAGAACCATCTTGGTGTTGAATATGCCGCACATCGATAAATCGGTAGTCTCGGTCCATGGCCTTGGGTAGCATCTGTCACTGCCGTTGATCCGGGCTGGTTATCAACGTTGTATATCGAAATAATGGCCTGATGTTGTCAAGTTCGACCTTGAATGCAGAACCACAACATGATCCCATCAGCTCATTGGACATGTCTTGGCTGACATGCAACATGCGAAACGGTGGCGCCTCAGGTGGATGTCAGAAGAATTGTCCTCTAAGGCTTAGGCTATAGAAATAAAGTAGCCTAATTGCCAGCCTAAGCTTGCATAAGATGACTAAATTATTTCGTCTCTTATGCTCTCGCCGGCCAATTCCTCTGTCACCCTGACGCGCCTCTAGCTGTTCTCCTGCAGCAGGGCCGAATGCGATACCGAGCAACGACCCTGTCGGGCGAACGCATAGAATCATTTGCTGTCCATCATGTCCATGAGCTGCTGTTCCTCATCGACCACAGCAGTACCATTCCCACTTCCTACACCCCTCTTTTGCAATTCCATGTCTATTGATCTTCGCGTAGGCATGCCCGCGCTCAGATCAGGCATCTCTTCCTTGAACTTGCGCAGATAGTTTTCCACGCTTCGCATCCCCACAACAAGAAACCCGAGCTCTTCCCGGTCGACGTCGAAAACTTCCCACCATTCGCATTCTGGCATCTTGGCGCCTACATCTCGGGCAGCGTTATAAATGGCAGCAGTAGCCAACGCGTGGGGCTGATGGGTGAGATACAGCATCTGAGGTGAGAGGAGAGCTGTGTTTAGATATTGAATTGTACGCAGAGATATGATGGACTTGGGCTGGGCAAGGAAGTCCAGTGTCTGCAAATAAGTGATGGCCAGCGCGTGTGGTAATGCAACATGGGTGTCAAATGCGAGCGTGTAGAGAATCCGAGCTTCAATGGCAAGGATACGGGTTTGAAAGGCGTGATAGTCGGCCTCTGGCACGTAATAAGATCTGGGGTCATTCTTGGGAGTGCTCTGGATATTCAAGAAGGGCGAGTTCTCGGATAAGAGGTAAGCATAAACATTAGATATGTCGCGTGAGGACCGAGGTTGAGGTCCCATCTTGGCAACCAGATAAAGAGCAGCAGCAGATGTGTCCTTGAGGCACGAGTCAGTATGATCCGAGAAGGCTTGGGTGACATCGAAAACTTACACTGAACTCATTGGCCATTGGGGAATCGACAAGCCAGTAACGCGCGAGAATAACGTTGGCCTGCGCTGTAACGGACTGAGGCAGCTCTAGGAGCTGACCAGCAGCTTGTGTGAGGCATTGCGAAGTAATAAAGATTGAGTCTTGGAGATCTTGTGGCAGAGATGAAAAAGACGATTTGTGATATAGTTGAGATGCTGTTGCAAGAGGATTTATCAGATGAGTCATGATGTCTTATTCAATCGGTGAATCACGAGTTGGTCGAAGAGCGCGATGTTACGAGGAAGGAAGGTTGAAGGTTTCTTTGGCGAGGCTGAGAAGCTCTACCGTCCCTTCTCTAATAATGCCTGTGGGGCCGCTACTGGAACAAATCATTGTGGAGCGATTCTGCAGTAATCCTTGCAGGCAGGAGCTGCCTACGGGTGCGCTCATGATAACTCCTTCGACATGAATTTATTAGCTAAAGGGTAAATGCCAATCGATTTATTCAGTTGGCATCCATCACTCAGTTGTCCCTTCTTTAACTATAAGTTTTCTCTTAGTCGTCATGAGGTTGAATCTTGCCATACTGTGTCGAACATGAAGGCATCGTCAGTGTCATCATGACTGCTCCCATGATCCCTCTTCCACGAGAGCACTTTAAGAAGAACCTACAGATGATTTTATTCACATTGATGTAGTTAGTAATCTTTTCTGTCTGATCAGATCCGTCCATATACAGCCTCCATCTTCTATCAAACCTCAGCATTATCGAACTGTCACCATTAAGATACCTGGAGAAGCCATTGAAATCATCAACAAAAAGGGCAATATAAATTGTCTAGTTTTTGTTCATTAAAAGAACTACCTTGATATCATCCATCATACCATTCCATATCTCATCATGGCTGTCAACATTTTAAATGCTTCATATTGATTGGGCAGTCCCTCTTAGACCAGGCACGCGGGGAGCCTGCATTTTGACAGGACAGGACAGCTTCGGTACGTACCGAGCTGAGCTTCAACTCAAAGAGCCGCTGTGGAGCTTTGTCGACATCACAACACAACACCACCAACCTCAACACCTGACACTGGACGACGATATCGGACCCTGCTTTGCTTATAGTACGAGGCACAAAATAAATAATTCTTAACCACTTCTATCCAACGCCATAGTCCCCCAAGTCTCAACGTTTCTCACACAATGAGCGTCTCTATCCCCCCCTCACCAGGCGAGGAAACACCTGCATTCGACCTCAACCTTCAGCACGGCCATAAAGATCTCGTCCAGGCCGTCGCTTTCAACACCTATGGTGATCGCTGCGCAACTGGCTCTGTAGATGGCAAGATTCGTGTCTTCAATCGCCACAAGGATGGCACATGGCGTCTTTGCGATACCTGGACTGCGCATGGCGGAGAGATTCTAGAGGTAACGCAGCCCCCTTTCCCACCAGTACCCTTGTCTCCAAGTCTTCTTTCTTTTGTTCTATGTGTCATTCTGTCGCACATGCATGCTGACTTTACATTTCCTTAATTTCCAGATTCAATGGCTTCCTGCCACTGTGTATCCCAACTTGATCGCCTCCCTCGGTATTGAGGGCTGGTTTCGACTCTGGGCTGAGGATCCTTCCGCTGCGCCTGGTCGAAGGTTTTGTACTGGGCGTGCTGGTAACGGGAAACCCGCGTTTGATACGCGATCTAACAAAGCTCCTTACCGATCTTTCTCAATGAAGCATAATGAAGAGACACGGCATACATACCTTGCTCTTCTTGCGACTGATGGTCGTTTAACAGTATACGAAAATGATCAGCCTGAGAATCTTTCCGAATATGCATCTATCGATGAGTTTAGCGTTGCGCCAAAGCCAAATCGAGGAGAGGAGCTGGCGTTCCGCGTTCGTTTTGACCCAAATCCAGAGCCCTGCTATACAGCTCTGCGAGCAGGCGTACCCTCAGACTCTCTCGGTCTTGTAGTCGCCGCGATGGATACCGTCAAGGTATACCGATCGCGCGACATCGTGGCATCATCTATGGGTGTTCAACAAACGCAAAAGGAGTTCTATCTTGCTGTAGAATTGCCTGGCCATCGAGGATTAGTTCGGGATGTAGCGTGGGCATCAGGAAATATTAGAGGTTACGATGTTATAGCGACGGCTTGTCAAGATGGTTATGCACGTGTCTTCCGTATCGAGACACCGTACTCTGACGACGATGGGAAGTCCTGGTCTGCAGCTGATCTTCTACGATCTGCCCCTCACCAATCAACAAGAGATTCTACGCCTCAAACGAGGACCAACGGGACAGCGACACCGACAGAGAAGCAATCGACGACTCCGCAGCTCCAGCCCTCGCACAGCTACCATCAACACCACAATTCTAGTCTCAGCGCAAGTCTGGCAAAATCAGGCTCCCATAATGATCGCCAATGGTCAGGTCAGCCAGGTCAGGTAAAGCACAAGTTCGAGGAGATCTCCAAGCTAGACAACCACCGCACCCCTGTGTGGCGTGTTGGCTTTGATGACGATGGCCAGATCCTGGGCAGCACAGGTGACGATGGACGGCTGCTGTGCTATCGCCAGACGCCCAATGGCGCATGGGCCAAAAGCTCAGAGTTGGCGGTGCAAAAAGCACGTATGGCTACTCCATGAGCTTACCGCGATCGAGAGCTGTAGTCTCATCTTCTTAAACAAACCTGTCAGCTAGAACATCCCATGGATGATCTCGGCATTCTTCAAGCTCACGTCCCGGAAAAGTGCCCTTCGCTGCCCAATTACTGAAGTACGCCATTAAGGGACCGCAGGGCCTAGGCCTTCGCTCAGTGCTAAAGGGAATTATATGGTCGATTCCATCCGAGATATCATGAGTAGTATTCTCTGCTTCCACCCGTTCTCAGCGGCTGTGAATGATATGCTGTGTACAACAGCACAGCAAATCTAACACAGATATATCCGGACAAAGTCTGTCTGTGGCTATAGTCAAGCCAACGACATCGCGCTCCAACAATCATACTTGATAGGTCTTCTGAATAGTCTTAAGGGCCTCAGTAACCAGACGAGCGAATCATGGTCGGAGGCGCCTCTCTTCGAACGGCTCCATGCACTTTCCAACTCTTTTTTCCAAGTGCCAAACGCCCTGTATGTTTGACGATGGTAGATAGGGCTGGAGTTTAGAGATGATTTCAGAGCTTAAAATACGACCAGACAGGGGATGTGTTTTCCACAACCATGAATGTGATTATGACGGGTTAGTGTTTAAAAATCTCTCGACGATGAATTTGACTCGGAGATGCCGTAGTGGACAAAATGAAATACCTGTTCGAGCAACCTTCTCAACTTTAACGTACGCGAGCTTTCTACGCATTACTATAATAATTATATAGAATCGTCTCAGTTCCGAATCTACAAATCAAATAGCCATTCAATGAAGTACAGTTGATCGTCAACCGTTGCCAAGCTTTCGTGATAGGAACACCAGGTCATTATAGTCTTCATACGCTACGTAATAGGTAGCTTGTAAAATGCATGTCGTCACGCACAGCATATAAGCTAGTTAATACATACAACATATTTTAAAGTCATCGATACAGAGCAGTTCAATAAGACAATTCACGTCTGATTATGGGACATTAAGTGGTATTCAAAAATTTGGATTTTCGAGTAGTCATACTATTTTAGGAACCAATTGCTGGTCCATATGAACTCGTTTGTTTGCTTTGACCATTCTCTCTTGATATTTTATGCAAGCTAAGTAGTCTTGAAAAAAGAAAAGAAACCCCCCAACGCCATTCATGAGTCGATTTATGATCTTGCGTTTTAAAAACGTCTTGTGCTTTTATCCTTCTTGTTAGGATGGGTGGGGCCGTCATACAACAGACCGTTCATGTCTTTTGCATGTGACGGTGGCTGACTGTACCGTACCCACACCCTTTTCAACGACATGCCTCATGGCATGACGCTTCTCATATCCTTGGTATCGCATATCTCCCGATTACCCCTCATCCTTTCATCGTTATGTTGATTGTCGTACCGCTTAAGCAGCATCAGCGCTGGCAGCGGGCTGAACGATCTTGGTGACCTGAGAACCAGCACGGATGATGCGCTGGCCAGCAGAGTCGTTCATGTAGGTGATATCCTTGTTCTCGAACTGAGCACGCTTCCAGATCTCTACCTCGCAACCACCGCGAAGGACACCGACACGCATGGTAGACAGAAGGTTGTGGGCAGCGTTGGAGTGGAGGTAGACACCACCGTTGAAGATGGCAGTGGCATCCTTTCCGATGGCAGAGTTGATGAGAGCCTTGCCACCGGGGTGGTCCTTAATGAAGTCGGTAACATCGTGGATAACACCGGCGATAGCGACAAGACCCTTTCCAGCCTTGGACTGAGCAACAAAGTCATCCCAGTCGACAACGGGAAGCTGCTCAAGAGGAATACCCCAGTCGAGGGTAGCACGCTTCTGGTCGAGCTTCTTCTGGAGCTGCTGGACACGACCCTTCTCAATCTCGTTGGCGCGGAACTCCTTCAGCTCGTAGGCGAGACCAAGCTGCTTCCAGAGCCAGATGCTCCACTTGGTAGGGTCGTACTGCCACCACTCAATAGCGTTGCGGTAATCCGAAGGGAACTCGTGGTGGAAGTTGTGGTAACCCTCACCAAGGGTGACGAGAGCGGTGATAACGTGGTCACGGGGAGAGTTGCGGTCATCGAAAGGCTGGTCACCGAGCCAGTGGGCAAGAGAGTTGACACAGAAGGTGGCCTGCTGGACGAAGCAAATACGGAGGATACCAGCATAGACGAGGCCACCCCACCAGTCACCCCAGCCGAGACCAGCAACGAGAGCAGGGAAAGCAAGACCCATGAAAAGAACACACTTGATGTAGTTCTTGTGCTGCCAAACGACGACGGGGTCCTCGTTGAGATCGGTAATGTCGGTTCGGCCCTGCTTCTTGGGGTTCTGCTTGAGGACCATCCATCCCATGTGGGAGTACATGAGACCCTTGCGGACGGAGTAGGGGTCCTTCTCGGTATCGGTGTATCGGTGGTGAACTCGGTGACCATATGACCACCATCGGATAGAGCCCTGGACGGCACCAGCGCCGACAGCAGCGAGGTAAATCTTAAGAGGAGTGGTGCCCTTGTAGGCAGAGTGAGACCACATTCGGTGGTAACCTGGAGTATGTGAGCTTCAAGATCATTGACTTATAGCTTGATGCCAGTGCATCAGCGAGTTAACTTACCAGCAGTGATACCGAGACCAGTGTGGACGTAGTAGAAGACAGCCCAGAGAGCAGTCTTAAGGTGGAGAGGAACCCAGTAGGCGGAGATGAAGCCCATCAAAGGAACAAACACAACAAGTGTTGTGTTGAGCCAGTTGATGTGCTGGGGCCAGTTGCTCCAAGTCATGGGAGTGTCGGAGATGTGAGGCTTGTTGGTGTCCTTCTTAGGGCCGCCGGCTCGGAGAGGGACATAGTCCTTGGTGCCATCAGGGAATGGCGAGGCATTCTTGCCCGCAGCGGTAGCTGTCGCCATATCGATTATGTTGCCGATGGGCTGTTGGAGTTGGCGATGGCAAGTGTCGTCGAATCCAATATGAAAGTCCCAACACACGAGCACCCAAAGTTAATGGTTACTCGAAGAGGTGAAGGGAAGAAAAGTCCTTTTTAGGATAAACAATATCCTAAGCAAAAGGTAAAGAGGACAAGAGGGTTAAGGATTGAAGGATGAGGAATTAAACTCGGGTTGGGGCGGAGGGCTCTAAAAGGGCTTTATACTATCAGACCCTCGCCGGAGCTGGGCGAAGAGAGGATGAGGAAGCGGTAGAGACTGGGGAGGGGGGTGGAAATCGGGTGTGTTCGAGAGGTGTGAGGCGTGAGACAAGTGGAGGGAACAGTGGAGGGGTCTCTGCGGTGGAAAAAAAGAACAGCACTGCAGTTTTCAGTGGGAGGCAAAGAAGAGACTGTCCAGTTCTAGGTTCCAAGTGGAGCTTTGATAGACGCTTAACGGGTTACCCTTGTTGCAGCGGCGAATTCAAGGTTGGGGGAGGCACAATCAGAAAGAGCTGGGGTTTGTGAATCGACGACGACCCTGAAGTCGAGGAGGCAAATGAGCTTCAGATCCCTCGGGGATGATAGTGTCCAGTATCAGGAGACAATGAGGCAACGGGACGAAGCGATGACAGCTACAGTAAGCTGCTATGTTTTGATCCGAAGATTCAAGTTGAGGTTGGGGCAGGCTTGTATTCTGTTGACGTTCGAATGACAGGCGCAATCCTATCTTATCGGTGTCATGATGCAATCAATATGCTTTTCCACAAACCTCGGCGACTCAATTGAATGTTATCTTGGCTTGTGAAGATTGATGAGAGCGAATAGTAAGTTCTCGTGATCCAAAGCATATGCCAGTACGCTCACATTTCAGGTTTCCCTGGCCGCGATTGTGAATATTGAAGGTTGAATAATGGCGTATGTGGTGTCACACCCCCACCGTCGCTATAGGTGCAAGGGGAAAAAATCCATTGGGGATATGGGCGGGCGGAAGAGAAAAAAAAGGGCAACCGCACCTCACCTCACACATCACGACCTAACCGACGGGACAGTCAATGCCAGTCTAAGGCAGTTATGGACCAGTCCCGTCTTTCCGTTCCGACAGCTTCCTAGTAACGATCCATCCCGCCTCAGACAGCACTGAAGTATCATGAACATCGCAGTTTCAAGGGTTCGGTTCGTTTTGTTGGCAGTCACTAACACGGAAATCATGGGGAATTTGACGATCATCAGGACATTTGATCGTCGGGCAGAGCGAGACAGTGAATGCTATTGAAAGTACTTGAATACGTGCATATTTCTCAATTCCAGCTGATAGGTACCAATTGATCATGGTATCGTATCGTCTGGTGTAAGTCACCGACAGTGACATCCGCAGTCATCAGCTTGTAAGTGCTTCAGCGTTTAACAGCCACTGCATATCAGATTACAAGACCATACGATTTATCCCCGCTATCTAAGATAGATACCGAGATCTTCCATATGCCCTGTCCTCGAATGATGCCATTATATCAGACCATGATAGACGCAATTTGTTGTGTTGACCATTTCGCAGCAGCGTATTCGACGATAGCTGGGCGACGTCGCTTCGTCAATTCGTTGCTTGGGCATTTCAGATTCATCATCGCACTAAGGAGCCAAGACCGGGGATTTGATGAGACTGTGACTGAGGCCTGGGTCTTGTAGGTCGACGTCGAACACGACTTCCTGCCATCCTCAACACGTTTTTCCTCGTTGCTTCCATTTCAAGATCCGTACCCACCCTTTCCCCAACAATTTTTTGGCGGCTCCAATCACAAGTGGGGCTCGGTTGGATGCCCTTTGAGGCAAAAGTTTGGTGTCCCTGCCAAATCAAAAGTACTTTTCCTTACAGTTTGTGAGCAAGAATACTTTTGTTGCCATCTAGCCCTGCAAAACTGCAAGAGGCAAGGCGCCAAAGGGAAGCCGGTCGTGCCTTGCAGGGGAAGCTCCCACAAGAAAAGCCGGAGCCGCCTAGAGCTTGGGCAGTTGGTGGTTGGATCGAATCGAACTTCGATTTTTTTCTTCTTGGGCTTTGGAAAAAATCAACAGCTCCACTGATTTTTGGAATCAGGCATGATACTATTTGCTGGAAAAGCTACAGTGGGTTCTTGGATCTAGTGGATGACATGACTGTTCTGAGCCCCGATAACGAAGTTTATCGCCAAACAATCCAGAGCGTCTAGTTGGTGAAAGAAGTCGATGCAGTTGTTGTGTCACTGTACTGTAGTACGCCACTGTATCACAGCAAGTAACGGTGAAAGACACGAATTTCAGTTGCATTGACTATCAGTCAGTGGCAAATTATCCCCAATGCAGTTGTTATCGTGTAAATCAATCCAGCTTGGTGCTGTACACGAGCAAGCAACCATTTCTACGCCGGGCATGCCGAGACTGACTCCCCGTCTGCGTTTTGACGTCGACGCTCCTACGCTTATCTCAAAGATCTCAATGCCCTTGATAAGTCAGCCAAGTTATGCACAGTCTTTAATACAGTGCATATCTCGGTTCGATACCCTGAATCGTTTGTTATACAGGATCGCTTGGCTCACCTCACTTTTGATATCATCGCTGCAACGCCGTCAAATCCCGACAATGTCATGCCATGTGCTTGACTTTTTGATATCTGATTCAAGAACCTCGGATGATCTTCTTTCTCGTAGATAATTGTTGAATCTCACATTCGCGTGCTAGTGTAAAGGATTCTTCAACACATCGCTCTTCCTTGTCCAGCCCTACAGCGAACTTGTGGTCATATCCAATCCTATGTATCTTTCTAACCCCCAGATCGAACGATACCTCGGCCCATTTGCTATTGCCTGACACGATCATATTGGGGTTTCAGTTTCTAGGCCCTCGGCTACAGTATAGACACAATTACCGTCCCCAGCATGGAATTGTCGATTCCTATTCTTCCTCCTCTGAACCAATTCCTATCCCCTGCTCTGACCCTCCCTTTGTTCCGAGACCGAGCAGGGGTGATACGTATCTCCGGCACCCTGGCACTCCCGTCTCCCCCAGCTTTTGTGTTTCTGTTGGGGAAAGACTGAAAAGAGATCGGGACTCGCCAAGCCTGGATTGTTCCACATTTGTCTTTCATTTTTGCCTCCGATTCATGTTGTTCCTCAGGCAGAAAGAAACCTGCTTCGTCTCTTCTCATGTCCACGTGATCTCTATACTGTACTGGGTTGACAGATCTTGACGGGTTTCCAGAACATTTCTTCGAGGTGGGTGGCGCACATTAGTTCTCGAGCCTTAGTCATCATATTCTCTGTTGCTGACGACGTTATCAAAAACGGTTTCGCCATTTATATGTTGAAGGCAGAGTATCCTGGTGACTGGTTCCCGCATGGTTCTGATAAGCAGTGCGGAGTGTTCTGATCTTTATATTCAAGCTAAAAGCCGTCGCCTTACTTGCAAGTTCTTATGAGTATAATATAATTAGTTAGGAAATATTAAACTGCCATTATAGATACACTTTCAAAAGTACAAAAACCAATACAGCGGATTTTACAAATTGCCAACATATATATATTTACGCCCTATCATGCAAAATGCCAACCCATTACCCGCTAATAAACGAGAACAATATACTATAATATGAAACAATGCAAACGGAAACAAACTAGGCCTTCATCATGTCGTGTCGTAGACATTCGTTATAGTCCGCGTGGAGGTTTCACTCCTGTGGACTTGTCGTGATTTGTGTGCTTTTCTTGACTCGGCTTATCGTCAATCGACGGACTTGGATCCTCAGCTTTTTTCGAGAATCCAACGCCTTTAACGCGGTTATCAGTCAACTCTCCTTTCGGAGTCCTGCCTGTTTTTCCGACATTCAGCTCTTTCGTCTTGGTACAATCAGTTGTGGTTTGGTTGGCAGCAGGTGCTGTGGACCCTTGCCTTTTTTCTGTGGTTTGTTGCGCCTTTGTTTCTGCTTTCTTGTCAGAGACGTCTTTCTCGTCTACAGACGCCACCTGATAATTCTCTGGTCTGTTCCCTTCTCGGGGCAGTTGGGTTTCCTTTTGTCTGTCGTCGTTCTTGGCTGGATCTTCCAAGCTCTTTTGGGGTTTCTTGTCCGAGGCTCGCGCCACTTTGACTTCTTCGCCTTCAACAAGTCCTGTTCTTTTTTCTGGTGGAACAACATTTGTATGTTTTTGTACGGCTTCTCTTGCCGTTGTCTCCTTCTTCTTGTCTTGGGCCTGGACCCTTACCACCGTCTCGCTGTCTCCTGGGCTGGTGTTTCCTGTCTTTGTCACACTCGTTGTCGACTCTTGAAACGGGGCCTTCACGTTTCCTTTGTCGCCACCCATGCTCAGCTCCAGTTCCCGAGCCAGAGGTACCTCATCAGCTTTCTGATTCACTTTGCCATGCAGATTATCTGCCACATCGGCGCCTCGAGTCGGACTGGGTGTTGTTGTCGAGGTGGCTGGCGTCTCTCTTTTCTCCATGGTCGAATCAGGCGCCGTAAGTGCATCCGAGTCAAAGAGTCCAACCCTGTTCGCAATGGGCGTTTCATCAAGTGGCGTTCCGTCAGGTCCTACATCACTGTAGGACGAAGGAATATTCCTGTTTGCCGCCCACGCAGCAACATCATATAATCCTCGAGGTGAATCGTAGTCTTCACAATTGCTTGGCAAAGGACTAGGGGGAGAGCGCCCACGCGTATAGCGGTACGGTTCCTGCCTGTCGGGACTTGTGCCTGGGCGTGACTGGTTTGCATATGACCAGTCTCTGGATGGCTCAATTGTTGTGATCTGTGGAAGGTTGGCTGGATGGTATCCGTCACCCAGGTACTGTTGTAAAGTGTAGCCTTCGTCGACCATTGATTCAGGAGGGTTGAGTTGTCCACGGCCTTCGCTTTCGCCTGGTTGGGGAAACATTTCCAACAACGCAGCTGCCTGGAGCCGCATGCGTGGGTCGTCACTCAGACAGACTTCAGCCATTTGTCGATACCAGTCCGGGATGTTTACTTCAGGACCGAGTATCAATGGTCGTCCCTGTGCTTCCGGTTCGTCCTCCTGTGCCGCCAAAGCCCATAAGACCATGCCCAACTGGTAAAGATCGGATTTGACACCAATATACATGGTAATTCGTTGGTTGCTCTCGATGAGTGGTGTTGCTTCCGGAGGCTCCCATCCTACTGGGCATCCTCTTCGGTTGATGTCGATGATTTTGGCATCCCCATATCCATCTATCACAATATTCGACAAGGTAAAGTCACCCTGAACAAATCCAGATTCATGGATGTCTGACAACCCCTCAACGATTTGTCGCGCCCATCTCTCCCTTGTTGACCATGGAAGATTGTAATCACCATCTTTGCAATGCTCGTATATCACATCGATTAGAGCTCCTTGGTCTGCGTAGTTGATAAGGAGGCCCTTCACGTGTTCATCATGATCATCCACTACGACGCCGTAGAAGTGGATGACATTGCGTGAAAATCGTAGTGCGTTGAGCGCGTTGACCTCGTAAAGGAATTCGTCGGTGGTATCAGGGCTCGGGATTTCCTTTTTAATGAGTGTGTGGCCATTGACATTGACTTTGTAGACAAATCCTGACATGTGAGATTCGAAAACAATATCCCTCTCTCGAATTCGACGGCATCCTAGGTGTTTGATCTGAGAAACGGTTGGGTACTGGATGATTTCCTTGTAGCTGTTAGCTCTTGTCTTGCGAGTTTTTCGTCATGTGCCTACATTTCCGTCTTCGACCACATGGACATGAAGCCTCCCGTCAGTAGTTTGAAGCTTTAGGTTTGTAACAGTGTCATAGAATTGGATGTCTCGCAAGCTTTCCCGAATAGCCTCGTAGATCTTTGCACTCTTTTCTCGTTGATAATGTGTGTGAATCAAGTCCATTTCCAAGGAATTGGGAGGCGCATCTCGATAATCCAGAGAGATTGTTACTCGTCGCCAAAGGTGATCTCGCTCACGATAGGTGACAAAGAACTTCTCCCTTCTTGATCGATCACGGAAGTGCATGCTAAGGTTCAAAATCCAAGTCTTTTCGAGTTCTTCGTGTATCATAGCTTCATACTGAGATGCTGATATCGAATGGGTGTCTGCAGTGGAGAGATTGTCTTGGACTGGGCACTCATCGGCAAGTGTATCTTCGTCATCTCGGTGCAAGTTCTCTTGGGTAGAGTTTTGGGAAGGCACATCTGCAACAGCATCGACGGATATTGAAGGAACAAATCGTGGAACATCGTCCTGGGGAGTTTGAAGAAAACTTGGGGCGCTAACACGGGGGTTGATTGCAGGGTGCGAGGCGGATGGACTACCTGGTCTATTAGACCGCTCCATAGACACGGCTCGCATAGACGCAGCTCGCCTTTCATCTGGTGTTGGTTCGATCGGCGATAGATTAGTCCTCCTCTCTGATATTTGTCGCTTGAATGTTTGTGCTCGAGGCAATCCTGGTACAACCCTGCGAGTCATTCGACGCATCAACCCGTCCTTGTCGATGTCAGTCGAATTGTTTTCATGCTGAATGTCTTTGGGTTGCTCTACAGGTTTTGACCGAGCATTGCTCCCACTCTGTCTGCCAAAAAGCTTGCGAAAGAACCCTTGCGGACCGGAAAATGCAGTTGGTGTGTGAAGTGGTTGCGATGGCTCGGACGGTATAACGCCGGCCTGAGCCATGGCGGCGACAATTTGACTGTATGCGTATTTTGCGGTCAAGCACAACTAACAATTTCTGTCGATATTAAGCCAAGCCGGTATAGTAAAGAAGGTAATGATTCGATTGTTACTTAGTGGCGGAAGTACAATGTAAGTCGCTGTCTTCGGTAACGCATGCACAAACGCTGTATCGTTTCACAACGTGTGCTCGTTATAGAAACAAAAGGCTTTGAAGCAAGTATGGGGAAACAGCTACCATGTAGATGGAGAACGTAGATAGAATGGCAAAGGTAAAAAATATACCAGCCAGCAAAAAAGTATCAATGTGAAAGACCACCAAGTACACCAACAAAGCCGTCAGGTCGTCAATGAAAGAGAAGGGTTCACGATTAGAGAAGGAGAGTGTGAAAGTTCTCTGCTTGACCCATTCAAGAGCAAGCAGAACAAAGCAAAGCAAAAAACCGTTGCTGCAGTCGGTATATCTGCCCGAGGAGGCTGGGATAATGCAACGGTCGGTGAGAAGCGGGTCTTCTGGATGAGCGGTCGAGTCAAAGTCGCGGGGAGCGAAGCCGGAGACGCAATTAATATCAGTGCGCTGGGATCTTTAAAGCATTGAGAAATTATCGTGATGAGTGAGTAAGACTCTGTCGGGTAAGATGAAGTAAAAAAGCCTGAGGCAGCAGAAGATGGTTCAAATGGAGTTGCGATGAACGCCCTGCTGATATTCAATGGACGGTAACGATGAGGTCTAAAGCCTAAAACGGGCACCCAGCGGCGGCAATAGTGGTGGATGTGGACTGTGACTGGACATGAGTGTGTGTGGGCTGAGTGGATAGCTGGCTCTTAGTCGCGGCGGGACGACACGGGGACGGGCGGAGCGGGCGGCGGAGGCGCTGGCTTCTGACGTTTTAGTTGCCCTGATTGCTTTGGGCCTCTTTAGGAGCCTGAGCCACACTACCCTGAGTGCTGTACAGTGCAGTATCCGTAACAGCGTGTGATTCCCTTTGTCAACAGCGAGTGCCTTGATGACGCTCTGGCCGGACCGCCCTACCAAGGGGCTGGATGCAGTGAATTGCGACGCATGGCATGGCATGCCATGTGTGCGACTGCTCACTTCAACAACTTCAAAGCCACCACTGCTCAAGCCCAGATGTCAGCGCAGGGCTGTGGTTGTACTTTGCCCCAGACTTGCCGGGGACTATCAGGGGTCGTTGCTTGACTTAACGACATTTGTGTCCGTAGTACATGGCTTTTTGGACGTGGGATTCTGCGACGAGGGACCATTCATCCCACCATACCGTGGCTTTCAATCTCCAAAATCAGCCAAAGGACCCTGCCAGGCGAGCATTGTCTTCCGTGCCAAACAAGTTGTGGTCTGGCCAGACCTGGCGCGGCTTGCAGAATCATCCTTTGGAGAAAGAGATACGGTGACGATGGACGGCTCGTTGGTGGGGAACCATCGATGAGCTGGCCCCTTTCGATGCCCTTGTCTCGTCCCATTTCATCGACGCTAGACACGAGTTTGCGTTTGCTTCAGCGCAGGGGAAGGCGGTGATGCATCGTTAGGTTAGGCACGGAGAGTGTGAGTGTCTTGGTCAGGCTTCAATATTTTTGAGTCGCGAACAGGTCGGATCTCGAAATAACCGGCGTCGATTTCTCTGGTGATGTGAAGGAGTAAGAGAGTGCACGGCTCCATTCTTTTCCAAGTTGGTGTGGTATAACGTCCCAAGTCTGTATCACGCGGATGGAGACTGAAAGTGCACTTTATTATGATACCTGAGCAGGTAACGTTTGTTTACCTGATTTTACTGTGTGAACAGGAAGGTACGAGGTAGATAGACAAGTCAACTTGTAAAGGGAAGGAGCAAGCACGAAGTCGAATTCCAACGGCTCCTTCTCTAGTGATGAATCATGACATTTCAATCTTCCAAAGACCAAACTGAACCGCACTTCCATCCTACAACACCCAACAAATAACTTTACTGCTCAAAATAGAGATCGTGACGGCTTCACTCCACAATCCCGGAACTGTAATTCACAACCACACCATTGGTAATCAAGGGCCAGAACCATACCATCCCAGGAACTAACCGATGATTACATCCGAGAATTACACTCAACTACACAATATGATATCAGCCCAAATGTAAGTGCATGCGTGTCGTGCCGAAGATTGCATGAATGAACGTGCGTCATTTTGCGCTGCTGACTTTGAGACTCGCACGATAAGACGCACTAGAATCCAATGCATACGCCATCATTGCCAGGAAGGCATTTCGAAGAGGCTGACCGGTCGCACACCGCAATAACTGTTTTACAACTCCTTCAAGGTATCCATTGCGAGCGTCGTTCTAGGCCCCGATTGCAAGGCGAATCCAATGGATGGCCATCTTGACTCGGCTTGGAAAGTCGTATCTGTCAATCAAGCATGAATGGCTGAGAAGAACAGTGCGTTCAGGGCACTGCATACAACATTACACAAGATGTTTACAGATGCAAACTTGAAGGTATACTGTATGGCTGGCAAGCATTACGGTGGCCTGCATCGCAGCAAAGTAATTGTCGTATCAAAGTTCGATCAGGCCCTTGCAAAGGCTCGAACCAAAACGTAGAGTCTCTTGACAATTCACCAATTATGATATGATACGCGACATCTTACTCCGGCAAGCCGTTACAGTTACCAATTGCTGTACTGGTGGATGCCCAATACGACTTTGTTCTCTTCCATTTCAGAATCTCCAAATCGCGCACCCTTCAAGCACCTCTCCCGGGAAGGAAATACCTGAACTTACCCATCAACTTGGTTGGTCCAATTCCTGGTCTTCTTTTCTCTCATCTCAATTTTTGTCGAATTGGTCACGTCACACAAGGACTGGAGTTGCTTTCAGCTTTACGCGAACTGAGGCCTAATCCACCAGCCAAGATCCCCAAAGAGCCTCGCGTGGGGTCAGGCATGAGTGCAGCAAAGCAGCGTCAATCAAAACGGTCTGCTAGAGCCATGCTTGGGTGAGGCTACTTGGTCTTGACAGGTTGTCGGTTCGCCATGCAAGCAATGGGGCCGCGACACACTCCCGGTACATATGCATATGTACGAACGGCCTTTCCAGACGTCTTGAGTCCTTTGGTTGGGTGCCAACTAGCCCTTGAAAGATGCCTGTACCGGTAGATTTGTCTCGGATCGCTTACTCTAGCCGACTTTGTCGTATTTTCAGATTCTCTTGATGCTCGAGATGATGGCGAGAGTCACGACAATAGGAAAGACTCAAAATTGAACTTGACGACATAATTCAATTGTTGCCGTCAGTTCTATTATACATCTATTAATACTTGGCTAGGCTCGTGCCGTGCCTGGCTCCACCAATCCCGCACCGCCATGATTGAAATCGATCTCTAAGAAAGTGCCATATCTGGGTTATTGAGACACAAGACGGGATTAGTTCCGTACAAGTCCAGGACATCCGACGATAAACAACAGCTCAAAGTCAGAAGAAAGTTTGTCGCTGCTGTTCCAATTCATTGGATCAGGGTCAAAGTCGTAGCTTTCAAATCAGTCTGCTGTAACCTTGCAAATACCCTACATGTCAAGCTGCAACCACGTTGCAGGCCTCGAACTACACCTCCCAGACATAACATCATCCACGTGCCTTTATTGCTAATGCACGGATGACGCTTGTGGGGAGCAAGGCACAAATTGTCCCCGATACTCAAGTGAAGCGACATGATAGTTCACATTGATCTCACAGAATAACAACTCCAATAGTAAAGTAGAATGACGTCGCTTTCATACATGTATAATTATACATGGAGGCGTCAACTACACGCTGCCTGATGCCCCCTAAAATAAACCACTGATGCATGCTTCTAATAGTACAATATCCACATATTGGAAATAACAAGAGTAGGAGTCTTTGTATCGTTCATCTAAATTTCTCACCCCATGCCCAAAACGCCTTTCAAATCATGCCCTGCAACTTTTTCTTGAACCATCTCTTTTTAGATCCGGTGTAAAGCAGCAATTGCATAGATGGAGTATATGATTTAATCCTCCTCTTCAGCGGATTCGGGGTCGCTCTTCTTCTGCTGAGACTTCCACTCGCAGATCTTGCACTTGTTGGCCTGCTCCTTGTCGATGTTGGGGAAGACAAGGTCGAAGACTTCGGAGTACCAAGCCACGGGATGACCCTCGATACCCTCCTTGATGTTCTAGAAGCAGTTGTTAGTAAAAGAAATTCATGAAGATTGTAAAGGGAGAATAAACATACCTCAGGGAGCTCTAGCCAGTCAGACATGTTGTCCTTAGGGAAAATGACGGTCTTGCAGCCAGCACGTCGAGCTGCAACGGTCTTTTCACGAAGACCGCCAATGCGCAACACCTTTCCGGTAAGTGTAATCTCACCAGTCATGGCAACCGTAGGATTCACAGGGGCATCGAGAGCAAGAGAGAGGAGCGAAGTAGTCATAGTGATACCAGCAGATGGACCATCCTTTTGAACAGCACCATCAGGAACGTGGAGATGCATCTTGGCCTTGTCGAAGAAGTGGTTGTCAGGGAATTGCTTAACCATGAAAGACTTGGCGAAGGAGTAGGCAATGGTGGTAGATTCCTTCATGACGTTCTTGAGGTTACCGGTAATCTCAAGGTGAGGTCGTGTAGATGGTCGGAGGGGAGCCTGGAGGATAGACTCGATGTACATGGCAGCACCACCAAGTTGTGTCCAGGCGAGACCCATGGAAACACCAGGAGGGCTGACCTCGTAGAGACGATCGGAGGTGAAGACAGGTGGGCCGACGTAGTCAGTGAGGTTGTCCTTGCCGATAACGACGTGAACGGAGTCGGGAACCTTGAGAGCCTTGCGAGGCTTCTCTGTAGTTGGGCCAGTCTCGTGGGAGGTGGCCTCCTTACCCTCCTTGCTCTCTGCGGTAGCCTCCTCAGACTTGCCCTGCTTCTCAGCCTCCTCAAGAGCAGACTTGCCTTCCTCGGTAAGGGCCTCTTCTTCAGGAAGAACCTCCTCACCAAGCTCCTGAACGATCTTGAGAGCAGACTTTCGGTATACCTTCTCGATCTGCTTCTTGAGGTTTCGCACACCGGACTCACGGCAGTACGACTTGATGAGTTCCTCAACTGCCTCCTCACTCAGAGTGACATCGGCGTTCTGAAGTCCGGCAGTCTCCTTAGCAGCAGGGGCAAGGTATCGCTGAGCAATGGCCATCTTCTCATCAGCAACGTAGCCAGAGAGGGTGATAAGTTCCATTCGGTCCAGAAGAGGACGAGGGATGGTATCGGTCATGTTGGCGGTACACACAAACAGGACCTTGGACAGATCGACAGGTACGTCCATGTAGTGATCCAAGAAAGAGCTGTTCTGCTCAGGGTCGAGTAGCTCAAGCAGAGCAGATGATGGATCACCCTGGTAACCTCGGCCAATCTTGTCAATCTCATCGATCAGGATAAGAGGGTTCTCGGTCTGGCACTTCTTCAAAGCCTGAATCATACGACCAGGCAGGGCACCGACGTAGGTTCTTCGGTGACCTTTGATCTCAGCAACATCTGTGAGACCACCGACACTGAAACGGTAGTATTCTCGGTTAAGAGCACGAGCAATAGATTTTCCGATACTCGTCTTACCCACACCAGGAGGTCCGACAAAGCAGAGGATCTTACCCTCAACAGTGCCTCGAAGCTTGCCAACAGCGATGAACTCCAGAATGCGGTCCTTGACGTCCTTTAAGCCGTGGTGGTCCTCATCTAGGATCTTAACAGCGTTAGGAATAGCAAAGTTTTCGGTACTCCTTCTGCCCCAGGGAATCTGGGTGAGCCAGTCCAGATAATTTCTTGTCACGTTGAACTCAGAAGCGGCTGTTTCGAGGTGAGCGAGCTTGTTGAGCTCCTCGTCAAAGACCTTGCGTACCGCTTCAGGCATAGCAAGGCTATTTGCCTTCTCCTTGAACTTCTCAACAAGCTTGTCCTTGCCATCAGACTCAAGGCCAAGCTCACGGCGGATGCCCTTCATTTGTTCCATGAGCCAATATTCGCGCTGGCGCTTGCTAATCTTGTTCTCCACATCCTTGCTAATCTTTGACTGCAGCTGGGCATTCATGAGCTCTTTCTTGAGCACCACGAGGGCCTTCTGCATTCGCTCCTCGACGTTCAAGCAACCAAGGACTTCTTGGAGCTCCTTTTGCTCACCCGAAGACACGGCAGCAGCAAAATCGGCGAGCTTGGCAGGTTCTGAAGTGACATTTCCGGTAGACTGGCTCATGGAGAAGGTAGAAATTTGGTCTCGGAACAGGTTGTTCATGGTGGCAACCTCCTTGAAGACGTTGACGATCTCATTCGTGACGGCACGAATAACAGGGCTCTTGGGGTCATAAGGCTCGTCGACGAGGTTCTCGACGTTGACCAAGCTGACAGGGTATCTCTTGAGGAATGATGTGGGCTCATACTTCTCGGCAGCCTGATCAGGCTTCTTCTCTACAGCGCTCTCCTCAAAGCTGGCGACAACATCTCCCTTCTTCTCAGTTGAGGTCTCCTCTTCAGCAGGCTTCTGGGGAATTGGTTCGGGTGTAGGTTCAGTCTTGGTTTCAGTCTTAGAGTCGGCCTTCTTACCAACATCCTGGCCGCCGGGCGGCAACAGACTGGACAACTTGATACGGCGATGGGGGTAGAGGATAGCAGTTAAAGCACCTTCTTGACCATGAATGGGGAAAGCACTTGTGATTTGAGCGAAAACACCAACGTCATAGACGTCTTCGGGGTTTCGAATCACGTCCTCGTCCTCATTCTCGTCCTTGAACAAGAAAGCACCTACATATGGCTGGCCACGCTTGATCGACTCGGTAATTGCGTTCGCCACCTCGGGATCCTTAATAGTAATGGCCTTATAGAAACCAGGGAAGAGAGGCCTTCTAGCAATAGGAATCGCCAAGACTTGGGGGTAGACCTCAGGAACTACGGGCTTCTGGAGGGCCTTCTCGGAAGAAGGCTTACGGCCGCGGCGACCTCCATCACCACCAGAGTTGTCGCCACCAGATCCTGAACCAGCGCCTCCTGCAGCGCTACCTGCCTTCCCGTCCTGCGATTGACTACCGCCGTCATTCTTTCCGGACCCTGGTGAGTCAGGGCCTGGGTTCCGTGACTCAGCCAATATCGTTCCATCGGCTTCCTTGCGCTTGTTCTCGACGTTGGCCTTGGCCTCCTCCTCAGACAAGGGTTCGGTCAGAGGCTCAATTGCAGACTCGAAGAATCCCTTGTCCTTGTTGTCCTTCTCCTTGGCGACTCGGGCGGATGTTGAGAAAGCTGCAGCGTTTAACCGCGGCTGGATAGCGGGGAGCCGACGGCCGCAGATGTGAAGGTTGCGGTAGGCGGGAGAAGAAGTCCATCGAGCGGCGGTAGCTTCGGAAGAGGCTCTTGATGTGTGAGCGAGAGAGCGCTCAAGAATGAGGCGCCCTGAGAGGCGTGAACGAGGAATCATGGTGGGCGATGCGCTATGATGCGATGCACGGAGCTAGAGCTGTGATTCGGGTCGGAGGGGGAGGAGATAAGAAGCTCCCCGCGGTGGGTAGCTTATGATGATACAATAAACAATTAATGAAGAGGAATTATGTGTAACAAAAGAGAGGAAAGAGGAAAATGGTAGGAGAAGCTCTGCTGTATCAGATGCAATCGACAGGGTTAGTGTAGGCCGCAACTGTCCGCATCACCATGTGCAGTTTTGGTGGAGGCGACTTAATAATCTGAACGGAGGTCTAATGGCGACGTCGGACTAACCTCCAGGTCCAGATCCACTAACGACTGGACGACATCATCCAAAAATTCGAGTCAAGCAGTTTCTAAGACGTTCTGCGCTAGCTTTTATACCTTAGTCAGCTGCCCCACTCCCCGGTTGATGCTCCGGCCGTTAACTTATCAGATTCGGTATCTAATGGGTTATTCAACTACCGAGCTCGCGTGCCTCGTTATATATCATGCTCACTATATGAATACTCGAATCTTCAGTCTTGACTGTTGTATCAACTCGTAGATGGTCTCACTATTTCACCATCAAGCTTTGTTCAATAGTCACATTTACAATCTGTAAACTGTCGTCATTATGCGCATTGCCATGTCATAGATGCCTTCTAGCTACCTACTATAGTCACTAGCAGAACGAGCGTCTATCTAGACAAGACTGGACCTAATATGCCAGAGGAGCAATCAAACGGTTTTGCGAAGGACACAAACCCGCTGCTACACTTTATGCTCAAAGCTTGAGGACTTTGCCTGCGAAGAGAACCGGACTTGCGGGTGATGCTTACCCATAACTGAGTGGTTAAGTCTTTTGATCACCCATGTCTATTTCTTCGATAACAACCAAAGTAGTCATACACGAAACAGCTCTTCATTGTAATTCTCCTCGGCTGATATATTCAACTCATGAACTTGTGAACCACATACTGTCTGTTCACATGTACGTTCTCTAGGTGAAATCAACTCAATTAAAATAGTAGACGATCCACCCAAAGCGACTACCCTGTACTTCTCCGCAATGTCAAACTTGGCAACAGCTAACCCTTTGTTCTTTAAACTTCATAAAACCGGGTAAGATTCGTCGACTCCAATTGTCTCATCATTGCACATTTGAAAGTCTAATTTGTTGAGAAAAACATTAACTATCATTTCCTTGAACGAACGCCCTCATTAGAATAATCTCTAGCCCTTTCTTGTCACCCTCTGTTATCAATACGTACCTGAACAGCTTAAGCGATTTATTAGCGAGTGTTAACCATGTCACAAGATCAAGACGTGGCTACCTCGGTCAAGAACCTGTCTCTCAAGACATCGGATGACCCAGCCCAGGCTTCTACAAAGCCCGCGGCCAAAAAGAAAAAGGCAAACAAGGTCGTTGCAGACTCATGGGAGGATTCCGATTCTGACTCTGAGCCCGAAGCCGAGGCCGAGCCCACACCCAAGGTTACGCCTGCACCCCCTCCTCCAACGCCTATGTCGCCTGTCGGTGATTTATCCTGGAACTCCATGTCAAGTAGCCCTGGCCCTCGAGCTGCAGCTGATCCGGATAAGCGACCAGAGAAGACTGATGCTGTGGCTCGTCGTATGATCGCTGCTGGACTGGGCCTCAAGGCACCCAAGCAGACGGAGGAACAGAGGGCTTACCAGAAGAGCGTGCGGGAGCAGGAAAAGAAGAAGAGAGAGCAGGAACGAGAGGAGGAAAAGAGGCGACAGGCTGAGACTGAGAAGGCGAAGGCAGCTGTTTGGGATGATTAAGAAGATGGATTGCATTAGTGATAGTACTGTCATAGCCCTGGTTCCAATAGCAGAAATCGACAAGCAGAGGTATTACTGAGATTCAACCGACTCTAATCGTTCTCATAACATAATCCGGTCCCCAGTAAAGACCGTACTGCAATCTTATGACACATGGTAGAGGTAGCTACTGCAACCTGGATAAGAGCTATTTCAGGGTAGCTCCATATCCAAGGTAGATGATGTATGCTGCTAGATAGATTTAACAATATATCACATCTTTCATATACTAGAGACTTTTACAGAAAACAGGTTTCGTGCATCGAGCATTTGCGGCTGAGCCGCTGGTATCATTGTCATTTCTCAATCTCGTTTGCCAATAGCAATGCTCTCAACTTTTTATGACCGCTCGCTGAGATTCTTGGCTTGTTGCCCCTTTGGTTCTCTTTGGCAATTTAAAAGCAGCGAGTATCCCTTTGCCGTGTGCAGTTTGAGCATGAAAACTCACCTTACACACGGCAACCAAAACAAACCCAACTTTGACTCCGTGTATAAGTCATCTTCTTTTTCTGAAGGCAGACTTTCGATCTTATTTTCGTTGACAGTGGTATCTTTCTTCCCTCCAAAAACATCCATCATGTCCCAAAACAAATTCCATCTCAATCAGCACACCAGGGGTATTCTTCGATTTTTTCTTTTTGGCCTCAGCTCTTCGTTACATGACTGGGTATAAGGAGTGGACGTCAAGTCATCAAAACAGAACCCCCAAATCCTACATAAACCAGGAAAGAAATTCAACATAAACATAAACAGGAAAAGACTCAAACACAAATCAACTAAAACAAACATGGCAAGACGTAAACCGACCGATGCACAAGTCGACGTTCCAGGGTATTTTTACGCCAGGGTATATCCAGCCGGGGTATTTGCATGTGGAGGTTCTAACACAGGGGAATCTAACGGAAAGGCCCAATAGGGGCGGGGTATCCTGAATTCATTGAATGAGAAGTAGAAGGGCGCCCGCTGTCGCCAGACGCGCGGGTGCTGTGGCGAGGTGTGACGTCGCCAGGCTGAGGGATGGACAACTTGTTGTCCATATGAGTACCGAATGTTCGAGGAGCCCAAGGGTCGTCGTTATCGGGGAGGTTGACACCACTGTCGTTCCAGGGGTTTCGATCGGCGTTGAAGCTGCGAGTGGATTCAATTGAGATGAGCGATGACTTGGAGACGTTGCTTGAACCCTTGAAAAAGTTTCCGTTACCGGAGTGAGAGCTGTTCTTTCTGCGGTCCAAGAAAGATGAGATTGAGGTCATGCTACCAGGCTTCCTGAGACGGTCAAGAATGCTGCTTCGCTCACGAGCGACTTCGTCTCCAAAACCAGTCTTAATGGGGGAGTCGGTAGCAACGGGGGCAGGAGCGTGCTGCAGAAGCTTGGAATCGAAGTACTGCAGGGAATCCTCGAACGAGTCAGACTTAGGACGAGGGAGAGCACCCTTGACGACATTGATCTCGGCACCAGATGTTGCGAACTGGGACTGGACAAAATCCATGGCATCGCGGAGACCACCGGCGTTGTTACGGGTGAAGCCCCAAACAAGGGTGACAGTGGGTTTGCCCTCCTCAGTAAGCTCGTCGAGGTTCTGCTCTACGCTAAGATCAACCTCGTGCTGGCTCTTGAGCTTGGGGACAAGGTCATGGACAAAGTCAGGAGACTCAAGGAACTTGACCAACTCAGGAGTCCTAGCCAGAACAAGCTCATGCTTGTCAGGGACCATGCCCAGGAACTCGTCAACGCAATGAGGCACCTGCCACTGAGGACCGTTGACAGTCACCTCATCACTGGCCTGCTCGGTGCTGGGGAAGTTGATCTTGCAGTTGTACTTCTGCTCCAGACCATCGATCTCGGGAAGTCTGGCAATGAGCTGACGATGGTAAAGACGGTCGACACTGACAATCTGAGAAGTGTACTCAGAATCCTGACCATAGCATTAGTATTGGAACAGTTGGGCTCTTAAAAGAGAAAACTTACAGCACGATCAACCATCTCCAAGATCTCGTTTTTGACAGCGTCCAGGTTCTGCGCGTTGCGAGCAGGTGTACGGCAGATGACGTTGTCAACCTTGATATCATCATCTTCACGACCCATACCTCCTGTGATAATGTTAGCGGCAGATTCGTGATTAAGCACGGCAAAGCTTACCTCTGTCCATGGCATTGGAGAATTTGACGAAGACCGAGTGCTTCTTCATGATGCGTTGAATATGCTGGCCACCGATACCAATGATACGCTTGTGATACTGATCAGGCACGTGGAACGAGATGGATGCAGGCATCTCTTGCTCGACAAGGGTAAGACCTTGCTTCATAGAGTCGTATGCTGCTGCCATGACATCGATGTTGAAGTTGTACTCGTTGAATCCATCAAAGATGATCTGAACGTTGCTTTGTCCCATGATCTTGTTGATCTTGCCGTTCTTCTTGCCACTAACAAATTCTTTGTGCTCATTGGCGAGCTCGATCTTGACACGAATTTGATATTGGGATTGCGAGACAAATTTCATCTCTGAAATGACTTGAAGAGCCGACTTCACTGCGTCATCAGAGCCAGTGATGGCAAAGTTGAGTCTGTCGAACGAAATATCGGCATCAGAGTTAGCACAGATATCAACAAGCATGTTCCTCATGTCACGAGGACTGGGAAACTGCCTAGCATCAGCATGCTGAATGTACCAGCCCGCACTGTAGAATTGTCCAGCCTGTAGCAACGTTAGTTAAAATCAATTTTCAAATGTCAGCATTACGTACCAGTGACATGATTTCCCGTACAGTTCGCTCAACATGGAGTCCTTCATTACCTTGGACACGAACCATATTGCGCTGAGTAGCCAAGGACGGAAACAAGATGAAAGTGCCATTGGCCTCTAGAATCTTGCGAACCTTGTCAAGACGACCAAGGAGAATGCTGTCAATCTTGGCCGCAGGAATCGTAACGTCCTTAACAAAAAGTCTAATGCGTGAAACAGTCTCATGGAGTTTCTGCTTGGCGAGTTCGATGGCCTGAGGAGTTTCACCGGTGATGAAGATATCGTTGGGATCGCGACGAGTTGCATTGGGAGGACAGTAGCGGTACATGGCCGAGAACGGAGGCGGAAAATAGATGGCAGTTCCAGTGGAAGATTCGATGAGCTTGATGTTCTTACGGTGACGGCCACATACAAGCTGGTGGCAGGAAACCTCAACCTTTGTCATATCAACGATACGACCGAGCTGCAGCAATGTTAGAAATCACAAATCGGACACAATTGAGCGGGAGTCGGTACCAGAGTATCAATATGGATCAGGACACGAGCCTTTGCATGCTCAGATGATAGGATGTCACCATAGATAGCAACTCTCCATCGCTGATCCATACGCAGTTCAGCGTCACCAGTCATGCCATCAACAACAGGAGTGAGTTTGGGACCCAGAAGAAAGATATCAACACCACAGAAGCTCGAGATGTAGTCAAGGGTATTAGTAACTTCTTTCTTGAGCACGCCAGCATTGAGGTCGCAGACCAAATGGCCATCAATGTCAATTGTAGTACAACGCTGCAAGATATGTTAGATCGAGTTTCAAGCCGAGTTCAGACCGCACTGGCAACGGCCTGGTAAAAGACCTGGGGAACCTACGAGAGAAATGGGGGTATCATTGAGGATTGTCTCTCGGCTCTTGTGGACCAGCTCTGGAGAACCCGAGAGACAGACAGTAGCAACCTGCTGGCCCTTTCCATTCTTGGGCATTGTGGACAGAACATAAGCATCAACGGGCAGAGGTCCGTTAGTGAGATCCTGACACATTGTGTGCAGGGTGTTGAGGTTCTGAACATGAATCGGCAGCTGGTGGATTTGGACGTCGTCCGGCGCGTCCTCGGGGTGTGTCCATCGCAGGACAGCGTCAGTGGTCGCGTGAAGAATGTCCTCAGTGTCGGGGCCCGCGAGATCGGAAGCGAATGGGATGTTGAACGAGTAAAGGATCGTAGCGTCCGCGGCTTGAGGTGAAGCCATAGGCTGACCGGGTTGGGCGGCATTCTTGGGATGGTTGAGATTCATGGGCATGTTGGGACGGCCCATACCGAAATTGGGTGTCATTCTTTCCGGCCAGTGACGCATATTTGCCAGCTTATTCATGATGGGGGAGCGAGAAGATTGCGTCGTGGGTATCGTCGTCGTCGTCCGGATCGTGGGCGGCGACGGTCGGCCAAGGTGGAGGAGGTTGGACCTGGACGGAAGAGGACGCCGGGGGTGGAGAAAGACCAAGCCAGAGAAGAATACAAAGATGCGATGCGATGCGAGATTCGAAAGAGACGGGAAAAGAGAAAATGGGTATCGTATCGAAGATGCTGGGGCAATAAACGGCTCGAGGGGAGGGGGCAGGGGGAAGGGGGGAAGATGGAAAGAGTGATGGTGCTATTTGTGAGCTCTTTCCACGTCTGACGAGGGAGAGAGAATATGTTATGTGTTGACTGAAAGGTAGTAGTGAGGTGAGGTGAGGGAAGGGGAGGATAGAGCGGAGCCCTGACCTGGCGTAAAATGTGAAGTCAGCAGTCTTGTCCTGTCTTGTCTTCCCATGTTGGTCTGGTTAGTGGAGGTGAGGTACCTGAGGGCAGAAGTAAAAGGTACCTGTTGTGTAGTACCTTCTCAAGGCTAAGTCAAGGTTACTGCAAGGTGGACGAGGCAGGTACAGCTGTTTAGTGCCTGCAGTACTAAGCCTATAAACCTACCGTAACTTGCCTGAGAAAGAGCTGGGGGGAAGAGTCAAAAAGAGGGCCCCCAGCCAGAGCTAGTGTCCTAAGATCGAACATCAACTGAATTCTATCTATTTCACGATGCAGCAGCAACAGTCGGAAATTACGACAAGGGAAAAGTCAGGATGAACTGAAACCGGCACTTAAATGAGGAAAAAGCATTAATATTACAGCATGTCAACCACCTGGTGATGGGAGCAAAAGACACAGGGAATGGCTGTCCAGGGCGTTGATAAGAAAAGCCACAGTGAACGAGAATCCCTGACTGCCCTGGAACCTCAAGAAGTTTCAATGGCGCAGATCATTGACCACTACAGTACCGACTACCAACCTCAAGCAACTCAATTCGGGCAACATCAACTCATTCTTCGGCCTCTCTCCAGCAGCCGTTGAACTTAACTTCATCGTCATAACAATCGATCCTTGCCAATGACGATATACTGGATTAACAGAGCCACAAACATTCAGTCATGTCAGCCCTCAGCCGCTTGTTTCGATGGCCTTCTTAGGGCATGGGTGTTCTCTTGGGTGGTGGAGACCATCAGCCCAGGCTAGGAGGAGCCTCCTGCAGACCAAGGTAGCATGGACATCTCTCCAACAGGCATAGAGAGCTCCTCCCGCGGAACGCTATGCACAACCGGCTGCGTTCCAGAGGCTTTATTAGTGGGAGACTCGAGGGCTTCGGCAAAGCATAGGAAAGCCTCCGGAGTGTTCTCACGGCGGAGCTTTGTCAAGGGATAGAGTACGAATACTCGATACAGCACTCTATCCACTAACTGTCTCAAGTACCGTTGTCTCGAACACTAACAACACCGAAACTTGGACACAGAGCCACATTGCTGCATGGGGATGGAGTCGCCTCCGCCAACCAGCATCCAGTTTGGGCCTTTTTGTTTGTTTGTTGAGGATAGCTAGAAACAACAGACTTTTTTGTCACGGTTTCCCAAGTGAAGAACATCGTCGAGCTATGTTTAACCAGCCCAGCAGATATCGGAAGAAAAACTACCACAGCACGTCTCCCGTCAAGCTGTATTTCGCTACGGTGTGCCCTTGCCTAATCTTTAGGCCAAGCTTCGATCACACGGCGACCCCACACACGACAGGGACCTTGTCTGGTGTCTGTGTGACTTGTCGAAGGGCGAGCAAGGGAGTTGATTCGAGGGCAGACCCATGCACGCCGGCTTCTCACCAGGAGCCCGGCACCGGCTCAGCCACTAGCGACTCGTCATTGGATATATCATCAGTTTCTTAGGGACCTTACCTGAGCAGGTTTCCAGAATAGAAAACCGCATACTGCTAAAAGAAACAAGGTTATAGGCACGTTGTGGTCTCAACTCTTGTATTGCAACATGGCGAACTCCTGTATCTCACAAGGGAGTCGGCATTCTTGTGCTTGTATGTGGCGCTACGGGTCTGGACTACTGCGCATGCCGTATGTGCGTATACACATCCTTGCATCTTTATGTTGATTGCTTCAGTTGCCTCCTCAAATTCCAGTGGCTTACCTCGTCTGCATGACCATCACGAGCCACGCCACTCTTTTTCCGCTGACTGGGCCTTTTGACGATTCAATTTTGAAGCCTCTAGCCATTTCATAAACGATATATGCTATTGCTAGTCTCTAGCCCTATCCGCGACTAGTTTTGTAACAGATATCAGCTGAAAGCATGTCGCCAGTAGCGGTTGATATCTGATGAGGGCTCCATCTTGTCTTGAGCACTGACTCGACTGGACATGTGAGAGCTGCAACAGTGAGACTTGCCAGTCCTCTTGTCTCAAATAGCCATATTCGTACATCTGATTCGTGACATTAGCACTGACCCTTCAGGGCTTTTGCATAACACGAGTGGTCCAAGACCGGCACTCGGCCTTTCAACTGTCCGTGAACTTTGCAGAGTCTTCAGAGGATGCCACGACAGCATGAGCAATACGACTGGTAACGGCATATCAATAATGCATGGCGAAGCAGCTCAGTATGATTACATCTACAAGATCCATGAACACCAGCTTCTCCATTGAATCAGACCAGGAAGACCTCTTTTACTGTTGAGCGGTCTGACATCTGACATAGAAGTGCTTTGAAAGTACACACATCCCTTCAGTTTAGTAATTTCTCCTGCGCACCAACCACTTCGTTGTTAGTCCAATGGGATATCCGTATCTGATAACTGGATCGATAGATAATGATAAAGTATTCATTAGTTTTCTGGTGGAGTTTACCTGTTACTGCAGCTTTGCCCTGCAGGGAAAGATCGCCACAAGTTTCACAATCGACAACAACATGTAAGCCAATCTTTGACGAATTGAGTCTATATGTGTGCTGTACAATTGGATCCCAAGTTCTTTTGTAACAGTATACAGCAAAATCTCTACTTCTACATCTTTATCTACATGTATCGAGGGGCAAAGGCATCACACAAATGGTCGTACAGCAAAGTCAAGGTACATGGGTGATGCTCATACGTCATTAATTATTGTAAATCAGTGCTGATCGCTTTTTATTCTTCCCTTTTAATGGCCCTTCCTTGGATCAACTTAGCGATAAACCTCCCTCCTGGCATCGTCTGCATAGACAATCTCCTGTGTTGCTCCTCGTGGCTGCTCAATGAAAGCAATTTCTTCCCCGCCTCTCATCGGTGGATTGTAGTACCGTTCCACAGGTCGCGTGCTGTACTCTGGTCTCACAGCGCCTGGTTCCGCAGGCAAGGCACCGTATTCTCGTCCGTACGGTTGTGCGGCATCACGGCGGTTCTCCGGGTGGACACTGGGTGCATATTGACGTACGGGTACTTCGGGTCGCACGCTCTGCACTCGGCCGTAGTCCCGGGCGACCTCATAGCGGACAGACTCCGCAGGTCGCACGCTGGCCGGCCTTGTAATATATTCCCTCGTCCCGTCCTCCAAGCGACGTCGTTCTGGAGGTGCCATTACCTCAACGAACTCTCCTGGGTGACCCAATGGCCGCGACGGATGTTCGTGTGGCCGCTGGTCCCTATAATCTTGCGAAATGTACTCTGGTTGTGTAACAACCCGTCTAGGCATATACGATGGTGACCGTCTACGATAGACTGCTCCGCCTTCGTCATATGTCTCCATCCCGTGTGGCCTCCGGGGCGGAGCCCGTTCGTAAATAACCTCGGGTTCGCCGGATCGAGCATGAGGGGCAGCGGACTGCCGGATGATAGTTGGACGAGGTGGCTCGATATACTCACGCCCATAGGCATCTACAATGATTCGAGTTGGTGGTGGTCGATTGGGTGCCATAAAGACATCACCTTCTCCTCTAAAAGCAGATGGTGAGGCTTCATGACCTCCTGGGTATGGCCACGATGGGCGCTGGTAAGCGTCGTGATGACGAACTTGAGAACTACCCGTTCCACCAATTGACTGTCTTTGAGGGTGAGCTGAAACAACCGGAGACTGCTCAACAGCGTAAGGTCCTCCTTGGACATACCGATCATCGGCATACTCTCGCCTATAGACAGTACCTCCGGGAACAGCAGTGCTTGCTGCACGTTGGGCAGGATAGCCTACTCTTTCGTAACTTATTGGCATTCGGCCATCCCTTTCTTGGCGGTTATGTAGAGGCTCTGGCTGATACTGAGCAGGACGGGGCTCATATCTGACTTCTTCATAGTCGGATTCATCTGGTTGGTGTAGAGAATACCTTTGACGCTTATTTGGACGAATAGCAGGGGCATTGAAAGGGGACGGAGAACGAGGCTCTGGCTTGATATAAGGGGTTGATTCAGCCTCTGGCGCTTGCCTATCGGCCTTTCTCTTCTTTTTCTTTGCTTTCCTCTTTTCTTTTTCTGAAACTCGTCCACCTTGAGGCGAGCTTTCAGGGCTGGTCACAGCAATCGGCTCATTTCTCAGAGCAGCGACTTGGGCAGGAGTACCGGTGGACGAAGTTGAAGTAGTCTCAGGAGCCAAGGGACGCCGCCTAGCAGTCGCTAATGGCGACGCCTGAGCATCATGCGACGGCCTTCTCAGGGGAGACGGGGGGCGGCTGATAACATACGGATCACGGCGTGGCGGCTGGACTGCAGCATAATCGCCCCCATGTCTATCAATATCCAAGTTGCTTGGAACTTGTCCAGCAACGGCCCTGTTTTCATTATAGCTGGCAAGGCCTGGTACCTGCCCAGGTCGTGCACTGCTATCGACGCCAAAGCCTGCTGAACTTGAATAAGCATGCTGTGGTTGAGCATGGCCCTGCTCGTACGCTTCCGGATGAACTTGGTCATGATCAGTCGGTCGGGTTCGCGAAATAGCATCGTTCTGGTAGCTCATCGGCGGTCGCGACTCTAAAGCGGGTACTTGTGCCTCTTCGGATTCATTACGAACTCGGGATGTCAAAACGGAGGACGGCGTGTTGTGCTGCGACGAGTAGAAAGTGTTGTCATCGAAAGAGTCACTTGCATTATCAGGATTAGTAGCATCAGCAGCAGAAACAGTAGCGTCAGGTCCGGAGGTACTCTGAACGCGTGTCAAGGCTTCGGATAACACCTGGTTAAGATCAAATTCCAAGACAGGCTCTCCTTGAGCTGCGCTCTTCGCGGTGGCCTTCTTTTGATCGACCTCGTCTTTCAAAGCAGCTTCCAGCCTTTTTCTCTGTAAATTCAACTCTGCTTTAACCAAATCTTCAGATTTCTCTAGGAAGATGGGATTGATCTCAGTGGATCCTGCCCCGTATTGTTTGCTGTTGTTTGCGGTGCTACTAGAAGCAGGCGTAGATATGCCAGCCTGCTGTTGCTTTTCTGCTTGGTTGTTCGGCGCGCCATTTGAGATGGAGGTATCTATCGTTTGGATGGAAGAGGGGATGGTAAATGCATCGAGGTTAGAAGGTTTGATGGTCGGATGTCGACCAGAAAGAATTGTATCTTTCAAGCGCACGATCTTCTCGTACTGTTCGATCTGGAAGCGCTGATTCTCAGTTAAGCCAGACAGATCATTCCTGCCAGCAAGAGGCCCCTGAACTGCCATTATGGCAAACACGTGTAGAACGGTCTACACGTCGCGTTACCCGCAGACACGCAATGAAGCAAAAAAGAGATTATCTCCACGTTAGCTCAGACGGTCGCTGAATAAAGAAAACCCCCAACAGACAACGCTACACTCTGACGCGATATAACAATGCGAAACCAGAAAAGGAAAGCTTTTAAGGCCAGGTGCAACGCGATGGTTCGGTTGTTGATCAAGAATGATGTTCAAGAATACTTGACGGTCTGTGCAGGATGATAATAGGAAGGTTAAAATGGACAAGCTTAGACGATATGGCAGGCGCATGGACTCGACGTGGCGAGCCAACAATTGGGCGGTGTAGCGGGCAGAATTTAGTTGAATTTCCGGTGCAATGGTAGTGGATCGCTGCTTCCATCTACAGTTGAATCATCAAGGTGTTAGCCGACGTCGACGTCTGTCACTGGCCCAAATCTATCTCCCAGATTGTATTCATCCTCCATGACAAGCTCACCTGGAATATTTAGATCAAGTTATATACTTTATTTCTTATGAAACACAACGGTGACTGTCAGTGGTGTTATAGCTGTAACACGCGCTGACAGGCACAGGCCTGTGAAATGGAATAGGATGTCCATCGTCACATAAACTACATCCTTGATGGTGTGGTATATGATTCCACCAGCTGTTACAGCATTGAAAGTTACTTCTAGGGCCTACGTTTGCCTTGGGTCAGTCAGCCTCATCTCATGCTTTACAGTTTTGGGCTCTAATTCCATCATGAGCCTCACAATAGACTCCCTGTAGTCATGGATCATGACCAGCTTACCTCCTTTTACGAAGGCCTATGCTGCGGGATTCACCCATGCAATTGAAGCCGGATCGACTGTCTACACGTGTTTTAAATGGAGATCCAACCTAACAAAAGGATTCTATCAACATATTCCAAGTATTCAAGCGCATCCATGGCATGTCTACCAGGTATTAGATATCCAAGCTTCCAGCCGCAACTATGAACAGGCCCGCAACCGGAGCCCGGAACTGACACGCGCTGATCGTTGAGCATTATTCAGCCACACACCGTAAGAGTCATTGGGCCACAGCCAGCGTAAGGTAACGTATCAACGCATACCTGGGTTACAGACTGGCAGAGACAAAGTGCTGTGCTGTATCAATCGCTACTGTACTTGTACCTACAGCATTAGCCTCGCCTTTAGCCCCAGATCGCCATAAAAATCTATTTAAACTGTCTCTCTTCTCTCCGATATCCATTCGATGTACCAATTACGACCACGTGTTTCAGCAATTACAACTCTCAAGCGCATATCTAGACCTCCGTTGCCTTCGTCTTTGTTGTTCGACTCAAATCCAACCCCTCGCAATCTGTACCCCGCAAAACTCAACCCCAGCCCCAAGATCCAGACTTATACCAAGTTCACCATGGGCAGTACTCAGGACATGACACCGGGAAAGCCGGTCCTATTCTTGTTAGACTCTTCGATTTCTTACCGCACATGGCGTTTGGGCTAACTCTAATGCAGCGACATTGACAACTGTCTCTACCCAAGAAGTAAGCTTTAACAGTTGACGTCTATGACAGCTTTAGTCTAACAATACGCTTAGGTGCCAAGGTCCATGACTTGATGGCTGATCTCATCGACAACTACTTCTCAAAACACTTGGAGCTTCCTTGGGAAGAAGCAGTGAAACTGCACAAGGAGTACTACACCAACTATGGCCTGGCTATTGAGGGACTTGTGCGCCACCATAAAATTGATCCTCTGGACTACAACGCGAAAGTTGACGACGCCCTACCCCTTGAAGGGATCATCAAGCCCAATCCCGAGCTGCGCGAACTACTTGAGGACATTGACAAGTCAAAGGTTACTGTGTGGCTTTTCACAAACGCCTATGTGAACCACGGAAAGCGGGTCGTCCGCCTTCTAGGCATTGAGGATATCTTTGACGGCCTGACTTACTGTAACTATGCAGAGCAACCTATGCTCTGTAAGCCTGACCCTCGCATGTATGAAAAGGCTATGCGCGAGGCAGGTGTCGAGCGAGTGGAGGATTGTTTCTTTGTTGGTAAGTTCACTCCACCATCTACAACGGTCCCATCTAACTTTGGCAGACGATTCCGGCTTGAACTGCGCAAAGGCCAAGGAATTCGGCTGGACAGCAGCCCATCTCGTCGAAGAGGGAGTACCTGCTCCCGCGTCTCCAGTTTCGCAGTACCAAATCCAGCACTTGCGAGAACTACGCAACATCTACCCACAGTTCTTCAAGTCTACTTCCAAATAGAGTATATATAGAGTTTTTAAGATTGCCGTCGGTTACGAGGCATATGACACTGTGCGGAAAATATGGGATAGAGCACTAGACGGTGGCGTTCAAGGCGCTCACTTAGTTGAGATACCTTTGTATTAGATATTTTCAATAAAAGCAGATCGAAAGCTCGTGAATATGAGCCACACGGCTTCCATCTTGAGTTTCCGGACTCCCTAACTCCGCGCTGTGGATTGATAAAGGTTTCAAAATAACGGTCAAGGTCTTCGGATGCTGCGAATCACACCGTCCAGTTCAGACAGTATTTGATCCTTTTCTTTGATGGCTTCCTGGCGTTGGGCTTCGGCGACCTTTAGGTCCTCTTCGAGCTCCTTGATGTATCGCTCTTGGTCCATCTCACTGTTGTCTAGACCAGGAAGTGACGAGATAAGGACCTCGATCTGCTGTTCTTTCACAATAAGATCTTGAGATAGCTCTACCATGCCAGCACGAAACTCATCAGGAGGCAAGGAATCGACTAATCAACAGTTAACTACTGTAATCAGGAAAGTTGAATGTAGTCGCATACCTTCTGGCGGAATATCCTTAACTTCGCGGACCTTGTCATTGGGACCAAGGATTTCAAGGTCATGGCGCTTGTTTACATAGTGCAGACATGCGACAAACTGTTGCGCCAGCTACGAGATGATGAAGTTAGCATGATCTCCTAGTGAATGGAAATTCAACACAAACCTGGTCTACAGCATCTTGAAGTTGCGTTAAACGATCGCCCATGATTATGACCGTTGAACTCTGAAGCTCTATCTAATAAAGCGGCTGTAAGAATGCCTGCCTGAGCTTCACTCATAGAACGGCTTAGAGAAACGCTAGTCACGTGGAGATATGCCGGAAGTCGGGCAATCAACAATCCGCCGGGAAATTTTGGGGGCAGTTGCATGGGGGTTCCTTGCCTTAGGGAAGTGAACACCGTTGTCTCTGGCCAGCTATGACATGATTGGCACGGCATGGTCCAAGTGGCAGCAACACCATGTTCGTTCTTTCTTAAGTTAAACCTGTCAAGTCCACATCTCGTTACTTAGCCTTTCGTGCGCCCTTCTCTTATCTTCTTTTTTTTTCCTTCAGGCTTGCTTTAGGATAATCTTTTCTCTACGTTCTTTGCTTCGTTTATCGACAGACAATTCGAAATGTCTTCCCCACCACCTCAAGGTGGCCCTCAGCCTGGGCCTGGTCAGATTCCCATGCCCCAGCCTGGACAGCGACCAACTCCCGAGCAGATCCAGGCAATGCAGCGCCAACTTGCTATCGACGCTGAGAAGAATGGCATGACTGTCCCAGAATTCATTGAACACATCAAGAGACAGGCTCAAGAACAAATGCGCATGCGAGCGCAACAGGCACAAGAGCAAGGCGCTGACCATCATGGTCATGACCACCCTCATCCTCACCCTCAGCAACAGCAGCAAAGTCGCGCTCAGCCCATCACTCCAGGACCTCCTAACCCTAAGGCCCTTGCTCTTGCTGCTTTCCTCCGTGGTCAAGATCTTAAGCCCAGAACTGTCATTCTGAATGGCGAACGAAAGGATATGTTCAGAGGTATGTCAGCGCAATACTGGAAATTGCTTAACAATCTAACACCATGCAGTCAAGCGTGCCCTCCGAGCCATCCAGTCCCCCGCTTATGAGAAGGCCCGCAAGAAGAACCCCCTTCTTCCCGAAGTCACCGACCGAGCCTCTCTCGAGAACACGTTTAAGCTGCTACCTCTTAGCATGCTTGCCCTTCGAGTTTCCAAGATCGAGCCTCAGGCAGGCCCCAATGGAAAGAAGCCCAAGCGTGTCAAGGGCCAGTGGACCGTCAAGGTCGAGCCCCAGCAAGAGGCCCAGGACGATATGTACTATGCTTGGTTGTGGGAAGGCAGTCAGCTCAAGCGAAAGATCTATGCTGGTCTTGCCCTCCTCGCCATCTTTGCTATTGTCCTTTACCCTCTTTGGCCTCTGGTATTGCGCCAGGGTGTTTACTACCTCAGTTGGGGACTTCTTGGTCTCCTTGGACTGTTCTTCCTCATGGCTATCTTCCGTGTCATTCTTTTCTGCATCACATACTTTACCAACTCTCCTGGTCTCTGGCTGTTCCCCAATCTGTGGGAGGATGTTTCCTTCATGGACAGTTTCAGACCTGTCTGGGCTTGGCATGAGGTCAGTAAAGTCCTAACTCAACAACGAATTACGAGAACTAACATGATTACAGACTGAGAAGAAAAAGAAGAAGAAGAAGTCGACCGCCGCTGCCCCTGGAACCAGCGCCAACCCCGCCTTCGCAGCTGCTACCGGTCTGGCGCCCACCAGCGCAACGACAACAGGTACAGACACTCAGGTCAAGACTGGTGACGTACAGCAGCGACATTACGAGGCGCCAAGAGTCGAAGAGCTTGAGGATGACGCGTAGGTAGCGCAAACAAAAAGTTCTTGATGACGGCGTTTCTGGAAGTTGTAATAGTAGCATAGTCTCTGCATAGTTCAGGTCACAATACAAACGGGCAAATCAACAACGGGTTTCATGAATATAGACACGGGTCTATTGATAGTGGATGTTTTGTTTTGATATCTAAAAAGCAGACCGGAGCACCTCATAGCCAGTATCCTCTTCACAGCAGCAATATCGAGTCGCCTCGCTCTCCGATTCCCATTGTAAGAGAGTCTCTACAATACTTTCAACCGCATGCAGTCGCGTGCATCAATTCTTGCTCACTGCAAGATCTTGACAGTTTCTCTCTAAAACCCCTCGGTGGGTAACAGAAGAAATGTCCCGTCCTCAAAGACCTGGGCTGCAGAAATAAAGTAGCCTAAATGATAGCCTGAGCCGGCATAAGGTGACCAAGTTATTTCGTCTCTTATCCTTTCAACGGTCAATTCTTCTGATTCCCTGCGGCCTCTTTATGATTGCAATGGCAGGTTTTTCCAGAAGAAGGTGCCGCCCTTGAGTTCACCATTTGGACTTAGACCGTATTCAGGGATCTTGCCAAGCTCATTATAACCCAACTTCTTATACATCTCTTCTGCAGGACTTCCGGTCTCGGTGTCAAGAAGCTATGTATACGTTAGTCACGACATTTTGCCAATTGAATTTTGTTCTGACCAGAATTGTGCGGCCTCTCTTGGTTGCTTCAGTCTCGAGAGCGGACATCAAAGTCCTGGCACCTCCCCTATTTCGAAAGCCCTTGTGAACGAGCAACTTCTCCACGACGCCACGGAATGGTCCCGTTTCTGACGAAGACATTGAGAGCATAACAACGCCTTTAACCTCAGACCCCTTTGGTCGATGTCCGGGTTCTGTCTCATCGAGAAGAATGAAGATCAGGCGTTTTCCGTCTGCAACTTCGGCGATGCGCTCCTTCCACCATGCGAGAAGCTTTTCGTGAGACAGGGGCGGGAGGAATTCCGCGATGGTTCGGTCGTGAGTGATGCACGAGGCGTGGATGGCAGCAAGATAGGGAATCAAGTGGCCGTGTTGGCCTGGCGAGAAGAGAGCCACTGTTCCTGACTGTGTCGTATCGATCATTGTTCCAATTTCTGTCATGTCGAGATGCTTATGTGAAAAGCTATGAGGGACGATGATGGTTCACAAGAACAAAAGAATAAGTTGTAGTTGTGTCTCAGCGTACAAAGTTTTGTTTGATAGAGCATCTGAAGGTTCAACTTTCGAACCTTTTTCTCGATACGGTTTGAATGTTGATTGGTTTCTGAGTGAAGTTCCTGGAAAAGATTAGATCTGGTCGATACGAGGTTATCCGATGTAGGAGGTCCAAGCTAAACTGACCTTTTGAACTAAGCAGTTGAGGGTAGAAATGGGAGAAGCTTTTAGGGTAGAAGGTTTAGTTGGAGGTGAAGGATTATACCCAGGACCTGTCAAGGCTTAATCGACGTGATTATCAGGCAGGTTAAGATGAGATGAGCTCGGTTCGGCTGGTTGGTTGAGAGTGAATCAGTAATTGAACCTGTAATAGTTGAGCCCGAGGTATAGGTATAAAATAAAGTGTATGGAATAGGTAGATCTAATCTCACTCTCACTCTCACCTCATGCAGGGAAATTCCTTTTTCTTTTTTTCCCCTACAGCCACTACAAGATACTTCCTTTCCAGCGGGAGAGGACCCAGTAAATTAACTGCTACTGTACCGCCGCGCCGGGTAATTGCAGGCAAGGATCACTTCCACTTCTAGGTAAGGATCCTATTTAGCTCCCGCTATCAACCGAGTTGCCTCTATTTCTTGGACACCCTCAACTATTTGAATTGGATGCATTAAATCCTTTAGATTCTGTACCGTTGCACGCCACCACTCAGCAGAATAAATGGCGCATGTACGGATCTGGCAGGTTGATTAAGAGTGGTGGGTTGGGTAAGGTAACTCAAGTCATACACAACGTCTGAGAGGCCATTCACGGGTTGATGAAACGAAGACGGGACGGGACCGGGAGCTTGAATTCGGGTTCCAGGTTGTTAACTGGTATCTGTATAAACAGTCACAGTGGATATACATGGCTTTTGGTCGAATGCCATCACAGCAAAGACCATATCAGGCCATCAGCTGGTCTCTTTTACTCACACTGAGTCATGGTCTTGATGTAGGCTATCAGGAGAATCACGTTTATTCATTTCGGTTACAGGGAATGCGTATCTTGTTAACCGTTGATAGCGAGACTGAGTAAAGGTAATCTCTCGGCTTGTTAAAGAGGTACAACAGGCTAAGTACATATTCACGACAGACCAGTACTGAACCTGGTTAATCACAGTCTTAGTCAATTAATGTACATGTGACAGTTCGGTAGATTGTTATTAACTTATCCTAATGGGTGGTCCTGCATCAGAGTAGGGCTATTCGGGTTTCGACTTCGGCAGTCAGAGCTGTCAACTGTGGTTGGATGTCGAAGCTCTAGGGTGGCATGGATTCGACAGTTGATCAACGCCAAACGAATGCCTCGTCACTTGTTCACCACTATGAACACTGTCGAAACTAATGATATAAACTCGTTGATATGCTGAAACTTAGGCTGAAAATTAAACAACACGAATCCTCGAACAAGCAAAATATTAAGAGACAACACTGCTAAGCCGTTAACATGTGCTACACTAAGATCACCATCGAGAAATGCCAGGAGTGCAAGACCCGAACCCATCTGGGATTCAAGAGCAGCGAGGAAGTGAAATGCCAGGCTGTGGAAGATGGCAAGGAATGCACCGGAAATGGTGATTTTCAAACAATCACTGAGTTTGTAAGCAGCGATAATTGCCAGGTTTGCATTGAGAGAAAGGAGCAGGAGGAGTTGGAGATCTACCGGAGGGCATATGATTATTACAGGTAGAGGGGATTGTACTGCCTAGGCAGTGAGTTGAACGATGGAGGTGGACTAGAATAGTAGTCGGAAACAAAACGGATATAACAAGACTATGATGTGTTCAAACAGTGATACTATTGAATCTAAATATGCTGTAAAACTCGACGGTTGATTTCGGTTGTCTTGACAGTGCTGTATAAGTGTGTAGTTTATGAAGCTGTCCCTGTAAGTTAACCCCGCAGCTGGAGCTCTTAATCAACATTCCAATGACACGACAATAAATACTTGTCCATTTTGTCCAATGACAATTATTTATAGAACACTGCATACCTGGCCAAAGTACCAAAGACTCCGTGATTATTGGCTGTTCTGTTCCCCTCCGAGACTAAATCGTCATCATTCAGCTCCCCACTTCAAAGAGCTCCAGCTGCTTCCAAGCTCTCTTGCTCTGCTCTCTCATGCTCAGGGCGTCAGCTTGTCAGCATCACTGAGTGACAATCAGACTCCATTCTTTTTCTTGGTAAAGCCCACTTGCCTTCTTGGCTACAGTTAGCCTATTCTTTAAACTTGTCTACTACTCATTCTTGTAAACATCTCGGACACGTTTAAGAAAATATGGATTTCTTCAAGAAGATCGGTGAGCATGTTGAGCAAGCTCTGAAGAAAGACGACGACGATGATGAGAAGCCGCATCACTCTCAGTCCCAATCTCAGTCTCATGGAGGACAGAGCCAACAGTACGGACAGTCTAGCTATGGAGGACAAGGCCAGCAGTCCTATGGACAATCTGGCTATGGAGGCCAAAGTCAATATGGTGGTGACCAGCCGTACGGAGGCGGCCAGAGCCAGTACGGCGGTGGACAGAATCAGCACGGCGGTGGACAATCCTATGGTGGTGGCCAGAGCCAATACGGTGGCCAATCCTATGGCCACTCTCAAGGCTACAATGAACCACAAAGTCATGGCTATCCGCAAAGCCAGGGACAATACGGACAGTCTCATGAAGGCTATGGAAGTCAACAATCTTACGGAAATCAAAGCCAGCCTCAAGGAGGCTACAACCGACCCGAAAGCAGCGGTCGCCCTCAATCCGGCAACCAGTCTCAGTCTCATGGAGACCACCCGCATGACGCTGCTGCTCAGTACCTTGAGAGACAACAAGCTATCAATCGCTATCACTCATTTGCTGGAGAATCCAAGGGAAATGTGAAGTGGTACGTTGATGGTGCCTCATACTTCTGGGCCGTCTCCCAGGCTCTCGAGCGTAAGTTTTATCAACAAACAAATACAATTATGAGTATTTCTAACGTTTTAATCATGTTTAGAGGCTCAGGAAAGTATCTTCATTCTTGATTGGTGGTTGAGTCCTGAGTTGTATCTTCGCCGCCCACCCGCCAAGAACGAGCAATACCGTCTGGATCGCATGTTGAAGGCCGCCGCAGATCGAGGAGTCAAAGTTTACATCATAGTGTATAAGGAGGTTGAAGCTGCCTTGTCTCTTAATTCCTCCCATACTCGTACTGCGTTGGAAGCGTTGCATCCGAACATCTATGTCTTTCGACACCCGGATCACTACCCCACTGGCTACGACCTTCAACGCGAACTAGGCAAAACAGTTAAAGCCTTGACTAGTTTTGACCTTTTCAAAGCTTCAGGAGACGCTTTGAAGGCTGTTTACGGTACTGCTGGTGATGTTGTGTTGTACTGGGCTCATCACGAGAAGCTCTTGGTCATTGACAACGGCAAGATAGGTTTCATGGGAGGACTGGACATGTGTATGAACTCCCGCAGTATTCTACAACCGAATTATGCTAATTCTCTTAACTACAGGTTTCGGAAGATGGGATACAAACAGTATGTTGGTCTTATAGTATTGACAACTCTCATACTGATAACCTTTCACAGGCCACCCGATCGCTGACGCCCATCCGGGTAACCTTGACGAAATCATTTTCCCAGGACAAGACTACAACAACGCGAGGTACGATACTTTTCAAGACAAAAATGTACTTTGCTAATTCCATTCCTAGAGTTTACGATTTTGCCGACGTCAAAGACTGGAACCAGAACAAGCGTAAGTCGAATGCTCTCTTTGAAATTGCCAGTCTTTTTCAAAAGGAATTGCAACTGACTTGTTATAGTTGATCGCACCAAGAGTTCGAGAATGGGTTGGTCAGATGTTGCCCTGAGCATGAACGGTCCTATCACTCGTGATATGGTTGACCACTTTGTTGACCGATGGTGAGAGACACTTCAACTACTCATCAAGTTCAACGATAGCTAATAAACATAGGAACTTCATCTTCAAAGACAAGTACAAGAAGAAGAACCCAGGAAAGTACCATGCACTTGAATTGCCTCAACGGCCCGGTGCCGGAGACAGACGCTCCAGAGGCGAGGACGACCATTTGGGTGGCCTGACTGAACAGTTCAGCCGTGGTATGAACAGACTCAGATCTTTTGGAGAACATGATGCACCACGACACCATGGACGTGAAGAGTCTCGAGGCGGCGATATGCCTCACATTCAAATGATTCGAAGGTACGCTATCTCATTCCTTACTCTTGTACAATAACTGACATGATACAGCTGTGCTGAATGGTCATCTGGTCACCCTCTTGAGCGTTCCATTCAGACTGCTTACATCGAGTCCATTAACAATGCTAAACATTTCATTTACATTGAGAACCAAGTAAGTCGCTCACTTCCTGCATGAAGTTCCTGCTGACAAGCTAGTTCTTCATCACCGCTACCGATGACAAGCAAAGAACTGTTAAGAACAAGATCGGCGCTGCGTTGGTCGAGCGAATCGTCCGAGCCGATCATGAAGGCCAGCCATTCCACGTCTGGGTGCTCATGCCCGCGGTTCCAGCATTCGCCGGTGATCTTCACGACGACGGCGCTCTAGGAACTCGAGCCATTATGGAATTCCAGTATGACTCTATCAGCCGTGGTGGAAACAGTATCATCGAGAAGCTCTGTAAGGCAGGCGTCCGTGATCCTAGTAGATACATCGGCTTCTACAACCTCCGCAACTTTGATCGCATCAACACTTCTAGGACAATGGCTGAAGCAGAGGCCCGTACTGGTGTCTCTTACGAAGATGCTCGAAAGGAGAAGGAGCGTGAATTGGGCGGATACCCGGACCAGAGTGCAGGAAGGGCAGCGCAACAGCAGTATCAAGAAAGCCGCGGCGACTTCTCCGGCTCTCGACAAGAGGGTGGGTATCAAAACCGAGGATATGGTGAACGTTCTGAGCGAGACGACTACCATCAAGACTCTCAGCGAGGTTATGGTGACAGTGGTAGAAGACAGGACGATGACTACCGCGGAGGTCACTCAGGTAGACGTGGAAGCGATAGCGACGACGATCGCCGCCGTGGTGATCACCGTCGGGGCAACAGACGCGATAGCGACAGTGATGACGACCGCCGACGTGGCGATCACCGTAAGGGCAACAGACGCGGTAGCGACAGTGACGACGACCGCCGACGTGGTGATCATCGTGGAGGTAATAGGCGAGGTAGCGATAGCGATGATGATCGACGACGTGATAACTACGGTCAACAGCAGCGCGATCCCTACGCCCACCCAGGAGCTGACCCACGCTTCCAGAGACAAGGAGATTATTCTCAACATGGCCAGCGTGATCCATACGGCCACCCTGGAGCCGATCCTCGCTTCGAGTCAAGGCCTCAAGGAGGCTATTCGCAGCAAGGCTACGGCGGCAGAGACGAGTATCAAGGTGGTTACTCTCAGCAGAGCCACGGCGGCCGTTCTGACTACGACCGACCTCAGCATCAGGAGTACTCCAGCTCCTCTCGATACGACGAGCGACCTGAGCAGTCGAGATATGATGAACGACCTCAAGGTCAATACCAAGGAGGCTACTCCGGCTCCTCAGGCCATGACAGCCGACCTCAGCAGCAGCTGCACCAACAGTACCAGCAAGGAGCACAGCAAGTTGGAGACCACACTCTTGATACAGTCAGTGCTTGCTACATGGACAACGGTCCTCGAATCACTGATCTCCGCTGGGACGGCAACCCCGAGGATGAAATCAACGCCTTCGTCTCAGAGGAGCTGTACATCCACAGCAAGTTGCTCATCGTCGATGACCGTCTCGTCATATGTGGTTCAGCCAACTTAAACGACCGCTCCCAACTCGGAGACCACGACTCCGAAATCGCCGTCGTGATCGAAGATCCCACTCCCTGCGAGTCTTACATGAACGGCCGTCCATACACGGCCTCCCGCTTCGCCAGCTCTCTGCGTCGCTTCCTTTTCCGCAAGCATCTCGGCCTCATCCCCGATCAGCGCTGGGACAAGCCCGATCAGAACTGGACGCCTGTAGACCGCGATCCTAACCACTACGACTGGGGTTCACCAGCCGATCTTCTCGTGCGCGATCCTCTGCACCCCGACTTCCACCGTCTGTGGACCAACACCGCTCGCGTCAACACCGAAACATTCGATAGAGCGTTCCACCCCGTGCCTACCAACAGAGTTAGGACGTGGAAGGAGTACGATACTTTCTTCTCGCAGTACTTTATCATCCCAGGTAAGAAGGACCAGGATGTCAAGGCGGAGATGAAGAAGGGCAAGGTTGAGTACGGCCACATTGTGAAGTCTGAGTTCCCTGGTGGTGTGCAGGAGGTTAAGCAGTGGCTTGGTCGCATTCGTGGAACGCTTGTTGAGATGCCTCTTGATTTCTTGGTTGATGCTGGAGATATTGCAAAGGAGGGTTTGGCGCTTAACAGTCTTACTGATGTGCTTTACACTTGATTGAAGTAACACACTGAGGTGTGAGGTAGGCAAGGGATATACGGAGGCTCTCTTTTATAGTCAGTCTAAAGGCAGATAAACGAATATAACGAGGTAACATGATGGTTTATATAATTTCCCGCCAGCAATGCTATGTTCACATTGCAAGAGTCTACTCCTGATGGGTTATTGCAACCCACAAGGCAGTTATGAAGAAGATCTTGAGCAAGCGTGAGGAAGTGATTGGAACACGGACAAGTAGTTTTCCATTGTGGTTAATTTAATGTACAGTGTCAAACATCTCAAAGAAATAGCTATCGAACCCATAACTCCGCAATTCAACAATACATGATTCAGAAATCCTGTTGTGACCCATTCCAGAAACCCCTTTATAGTTGATCGTTTTTATATGTGATGGCTAAAGCAGAGCCAAACGCAATATCACAGTACTACTCTCATATAGATCGACTCCTTTAGTCAGACTTGGCATTACCGTTTTGACCCAGGAGGCCGTCCTTAAGACCCATGTTATCGTCCCGGAAGAAAGTACCACGAGGACGTCTAGTGCGGTTGCGGAGCCAAGAGTAGACACCAAAGCCAACAGCAATGACGAAGCCCATAGACAGGAATGGGTGGTCAATGAAGTTCATCTTGATGTCGAAGAAGAACTTGGAGAAAGAGCTGATGGTGTACTTGGGAGGAATAGGGTTGGGGCCGTAGACGATCTTATCAAGGGTGTCCATGATTGAAGTATGGCTGATCATGATTTGGTTGCCGGTAGGGGTAGTGTCCCAGAACTTGTGTCGCTGCCAAAATGTTAGTATACGACCGATATCGAATGGAATTGTGAAACTTACATCTTCCTCGTTGATGATGACGCGCTCACCATCCCTCACATCAATGTTGTAGGTGGCAGCAATCCACCTCTGCCAGAAGACGCCGTCGACCCAGGCAAAACCAACCTCCTTACGGCGGGTAGAGTCCATGTCAATCTTGATGGCCTTTGCATTACGAAGACCACGTTGGTCGTCACGGCTCTGAGCCTCTTCGATTCTCATCTGTTTGGCGTCTCGGAGCTTCTTGCGCTCGAGCTGGAATTCCTGAACCTGACGGTCAACCCACTCGTTGGCGGCGTTCTTGAGCTCTGAGATTGAGGTTTGAAGACGATCCTCATCATCGCGGTTGAGGATTGCTAGGACAACAAGCTTGTGGTTCATAATCTGCTTGGCGTTGAGAGCGGTCATCTCAGGAACGAGAGGGAGCCATGTGGACTTCATCCATGAGACCAATGAATCGACATCTCTCATCTCATCGGGGGTGATGGGAGTGTAGTAGGTCGCACGGCCCTCTCGAGAGACCAAGAGTCTGGGCCAGGTCGTAATCTTGAATCGCTTGTACAGCTCGGGGTCGCTTGTCTTGACAATCTTGCCTCGTCCAATAAGGTTAAGTGGTAGGGCATCAAGAGCCTTGAAGTCCTCGGTTGTGGTGGCGTGGTCGTAAAAGTAAACAAACAGGACTTCCTCAGTCTTCTCAAGCTCCTTGAAGCTTTCGGCATCAACGTCAAGAACGCCACCGGCGACCTCGATCGCACCCTCAGCATAAGCGACAAAGTCGCCAACTCCACGAAGACCTTTGTACTCGGCCTTTTCCGCGCCAGTGACGAAGTAGATGGTTGGGAATGCCTTGACGCCCATTTGCGTGCAAAGCTTGTGGTCCGCTTCACAGTTGACCTCACCAATGTTAAGCTTGCCCTGCATTTTCTTGGCCAGCTGCTGCCATGTGGGAGCCATGGCCTTGCAGTGAGAGCACCAAGGTGCGTAAAACTTGATAAACCAGGGGTCCTTCGAGTTTGTGACTAGGGTGTCGAAGTTGTCGGGAGTCAAGGGAGTGCTGATACCCTCCAGGTTATACTTGGGTGTAGGGTCTTGAGGCTTGGGCTTCTTGAGCATCTGTCCAGTGCTGGGAACCTTCCAGTCAGCGCCAAATGAGCTCTTGCTGGCATCCTCAGCGGGCTTCTCAGCTGACTCGACCTTGTCAGACTTGGCCTCGGCCTTGGGCATTTCGGTAACGTCATCAAGAGACTTGCCCGCAGTTTTACCAGCCGGCTCAACAACAGCATCGATAGGCTTCTCAGCTTCGGCTGCTGGCTTTACTGCTGGCGCCTGAGTTTCCTTCTTCTCAACAGCAGCCTCTGTAGGCTTCTCTTCGACCTTGGGAGGGGGGTACACTTTGTCGCCGGGGTTGGGCAATTCAACAAGTTCGGGTCGACCAGGGTGTTCCTTAGCAAGCGCCTTTTCGATCGTGGTAGTCAATACTGTCATGTTCTTGATTCCGCGTAGCGCTTCGACCACCTTGCCGTTTTCGTAGAGGATTGAAGTCGGGTACGACTGAATTTCGTGTTCCATACAGAAATCATAATACGCAACACAGTTAACAGTACCGAAAATAAAGTCGTAGTACTTTGTAAACGTGGCTTCCGGGTCGTCGACTTGAGGCTTCGAAGTATAGTAGAATTCGTAGAGAGTCTGGAAAGTCGGGGCGAATCTGGTACAGTGCTTGCAGTAGGGACTGAGGACTTGTAAGTATACCGAACATGGCATATCTTGAGTCCAACATACCTGAAGTGCTTAACCATCATAAACTTGTTCTTCTTGGCCTGCTCCTCCCAGTTTGCAGGAGTTAACTCCAACAGTGGCGGTACTGTCTTTCCATTGAAAACCGAAGGCTCTGAGATTGGGTTCTTGACCTCATCGGCCAGAACAAACGCTGACAACCCGGCGAGGGTTGCAAGCGGAGAGAAACGCATGCTGGGCTGAAAGCGCCGGGGTTCGTATAAGATCTGTAAACCGCTGTCCCGTCGTAGAAGTCGCTCGTCGCAGAATGTTCGTATTTATATATATGCCGGAGCTCGATCAACAAAGCAGATTACTCGAAAGACCGTAGGAAGAGCAAGAAGCGACGTTGAACCAGATTAGGTGGTAAAGTGACTAGCTAGTGGCGATCGTCCGGGGGGCCAAGGCTTGGTGCGCTTGAAGTTATCAAAGATATAGAAAAGGAAAAGAGACAAGAGCCAGAAAACAATCGCACGATCGCGCTCACCAGGCGCGAAAGTGGGTGACGATGATGAGGGGCAGAAAAGAGAATAGAGAGGAATGGAAACAAAGGAGGAAGATAGTAAGAGTAAGAATAAGAGTTCACTATTCAGGAGGCGCATTCGACTTCGAGACCACGTTCCGTATCGGAATTCGACGCCACAGGAGAGGTCCCTGCTGAGCCACTCCACTGAGCCTCCACTGAACCTGAACTTGAACTCGACGCTTGTCCATCTTGGGTTTGGCGAGTTTTGACCTGCAGGTGAGTTTAAGATGTCTAGTAGGACAGAGTGGTCCAAAATAGAGTAGAATTAATTATAACATTGAAGGGAGATTTATCTTGGTATGAGTAAGAGGCAAAATAGCTTAGCCATGTAATGCCTGCTTACCTAGGTACCTAGGTAGACAAGCACTTAGGCTACTTGATTTTGGTAGCCTAAGCCTTAGAGGACGATTCTTCCCAAACCGGGCCCATCCATGTCCGGCCATAAATGTTCTTGCTGTGTCTCGTCTTTTTGACTGGCAATCAATCTCTTCCGCTCTTCAATATCACTCTTGCTAGGAACATATAAGGAGTTAGTGTAGAACATTAGAGTAATATATAAAGCAAAGAAAGACTTACTATACCAGCCAGTAAACAGCCCTGCAATTATAAATGGCAAATAGGGAAGAAAAGGGTATTTATTAGTCCCTAATTAGAGAGTTGGTTTGCTATTAAGTCTTTGAGTAGATAGGTATTTACTTACATAGCTTATCGGTTTTGCGGAGGTCTTCCTGTTCTTTCCTTTCACGTTCTAGCATTTCTGAAATCATTGGTCTTAGTCTTTTTATAATTGCAATCGCTTCCGCAAGTTGCTCGTCACAACGACGCAGAGACGGCCTTGGCCTTGGTGGAATGAGTGAAAGGAACGGCGCGCGTCCTACCCAAGGACGATAAAGAAATATCTTTGAGGAGTTGAAAACTGATATTCGTCTTGAAAGCATGTGATCGACTGTTTAGATCAGTGTTGTCAATAGTGCTGAGCTGAGATGAATTTGGTGGAAGTTGTAGGATGAATTCAGTAGGTTTCAAGAAGGTACGTGGAAATGGTGGTTGTGGCTGCGTGATCAGGCACCTACCTCAAGTTAAAGTTACTTCCTTCCTTTTAACTTTGGTGCTTGCCCTTACCATTGATCAACTTAAGCATGAGGGTATTGAGGGTATCAGGAGAATTGGACGCTGTGAACATAATAACAAAATAGTTTAGTTATCTTATGCTGACTTAGACTAGCACTTAGACCTATTGTAACCTAGGTAAGCCTTAACAGATCATTCTTTTGTTGCCTACTTAATGAAGTGGAAGGCTTTAAAATAGAGCAGAATTAATTATAACATTAAAGGGAGATTTATTGTAGGTTTACAACTAAGAGAGGAAGAAGAAATCCGCTTATCCCAATAACACGAGGTGAAAGAGCATCTCATACCGCAGGGTATCGGAAGAATTGATCGTCAAAAGCATAAGAGACGAAATAGTCCAGCCATATATCTTCTTGCTAGGTCTCTTCTTCTTCTTGACTAGCAGTTGATCTCTTCCGTTCTTCAACTTCATCCTTGCTAGGCACCATTACAGGTACCTGATCAAGAAGTTAGTGTAGAACATTAGAGTAACATAAAAAGGAAAGAAAGACTTACTATCAGTATGCAGACCAATATAACTGGCAGATAGGGTAGAAAGGGGTATTTAGTCACTAATTGGAGAGTTAGTTGCTGTCAAGTCTTTGAACAGATATTCACTTACATAGCTCATCGATTCTGCGGAGGTCTTCGAGCTCTTGCAAGGTATGTCTGTGCGTTCTCGAGATCAACCTGCGCAGGTCGGACATTTGTTCTTGAGTTTCCTTGAGTCTCTCATGAAGTTCCTGCATTTCCCTTTCCCTTTGATTGTCCTGCATTTTTGAGTCTTCCCTTCTTAGAATTTCTAGGTTTGCATGGCATTCTGAGATTTGGTCTTTACTCCAACTCAGAGACGGCCTCGGCGGAATCGGTGAAAGGAATGGCACGCGTCCTACCCAAGGACGGTAAAGCCATGTCTTTGACATCTGGAAAATCGTTCGCTTTGGAAGCATTTGGTGAGCTGTTCAGAACTAGTGTTTTGAAATAGAAAGAGTGCTGAGCCGAGACGATGTTGGTGGATGTTGGAGGATGAATTCAGTAGCAATAAGGTGTGTGAAATGGAGGTTGTGGCTGCACGATCAGGCACCTGCCTCAAATCGATCAATGACAAAGGCATGCACCAAAGTCAAATGAAGGAAGCACCAGTAGCTTCAACTTAAGTGTGAGGGTATCGAGGGTATCAGAAGAATTGGACGATGGGACCATATGACGAAATAACCTAGTCATCTTGTGCTGACTTAGACTAGCACCTGGGCTACTTTATTTTGGCAGCCTAAGTCTTAGAGGACAACTTCTGATTCCCACCTTCCAAGTAAACACAACTCTTTACATATCGACGTCTTGTGCCTTCCTTTAGCTTCCCTCCCCAAGAAGCTCTCCACGGAAGTCAATACTGTATATTCTCTCATTCAAAGATCATATCCCTGGTGCGCAGGTCCGATTTATTTCCCGACCTCGCACATGATTCTTGCTTCACGAATAACTTTCCGGTCCATCTCCTCCACTGGCCGTTGTTGGCGTAGTACACTGCACACCCAACTCCCTCCCAGATTCGCCCAGACATTCCCCAAGGGATTTCTTTCGAATCGACTAAGCGGACATACTATATCAACACTAACAGATTGCAAGGTTAATGCAATGGATCGCCCTGCCAAGCGCCAGCGGACAAACGAACTTGGAACCGATGGACTTGAATCACTGCAACGCTCTATAAGCCCTCCTAAGAAGAGAGCTCGAAAACCAGTCGCGATACCATCTCCGTGGCAGTTGACATGGATTCAGGATCTTCCAGAAGGCGACAACAAGGATGCAGTGACCCTTAGGGACTTGTTAGGAGATCCCCTCATCTCAGAATGCTGGGAATTCAACTTTCTGCATGATATTCCCTTTCTGATGAATGCATTTGATCCTGATACCCGTCACCTTGTGGATGTTCACCTGGTTCATGGTTTCTGGAAACGTGAAGATGAGAACCGCATCGAATTGGAGGTAAGTCTGTTGTAGGGACAGCAGAGAACTATCAAAGCGTCTCAAGGCTCACAACATCCAATTTACTTACTGATTGGATATAGAATGCCGCTACGGAGTTCAAGAATGTCAACATTCACATTGCTCCTATGCCTGAGATGTTTGGAACCCACCATTCAAAGATGATGATCTTGTTTCGGCACGATGAAACAGCTCAGGTCATCATTCACACCGCCAACATGATCTCGAAAGATTGGACTAATATGACCAATGGTGTATGGAAATCGCCATTACTCCCAAAGATGCCAAATACACAGGGACCTGAGTCCTCTCCTGAAGACTATCCCGTTGGTAGTGGGGAACGCTTCAAGATCGATCTTTTAAACTACCTGAAGTCGTACGATAAGCGCAAGATTACCTGCAAACCTCTGAGCGACAAGCTCAAAGAATACGACTTCTCAGCTGTCAGGGCCGCACTCGTCGCAAGCGTGCCCGGTAGGCATGACGTGCAAGATATGTCGGAAACTTCATGGGGCTGGGCCGCTTTGAAAAGATGTTTGCAACATGTCCCATGCCAGCATGGTGATTCCAACATCGTCGCGCAGATATCTTCGATCGCCACACTAGGTGCAAAGGATGATTGGTTACAAAAGACTCTTTTCGATAATTTGAGTCGTTGTAAAAACACAGGACTCGGGCGGCCCAAATTCAAAGTTGTGTTCCCTACGGCAGATGAAATACGGCGGTCGCTTGATGGATACGCATCAGGTGGTTCCATACACACAAAGATTCAATCAGCGCAACAAGCTAAACAACTAGAATACCTCCGCCCAATCTTTCATCATTGGGCTAATGATTCGTCTAGTGGCGCAAGTAAGTTGGACTCATGTCTGTATAATGAGGCACTTCTAATAATTTACAGGCCTTCCTGAACATCCCATACTTGATAGCGGTCGCAAGAGGGCAGCGCCACACATCAAGACCTACATCCGATCAAATGAATCAACTATAGACTGGGGTCTCCTTACATCAGCCAACATATCAAAGCAGGCATGGGGCGAAGCAGCTCGACCAACAGGTGAGATGCGCATTGCATCATGGGAGGTCGGGGTATTGGTGTGGCCAGAATTACTAGAGCCAAACTCCGTCATGGTAGGCACTTACAGAACAGATGTGCCGGACGTCACACAAAGCGCAGGTGAAGATGAGGAGAGTCGACCCGTAGTTGGATTACGAATACCGTACAACACTCCGCTGCAACGCTACACAAGCAATGAGGTACCATGGGTCGCTTCAATGCCTCATACAGAACCTGACTGGGCGGGGCGGTCTTGGGAATAATGGACGGGATCATGACATTCGAAGTTATGATAGGGCTGTGGGCTTGTCCGGTAGCCGACCAATCGTTTGACACGAGATGTTTGTCTTGGGTCTAGCATTAAGAGCCTCATCCCTCTCTGGCCAAGCATCGTGAAGCGAACCACAAGTCTTTATTCAAGATCTCCACCCCCGCATCACATTAAGTGGCTGAGATGCACCACCTATCATGACTCTGTGAATCCAGGATTCAAAAGATTGCATGTCTTTGACCAGAACTGGTAAGACTCCACCTGGTAAGGGTCGGTAGCCTTTCCGGCATTCAAATGGCGCCTTTCGCCGCGACAAGGCGGGTCTTTGTTAACGCTAGCTTGAAAAGTGCAGTCAGGCGAAGACTCTTTTTAATCGGGTCTAGTGATTTGACTACAACTACTGTCCATACGTATATACCGAGTACAGCCTCCTCTCATCTTGTTTTGTTCCTTTCTCTCTCTCTTTTTGGTCCTTAATCTCTCCTCTTGCAACCTGCGCAATTGGTCTCAGTACATGCTGAGGGGAACAGCACAATTGAACTCATCTTGATTACCTTGTATCACTCAGCTTTTCATCACTCCATCAGTTGACTCAGTGGCGTTCCTTGTTGCACTCTGAACAAGACTTTTTTCCTGTGAACATTGCAGAAGTTTCTGAACTTGCGTCTATCTGAAAACCATCCCAGCTGAATTGACTGTGCAAGTTGATCATGGACCCAATAGGAAGGGGAGCTGGAGTTTCGCCATTTGGCACTCCGCGTGGTTCTGGGGCGCATCCTGCGTTATCGTCTTCATGGCGAGTAGGATCGCCTCTGGCCGAGGCTGCTTTGGCTGCCGACATTGCCGCATGCTCGGATGAGGAGTTTGAGGATAGTGCCATCGACGACGACGTCTCTGAAACTGATCTCCAAGGCGATCCCATCATGTATCGTCGCCCAAGTGGTGTTGCTTTTGGAGGATCGCGACCGATAATGAACCCTCAAATATATGATGAACCAGGCTTAACGGCTTTAGAGAGGAAACAGTCTCGTAACGCTGAGCGCAGTTTACTGCGAGACAACCACGTTCTTCCACCCAAGCACGGTCATCGCCGGCAAGATGGTTTCTTTACTCGTATCTACCAGCGTCTTTTTAGCACGAAAATACCGCAGGACGAGGAGCAGACGCCTACAGTCACAGTACAACCTCCTAGCGAAACGGCTCCTCTTTTGGGGCCGCGAGCTGATGCTGTTGCGCCAGAGCATCTCAACGAAACGTGGGAGCATGCAGTTGCTGAACATCGAATTAAGACAACTTGGCAACGAGAAGCAAAGACTATCGCAAGCTATTCTGCGCCTCTCATCGTTACTTTCCTCTTGCAATATTCGATTAACGTTACTAGCATCTTTGCTGTTGGCCGAATTGGCAAACTTGAACTCGGCGCTGTGTCATGTAAGTCTGTCGACAATCGGTAAAACGAAGATGAAAGCTAACTTGTGCAGTGGCCAATATGACTGCGGCTATTACTTGTCTGGCGCCTTTCCAGGGTCTCGCTACTTCTCTTGATACTCTGTGTGCACAGGCTTATGGATCTGGTCATAAACATCTTGTTGGACTGCAGTTTCAGCGAATGACTTGCTTCTTGTTCGTACTTGCTGTGCCAGTCGCTGTGTTTTATTGGTTCTCTGAAGGTGTCATCAGAGCACTCGTTCCAGAGCCCGAATCAGCTCGTCTCGCGGGCATGTACCTCCGAGTCATGATCTTCAGCATTCCAGGATTCATTCTCTTCGAAGGCGGCAAGCGATTCACCCAAGCCCAAGGCCTCTTCCGCGCCACGACCTATGTTCTCCTCATCGTTGCGCCCTTCAACGTCTTCCTAAGCTGGCTTTTGGTCTGGAAGTTGCAGTGGGGTTTCATCGGTGCTCCTGCGGCTGTAGCCATCAGCACCAACCTCCTCCCTATCTTCCTCTTCTTGTATGTTCGGTTCATCAATGGACGTCAATGCTGGGGCGGTTTTAGTCGACGAGCTTTCAGCAACTGGTGGATTATGATCCGACTTGCTCTGCCTGGAATGATCATGGTAGAGGCAGAATGGCTGGCTTTCGAGATCCTGACACTGATGGCAAGTCGATTCGGTCCTGAATATCTGGCTGCGCAGAGTGTGGTGACCACAATCACAACTCTATCATACGAGATCCCGTTCCCTATGTCTATCGCCGCTTCAACTCGAATCGCCAACTTGATTGGAGCTGGTCTTGTCGAACCGGCCAAGATGACTGGTATTGTGGTAAGTTTCTCCCTGAAAGAAAACATCCCGAATTATTTAACTGACACCCCTTAGGCTTTTGCTGCTGCCTGTCTTATCGGAATGTTCAATCTCACTCTTTACACCACTCTGCGCTACAAGGTCCCCCTATTGTTCACTCAGGACGAGGACGTTATTGAGCTTGTTGCTGCTGTCATGCCAATCGTCAGTGTGATGCAAGTCTTCGATGGCCTCGCTGCAGGAGCGCACGGTTTACTTCGAGGTATCGGCAAGCAATCAATTGGCGGCCCGGCCAATCTCATTGCATACTATGCTCTCTCACTTCCAGTCTCTCTTGCTTTGGCTTTCGGCCTTGACTGGAAGCTGAGCGGTTTGTGGCTTGGAGTTACGGTTGGAACTTTCAGGTAAGTTAAAATCGGTGTCATTATTTACGTCTTACTAATTATCATAGTGTTGCATCGATCGAGTATATATACCTACTCCGAACTGATTGGCATAAGGCTGCTGAGGAGGCAGCCATTCGAAATGCTGCTGGTTAGAGGTTATAAGTTGGTTTGCTCAATTCTCAACCGCGGTGCTTTCACGGAGGCAAGCAGTTGCTTTTGAGCTTGTGAAATCTTAATTTGGCTGGTGGAAAAGGAGAGACTGATGAGGATTTTGGATGTTAATGATGATGTTGGAAATATTTAATGCCTCTAGTAATCATATAACAAGCATTTGACACGGACTTTTTTTGCACAATGCATTTTACACTATGAGCCTCAACAAAAGAGCAACTTTGCCGTATCCGTGTAGAGTGATTACATCTTTCAAATAACCAAGTAAATAGACGGGTAGATCGTGCAAGGCTGCATATAAGGCTTATTCGAATCTATGGTATTATCTCAAGCATTCTCTGCTCACCCTCTTGCTCGTTTCATCCTGTATCATCCTCTTTTTACCGTTTCGCTGGGGCCTAAATAACTCCTTTTCCAAGTCTACACCGCTTGACGGTCTCAATGTAGACGAGAAACTATATAATGTCATAAAACTATCAAGCAGGCATGATTCTCTAGCCTAGCATAGAGTGCGTGCGAATCCCCTTAGGACCAAGTTCACTGTTCAGTCAACGTTAGTAATATTCTCACATCTGGGACAGCTGAGGACTTACTTGTAGTCTACTCTGCTCAAACTCATAAGCCGTTGGGCCTCAATGGTCTGGGCATCCATGTTGGAGTGTATGCAGAATGCAATACGCGCGGCGACCTGGGCGCCAAGGAACATGCTCTCCTCAAAGCCGTTCTTGGTCCACTCGCTCAGATATGTAGGCAGAGCAGCAGTCTTAATGCTTGTGGGAGTCTGGCTGTGGAAGTGGTGAGTGACGGTAGGTCCTCCGACCTCGGATCCGGCAGGCTGCGGCGTGCCGACCATGCCAGTGCCGGTGTTACCAGCAGCAGCGGCCGTGGTGGCGGCCTGGAGAAGAGGGTTCACGCCGCTTGAAGAAAGCTGGTGGGGCGCACCGGTGAAAGAGCCCGTGGGTGTCTGGGCGCCTGTGCCGGTGGGCGTGGCCATGTTGGAGGGCAACTCTGAGGTGAACATTGTTGCGGTGGAAGGGGAGACGAGATGGCGGGCGTTGAGAGTCTGAAGGATGTTCTCGCGGAGACCGCGCAGACGAGCACCGTTGCCGACAAAGACGAGGTTGTCCCAGCATTGGGGTCGCATGTACATGTCATCGATGCCCTGAACAGTGCGGTAGATGGTGTTAACAATGCGATCAATCTCCTGGCGTTGAGCAAAGGTGAAACGCTCAAGACCGACTTCGACATCTCGACGGATGCGCTTTGGTCGCTTCTCAGGTGTCTGGTTCTCAGTGGTGGGCTGGACCTCGGGCTTGGGCTCAGCTTCAGGCTTAGGCTCTATCGACTGCGCTGGCTCTTGAGCATCCGCTGGCTTAGGCTCTTCGGGCTTGGGTTCCTCTGTTGTGGGCGCAGCGGTGTTCTCTCCCTCTGCTTGGGGAGGTTGCGCGCCGTTGGTCTCGCCCTCAGGCTTGGGAGCTTCCGTTGTGCCATTGGTGGGGTTCGCTGTGGTCTCTTTCTCCTTTACCTCCGGAACAACCTCCTCCTGGATAATCTCCTCGTATGAAAAGCTGTTGTGGGTTCTCTTGGAGTTTGGTAGGCGGGCGGCCTTAGCTGCATTCTCAGCCTCCTTCTCACCCTTCTTCCTACCGGCCTTACCCTTCTCCTTTTCTTTCTCCTTCTTAGCAAGAAACTCCTTTGTCTGGCCGCTAGTAACGATGGCTGCTACATCTAGCACACCATCATCATCGGCGTTACCATTGCCTTCTTCGTCTCCGTTCTCTGTGGGTTTGGGCGCATCAGGGGCTTTTGAAGCGGCTTCTTCGCCAGCAGGGGCAGGAGCCGATTGAGCAGTTGGTGCACCTGCAGTGTTCTCCTTTGGAAGCTCCATCAACTTATCTTCAGCGCCGTTGTAAGGGAGGACCTCGCAAATGTTGCTCTTCTTCAACTGCTCAGCCATGTCGCGGTTGAAACCCTTGCCTTCTAACAACTTGAGCAAGCTTCGGGTGAAGACCTCGCCTCCACTGACTTCCTCCTCGGCCTCGGATGCACCGACATCCATATGGTTCACGACTCGTCCATCGTGGATTGCCGTAACATCGACCTTTTCATAACCAATATCCACTACAGTCATATTGGGCCACTTAAGGCCGTACTGTGTAGCAATTCCGCTGTGAATTATACATAGCGCAGGCGTTCTCGTGTTCTCGAAGACGTATCGGGCAATGGTCTCGCAGTCGGGTCGGGTCCATTGTGGTGAAGCCATGAGCATGATGGGAGTGTTATGATATGTAGTTGTAAGCAGACCATGGACATGATCGAGGAAAGCGAGGAGTGCGCTCATGTTGACAATGCGACCAGCTACAGGCGCGATTGGATTAGCATTTGTCGACACAAACTCATTGGCCATAGCTACCTTGAATGGGATACACAGCTCCCTCGTCCTCGTCAACATCCTCCAGCCACTCATCCTCCTCCACGCCATTAACAATAGTTGTGCGCTTGGTCTTGTAGTAAGGAGCCCACTGATCGCCCTCCTTGAACATCCTGGTGGGCATGCGCCGCGCAGGAGGAGTCAACTCACTGCAACCCAGCTGAGCCATGGTAGTTTGGCTGCCGGGGCAGATGATGAGGACCTGCTCCTCGCGCCATTTGCCCGCTGAGCTGGACATTGTGCGATTTCGAAGCTTCCTTGCGCTTTCGGGGCCGCTGTTGTTTTGTTGGTAGAGAAATTCGTATGGTAAAGGCGCTATAGGGCCGTTGTTGCGTCGCGATGGTGTAGGCGTTGGCGAGCCTTCTCGAGGTTTGCGCGCCCGTAGCTTGTATCGGGGCGTAGACGCGCCTGGTGTGGCTGGTGTTGCTGCAGCATCTGATGCGGATGGGGTGTGCACGTGACCTCCTCTTTGCTTTGGCTTCGTAGGGGTAACAGGCTTAGGGACGAGGGCCATCTTGAGGAAGTTCCAAATGTTACAAAAACTCTAACATAACAGAAAAGAAGCATAAGGTCTTTTTAGATATGGCAGGATCAAAATCTATGCTAATCGTTTGATTATAACTATGGGCGCAGGAAGCTTGGTTGCGAGCGATCTGGTGAACTGGCTGCCAGTCCATTGACAGTGCCAGCCAAAATCATACCAAATAGCATACATAAGCACTCAGTCACCTTTCAACATTGACATATGAACAAATACCAATCATTTATACAGAGAAACAATTGAATGATAGATCGCTTCTGTAGTGTATCTATTCAATGGCATTAAGAATAAGACTTTATCATAGTCTGGCCTCTACTAATAAACAGGAGGCCAGGACTTCCAAACAACAACTCCAGGTACAGAGATCACTTGCTCGTTTGTCAAGGATCCTTTTTATCCATATGTCCGAACTTTGCCTTGCCTTGTCCCCTTTCATCTCGTCTCATCTCATCCGGTAAATCCACAGTACTCATTCCCTCCACATCAGTTTGGACCTCGAGCCGGTATCAGCTCTTCGCTGCTCGAGAAAGACCGAAAAGAAAAAAAAGTGGTCATGACCATCCCAGAGAACGCCGTCCAGAAGTCAAGAAGTGACTCCTAGTGCACAAAAACCCATCATAACGTACATTTTCACCAAAAGTATGGACAAGAATGCGCAAAAACCTCCCCAAAAAAGAACCCCGTCGCGTGATTACCCATGAATAACTTCAGGTCGTGCGCCGTATCCCAGCTTACTCTGTAAAATCATCGTTCGTCCTCAATTATACAACCGTGATAGTGTTGGGGGTTGTCTCTTTTGATGCCGCCTTCTCTAGCTCTTCGTGCTTCTCGTTCATCTCAGTTGGCTCAACTTCTTTCGTTGGCTTTCTGGGGGTCTCGTCTTCAGTCATGTCGTCCATGACAGAAAAAGGTCGATCGGATGTGGGTGTTGTCAGCGTTGTGCCGTCGACACTCCATCGATCTTCTGTCCTTCCAGTGAACACAGATGAAGTGTGCTTCTTGTCGGGAGTGCTGGGGCTTTCGGGGCGCTCCTCTTGATGAATTCGAGGGGATGTTTGAGTATCCTTCGATTCAACCTTGGGCTCGCTCACAAGCGCCTTCTCTTCTGGCTTCTCAGCCTTTGCAGACTCAGACTCAGACTCCTTGGAGTGAGGAGCCTCGGTCTTGCCACCATCGACCTTGATCTCCTCAGCTTGGAAGAACTCAACATCAGAGTCCGATGACTTATCATCATCAGACTTGACTTCAATGGTGGCCTTCTCAACCTTGAACTCCTTAGGCTTGAGGTAAGGTGAGGACTCAGACTGGGTATGCTCCTCCTCTGATAGAAGATCGTCTTCAGCAAAGGTCTCCTTGCGCAAAGGGCTTCGAAGACTAGAGACATCGCCCATCTCGCTCTTACTGGATCGCGATGCCCTGCCAGGGTTCCTCATGGGCAGAGGAGGGGGAATCCTCTTGGGGATGGTGACCATGTTACCCTTGGCGTGGATCATGCGGGAAGCAACAGCCTGGGTCCTTGCCGGCTGCACTGCAGCAACCTCAAACACGACGGGTTCCTCCTCGTCCTCCTCCTCGGCATCACTTTCTGAGTCGTCCTCGTCGTCGGCGTTTCGGCTGCTCTTGTCATCCTTGTCGCTATCATAATTGCTCGAGGCCTTGTCAGTGTCATCCCTGGGCTCGACTTTGAGGGTGTCGGGTTCCACGGCCGTTGTGCTGCTGTGGCTGGTCGTACTAAGAGGACTATGGGCTCCACTCAAATGTCTTATGGGGGTCAGATCGACCTTTGTGTAATCAACCTCCTCCTCTTCCTCCGTGACTTCGGGAATTTGCAAACGGGTATTCCTGTCATGGCCATCTTCACTCTGACCTGGGCTGGGCGATGTCTCGGGTGTTGTGCCTACATCGGTCTGTGTTCCAGCATCTGTCATTTGACTCTTGACTGTTCTCGAAGACATATAACTGTTGCGATTACTCTTTGAGACAAATGTATCCATACTTTGTCTCTGGAATTTGGAGAAGGCTGGGCTTGAAGGCGCGGGGTTGAAGTCGAATGAGTTACTCGTAGGTCGCAATCGTGATCCCGCTTCCCTGATTTCCAAACCAGCCATCTCGAGGGCCAAAACGCCAAACGGGTCCGGGTCGTCCATGTTAGGAATTCCAAAAGCCGTTCGGGGCGAGGCGGGCGTCGAAGATTTAGGCGTCGCTATCATCGCATCTCCTGGCGCACATTCCGCAGCAATCTTGTTAATTACAGAGGCATCGTAGTCTGTCCTACCCTCAGCTAACTTAATGACCTCTGAAAGTGGCCCAACCTCTTCCACCTCGCGGGCAACATTGCCAGCCAGAATGTCCATTTGGGTGACTTGGCTGTTGTAGAAGCGCTCGTTCTCGTTTCCTCGCTCGGTTAGGATACAGCCATTCAAGTTGACGACCTGAGCCTGACCCCGCGATTTCAAGTATGTCAAAACGGTGTTACCCATGTCCTGCCACTTGATGTGCGACTCATCTGAATCTAGAGAAACCAGGGGACCGCTGGCTAGACCGACATCTTCGCCGAGTGTGACACGAGGTTTCGTGATTGACTCAAGAGCAGCAAGGTTGTTGACAACAAGGACACAGTCGTAAACATCGACACCTATTATGAAGCTGAGAGTGGGCGTATGTAGCATAATTCCAGATGGGGGTGACCAGGTGCCGTCAGACTTTCGAGCGATGAGAATACCGGACCCGCCGGAGCCTGTCATGTACAGACCGCTGCGCATGCAGGTGAAGATGGCAATTCCGGCAGCATTCTGAATAACGCGCTTAGGGATTTTCTTGGTGACTCGTTTTGGTGATCGCGGTTCGCTTATTGTTGATTCTGAGTCCTCTTCCTCGATTTCAGGAACGAGATAGCCATCGGCTAGAATTATACGTTAGCAAAAAAATGAGGCTTACGGGAAAAGTGAGACAAGCATACTGGAAAATGACTTGAGGATGCGGGCAGCCTTCTCGCATTCGAGATCGAGCGTCGCGGGCCAGAAAGCTTCCCTTTGGACTCGGCCATTTGCATTGGCTGCAGCAGTGTTTATCCTTGATAATGAATTGGTGTTTGCGACTGATATAGAGGCGCTGGAACGATTTGAGGACCAACCAAACAAGCCTGATCTTGTACTGGAGGACCTCTTGTCCCACGAAGGGAGAAAGGCAGAGACTCGCTGCATGGCGGGCCTTCTTGCCTCTCCGTCGCCGCCGTCTTGGCCAGGCGGAGGGACGACAGAGAGGATCGGAATTGAGGGCGCGCTACTGGTATTGGTATTGGTACTGGTAGAGATGCTTGTAGTGGCGGAGCGGAAGTGAACGGTCCTCTTGGAACCGGATTTTGGAGTCGATACAGATACAGATACAGGTAGAGGAGTAGCGAATGTTGGTGTCGATCTCGAAGTTGGTGAGGTGGTAGACGAGGAAGGAGACGAGACCGGGGTGTTGGTAGCGGTGGTAGTAGGCGATCCGTAGGAAGTTGGAGAGGTAGTAGCGATGGAAGACGAGCAAGATTCAGAAGCGGAAGAAGAGACGGAAGAGACAGAATTGGAGTCGGAAAGAGGAACGACAGTGACGACTGGTTTGTTCAGAGCCGACTTGTAGGCGACAATCGAAGCGTGGGAGGGCGCAGAGTTGGTTTTGGCGTGTTGATGAAGGTGTTGATTCCGAAAGTAGTGTCCGTGGCCCTGGGACGGTGCCTGAACAAGAGTCTGGGCATGGGCTTGGACTTGGGCCTGTCCTTGGGTTTGGGCTTGGCCTTGTCCTTGAGAGTGGGTGTATGATTGTCCTTGAATTTGGCCGCTTGGGCCTTGACCTGGTGCCGTAGCAGCGCCAGCAGCGGTACAAGGCGCTGAAGGGGTCCCCTGGAAACAAATTGAGGTGGTTAGCCTAGCCTGGGTTTTGGGAAGTGAGGTGACCTGTCAGCGCGGGCGGGTGGGTGACGTGGGCCTCTGAGTCTAAGCCATTGGGAAGAGACAGAGACTACGGACAAAAAAGAACAAGGACAAGGAGAAAAGCAAGGATACGAAGAGGATTTTTGGATGGGATGATCCGCTTTGAACAAGCCTCCCCCAGGTCGAAGATGAGACTGAGATCAAGAGGGTGAGATTTGATTCCAGGACAGGGTTGGTTGTCAGATTGAGGAGTAATAGAAAGTAAGATCATGAGTACTGTGACTGTACGTGACTGTACAAGGCAATTGTGTTTGTCGTAGTACTGTACTGTAACGCCTCTCTTGTTTTTGGTGACATGATAATTATTATTGGGCCTCGAATTGAGTTCTCTTTTTTCAGTCTTTCGCTTCAGGGGGCGTTCGGTTCTGATGACGGCACCAACCGTCAGGGAACTAGAACTAGACTAAAACTAAACTTAAGCCCAGTCTAGCCAAAAGTCCAGTCCCCAAAACAATGGCAGCTTTGCCAGTTACAGTTTACGGTGCGTAACTGAGTAAGGCAAGGCAAAGAGGCTACAGTGCAGACAGTAGAGAGGGGGGGTCGGGAAGCGAGGCGAGTGGGTGAAAGAAAGAGCAAAAGCACATGTAATTAATTAAGAAGAAATACTCACCAGATTGGAGGAAGTGTTTGTTGAAGCTGTTCTTGCAGAGCCCCATCGTCCAAAGCTCCAACCGCTTCCACTGCCATTGCTTCGTCCATTGCCCTTCATAGTATCCTTCTTATTGCCTCCTCCGATACTGCTGATACTCAGCTTCTTCTTTCGCGCCGTCATGAGGGGTTATCGTATCGTATAGGTTCGTTGGTTGGCACTAAAACAAGGCACTGCAGCAATATCAATCAGCCCTGTACATGCATTGCATTACATCTGCATATTGGTGTGTATGTCTGTGTAATGACCAAAAGCCAGCATAGTCAGCTCGTCCCAAAGCAGCATGCAGTTCAATCGAATCGACAAGGGTCCGATATGCATCTTCATTGCTCACGGAGGTTGGGATAGTGATGGGATGGTTGCAAGAGCCACTTGACTCTAACAATATCACATCGTCAAAGCCATTGAAACCCAAAATGAGATGCTGAGAAAATAGAAGAACCTAAAAGAAAAAAGGAGTCGTACCTGCTTAAGCAACGTTGTTCTGGTGCTCCCAGCGCCTCCTCTCATCGTCTGCCAGTAGAGTATTGGTATAGCATAGGTCCGAACACGCTTGAGTAAATCACAAAACGCAAAATCAAAGACAAAGAAAAAAAAAAAAAGGTATATGATGAAAGATCGAGATCTTGACGCAAAGATGTTACTCTTTGTATGAGCAAAAGGGGGAGGAAAAGAGAGAAAAGAGAATGACAATGGTTGAATACTGAACCCTCAGAACTTCAAAATAAGGGAGACAAAAATCTACAAAAGAAGAGAAGTGAAAGTCAAGAGGGAGGGAAAGGGACTTGAAGGGTTTCTGTTGCTTATCCATTCCGTAGAGACATATACACCCCCTCGTTCTATAATATGAATGTGTATGGTTTCACCCTTCCTTCAACTCATCAAGATGGACATTGTTGCGAGATCAGGCAAATTCCCATACCATCATCACTCACTCACTCTGCTTTCGCCTCTCTCTGCCTCGTCATGTTTTGTCTCGTCTCTCGTCTCTATAAACCACGCGACCCCTGCCCCCAGGCAAACCAATCCTACGGCACAGTTGTTGATGTTTGGTGATTGGTATATCTTGTGATATTCTCTATGTAACTACATTCCTAATGTCTCAGTGACGTTCCTCGGTTAGAAGAGAATAGTGTATATGTCCGACAGTACTGTATGTAGGTTGCAACCATCACATATCAGACACAGTCAATTGATTAGCGACTAGCTAACTAACAAGAGACTAAACTAGAGCGAAAAGAAACGACTCCAAAAAGAAAGGAAAAGGAAAAAGCTCAAACCTCTTAGTACCGTTGAACCGTCTTCCGTACCTGACTCAGGAATGTACAGAAAGTGTCTTTTACTGTACTACCAGAAGTCAATTAAACCCACTCGGGAATCTAGTCTAGGCTCATCTCATCTCATCTCATGCTGGACGTTGATCTCGAAAAGATTGCAACTTTGACTTACTGAATCGAGTCAAATAAAATGGCCCTTATGATGATCAACCAGACTGGCGACGCATGGCAAAAGCGGGTCGATTTTAGTTGGATAAGAAAATAATTAATTAAAAAAAGGGATCCATTAACAATCCAACGGTCTTGTTCTATCGGGATGTCACTCTTTCGATCCGTGTCGTCTAGTTACTATACTGAGAGATGTACAAGCATATCCTTGGCCCAACATTCCACAGGATATAAAGCATCTATCTTGTCTAATTCACCCAGTCAAGACACGTACAATGTAGCTAAATTTGTGCAATGTAATGTCCGAATATCCATTGCGAGCATATCTTGATAGATTAAATGAAGCGGATCAAACTAACATCGTCCATGTGTGGATAGCATAGAGAAAGAGAAATGCAGGGGTTTATTACTTTCAAGATCAGAAAAAGAAACTTCCATCCAGTGAATCTATAGGTCTTGTATCTTGTCAGGGATCCCTTGGTGACATCTCTATCCAGTGGCGTCTTTGTCTTTCTATCTGCTTACTTTTTTATACTGACAACCGGTTTTACTGGTGGTGGTTTAATTAAACAAGCAATTCATTTACAGTTTGACCTTTCCTTTCTTTGTTTCTTTTGCTTCAAGACGTCATGAAAGCTCTGAAGGAGTCACTGCAGGTAAACGCTCTATGCTAGACATGCATATAATTTCTTTTTAACACATGAGGCATCTATCGTCTGCGGGACAAGGCTTGCTAGTAAAGAATTAATTAATTAATTAACCCAACGGACTCATTTATCTCGTGCATAACCGTTTCGTTACAAGGCCAATTATTCTACTGACATACATACTGTTCCTATTTTCATACTGCGGATCAAAAGCTATGTCCTCGTCTTTGCTCAAAGCACGTACTCGGAACATCCGTCTGAAACGAAGGGGCCTTTTTGACATTTTTTCCAAGGGTTCACCAAGCTTTTTCCCTCCTCTTTGAAGATAATAGTCTCAAAGCCTCATGCAAGCCTTGTGCTTAACCACGTGTAACCAAACCAAAGCTCGCCTTGCCTCGCTTCGCCTCGCATTAGATCTTTTCAACTCACTTTGCCTCTTGTCTCCCTGAAGATCTGGCCCATTCCAGTGTTGCCTCCAAGGGGAATGTTTCTGAAACAAGGCTTGCAGTTGTGCGTCTGAGCAACTTTAACGTTGCACGCGCACTCCTCGGCTGTTTTTAATTCTTTTCTTTTCTGCTGCGCATATTTTTCTTTTGTTTTTCTTTCGAAATAAGAAACGATATATGAGTTATTGGGCTCAGCAAATCAAGATACTGGAAGCCTATGCCGCGGATGTTACCCGTATTGTCTTGAGACAAGTTCAATGTTTGAGACAGAAACTGATAAAAAGCAAATAATGGACTGTCCAATACGGGGTCTTGTTTCCCTCCCTTCTTTGCTTTGCCACTGTAAACTCCCAAACAGAGACAAGCTCTTTTAAACGACTATCCTTGGCTCTCTCCATTGTCTCGGGGATTGTTGTACCCTTGGATTTAGCGGCTTGGGTGGTGTCATCATGTGTTACTCTGTAATGTGATTCCTCTTAAAGTACAAGAATTAAGATTGCGATTGATCGACGTGATTACGGATTTTATGATATTGGCAGTCGTAGGCTTTCTGATTCTTGTACCATGCTACAGCCCACAGGGGTGTATTTTCACAACGGGAATACTTCAACTTAACTATGGCCAGCGGTTCGCCACTTGTGTATTGACTTACCACTGGGCAAGATAGAGACCAATAAGAAGGTCTTGATACAGCGGAATATACGTGCGGAATAGCGGAAACTGTGAAAATAACCCCTTGTGGGCTGCAGTATGTTTTCTTCGGACAAATACCGCGGTTTCGTATCTCCATGTTTACCTTGACTGAAGCTGCTGGTTTTTGGAAACGAAACAAGTTAACGGAGTCACCATACCGTGCCATGTTCCAGTAGAGAGTTTCAAACCAGATATTCTACGATATCTAAAACCAGACAGTTGTGGCTTGTCCTTTTGATTCACTGCCGAACATCGAATCACCGATAGTCTAGACGAAACAATTAGGAAGTCGTGTATAAGAACTATGTGAGTTTGAGCCAGAGCACCAGAATCATATGGTACCGGTTCAAAGCAGTCTTAACCAGCCTTCCAAGAAAAGAAGTTAGATCGATTTTGTTACAAACATTTGTTCAGAGCATCCTAAGTTATGCCAACTCTCGCATACTGCATATGACACCCATAGTCATGACTAGTTGACACAAGCATTCGATGTTCAGAAGCTTGCAAACAACGGGCCCATGGTAGCATCGTACTATAACAGAAAGATTCCTTCCATGGATCATAGTGTCTCGCGATATTGACAATATGGCTAAAATATTCGCTTCACCAACCAAAGACATCATTGCCTTTTCCATGTGACTGATAGTCTCATGACACACGTCTGCAAAGTTGATGACAAGATGAATCAGATTGTCAGAAGACCAATGATACAAGCCACGATATTGGTACACAGAGCAACAGGTAGAAGTCTGGGTATATGGGATATGCGGGAAGAGATATGTTCAGGTCGATTGAAGTCCTTCCTACCATCTGGGTACCTCAAGCACCAGGTGGATATAACCGGATGTATCAATTGCACTCTTCAGCAGCTGTCCAGTTGCTAGAGGAGAACAAACAGCTCGTCTTGAGTAAATCGTTAATTAGTTTAATAACTACAAAATGGCTATTGTAATCGCACACTATCTGCCTGCAGCTTAGATACATATGCGTGCTCCATATCAACACAACTGTGTGAGAGAATAACTTCAAAGAAACTCCATAAGCCTTATCCCGTACCAATTACTCCAATAGCCCTATTACCTCTTCAAATTTCAAATACTCCATGTGGGTTTAGGATACTCCCCTCCCTTCAAGATATACTTCTCAAGAGGCTGACTCATCTCTCCCCAAATCCTCACAAACTCCTTCGCCCATGTCATATCCTCCCGCCAAAACAACTGATGCCAGCCCACATTGTCACTGAACTTACCATTGATCTCTATCTCCTCCAGCACCGTCAGCCTGTTTCTCATGAGCTGGAACATCATATCCCAGTCAAGCTCGGCCGCGCTGAAGGGATCGCACCAGCCGTATAGACTCGTCATTTTGACAAACTTGAGCGTAGGCCCATGGTTCTTGATCAGGTTGGCGAAGTTGACAAAGTTGAAGTGCAGGCAGGATAGGTCGAGCTTTTCGAGACGTTCGAGACGCTTGGTGATGAAGAAGTCCAGGTCTGAGGCGGGAATATCGGATGGCCAGGTGTGGACTTGAAGGTCTCGCAGGTTGGGTAGGAATGATATGAAGGTATCGAGACGCTTCGGCCAGAAGTATTCCACCTCGTAGTTCACCATCAAATGCAGCTGCGTTACCGATCCCAAGACCGTGGCGATGTTGGATTCCAGACCAGCTGGAATATTGACCTCCGTATGCATAAAAGGCTGGATCGTCAAACTCTTCATGGGATTATTTCGCTCAAGTAGAGCTGCAAGAACGGCCTGCTGGGTGTCGTATATTTCATTTCCGGCTAGTTCTATCGAATTCTCGTAGCTGAAAGCGTCCTCAATATCACGGTGCCCTTTCCACGGACATTCGCACCATGTTAGACAAACCGTATCGAGGTTGGGTAATCGTTTAATTGCCGGAATGACCAGATCAAGTGGTAATTCGACATCATCGAGGCAGAGATCCTGTGTCTCGAGATATGGCGCCCATTTAGCCTCACGCTCCACGGGATCCTTGATCCACAACATGCCTTCTTCAACCTCATCCTCGCCGATGCGTGCCATGTTGAACGTGACTGAGCGAATGCGCCTTGCGCAGCTCGGTTCAAGAGACAGATCATGTAGGCGTAGACCATCGGGCCTCCAAGGCATGCCATCGAAATGGGCCAATGCGAGCAGTGGTTTCGTACATTCTGCAATCAGACGACAGCATAGTCTAAAGTTTTCAAAGTCATCTCTGGATAAATTGTCGGCAATCTTGTCGATAAGCTCGACGGGAAGCTGGATAAGGCGGGGCTGAGATGATGACGCTGATGCTCCATTGTCGGTGGTTGTCATGTTTATGGTTGGTCCGTAGACTAAGACGAAGCTTTTGGTCTTTGTCGCAATTTTTGATACTAGATTTTCCTTCTCTTGATGGTATCTCTCATAGCTGATGTTCTCGATAACATTGGAGGATAGGTAAGTTATTGAGAAGAGAGCTGAGTTCCATGCCTGAAGCTTGAATCCCCCAAGTCAAGACCCGCTACTACCACGCCCCAAGGTAAGCCTATCACGCGCCTTTCTGCTTCTGCCTCAATCCCGAGTTAGAAGCAAAACCTCACTTTGATCAATTTTCATCCATCCCATCTTATCCGCCGAGTCTTGCTCTGCTTTACTCTGATCCACATCTTCAGGATCACAAGTAAGTGATTCATGTAGCAAATTCATTTTTGACTTCCAACCTCTAACGTCAGTCTATAGGACAATCTGGCAAGGCTATGTAGACGACCTGTTCTGTCAACTCACTCACTCACACATCAAACATCATGCTCAAGTATGTTGCTAATCCTTTCCCCCGATATCGCTTAGGGATACTTACGCACTTTCAGGGCTTACAAGAATCTCTCCTCCAAAACCCGCCTTGCTGTCGGTGTCGCAGTCATCGCATGGGGTGCTGGAGGACTCATGTTGACTGATCCACTCGAGAAGTCCCTCGGTTTGACTCCTACTGAGGAAGACAAGGCCGAATTGGACAAGTACACACCAAAGATCATCACTGTTGAGAAGGATGAGAAAGAGGGCAAATAATATATAGCAAGTCAACAAACGAATACATCTACGTCTATGCACGGTTACAAGAAAATTACTACATGTTGAGTTGCATTATAACTCTCACATATCACACATATACACTTCACAAGAGGCGGCACAAATAATTATAGGCAAACATCATTAACCTGCTCCAAGCCATCAAGTCATGATAGTCTACCGGGTGACCTTCACCCGGTTAGACTTCCCTCTCTATCTTGATCAAAGTCTAATATGCAGTTACAACTCCGCTTCCCGTCTAATTTTCGACAAATGCATTGCACAACAGTGCCGACCATGGATGCGTGAGGTCAACCAGGTCTACCCTGAGATGACCATCACATCGGTGAAACCCAGTGACCCAGGAAACAAAGAAAACAAAGAACATAAATCAGAATGCAACGCAACGCCTCCAGATGCAGCCCCACCCCGAAAGTGCTTTTTTGGTTGTGTAATGTAAAGAAAATCATACTGCCGTCCCTGTACCAAGTTCCGTCTTGACAGACGCAGTGCCAGCGTCTTCCACCACCTGTGGAAGAGGTTTGAAAAGTTTTGCCATCTCTAACGTGAGATCCATAGCTCCATACTGTTCGTCGATTTCTCCGACTGATCCTAATTCTTCTCCTCTGCTCGCGCCATCGTTCATCACCCATGCTTTGACTGACTTCAATAATTGAATGATTTGCACAAAGCGCGCATCAGAAGCCAACCGGAAGTCAGACGTCTGTGTGTGCTTCAGCAAGTAGTGGGAAAGCCAGTAGAAATGAATGGCATCTCTCGAGAACCCGTGTCGTCGTGGATTACTGGATCCTGTCACAACCGGTGGGAATTGATTGGCCATGTCCGCATCCCAGTTGCTCTTGAATTTGCTCAAAGCGATGACAAGTGCCTGCAGGCTCTGTGGGTCCACGTTGGCTGCCGCCCCCTCAACTGGAGTACCCCGTCCGCTATTGCCGCCGGCTGGGGTCATCCAATCATTAGGAGGAGGTGTGCCAAATTTGGACAATTGAGCCGCATGCCCGTCGATCTGGGCCCGCCGAATCAGAGCTAAGATACCGTGGATAAGAACAAACTTTCCATAAAGGTTCGTGCTTCCAGGTTGGATCTGATAAGATGGGTGCAGAAGAGCCTTGAGAGCCCAGTCCATCTCTGGTTGCTTTGCTCGTTGAGTGCCGTATGGATTCTTTTGCGAAGCAACGTCGGGCCCGTGAAGACCAAGTGCGGCAGCACAGTCCTCAGCCTTATCGGCATCCCAGGCCACGTCGTCGCAAGGCAAAGGTAGGTGGATTTCCATGACATCAAACAAAGGTTGAGAGTTGAAGTAAAGTCCCATCGCCACGTCCATCAAAAAGACGCCGAACATCAAGCGATTCCTGCGCTCCTGGTCAATCCAGCTGTCCCAGTTCCACTGCTGAATGTCAAATGAATTGCGGTCAAAGTTTATTTGATGCAAGTGAGACATGTTGGCAGGGTCAGAAGATGACCGGAAGAGACCCAGCCGACGAGCGTTACTCGCCAGAGCAGGATAGATTTGTCGTGCACGCTCTCTCTGCTGCGGGTTTCCGTTCCAAAGCAATAAAACACATGTTAACAAGACAGCCTGCAATTCTTCAATGTCAGCCCGAGACGCGTGTCCCGGTTGGTTTGTCTGTAGTTCAGCATTAGACATCATCTTGCAGTCGCGTTGGAGGGCGACGACGAGAAAATCCATCATTTCGCGAACATTAGACGAGGTGACATTGTCTGAGTAACAGGCGCCTATACAACACATGCCTGCTAGTAAGCCAGTATATGCCTCCATAACCTTGAAGGTGGAGACGTGAATGAAGGGCATATGGATGTGAAAATGAGTGTACTTGTCCAAGAAGTCTTTGACGTTGTCGGGTGAGAAATAGAGGTTCATGCCTGCGCTCGAGGGATCGATGGCTTGATTAGGAGGATAGAAGAAATTAAGGATCTGATCAGAAAGTAGGTTGTATGGAGTTTGGTGAGAATGCATTCCCAAGTTCGACAAAAGGGTATCGCTGGCGCTATCGCCTGTCGTTCCGGGCCCGGAATTAGGTTCGGTTTTGATTCCGATCTGCGTCTGTCCAAGATTAGGATTGAAAGAGTTGTTGTTGTAGGTTTGATGCGCACCAGCCTGGAACATCTGAGACCAATCAAGGCCCGATGGAGGGTTTGTGTTTGAGCCACCGTACATGGGCATTCCGTTCTGAGCGGGAGGCATGCTGTAGCCAGTCATCTGCTGCTGGTTCATGTTGGGGTCAGCACCGTAGGGCTGAGAAGCACCCATGACCTGACCGTTCATGTTCCGTCTGTCAGCGTTGTTACCGTTGTCGAGACGGCCGAGCGAGCTGGATCGAGAGAGTTGGCTCTGATCCTGGGCCATGTTGTTCATGCCGTCGTTGACTGGAACCATGCCAAAGGGGTGGACCATGTTGTCACCAGGGAGGTTGCTCAAGCCATTGAGATGGTTGAGATCACCCTCGTGAGCAAGACCGGCGGCCTTCTGAGCCTGTTGGTTCTTCTTGACGTGAGCCTGAGGATGCGACAAGTGACTCGCTCCAGTGGGGTTGCCACGGCGGATAGAGCACTTTTGGAAGTGACGCTTCAGGATATCACTTCGAGAGAAGGTGTCGCGGCAGAGAACGCACATGTATGGGCGATCACCGGTGTCTAAAGAATCATTGTCAGTAACCACTGTCACGTCAAACAAGTCGTTCTACTCACGTCGCAGGAGATGGCGCTTGAGATGCTTAGCATGGAGGTATGTCTTTGTGCAGTGAGGGCAAGGGAATTTGCCATCAGCGTCCTTCACGGGAATCACAGTGTTCTTGGTGCCAGTGCCGGCAGCTGGGGCAGCGGGTCGGCCAGGAGCACTGGGCAGGATACCGCGTCGTCCCTGGGAGCCAACAACGTGAGTAGGAGGCTCGCCCTCAGGCATAACCGACTGAGGCTGCATAAGAGAAGCAGGACCGTAAGGAGAAGAAACACCAGGTTGAGACATGATGCCACCAGGAGGCATAGGGCGCAACACAGGAGGACCGCGACCACCAGCAGGGGCGGGCGCAATGGGCTGAGGGTGAGAAGCAGCAGTGGTCGCCTGGGGCATCATGGCAGAAGTGCCATAGCCCTGAGGAGGAGGGTATTGGTTCGGCGCCATTGAGTAGATACCACCTCGGTTCTGAGGCTGAGAGGTCTGCTGCTGCTGGTAGCTAGGCATGTTGGAGGCCGACCCAGGCGTGTTGGGAGTGCCTGGGGTTCGCGGCGTGTGAGGGTGGCTTCCGTACATGTTCTGCATCGTGGCAGATGTGGGAGGAGGCTGCAGCGGAGGCAGAGTTTGAGGGAGCGGCGAGCCGGTTTGCAGCTGGTTGGGAGAGATCGCGGTAGGTGAAGGATAAGTCTGACCAGAAGAAGTCGTGTTTATACCATTGGAGGGGTAGTGAGGACCGTCCATGCTACTCTTGTTGAACGCGAAGCTCGTGACAATCGACGTGGTGTTGAAGATACCGCGACGCAAAAAATATGCCCGGGGTATAATGGACCTGGTCGGTGGATGACAAGTCCAAGTCGAGGGAGGATTTGCGGAGAAAGGAAGGAAGAGGGGTCCGAGGGAAGGTTTGCAAGACTTGAGAAAGCAAGCAAGATCAATCAAATACGATGCCTTGTAAAGCTCCGCAGAAAGATGTTCCCGGATGGTGGAGGATGAGGCTCGTGGCAGGTCCCTCTTTGAAGGTAGTGCTTTGGAAGAGGGTGCACAGAGTGGAGAACTGGGTCTCGAACCTTTTTAAGTATTATTTTTTTTTTTTCTTCTGGCGGTCTCTTCTAGACGGGCAAGCTGTCAGGGCAGCCTTTGCAAAAAGGTGGGTAGTGTTGTTGTGGATTCTGCTTGGGTGGGTGGGTGTGGGAAGAAGAGGTGCGAGTGAAGGAGGGAGAAAAAAAAAGAAGTGGGTTGGTGCGGGTGTGGATTAAAAAGAGTGATGCAGTAGCAGCACTAACTTTTTCTAAAAGTTTAGTTTTTTTCTCTCTGGTTTGCTTAGTACGCAATGACGAGAGAGCGGCGAAAGAAAGGCAAGAAAAAACGAGGGAGTTGCGGAACCGTTGGAAATGCCTTGGTCGCGCACAGTACGTATTTTACAACTGATACTCGCGACGGGAGTTTCTGTTGCAATTGGCACGCCTTGGGAAAGTTGCAAATGCAGGGCCTGAGAATGAAAGAGAGGTAGGTGGGAAGTGGATAACGTCTGTGGGCCCACAGCGAAGCAAAGGAACCACAATCAGAATAGCTGGCGGCTGGGATCTGGAGCAAAGGGCGAAAAAATAGCCTAGAAGGGTCGCGGGTCGCGCTCGTGTTTGATGGGGCCAGGCGCCAGACGCGCAGAACGTTGGAGATATCTCGATAATAAAGATGAGAGAATCGACAAAAGAATTCCCGTCGCAGGAATTGCAATAATTCCAAGTAAAAGAAAGTTGAGGATGTTACAGGACAGAGAGAAAGCTTGTGAGAGGGAAAGGTTTTTTTCGGGAGAAAATGAGGAAAGATGGAAGACGAGAGAACAACGGAAGGCAGGAAGGAAACTGATGAGAAATTCTGAGGCAGGTGCATGTACCTGCTACCTCGAGTCACCTACGAGCACTGTCAATCACTGGCAGCGCGGCTGCCTGCTTAGGGGCAAGCTCAGTGTGCAGGAAATATAGAAGGTGATCTCTGCACCATTAACTGACCAAACTATTTCGTCTCTCACACTACTACAATCGAGTTCCTTACTGCCCCGATGCCTACTTGCAAGTTACAGCACAGGCGGGAAAATAAAGAGCGAAGTAGCGACCGGAGTAAACGCGGAAGTACCTGCTACCGAGGTAAGTGCCAAGCAAGGAAGACGCTTCGACTGGACGCCAGCTGTTTGCAGTGTCCAATTTGTTCCTCTTCGAGTTTGGATGATTCGAATTTTTTTCGTTTTACTTACTGCACGCCCCTCGTCCCTCTCCAATCTGAATCAAATCGGGTCTACGGCCAGATTTCTGGCCTGTTCGACTTGGATGTTAGCGCAGGTGCCATGCCATTGCCGCTCTAAGCCGCCAGAATCGGGGGCTCGATAATCCAATTCACTTGCCAACACTTTGCGGTGAAATATACTTGCTGGTCACTTACCGACTGCTGCCGTGTCAGTTGGAAGCCAGGTACCCTCGTCGTATCCACACTTCTTCGATAGAGACGTGAAATCGCTAGTCATTCAACGAAGAGAAAGCTATTCGACAAGACTCAGGTTACTTGATCACAATTAGGACAGACAGAACGCAGATTACATTGCACTGATTTCGGATTACCAGTCGTCATGTCATAAGAGAAAAGTCTACGTTCCGCCTCTGCTAGACACACTTCCTAAGGGCGATCTACTATGCAGTCGGTACATGTATCATACGAACCAGAACGCCAAACCGATTCAGGACTTTGGAGGAAAAATACACCTGGTGAGGCGCGAACATGACATGCAAACCCCTCGCTCAGGTACCTGTGAGATGAGATGCTCTCAGCTTCAGCGAACCCTTCAGCGCCCATGGATGTACCTGAAATATTCCGCAACACCATTAGAAAAGTTGTACTGTACCGGTCTTACCGTCCGACATCGCCGCAGGCATTGGGTTGTCTGAAGTTTGCCTCATCCTACATAAAGACCTTGGGACAGCCATGGAGCCGTGCTACCATTTCAGCCAGCATCACTATAACACAACCACTTCTCCTCTTGACAAGCTCATAGTCTTGACAGGGTCCCGGCGGCATTCGCAACGATGCCGCACGTCTCGCGATCCTGAACACCGACAGGGAAACGCTGTTATCAAAAATCAGATCCAGGATGATGCACGACGCGTCGAAAAACTTCAGAAACGGTTCTGTGTTCTAAGATTCGCACGGTCGATACTGTACACTCGATAGGTCGAAAGGGCAAGTTGCTCGCAGGGGGTGGGGCGTCTGCAGGGAATACTGGAGGCTGGGTGTTATGGTAACGGGTACGCATTGTTTTGCTAGTTGGCAGTACTGCATGCCTGCTTGCTTCTTGTACAAGGTACTTGGCACTAGTCGTCTTTCGATTCCCGGTGTCGTAGCCGGTATTGTACACACCCAAAGGTCACGATGCTTCACGCCAGACCAAGTCTTCACCGCATTACCTCATACACGACTCGGACACCGAGTTCGCGCCGGGATTCATCGACCTGACGCAGCGTTTCTCATTTTAACGACTGTTCCCTGGGTTTTGCCTGATCTTGTGAGCAAAATGAAGCGACTAGTCCTTACACTACTGTGATGGGATCGTGAGCAGATTTTCACGGATATACACGCCTCTATTTGTCCAGTTTCTCTTCCGATGGAAATTGTGAAAAGCTAAGACGAATATGAGCTGTGTTGTTCTGCCGAGCCACCAAGCACAACTCTGGCTCTAAAGTTAACCCAAAATCTGTCAGCCACTTGCTGTTAGAAGCATATATCGTTCGAAGACCAATGGTTCGCAGCTACTGCAACTACAAGACCAGGATGGCAACAGGTCAAGCAGTCTATCTGAATCATCTACTATGCCACCATGCCAAGCATGTATGTCGAGGGTAATTCGAGTCTGTTATTTGCGACATGTCTTGGCGGCAAAAGAACAATACTTATGCCAGTCGATCAAACTCATTTCGATAGAGATCACGAACATACAGTACAACTTCCAAGCGAATGTGGTTCATAAAAGTCGACCATGTCTAAATGGGGCACATTCTGTCTCGTGACTCGAAGAAGCCAGGATTCTGAGATGATATGCAGGATCCACGAGTCAAGCGAAAACATAACCCAGTTTGTGAAGCCAAGGGTCCTCCAAGGACATGCTGCCATTGCATCCATCTGAACACCACAACTTGCATGGCGCCTGACAGCTATGGACGCATACGCATCTACACTACCACCCTGGAATTATTTCAAACATGGCGCGATCAAAAGAAAGGATTTGTGTAAGAGAAAAACGACGTTGGACGGTTCAGCGGATATTGCAGTTCCTACGAGACTTGCCAAGGCTGTCGAAAAAGCAAAGTGGGACGAAGAGGAAAAGAAGACCAGGAGAATTCGCCGAATGTACCAGGTACTCCCGGGATGGAGATAATGGTCCGCGGGAAAAGGAACCTGTCGGACAGTCGCCTGGTTTAATCGAAGCCGGTCGTCGGCACCTAGGAATCTCGGCTACACTCAAAGCCATTCTCCCTAAATGCAGGCACGCCTGTAGCCATATCAACGAAATTCGACAATGGTACAAAGTCTGACTTTTGCAGGGTCCTTAATCCTATTGTTAACGCCAACCGTTCAATGGCTCCCGCAAGCACAGCGGGTGTTCCCACCAAAGCAGATCTCAGTGGAGCATGGTCCCTTGGAACCCCTCATCTTCCCGCCATTGCATCTGCTGAAGGACGAGGGTGGCCTGGGTGGGAAGTCGAAGGCTTCTATTCTCGCTCCAGAAGGTTGTGGTGGAGTCCTTCCCGTGAGGAGGCGGACTCCATAGTTGGAGAAATCGTCTTCTGAGCCGCTGATGCTCGTCTATCAAAAACATATCAGATCACAATACAGCAACGGCATTTGGCCACGAGAACAATTACTGCGGTATTCCTGATGCAGTCCCGAGGTTCGAAGCCTCGGCTACTAAATCTGGTTGCCAGGAAACCCGAGTCACTTCCGTGATCGGACGATGATTAGCCAACTCGAAACAAAGAAGGGACTTTGGAGAAGGCCATAGGGGCGGGAACACCGAGATGCCAGCATCATTCCCGGGAAACAACAGCAACTCGCGGTTCTCGCACTAACTAATTAAGGCATGGAAGAATCTCAACCCCCTGTGTTCTCCTGGGAAGCTAGAGAAATCTACCCCACCCCTTGCTCGGTGGCGTCGCGTTTTGGGATATCGAGTCGTGCGGATGCTGGGCATGTGCGAGATGCGGTAGACAATTGTCCATGCGATGACAGGTGGCACACAACTGCCAGCACTGTGATTGAACAGGCAAAATACCTCTGCCGTTATCAATCTTGTTGAGGTCTTGGACGACAACTTGATGGTCCTTTTCCTTGAGTGAGGATTGCGCAATTATTACCTACTGTTTTCCCTGAATGTCACTTACCGGGGTATGTAAACTTTGACTCCAGACTCGGAATACCAAGAGACATACCCCGAGTCTCACACAGAGTTCGCACAACACTCCCATGGCAGCGATGACGTTAATTCTACTTTTTGTTTAATTTTCCGAGACTTCACCGACTCGAATCAGATAATTTCCATACATACCGCCGTTTCGCTCCCTGTGGCAATTCGGACCCCGTGGCATTATGGCTCGCCAAGCTACTCATTTGGATGCTGTTAACACACCCTTTGTCCATTGACATGATCCTATTGCGCTGCAATACGCATATGCATGAATATCGATGTCCTGTGATACTGAAGACTTCAGCCTCTCGAATGCTGTGAAAGGTATCGTGGCCACCCCTGCATTTCCTCGCTGACAAATGGCGTAGTCAGGGCACTCCTGTACAATTTAGGCATTTTTGTCCGTGTTTAAACAGGTTGACCGGGTGCCGCCGGCAGAAAGCTAAGATGTCATTACTCGCCTACAGGACTCGCTAGTGAAATGATAATGCTCGCCCTTCCTAATATAATCCGTACCAGCCAACCTTGATGGACTAATCCCTGTCCGGATTATCGGGACTGCTATATTGGGGTATCCGACACAATCACAGTGGCTGACAAGCAACGCTGGGACACTGAGGCTTTGGACTCCTGAAAATTGAAAGGATAGCTCTGAGGGAGCCTTGCCTTTGAAACGATCGCGTGGGTTGGGTGGCATAGCGGTTTCGCCTCAAAGAAAACGGTGACAAGGTCGCTATTCGTTCCAATACACAGAAGATGAATGCCACACCAGAAAGCCATGTTCGGCAATCGTTGGAGAAGCGGGCCTGGTGGAGAGGCACAAAACTGCCGTTGGTGGTGCTGTGGAAAGCATGTTGAGCCTCAACGCACCAAGCTTCTTTCTACTGGGTCCCTTCCCGCTCCTTGAAGAGCTTGGAGACCCGTTAGAGCCACATCGCTCTGGGCACACAACGATAGGAAGAAGCACGTCGTGATGGCTTCATTTCAGCGCCACACATTAATGGGAAAGATTCCAAATCTTGTGCATGCAGCGTGTACGACAGTTTGTACTATACTGTACTCAACAATTCTGGTTTGGAAGCGGCGATTGGCCGTGTCCGTTGATCGGAACTGGTGAAGGATGCACTATTACTACCAGACTGCGCGTGCATAACGCGCCTGCACGAGTCATAACTGTTTAGTCTCGGAGTTTCCAAATTATTGACATCGTGATGAGCATGAAACAAATCGCCATATATCCCTCACATCAGTACAGAACTGTACAGAACTGCATCAGTCGCTGCCTAGGCGAAACTAGTGATAAGCCATCGAGAACAGTTTTTTTCGCGGAATTCACACAAAAGTGCTTTGCCTCGGCGCCTACTCAACCCTTTCCTGGAAAGAATACGGCCAATTGAGGGAGTCAATCACATAAATTGAGTAATCAACAGTTTCCCAACCACATGATAGTCATTTACGTCACAAATTTTCACGGGTCTGCATCCAACAGCAAAAGCTTCTCGCATCATCACCACCACCACCACTATCACCGGCGCAGTTTACGAGGAGTGATGGTGCGGAACTCTACCGGATAGGCGTGGCTGGCTGTTTATGGTGTCCGCTCCCACGAGGCCCCCCACCAGCACTTGGCTGTTCCTGGCCAGTATCTACACCAGTATGGTTTTTAGTGCAAGTTGCCATCAAAAACGATTCTCTTGAAAAGGAATAGGTTTGTTGTGTACTGTGCGTTGTACTGTGAAAAGTCAGTTGTGTCGGTAAACTTACATGGCTGGATGCGGTGTCTGGATGTTTGAGATCTATACCCTTTTCTATCAGACAGCTCAACCCTGCAGCAAGAAGTGGAAGATGATGAGAGGGGGACGTATTCAGAGTGAGAAAGGCTATCAACATCCCTTTCACAGGAAGCGTCATTTTGGATATCACAATCTCGCCAGAAATAACTCTAAAAGCTTCGGTGCACCCAGTACGAAGACGATCTGCCTATGGTGTTTTCATCTAGCAACGAGCCTGCGACCATATGACGACAGAGATGTGCCGGATCTCGAAAGTTGCGGCTTGCAGGATGCAGTTGCAGGTTACGGGACGGAGGATGCCGCGGCAGTGCAGTATTTGTCCAGGACCATGGGAGAGGGGAAGAGTACTGTAACTGCAAATCGACTGACTGCAAACTGGAAGACACTGTGAAGTGTTAATTGTCTCGCGACAATTACGGCAGATCATCCCTTGTTAGGCGCCCTGGTTGCGCGGTGAAGCAACTAGGGTTGCAGTTTGTTGGTCGCAACAACCACCCACCCCCGAAGTCCTTCTGACTTGCATGGTCTTTTTAGCTTGTCCAGCATGACCTCAATCCCTGAATCAGGCATTGTCTGTTATTACGAAAGACAGCCGACATCCAAGGATGCAGTATGGACCCCCACGCTGCCGAGACACGACTGCTACCCTCCTGACATCGCAAGGCACAGTAGTGAATATATCCGAGGAGCTGTCAGTGGGACAGCACTCGCTGGCAGGTGTTTTTGGCGAAATGAACTGGATGTTTCTTTGAGAGATGCATGTGTGCGTGTCGTTGCAGGAACACCTGGGACTTGCACACGTGTAGTCCTGAAAGTAGACCAAACAACGATGTTGCAGGTTGGCCAACTGAGTTATGCCGAGTGCAGATCCAACTACCCTGAAGGTAGCATCACGAACGCATAGAGCCGATGCTGGCTCGTTCTAAAGGTTATGTATGGTATAGGGTGGTTTCAATGCACTTGGTAGGTTTACTACGTGTTACGCCTTAGCTTTGAGTTAGTTAATCTGTTTTTAACGTTGCTGGCGTTGCGTACAATCATGTTCTTCTGGTCAGTTGTGTTTATACCACATCGCTGCCATGTTATTATAGTAACAGTTTGAGACACGAAACACTCGTTGTTGCGATGGTATCAAAGGAACCATGGTTGACGCACGTTTTACTGGAAACGATCTCCAATCGTGGAGCCTATGATGGCATTGGCACCTTCAAGCTGTGCTCGTCCCTGGCGATGGATCTATCCCCCGCATAAAGAATGTGGCTCTTATGGTTGTCCTAGTCAGGAACTGGTGACAAGCAACTTTGTTCTAGAAGATAAAGATGAAATGGGGCATCTGGAGTATTCCCCCGCATCACCCACCCCAAAGCTTCATGTACTTTGTACCAAACTATCCGTGCTGCAAGTGCCGTTCGTAGAACCCACTGTTGAGATCCATCTCTTGGTAAGGCTCGGTGAGGTCTGAGGTGAGACTCGGTGAGGCTCGATGCCGGTGTTGCAGAAAGACGTCACGTGACCAGCCATGAAGCGGCACTGATCGGTGTAATGTAGCGCCGACACCGATGCTCCGCGAGCTACGGATCCCAAAATTTGCGAATGCGTGGGACGAATTGAATAGCGAATAGCCTCGTCTGATCCCCCACGACAGGCAACATATTCCTCAATGGCAGCTTCCAATACGATACGGCCATTGGCTGGCCGAGCTATCCAGGCCTCTTCATCAAGGATCTCATCTACGGTCCCTAGAGTCGCCTACTTCTCCACGACCGCACCACAATGCAAGCGCAAAACCAAGGACAACAACCCCAAGCGAGGTGTTAGTAGTCTGTACGGCTCCGGACCTCGCGAGCCTCTTTCCATGTCGAACATTCCGCTACCGAAGCCCCGCGAATTCAAGCCCAAGATTGAGGTTGACCCTAATCATGGTCTGTGGGGATTCTTCCCCGAGGCAGGCAAGCTGTTGGCAACTCCCAAGCAAACAGAGGAGCATGGACGTGCGTGGAGTGTCGAGGAGCTGCGAAAAAAGTCATGGGACGACCTGCATGCACTTTGGTGGGTATGCTGTAAGGAGAGAAACATGCTCTCTACATCAAGGGCAGAGCTACTCCGAACAAAGATTGGATTCGGTGAGCGGGAGATTGACGCTCGAGATGAGGAGGTACGATATATTCGCAATCTGGACTACCATATGATATTGGAATGCTGACTTGGAGGAAATAGGTCATGAAGACACAGCGAGCTATCAAGCATGTCTTGACGGAGCGATACTACACTTGGCAAGATGCCGTCGAGGTCGCCACGAACGATCCCGAGATCAACTTCGAAGGTGGCGAGGGCAATGTCTACACACCATCGGCATATGAGGACGATGTCAACGTTGCTGAGTGGACACAGCCAGAGGCAGAGTCCGAGGCGGCTAAGCAGATCGATCCCGTTGCAACAGAAGCCCAGGCGGCCAAGATTGAGAAGGAGTTGAAGAAATAATAAGAACCTGCCATATGCGAGACGATGTTATGTACTATTTGTGTGATTGGGGAGGTAGTGGTTTTAACGATGCCCGATAGAGGGACATGTTGACCTATTCGTCGTGTACATCTAGGATATGTAAGATACAGTTGACGAAGTAAAAATGTATATGCAAGCATATGAACTCTCAATAACGACTTTCTACATTTCCACACTCTGCGTCAAGAAGGAAATCAACAATCTGCAACGTGTTATTAAGGTCGAGATTTAAAGATGGTCAAGGTCAGACATTGGATATTTTGCTCTGCAAGCCCATGTCCCAACATAGCAATGAGCTTTGTTACCATGTAAGTCAGGACCTTGTCACCTTTCACCACGAAAGGGGGCTCGCTCCACAGCATGAAGCAAGTAATACACGAATGGTTTAGGGGTGGATAGGTAGCAATGGAAGGAAAGGAGAAGAAGTGGCAGAAGGTCAAGGACCCTGTATGTTGAGCTAATAGTTCCAATTACACGATAATGATACTGGGGTCGTTGCTGGGTCTCTTATATTGAGCCGACTGCTAAGCTAAATTTGACATTGACGAACAGTTCCTGAGGAGGAAGGGAAATATAGGGGTTCAGTGAAGCGAAATAGTAGATGATGAGCGTACAATAGTCACAGAACTATGCTTGTAGGTTCATCTCAGTGTAATTTTGGCTCATGTAGACGAGAAACTTTGAGATTAGATAGAGATGAATTGGGTAAGAGGCTGTATTTGGGGGCGTTATCCGTATTTTACCTCGAGGTTCGGTGAGAGAGCCAGAAGGTTAGTCTCCACACTGGACATGGACTTAACTTAACTTACTGTAGCTGGACCCCGCCACCGCAACTGCATCCTCTCGAGCTTCCCATCCATCTCCATCTCCGTCTCCGTCTCCATATTCCTTCCTTCCATTCTTGCTTGCTTCACCCTATTCCTACCTTACCTAAAACTTCATCGAATTATCAACACCACACAATAGCCATCATGGATGAGATTGCTCCTGAATATGACGTCGTCGTGCTGGGCACTGGTATGTCTTGTCTTATTCCCCCCTCCCCGCCACTTTCTGCCAGCAGACAGATCCCCGCATCACAAAGCTTCGAACTCGACGCTGGCAGGGCAGTTTCATGACACTTGATACTGACGATTTTCAGGACTGACTGAGTGTATTCTTTCTGGGTAAGACATACAGCAACAGTTCCGTCTTGACCGCTTTGCCATGTCGCAAATGTGTTCCAGACTGGCGCAAGCTGCTAGGCGGTGATGGTTATATAAAGGCGGTCGGCTGATGGTGCTTCAACAGTGTTCTTAGTGTCAAGGGCAAGAAGGTCCTACACATCGACCGTAACGACCACTACGGAGGGTAAGTCTATTGGATTCTAATTACTCAACACCAAATACTAATTCTTTTCTAGAGAGGCCGCTTCCGTGAACCTCGAGACGGTACACAACTACCACCCACTCTGAAACCGACCTACCTCCTGAACCAATATGTCTAACTCTGAATACAGCTCTTCAAGAAGTACGGAAACTTCCGTGAGGGCGAGGAGCCCTGGAAGCAATATGGCCGCCTCAACGACTGGAACATCGACCTCGTCCCCAAGTTCCTTATGTCCTCCGGCGAGTTGACCAACATTCTCGTCTCTACCGATGTTACACGATACCTTGAGTTCAAGCAAGTCGCTGGCAGCTACGTCCAGCAGGGTGCCTCCAACAAGGCTACCGTTGCCAAGGTTCCCTCCGATGCCGCTGAGGCTCTCCGATCTCCCCTTATGGGACTCTTCGAGAAGCGACGCATGAAGTCCTTCATCGAGTGGGTTGGCAGCTTCGACCCCAAGGACCCCGCCACACACAAGGGTGCGTATTTCCATGTGATAAGGAGAGGAAGGAGCGCTTGTGAAATAGATCTGAACAATTTGCTAACATGTGATTTTCTAAACAGGTCTCGACATGAACAACTGCACAATGAAGGATGTCTACGACAAGTTCGGTCTTGAGACAACCACCAAGGACTTCATTGGCCACGCCATGGCTCTCTACCTTACCGACGACTACATCACCACCCCTGGCCAGGCTCCCGAGGCTATCGAGCGCATCCGCCTCTACGGAAACTCTGTTGCTCGATACGGAAAGTCTCCTTACATCTACCCTCTCTACGGTCTTGGCGAGCTTCCCCAGGGTTTCGCCCGTCTGTCTGCCATCTACGGCGGCACTTACATGCTCAACACCAACATCGACGAGGTCCAGTACGATGGTGACAAGGCTATTGGCATCAAGGCTACCATGACCGGAGTTGAGGAGATGAAGTTCGAGACCAAGGCCAAGATGATCCTTGGTGACCCCTCTTACTTCCCCAACAAGGCCAAGGTCGTTGGCCACGTTCTCCGAGCCATCTGCATCCTGAAGCACCCTCTTGCTGGCACCAACGATGCCGATTCCGCCCAGCTTATCATTCCCCAGTCTCAAGTTGGCCGAAAGAACGGTAAATACCACCAACCCAAGCCCATTTGCTCATTCACTAATGATTATAGACGTCTACATCGCCTGCGTTTCTTCTGCTCACAACGTCTGCCCCAAGGGCTACTGGATCGCCATCGTCTCGACCATTGCCGAGACCTCAGCGAACCACCACGTCGAGCTCCAGGCTGGTCTTGACCGCCTTGGCAAGATTGAGGAGCAGTTCATGGTATGTTGCCCAGATTGACATGATAAACAACGTATGCTAACACGTTACAGGGACCCCCTATCCCCATCTATGAGCCTCTCGAGAACGGCTCCAAGGACAACATCTTCATCTCCAAGAGCTACGATGCTACCAGCCACTTCGAGACAACCACCGACGACGTCAAGGATATCTACCGCCGCGCCACTGGTGAGGAGCTCAAGGTTGAGGGCTTGAGGGAAGGTATCCAGGTCGCCGAGGAGCAGTAAGAGTCTCGAATGTTCCAGTAAATATGACAAAAGAGGAACAAGGCTACACTACACCGCTGCAGAGTCAGTAGGGTCGGAGGATTGTTTTGATATTTTTGCAGGGCCAATTGTCAGAGTTTCTGTCAAGAACAGCGGCCTAAAAGATGGTGCGTCTTGGGCACGATCTTATTATACCTCTTTCGATAGCATCTCACACGAGTACTCAAATGAATATTGTTGAATTGCATACTGGCCAGAAACTAAATGATATTTGAATTTGATTGAAACTTTTAAATTTCATAAATCATGATTTGTTTAAAAAGGAAGAAAATGTGGCAGCCCCTTTTTTTAGTACTTTTCAAGAAGGCGCCGTGATATCTACTATCTAGCTGAACTCGGACAGAGCTTCTTCATCCCAAGCAACGAACGACACGACACGTAAGTTTGTTGTTCCTTGTCGAGTACGTACGTACGTACGTACGCATGCATGCACGCAGCGACGGAACCACAGTTCATTTTCCCATGCGCCCTAACTCCCAGGCAAACCCAACAGCCCGCGAACCCGCGAAATTATGCCGGAAAAGAGACAAAGACAACCAAGTATGGAAGAAAGGGAGGCCCAGTGTTGGCTCTCTATCTGTGGTTTGTCTTGCCCATGCCACGCTTGCCAACGACCTAGAGGATATTGTGTTAGTTGCGGTTCTATCATGAAAGAGGGCTGAATGTGTAAACTTACCAAGTGCTTGGTGATGGAAGCAGTGGTGTGTCGATCTCCTTCTCCCTGTCGGGCCATGCGGTTTCTCTTCTTTTGGTTGAGCTTGGCAATGCGCTCGGCCTTGTTTCGGAGAGCCTCGTCTGGGACACCTTCGTCGCGACGGTTGATGGGAGCACGGCTGGCAGGTCGGCTCATGGAGCGGAGACGCTCCTTGGCAGTACGGCCACCATCGACATCCATGGCATCGGGGTCCTCGGTACCCATGCGAGACCTGGAGCGGCCACGGCCACGAGACTGCTCGCGAGCACGCTGGGTAATCTCGGTGGTATCGACACCGAGCTGGTCGAGGGCATCGTCGAACTCGGAGAGAGACTTCTTCATTTGCTTGCGGGGGATGATGGCCTGGTTCTTGAGGCGCTTCTTCATGCGGGCCTCGTTGCGGATGAGCTGCTGCTTCTCGCGGATCAGCTCGGCCTTGCGCATGACCTCGGCATCCTCGTCGTCCTCAAGATCCTCATCAGACTCGTAGAAACCTTCGGCCTCGAGCTTCTCCTCCTCTTCCTCGAGAGCCTGGAGCTTGGCCTCGATGTCGGGATCGACAAAGTCGTAGACGTTCTTTCCATCGTAGATCTCAGGAATCTTGTCGTACTTCCACTCGGGGTTCTCGAGCATGTAGTCGGCCTTCATGTCGACGTTGAACACACCAGCACCACCGTTCTCATCCTGCTCATCACGAGCGGTTCTTCGTCGCTCAGGGTCCTCCCGGTCGTACTTCTTGCGGTCCTTGACACCCTCGGGAACGAATGTCTCGAGTGTCTGACCACCCATGGGTGTGGCGACGTGGATACGAGACATGACATCAGCCAGACGGCCACCAATCTCGCCGCTGTTGTTGGTACCAGCCTTGAGCTTCTGGTTGACACGCTCGGCGATCAAGCGCTCGCAAGCAGCGTTCTTGACCTCTTGGACACCCTCCTGGGTGTTGCAAGAAAGCTGGAGGAGCTCAACCTCACCGGACTTGAGGATTGACTGAAGTTCCTCCTGGAGTGAGGGCTCGAGATCCTCAGGTCGGGTAACATCAATCTTGTTAATGACAACGAAGACGAGCTTGTTGGAGAAGAGAGGCTTGATGCTCTTGAAGAGAGCAATCTGGGCGCTGACAGTGTAACCACACTGCTCAGAAAGATCCATAAAGTACATGATGGCGGATCTCAAATGAGCAATGGCGGTAATACTCTGCATCTCAATAGTGTTCATCTCCTCAAGAGGGTGGTCTAGAATACCGGGGGTATCGATAGCCTGGAAGCGGAGGTACTTGTAGTCGAAGTGACCGACAAACAGACTCTTTGTGGTGAAAGCATAAGGCTGAACGTCGACATCGGCACGAGTAACGCTCTTGAGGAAACTAGACTTTCCAACATTGGGGTAACCGCAGATAAGCAGTGTTCGGGTGTTGGGGTCGATCGAGGGCAGACGACCGAGATGCTGGCGGACCTGGTCGAGGTACATGAGGGGGTCCTTGAGTCGCTTAATGAGAGTGGCCATGCGACCGAGGGCAGCCTTCTTGAGCTGCTTGCACTGGAAAAGCGACTGGCCGTACTTGAGAAGACGGACATAATCGCGGGAGATGGTCTCGATCAGGTGCTTGGCGGTTGACAGCTGACCGAGGGCGATTCTGAAGTGGTCGGCATCGTAGAGTGTGTTGAGAAGATCCTTGTGGAATGGGTGGATGTCCTGAAGACGAGGGAAACTCTCGAGGATGGCGCCAAACTTCTCGGAGAAGGTCTCCTGGGTGAACTTGACCTTTCGAGTGTAGAAAGCTGCAGAGAGAGAAGAGGTTAGCGATCTGTTGCGCAAGTATCTGCTTGTGGCGATAAGAACATACCTCGAATACGGCTGATCTTGAAACCGGCGCGAATCTGCGTAGGCAGCTTGCGCTGAGTCCTGCTCAGAACAATGTCCAGGAACTCCTGCTGAGTAGGCACCGGCGGGATATCCTTCCAGGTCGTCTTCATCTTGGGCGATCTGGTTTTGTATTGGAGTTGTCCTGGAAGTTTTTTTTATTAGAATAAAAAAAAAATAGGCGGACGGAGGAGAAGGGTCGCTCGTCGCTCGAAGAGTTGGTATCAGAGATGGCAAAATTCAGTTGGACGAATATTTTTTCTCGGTGGGTCGTGGCGGTCAGTCTTATCGATAAGAGAAGTCACTTTTTGTGTGGGATAAGAATTTCGGTTGACGAGGACTAGACATCCATGATGCTTTTGGTGATGGGATATCATTGATTGATGAGGGATGAGGATTATAGGCCGTCAGTAACTAGCCTCGCCGTGTATATACTCAGAGTATTAATCCTATAATAAGTTATATAAGTATTTGATTCATCAATTCAACAATCTACATCTCAAAAGTCTTTTTCAAAACGGTACTTTTTTATCTGGATCTCACCCCACCTCAACCCCGCTGCCATAACATTGAACCAGAAGGGTCCAAGGCCAAGTCCGGCTCCGGCTCAACACCACTGATTGACTGAGCTACAGGAGGGGATCGCAAACTTTGCTTTAGAAAATATTCATCTCATCTCATACCATCTCACTTGAATAAATCTCAACACTATACCCCCAACTCTCATAATGTCAGGTCAACTCGCCCCCTACAAGCAAGAATTCTTGCAGGCCGCCATCGCCGGCGAGATCCTCAAGTTCGGCAGCTTCGAGCTCAAGTCAAAACGCATCTCACCCTACTTCTTCAACGCCGGCCTCTTCCACACTGCTCGTCTCGCCGGCGCTATTGCCACCGCTTTTGCCAAGTCCATCTCCGAGGCTCAGCAGCAGAACGGTCTCGACTTCGACATCATCTTCGGTCCCGCTTACAAGGGAATTCCTCTTGCTTCTTCCATTGCTGTCAAGCTTGGTGAGATTGCTCCCGAGAACCTCGACCGTGTTTCTTACTCCTTTGATCGCAAGGAGGCCAAGGACCACGGTGAGGGAGGTAACATTGTCGGTGCTCCTCTCAAGGGCAAGAAGATTCTTATCGTCGACGATGTCATCACTGCTGGTACCGCTAAGCGAGAGGCTATCGACAAGATCCGAAAGGAGGGTGGTATCGTCGTTGGTATTGTTGTTGCCCTTGATCGCATGGAGAAGCTCCCTGCCACCGATGGTGATGAGACCAAGCCTGGCCCCAGCGCCATTGGCGAGTTGAGGAAGGAGTTTGACATCCCCATCTTTGCTATCTTGACTCTGGACGATATCATTGCTGGCATGAAGAGCTTTGCTTCTGAGGACGACATCAAGCGAACTGAGGAGTACCGCCTCAAGTACAAGGCCAGCGACTAAATGGAACCTGGTATATTGAAAAAGAAAATTGGGAAAACGAGGTTATGATATCAAAAGGGTCACTAAATAGATGGGACGGGAATAAAAATGGAATTCAACGCGCAAATGCGGTTTTTGTAGATCAGCTATCTCATTATTGCAGATAATGCGGCTCTTTTAGTGATATCTTATGTGTGAAAAACGAAGCAAATACCTGAAGCTTCCTGAGAGAGTAGAGTCTTTGCACAACTCATGTACCTCACAACAACAAGCCTGCAGAAACCTATTATGATGGCTTCTTAGGCTTGGCATCCTTAGTATCTTCCTTGTTCTTTCGCGTAGGCTCCTCTTTGGTCTTTCTCTTGGGGCCCCGCAGTTCGAGCACCTGGGAATTTATTAGCTGCCGTGAAATATTGCAATTGAGAGAACTTACCATAGAGTGGTAGCCTTGACCAACAAGGGCTTCTGTGCTAAGGCCAAGATCTTTGAATCCGAAGCACTTATAGAACTGAATAGCGTACTAGGCAAATTGTCAACAATATGTATCTTGAAGAAGAAAAATGCAGGGTAACTTACTGGCTGGCAGATAATCGCAACTCGGTCGGCTATACCAGAATCGTTCATGAGCTCCAGATACGACTTCATCACCGTTTTGCCAATACCAACACCCTGAACCTCTGGGCACACAATGAAGGAGTGGAGACAAATAGTCCTCCCAGAGGATTGGTGGCCTAGGGGAGAACCTTTGGAGGCCTTCGAATCCCGCCAGTTCTCAGGCATGGCCATGTCCGCATCAGTAATGACCGGGTGGGTTCCAAGGGTAGCGAGAACGTGCCCAAACATGACATGTTTGGCTCCATCGCAGCGACCACCCTCGACCTGGCGACTGTGCTGCATTGCAGTGAGGGTGATTTTCTTCACATCTGTTGGTCTAACAGTATTAAACAGGCCGTAGCAAATTCCTGATTTTCGGATACGGTATTCAATCTGGTTTCGTTATTTAGCAAACAGAGTCTGGCTACATTCTGGGTCCCCAACCGGCCTCTCAAAACGGCCGGGTCTTGAAAATTTTGTAACTCACCTTTTCGCGTGGAGATCTATATATTTCTGAGAGTGCGACATTTTCGACGGTCACACATGTGTCGATATCATTCTCGGTCAAGGGCTGAAGCATAGGAGCCCAATGGAATGGAATGACCTTTTTCAGAAGGCCACTCTCTGAGTTCCTCTTCTGGATTCTTATAGCAGAGAAGGTTCGTTTGGAGTTGACCATGTCATCATCAGCGTCTCCATCGGTGATGGCGCCATCATCATCGTCTTCCTTCTCCCTGGAATCCGTGACGCCGCCAGAGAAGATTATGTCCCTGGCGGCAGACGCGAACTCATTGTTCTTCTTAACTTCCATGCTTCCCATGAGGGATTGAGATTCGTCTGGTCGTGTTGAGAAGTGAATGGTTGGAATGATACTGACAGAGGCACTACCTCAGTATAAGTCGGCGCCTGCTCTGAGTACGATATTTGTGGGCCTTTGTCGAGGAGTAAGAGAGCTGATGCAGAAGAAGGGTCCTGCGGTTTTATCGCCAACGATTGTGCCGAGCCTGACTTGACTTGGCGAAGTTGAGGCTGTTTGAATGATATGATGTGGTGCGATGAGAGGAATTGAAGTCTCGCCCGTGCACTTCTGACGATGATATACAGACGTTGGTTGTGGCGTTCAGTGGTTGAGTGAGTTTTGTGCCTTGGATGAGCCACGGCTACAGATCAGATGTTTCTCTAATTTTTTTCTGAGTTACTGAATCAGAGAACTCGACCTCGTTTGACAGTGAATGAAACGTCATGGGACAAAAAAGATTCCTGTTTGCTCATTCAATTCTGGTGGACCCACGAATGCCGAGCGATCGGATGATGCAGGCCGGCGCCGTAATGTAATGGGGCCAGTGGGTAAAGATTAGGTCTACCTTATAGTAGCCCGGTCCGGTATGACGGTTCATACAATGTCGTCAAAAGTGAGGCTGCACATTCGAAAACTCGTGATAATTACTACCACTCCTCGAGGTGTTTTGGGTGGAAGTAATAGTGTCCGTATTGTCGTTCAACTGCGTCTGGTCTATCCTCTCTCACCTCTGGTCAGGATGGGTTCATGAGCGGGGAGAGCTTGTTCCGTCTCCATCTTCAGTGGTAGCTTGGGCATGGCACATGACATATCAAGTCGCGTGACCTAGACAAGCAAACAAGTAGAAAACACGGGAATTTGCAGATGCTGTCAACTTTGAAGGAGCAGCAAAAAACAAATGGATATCGACGACGGACGCATAACTGCGTTGGTGTTGTGGGCAAGCAAAAATTCCCATGTCATGTCTAGGGTAGATGTGTCACGAAGAGTCAACACCCCACGGTAAGTAGTTAAGTTCTGCAGGCGATTCGCTGATACTGAAACCTTTTCGTGCCGTTGGACGTTGACGTTGCATTTGAGACAGCGGTCACCCGAACATTTTGATGTGTCTTCCTTGGTATTTCGCAAGTTTATGACCATTCGTGTTAACTGGGGTTATTTCCCCATCAGCCCTCTTGCAGTCGAATTGTTCGTGATAGTTAAGAGACTGGGCGAACAGCGGGCATCCAAACAGTCCCATAACTGTAAAGGTTGCCCAACCCAGTCAACGGGAAGCCGGAACACAACTGTAGCCTGCATATTTGACCAAGGGTGCCGCTATGTAGCCAGGTTGAAACGCTGCAGGAGATCATTCTGTGCCTCCCAGTCCCTGTTAAAGTAACCCAGCCGATCATCAGTTAAGGGTCCTGAGCGGCAGCAGCCGCATACGATCTCAAGTATTTTAGACCCTGGCGCAGAATGCCAATATTGTTGTTTGGGAACCTAAAAAGAATACAATTTTCACTCGCTTGCATGTCCATGAAGGATATGGGTCATTAGCCAACCAAAAGGGCGAACAATGCAAGATGTAGGTAAAGCGTTGGTGTTATGCAGGAGTCTGCTTTGGCATTTGGTTGTTGCATGCTGCCCCAACATAACGAACATTACTGGAGCTGTGAGGACAAGGAGCCTTGTGAAGTAGCATTGCTATATGCCACAACTCCATAGTATCTTTTCTGCTTTGTCTGCCTGCATCAAGAGCAACGATTCGTAATTGCCACGACGCCTGGCTCCCCGCTGTCATATTGGCCTCTGGAAACGGGACCATAGTAAGCATCCGTAGATTTCCGTCTATTTCTGAAAGTTGCCTTATTATCCCTGGCCGAGAGTGTGCGTACACGCAGTCGTGCCTGGAGGTACGTGAGCAATACCACACAAACTTTTGCTTTAGCTGACTAATAACGGCAAACAGGCAGCGACAGTTGAAACGGATTTTGCTTGGTGGGATAATTATGATATTCTATTGGATTAGATGCGTGATCGGAGGTTGCTAAAGCAAGCTTGGTTGATAAGTTTGTTTGTACTCCAATGGCCCGAGCTGACTTGTAGCCTGTAGGGCAGAAATGGAGGGGTGGAGAGAAGATGATGTAAGTCAGACTTGATGATAGACGGGATGAACTGCCTGTACGACCAAGTTTGTATTCGTAGGTAGGCAGAAACAGGTACAGAATTCTGCCTCGTCCAGAAATCAATCTTATTCTTTGTGTTTCGTGATCATGGCAAATCTTGCCCGTATTATCACCATTTCATAGCCCCAGCGTCACCGCTTTAAAAGCTTCAAATCCAAAGGGAAGGAAGCCCCAGATCTATGGATGGGGAGAAGGAAGTTGCCCCTCCAGCCCTCCAAAAAGCAAAAGCCAAAGCCAAAACAGCTTGCCGAAGCGGCCCCTCATCATTAGCTCTAGCCAGTAGCTATCGCTGAACCTCATTTGTTAATGTAATGCACCTGCCTGCACCTTCACTGCTCTACTTGCATCTATCTCCATCCATCTTCATCTACTCTTCCCCTCCGATCTATTTTTTCACCAACCAACCCTGCATCAATTCGAGATTTCTTTCTTACAACTCTTGTTTTCGTATGAAATCTAGGCTGGCATACATTCAAAAGAACTCTTGTCATTAATCTGAGCCACTCTCCACAAGCTTAGTAGTACTTCGAGGACCCTTACCATATGTACCTTGCTGGAGCTGTTGTTCGATTTTATTAGCCACGTTCCGCACCCACGTCAACGTCCAAGCCTACGCCTACACCTACTCCTCTCACGACCAGCCACTTCTCCGAAACTCCTTGACGTCTTCCGTCTCATCCCTGCCTGGTCAAATCCAAATACTGAATTTCGTCTCTAACAACAACAACAACAACAAC